ATTTATAGTTTTGAGCTGAAATCAGACCATTTCTGAAATTAGTTAGTCTAAAATATTTTTAACCGGCCTAAATTGCTTTCAAATTAGGATCGGACCGGACCGATTTAGTATGATTGGACCATGGATCAAATTCAAACCTGCCAAAATTTGTGGTAGACCAGTCGCCAGATGGTTCTCGTTCTTTCACTTTGAAACATGTTTTTTGTTTGTTTCAAAGATAGTCTTTATTAACGTGGAACGAAATAAAATTAATCAAATACTACGTGCTGTGGATTAAATTTAAATCTTGTATAGAGAAACGATGGGAAAATTCAATATTTCCTGTATGATTTATTCTCTACTTCTTGCATGTAGGATGTGGCCTATTTGAAAATATTGGACTATATGATCGATCGTATTCGTATACATCATCACCTTACAAAACAATAATGTCCGAATTTGAAACAGTTTGCTTAATATGGTTACGTCAAATCACTCAGGTTTAATATCTAACAAAGCATTGCGTATACCCAACTTCCTAACACATTTTTATATTTCTATGGAATGGAACGTCTTTATCAAAAGTAATAATTTCACACAAGTTGATTGTAACATGTTTCTTCTTTCTTATTTTGGTTTTATTCATATAAGAGATGGTAAGTTGTTATATATAATTCACATTAGAGAATGGTAGGGTCTTATAAACATGTTTCACCAAAAAGAAAGAAAAAACAAAGTGGTTTCTAAAAAGACAAGGCATAAGCATGTGAACTTCATCCATTAGCACCACCTGATATGTTCCTCAAACTATTACTCTCCAATAACTTGCGGTCACAAACCCTTTTAATTCCCTATATATATATATACTTTACTCACTCAGAAGACTTGCTTACTAAACTAAGACTAATCCATTTCTATAGAAGCCCAAGATACATACAAACATTCTTGTTCAAATATTCATCACTCACTCTTCTTCTTCTTCTTCAAGATCCTCCTTTATAGTTACTTGCATTAATCTTCAAAGATGGGTATTCAACTTATTGGACTGTCTCACGCCAAACAAAAGCTTCAAAGAAGTTTATCAGCGAAAATCGCGAGCATCTTGGCCATGTCGGGTAATAATAATGTCCCAAAGGGTCATGTGGCCGTCTACGTGGGGGAGACTTACCAAAGGAGGAGATTTGTGATACCAATATCGTATTTGAACCATCCATTGTTCCAAGGCTTGTTAAACCTCGCGGAAGAAGAGTTTGGGTTCGATCATCCCATGGGATGTCTAACCATCCCTTGCACTGAAGATTACTTCACTGCTTTAGCTTCTATTCTAAGTGGTTCATAATAAAGGAGCGCACTGATCATCACGACATTCATAAGTTTCGTTATACATATACTATATATTTGTGTTTCTTTTTTTAATATATCTAAGGAAGTGGAGAGAAAATAACTCAAGATTGAGATACTAAGTGATCAGTCTCCTTCAATTTTTTTTTGTTCTAAAACGATCGTAAGCTTGCGAGTTCTTTTAACCATTCACATTTGTAAAGAATCCACTTCCCCAAAAATTAATCTAAGATTCTTTTTCTGTCGATATGTTTACTTTTCTATATATTCTACACCAGCTTGCTTTTTCTACAAAATATTTTTATGGGACTAATTAGTTCATTCTTTTTTGGTGGCCGGAGTAAATCATTTAATAAAAATCTATTACCGTAACTAGATATATGTACAAAAAATCTATTACAGTAATTAGGTACATGTACTGAAAAATATATTACAATAATTAGATACATGTACTTGTGACGACGTTTTTAACAATATTTTGATTTTTTTATCTATTTATATAAAGCCATGAACGAATTAAAAGTCTTTGATTTCCAATCTGAAAAAAATAGAAACTAAATATTTTTAATATTGGTAAGAAAAGTACAAATTTCCCAGCCAATTGTTCAGTTCTTTCTTTTATACATTTTCTTTTTGATTTTATTATCGCTTCATGCTAAGTCCCCTACTTAGCAAAAATATTTGAATTGCCATATTTGATGAGCAAACCAAACAAACATATGTATATTTTTTTAACATTAAACCAAACAAATACTTACAGAATAACTAATCAATTTTAGGTTTAGCACAAATATATTTAAAACGATTTAGACGGGAAGTGACATCAATGAAAACATCTTCAGCACAAGGGATCGTGAGAGATTTTCTCGAATGATCTATGCCAAATTTATTTTCGGTTTGACGCAACAGTGACTGAAACAAAGGATGGTTTAAATAAGAGATTGGTACCACAAATCTCTTCGTCTCTTCTTCGTCTTCCCCCACGTATACCGCAAAGTGACCCTTTGGTACGTTGATGATGAGCTTTAAGCGCGATATTGTTTTAACGATTATTCTCTTTACTTGGAAAACTATATCTTTCAATTGAATCATATCTAAATTTCAAATGAACTAACTTTTGTTTGTAGCTTGAAAAGAGGTGCATGTGTAAGTTTTTGTGGTTATGCGTGCTTTATAGGGATGAAGGGTTGTTGCATTAAGAGTAGTTATTCGTTGCTATAAATTTTAAAGGATTTGATAACATATATGTAAAAGTAGTGACATAAATAATAGTGGATTTCTTTAACTAATAAATTATAAATTTTGATATGTTTTTTTTTTCTCTCGAAATCTTAGAATTAACATAATTCATCCCTTATTTTTCTTGCTGACATTATTATTTTATTTTTGGTGTATCTTCTTGTTTTAATTAAATTATAACACATAAAATTTTCTCTATATAAATAAATATAAAACTCTTTACCTATGTAATGGGTTCGCATCGTTTTCTAGGAAATCAAAATATCTATTGCATAGAGACGTCAGAGCAGTTCCAAGGCCGTGCGAAGAGAGTAGCGGATGATCTCGAGGCAGAGTCGGAGATTGGAGTGAAAACAATCGTTTCAACCATTATGTTTTCGTCCTCTGTTACTTCATACAAAAACACGATAGATGTGATCAACGTATAGTTGATCATTATCATAATGTTACATAAGGAGTTTTTACATGGATTTTTCATAATAACATTATAAACGCCATAAAACTAGTGTTATCCAAATGACTTAGCCCGACAAAATAAAAATGATATCCAAATGGTAATAATTTATATATAAGCTCAAAGACGCCCACGGTTTGATGCTTTTTTTTCTGTTGGAGACCGTTTGCTACATGGATTTCTTATGTTTTTTACAATGTATTTCGTATATTATATAGTTCTGGTGGCATCTTTCAGCGATGTCAGACTAACAATGAGTGGTTGATCAGTTTAAATTTCTGATCCGAGATTTCATAACAATTCCATGTTCCTTCTGCATGTGTTACTTCGGTTACCGTTATATACCATTAATGTATGGATAACATAACATATTAATATATTTGAGCTCAAATTTTCAATAATGAAATGCCTCAATTACAATCTGAGTCTTGGTTAATAGTAGTAATTTTCTACTAGTGTATATCACTATGGATCTTGTGTTTTGTTTATTTATATTTAAAAAAATTATTGACCATTACAATTATCAAATGTGTTCAACGTACAGTAAAGTTACAGTTATAATAGCAAGACCCAAACAAAACAATCATTCGATGTCATAAACAGTCACCTAAACTTATAGATAATCATAAATAATCATCCGTATGATTTCGACTTCGAACTTAAGAGTCACAAAAATCTATTGGCAAGCTGAAGTGGTCCACCTCTAACATCTGATCTCCCCCTGTTACGTACTACATGCTTGGTCCAATAAAGAAACTTTGGTATAATTTTTTACAAAATTGATAAAAGATAAATGAAACATAAAACTGTTTTAAAAATCTATTATAAGTAGATCTTTTTAATATAAATTGTAAAATTTAGAAATCATATAACAAAATACACTATTTATAATATTTAGTTAATTAGTGCATGGTTTATTTTTCACTAAACACCAAATCTAATTAAATTTGTCTCATTTTTGACAAAATGACATACAAAGTTGTGTTTACTAATTAAATGTGTTAATTTTACAAGCACCCATTTAGAAGAACAAATACAAATCTTATTCAGTCACTCACGCGATGACGGGGAAGCCAATTTTTATGTCTTTCATGACTTTTTTTTTTTTTTTTTTCAGTTTGTCTGCAACTTTTTTTTTTGTGTTTGTCCAAATGCGAAGAACATATATCTACCAGACTACCACAATCAAATAAGATAAGAAAAAAGGTAGTAGGCCAATAAGTAAGCAAACAGCTATAGATTTATGAGGATTTTGTTTTTGATCTATTTCGATCACTGAATAGTAGTATGTTGTGTATTCAAAATTCAGTCGTAGCAACAATCACTATCATCATCATCATAATCACATGCAAAGATGTACTAGTCAAATCTTATCCAATGGCAAATAACTTCATCAAACTATTTATAGGGCTGTATTTTGATTCATATATTAGAATACAATTTTAAATATCTATATAAAACCAATATCTATTTATTAGTCGTATTTTCGTCCCAGCAGTACGGCCCCTAGTTTGAGAGCATAGGAAAAATCCTTTTTTAAGACCATTGTACTTACTGATTCAAGTATCTATCAACCATTGCTAAAAGTGGCTCAAGAACTGGACCCACTTAGTCTGACCCAGGTCACACTATTCACCACTTCGAGGCTCTAATTAAACTAGATATTTTTCCAACTTTTATAAAAACTTACATTTTATATATGTTCATTCTCCTTTTATATGTTCATAAAGATGAGCTAAGCCATGTGAACCAGATGGATGACGGGAGGGCCCAACAGCCCACAACTTTTGGGTTTTTTTAGTGATAGAGAGATATCGCAACTTACTGTTATTTTAGCATTCTTTTCCTTATCTTGAAGTTACATGGTTTAAGTTTATAACTACTATAAATAGAAACTTCTGCTCCTCCTTGTCTATCAAGTCACTTGCTTCTAATATTTTTACCACCTCCAATTAGAAAAAGTTGCATTGAAATAAAAAGAAGAAAGATGGGTTTAATGCGATCGATGCTTCCAAATGCAAAGCAAATTTTCAGATCACAATCTATGAGGAACAAAAATGGATCACCATCACCTTCATCGTCATCAACTTCAGGGCTTGTTCCGAAAGGTCACGTGGCTGTTTACGTGGGAGAAAGAATGGAGAAGAAAAGGTTTGTGGTTCCGATATCATACTTGAACCATCCTTTGTTCAGAGAGTTCCTTAATCGCGCAGAGGAAGAGTTTGGATTTCATCACCCGATGGGAGGCTTGACCATTCCTTGTCGAGAAGAAGCGTTTCTTCGCCTCATTACTTCTCACCAGCTGCATTAAGGAACCCATTGATTAAAATAGTCTTAAGGATTTCGATGAAGCTTTTTTTTTTCTCTCTCTTTCTCTGTAAGAGGAGCATTACAGGAAAGTTAGTTATATGTGTGTATATATAATATGACACTTGTTCAGAGCTTAAGTTGTATCTCGAAATAAGATTCAGATATTTGTTTTTCTTTTGAAGAAGGGTTTACAATTCAGATACTTGTGCTAATATTCATATTCAGACAATTAGAACCTTAAGATTTTAAGCTTTTAACTCTTACAGTAAAAAATGGCGAAAAGAAAAATAAAAAATTTAAGGCGGTTAACATGTTCGAAAGTATTTCAGTTTTATCCGACTTCAGTATAAATAAATTGTTTTATTTGCGACGGATATTATTACCTAACCGAATACGTGCTCTACTCTCTGTACTTTGAAAACATGTACGACTTTAGTGTTTGGAATTCCAAAATATTGAGCTTTTCGAAAATGATATATATTGCCTCTAATAGTATTGTTTAGAGTCTTTAGACTTTAGACAAACCTTACAATTAAAAAATGATTTTTTTTTTTTTCACATAATGGGAATCATCGGTGGTAGGATTGCATTTCGTTTTTTGTTTGAAATAACCAGCTCTGACTTGGATTAAAAATATAGTACCTCAAGAAAATATAGAAGACTTCTTCAAGGAGTTTAAAGTATTTAAAGGAATAGTGGATCACATGCACTCTGAAGAAACCAAAATGGGTTGTAAGTGATATATAACGAAGTCTCTACCCGTTAATAAATCAAAAGAAGGCATACTTTATTCAATAAGAAATATTTTTTATTGAAAATGATTGAAACGGTACTGCGCAATTTTATTTGATAGTGAAATTTATCATAATAAATGCTATAAATCATATCTAAATTATTGCATATATAGATTGATAAGCACATGTTACTCTCCGTTATTAGGAAGAGATCATTGTGATCATAATAATGCAAGTAAAACACGTGACCATCTATTGATTAACCGGAATTTCCTAAAATAAAATTTTACATTATTTTTTATATACATGCCATTTATAACCATTCTAGTTTCGAACTTTAGACTGTGACATTGTAGATAACAAATGCTGGTTTAAAATAAGTTCATATCTAAAAGAATACTCTTTTGGTATAGTTCTGTTGTTCTAACGGACTTTGTTGAACCCATAAACTAATATTATTTAGCTTTTAAGAGATACAACAACTTCTACCTAAATGTGTATCTTGAACTTGTTGATTCAACATTGTAAGAACCCAAAGAAACCATGCATGTTCAATGTTTCTCATTTTCACGACTAGTCCAAGCTTAGTATTACAAATTTAATAACAATGGTTATAGTATATATATAATAATAATAATAATAATTTTTGTATAGTCAAGTTTTATTGAAAACACAAAAGGGTCCTCTTAAGTGGGCTATAGAGGCAACACAAATAGACCAAAAGCCACCATTTTCAAGAGCCAACGAGAGACTTGGCAAAAATGTCTATTTTCATCAATAAAGACACTTGTTTCTGTTGTCTATTCAAGTTTCTGTTGTCAATTCATCATAACCAATAGGACCAAACCTGTTTCATGTAATGGCCAGAGATTTTAATACGTGACAGAGAGAGCATGTGAGTCTTGTAACTTTGGTGGGTCCCTATCTGATTATATTCTTAAGTCACCCAGAAAAATCAGAATCAGCTTGATGCTTTTCTAGGTAAACCCTAGTTTTTTTTTAATCAGATCCCATGTGAAACCCTGCAAACTCCTAATTTTTAAATACAATAAAAATCTGTTGTATCAACTTCGATATTTGATTCCTTTACCTATAAATAACAACTTAACTGAAATACAACTCCACCCAAAACATCAATCTTTCTCCACTTTCATAAAAAAACAGAGTATTCTTGTAGATTCTATAAAAATCTATAAAAATAGAGTATTCTTGCTTTAGACATGGCTATTCGATTGTCCCGTGTTATCAACTCTAAACAATCCCAAAAACAGCAATCTCGTGTCCCGAAAGGACATGTTGCGGTTTACGTAGGAGAAGAGATGGAGAACAAGAAGAGATTCGTAGTTCCGATTTCGTATCTGAACCATCCTTTGTTTCAGGGTCTGCTTAATCGAGCAGAGGAAGAGTTTGGTTTCAATCATCCAGTTGGTGGATTAACGATTCCTTGCAGAGAAGAAACATTCGTGGGTCTTTTGAATTCTTATGGTTGTATTGTTTCAACTTGAGACATCTTTTTTTGGGGAACCCCAAAGTTTTATTTTCTTCCTTTTTATAGATTTTTTTTTCGTTGTTCCCTTTGTTTATTTCTGCAAAGGAGAACATATTGAAACATCATGTAAATATTTTGTGTAACCACTCAAAATCAGGTTATACTATTTGTCTACTTCCAGTAAAACATTGATGAAAAACATTTTTTATGCTTTTAAAGAAGATCTTATTATATAACTTTATTCAGAAAATCCAAAGTATTTAACAAAAAACCAAATGTACATTAGCTTCATTGATAAATTCTACTAAAAAACAAGAATCACATGTTTTCCTAAATTTGTAATTCGCCGGGTTTAACCCCGATCAAATGACTCCATCATAAGAAAAAAGTAATGTATATCAGCATTTATTTCTAGTCCATTAACTATGACTTAGTCGAATTATATAAACTATTCCACTTATTGCCAATTTCACTATCGAATGTGAACCCTACAGACCTTTTTATTCCTTATTGAATTATTGGATTGTTATTGTAAGGGCGACTTAGAGAAATTGCAACAGAAACTTCTGCACTAGCTAAGACTAAGACCTTAAGAATTTCAATATCACTTTAATACTCTAATTCATGTAGTTCGGTGGCAATAAAATTATAATAGTCTACAAAACCAATTTTTTTTATTTACAAAGAAAACACTCAATCTTTTTTTAATGAGGTATTAGATAAAACGGTACAAACCAATTGAATCTCTTCACCTCACCTTTTTTTATTTTATTTCCTGATTGTGATGCATTAACGTATGTATCATGTCAATGTCATTTAGAGGTACTGTATGTGATTTGCAAATATTTTCAGTTTGAGTGTACATAGTAGAAAAGATCATGGCAATTATATCGAGTACGTTAAAGAGAATGACATTTCAACAAAGAGATCACAACAGCCATTTTAGAACATCTTGTAAATTTACAAGACTCGGATCAAATCAAGACAACAACCATGTGTATTGTGTAATATTCATGATCTTGTATATTTTTTCAGGAAACAAACTCGTATAATTTTTTTCTAATAATTTTATAATTTCATCGTTGAACATATGTATACTAGATATTTAGGTCCACAGAAAACTATATAGGAAAACTGCCAAAGAGCAATATAAGAAATCTGAATTTTGTTTTAAAGTTGTTTTCTAAAGATAACAAATGTGGAGTCACCAACTAGAAAATCAAGAATGATTCCATAAAGCATCCATATGATTGGGTGATTCGGTGCGACTCAGAAAACCAAAGATCGAAATGTAATTGAATTGTTAATTGCAGTTTCAAGAAATTAAAGGTATCTGCGGCGGTAATGATTTGCTACTTAGAAAATTCGCATCTTACAGACGAAAATCAATCCAATGATTAACCAAATTGAGCATTTTTTTCTGTATTTAAATCTGAAATATCAAATTGGTTACATTTATCCTGTATTTTTGCTTCATGTTCATTGTTATTTCGTCCAATGTGACAAGTTGCTCACTATCTTCTTCAATAATTCTTTGTCCACTTGTTTTTATCTCTTGAAAGCACACACTTCTATGTTGAAGAGAAGCGTTATATTTTTTCATAAGTTTATTCAGAAAAGAGTATCATAATATGATATCTTTGATTTTTCAACGCAGTTTTATTATTAATAGAAGGAAGAATAGAGAACTTTTTGTTGAATGAGTTATAAAGCCATGTGACAACTGACAAGATGAGAAAAGTCAAAAACTTAAATGATAAATATCCATTAAATGCTCTTAAAGAATTGAAAAGCTAAAAATCGTTATTTATAAGATTTTTTTTGATTATTATAAATACAGGCAATAACATCATCACCTTTCTTCATCTCAAGCATTGTGGTGAAAAAGAAAAAAAAATACTTTCATTGAGAAAATTCGTTTATTCATCTTTGGCCCTAAAGCAAAGAGAATATGGGTTTGAGCCGTTTTGCGATTTCAAATGCAACAAAGCAGATATTGAAGCTAAACTCATTTGCAAACAGAAACCGAACATCATCATCGGATCATGTCCCTAAAGGGCATGTGGCAGTGTATGTTGGAGAACAGCTTGAGAAGGAGAAGAAAAGGTTCGTGGTTCCAATTTCGTTTCTGAATGATCCTTCCTTCGGAGAGTTCCTTAGTCGAGCAGAGGAAGAGTTTGGATTTAATCATCCAATGGGAGGCTTGACCATTCCTTGTAGAGAAGATGTGTTTCTTGATCTCATCGCATCTCGGTTACAATAATGTTAAGAAGAAAAGCTTATTGCGTTTTAGAGGAATTGTATTTATAGAGATCTTGATAATTTGTTCAAGATTGAGGATGTATGTACATTTTCGTTATCTTTTTCCCATGTTTTTTTTGTTAATCATGGCGAATCAGAAGAATTAATATAAATGCTATGTGTCTTAAGTAATATCTTTAAGATTATATTCATATTATACATTTATATTGATTTTTTTTTGTAAGCATCCAAACCAATAAGATGAATGTTCTCGTTGCTGCCTAGCTAAACAGAACAACTAGAAGTTTAAGAATCCGTGTATCAAAATAGTATATTCGAGTATTTATCGATGTTTCAACTTTGAAGTGGTTTATTTATGAAGACTTGAAGACTTATAATTCTTTTTAGTGAGCTGGTACGTAGCAATGAAAAAAGGAACTACAAGTTTTTATATTAATTAATAGTACTTTTTTCAAATCTTAGTTATATTTCATCAATAATTCAATACAAAAGAGCTGGCGTCGATGACTTAATTATTGTACTATTATAAGAATAGTTTCGAAGGAAAGGAGATGGACTAAAGCCTAATTTTATAAACATTTTTTGAAGTTTGCAACTTAGCACTAAGTCCTTATGTTCATAAGTAGAAGTTTTTTTCAATTATGTTTACACATTAAGTTAAATTCTGTTAAACCGTGGATCAATATCAAGAACTGTTTAACTTAATATATTTTTCGATTATCTATGATCAAATTGCGAAAAGAAAAATGCTAGTAACCAGGGACATTTTGTTTTTTTTTAGCATTAACAACTGCAATATTAGAATATGGGTCCGATTCAAAATAAGTTTCTGTAAGTAAATTTTGAATAAGAAGCCACTCATCAAATATGTAGTTAATAAAAATTGACAGATGTCTTTCAAATAATTTGCTTGTTTTAGTAGCAACTCTATCGCAAATTACAACTATCTGTGCCTAATTTGTAACAAATATCATCGTCAAAACTTCGTAGCAAATATGTTGTAAATGAGACAATGAATTAATTTCAATGTAAATTTAGCTACGTAACAGGACTGCTGTAGCGATGTATTTTTTTTTTTTTTTGAATAAGGGCTTAACTGTAGCGATGTATTTCCCATTTCAATCGAATTTTGGAATTTTATAAATATTTGGGGGAGTTCTTTATTTGCCATTTTCTCGGTATTATATATGAAGAAACCTTGGTAAAAAAATGTACTAAATGCAAAATAAACAAATTACTCGAATATTAAGAATCCAATGAAACCGCATATAAAATATATTTAAAAGTTCTGCTCCTGTAAGTGTATAAACTACTCTTCTTTCCTGAAGCCTGAGTCCTCCTGAACCAATAGAGTAGTTATATATTTTTCTGTACGCAAATGCTTATATCATCTATAAATAATTGGACCTGAATTATCATGTGGTCACGTAATAGCCTTCACATGCCCATTCTTTCATTCACAAAAAAAAAAAATCCGCTGCAAAACATTAGAAATGACATAATTATTGAACATGTCCATTCTTTTATTATACAATAAAATCCGCTGCAAAAAAAAAAACATAGGAAATGGCATCATGAAATAACTATAATAGCTTTATTCTCCTTCTCATGTTCTTATAAGCATATTTCAAAAGCGTCGCCAATTATTGGAGAGGTACTCTATAAGAAAGAAAGAAAGAAAAAATTATGATTCCAAAGCCATTTCCATATTTACTGCTGTCAAAAGTAGAAGAAGAAGAAGATGTTCAACAGGTCACCATTAGAATAAATGGACCGTGCAAGTCATTTTTTTTTTGTTCAACCGTTTCTCATTAAAATACTTAGCCCATCGGGCTTAAAAAAGCCCATAGTGCAAGTCAATCTAATATGTTCCTCACATAAACACGCATGATATAGCCTTTGATTGATCCTTTGAATAGAATTGTGCATAATTATTTGGTTATCTGATAAAGTGAGATAAGCAAGTTTCTGAAATCCTTAAAAGAATCATTTACCATTTATATATATGATGAATAAATACAAACTTATAGATATACATATACCAACTGCTTTTAGTTACCATGCAATTAACATTTCCTGTCACTATGCAACATCCTCATGTGGACTGCAAGAACTAACAGATTATGCAGAAAAAGCAACGAAGCAAAACTTGAATGTTCGTTCACCTTCTGCTGCGAGATGCTTCAGGAATGTGATGTGACATGTACTGAGTATGAAGTTGCGTGGGGAAAAAAAAACTCTCATAGGTTAAGGATCAAAAAGGGAGACGGTTTCTCAATTCTCAATCAAGTGACAGGTTCCCTAGTCGAATGCTGCGTTGCTGGCGAGAAATCTGGTTTCCTAGTGGTACTTGTGATGATCTTAGATCTCCTGGTTTTGTAGAGAAGGGAGAATCCAGCTTTGGTTGAAACCAGTTCTTCAAAGAAACACCATTGATTCTTACTTTTGAGTCCTTCCTATGATAAGGTATCCCCAACCTTCTCAACAATGCATATATCTCTTGTCCCACCCTGTCAACAATAGGAAGAATATCACTTTAGATAGCAATAAACATCATTCACTGCATAATTAAAAATGAAATAATAAGATACTCTCAGTTCACCTTCCTGCAAGGTCAATTGTTTTCTGTCCTTCAGGAGTCTTCATTTCCTTCTCTTCCATGGAAATGATCAAATTTATGTGAGGTATCTTCGCACCTGAAACATATACATGGGCCTAGAAAGTAAGAGATTTTACTGACCTCAAAGCCAATGAAAAAATTTAATCAACCAGTTAGATCTTCACAACTAACCATAACCCTTTGTTTAACTAGATACACTCAACTGTTGCCCTCTGAAAGTATATCTTAAAACCTTAGTGTTTTGAAAGTATGTATTATATCCTAACGCTTATTAGATGATTTGGTAGTGGAACAATGAAAGTAAATTAAAGAAGATTAATGTTGAATTAGTTATCAAGAAATGATTTGAAAACAGATTATCTCACCAGCTGCAAGGCGATGCTTAAGACCTTTAAAGATGGTTAACAGGTAAACCTGCCAAATTTTTATGACATAGTTAGATAAGTGAGAATTCCAAAGTGCTAAAACAGTGAGATATTGATTTTTTTTTTTTTTTTTTTCTTTCTATTTCAAACACAGTTGAAATGCGATATAAACAATCGTGATCACTAGAAACATCGTGAAGGAAGATAATTGGAAACCAGATGGTAATTCTTGTAAAGACATGTAAATGTAATTCCACTTCAAAAAGGATTTACCTCAGCCACGTTTTTGGGCAATTCTGTTGTGTCAAAAAATAGGGGAACTTTAGTGAAGGACACAGAAGGAAGAACTCCAAGAGAAGTAGCCTCCTGCAAATTATGAAAAATATAAACTCCGGAGACATAGTGAGACCTAGAAGAATCTATATCTGAATGAAGCTACCCACATACCTCAAGTAGTGAAAATGCACGAGGATCATACTCTCCAAATCCATCGACTAGTGGGAATATGTTATCTTGTTTTTGTGAAGAAATGTTGCCTAAATTCGAAATCAGCCTATCCCGCAAAGCAGCATCATTTGGAAGTTGCAAGCATCCCAAAACTTGCGAAACTACCTCTGTAGTAGGAACCGTGCCACCTGAAATTGTCTCGCGGTAAACCATCAAGGCCATTGATGTCCTGACAGAAAAAAAAAGAAACTTATCAATATTAAGATGGAATTAGTTTGTCTTTATTTAAGAAGAGAGATAGAGAGCAACTCAACCATCAGATCAAATACAACAAATTTACTGAAACCTCAATCAAGATTCCTTTTAAAATACAACATTAAGAAGGAGAGTGACTGACTTAAGACTTGAAAAAGGAAGCTGTACTGACCATTTATTTTCAATTTGAGGTCTCCCTGATTTGAAAGACACAACAGGTTCACCAGCAGCGCAAGCCTTCTCGAACCTTCGCTTGCACAGGCCTATATAGGATACCAAAAAAAAGAAGAAGAAGAAACATAAGTGCTACAATAAAAAAACAAAGCTTTCATGTCCGATTGCATCATAGGGTCGCGTGACACATCTAAAGAACAATGTCATTCTGCAGGCCTTAAAGAATGAGGAATCACGGAGCTTACTGGTTATGCATCTGCACATGATGAAGTTTGGTGAGATTCCATCTTCTTTTGCTCGAGAAAGAAGCTCGGAACTTACCTCAAAGTCATCCTTTCTACACAGAGAGAAGACAGAAAATAATGAATTCAAATCTGCACTGACTACTTACTAAACAAGCCTAACTAATTTAACTTAAGAGAAGTTACCTTTCACTTGCCAGCATAAGCATAGAGTAAGTGATAGTGTTTGGTGTTAATCCCAGAGTCTTGATCTCATCAAGATATTCCATAGCCTTCGGTAGTTGACCACCTTCACCTGTTGATAATCTAAGGAGTCATGCCAGTAATACCATATTGCATTAAGACATTGATGGAAATGTATGAGGTCTTACACAAGGCAGTTATGAGGGCATTCATTGTTGAAACAGTTGGTCTAAGTCTGATTGACTTGATCTTTTCATAGAGCTCCAGTGCTTTCTTCCAATTTTTCGCCTAAATACCAAGAAAAGGAACATCAGTAGTTTCTCAACAAAACTCTTGCTACAGCTATAGAAAGGCACATACATTACAACAAGCTCCCATCAGTGAGCTATATGATACAGTTCCCAGGCGTATTCCTTGAGATTTCGCATCCTGAAGAATGCCAAAAGCTTCGTCTAACATTTTTGCATGTCCTGCAACATCGATCAATGCACTAAAAAACACCTGCACACGGTCAAAACCATGATTGCATATATAAGCAAGATGGCGTTAGAAGCACTTCAAATAATGACGTAGAATTTCAAAACATACATACCTCGTCAGGGTTTACACCTTTCTCTTTCATGTCATTATATATGCCACATGCAAAATCCCAGTCCCCAGACTTGCTGCAACTATTCACAGCAATGGTATAGACTTCTGGAGTACCCCTTATTCCATATTTACGGATCATCTTGTATACTTCTTTAGCTCGTTCGACCTGCAACAATCTTATTCTCAATCAGATAGAAAGAGAAAAAAAAGCAGAAAAAGGAACAGAAACAAAAAGCCACACACCTGACCAGCATTAAAACATGCCTTCATCAACGCACCAATCGTGATATGATCAGGGTCTATAGGGTGCGTCTCAGCCTTCATTTCAGCTAACACATCAAATGCACGGTCCACAGCTCCTGATTGACCACATGCAGAGATGAGGGCGTTGAATACAACCCGGTCTGGCTTAACATTCTACTGCATCGAACATGTTATCAATGTAATAACAGCCTTGAGGATCATATTTAGTAGCCATGAAGCAGGAGGATCATATTCCATGGGAGTGAATACAAACTTGTGGCAGGCTTACCTTAGACCTTAAAATTCCATAAGCACCAAAAGCCTTGGCTACTTGTCCAGCTCTAGCACAACCATCAATAAGTGCACCAAACGTGTGGAGATTAGGTTCCACTCCAGAACTTGTCATCTGGTGGAACACCTGAGAATATAACCACACCGAGATATAAAGACGTGCACAGTACATGACACAGTTTAGGATGCTATCAGGTCATACGGTATGATATTATGATTAGTATCCAATATCCAAGACATTATCACCAACATGAGATGGAGAATGAATTATAATTTCAAATTATTAACTTACATACGAAAAAAATAGTACATTCAGGAAAATGAAGATTACTATACCTCAAACATTGAATCAACTTTCCCGCTTTTAGCGCAACTTGATATTAAAGTTGTGTAAAGTTTGCAGTCAGCCATCATACCGTTCTCTTGCACCAGATGCAAAACTCTCCGAGCTCCTACATCATAAGTAACAATTTAACATCTAAAAAGCATGACAATTAACAATACCAAGAATATGGATATTAGTATCACCTTCTATGTCCTGGGAGCTTGCACAGACAGACATTAACATATTGAATGTGCTCATGGTTGGATTTGGAATCAACTTGGTAAAGCGAAATGCTTCCTTGACAGCCCTTTGTTTCTTGCAGATTTTATAGAAGCTTGCGTGATAAATCTGATGTGAAGATGTAGGTAAAGTTCCATTATTCATTGAGAAGTAATACTAAGATCTCATCCATATTGCTCAAAAAAGCAGCCATACCTTGTCCATGTCCAATAAATCCCTTTTCTCCAAATCTTCAAGTAAGCTTATGCAATCTTTTAGCCTAACATATATATAGATATTACACCCTCAAGTCAAACAATCCAGTAACTTTTCTTTGGTACTAAAATTTCCCAATGACAAACAGAGGAAAAACAGGACATCCACAAGATAGAGCACTGTTTTTTTTTCAAACTAGAGAATATTTATTACCTCCCATCTCTAAGTAAACGGTGGTAAGCATCACTAGTTTTTGGAGAACGCCCATTACTACTAAGCAGCTGAGCGGGGAACTGAGGCACGCGTTCATCGGTTTGGTGAACCACATGATTCCCGTCATCTCGAAATTTCCAGTCTCTTATTACATCTTTACTTTTGTGTGATAAACCGCCGTTACCGTTTGCCACAAGTTTTTCTTCCTCAACGTAACCTGCAACGGGAAAAGCAACGTTAAAGCATCGTCGTAATGGTTTGGCACTGCAAGTACCACATTGTAAACGTACCAGTAGCCTGACCAGAACCTTGTCCTGAGAAGTGAGTATCAATTATTCCATTGTTCTTGTGGCCCAACAATAAAGTATCAGTTGCAGAGGAAGTAACAGTAGGAGATACTGCTTTAAGACTTGTCAACCTCGATGAATGATTAGACCCATAGAATGTGTGAATCTCTTCTCTCTTCGTCTCCGTGAAAATGCTGTACTCAATAGGCTTCTGGATCAAACCACTATACTCATGCTCTAGAACACGTGCATCATCATCTACCACGTGTGGAGAAGCAATCGAATGAATTCCCACCACTGCCTGTGAAAAATCATAGTCCATAACCTTTTGCTCTTCCCTGTTTTCAACCTGTTTCACAGGTGTTTTCGCTTCCAATGTAGGTGAACCCAAGGCAACAGACCCGTTACTTACAGAGGATGCAAGTGGTTCATCTATAAAGCTATGTTCATCCGCAATCGTGCTGACACTGACAACAGCCATCTCCGTTTGTTTGGCCGAAAATGAATCGTGCTCCATCACAGCAGTTTCCTGGATTTGATGAGCCTCCCTCTTTCTGAGACCTCCATTTATTTCCATATGAACATCTCCACCATCTAAATGTTGACTTTCCCGCCGATTCTCAGTACTGATTTTTTCATCATGAAGCGTTGCAGGAGATGCTACAACCTGGAGTCAGAAATCAATCGAATTTCATTAAAAAAAAAAAAAAAAAAAACTCGAATTGTTTTGGATTCTATAATATTTTGTCCACTACACATAATGTCAGCAACTAACAATAATAGCTTCGCGAATTTTGTACTCAGTAAGTAGAGAAAACGGAAAAAAAAATCTCGGGGCGGTTCTACAAATTGGCTGTAACAAGAAGAATAAGGGACTCGGAATTTCACTCACCTCGTCGGAATTTTTCCGTTTTCTGAAAGTATGTTGGCAGTAAGCGAAAGCAATGGCGGAAAAGGCGGTAACAGCCACAACAACAAGGATCAGACCAGAGTCGATAGAAGCTCTGACGACTAACCGAGGCGATCGGATTGAGGAACGACCAGATTTCCGTTTCTCGGCGCGCGTTCGAAGATGAGGAGGACGGAGACTGTGGCAGCTGCCGAGGAAATCAGTGCGGATGGAGCGGAGACTAGAAGCCGGAAGAATCACCGGAGAGTAGGAAGTTAAGGTAAGATATTTCGACGATCTGGTGGAGATGAAGGTGGAGGTAGTAACCTCCATTGGAGAGGCGAGAGAAAGAGAGTGAGACGATGAGGATAAAGCAGAAGAGGAGAGTGAGGATATGAAATAACGAACGGCTCGCTTTGGATTGTGGAACCGTTGCTGACGTGGCATAAACGGCCGTCAAGTCGTCAACGTTGTTCTTTTCAATTATTTATTCTTTTTCGGTCCGGGTCCGGATCCGGATAGAGTTCGGGTCGGAGCCGGTTTCTTTTCCCCATTTTTCTTATGCACGTTTCTTCTAATTTCAGAGGGAAATCTAGAAATTTGATATTGACGAATCGCCATGGCTGCTCACGACGACGGATTCTCAGACGCTGCTATGGAAAATCTTATGGGTCAAGTAGAGAAACGGCCGATTTCTACCGTCGTCTTCATCGTCGGTACTGTTTTGTTTCTCCTTCTCTCCTCCGTTGATGTTTCTCCGATTGTGAATTTTTTTTGTTTTCTTCTAATTCCAATGGCTGTGTATTCGTAGCTATGCAAAAGGAAGCTCAGCCTCTGATCGACAGACTCAGACTCGTTAAAGACGTTAATCCGCCGTGAGTTCCTTTTTTGATTTGATTCGAAATCAAATGTGATTGCAAAAATTCATTTATTACAAAAAAAAGTTTGAATTTTTGTAGGTTTCCAAAAGAGGTGACGTGGGTTCTGTTCAATGGAATGTATAAAGACTTGAACATCAATATAGTGTGTCCAGGAAAAGATGCAACTCTTGGTATGTATCAAATCATTGTTTCAGGACGTTTGTGGAGTTGTTGTTTCTATGACTCACTGTTACAAGATCTCTTAAATGTCTTGGGGTCAATTCTTTTCAAGGGGTCGATAGTGTATGCACGATTCCTGCATCTCTCGTGACTTATGCTTCAATTCAAGCAATTAAGCCAGACTTAATCATTAATGCAGGAACTGCTGGTGGGTTTAAGGTATATAGACATTACAAAATTGATTTCTCTGCATAGTCGTCTCGTTGCCTCATATGTTTCAGAAAGAACAAAACACCATCCTCGTTTTAATTTGAATGTATTTTCAGGCCAAAGGAGCAAGTATTGGTGATGTTTATATTGTCTCCTGTGCTGCTTTCCATGACAGAAGAATACCTGTTCCTGTGAGTGATCTTATGTAAAATAGTTGCTTTCTCATTCAGAATGTTTCTTCTTTCCCTGAGCTATTTCTCTGTTTTCTCTTCAGGTTCTTGATTTATATGGTGTTGGTATGCGGAAAGCCTTCCCTACACCCAACCTTATAAAGGAGCTGAACCTAAAGGTGTATACTTTTATTAGTTGCTCTGAGTTCACCATTTGATCACCAAGTGCCATAAGTTTGATACATTTACGGTTTGGTTGTAATGTTACAGGTAGGAAGATTATCCACTGGTGATTCTATGGATATGTCACCACATGACAAAGAATCCATCACAGCGAATGATGCTACAGTTAAAGACATGGAGGTGAACGTTTCTTGTAATCGATGAACTTGCCTCCAATCTATGTGTTTGTCTTTGTGTCTTAGTCAGTTGCTACTGCTTATTATGAGTATTACCGCATCACAGGGAGCAGCAGTGGCCTACGTGGCTGATATTTTTAAGGTTCCTACGATTTTAATGAAAGGAGTAACTGATATTGTGGATGGAAATAGACCAACTTCGGAGGAATTTCTGGAGAACTTGGCTGCAGTCACTGCTAAACTTGATGAGGCAGTTACCAAAGTGATTGACTTCATCAGTGGGAAGTGTCTCTCAGACCTCTGATAAGGTTCACGTATGTGCTTTGGGCGAAGGAGGGATATAAAGATTCAAGCAAAGGATTTGGCAATTAGCTTGGAGTAGAAAATTCATTTTAACTCCACTTTTCCTCGTTTGTTGTTCTCTTATTTCGTTATCTTACATATGATGATGGATTATCATATATTGTACGCAGAAGCTCAGCAAATTTTGATACCCAACAACATAAATGAGAAGTTTATGTTCTGACTTATTTGATGTGAGGAAAAAAAAAAAACAATCTCATAAGACTGACATTGATGTTCTTGTTAATCATTCTTGAGAAACCAAGAAGCTTTAATTAGTTTCTTTGTTCATTCTTCCAAGTGTAGATTTTTTTTTACAGAATAACTATAACTATAGAACACACCCTTGTGTTGGGTAGGAACAAAAATATCTTTAATATCATTTAGGCCCAAAGACAATGATGTATCAAGAGAAAATTCTCAGAAGAAAGCGAGTTTGGGTTTGAAAAGAACAAATGCAATAATCATGAAGCTTCTGAATCTCACACCTAATCTTCACCAAATACTAACTAGACAGAAACACCGCACAAGATGCAGCTGCTAAACTGCAAAGCTGCAGTCTATATATTCGCCTTCACGATGACCTTTGTTCAACAGACCCAACATTGAGTCTTTGACAAGAGAAAAGAGGCAGAAATGGGAAGCATCGATGCTGCAGGGTTGGGTGCAGAAAAGAAACCAAATCCAGGGAAAGCGACAATTCTTGCTCTTGGTAAAGCCTTTCCTCACCAGCTTGTGATGCAAGAGTACTTAGTCGATGGCTACTTCAAAACCACCAATTGTGATGACCCTGAACTCAAACAGAAGCTTACACGTCTCTGTAATGTCTTTACCTTAAACCTTGTTTTTCTTTCAACTTTTACTCTATCTGATTTTGTAAGCTTCTGAGGACTGAGAGGTTGTTTGACTGTTTGAATTATTATACAGGCAAGACAACGACGGTGAAGACGAGGTATGTTGTGATGTCGGAGGAGATACTCAGGAAATATCCAGAACTAGCCATTGAAGGAGGATCTACGGTGAAGCAGCGACTCGACATCTGCAACGACGCTGTAACCGAAATGGCAGTGGAAGCTTCCAGAGCCTGCATCAAGAACTGGGGCCGTTCTATTTCCGACATAACTCACGTTGTCTATGTCTCCTCGAGCGAAGCTCGTCTTCCGGGTGGTGACTTGTTCTTGGCCAAAGGGCTTGGTCTCAGCCCCGAGACACACCGTGTTCTGCTCTACTTCGTCGGTTGTTCCGGTGGCGTTGCGGGGCTACGTGTAGCCAAAGATATAGCCGAGAACAATCCGGGAAGTAGAGTGTTGCTTGCCACGTCAGAGACGACCATCATTGGTTTCAAACCGCCAAGTGCAGATAGACCGTATGATCTTGTTGGTGTGGCACTGTTTGGTGATGGAGCCGGCGCTATGATCATCGGATCCGATCCAGACCCGATCAGTGAGAAGCCTCTCTTTGAGCTTCACACTGCAATCCAGAATTTCTTGCCTGGTAAAAAACACAAACAGTTTTGCATCCAACTATAACCTATAACTTAGACTATATTTTGGATAAACTTGGACTGCATTTTCATGGTGCAGACACGGAGAAGACGATAGATGGGAGGCTAACGGAAAATGGGATAAACTTCACGCTGTCGAGAGAGCTTCCACAGATAATAGAAGACAACGTGGAGGATTTCTGCAAGAAGCTAATAGGAAAAGCGGGACTGGCTCAAAAGGACTATAACCAAATGTTCTGGGCGGTTCATCCAGGTGGACCGGCCATCTTGAACCGAATGGAGAAGCGGCTGAACCTGTCGCCTGAGAAGCTGAGTCCAAGCAGAAGAGCTCTCATGGACTATGGCAACGCAAGTAGCAATTCGATCGTTTATGTGTTGGAGTATATGTTGGAGGAGAGCAAGAAGGCGAGGAACTTGAACGAAGGTGAAAACGAGTGGGGTTTGATTCTAGCTTTTGGACCTGGTGTTACATTTGAAGGCATCGTTGCTCGAAACCTTGATGTTTAAACATAAAGTGAAGAGTAATGTGGAGGGGGTTTTGATTATTATACCTTGAAGCTCAAGAAAGAACCCCTTCCTTCTACTACTCTTATAGCCATCTCAACAGAAAACAGAGAGAGAGAGAGAGAGATGCATATAATAAGATATGATGCTAAATGAGATGAACTCTTTTTACGATGCTTAAATCTCTCATAGTCTGAAAATATTTCACAAAGCAAACAGCTTAAAATGTTTGACAATCGAATATAGAGTCGTTGTTATCAGTATAAAAACCAGGAATCATGAAGTTTCTTCTTAGCTCATTCTATCTCTTACGTTACATTTGACGAAGATGGTCGATCAAACTTCAACAAGTCCAGGAGTTGGATCTTCTCATAACGGGTTTCATTTGTTTATCTTCCTCAAGAGAAACCATACCGACATGTGACGGATCTTCCAGCATCATCTTGGCTACTAAGTACCCAGCGATAGACCAAGTCTGGCATTTACGCGCCTGTTTCCCCACGTATCTCCCAAGCTTTCCATCATAGTATTCAGGCCAATGGTCCTTATGAAGCCTCGCTTCTGCTACTTCAATCGCTCGTCTTGCTATTTGAGGTCGGCCAGTTTTGATACAAGCAGCCGTCAGTAGCCATAGCAGCACTGTTACCAAGTGTACATTACATCAACAAATGTCAGATTAGGTTTTGCATTTAGTAGAAGCAGAGCAACACTGATTAGTAAATTTACCTGGCCAGGATCCTCCATTGTGGTAGCTCCATCGAGTGTTTTTGGGGTCACAACCAGTTACTATTGTCCATTCATGGTTTTCTATTGCGGGATAGCAAACTTTCAGTGGCATTTCTCCAACCAACTCTTCCCAGCGAGACTCTATCAGATCCATAATTGCGGTTGCCTGCTCTGGAGTGGCCAAGGAAGACAATATTGCTATACAATTTCCCAAGGCAAACCAACGGAAATCCATTCTTGCCGGGCTCACATTGCCGATGAAAAACCCTCCGTGAGACGGCATAAAGTCGAAAATCCATTCGGGAAGAGAATCAGGGATTACGTTGAACTTGTTGACAGCGGTGTGGGAGTACTCCTCTGTCTTATATCGGTAAATGTCATTCAGCTGCTTCAAGTCTAGCCAAAAGTAGCTCCTCATGTGGTAGCTCAATGCATGAAGTCGCTTCACTATCTGTTCCACCATTTCTTTACCCTCTCCGTCATGTTTTAGTAGGAGCAAGGCACACCTTAAGGCCATAAAGAAGAGGGCTTGAATCTCTATCGGGTATCCATAAACTCCCTACAACACAGAGAAAAACACAAGATTAGAGAAACTGAAAATTGATGAAACAGCTGTAACTCAAACTATAGAAAGAACCACTCGATATGATTAGTAAAGAAAATTTGCTCACCATCCTACGATCAATCATACAGCAACCATCAGCGCATAAGAGAGTGGGAAAGGTATCAAATCCTTCAGATAGACACAGGCTTAGTATCAGCCGAATACCCTTCTGGCATTCAGGCATGTCAGCAAGAGAAGAGTCTCCCGTAGATTTTGTGTAGGCTCTGAGCAGTATGATCCACCAGAATCCAGAATCAACTGGCGCTACTCTTCCAATCGCGCTCTCACCAAAATCAGCTATCAGTGTTTCGTGGTTTCTCACAGGATCATGGAAAACTTTGAAGCTAGCAGGCATAACTCCCTCACCAAGCTGGAATCTATCAATCTTTTTCTCCCATGATTGAAGACGAAGAGTCTTCAAAAGGAAGTTTTTGACTATCTCTGGCTCCCCATTCATCAGGAAGGCTAAAGCACTTGGTACAAAGTCTCTCACAAACACCTAAGATACCAGATTAACCAACAGATGTTTCAATAGAACATGACAGCAAAATGTGGTCTTAGCCAGAAGTTTTCAGCAAAAAATATTCAAGATTCTTTACCTGATCATAGTTGAGTTTTTCTTCAGAACTATCCACCGCAGCAATTGTCCCAACAGGTTGTCCACGGAAGTATACCATAGAGCGCCTCAAAGCATCCCAGGCTTCGCCCACCATTGGATGAGACTCGAATCCATGCATTGACCTAGGAGTATTGAATCCAGACCTCCTCCCCACGCTCGGTGAAATCACATATTCCGCGTGATCATGGGCCCGAGAAGCATTATCCGCATTTCTGAGTTGTGGTGAACCAGATAATTCAGTAAGAGACCTTTCGTCAAGTGATCTCAGTCTTTCTATGTTCAAGGGCCTTGGCTTCTCTAGCAACTTTGAGAAGTCAATGTCATCAATATCGTCCACTGTAGATGAAGAATCAACATTCTTGACATCCCCGTTCTGATGTACATCCACATTCAGATTAAAAGTCGACATTGCTCCAGACTGTATCAAATGCTAACCAACAGTCCAATGATCATGCCCTGCATTTTCAAAATCGATCAGATTCGTTTGGTCACAATAAGGTACAGTAAATAGCAACTTTTTTCTAAAATTCACACAGAAATTTGGGGGAAACAACGCACGACAATGGCATGATCAAACGTGTAACAGGTTATAGACATGCTGGATTCGTTATCATCAGTTGAAACGCAAACTTCTCATTTTGATTCAGATCATATATATATTTCTCAGAAATCGTCGAAACACCAGAAGAATCCCAAAGAAACGTAATCAATCAAGCAGTTCTGTGGAAACTGTTCTCTGTAAAACTTAACAAACGGAGTAAACCCCGATCAATCAGAACGCAGACAACAGAGAAGCTTCACGAATAACAGCAACGTCGAGCAGAAATCAAACGGTATAAACATCGAGCCGTCGGATTTTCATGTGATTTCAAAGAACAAGAATAGAAACCAGAGAGATTTCGACTCGGTTTTAACGATAACCACGCACAGAAACAGATCGAAATCAAAACTCTCATCAAAACCTAAAGATCCGGAAAAACCTAAGAAATGAAACACTTCATCAACCGTAAATATCGTTCCTAACCACAGCAGGACGTAGACAGATGACGAACCTTATAATCCAGCGTCAGACGAAGAAGACGGCGAAGAAACGAACGAGCTTAGCTCTCTTCTCTGCGCCTCTGAGAATCGTCTCTTCTCTCTCTGATCCCGCAATGGAAGAGAAGCGGAGAGTACTATCACTGGTCGAACAAGTTATTAAACGAGGTGAGAGCCGAAACGGCCAAAGGTATTAGACGTATCCGCCACTCAGCTAAGGAGGATGTGGGTCCACGTGTACGGACAGGATGTGACTGTGACGGAAAGATCGAGACGAGTACAGTGACTCTAGCGATCGATCGGGAGGGTGAAAAGGTAACCCCTTCAAGCCATGCATATGATATGATTGCACGGAGGTTGTTGCTTTTTTGAGTTCCACCAGCATTAATTTATACACATTTTTATTTATTTAGCAAATATATTTATTTTCTATGTATAATAAGTTAATTATGAGTGACGTGAGAGAGTATCTTTGCAGTTTCGCAGTGAGTAAGATGTTTGGTTGTCCACGTGTACGGTGGCAGCGGATCTCGTGCCCTGCGCAGTCAGCTGACTAATTGTTGGTTTCTGAATATTTTAATTTTTTAAACTTATTTAAATTTTCAATTTCAACCATAAATATATAAGAGAATCATTATTGTTGTTGTTGATGATGAAAAAAAGGGATCCTACAGTTTTCAACGTTGGAGAACGAATATTACTAGATTAGAAATAAACAATTAAGATTATCTATTGGACAGCTTCAAAAGTTTCTCTTGCCAATGCTTTGATTTGATATAACTTTTGGACTTTAGGGACATAATTGTTTAGATTATTCTAGACAATAATATGATATAAGTTGCAAAGAGTCACTACCACAGAGATACTAGATTATGATGTTAAATTGTCGGGGAGTGATATTAAAAAGGGTTTGTTGCAATCGTAGACCATAGTTTTAGGAGTCGTTGTGTCTTGAAAACATTTGATGAAGAATTGATGATGTTCGTAGTTTTCTTCGGTTTGGAATCAGATAACGATGTCACTGCAAAATCATCAAATCAATTTGGTAAACCTAACAAAGTAAAAGTGAAACCTAGTAATCCCACCAAAAGACTCATTAATACAACTTCAATCAATATCTTTTTCCATTTTTTTGGTCTCCTACATTCGTATTTTCAAAGACTATGTGAGTGACATAATAGCGGAACAAGCGATGTGAAATAGCTTGATTGAAGGCTGAATACGCAAGAAAATATATTTGGTTGGTACGGAACAAACTGTATATTTTTAACGAGAAAACGGTGTAGTTTCGAAATATATGCACCGTGTTATACATTTCGTTAACTTCGAGAGTTGTAATCGCAAGGTCATTTCGTTTTTAGTGTTTGTAATACGAGTTGTATGTAATCGCAGGGTCAGATCCATATAATTCTCAAAGAAAGAAAAGGAAGTACAGTATATGATTAATAAAACAGATATCGGGCTTCTGCTTTTGAACTCGGCCCACCTATACGAAAACGCCGTAATTTTGTCGGGTCCATCTAACAATAAATATTCATTCGCAAAACGGGCAGCCTCAAATCCACGCAACTTTAAACCCTAGTAAGATTCGAATTAACCACGGTTAATCTATAGCCCTACACGTGTTCTATATCAACGGTCACTGACATCATTTCCTTTTCGAGATTCGCCACTTTGGAATTGAATCCTCTCTATATGATGAACCATTCCGATTAACCCTAATCATCATCTTCACTTCACACACTTGACACTTACAGTATTTTCTTCGATTCCTCTCTTCAATCTCCCAAAAATGGCTAACCCAAGAGTTTTCTTCGACATGACTGTCGACGGTGCACCCGCTGGTCGTATCGTGATGGAGCTTTTCAATGACACGACACCGAAAACGGCCGAGAATTTCCGAGCTCTGTGCACCGGCGAGAAAGGCGTCGGAAAGATGGGCAAGCCGCTCCATTTCAAGGGATCGAGCTTCCACCGTGTGATCCCTAAGTTCATGTGTCAGGGAGGGGATTTCACCGCCGGGAACGGAACCGGTGGCGAATCGATCTACGGTGCTAAGTTCAAGGACGAGAACTTCGTCAAGAAGCACACCGGAGCCGGGATCCTCTCCATGGCTAACTCTGGCCCTAACACCAACGGATCTCAGTTCTTCATCTGCACGGCGGAGACCTCGTGGCTAGATGGGAAGCACGTTGTGTTTGGGCAAGTGGTTGATGGTCTGGACGTGGTGAAGGCGATCGAGAAAGTTGGGTCGTCCTCCGGGAGGACCTCGAAGCCTGTGGTCGTCGCTGATTGTGGTCAGCTTTCTTAGATCTGAGTGAGGTCTTGAATCTTAATATGAATAATGTAATGCTGTCTTCTTCTTCGTCTTTCTCTTCCCTAATGGATGACTTCCTTTGAATTTCTGTATTTCGAACAATCTCATTTAAACAAATAATTATTTCGTCTTCATGATTCTGCAACTCACGTGTTCGTACTGGAATCATAAACTTTGGTAGAAATATATAAAATATATAGCGAGTGATGCAAGACGACAAATTAAAAGTAGTGACTTTACCACTTGAAAAGCTCACTGAGATTGCTTATGCCTTCGAACAATGGTCAAAGATTGTATGTGTAATGTTAATGGCCGAGCTTAAGAGAATTCACCAGTCAACTTTAGCAAAGGACAAAGGTTATGTGTAATTTAACAATGAGATTTAACAATTCCAACATGTTTTCTTTTCGCCGACTTGCCCAAATATATTAGTAGTATTCTGCTCTTCTCTTTAAAGAAGAAAAAGCAGAGAGAGAGAGAGAAAAATTAGCAACTTGGCGTTGACCCTTTCCCCTAGCCATGGTTGCTCTGCATTTCATCTTCTCATCATCTCTCCTTCTCCGTCTTCTTCTTCTTCTTCTTCTTCTTCCTCAAGCTCTTCTTGTGCAATCTGGGTCTTACTCTCAAATTACGCCGACCTCAAAGTTCTCGATCCAAGAAGCCACTGTTGATGACATCAGACTTGCTTTCGAGGAGAAAAGACTGACATCGAAACAGCTCGTTGAGATGTATCTCGAATCCATCTCCAAACTCAATCCGTTGCTCCACGCAGTCATCGAGACGAATCCAGATGCGTTGATCCAAGCAGAGATCGCAGACAGAGAACGCGAGCTCAAAGACGACGCCACTAAGCTTCCTGTCTTGCACGGTGTTCCCGTTCTGCTCAAGGATTCCATCTCCACCAAGGACAGGCTAAACACGACGGCTGGTTCCTTGGCCTTGCTTGGTTCGGTCGTGGCTCAAGACGCTGGTGTTGTCAAGAGACTCAGAGAACATGGAGCCGTGATCTTGGGCAAAGCCAGTTTAAGCGAGTGGGCTCATTTTCGATCTTTCTCCATCCCAAATGGTTGGAGCGCTCGTGGCCTCCAAGGAAAGGTCTGTTTCTTCATTTCTCTATCATAGTCTGGTCAAAATCTTACGAAAAGTTGCAAACTTTACCAAAATCTCTTAACATTATAAAATCTTCGAATGCTGCAGAATCCGTACGTTTTATCAGCAGATCCTTGTGGTTCAAGTAGTGGTTCAGCTATATCAGTAGCGGCTAATCTTGTGGCTGTCTCGATCGGGACTGAAACTGATGGTTCCATTCTCTGTCCAGCGAGTCAGAACTCGGTGGTCGGAATTAAGCCGAGTGTCGGGCTCACTAGCCGAGCCGGGGTCGTTCCTATCTCCTTGAGACAGGACACTGTAGGGTGAGAGTCTAACACCACCCACCACTACCAACAACTGTTTGATTTTGTACCATTTTGCCAAGCTTATCTATGTTTTTGCCAACTGTTAGGCCAATATGCAGGACAGTTTCGGATGCTGTTCATCTCCTTGATGCTATCGTGGGTTATGATCACTTGGACGAAGCCACCAAGACTGCCTCTGAGTTCATACCCAAAGGCGGTTACAAGCAGTTTCTAAAAGCTAGTGGGCTCAAGGGTAAGAGATTAGGGATTGTAATGGAGCATTCTCGTCTTGATCAACACATCAAAACATTAAGGTAAAAAAAGTCGTTATAAGTTTATTTGATCAATCAATTCAAACCAAATGATAACACAATATCTAATTATAGCTCTGTTTTTTTTCTGGGGTAAAGGCGAGAAGGCGCCATCGTCATTGACAATCTAACAATACCAAACATCGAAGCCATTGGGGATGGTGAAGCGACAGCACTTTTGGCTGAGTTCAAGACGTCTCTTAATGTATATCTTCAAGAGCTTGTGAACTCACCAGTCCGGTCCTTAGCAGACGTTATTGCCTTCAACGATAAATTCGCTGAAAAGGTACCGTCAGCTTTAAGATTGCATTCACCTTTTTCTCGGTATCTGAATGAAATGTAAACCATTTGAATTTGCCAAAAAAAATCACAGGAGAAGGTGAAAGAATGGGGACAAGAGGTCTTCCTTGCAGCAGAAGCCACCAATGGAATGGGTGAGAAAGAGAAAGCAGCGTTGCAGAAAATGGAAGAGCTTTCGAGGGACGGAATCGAAAAGCTGATGAAGGAAAAGGAGTTAGATGCAATAGTGGCTCTTGGTTCGACGTTGAGCTCTGTCCTCGCCATTGGAGGGTATCCAGGAATCAATGTCCCTGCAGGATATGATACTGAAGGAGTTCCGTTTGGGATTACCTTTGGAGGATTGAGATTCTCGGAGCCAAAGCTCATTGAGATTGCTTATGGATTCGAACAAGCAACTTTGATCAGGAAGCCACCAAAGTTCACAACTTTGAGGCACTTGCAGATGTAGTCAACAAAGTTTCTTCCTTTGATACTGAAAAAACTTACAGATGTGTTTCATCACATTATACAGATCGATATTGTGCCCTTTAATAAAGTTAGAAGTTCAACACTAAGCTTTACAAGACTTTTCTTTTTAAAGATTGCAAAAAATGATTCGTCTACAGATTCTTCAACTCACGTGTTCTTATCGGAATCATAAAAAGTTGGTGAGTAACAGAGCAAGACGACAAAAAAGAAAGACCTTTATGTTAGATTTCATTTGATTGGTAAACGGCTAATTACAACCACTAACACGATGATATGAAATTTTCAGCATACAAAGCGAGTTACATACAATTCAAAATAACATTTCTGATACGTGAAATCTTTCTTTCGCTAGATATGGCTGCTCTGTGTTTCATCTTCTCATCATCTCTCCTTCTTCTTCTTCTTCCTCAATCTATTCTTATGCAATCTAGTTCTCACTCTCACATCAAGCCTACCTCAACACTCTCGATCGAAGAAGCCACTGTTGATGACATCAGACTTGCTTTCGAGGAGAAAAGACTGACATCAAAGCAGCTCGTTGAGTTGTACCTCGAATCCATCTCCAAACTCAATCCGATGCTCCACGCAGTCATCGAGACTAATCCAGATGCGTTGATCCAAGCAGAGATCGCAGACAAGGAACGTGAGCTCAAAGACGCCGCCACTGAGCTTCCTATCTTGCACGGTGTTCCGGTTCTGCTCAAGGATTCCATCTCCTCCAAAGACAAGCTAAACACGACGGCTGGTTCCTTGGCCTTGCTTGGTTCGGTCGTGGCTCGAGACGCTGGTGTTGTCAAGAGACTCAGAGAATCTGGTGCTGTGATCTTGGGCAAAGCCAGTTTAAGCGAGTGGGCTTATTTCCGATCTAACTCCATCCCAAATGGTTGGAGCGCTCGTGGCCTCCAAGGAAAGGTCTGTTTCTTCATTCCATCAGATTCATTGCTCTGTCGAAATTTGGTAAAGTTTGCAAAACTCTTACAAAAAAGTTTCAGAAAATCTTGAAATGCTGCAGAATCCTTATGTCCTATCAGCAGATACAGGTGGGTCAAGTAGTGGATCAGCTATATCAGTAGCAGCCAATCTTGTGGCCGTGTCACTAGGGACTGAAACTGATGGTTCCATTCTTTCTCCGGCGAGTCACAACTCGGTGGTCGGGATTAAACCGAGTGTCGGGCTCACTAGTCGAGCCGGGGTGGTCCCTATCTCCTTGAGGCAGGACACTGTAGGGTGAGACTGAGAGTACCCACCACCACTCGTACTAACTAAATGATTTTGTCATTTTGTGCCATTTTGCTAAGTTTATTGTGTGTTTCTGGCAAATGTTAGGCCGATATGTAGGACAGTTTCGGATGCTGTTCACCTCCTTGATGCTATTGTGGGTTATGATCCCTTGGACGAAGCCACCAAGGCCGCGTCCGAGTTCATACCCGAAGGCGGTTACAGGCAGTTTCTGAAACCTAATGGCCTCAAGGGTAAGAGATTAGGGATTGTAATGGAGCATTCTCATCTTGATCAACACATCAAAACATTAAGGTAAAAAAATTCGTTATAAGTCGTTTTTTTTTTGTATCAACAAATCAGTTACGAAGACTATATCTGATTGTAGCTCCGTTTTTTCTTGGATGAAGACGTGATGGGGCGATCGTCATTGATAATCTAAAGATACCAAACATGGAAGTCATTATGGATTGGACTAAAAGCGGAGAAGAGACGGCACTTTTGGCTGAGTTCAAGATCTCTCTTAATGAATATCTACAAGAGCTTGTGAAATCACCAGTCCGGTCCTTAGCAGACGTTATTGCCTTCAACTATAAATTCGCTGAAAATGTATCGTAAGCTTTAAGATTGCATTCACCTTTTTCTCGCTATCTGAATGAAATTTGAACCATTTGAATTTGCCAAAAAAATCACAGGAGAAGGTGAAAGAATGGGGACAAGAGGTCTTCCTTGCAGCAGAAGCTACCAATGGAATGGGTGAGAAAGAGAGAGCAGCGTTGCATAAAATGGAAGAGCTTTCGAGGAATGGAATCGAAAAGTTAATGAAGGAAAACAAGTTAGATGCAATAGTGACTCTTGGTAAGACGTTGAGCCCCGTCCTCGCCACTGGAGGGTATCCAGGAATCACTGTCCCTGCAGGATATGATAGTGAAGGAGTTCCGTTTGGGATTACCTTTGGAGGATTGAGATTCTCAGAGCCAAAGCTTATTGAAATTGCTTATGGATTCGAACAAGCAACTTTGATCAGGAAGCCACCAAAGTTCACAACTTGAGGCACTTGTAGTACTTGCAGTCAACAAAGTTTCTTCTTTGGAGAAATATATCTTTGTAATGTACATTTATTTGGAGACTCGAAATAACTTACATATGTGACGCTTTATCACAATTTACATCAGAGACTTGAAATAACTTACATATGTGACGCTTTATAAAATCCTTGTGAAGCCAGAAGCTCAAACACTGAGCTTAGGGAAATAATCTGAACTTACAAAAGGAGCTGAGAACTCGTCAAAACATGCCATCCTGATACGCTCTGGAGTGGCTGGAGTCTCCAGAGGAAACCAGCTGGTGAGACCCACCTCGGCTCTAGCCGCTTTGATCGCTTCCTTAATCGCAAAGAAGACCGACGATGCAAGAAAGAACGGTGGCTCGCCCACTGCTTTAGATGAATGTATTGCCTTTATATTCGGATTCCCCTGATTCAATAGAGTATAATCTCAGCTTCAGTTTCAAATGGGATTGTTGCTACTACCAAATTTAAAGCTTACCTTGAGAAGAGAAACATTGAGGTGGAACGGAATGTCGTTAATGGAAGGTATTTTGTAGTTTCCAGGTCCGCAGGTGAGCAACGCTCCTGGTTTAATCCATTTATGAGCTGCATCTCCCCATTTGAGTTCTTCTAGAGCTACCCAACCCAGTCCTTGTACAAACGCTCCTTCTATCTGCAAATAGTGATTTCAGTTACAACACTTTTCTTCTTAATGACTGCAAAAATGTATAGTAGTATTTCGAGAGAAGGAAGACGCACTTGTCCAACATCTATGGCCGGGTTAAGAGAATATCCGAGGTCCAACATTATATCGGTGGCTCTTGTGTGGAAATCACCAGTCAATGTATCTATCTCAACTTCAGCAAAAGAAGCTCCATATGTGTAATATCTAAACGCGTTTCCTTTTCCAGATATCCAGTCAAATCCAATTTCGGGAACTATGTGAAAACCGTGAGCAGAGAGGTCTATCCGTTGAAAGTAGCATGCGCTTACCAGCTACATAAACATTCAGACGAAAATGAGTGTGTGTCAAAAAAAAAAAGTTATAAAACTCTTCCGAGTTTATATCAAAATGCAAGGGAAAAAAGATTACCTCGGCGAATGTGTTGAAACTGTGCTTAGATGCAACAGGCTCCATTCTTGCTATAATCTGCTCACATGCGTCTAAAACTGCAGCGCCGTACATATCAGAGCTCGCAGAAGCAGCAGTTGGTGATGCATTTGGAACCTATTAAGAGAGCAAGAGCAGTTTTGTCTGATTACGTCTTGGCCTAAAAGTGCTCTGCTTGTAACAGAGTTCCATCTTAAATTCTATGTAATATAAAATGTACCTTGTCGGTGCTTGTCTCTGACACGAAAACTGAGCTAAGCGGAATGTTAAAGGCGGATGCAGCAACTTGGGCCACTTTCGTGTGCAATCCTTGACCCATCTCCACACCTCCATGTGTCACCAAAACAGTCCCATCGGTGTAAACATGAACCAGAGCACCGGCCTGTAACAGCCACATAATGTGTGAAATAGATAGAAGTATCTCAAAATCCAGATTCTAGCTTTGCAAGCAATATTGAGATTTCTGTGGCAGCTTTATCTAATTCTGTCCAGTTACCCAACAGATTACTAAGTTTGAAGGAAAAAGGATAACGTTTGATTACCTGATTCATGAACTTTGTGGTAAATGATATGCCAAACTTTGTGGGAACCATAGCTACGCCACGCTTTTTCCACCGATTATTACTGTTAAACTCGTCGGCTTCTCTACGAGCCTTTAAGAAATTGCAGGAAACTTTCAGCTCATTCCATAGCTGATGCAACGTGCAGTGCCCAAGAGACTGAGAGTAATGTGTGATCGATCCTTCCACTTGAAAGTTCATCTCCTAAAGTAAAGTAAATACACCAGAAAACAAACATTATGATACGAAACTGGCAAAAGGAGGACGAATTCCTAAAAAAAAGCTCTTAGAAAACATTGAACTCACTTTGATTTCTTCAGGGCTTTTATCAAGCTCAGCTGCGATTCTCTGGATCCAGTTTTCAGTAATAAGCATACCTTGGGGCCCTCCAAATCCTCGGAAAGCAGTGTTGCTGGGAAAATTAGTAAAGCAAACGTTCCCTATGATCCTCACATTCGGGATCTCATAAACATTATCCGAGTGAAACATGGCACGTTCGAGAATAGCAAGGGAAAGATCCAAAGAGTTTCCACCATTGTTGTAGATTTCAAGGTCCAAGGCCAATATTTTTCCTTCATTCGTAAATCCAACCTGTAAAGCGTAGCAGAAAACAATTAAAAGGAATCTTTCTATTCTCACTCTTTCTACCATTCTCAACCTTCCAGTCATTTCCATGTAACTGTCTGCTGACTAATTTTACCTTGTACTTTCCAAGGAAACTATGACGATGACCAGTTATCATCATGTCCACATCTCTGTCCAGTATGAGTTTCACAGGTCGATTCAACAGGTAGGAAGGAACAGCAGCTGCAGCAGCAATGAAAGCTGATCTTGTTTCCTTACCACCAAAGCCACCGCCGATTCGTTTGGTTTTGCATACCACTTTAGACATTGGAAGGCCGAGAACATGAGAAACGTATTTCTGGTGCTTTTGAGGAGCCTGCATATAAATCACAACAAAGAACTTTATCATTTCATATCTTAATCTAGCTGCTGCCTAATGTTGTTCTGTTACAGGGAGCTTATTGTCATGTAGAAAACATAAATCAAAGTAAATTCCACTCAGTGAAGTATATTACCTGAGTGGATGAAATCATATGAACTTCGTTGCCTCCATCTATTGTCCAAACCAAACTACCATTAGGCTCCAAGTAAAAGTGCTCCTGGCCACCCATTTGAACCTCTCCCTCTATTATCCTGTCACACTGACCAGATTGAAAGCATAGCTCTACATCCCCTTTTTTTAGCCTTTTCTCTGTGTTGGGATGGAAACTCTTTGCGGAAACAGCCTCCTTGATTGATAATATTGCTGGTAGTTCCTCATACCTAACGTCTACTTTTGCTACTGCAGCTTTTGCATTTTCATGTGTATCCGCAACAACCACACCAATGACCTGAAATACCAGATGTGAACTAAATGAAATAATCGGGGAGGAGATGAATACATGTAGCTAACAAAATAACAGATGTGATCCAAATTGAAAACTGAGGATTTCAAATTTCTTACTTGTCCCACACACGTGACCACGTCTGTAGCAAATAGTTCTTCGTCGGCAACAACTGGTCCAATCATATTATCCCCAGGAATATCTTTGGCAAGAAACAGACCAACAAAACCAGGTGAAGATTTGGCTGCCGAATCATCAATAGAAAGGATGCGAGCATGTGGCACTTTGCTTAGCACTAAGGCAGCATGCAAGGTATTAGGAGGCACTGGTGTATCATCAGTATATTCTGCTTCCCCTGTGACCTACATGAATACATGAAAGTGTTGAGATAAACTCTTTTCTACTCGCCAGTATGAGAATCAAAATGGATAAGAGTAACATACCTGCATTCTCGCAGAAAGATGAACCTCCGGCGAGCCAACAGATGTTCCCTGCTTTACAGTCTCATAGTCTTGTTTTCCGATTCTAGATAACCGAGGAACAGGTTGCACAGCTGATAGATGTGAGGGTGGGAAGGTCTCTATAGTGGGCTTCACATTATGAGAAACCCATAAGAAAAACTTAAAGAAGAAGCTCAGGGTTAGAGATTTCCGAAACTCCACCATTCCACCAGGAGCATCTTCCTTAATCAAGACATCGCTCTGTATGACCTTAAGCGCATCTTGCAGAAGACTTTTGTTCCAACTCTTTCCAATCAGAAATTCCTCAGTCTTTCTCGCACACAACGAAAGAGGAGCCACGCCACCGTAAGCAATTGATGCATCAGAGACAAACAATTCTTGACCTTTCTCTTCGAGAAACACACGCATCCCACCATTGACAATAGCTATGTCATCATCCCTACGATGAGCCTGCTTGAATTCTTTCACATACTCTAAGGGCCTTGTCCATGGAAGGAATACGGACAACAAGATCTCGTCGCTTCCCATATCCACTTTACGATAGCCAAGGAAGAAATCTTTTGCAGGTACGGACCTAACGTCTCCATCGCAGTTGATTACCCGAAACTCTGCTCTTGAAGCCATCCAAAGAGGGTTTAAATCAGATATTGGACTAGCTGTACAGATGTTCCCACCAATGCAAGCAACGTTTCTTATTTGTGTCCCAGCAAACCACTTCAGCTGTTCAATAAAAGCCTTGCACGCTGATGTTTCATGTGCAGGACGCTCCTTTACAACCCTCCTGAAAACACTCAGAAGCTCAGAAAGTCTCAAAGACGCACCAACCTCTACACCATTGTCATTCACATTCAACTCGTTGAGTTCTGGGACTTGAGCAACAGAGATTAGCACTTGATACTGTAACCTCTTCAGTCTCATTTCGATTCCCACCTCTGTATTACCTACCAGTAGCTTCGCATCAGGAAAATTAGCTTTGAGCTCAAGCAAGTTCCGAAGACTTACGGGTCTATACCAAGTAAGACCCCCTTTTCCTTTAAGCTTTAAAGGAGCTAATTCCCTCAGCAAAAGCTCAGGGGGGAAAATAAGCTCCCTTTCTGTATACTTAGCCCCATCTATATCACTGTAAGAGATTGACTGAATCCTATCTTCATTACAATTCGTCGCTTCATTTGTTGTCTTTGATCCACAAGAACAAGGTTTGCCAGTAGAAGGGCAGATATTCGAACCGTCTTGAAGGCTAAGTGAAGACACACCACAGTACAGAGCATCATCAGATTTTGCAAATACCCGGAAAGCATCAACGATGGGTCTATAACCAGTACAACGACATAAATTCCCCGCAAGGCATTCTTCAATCTCCTCTTCAGAAGGTGAGTTTTTACTTGACCTCAACAACGCATACATCGACATGATAAACCCGGGAGTGCAAAACCCACACTGGGAACCATGAGAAGATGCCAATGACTCCTGAGAGAATTAGGATCACAAGTCACACAACACGTCTTGAGCAGAATCCTTAGATTCTCCGGAAACAAAGAGAAGTAAAAACTCACCTGAAGAGGGTGCAAGCCAAGTTTGCGATGACCAACTCCCTCAATGGATATTACATGCATCCCTTCTACTGAATAGAGAGGTGCTAAGCAAGCGTTGACCGCATAGTGCCTGCAATGTAAGAAAACAAATATTCAGTTTTGGAGAAAGAATCAATAAGAAGGCCTAAACTTGAGTAAAGCAGAGCAAACATATCAGAGGAAAAGATACGCACACACATGTCTTTGATTTTACGTCATAATTAGAAACCATCACCGTGCAAGCCCCACAACCACCTTCGCCACACCCAAGCTTTGTCCCGGTCAGTCCTAAAGCTAAAGAAAACAATAAACTTTAGCAAGTTAGGTACTTCATGATCGTTTAGAACAAATGATTTCTGCGAGCTAATTGGCACAATCAAGTAATTGCATCTGTAAGGAATATTCCTTGATCCTGATTCTTCAAAAGAATTAAAAATTGAACCTTTGAGCACAAAGTCCACTACTTTCAAATCCTTCGCTATTGATACCACAAGGATTAGAGTTTACGAAGTTTATTACGGACCTCTGAGATATTCGAGAAGCGTAATATGAGCAAAGCCATCTGGCAACACTCTACGAACGCCATTAACGTACAGTATCGCTTCCATGAGCTCCCCTCCGATCTGCTCTAGTGAACCCATTTCTCAATGAAACCTGTGATTTCGTATTCAGTGATTTGGATCGAAACATAAACGAAAGACAGCGAAGCAGATGATGACGCTAAGTCAAAGCTCAAGTTGGTTACCTCTTCCTTCTTTATGAAAAATTAAAAATCATTTCTTTCCGAGCGCATCCACCGAAGACAATCTTCGGAAAGTGTTATTGGTTCTTGTATTTTAATGAATTCGAAAATCCAAACCAAATTCAGTGTTATTGATTTTTGTATTTTAAAATTTATATTGAAATACAGTGTTATTGGTTTTATGATTTTAAAATCCATAATGAAATACAATGTTATTAGTTCTATCATTTTAAAATCTAAATATTATAAAGATTTGAGTTTTAATTGAATTTGAATGGATTTGGAAGGATTTCTATGACTAAAATACAAAGACCCAAATACAAGGTCTAACCTTGGTATTTGAGTGGATTTGATTTTACATTTTGTTGATTTTGAAATCAATAAATTTATCAAATCCAAAGAAGATTTATAAATCCATCAAAATACAAAAACCAATAACCCCTACTTCATCAAATGAAATTTCATTTTTTTTGTCTTTATGAGAGAAATTAAGGAGATGTTATTGATTCTTGTATTTTAATGGATTTGAGAATCCAAACCAAATTCAGTGTTATTGGTTCTTGTATTTTAAAATTTATATTGAAATACAGTGTTATTGGTTCTATGATTTTAAAATCCATAATGAAATACAGTGTTATTGGTTCTATCATTTTATAATCTAAATATTATAAGGATTTGAGTTTTAATTGAATTTGAATGGATTTGGAATGATTTTTATGACTAAAATACAAAGACCCAAATACAAGATCTAACCTTGGTATTTGAGTGGATTTGATTTTTTTCCATTTTGCTGATTTTGAAATCAATAAATTTATCAAATCCAAAGAAGATTTATAAATTTACCAAAATACAAGAACCAATAACCCCTACTAAATTATACAGTATCTCGATTTTTTGTTTTTAAAAAAAAGCCCACTGAATAAAAAGCCCAAATCAAAGACGAATATTGGAACAACAAAAGAGTTTTTTTCACCCTTCTTCTTCTTCAACCTCTGCGCCGCTTTTCAAGCTCTGACCTTATAGGCTCCGTCGTTTTTCAAAGGTTTTTGTCCATATCAAACTCGAACTGAACCTTTCTCTGACCGGCGGAAACTTCTGATTCAATGGATAAGGCAAAAGAGAAACCTATGGAGGACGTGAACCCGGAAGTGGAAGAAGTTGAGAAAGTAGAGGAAGTTGAAGAAGAACAGAGAGATGCCGGAGAAGAGCAAGTAGAAGAAGAAGAGCCGGATAAGAGTTTCGAGGAGCTAGGGCTTGATTCTCGTCTCATTCGTGCCCTAAGTAAGAAGGGTCTAGAGAAACCCACTCCTATTCAGCAATCAGCCATTCCTTACATTCTGGTAAATAAGCAAAAGTCTCTACCTTTTTATAAACTTCGCTGCTTGTGTTTAATCTTCTATCGGATTGAAGCTTCGTGGGAGTGATTTTAATCGTCTTCGTTCTTCTAGGAAGGAAAAGACGTGGTTGCTAGAGCTAAGACGGGCTCAGGTAAGACCTTGGCCTACCTTCTGCCATTGCTCCAGAAGCTATTTTCAGACTCTGGGAGCAAGAAGAAGCTTGCTCCTTCTGCATTTATCCTCGTCCCCTCTCGAGAATTATGCCAGCAGGTATGTTTTCGACGATTGTTTCGTTATTTTCATACTTAAGTACATTTCAGTAATCCGTAATTGAAGTATTGATTGAATTGGAAATTACAGGTCTACACAGAGGTTTCTTCGCTTATCGAGCTGTGTCGTGTTCAGCTGAAAGTAGTGCAGCTGACTAGTAGCATGCCTGCATCTGATATGGTTAGTGTTAAACATTTTTCACCATGATGAATAATCTTCCTACCATTAGCGTTTAATCTATTACCATATCATTTTTTTTTTCAATTGCAGCGTAACGCATTGGCCGGACTGCCTGAGATACTTGTCACCACACCTGCTTGTATTCCAAAATGTTTTGCCGCCGGCGTTTTAGATCCAGCAGCTATCAGTGACTCGCTTGAAATCTTGGTTCTTGATGAGGTATGATCAATGTTTTAAGTAGAAATTGCTTGATTTTGGAAAAATTATGAAATGAAGATAAGCATTCAATTAATTTATAGAGGTTTCATTGAATAGATGTTAATATATTTCTGTTATCAGGCAGATCTTCTGTTGTCATTCGGATATGAAGATAATCTAAGATCGGTAACTTCAATAGTCCCAAGACGTTGCCAGTGTCTTCTTATGTCTGCCACCACGAGGTAACACATCTCTTGGTGATAATAATTCTAGTTACTTAAGCTCACATGTTTCCTCTGAGGTTGTCTTGAATGGTGGAATCTTTTTTTTGCAAAATGTCAGTACTGATGTTGAAAAACTGAAGAAACTGATTCTGCACAACCCCGTCGTTTTGACTTTGCAAGAAGGTGCTGACAAGGAAGAGCCCGTCCCAAGTAATGTTCAGCAGTTTTGGGTATGATTCGTGTCGCTTATATTCGTTTAAATCAGTTTTGCTAGTTAAGTTGTGGGTATGATTAATGATTGATTAGTGTGTTATCTTTTGCTTAGATTTCTTGCAGTACACAGGATAAGTTGCTTCACACTCTTGCTCTCTTGAAGCTAGAGGTCGTTCAGAAGAAAATTTTGATATTCATTAATACGATTGACATGGGTTTCAAGTTGAAACTGTTCTTGGAGAAGGTAATTTTTTGGTCACCTATTCATATTTATAATGATGTACCCATTTCTTCATCTTTGTGTGATTCGCTGGAATCTGTAGTAATATTAGTGAATTGATTTGTTTTTGTTTCTGCCAGTTTGGAATCAAATCTGCAATTTTAAACGGGGAGTTGCCTCAGAATTCTCGGCTTCATATCCTTGAGGTACATAATCACCAAGTCACACACACTTGAACTAAGTTTTGTTTTTGAGATAGCTATACATTTCATGAAATAATCAATCACTGTATGTTTGTGCAGCAATTCAACGCAGGTCTTTTTGATTATTTGATTGCAACGGATGATAATAACCAGTCTAAAGAAAAGGAAGAGGCTAAAGCTGAAGAAAACAAGGAGAATAAAAAAGGCAAAAGGCGTGGCAAACCAAAGCTGGATGCTGAGTTCGGTGTAGTTAGAGGAATTGATTTCAAAAAAGTTCACACCGTACGTACGCTACTCAAGACTCTGCACTCAAAGAGAATTTCCGTTTTTATCTCTTAGCTTTTAGGTTCTTAACCTTTCCTTAATGCGCAGGTTATAAACTTCGATATGCCTCAAAGCGTGACAGGATATATTCATCGAATTGGGCGTACAGGGAGAGCATATAGCAGCGGTTCTTCAGTTTCTCTTGTGAGTTTCTCGTCTAAGAGTAACGTTACTATTGGCATGATGATCTCTTCAAGTCTATAATAATATAATCTGCTATATTTGCCACAGGTTTCTCCTGATGAGATGCAAGGGTTTGAAGATATCAAATCCTTCTTAGCAGGCGAAGAGGACAAGGATAGTGATATCATCACACCCTTCCCTTTTTTGACTGAAAATGCTGTCGAGTCTTTAAGATATAGAGCCGAGGTGAGTAATGTTCTGTAGTAGGATGCTTTACTTTATCAAGTGATGGTATAAGTATTGAGGTGGCTTTTTGTCTCTTGCAGGATGTTGCAAAGAGTGTTACAAAGATTTCGGTTCGAGAGTCTCGAGCTCAGGATTTAAGAAATGAGATCATCAACTCGGAAAAGTAAGCAAGAATTTCAAGTGCTGTGTTGTTTTAGTTCTCTGATTTTGTTATTTGTTCGTCTTCTTAATTTCTCTTGTTTCTATCTTCAGGTTAAAGTCTCATTTCGAAGCGAATCCAAGAGACTTAGATCTATTGAAACATGACAAGCTTCTGAGTAAGACTGCGCCTGCGCCACATCTAAGGGACATCCCCGAGTATCTAGTGGATCCAAAGACTCAAGAAGCAAGCAAGATGGTGAAGCTAGCCAGAGCCGCAATGGGCAACAGTAGGAGATCCGGTGGAGGCGGTGGTCGCAACAACAATAACAAGAAACGATCCAGAAAAGGCGGTGACCCACTCAAAACCTTCAACCCCAATGTAAGACATCACTGACTTTCTTCTCTCTTTTTCTCTGCTTTTTTGTATATCCGTGCTAACTGTTTTTCTCTGCTGTTTGCTTTCTTCAATCAAACCAGGGATCTAAAAGAGGACATGGTGGCCAGAAGAAGGATGGTAAAGGATCTAGCGATGGCTCGACCAAACAGAAGAAACAAAAGACAGTCACAGTCTAATGTCTTTGCATCGCCAGTGAAATGTGAACCCTCGGATTGTTCGATACGTTTAGGATTTTTCCTCTTTAGAAAAAAGAGAGCATGTTTTGAGATATATGATGATGAAGCAGATAAGGTTTTTCTTGTGGATGAGTTTTGCAATTTTGTGTTTTAGGGTCTGAGAGAAATCGTGGAGTGATTGTCTTAACGTGTGAAACGTTACATCAAAGACAATTATTTGGAGTTTGACTTTTTTACTTATTTGATTGGCTGTCTAATTAAAAGTTGTCGAGAATTAAGGTCATGATTAACATGAGTTGTTGATAAAGCGAATATGCGATATGTGTGTAGTTTCCTTTTACTTATCTTTCTCAAATGTTGTTTCCTTATCTTTTTAATGATCCAAAGACATAAACCCAGCTTGATCATTAGCATCATTTATGATCATTAGCATCAGACTGCGAAGTTGGTGGGAGTAGTGGAAAAAAACTAGGTTCCAGAGAGAAATGAGTTAGGTTAGTTTCTGGATTCTACGAGTTAGGTTAGTTTCTGGATTCTAGAGAAGACTGGTTCCTTAGTTTACCAAGAGTTAGGTTAGTTTCTGGTTTTAGGTTAGTTTTGGTTTCTAGTTAGTTTCTGGTTTCTAGAGAAGAATGGTTCCTAGGTTAGTTTACCACTGGACGTGGGAATATGACAACAATGGTGGTTAGATATTTTTTTAGTATTACAAGATTATGTGACAAATTATGAATAGTTTGTTCTATCACTTCATTCTCAATTTTCTGAATCTTTGTTCCAACTTTGTACAATTATGTTTTGGCTATAACGTTAATTTGGTTTTCATTAGAACCAAATTCATGTATTTCAACTATAAAAAAAGTGTTTGAGCACAAATTTATGAATGATTTTTGGATGTACTTATACATACGATAGATGTATAAAATGAACTTATACATCAGAACTATGGGTAACAAACTCATAAAATTGCATGAATCACATTTTCATAGTAAATAAAACCAATGAAACCATTAGGTATACGCAGAAATATTTAATTACAATCCAATCCAATGTAAGTAAAACCAAACATTGGATATAAAACCAATTAAAAAAAAAAGAAATTGAATTTCCAATATAATGCCAAAAGATAAATTAAGAAGAAATAGATTATAGAGACATTGTTATAAATTTTAAATAGTTTTAAAAAAATAATTACAAGTTTTTACATAAGATATAATTTAGTTATTCTGAGCTGCTAAACCGTTTATCATGAAAAAGATAAAGAAAATGAAACAACCTAACAAATACTTGTATAGACCCAATTGGATTTTGATACAATATACACATAAACAACACATGGCATATTCGCTTTATCAACAACTCATGTTAATCATGACCTTAATTCTAGTCAATTATTGGTGGCAACTTTTAATTAGACAGCCAATCAAATAAGTAAAGAAGTCAAACTCCAACCAATCCACACCAAATAATTGTCTTTGATGTAACGTTTCACACGTTAAGACAAACACTCCACGATTTCTTTGAGAGGACCCTAAAACACAAAGTTGCAAAACTCATCCACAAGAAAAACCTTATCTTCTTCATCATCATCTATCTCTCTCTCGCAAAACATGCTCTCTTTTTTCTCTAACCAGATCGACCGGCAACACACCGTCTCTAAAGAGGAAAAAACTCTAGACGATCTTGAACGGTCCGAGGGTTCACATTTCCCTGGCGATGACTACCGTCCGTCCGATCGGAAAAACTGGATGGCCGATCTATCGGTGGAGAAACTAACTCTCAACAAGATCGTGTGGCCCGGAACTCACGATTCAGCAACCAACGAAATCGGAATACCGTTGATCTCTCGACCATTAGCTGAATGTCAAACGCTCTCCATCTACGACCAGCTCGTCCTCGGGACACGTGTACTCGATGTCCGTGTTCAAGAGGATCGTGAAATCTGCCACGGGATCCTGACGTCATACAACGTCGATGTCGTCATAGATGACGTCATCAGATTCTTGTCGGAGACTCACTCGGAGATCGTAATCCTGGAGATACGGACGGAGTACGGACACAAAGACCCTCCGGAGTTCGAGACCTACTTGGCTGACAAGTTAGGTCAATTCTTGATCAAGCAAGACGATAACTTGTTCCACAAGCCGGTATCGGAGATCCTGCCGAAAAGGGTTATTTGCATCTGGAAGCCGAGAGAGTCTCCGAAGCCGAGTCGTGGTGGACTTCTCTGGAACTCTGATTATCTAAAAGATAACTGGATCGATACGGATCTTCCATGGACCAAGTTTCAGAGCAATTTGAAGCATCTGAGCGAGCAAGCACCGATATCTTCTAGAAAGTTCTTTTACCGGGTTGAGAATACGGTAACGCCGCAAGCGGATAATCCGGTCGTTTGGGTTAAACCGGTGACTGATCGGATCCGAAAACACGCGAGGCTTTTTATCTCTCAGTGTGTCTCCAAGGGATGTGGAGATAAGTTGCAGATTCTGTCGACGGATCTCATCGACGGTGATTTCGTGGATGCCTGCGTCGGACTCACTCACGCAAGAATTGAAGGGAAAGTTTGAAAAATACGGCTCATCTCCAACATTGGAACCAAGATTCTTTTCTTATGGGGTTGCGTGTATATTAAGTTACGCTGTGTTATTAATGTGTGTATAATTTAAAATTTATATAGTGGTCATATCTTAAATTTGTAAATAACTGTGTGAATGCAGTGGAATGTATTCAGTTAATTACTTTTGCTCAGGTTCTTGTATTGAAGCTACATATTGTGTGGAATTTCGAAATATTTTCCGGCAAGATTAGCTTCTACATATCCAAAACGTGAATTCGTCAAGGATTGTGTATTATTTTTCCGTTGTTTTTTTTTTTCTCTTCATACAAAATGAAAATGTTATATGCAAAACAAAAAAATAATATTTAGCCCATCAGTTATTGACTTTAGTGAAACAGAAGAGAGAAGCAAATTTACAAGTAGAGGATCAAAATTATTCGAACATCACATAGTATCTACTTTGTTAGTTATTTCAAAGCTTGAATAAAATGCATACCAAACTATTGACCAATTCAATCAAATGTGATATAACAATTGTCGAAGTTAACTTATGATTTTATAGAGAAAGATGGATTATTTATTTAGTTAATATACACAAACATCGGAAATTTCGTTTTGTCAACAGCTTTTTCATATATAATAATAAACAAGAACAACTTGATGAGACCGAATGGTGGTCAACTTTTAGACAAGCCAATCGTTAGATTGAGAAGCCAATTACAAAGAGGCCAGGGAAATTGCTTAGTATACGACGAGATTCCTTATTTATAAGTGAAGACCCTAAACGAAGTTCCTCATCTCTCATTTCTCAAACATGTCCTTTTTCGAAAACCTCGCAAACACTTTTGTAAAAGAAGTGGTAGAACCGACGGTATCGTTCATCGACTGCCAGATCCAGCGGCCAAGGGACGTCAGTGACCAACAACAAACTCTAGACAATCTCCAAGCAACCCATGGTTCGCGTTTCCCTGGCGACGACTATCGTTCGCCGGACCGTAAGAACTGGATGGCCAATATCTCCCCGGAGAAACTGCGTCTTAACAAGATCGTGTGGCCAGGCACGCACGACTCAGCCACCGACGGAATCGGGGACCCTGTCTTCGTTCGTCCTTTGGGTGAATGCCAAACGCTCTCCATCTTCGACCAGCTCTCCCTCGGGACACGTGTCCTTGATATCCGTGTGAATGAGAATCGCAAAATCTGCCACGGGATTCTGACGTCATACGACGTTGATGTCGTCCTAAATGACGTCATCAGATTCTTGTCGGAAACCCGATCTGAGATCATAGTCCTAGAGGTAAGGACCGAGTACGGACACAAAGACCCTCCAGAGTTCGAGTCTTACTTGGGTAACAAGTTAGGTCAATTCTTGGTACATCAAGACGATAACTTGTTCGACAAGCTGGTATCTGAGATCTTGCCGAGGAGGGTTATCTGCATCTGGAAGCCAAGAGAGTCCCTGAGGCCGGGTCGTGGCGGACCCCTCTGGAACTCAGATTATCTAAGAGATAATTGGACCAACACGGATCTTCCATGGACGAAGTTCCAAGGCAATATGAACCATTTGAAAGCGAAACCACCGATATCTTCTAGAAGTTTCTTTTACCGGGTCGAGAATACACTCACGCCACAAACAGATAATGTGGTTGTGTGGGTCAGACCCGTGACTGATCGGATCCGAGGGTACGCAAGGCTTTTCATTTCTAGGTGTATATCAGAGGGATGTATCGATAAGTTTCAGATTTTTTCCACGGATTTCATCGACGAGGATTTTGTGGATGCCTGCGTCGCGCTTACACGCGCCAGAATCGAAGGGAGAGTTTGATGCTACTCTGGACAATGCTTGATCTCTAACGCGTAATATATCTGTATGCTTCTTCTTTTCTTGCGAGTCTTGAAAAAAGAAAAGTTTACCTTTTTGTATAAATGTTTTTTCCTCAGAATGCAAGTAATCTTCTTTGATTACTTGACCTGGTCCAGCCATAATAATATAACACATATATATATTTTTCTTGATAAAATAAGTCATCTCACAACGTTTAGATTTTTTCAAATAATATATACATGAACCTTGTAAATATTTCGAACAGTACCACCTCATGATTCTTGTGAATAATTTGAAGAGTACGGCATGTGGTGGACCATAACATAAATGCATACAGTCTAATTCCGAATAGTTTGTTAACGACTCGTGATTCGCAGTGCATTCTGATTGTAGAATGAGCTAGCATACGATTAGATTGTTCATTGCCTATGTTAAACAAAAACAAAAACAAAAAAAAACGTAGAATACTTCTGTTTTAAATGATAACAACGACTATAAGAACCTACTTATGTACCATCCTTTAACCACTATGTTTGTACAAATTTCTAAAAATAAGAGAGAGAGGCAAGCTGATGTCCTTTGACTGTGTTATGTTGTGCCACAATTTGTTTGCATCCAAACGTACCAAGAATTATGAGTCATCAACAAACTCTTCACAATCAGACTCGACGCATTTATGTTAGGACCCACCACATGCCGTGCCAACTTGGAGAGACTCGAACGTTGACATGCATATGGTCATGGTCTTGATTAGGCCTTTGGAGAGGAATCGACTCTAAATTCTACAATCCAACCCCATGCATGGTGATATTTTTTTTGTGTGACAACAATGCATGGTGATTACAGCCATCTTCTTACACTTCTTATCGAATATTTTGTTTTTGTCCATTCGCAATATTGTGTATCAGTCGGTTGAGATACCATAACGTCTACTCTAGTGAAGCATCCTCATTCCTCTAACAGCATTACATTTTTATAAATAAAATCACATTTTATCAAAAACCCAACCATACGATTATTAAACTATTACTTGTATTTTACCATTTCAATCAGCATTGGACCGTTATATGTAACCTCTATCAACAATCTCAAATATTTTAAAGAACCACCATGTCGCTATAATTATATCAGAGAATCCGATTCAGTTTCTGTATATAAATAAAACACACATTCATTTTTGGGGAAAAAGCGTCTCTAATTATAGAACTTTCCTTCTTCCTTGTAAAGTTCTGAGAAATTAACGTTTCACCAATATCTCATTTTCTCTCTGCCTCTCTCTCTCTCCGCCGTCGCCTCCGGCGATCAACACCACCATCGCCATTAATCAACATTAACGTTTAGTTATTGCTTTGATTTATTCTCATGGCGGATATCGTGAAACAGATCCTAGTGAGACCCATTCAATTAGCGGATCAGGTAACTAAAACGGCGGACGAAGCCTACTCATTCCGTCAGGAATGTCTAGAGGTGAAAGCCAAAACGGAAAAGCTCGCCGGCCTCCTCCGTCAAGCGGCGCGTGCGAGCAACGATCTCTACGAACGTCCCACGCGCCGAATCATCGACGACACAGAGCAAGTCCTCTTCAAAGCCCTAGCGCTCATCGAGAAATGCCGCGCCACGGGGCTGATGAAACGACTCTTCACCATAATCCCCGCCGCTGCGTTTCGGAAGATCACAATGCAGTTAGAGAATTCAATCGGAGACGTCTCCTGGCTCCTCCGTGTCTCCGCTTCCGGCGATGACCGTGACGACGAGTATCTAGGGCTACCACCGATCGCCGCGAACGAACCGATCCTCTGTTTGATTTGGGAACAAGTCGCGATTCTGTTCACAGGCTCTCTCGACGATCGATCCGACGCGGCGGCTTCGCTGGTGTCGCTCGCGCGTGACAACGACCGATACGGGAGGCTGATTATCGAAGAAGGTGGGGTTCCTCCATTGTTGAAGCTCGCTAAGGAAGGGAAAATGGAAGGACAAGAGAACGCGGCTCGAGCCATTGGGTTATTGGGTCGAGACCCGGAGAGTGTTGAGCAGATCGTTAACGCAGGTGTCTGCCAAGTGTTTGCGAAAATTCTCAAAGAAGGCCACATGAAAGTCCAGACCGTTGTGGCTTGGGCCGTCTCTGAATTAGCCTCTAACCATCCCAAATGTCAAGACCACTTCGCTCAGAACAACATCATTCGCTTCCTCGTGAGCCATTTAGCTTTCGAGACGGTTCAGGAGCATAGCAAATACGCTATCGTGAGTAACAAGCAGACGTTGTCTTCGATCCACACGGTTGTGATGGCGAGCAACACCACGAACCCAACAGAGAAGAACGATCAAGACGAGACAAACAGCAACATCTCGCATCCTATGAGTAACCAGACACCGAGCCAGATGCACAGCTTGATTACAAACACGTTGGCAATGAAGGGTTCGGGTCCAGGTTCAAGTTCGGTCCCTGGTTCGGGTACTAACAAGAACCAGACGAAACAGAGCAACCAACAGCACCACTATCATACCAAAGGTGGTTCAAACCCGAGAGGGAACAATCCAACACACGTTTCGTTGATCGGGACGAGCATTAAAGGGAGAGAGTTTGAGGATCCAGCCACTAAAGCTCAGATGAAGGCGATGGCTGCGAGAGCATTGTGGCAACTCTCAAGAGGGAATCTCCAAATATGCAGAAGTATAACAGAGTCAAGAGCATTGCTCTGTTTCGCGGTTCTGTTAGAGAAAGGAGACGACGAAGTCAAGTCATATTCTGCATTAGCAATGATGGAAATCACAGACGTCGCTGAACAATACCCGGAACTGAGACGTTCTGCCTTCAAACCAACCTCTCCTGCTGCAAAAGCTGTGGTTGAACAGCTGTTAAAGGTGATCGAAAACGAAATACCGGATCTTCTAATCCCGTGTATCAAATCAATCGGTAGTCTTTCGAGAACGTTCCGTGCAACGGAGACAAGAATCATCGGACCACTAGTGAAGCTTCTTGACGAAAGAGAAGCAGAGGTATCAATGGAAACCGCAGTAGCGCTTATAAAATTCTCATGCACTGAGAATTTCCTGCGCGATAACCACTCTAAAGCGATCATAGCAGCAGGAGGTGCAAAGCATTTGATTCAATTGGTATACTTTGGAGAACAGATGGTTCAAGTCCCGGCCTTGGTACTACTCTGTTACATAGCGTTGAATGTACCGGACAGTGAGACTCTAGCTCAAGAAGAGGTTCTTGTAGTGCTTGAGTGGTCGACGAAGCAAGCTCATTTGGTGGAAGCACCGACGATTGATGAGATTTTACCAGAGGCAAAGAGTAGATTGGAGCTTTACCAATCTAGAGGGTCAAGAGGATTTCATTAATTTATGACAGGCTTCACTCTTTAGCATGGACATTCTCCTTTTGCCTTGGCGCCCACGCGAGTTTTGTTTTCTTGTTTGATGTGTTGTATTTTGTCTTCTCCAACGTTTGATGAAGCTCTCTTGTATATATTTACATTGGTGATGCTCATAGACATTGTTATAAATGTATAGATTATGTTGTAAGTCAAAACTACTATATTGATCTTAGATTAACATCAAACAATATCTGAGTTTAAGTCTTGTTTTGGATCCTTGTTTTTTCAAAAGTTTTTGTTTCAAATTCCTTTTGGCGAAATTCAGCGCACGTTAACGTGACAACAAAATTGCTATCATGCGCCGTGTTTGTTATCGTTCACCGTCCACACCGGGAAATCGCTTCGGCGGCGTTTGCTCAACGGCGGGATGGTCGAAGCGAAGAACCGTGCTCCGTCGTATTCACTCCCGGAATCACGATTCGGATTGTTGACTAACAGATCGAATCGGTCAAGAGGCCAATCGAATTCCGTTCTCTGATTTGAATCTACGAAGACATCCTTCCTCTCTATCTGCTTTCCCTTCGTCTCCGTTCGACCGATTCTGGACGAGATCGTGTGTAGAAGAATTGGATCTAAGTAATCCTCCAGCTTTCTCTTCGGATTCTGCTTGATTTGCGACGAACGGTTGCCTTCTCTGTTTTCATTTACTTCACACTGAATATCAATGCGATAAATTCGAAAAACTAAGGACTAATACGAAAGAGATAGAGATCAGGTAGTTACAGGGGGAGGAGACAGAGAGACGACGACATAGAATGAATTGGAGTTTGAGGATGAGCTCCGCCCATTTCCGCCATAGCTTTCCCGCACTATGAGCTCTTGTTGCTCTGTTCTACTTCTTCCTCTAATTTTCCCCTTTTCAACGTTTCTATTATTACGCCAACAGTTTATATTCAATCATTTAAATCAAATGCGGTTAAAAGATGCTTAACCCTGTTTAACGCCTGAACATGATATGTTTTTGGTTTAGCCACTGCCTAATCTTGTGTCACAAGCTATATCTGAAGTTTCATTCATTTCGATAAAGTTTTTTAAACAAGATTAGTAATTAACAGAAAGATAATTAGAGAGAAAATGTAATTGATCTATTTCCCATTATATGAACGTATACCATACAACTGGTTTCAAACACACTTTAACAATAGTAATCATGAGTCTACAAGAGAACGTTCATCATTTCTAGTAAACAATGAACATACAAACTTTCGGGAATAGACACAATAATCTATGTATTATACTAAAGAACTAACAAACCCCAAAAATTGATTTTACCAAAAGCAAATCCGGTTCGAAACTATACTCTCATCGAAGATTACCACTAGATTTCTTGGCCTTCTTGCTCGCATAAATCTTCGCATAGATCTCCTTCGTTCTAAACGCAAGCAACACATCAAGACCAACCCCAATAATGGAAGTAAACGCCATTACAATGAAGATGAGACGGTAACAATGAGCTCCTACACACGAATTGCCTCCACCAGGAGTCGCTGTGGCTTCAGCGTCGTAGAGTAAACCGGCGAGAAGACCCGAGAAGAGGAACGAGCCTAGTGGCAAATTAAGTACGAGGATGTTGTAGATGAGTCCGTAGTATTTGAGACCGAAGAGCTCGGAGGCGGTTGGTACGGTTATGGCTAACCGGACTCCATAGCAAACCCCAACCACCATTGAACCGAGGTAGAGTGAGCCGGGCAGGGCTAAAGCCATCAGAAGATATCCTACGGCCATGAGGACTTGAGATGCTGCGTTCCATAATGGTCTTGGTGTTCCAGATTTTCTATACAATTGGGGAGAAAAACATATCACATTGTCAAGATTATTCAATCATCAATGTAATAAAAGTTCCCTTAATAACAAGATTATTCAAGGTCCCACGGTCCCATGTTGTTGTCAAATACATTTTAGAAGATCTACGAAGATCTTTCCCCGCAAAAAGCAATAAACTTTTTCTATGGTCCCCAGGCACTAAATATTGGACCGGTCTATTGTTAGACAAGGAAACTTCTCCTCCATAAGGAGTAAAGTAATAACTACCAAAATGTAATATTCATGCTTTCTTTGAAAAAAATCGGCAATCAAGAAAGAATTTACGTAAATGGAAAAATATTCAATCCAAAGTAACAGAAGAAGAAAGGAATATCATATTTCTTCCTTAGCGGCAAAGCAAAGATGAAACAGAGAAAACCGACTTCACTACAGAATATAGTAGTTTGCTTTAAATGCGTGTTTGCGAATTCTCAAAGTCACGTCACAACTTTAACAAGATCTATGTTAAATAAATTGATTTTCTTTCCAATTATTAAATCAGTTTCCATATTCTAACGAATCTTTAATTTGGAGAGGGTGAAGTGAAGTGACTTACTTGATAAAGTGCTCGGAGATGGTACCGGAGAGAATCCGGCCAAAGAATCCCCAAATGCTCATCATGGAGACAAAAATCGAGACGTTGGTGTAACCAAGCGCAAGCCCGATCTGACCCATATTGTTCATCACAGCTAAACCAGTGCCTACTCCACACAGGAACGACACGAACAACACCCAAAAGTCAACGGTCAACATCGCTTCGAATATGGTGTGGTCTTCTCCAAGCACGGGCCCCTTCTTCTCTATCGCCTCACCGTGGTTCTCCTCCTCCTCCTCCTGCAAAAGCTTAAGATTCGGTGGCAACTCGTTATCCGCCGCCGCTGCAGCACCGACAACTGTCTCCTCCACGATCGCGGATCTCAGCAACGGTTCGTCGATTCGTCCTTCTACGTCTTGTTCGTCGCGATTTAAGCCCTGGATGAAGGCGTGGAAAGGGATGGCGATAGGAGAAGCTAATAGGATGAGAAGTATGGAGGCGAATGCGATGGAGAATGCTCCGGTTTTGATTCCGATTATGTCATAGGACTGAAGGTACACAGCAACCACAACCGCGACGATGTTGAACACGGCGAAGTATCGAGACTCTTCGTTTTCCTCGGCGGCGGAAGTAGCCGGAGGGATTTCACGGAGGAAGAAAACAGCCGTGAGACAGACGGCGAAAGGCACGACGGCGAGGAGCACCAGAAAGGAAGCCGGATCGGCAGAAAACAGAGCAGTGCACAGATCCGTAAAAATCGCAGTGCTCAAACCGACGTATCCTTTCAGAATCCCAGCGACGGGACCACGATTCCGCCGGAAATTGCGTATACAAGTCACCAGAACCGCCGTGTTCATCCACGTCGTGCTGTTTCCTCCCATACAGAGAAACACACACATCTACACAACAACAGAACAATTTCAAAATCGCGTCAAATTGAAAGAGTTTCTAATTTTGAAAATTGGGGCAGATTTGGAATCGAATCAGCGCACCTGCCAATAAGGTAGAGGTTGGATCGTGCGGCTTACGACGAGCCATTGTACACCGTAACCGAGAAGGCCTTCGAAACAGCCGATGAGGAGGATGACGGGAGTGGAAAGACGATCGGAAGCAAGCCCGGCGAGGATCCCGAATGCTTTTCCGACGTCTTTGGCGACGGAGAGATTGTTTAGCTCGAGCTGAGTGAGGTTCATTAGGGATTTGAGAGCGTCAGAGTAATTGGAGAAGGTGTAATTGTTGCCGGAGATGGATTGGACCCAGACAGCTGTAACGAAACCAAGCCATTTCAGAGCCGAGGAAGAGGAAGAAGAAGAAGATCTCCCGAAACCCATTGGAGAATTGAGAAGAAGAAGAAGATGGGATTTTCAAAAAAAAAAAGAAGAAGAAGATGGGAGATATTTTTTAGTGTGTGGGTCGTTGAGCTCTCTACGTACGGTTTTAAAGGTGAAAAGGTTGCATTTATTTATTTAATTCTTTTTTTCGCACTTATCTTTTTGTCAAAAGTATTTATTTTGATACTAGTTATTAACTCATTAAATATTGGTTATTTTATTATATTTAAAGTTAGAATGACGAGTTGAGAAAGTACGAAAGGGACACGTACGGTGAAGGTCGTAAGCCGTGGATGAAATTACGGTGTGCTCCTTCTTGTTTCTCGTGCGCTTTTAATTATATTTGTTTTTGTTAAATAAAAATATCGACAAGAAATTAATGCAAATTGCATTTTTTGTGTTATATTTTTGTCAAGAGTGATAATTAAAATATGATCAAGTAGGGAGTATTGGTACGTAGTTAGTGGATGCCTGGGTGGTTCTGGCAGTTTAATCTTCTTCTTCTTTTACTTTTTGAATATTTATACATGGTTTTATTTAAAGACAAGATGTTTCTTAACTGATCAAAACCATCTACAAAGCCGCAAGTTTTTTTTTCTTCTAATCAGATTAAACATTGTATTTCATCGTCAAAGTCTAAATATAGGTTATGTTTGGTAGCATTAGGGAATCAGGGAATGAAAATAAAGAATATGCAGAATGACATACATATGAGAAAAGTTTGTTGAATTGAAAACTGGGAAAATGTCATTATTTTCCTTTATATTTTTGCTCATTTGCTTTTGGCAGAATGTTGAAAACGCTATATCAATATTCGTGGGTAAATTAGTACATACTATATAAATTTGTAGTAATTGGTATTATGCAAAATAACAAAATTAATCCATTTTTGTCAAAAATAACAAAATTGGTCAATCATCCCACGTTTGTAAGTCTTCGGAGCGATGACTAGATATAATATTTTAAAAAAAAAAAATATCTTGCGGCAACACAAAATAATAAATACTTCAATTGGCCAAGGAATGAAGTCATAAATAGTTGTACGTCACAATGTCACATGAAAATAAATGTGTGGAAATGTCGTACGAATCGAGGAGTGGGAATATTCGGATCGGTAACTGAAGTTTGCAGATCAACAAGTTGGACTTGAGCGGGCTCATTATCTTTGGCTTGAAGCTTCGAATTCGGTTTGGTTTTACTTTTCATTCGGATCATATTTGGATTTTACTTTCACAATTACTAGGCGCCTAGTGGCCTAGTCGGTCTTTTTTACCATATCGATAATACTATGAGTTATATGAGTATTTTGGGTTCACTAGCACATAGTTAGATATATGCTATTCTATTTAGATATTCCAAACCACGACAAAATATTTTATTTCTCATGAATACTACTATTTTGGTTGTATCACAGCTCTATAAAAATGTTTTGTCGTGTTTGTTTCTCCACATGGAATTAATTCTTATAAATATAAAGAGTATGAAAAATAAACTTACATATTATTTCCCTGTTTACATCCAGGGACTGATACCGACAACTGCCTACCATAAACCATTCCAATGCACTTACCAATGAGATATATAAAAAAATATCATTGTCATATTATGTATAATAGTATATAATAGGGTTTACCCGGCGATTATTATTACTTCATCAAGAAATGGTCGCATTTTGGTGTTACATGCAACATATCTCTGACCGTAATATCAGATTAAAAACTATAGTGATACGATATTTTTGAACCTTAGATGCCTATATCTTTCACCAAACACAATGACTACTATGAACACTATTTAATATTTTTTCTGTTTCATAATAAGTGTCATTTGGAGAAAATGTATCATCTAGATGTATTACATTTAAAACACATCTAGATACATTCAGTTACAATACAGATACATTTTCTCTAAATAACATTTATTATGAAACAGAAGGAATATCATTGTTATATATTGTCAATAATAGTAATAGCTTCTGTTCACTCTATAAATTTGTTTTTTTTTGGCTTTATTAAATTTACCACAAGAAGAAATACGACTTTTAAATTTGGATAAAAACATGTCGTGTACAACTCTAACGTTTCATATCGCCAAGCCTCGTATCTCTTTCTTTTAGCTTGTACGTACGGAACAATAATCGCAACACTCAGAATTACGCAGATTAATCTCTTGTTCTAATGACGATGATTATAAACTTTAGTTATTCATCAGGATTTTTTTTTAATATGCAGTTCTGTGCACTATATAAGATACAACACTACCACAAAATTTAGTCCTTCAAAGATAGTTATTCGGATGTGACAATTATCTTATATTTCCATCAAAAAGTTTCTCAGCTTTGGTTGTGTGTAGTTTTAGATGAACGCATTTTTTGGCTCTTCGAATACTCAATGGATCATCCAATCAAAATTTTCGACATTTATTTTCTAACAAAATTAGAAGTCTCTTTTGTTTTTATCATCTAATCAAGCTTTCAAAATTTTAGTTCTCATCATAACTCTATATTATTTAGATTGCTGAAATGAAATTATTACACCAAGAGATAAAACTAAAATATAAAAAACCAATTAATTAACACTAAAAATTAAATTAAAATTGCATTCACAACATAAAATTATTATGTGTTTGTAAGATTATCACTCTTGCAATATAATTTCCTTGCTGGTCGTATATATTGTTGGTCAATACATTAAGCCAAACTATTGATGGAAATTGAACTCAGTCATACATTTTCTAAAATACAGCCTTCTTGATTATGAACGCAATCATTACAAAAACTGATTATCTAACATGTGGAGTGTGGTTTTGTTAAATATACTTATGAAATAATTACTTTCACGCAACGTCCTAAAAGATTTTTTTTTAAAATTTTTAAAATCATTTAATTTAACATTCATACAAAAAAAAACTAATTAAAACTATTTACATTGAATTTTATGAAAACAAATAAAGTTAGTATAACATCTGGTTCAGCTTCGATTGAGGTTCCATTCAAATACTTTAATTCGGCTCGATTGCATTAATATTTGTTTGGTTTGGATTTCGTTCGGTTAATTTATTTTGTATAAAAGGCTTTTTTACCATTTACTCAAAATGAAACTCGTTCTGATTTTGATACGAGACAATTCAGTCCATTTTGACTAGTATCCTCTCAAATAATATAGTTGACGGTTTTGTATCATCATGTACTAATAAGAGTTGAGTTCATATATAGATACATAACGTAGTGATGATAATAGCCACACAAACTTTATAAGTTACGGTTTTTTGTTGGATGAAAATATTTTGTTTTCTGTTAAAGAATATTTGGAAACCAATTTATTAAAATGTATAGCGATGCTATCATGTTATCATTAACCCGGACTTCTCCGCCTCTTTCTTCTCTCGTAAGCAAACTTTTCATTGGCAAAAGGAAGTTTTGATAATTAAGTTCAAGTCAATTTCGACATTACCCTAATGACTCAATGCTAAACTATAAATTCAGACACGGTTTCATTGTGATTGAAGAAATGTGATTGTATCACGCATGAATTGCCAATTTGTTGATGCTCAGTCATCAACACTTTTTATCGTATATGAAAAATTAACTATACATTCGCAAATCGATTGGCATTGTATAATTTATATAAAAAAATATGAATTACGCCCAAATTGATTGGGGTCTATGTTATTCGATTCATGTTTGGTCTAATTTATCATGTATATCACTACACACACAAAAAAAAAAAAAAAAAAAAATCAATCAATAGATGCATATTTGTAGGCTTTAAGATTAGGTTGAAGTTATGCTAAAAAAAAAAATAACAACCACAAAAATCTCATGCTATGTCTGAAAGCTTTATTGCCACTTGCCACTTGTATTTTATGATAAGAGCAATGAAAACTGATGAGGCCAATTCGATATTTCGAACAGTAAGCGAGTGAGTGATATGGACATGTCTCTATCAGTAGTGTGTATTATTATTGTGGGAGAAGTGGTCACACAATTGCCACAATTAGTATAATTTTTTCAAATAAGTGATCTGATTTGTGGAGCAGGTTATCACAATTTGCTTATCACCAAAGATATTTTGAATTAAAAAAAGACGGAAACATTGAACGTTGTACAGTAGTAATTCATAAACGACGACTCCATAAGATATCGATCATTTTATATAAATAGTGGAACGGAAGGTTGAGAACGAGGGACAAAAAATATAAGGAGAAAAAATGATACTCCATGTAGCTAGCAAACAACATTAAAGATAATCGAGTAACTATATCTTTAATAAAAACGTGGGGGTAATTAATGACTATAAATAAATATAAAAATTCACTTTTTATTATTTTATTAACGAGTTTGTGGTTCCGTATATATTTTTTCCTAATGGTGTATGTTTTGGATGTTCTCTAATTTTATTTGCGTCTGATCATCTTGATTTGTTTCGTTAAGACTATTTTAAAAGTTTATTATAGGAAGAAGAAAAAAACACAATGTCTTGACATTACATAACCATTCACCCCAGAATTTTTATTCTGCATCAAGATTTGGTTTCAGTGAGTTGTGAAATAACATATTTCATGATAACAAAATATCTCACCTACCAACTACGGCGGGTGTCCACTAATTTACATTTGAGACGGAGACATCACGATTTGAACTTATTTTTATAAAACTTACAAGTTTGGGCTGACAAAAAATTTTAAAAATTTATTAATGTCTATATATAAAATATAAATTCACTCTTTTATTATTATTTATAAGGAGTTTGTGGGATGCAACGGATAATTGAATTTGATTTTACGGATAAAGTCTGTATGTATGCATACTGAAATAAAAGCCCAATTAATTTGTTTGATAGTAAAAAACACAAGGCTCGTTACGCAATATCTAGGCCCATTAGGATTTGGCAGCACATCACAGACAAAAACAAATCATCTTTGACGAAGAACAACAACAGAGTGTGAATTGGGATCGATTTGGACTGATTGCACAAAATCCCCAAATCCTAGAGCTCCGTTTTCGGAATTATAACGCCGGACACAAGCTTTTCAGTGAATTCTGTAATTCCCATTGCATAGAACTTGGAGGGAAAGAGAGAGATCTAAAAAGAGTGGTTGTTTTTTTTTTTTTGACTTTTTCCCTCTTTTTTTTGTTTGTTTCATCATCGGCATCTGATTTCGAGGCTGAGTTCGAGTTCTCTCCTTGTTCGGGTGCGATGAATTCTTAAGAAGAAGAAGACAGAAGAAAGAAGAAAGATGCGTAGAGAGATCTCGTTTTTGGTACAGCCCAGGTGCCTTCTTCTCCTGGTTGCCCTCACCATTTTCCTCATCTTCGCGCTCTCCAACACCGGAAAAGTACGATTTTTCTCCGACCCACTTTGATGTTATTTCTCAAAAGTATTACACTTTATGTTGATCTGTTCAATGACTCTTGGGCTTATTCGGAGTTTCCATGGTGTCAGTATCGGAATTACTCTTGTTCAAAAGAGTATGAGAGATCTGAATCTCTTAAAACCCATTTTGTGAATGTGAAGTTGCCTTCTGATTAGTGTTGCTTGGATTTGGTTATGAACAATCTCTCATCGATTCAAATCAACACTATATCCTCAAACACATGGAAGCGTTTTAAAGTGAATTTGCGAGAAGAGCTTATATAGTGTTTGATATGTTGGTTCGCTGTGTTGAAAGTATCATAATCTGATGATATAAGTGGCAAATTATCCACGGCACATGCTTCGATTCATTAATCATTTTTTGTGCTAGGATAACAATGTGGGACTGGTTTTAGCTCTCTACTAATTTTATGGCTGATGTTTATGTTTCTCTCCGCATTGTTCTTTAGGTCTTAGTGTCAGTAGTTATAGCCTGTTCATTGATTTGTTTGCGCTCTTGATGCTTAGGAGGAGGATAAGCAAGTAATCGAGGATTACGAAATCACACACAGAGTATATCTCGATGTTGATATCGATGGCCAACGCTTAGGTAAATGGACTGTGTTATATTCTTTCTTCTCCTGTCAAAAACGGGTGGTTTAATTGGCGTTATGTATTCTTGGCCATTTGCTTCCTTCAACTACTGATGATTTCGCTTTCTGTGGTATAATACTTTGCAGGTAGGATCGTTATTGGACTATATGGCACTGTTGTGCCCAAAACTGTAGGTATGTCTCTGACATCGTGAATGCAAACCTCAGGATTCGGTGAGTTTGTTCAAGTAGTTTTCTAACGTTAGATTTTATTTGTCTTTGCAGAAAATTTCAGGGCCTTATGCACAGGTTTGTGCTTGAATGATTTGGTTTATCTTGGATTGGGTGCTTTAGTTCCTGATGAATGTCTCTGAATATAAAACTTAGGAGAGAAAGGAAAAGCTTCAAGCGGAAAGCCTCTACATTATAAAGGAACACCGTTTCATCGTATAATATCTGGATTTGTAATCCAAGGAGGAGACATTGTCAATGGCGATGGAAAAGGGAGCGAGTCAATTTATGGCGGTGCCTTTCCTGATGAAAATTTCAAGATAAAGCATTCACACGCAGGTACGATTGTTCTCTTCACCAACTTAGGAGTTTTGAAGGATTGCTTTGGGGAAAACGAGTTTTATGTATTCTAGTAATTTATCATGTCTTGACATAGGAAAACGAATTTGTATGTGTAGGTGTTGTAGCGATGGCTAATACAGGACCCGATTCTAATGGCTCACAGTTCTTTATCACTACTGTCAAGGCTAGCTGGTAAGCTCTCCTCTCGTACTCACTTCAAGCACAGTGAAAAATCACTTTTTTCTTACGCAGAACATACTAGAATTGAGACCAAAAACTCCAAATTTAAGGCAGACACAGTCACTTTTAGTTTTGTTCTCGACGTTCCTCTAGGGATTCAACATGCGGTTAAAAATGAAAATATAGATGCGGTTTGGACAAGATCATACATTCGAACAAACAGATTCTACTCTAGAATAATATGTTTAATCAAAACACGTTGGATATTGTGGTTTCACTTATGGGTTTCAGTGTAGAATTTAAAACAAAATATGATTTGATGATTGTGAACTTATATGCAGGTTGGAAGGAGAACATGTTGTGTTTGGGAAGGTGATACAAGGAATGGACACTGTATTCGCCATTGAAGGTGGAGCTGGAACTTACAGTGGCAAACCCAGGAAGAAAGTTGTGATTGCTGATTCTGGAGAGATTCCTAAAGACAAATGGGATGAAGAAAGATGACAAAGACAACCCAAGTTACACATCTCAGCAAATCTGGTTCTGGTCTTGTGATATCCTCTCTGTTTTTTTTTTTCTTTCTTTTTGCTGATGTAATGATCTGAATTCTGAACACGATGCCCCAATGTAGTTAGTGTTTAAAGCTGGAAGCATTTGTAGCTCTTCGCTTAAGGTTTTTTCTCCTAAATTTACTTTATTTATATGATTTTCTAGTTCAGTCTACAGTTATATTATGTAGATATCTGATATTTATGACAGGTTGAATTGTTGTAGACAGGATAAATACTAATTTAAACCTCAAGACACTCAAAATCAAGACCTAATAATTTCACAAGTTTAAGATTCGGATTCTCTATATATCGAACCACAATATTGAAACAACAACAAAGAAAAAGGAAAGGATGGTATGGTGAAAGAGATGATTCCAAAGAAGAAACGAACACAAGTATTGCGCAACAAGTCAAAGCCTAACTATTGAACAACTTTAGAAGACAAGCCACCAAAATGTTACAAACAAAACCTCCCAATAACAAACTACAAAAGAGATGTTAATCAATTGAAATCATAAGACTTGTATATATAGACACATGTCAATGCTAGTAGCGACTTACATCTCATCAAAACTCATGTATGGGCTATTCTTATCCACAAGATCTATACAGACATGGTTATGTCCCCCTCAATGCGTGTGAATGTTTTACTAACTTTTTTGATGATTTAGATTATTGATTGTTTGTTTGTTTATACTTGCACGACATTTAGTATGTTAAACAAACTTCATCTGTTGATTATAAATGTTAACAGAAACAAAATTTCGTTTGGGTTTGAAAGTAACTGTTGAAACCTTAATTATTGACATGAATTTCCGAATTTTTTTAAAAAAAATCTTAAATCTTACAACACGCTCAGAGATGGAATTAGGTTGAGATTAAGTTGAAACAGAACAAAAGGGAGCAGGAAGTGTTAGTACTGTCGACCTTATGCACCCGCCCATAATTCTTCCATAACTTTAGATTTTAGTGTTTGGTTTTATTTAATTGCACCAGAATAATTACAGGTAGGGGTCCATGCAAACTCATGTTCATGAACATATATAATCATCTATTCATATTCCATCTAGATATATCTAAATTCAATAATATGCATACGTATGGCATGATACAATTAACGGTATGAGTTGCTCGACTTATACCATACATGTTATGGACAATTTCATCGGAAGACTATATAAACTTTGGGACTGCAAAATTCTTCTTGGAATTGTGTAGTGGCTTTCAACGTATCTTTAGGTTATATTCTGTGAATTGGGCTAATTAACCCCTTATCCCGAGAATAGTTGCATAAATTGATCATGGTTAAAATTAAGGTTATATTTTATCTTTTTTTTTTTTTTTTGGGTGTAATTCAGCAATAACATGTAAAAAATCTCTCGTGTCTCATTCCTTAGCTTCCACGCAAAGGGTCGCTTGAGTTTTGAGTGACACTAAATTGGAGAGACCAATGAGGATGTAAGCGTTGGATCCAATCCTATTTTATGGGACCAGCTTCTCTCGATTCCTCGCGTCTTTCTTCTTTTTTTCCTTGACTTCTTGTGATCATTTTTCAATCCTAATTTAATCATCTTCATAAGTAATAGATATAAATAATTCATGCTTTTGTTATATTTTCTTCGTTTATATTTGCACATTGCCTTGACATTGTAAATTACACTAGTGTGTATATCTTCTGACAACATAATAATACAATAATATAGTATGTTTGTAAAGATATATTTTTTAACTTAGAAAGAAAATGGCTAGCAAAAAAAAAAAAAAGGAGAAAAAGAATTACAAAACACAAACGAGAAGACAAGAAAATGAGAAATTTTAGTTGTGTGCCGTGCTATGTTTACAATTTTATGAATAGTGTTTGATATAAATATAATTTCCTGTATTTTCTTAAGATATTTTAGTTAGCATCGATACCAATATGTATTTTCTTAAAACATTTCGATTAGTTTCCAACGCCGATACCACATTCGCAATGATTCTTTTAATTAGGGAGAAGTTGAGTGTTTGTTCCCAAATTCGAGTTTTTGCCGGAAATAGATAATAATCTACGCTTTAACATTACTAAAGGATGATCTCGCAATCCTTTGGTGTTAATGTTTATTGGAAATTCTATCTTAACACTAACTGTCTTAACACCATCGGGATTCTAATCACAAAGTAGTGGATGGGAGTTGAACATTTGTATGAATAAAAGCATTACTTTGATATATTTCTATGAATATCTACGTTTTACAACTTTGTACGCAAGTGTTGTTTCCATTATTCTTTTTAAAGTTACTTTTTATTTACAACTTTCTACTTAACACAAATTCACTATCAAGAAATATCCCCTTTATATAGAAGATGTACTAATTATTTTATACTGTTTTAAAATAAAAATATGAATAAAACAGTGCAAGTATTATTAGAATATGGGGCCCTTATTACATTGGTACACGCACGGGAAAAACACAGCTAGCTAATGAAAGTTGAAACCGTTATTTTTTGGTAAGGGAAGAAAAAGATTAGACAAAAAAACTCTTAATATAGTTTTAATAGGCGAAATTCCCAATTCTGAACAATCTAATGATTAGTTTTTATCCCAAGTTGTTTTTTTTCTCATTAATTAGTTGCTTGGGTAAACCCACAGAATTCAAATTTAAAAGAAATAATTAGTTCTTTTTAACCATGGTTATCTTTAGTGACAAAAAAAAAATATATATGTATGGGTGTTCTTTTTTGGCGCTTCAGGGAATGGTACTTTTGTAATAATCAAGAAACACAGTGGCATTAGTTTAAGAACTTCTTTATATAAGAAAGTCTCCAAACTACACTCTCCTCACAATACACACACAGCAGAAAAAACTCTCTACACACAAAACACTAACGAAGGAAGAAGAAGAAGAAGACGACGACACAATCTAAGCTCAGCAACACTCAATATGGCTTTGACGACGGTAAAAATAATTTATTTCAAATCTAAAACAGCTTGTTTTATTTTAACTTTTGGCTTCTTATATGAAAACTGTGGAATTGATTTTGAGATAATATTTGTATAGGCGTCGACGAACGGGATGTGGATGACGGAGGATTGCAAGAGATCGTTCATGGAGATGAAGTGGAAGAAAGTTCACAGATACATCGTTTTCAAAATCGAGGAGAAATCCAGGAAGTTCGCCGTCGACAAGGTCGGTGCCGCCGGCGAGAGCTACCACGATCTCGCCGCTTCCTTGCCGGAAAATGACTGTCGCTACGCCGTCTTTGATTTCGATTACGTCACCGTCGATAACTGCCGCATGAGCAAGCTCTTCTTCATCACCTGGTAACTCTCTCTCTCGTACTGCCTAAATTACTTTTCTACCCAACTATAATCCTGTCTTCTCTAGTTCGATTTTCCAAGGGCAAAGTAGTCATTTACCGAATGCGGGGTGTGTTTTTAACAAACAGAATCCGAACTACAATCGAACCGAACCAAACCCTTAAAACCAACTGAACCAAATCTCAAACCAATCCATTCTAGATTTGGTTTATTTAAACCCGAAAACTGAATGATCAATTTTTCCGAACCAAAATTCCCGGATTAAATGATCGAGGTGTTTTGAAATCGACGGAAGGACCGAAACGTAATTTTAATTGTTGCCGGAACAGGTCGCCGGAGGCGTCGAGGATAAGGGAGAAGATGGTGTACGCGACGTCGAAGAGTGGCCTGAGAAGAGTGTTGGAAGGCATTCACTTTGAGCTTCAAGCCACCGACCCAACCGAGATGGGATTCGACAAAATCAAAGACCGGGCCAAATAACTACAGTCCATAACCGGAGTTACATCGTCGGGTTATTATGTGATAAGCAGCAGTTAATTCTCCATTAAATGTTAGTTAATTGTTGTTTAGTACTTAACTTATTTCCATTTGTTGTCAAAAAATATAATTCCCTACAAAAATGTTGACAAGTGTTTCGTTTTTAACTGTTGCTGTTAATTTCTTAAACATAATAATTGCTGAACGTTACTTTTTTTTTTTTAACAATCGACTACAACACTAAACTTATTAAGATTATCCCTATGACTAACAATCGACTTATTCGAAAACAGTTGATTTATTTTATAACAATCGACTTAAAAAAAAGTATGGTGGTGTTCCTGAGAGTCAGACCTCAGGCAAAGCACCGTAAAAATGTTTGAACATCAGTAAACTCAAGTGTGGATTAATATTATGATCGATTTTCTAAAAGTACAACTTAAATTATTATTTTTTATGGAAAAAGAGGGGTTAAATTGATTTTAAGATGGTTCAGAGAAAGCATGAAGTATGAACGTAACATACTAACATGCTTCAATTTTTCAGGTAATTGAGCTGTTTCACTGACCACTCAAAGCATTCTTCCATCCGTAGAACTCATTAATATACAAAAAAAAAAAAAAAAACTTTTCCGGATTGGGTCTAATTCTTAGACTGAATTTCGAAATGAGTTGTGGATCTCATCTAAATCAACTGAAATTTACTCAATTGTGTATGGGATTATCCACATCCTAGGATCCAATTCTTCTAATGGGTATAAGTTTATAAATTAAATTTCATAGTTCTCGGCCCAATCTTTTACTAACACCCAACTCAACCAAAAAGTTGCAAACACTGAACTCTTACGTTAATGTTTTGATTATGATTCTTAAACTCTACAAAGTATACAAAGTTGCTCTCGTAGCTCAGTTGGTTAGAGCACCCGTTTAGTAAGCGGGAGGTCTTGAGTTCAACTCTCAACGAAAGCATATTATTTTCCTTTTTTTTTCACCTATTCTTTTTTGGCCAGGAGAAAACTCGCAAGAGTCTCGAAAATATCTGGGAATATTTTCTGGGACCCATCCACATTCACCTCGAAATGATGAAAATGTTCGTTGTTGATGGGATTGCGACGCTTTTAACTTTGGCAAGTCTTTAATCCCAATTCACCGTTTCATGCGCTCCATCATTTACAAATCTTACGCAGGGAAGTAAAACACAGTCACACAAAAACACCCTTTAATCATTTTCAAACTTTGGTAGCTTTTCCATTTCAGTTGAGACACAACTTTATGTTTACATTTTTATAATAAGAAAAAAAACATATTCTTTTTTTTCGATTTTACTTTTACTTTTAAGTAGGTTTTAATTGACAGCAGATGCAATGTCCGAAGAACGAACCCCTTTTTCAAAAGGCTAAAACTTTTACGGTTTTAAAAAGTTAATACTTTATATATGTGACTAGTAATAATAATTTTGTTCGCTGTCAGAATGGACCCAAGGTTGCAAGTGTAAGGTCCACGAATCAACTATCAAGTTTCATCCCACAAAAAAAGTGGATTTTTCTTATCTAAAAACAACCCACGGACTAGCATTTTCGTTACTGCAATGTTTAACCACTTGGCTTGTTTAAAATAGATAGATGTTTACATAACTAAACAAATGTTTGGGTCGACCATTTGATATATACTTGCATGAGAGATCATAATTTACGTTTTTAAAAAAAAATCCAAATACACAATGGGTTAGTTTAGTTGGATGTTGATATTGGCATGGAGGAATTATTGAAACGAGGTTTCCATTTATCGACTACAAAATTAGGCCCATTCAAAAATGTGTGTGCATATTATTTATTCCCTCTCACGTCCTTTTGTTTGTGCTCACGCAACGTAAATGAGCTTGTTTTCAAAATTCACGAAGTAATTATTTCCATTCCGTGGAAGAATTTTCACATGAAAAGCACGATATACTCACATATTGAAATGACCATATGTATAGAGCATTCGAATCACAGCAGAATACAAACATTTTAACTTACCAAATTCATTTTCCACAGTAGAAAATGTGTTCAGTTCACTCGGTAACCACTGAGAAGTGAAAGCACCACTTTTTTTGTTTTACCGACTTCTTTTTGAGGTTCGAACATGTGAACGAATGTACATGAAAAAAATATTTTGTTGTTAGTAGAATGTATTAAAAAAATCATATATAAATATGACTAATCCAAACAATTATAGATAACATAAAACATAATCGAGCGATACTTCAAATGCTATTATGCACAAACAAACTATTTTATATCAATCTCACTAGTCATATGCATATTAATAAAGATATGTTTTACGATTCTGCTTAGTGACTATTGTGGTAGCTATACAAAACCTATATACTCTCTTCTTTACATTATTAGATCGTACAGAATCTAGAGACAAATAAACCCAAGTAAAGAAGTGGGACCTATGTGCCCATTTATTTTCTTATATTTCTTTTAAAGTGGGAACTCAAATAAACGTCAAAGCATACACATACTGACATACATCTCCATGGTTATGCTACTTTGCACAATTGACAAATCAATCATCGCTCTCTCTTTCCCATGTCGAAATCAATCATCTTCTATTATGATGTCTGCATATTTATAATTCTGTGGCCCTTAGTCGTTGGGGTACAATCATATATATACGTCGTTGAATTTTCAACTTCCATTTTTTTCTTCTTCCAGATTTGTTTTTTATAATCAAGACAACAAATACTAAAATTTTGTCCTCTCATTTTCTTTTTAACATAACTCATTTCTGTGCGTATGTAACATAAAAAAAAAAGACGAGGTAAAATCTCATTTAGAAAAAGAAAACACAGAACATAAAAAAAAAAGCCCGCTAACTCAAATTCTACAGTTATTGCTACATTTCATAAGGGTTTATGATCATGAGTCATGACCGCATGATCATCCAAAACCCCGACCCGGATTTATAACGGGTCCATTTGGGTCACCACAACGGGGCTCCGGACCACGTGTTTCCCACCATCAAACCACGTCACCGACCCGAATGCAGCACCCGTTTCTCCCAACACCACATTCTTTGGATCCACCGTCACCGTTACTGCATAGCTCCGTCTCTTAACGGCAGAACTAAACACAAGCCTCGGGGGCTTCACCGTTATCGTCACTCCTCTCGGCGACTCTATCCTCGCCCGGTAAACCGCCTCCGGCTGTCCAACATTCGTCGCCGTTCGTACAATAGTCTTGCTCAACGACCCTCTTCTCGAAGTAGGGAACATCGCCGTGATCGATGGGTAATTCAAGTTCCCCGGTGACGGTTTTCTAGTTGTTGGACATCTCACCGGCGTTCGTGTGATTACTTGAATCGTCTTTGGCCCGTACCCGATTGAGCAGAGAAACGTGATGTAATCGTCGTTGGTTATGTCGTAGACGAGACCCGGATCTATTGCCCGACCCAAATTGAGATGACCCGATCCGAAATCGTAAGGTGTACCCGATTTCCCGGTTGATTCGTCGATTAACGAGCGGTTAGAGTTATCTACGAGGTTAGTTGTCGTCATCATGGCGGATCTTATCGCGGCCGGGCTCCAATCGGGATGAGCGGATTTGAGCAGCGCCGCCGCTCCACTGACATGAGGACACGCCATTGATGTACCGGAGAGGATGTTGAACTCCGTTTTCCGTGGATCCGACGGCAATCCCGTAGGCCCCACATTGTCGGTCCATGCCGCGAGGATGTTAACTCCGGGAGCAATCAAATCGGGTTTTAGGATCTCTGGGTTTAACCCGTTCGGTCCTCTCCCGGAGAAAGAAGCAACAACTGGAGCTGGTTTGATTCCGACTATAGTCCCTCTGAAATCGATCGATGCAACTGGCTTTGGATGTGAAGAAGCGTAGGCTTTGATCCTATCTCCTTCGTTTGATCCGACGGCGCAGGCGGGGATAAGGTGAGCATCTCCGACTAATCCTTCGCCGTTGGATGCGCCGTTCGCGAGAATCATCCCGACGCCGCCTGCTTTCTTCACCACTAGACCTTTCGCTACACGAGGACTGCTTCCTCTATCACAAATTACTATTTTACCCTTCACATGCTTCGGGTCGAGTGAATTCTCCATACAGAGAGAAGCCGAAGACATTCCCGCTTTGCCAGGGTAAACCACCGGGAACATTCGGCCGTTGAGCGGTACGCCGGCGTAAAGAGACACGCCTCTGAGACGGTGTCCGTCACCCAGAACAGCATCCGCCGGAAAATTTCGATCGATTGTTCCGGCACCGACGGTTGTTACCCATGGCGCAAGGTTTGTAACGGACATACCGTTAGGTCCTTCGTTTCCGGCGGAGGAGGAGACGAAGATTCCTTTAGACGCCGCGCCGTAGGAGCCTATTGCGATTGGATCGAGATAATACGGCGAAGTAATCCCGTCTCCACCACCGATGGATATCGATATGACGTCGACACCGTCTACAACAGCGGCATCGAAAGCGGCGAGGATATCGGAATCAAGGCAACCAGAATCTTTCCAGCAGACTTTATAGGCGGCGATACGAGCTTTGGGAGCCACACCTTTCGCGACACCGGATGCGTAACCGGACATGCTCGCCTTAAAGGCGTGACGTCCAGCGGCGGTAGAGGCGGTGTGAGTTCCGTGACCATCGGCGTCACGAGGAGAAAGATATTCAACCGTTTTGTTGATTCCTCCAATCACGGCGCCTTGTTGTCCCTTGGCGAAGAATCTGGCTCCGACGATTTTCCGGTTACAATTCCTAGGCCCGAATCTGGCTCCAGACTCGCAAACGCCTCTCCACCGCTTCGGAATCGGACCTAGATTGAGATCTGAGAAACTCCTCCTCTCCGGCCAAATCCCAGTGTCAAAAACGCCGATGATTACGTCTGATCCGTAATCGGAATCGGACCAGAGGCCCTTCTGATTCTGTAGACCTAAGAATTGGGGAGAACGCGTAGTGTGAAGCTCACGACGCCGGTCCTCGAAAACAGCAAGAACCGCCGGGTGGTTACGGATGCTATCTGCTTCTTCGGGGAAAACAACGGCAGAGAAGCCATGGAAGACGGTGTGGTACACATGGAGGATACGAGATCCTTCGGCGAACTCGGAGCTGTACCAGTGGTAGTGCGTCAGGAAAACAGATGGCATAGATCCACCATCGACGCGGAAAATGAAGGTCTTCGCTGTCTGAGCGGAGGAAAAGGTAATAAACAGAGAAGAGAGAAAGAAGAAGAAGTGGAGAAGAAGAGTGGAGGAAGCCATGGGAAGAGTGGAGGGAGTGAAGTGAGTGGGGTTTTACCGACATTGGTGCTTCCCTCTGATAATATATAAAGGAAAAAGTTAATTTTGTTTTGATTAAAAAATGTTGTATTTTATTGTTAATTACTCTGATAAATCACCTTGCGTATTCCTAGTACCAGCATGTCGCTTGTATGATTCTGGGAAATAATATAATGGTCTGAGATTAATAATAAATCGCAAAATACACAATTTTGACGAATTTCTTGTGTTACTAACGAGAACATCTTATTCTGAATAAAAATGCAAAAATGGTAGGAGTATGTTATCTTTCGTTTAATAATGCTATAATTATTATTCTATTCATTTCATAAAGAGTGTCGTTTTAGAGTTTTATTTTTATTTTATAAAAAGTGTCATTTTATATTTCTAATATAAATTTTTAATTAAAAATTTAATTTTAAATTTATTATTTTAATGTATTAATTAGAAAGAAAAAACTGTTTAGTATATTTATAAAAAAAAAAAAAGTTTTTTATTAAGTTTTTTAATATGTGTGAAAAGTGTAAAGATAATTATTGAAATGCTGTAAAAAAAAAAAATTATTGAAATGTGTGGACACCTGGGCAGTGCTAGAGGTAATGGATCTAAACGTCAGCGTTTGCTGAGAGAAAATGAGTCATCGATTGTATTTAATTTTTGTTTGACAAAAGTAGACATCGGAACTGCGGAAGTCACCTTTTTCTTCTCTCGTTTCTCCAGGAAAGAGGTGATCACCTGCATGTGAGATCATCGTAACAATAATACGATCGACTCCTAACGATCGATATTTTCCTCGACAAATCAACCAAGACCCTTTGATCATAAACTCATGCAACTACTAACACGTTGCAACCCCTTTTATTTTTTCAACAAAAAGTATAATAGTAGTAGTATAGACTTTTATAAAAAAAAATTGATGTATATTCATATATATTTTTAAATAGTTGTTGACATTTTTGAATGCAGTTTTTAACAACAACAAAAAATACTAGTTGTTAACATTTTTGTCTTTTTGTACTTATATTTTTATATTCGTCGATCATGAACAACAACGGCTATAAGAAATTTTATTTTAACTTTTTACTCAGATATCAGGATTATAGGGCTACCCCCGTGGAAAAGTTCCGGTAAAAATAAATAAAGCCCATTTGTGCATTGGGCTACTAGTTATCTTATTGTATATGTTTAGCAGGCCGAACAAGGATATGCTACTTTCTGGTCAAATAAGTGTCTAAAATGTATAATGAGTATATCCATAAAGTAGGTTAATAATCGATATGAGCTCTTTAGTCTCTATTTTGATAACGTTTGATTTTATATCTTTCATATTTTCGAGATTTTGTATCTTCAGTATTAGATTTATTCATCATTCTCACTAATATAACAGTACAAACTACTAAACCACAGCTGTTTTTCAGTTTTTAGAATTCTACTATTCATCTATCTTCGGTGATCAATTTTTCTTTAAAGTTTAAATATCTTTGGAAAAATCGACACCATATGATGTACTAACGTCTCATATCATTTTGGAAATATGGTTATAGTGAGACTTATTAAATTTCTATTTTTGATAAATCGAAAAACTTTCATTTGATAAAGACATATTGTACTATCACATTGAATGTGTGTAATGAAACGAAATATGTCGAAAAGTTGCAGTGAATAGAAACATATACAAATAGTAACACACCCTTTCAATCGTTCTCACGCTTCTCATCCTTACACAGCTTATCCACTTCCTTGAAATGTCAAATCTCTTGGGAATAACCATTGCCAATTATCAAACATGGGCTGCTTTACGTTGTCCTTAATTACTCCAAAAAAGATTACAGTCAAAGATTAATAAAAACTTTCCACCATCACTATAGATCCCGTTTGAGTAACTTGGCTTCAGAAATAAATAATGGAGATGCACCTAAAATTGGAAAAGAAAAATGAAGTGAAGTAAGGATATGAAACTGGACAAAAGAATAATACGTTAATATCATAGCTATAAATAATTTTCTTAATATTTTTTCATTACATTTCGTTTCAGTTCATTTCCAAACTACTAAAATCCAAAACACTAGTGTTTAAACTCAAGAAGTCATAACCAACAGCACTACTACTAATGTCGCTTGAAGAATAGCTGGTACTACTACTGTCCTCTATCTGACATTTCATATCATCACAGCTACACTCCTTGTCGTTTCCCAACCTAGAATGGCACGCAATGCACCGGTATTTCTCTCTCCCAAACCGGAGTTTCGTCTCCTCATGGTGCTGCTGCTGGTCTTGCCATGGCGGGCTGATTCTAAGCTCAAGATTCAAATCTAAGCATCTTTCTTCAACAATTGAGTACTCAACTCTCTCTTTTTTGCAAGTCAGTCCCTTTTCATGATTTCTCTCATCCCCAAAACTTTCCTTTTTCTCTAATTGAGGACCGAAAGAGAGAATCTTCTTCACTAGCGAGTCCTCTGTTTCTCTAGATTCAGACGAACCTCGAGAACTTTTGGCCTCGTTGATCGGCCGGTGAGTCGCTGGATCAATCCCTCTTCTTAAAAGCTTCCTCTTTACATGTGTGTTCCAGTAATTCTTAATCTCATTATCTGTTCTTCCAGGTAATCTTGTCGCAATAAGAGACCACCTAAAAACAATAAAAAACAGAGCATAAGAAACAGAGCATATTGAAAAGGCAGAGGACTTGTTGAAGGGTTTGTAACTCTCTCACTTGTTTCCGAGGAGGCTATGGAGCTTGATGATGAGATTGTCTTCGTCGAGGGTGAAGTTTCCCCTCTTGAGATCAGGACGGAGATAGTTAATCCACCGGAGACGGCAGCTTTTGCCGCATCGGAGAAGACCGGCCGATCTGGGAAGAGAACGCCAACAACCTTCTCCATGAGATTTAATGTAAGAAATGAGCTTATCGTCTTCTTCCTTAGTCCAAGCGCCTTTGTTCGTGTGGTCTTTCTCGCAGCAAGGAGACCTCCCCATCTTGTGATATGATAATGTCTTCTTGTGATGATGAAAATTAGGGTTTTATGGAGAGATGTTTGAGAGAGAGAGAGAGAGAGAGAGAGAGAGAGGTTGGAGGAGGAAGGTGAAGCCTAAATTGTTTCTAGAAGAGAGTTGGTAAGACACGTTTGAAGGATTGGATAGTGGGCTCCGTTTCTGATTACTCTCCTTTTCTTTAAATTTAAAATGAAATGTTGTTGTAAGTATTCGTTTTTATTTCTTTGGATCAAAAACTTTAAACCGCAATATTCACACGGCTTCTTCGTCATCTCTCAATGGGAAAACGCTATAGAGCATTAAAGTTCTTTTTTCTTCCTCTTATTCTAACATTATATAAGCCTAGTATGTGTGTGAAACCATAATTATATATATTCGAACCTGAGTCTAACACGTCCAAATTTAATATTCCTATAATTTTCTTTGTTTGGTATTGTTTATTAGAAATGGCAGATCCCACAACACATCTTGATTTTTAGTCAGAATCTAATCTTTGTGTAAACGCTTACGGCGTTACCTTTCAACAGGATTTTACCACAACACACCATCGCAAGACAATGTACTACAGTATGTGCTATTGTACAAGAGTTATTAGAGAAATGTAATGTACGTAGAAAATAGGTTTGAGGGTAAAAGTAATAACTAGAAAGGATATTTTTTCAAGACATAATATGATGGTTTCGTACTGCATCGAATTGTGGACATTTACGTAACAATAATGAGAAAATAGTATTTGTCATAGTGAGTTTGGTAAGGAGGTTGTAAAGAGCATACAAAGTAGAGTATTCAGAACATTTCAAAAAAGAAAACAATTGTTAGTTTAAAAGTAATGATATATGCCATTACGTAAGTAAAATCTTGAAACAACTATAAATTTCCTTGCAACTAACGCCAGTTCAGGAGCTTCTACAGTGAACAATTTCTCCAAAATATTGCCCAGCATGAAGATTTAGAAAAGAAAAAGGAAATTTTCACTAAAATTGTCAAGAAAATCTAGTGTTGGAGGGTGAAACCTCACGTGGAGTTTGTAATGTGATGAAAAAATAGAGAAAGTGGATTGCTACCTGTTTTCTCCTTCTTTTTTTAATGATTTCTCCTAACACGCGACCTATTTTTACTCTCTCAACTACCAAAATACCAAACCTTTAATTATTTTCCGTCATTAATTCAAGGTTTTCTATTATTGTAACGTTCAACTAATTCTGAAAAAAACATGGTTTCCTGAAAAACGCTTTTGGCAAGCTTATCATGGAATAAATCATTGGGTCGAAACTCTATACCAATCACCAAATAGTCTAAAATAATCTGTCTGTATATAACTAAAATCCAATTCTAGAAATCTATGAATTTATGACCGCACCCTATAAAATACTCGTAAAGGTCCTTTTCTTTTTCACCAAAGCGAAGATAAAAATACATTCTCTTCTTAACGTTAGAAATTCGCCGTTTAGGTTCGCATGCATGTGGCATTTGCTGAAGTACTTGTAACAATGTATGTGTCCGATTAGCTCAAGAAATGGATACAAGATTAGTGGTTAATTTAAACAACCGATTTGTACATCGTTAAATTTTTCTATTAGAAGTTCTTTTTGAACCTTTTACTTGTTCTCGACAAAGTATAAAAGAGTACGTCTAAAAGATATTCGGAGTATTGATATAAACATATCGAATTATATATATGACTTTGGTTTTAAAATTATCTGGAGTTCTTTTATTAGAAAAGGAAAGTATAGCTTTATTGGTAGGAGTTTGTTAGATACCTGAAAGACAATCCTAAAGAGTTTGGTAGATTTCATGGTGTACATTTACTCCCAACTCCTACCGACATAATAGAGTATTTAATCAACAATAAAGAAACTGGATAGAGTATACATGTGATTTGTTGTCCACACACCAAACAAATCTTTAAATAAAAGGTATTATGTATACGACTTTTACAAAATCATTTACATGCGCTCCAAATTCATTTCGCGTTCGTCATTGTCTTTTTTCAATTTTATGAGCGTTCTGAAACACGAGAGTAATCAGATGCAAATTATATGATTCAAAATTTGTCGTAAACATCCAATGAAGTTCACGCTTCTCTGTGTTTAGAAAGCTTTTTTTGGAATTGAGACGTGGCTATTGTTGTTATCAACCTATATGGATGCTATTGGATATGTCATAGACTTTATTAATCTTTGTCTGTTTGCAGAAGAATCGTGGATTTAATCGATTTAATTGTTATGATACAATGTCTTGAATGTTAATCAGCAAAAGGAGAGAAAGATTATATATGGTTCTGCAAGATTTGTATATTAGCCATATACAGTATGTTCATAGTCTTGCACGTTTTTTCGATTAAAAATGTTTTTTTTCTTAGCATTTGATTCTGCTCTTAGATTTATAAAATTTGTTTTGCCTTTTATGATTTTGCAATTAATTATACAGAATCAAGAAACCGGTCACCTTTTACATATGTTAGTAGCTTTTAAGATTTATGGTTGACTGAGCTATTATAAAAATGATTAATCCTCTTTTAGTATAAACTAGGTATTTACTTGCACTATGCTGCGGGATGTTATTCTAAATTTTATATATTTTAAAAATAAAAAGTTTTTACAGTATAAATAAATATTATATTTATTTTTTATTTAGCATAAACTTTGGATTTAGGCCCTATTTATTCTTCCATCTATATGGTTCATTTGAATAAAAATGATAATTTTGTTTGTTTTGTAACAAAATCAAAAAATATAATTTTTTAAGATTTAGATAAATTTATGAGAATTATCTGAATGAACCAAATTGGACCATCTTGATAAAGATGTTTCAGTTCAAAATGACAAATGACTAAAATACTATTAAATTTAAAAATAATAAAAAAACTAAAATCATATTTTTCGAAAAACCCACAAATTTTTTTGTCTAACAAAATCTGAAAAATTATATTTTTTTTTCTAAACTGGTAAAATTATATTTTCTGGTAAAATCGAGAAATCGCATTTATCAACCAAAACTAAAAAAACATATTTTACTATTATAAGTTTACTTATGATCACAGGTTATATTCATATTTTTAATTATGAAAATTTTAATGTATATTTTTCTTACACTAACTAAAATAATTATTTTAACATTAATATTTCTTTAGCATTAAAAAAATATTTAGTAAAAACCACAAATGAAACAACAATTCACATTAGCTTACATATTTACTATAGCTTAAGTTTATATATTGACTAGATCGCTACCTTAGCTCTAGAAATTAAAAAAGCTACAAAATATATCGAAAGAAATCAAATAACCATGTCAAATGTTTGAAGCTCGTATTTAATTGACCTCAGATCTTATAACTTTATTTTTCTTCAGTTCTTCTTCTCTCACATATGCTAGAAACAAGTCTAGCAACTACGAAAATGGCTTCACAATGTCGCCATTCCTCCCATTCTCTAAATCATATCAGCGTTTCTTTCATCTATTGAATCATAGTCACTGGTCGAGATTTAGGCGGTTAACAACTTTTTCGATCAGATCTCTGATACCTTTAAACATAATTTATTTGCTTTCAAAAACTTAACACACTTTCAAATATTCATTCATAACTATACAATAATTTGATTAAAAATACTCATTCTTTTGATAATTAATTAAAATTTAGTGCACTCTCTCTTTGTCAAAGTATAAAAAAATTATTTAATTTAAATATATAGAAAACATAATTTTCTTGATTTTTTACTTTTTTCATATCTTTGCTTTAAACATGTAAACATTAACATTATCATACCTAAATATTAGTCACACTTATATGTATATATCAAACCTTCAAACTTCACACTATATTTATATATAGTTTTATTAATAAGCCATAAGACAGATATGATACAAAAGTAACACCCAAATACAAAGGCCCAAAACATTAAAGTATTAAACGCAAGCTTAAATACAACTTAAACTACATTTGCTGTTACGATAATTGGATATATCATCCGTCTTTAGCATCAGGGACAAAGCTTTACCACTTTAAAGTTTCAAATTTCAGAAAATTCATCATCACAATGCGATTGCAGATATTTTTCAAACTCTTTCGAGAACCACCGTCCTCAATAGATACACGGTTAAAAAATCCTTCTTCTCCACAAAGTTGCCACAAAGTTAAAATCTTAGAAGTGAAATCGTAAGTTTGATGAGATAACAATATTAATTGATTCATTAGAATTTTAGGTTTGTTTGCCAATAAATGTTATCAATTAGTTAGGTTAATTAGATAATTTCTAGAATAATTGAGGAAGATGGACAGAGAAGATGATGATAGGGAAAAGGAGAAAGAAGATGTCGATAATATAAAATGTGCTTCAGTTTGTTCTTTTAAAAAAAAAAAAAAATTAAAAATTATAAAACAACACGTAGTACATTATTAAAAATGGTTTGTTTTAATTTTTTGTCATCGATATAATGAGGGTTAATTTTACAGTTATCCCAAAATAATAATATTGGGCTTCAATTTCTATGTAATATACATATTAGGTCTTATTAATGAAAAATTTTGATGATAAAAAGAAAAAAATTTGTATATGTGTTAAAATATTGAGATGAAGTGTACTAATGAAATATTTTTATTGGTTCAGTATTTTGCTGATGTGTCAGCTTCTAATAATACAAAAAAGCTGAGTTGTCAACACATGGAGAGACTTATGGATTATTGTTGTATTGATTTGTAATGTTAAAAGTAAATTCTAGTTCTATATTATATTTGACATATATATATTAGTATGTATTAGTGTAGTACCAATTAATCATTTAATATACATTTTCAGATATTACAACAAAAATATGAGAAAAGAGTCAAAATTCAATATTGACTACCGACCTTAAAACAAAGTAACCGTTACCGTATATCAGAAGCATCTTAACATTTATATTCAACTTCAGAGGATAAAACCCGTAAATCTTCTAATTCTTGATCTTTCATTTCTGATTCTCCATACGATCTTTTTCCAAATTTGTCTTCTTCATACGATTTTTGAATTCTTGTAGCGGAAAATCGACGAACGAATCCCTAATTTCCAGTAAAAAATCGAACTTGGGGTGGTCGTACGTGAATATGTTGCTAATGGATGATGATTCCGACTTATCTTCGTTGATTTTGCCTCGCTCGCCGCTAATACTATCGAAACCTTAGACGAGTCGTCTTCGTCACCAATGGCGTCGAGGGGAGCGGATGCTGTTCAGTCATTGGCTATTTCGTCGCCAAATCGAGATTATGGTGATCCTCTATCGACGGAATCCTCAATTCGGCCTCGAAATTTAGATGGGTCTCCCTCTACACCCTAATTGTGCATCCTCCAGTAAAGTTCTGAGCGCAGTGATGAGTGCAATGGTGATACTGAATCCATGGTGACAGAGTCTCAGATTCCACCTTTAATTGACTCCGAGAGCAATTACCAGATGAAATCAACAATTCAATCTTTGACATCTGAGAATTGCCAAAAATGGACACCCAATGTTTCACCTGGATATGAAGCAAAAACCTCCGAAGATCGTCGAGCCCAATATGTTTCTGATTGCGTTTCAATATATACGTTTTTTTAGGTTCTTCTTTGGCTATAGTTGTGTTCAATCTGATCTCTGAAATACGATTTTGGCGTTAACTCGTTAGGGTGCTGGACTTTTGAATCTAGGCAACAGTTGTTTCGTTAACTCGGTGTTGCAGCATTTCACTCACACTGTGCTGCTTATACACTTAAACTTCAAGATCCTTATAACTGTAAGACAAGCTCTCACAATGTGGCTTTTCTTTATTTTCACATTACTTTGTAGTGATCTTGTGTATATCTTTTGAATTTGAAGGTGGCAATGAAGCGTTCTGTGTTATAAAGGCTGTTCGAAGTCACATCGAGGCTTCTCTCAATTTTATCCTTCATCATAGTCGATAAACTGCTTTCACCATGTTTTATCATATTCTCTGAAGACATTGCTCTGCCTGCATATCTTGATTTTATCCTTAAGCTACCACAGATTTCTCGCCTGGCTTCCAGCGTTACCAACAAGAAGATGCGCATGAGTTCCTACTTCCTACAGGCATTCTTGGATAAGTTGAAGATATGTTGCTTGGATCGTTACAGGCGCTAACCTTGTTCAGCATGTCTTTGATGGTCGTCTCGTGAGTGGGGTAAGATGTTATACGTTTTGTCAAGAAATTCTTGGTAATGGGTTTTAACTTTTAAGGCATTTCTTCTTTTCAGCTTCGTTTCTACAACTGCAACTCTGTTTCTGAGACATTTGAGAACTCTCTTGGTTTGAGTTTGGAGATTGGAGATGTGGAAGATCTTTGGAGCGCACTCTATTCTTTTATCCGTGTAGAAAAGCTTGAAGACGACTGTCCGGTAAGGAAAATCGTTTTATCCATGTTAATGGTAAACTTATGGAGCTTAGTACTTAATAATGGTTTGTGTGTGTGATTGATTGATGATTCTGCGGAACGGACTTTGCAAATTCAACTCAAGCAATTGGATAACACAAATAGCCAAGAGGAAGAAGATCCTTGCAAGCAGACATTACCTATAAGCGACGTGGCAGATTATAAGGAAGCGGAAACTGTTCGTAGAGGCCTCATGAAGAAACCTTGACCTCACGGTAGAGAGTTGGGCCAGACTGTATCTCAAACTGGTTCTCCATCTAAAAGACTAAAAATAACTTGAAAATATCATCTCAAGGTAAGTAAGATCCAACACCAAACCATTCGCATATATTTCGAGATATGATCTCTTATTGATCAATTGTGATTTTCTTGTAGAATGCAATGTTTGATCATTGCATGGTTCACTGTTGCTTGCATTGGAGATGAAGAATTATCTGTTTGATGCAAACTCATGAAACAAGATATGTATTCTATTCTTTCTCTTTTTTTTTTTATTAATTTGTATTAAAATTTAATTAGTTTAAAATCGATTAGATTTACATTAACTGTGAAACTAACCGGACATGACATCCAGTCATTTGAAGTCATTTGGTCGTTAGAAATTGTCTAATGTTCAATTTGTTTCACAACTAATATAGATCGATCGGTTTATTATTAGGAAAAAAATGATAATAATAATAATAGTAATACTAAATGAAACTTGAATTTAAATGAATCTGGTGTTGTTTTTTGTATTTTTTCAGGTCAAATTTTTTTACACAAAATGAAACCCAAGAAGTAAAAGATGTTGAGAGAAGGAAACTTGGGGAAAAAAATATGTTTTCTATTCTCTCTTTGTTTTTTTTTTATATATTTTTTAATCTTTGATTAGTTTAAAATCAATTAGATTTACATTAGATGTGAAACTAACCAGATATGCTATCCAACCATTTGAATTCATTTGGTCGTTAGAGATTGCATACGTTCAATTTGTTTTCACAACTAATGTAAATCAATTGGTTTATTATTAGGAAAAAAATGATGATAATAATAATAATAATAATAATACTAACTGAAATTTGAATCTAACCAAAGGTTGAATCTGGTGCTGTTTTTTATATTGTTTTAGGCTAAAAGATGCTCACAGAAGGAAATAAAAGATGCTCACAGAAAAAAACTCCGAAAGAAAGATATGTTTTCTATTTTTTTTTTTTGTATCTATGTGCAATAAAATCTAAATTATTTTAAAATTGATTAGATTTACATTAGCTGTAAAACTAATCGGTATCCAACCATTTGAATACATTTGGTCGTTAGAGATTATCTATGTTCAATTTGTTTTCATAACTAATATAGATCTATCAATTTTTTGTTCGAAAAAAATTATAACAACAACACTAAATGAAATTTAAATTGAATATGGAATCTGATGTTGTTGTTTTTTATTGTTTATGTTATAGCTTTCTCAACAAGCATGTCATGCAAAGAAAAAAAATTACTATCATTTTTAAAAAGTTTTGTAATTATATTTATTTTATAGGATTTCATTTGGTTGCTTTTTTCCAAGTTGTAATTTTGTTTTATTAATATTCTAATTCAATTTTTTAATAAAATAATTTAACATTAAGTTAACACATACATCACAGATATATATATTTTTGTGTTCTTGTTGCGAATAGTCTTTTTCTTTCTTTTTTTTTATAAAATATAATAGCTTTATATTTATTAGTTGTTTTTGTATATGTAATAGTGATAATGTAAATGCATAAATTGATATATTTTTTTATGTAAAACTTATCCGCTTTTACAATTTTGACAAAAAATTTCTATTTTGCATTTGTATATCGAAAAATACAGTTTTACGGTTTTAGCGAGAAATTATAATTTTATGTTATTATAGAAAATCAAATTTACAAAAAATTAATAAAAAAAATTTACGAAAATTAATAAAAATAAATTTACGAAAAGTTATAATTTTACAGTTTTTATTTATTACGATTTTCGTATAAAAAAATAATAAAAATGCGTTTGGTTATATTTTTTTCTATCTAAGGGATATTTTGATCAGTTTTTTGAGATGCAAAATTTGTGGGCCGTTCGTTACACACTTAAATGAAATTTCTAGTTCCAGTTTATGTCCCACTTTGTAGATATCCACCGATCCAAAAATTTTGCAGCATAATCATTCAAGTGTAACGAACAATGCAATGAACAGTAACGCAGCAATGAATCACTAAACGTTGACTTTGACATTTTAGTTCGAAATAGTATGAACGTGGACTAAAGAGTTTTAGGATCCTGTAGCAACACTACGCATTCTATTAGATGATTGATAGTTTCTTTAATGCCAAATAAGAGAATCGCTCCTTCGTTCGTGTGGTATCCCTTTTTTTTCTTCTGCCCTTCTACTTCATCCTCTTTCGAATCTCGTAAAAGTAACCAAAGGCAACGACCGCAGCAGCAATCGCAACCCCGAACGCGCCCTGAGCCAGAACCGTGCTGTCTGCAACCGCTTTAGCTGCCGAGAGATTCGGGTTGAAACCGAGCTCAGAGAGTTTCTTGTGCGATTCAGTGTAGTCTTTGAAGAATGCATCCTCATCCTGTCACCGCAAACTGAGCTTGTCAAATAACAGCTATGAAACTTAGCTCAAGATCAAGTTTTACAATCATTAATCAAGAAAAGAAATAGTAGTGAAGCGTCATGATCTTCTATTTACAGTTCTCAGAAAAGCTGATTTAACCGACAGCAAACATGTAGAAAAATAGGGACTGTGATCAAAGATTCACCATGATAGAATGATAAGAGTTCATACGAGTAGTGGTCATATTTCCACTTTGCAACACTAGCAACTATTTGGTGATTAGGATTTGTGGGATTCTCTACAACAGTGAAAATGTGAAATCAATTAAGGCAAGCGAGTTATGTTATCCTACCATAGCAATTCCGGTTTATACCTTAGCATAAAACTCAACATAGCGACGGAACTCTGGGTCTTCCACAAGAGTCTTGTCAGTTGGGAGTTTCAACAAGCCCTCTGATTCTCCATTCAGCAATTCCCTGATACCAAAACAGTAATGTATCATCAATGTAATAAAGTACTGCTTGTTCTTCTTGGAAACACAATCAGAAAAAACAAAAGCTCTTAGGGTAAAGAAATGAAAATTACACGAAGTAAGAGTTATCAAACTTCAGAGGCTCTCGAGTCCATGGTCCATCAAAGCCTGACCTCTCTGGATGAGCCTTTCCCTACACACCCCAAAAGTAGTCATAAGCACAAGCATACATTTTATCTGTTGAAAAACAAGGGAAATCAAATTTGTGAGCGATGAATTTACCAGAGTATGAGCCCCCGAGAGTGCCACAATATCCTTATCAGATAGTCCCATGCGGTAGAAGATATCTCTAAGATGTTTGGAACCTACATATTGGGAAGCGTAAATTCATAGAGAAGGTCTTCCAATTCCATGATTAGAGTAAAAGCAGAACAGTTGAAAGTTCAGTTTTATGGTATACCTTGTTTAGCATCAGGAAGTCTTCCTTCCCTGGTGCAAACATTTGAATCCTATCAGGAAGAAAAATACAATTACTATGGTTATTTGCTTCAGCGTTAAACTGGTAAGCAGTTATAAAGCTCAAAGAAGGAGAGAATATACTTTTCTCCCAGGAACAAAGCTGATGTCAGGCCCACCAGTAACCTCCACTGCTACCACACCAGCAAGCTGAAACACAAGATTAAGTAAACTATTCAGAACTGATCATCAGAACCTCTTAAACTTATAAAGAAAAATGGACAAACGACGAGAATACAAACAGCACAAGAAAATCTAATTATCTAACAGGCAATTTTACACGAAAACTCTTAGTAATGCCAAATTCAGGAATGAAGTGTCAAAACTACAGGAAGGATAAGACAAAGGCAGAATTTTCTGGTCAATCATGAAGCATAATCCCAATTCCCAAGCATGGTAATAGATTGAGGTTAATGTTAATATTTAAAACCAAAAATCGTAATCACCTGATACAAATCCGCATATGTGATTTTGGGATGTTTAGCTTTCACGCCCTCTGAAACATCAAAGATAGGATCTCTTCACTAAACAATCCAAAGTTCATCAAAGAAAAACATGATACACCACATGAGAGGACACAGTATTGGCTATCCAAAATTCACAATCATCAAACCCACGAATTGACAAGTATACTTTCTTCAATTATCTCTGGATCAGGATCATGCAAGTAAATTGAGAAATTGTGCTTTGAAAAACCCACAGTATACTCTAAAGTCCACATACAAAGTAATCTCTCATCTATGAACAGACACAGACGAGGGGGGGAAACAAAGAGATCGCAGGCAAGGAAATCATGAAAACGAATCTATAATTACTAATTGTAAACACTTAACACACAAGAATCAGGGAAAAGAAAAACACACCACAGAGCTCGAGAGCGATTTTCAAACCACTATTGGCACCATGAGTGTACTCCTCCTCGTTCCTGATGGAGCCATTAGGTCCACCGGTCTTCGATTGAGCATCATAGGTTCCAGCATCGTGCCATCTTCACATACCCGAGAAGACAACATTTCAACAGTTTAAACGATCGAGATCGAGCGATTTCCAAAACATAGCTATAATTCCAGATTTGCCAACGAAAACCAGAGAAATGGAAACTTACGCCAATCGAACCATGATCGGAGCGCAGTTATTGCTCGCGATGAGAGAGCGGAGGTCGCGGCGAGCCTTGTTGATCTCCTTCAGGTACTCCGCGTCAACAATCGGTGCCGCCATAGCTGATAGCTTCCTGCACTCGTCTGGGAATGGTTACGGAGAGAAAAATGGTCAATGAAGAAGATTTGGTTGTTGTTTGTTACACTGAAATTTGGGCCAAGGAGATAAACCACCCAATGGAAAACAGGATTTGATGGGTCGGTGTCAGTTATCTGCCGTTTTCCTCAGCCACATCCTTCGGTGGACCTCATTGGCTTCTAAGATCGCTTTTCACATGAGACTTGCTTGTCATTTTTGTTTAGAAAAACGGCACGCGTGTCTTTAGAGTATTTATAAAACGGCGCAATGGTTACTACTCCAAGAAAATTTGTTAATTTTATTTACTCCCTCAAAATGCCAAACGCCTTAATTAACAAAAGGTAGACATTCAATAAAATGGTGATGTAGTTTCTTGATCGGATCATATTCGAATAATGATGTTACTCGTGTATTAGCCTTGAATTAAAAAAATAAAATACAAACAAAACGATAAAAGTCGATGCCACAGCACTTTGAAATTGATCTGCTAAAACACAGAACATGATGAACCACATTATCTCTCACTTCTTGCCACGACCACACTTGACTTGCACCGCAAGCGTCTTCACAACGTTCTTGCATGAATCCTCCTTGTCTTGTTGGAATGTGCTTTTGTTCACCGGAATCACACACTCTGCTTTCCCCAAACAATGCTACAAAACAATAATTTTGTTGGTTACTCCACAAGCTAGACGTTATACAAAAAGAAGAACCAAACTATGATATTTACCTTCTCAACGACCTGCTTTGAAACAGGAACGTGACAAGTACCACGTGTGAAGTTTCCACAAGCACCAGTAGGGTTTCCGAAGCTAGCGAACTCAACGGCTGCGATCTTTCTAGTGCCTGAGCATTTAAGAGTCGCCGTGAGACTCACGTTACTGGTGATGGCTTGGACTTGGTCTTGCTTCCTAGTCCAGTGTCTAACGCTTGGAGTGTAGTTTTCTCCGACAAACGAACAAACAGTGTCTCTGTTGACGATGACGAAGTCTATAAGCTCAGGCTTCACATTAGGCTCTTCCTCGAAGATAAGAAGAACGTTATGCTTGGGCTTCAAGAAAGATCTAGGGATGTGATACTCTACTTGCGTAGGTTGACCTAATGGAGACAAGAAAGACATCCAATATCTTCCCACGCCTTCTCCGTTCACCCAAATCAAACCTTTTCCCATTCCGCTCATGCGGATCGCCGCTGCGCTCTGGCTCTCTGGTGCATCGAAGTATGTCTGCAAATGTTTCACATTCATTCATTAGATTGTGTTTGGAGATGACTGTAAAATTTCTACATTATTCATGCTATATCAGTCTGATATTTTGATTTCTTTTTATTACCTGGTACCATGTAAGTCCTGGTGCTTTACCAGAGAATTTTTCCCATTTGACCTTCCTTGAACCTTCCTTGGTGTGGATTTCGAGTCTTTCGCCTTCCATACCGACCTGATCGAAAAACCAGATCAAATCAAGGACATATATTCTCAAATGTTGTGAATCAACTACATAGAAATTAAGAGATTAATTTCAAACCTTGTTCCCCCATTTGCTGTTTTCAGTGAGATCAAGTGTTCCAGAGCTCAATCCCATGATGGAAACACTACGAGGTCCGGTGTATCTATGTTCCATGTAAGATCCACTGTCCTGTAAGAACCAAAAAAGCCCAATATATATAACTTCATCTATATATTGATTTCCAAAACTCAGATTTGGAATTGTGTTTGGTTACTTACTGGGAATCCTGTAAGAACACCAAGCATAATAAGATGATTCTCTCCTGCTTTAAGTGTAACCGGCTTCTGGAAAACAAAGCTCTTCTCGTCATGGCTTCCATGTCCATTTCCTGGTAGACAAACAAAATAAAAATCATTTTTATACAGCTTAGTTTCCATCTTTTTTTTTAGATCATTCTTGCAAAATTCTTACCAAGGTATTCTCCGTTAAGCCAAACGTGCAACGCATGTCCAAGACTAGCAATCCTCACAAGAGTCTTATCTCCTTTATTCTTAGGTAAGTGCTTCTCGTGGACCTTGAAGCTATAAAGCAAAAATTAACTTCAATATCCTCTTATTCATTTATTTGCTTTTTCGATGCATAATGATCACGTTAAATGAGTCTCTTTACCTTGTTGTGTACCATCCATAGTCTGTCTTGTCTTTAGTCAAACCGTAAAGCTCAACGGGTATGTAAGAGTCACCTTCGAGCTTACTAGGCAATGTCTCGGTGAACACTTTGAAATCAAACTTCTTGTTTGACTTTTTAGCTTTCATGAAGTTCCTTGAAGTGTGTTGAGAAACAATCTGGTCCAATCCAAACAAACAAGATCAAGTTAATGACTCTGTTTCGTCTGCTTGAATAAACCGAAATTTTAATGTTTTCTTTACCTGAGCAGTGTTGTAAACAACAGTTTTACAATCTGGAAGAATACTAATCGAACGAGGCGCGATCACGTAATCTTTGCCCCTGAACTTAATGGTTTCTGCAGCTTCCGTGTTGTTGTTAGCCAAGAAAGCCGCACAAGATTTCGTTCCAGGCTGTTCGTAGTATCGAATCTGTAATTTCAAACAAAAAAGAGAGTATGAATGCTTCTAAACATTTTGGAATCTTGTTTAATATAATGTGTATATGTTTATTCTAATAATACCTCTGTATCTTTTCCAGGCTTCTCGGTATGAGGCTGACCCCAAAGAAGTGGTTTCTTGCAGAGGTTAAGAGCACTGTGAAGATGCTTAAGATGACCATATTTAGGCTCTCTCTCTAAACCATACTCATCAAGAGGTGCATCATCGTAGTATCGAGTGGTTACATAATGCGCAGAGGTTCTTCCAAAGTTAGTCCCTCCATGGTACTACAAGATTATAACACAAGTTAAATCCCCGTTTTAAGGATAGTCATTTCGCAACATTTAAAATGCTGACGTTACTATACCATGTAGTAGTTGACATGGCTTCCGTTCTTGGAGAAGAATCTAGCAACTGAGAAAGCGATATCTTCTACTGATCTCTGAGTTGGAGGATCACCAAACACGCGGAACCTGTTAAAGAAATCCGCAAGATCTTAACACAATTATGAATGAATTTAACAAGCTTCTACATTTATAATCTAAAGAGTGACAAAAAGAAAATCTCACTGTGTAGTCCAATTCTCAGTCCACAAAGATGGTTTGTTTTCTTTGTTTGGACCGGGGAAAGTATCACCGCAGTGTCTTCCATTGCAAGCATTGATCTGTGTTCAAACATCAAATTCTCAATATGTTTTTTCAACCTTTTTTCAGACAAAACACAATCTGGAAATTAGAAGTATACGTACCATAGGATCAGGAGCGTCGTTCTGCTTGCACATGACCCATGGGATCCCGAGATTCATTGAGTCCACAAGCTTAGATGCCCATTTAATGTAGTTTAATCCGTCTTGTTTATATGCGCGTTGAACCGCGCTATACTCGTTCTCTATCTGCAATATTCACGCATATCCAAATCCATTACAAAAACATTCAAATTGTAACATTTTTTTTCTTCAAGTCATTAGGTATATGTGTTAGGGTTTTCATTACCTGCCCTAATATAATGGGGCCTCCTTGTGAAGCAAATAAATTTTCCTCCTTCATTTTGTCGAGTATCATCCGTACGTACCTCTCTGTATGTTCCTGCCATAGTTGTTTTCTTTTTGTCACATCTTTTCTTTATCTATCACTTTGATTGTAACAAAACAGTATTTATATAACGTGCATATACCTTGAATGGTGTGTTGTCTGTACGGAAGAAAATTCCAGGAACTTCTCTAAGCCAATAAGGAAGTCCTCTGAAAAAAATGATTTCATATAAAACAGTTTAAGAAACAATATATAAGAATGGAGAAATCAAATTTTTTTTTTTTAAGCATCAATCGTTTACCCATGAGTCCATTCAGCTTGAATAAACGGTCCAAGCCTCAATGTGACATACATGCCATTCTTCTGGATCAACTTTATGAACTTCACCAAATCAGCTCGTCCCGAAAAGTTGAACTAGTGAAATACAAAACCAAACCAAAAAGGCACTTATAATCTTAACCTTTTTAATATATAGTATTTATGTTTTGTGTGATCTACAAATCGATTTGTGTTTTGATAATTACCTTTCCTTGTTCAGGCTCATGCATATTCCAAAAAACATATGTTTGAATCGTGTTCAAACCGCCTTGTTTCGCTCTCTTGATAATGTGTGGCCACATCTACACAAAACCGAAAATCACATATTAATCTCAATATCAATAGAAAGAACCTTTTTATTTAATATATTGACTAAACGAAATATATACTTCAGGAGTGCTTCGAGGATAATGTATGGAGCCAGAGTAAAGAAGTTCTCTTTTGCCATCGATGATCAAAGACGTTCCGTCATAGGTCACCTCCTTACTATTCTTCTTCTTTGCCGCCTTCTTTTTGGTGGCGAATGATGAAGAAGACGAGAGTAGAACCACAAGAATGGCCGTTAAAAGCCATCGATCAAGAGAATGTTTTCTCATTTAGCTCTCTTCTTATTTCTTGAATTAATTTTGTTTGTTTTGAGTTTGTAGAACAAGAAGCTAAGTTCTCTTGGAACCTCGTCCTTGTCGGAGGAATAAAAAACAAGGAGAGCTCAAATAACAAGCTCTGAAAAAAGACAATGATATAAGAGAATGTTTCGCACTCAGCTTTTCAGGTTTCGGAGATTTTTACGCGTCTGAAATAGAATCCATCGTTGTAACTTTCAAACTCTTCGTTTTTATTTTGAATTTTTTTTAAAAAGAAAATTCGTTTTGCTATTTTAAAAAGTTTGTATGTTTCACCCTCTTTTTCGCCTATTATGGTGGACAAATACATAACTAATTCTTTTGTTATTTCCACACAACTGATTTCTCTTTAACGGCCAATCAGTGTTTTTAACAGATCTAACTAGCCATCTTCAAAAGGTTTCTTACCGTGATCGGTTAAAAAAAGCATCGTTTTATTTTTCTTTTTAGAGAAGTTGTATAACATGCATATTTTTTTGTAAAAGTGTTTTAACATACATATTTCAGACTCTTTCTAAATCTTTGGTTCAACATAGCTTCTCGTGATAGGGAAAAACTCTCACATATCACCAATCTCCATAAATATTTTGCTAAACAAATTTCTTCTTTTTTAAGGGGACGAAGTACATACAAATTATTTTATATATCCATAAATATTTTGCTAACAGTTTAAACTTATTGAATGGAAAAAAGTACATACGAATTATTTTATTTCCATCCCATAAATTTTGTAGGGTCTCCTTTTGAAGAACGCACCAGCTGATCAAGAAATGCTCTATTTTATTTATTTTATTTTTTTGTCGACCATTTGCTATTTAATTTAATTTAATTTAAGTATTGTAAAAGAAGAAAAAAGGTTGAAGAAGAAGACCAAAATTAAAGTGCATGTGACTTTGAGAGAGTAGGAAAAATTAGGAAGAGACTTTGAGCAGCTATTTCTTTTGTCTGCTACCTCGTTAACTCTCTCTATCTCTCTACCAAAATCCCCAAATCGTTAAAAATTAGGGTTTCAAGTTTGAAGAAGCAGAGAGAGAGAGAGATGAGTGCTTCAAGGTTTATTAAGTGTGTCACCGTCGGCGACGGCGCTGTCGGAAAGACTTGTCTGCTCATCTCCTACACCAGCAACACTTTCCCCACGGTAAGCTTAAAAGGCTTCTCCTTTGTGTTTTCTCTTCCTGGGATTTGCTGTTTGTATCCCTTGAAAAGATCTTGGTTGATATTTAGCTTTGGAAACTTGGATTTGTTGTTGGGTCCGAATGTGCAGGTAGCGATTTCTTAAAGCTGAATCGTTATGATCCTTAGGTTGCTGTTGTGGGCTTAAACATCTGATAGAGTTTGATTTTATTGTCTGATTTTATCGTAGTGTACATAGATATTTTCAAGGAAAGTTACTCAAAAGGCTTGTTCTTTTTGGTAATTTGGTGAGAATGTTTAGTTTAGAAGACCTTTAGCTCAGTGATTTGCACTGTAGTGATCTTTAGGATTTAAAAAATCTCAAGTTCATAGACCATAGTCATGTTTCTCGGGCATGTGTTAATCTGTTTAATGAAAGGACAAATGCTATGGCTAATGTGAGTGTAATTTCGATGTGGCAGGATTATGTGCCAACTGTGTTCGATAATTTCAGCGCCAATGTGATTGTGGATGGAAACACTATCAACTTGGGACTGTGGGATACTGCAGGCAAGTAACCTTGGATTTGTGGTGTTGTGTCTCGTCTTTTGAATTACTTCTTCCTCTCTCTCGAGTCATTTTGATTTTGTGTGTTCTGAATCGATGAAACAGGACAAGAGGACTACAATAGACTAAGACCTTTGAGCTATCGAGGCGCAGATGTCTTCTTGCTTGCATTCTCCCTCGTCAGCAAAGCTAGCTACGAGAATGTTTCCAAAAAGGTTTCATCTTTTGTCTTACCCCTGAGACTTCTTCCCTGTTTTATGTTGTCCTTTTTTTTCCCCCAATTCTCATTCGGTGATTCTGATAGAATAGTACATTTGGTTTTCTTGTATATTTTCAGTGGGTTCCTGAACTGAGACATTATGCTCCTGGTGTTCCCATCATCCTCGTTGGAACCAAGCTTGGTTGGTTCTGATAAATTCTCGATTTTACCAATTTTTCTGTTCTGTGGACATTTCTGATATTTTGATGACTATATTCTCTTTTAGATCTTCGAGATGACAAACAGTTCTTCGTCGAGCACCCTGGTGCTGTGCCTATCTCTACTGCTCAGGTACCTTTCTTTCTCATGGAATCTTAACTGAATCCTACGTGTTGAAACTCCTCTTGCCTTCATCTTCTGATGGTATCAAAATAGGGTGAGGAGCTGAAGAAGCTGGTTGGGGCACCTGCTTATATCGAATGCAGTGCAAAAACACAACAGGTAATAACCTAAATACTTCAGTGTCTTTATCTAAGTCTTTACACGTCTAAAACCGCCTGACAGAGAATCCGAGTGACAATAATCCAAAATCTTTTCAACAGAATGTGAAAGCGGTGTTTGATGCTGCTATCAAGGTAGTTCTCCAGCCACCTAAAAACAAGAGGAGGAAGAAGAGAAAATCTCAGAAAGGTTGTTCTGTATTGTGATTCAATAAGGAGAAATGGATCAACTTGGGAGAGTTAGAGCTACAACTTTGTTTTCTTCAGTGAAGCAGGAATCTGTTGTTGTTTGTAGTCTGAAAATTTGATAACTAGTAACACAAGTTATTTGTATTCTTGTTTGCATTTCGATCTGTAAATATATACTACGAATCCTTGATTTCTTTGTTTCCAATTTGAGTAGTGAATTATTCTCCAATTTGAGTTTTATGTGGTTTCAGCCAGAATAAGCCGGCCTTACGGGTATTGTTGCAGAGATTTCACCGAATTGTATAACTTCATAGATTCATAATGTTTTTGGACCTTCTCAAAACCAATGAAGCACCACGGTCAACATTTTGACCTACACGTCAAACAAGAATTATAATGTGGGCAAATTAATATAACTCGTGAAAATAATCAGTCACTTTTGATTTTCATCAAATATTCGTTGATATTTATTTGAGTTATGGAGTAGACGTTTTCCCCATTGGAGATAGAGTATTGATATAATTTCTGGTCATAATAAGCTTGGCTAATCATTTACCAAACGAATCTCGTTTGTTGATCAATCTCTTTCGTTGCGTTAACTGCCTCTCGTTTATGACCCACGCATGATTCGATTCCCACAATACTAAAATTAATAGAAATAATTAGATATGTCAGGACGTTCAGTGAACTAATATTCACCTAAAAACCCTTTCAATCGCAATAGAAGACTATAATCTATTTCCCCTACGTACCAACCTCCCTCTGACATGTTTTCTTCGCTAGGCACTAAAACTTAATTTCTTTTTTCTTGTTTTTTCTAATATAAAATGTGGTGATCGTTTGTATTCTTCTGTTGAACAAAAAGTGCGATATGTGAGAAACCCAAGTAATTTTTGAAGTCTATAAAAACACTTGAAATCGATTATAAAAACAAAATCATAGTAACAGGAAACAATCACGTAAATTACAACAATTATAAAACGTATACATATCATAATTATCGACATCAGTGGTTAATCAGTTGTAATACATAATAAGAGGTAATTTAATTTGGTTCAGCAATAAAAATGGGACACATGCACAATGCATTAACCTGCTTGTACTCTATGACGTCATGATTCACAAGATACAGTGATAAGATCTAACTAAAATATCAATCTAGTCGAGCCAAAATCTTTGCGCCGTTGCTTTTTAAATTCGACAGTTTTCATTTCTATAAACAATACTTTCATTTGATATTATTGAGCTAAAAGTTTGCCATGTGTCGTCTCATGTCTTCGCCTTTGGCTGTTCATTAACAGTCTAATCCACATTTCAAAGCGACTTCTAGTAAATGTCATTTTTCTTAAAAATTAACATTTGTCGTTTATATTGGTGTAACACTTACACATGAATGATTATGGATAAACATAATATTCGAGAAGGAGTTGTTTCAAACTCTCACCATCAGATTAGTGGATATATACGTAACATACTAACATATCAAATTCCAAAAGAAATAAATTTACTCTTCAAATCATATCAATATATATCATACACAAATCACAGTAGTCTATTAACGTTTTACTTGTGTTACTTGCCTACTTTATTAGAACGGAAAAAAATATCTGAAGAAGAAAAGTGCGTAGTGTACACGGACTTGGTTCATTTAATTATCGAGCCCTCGCCGTACGTAGGAGGAAAGCCTTTCAAGGCTTGAGTGGAAGGCGTGATCGTTACGCCTTACCTGCAATAGCCGGTGGTCACACACTCAAGAGCCCCCTTATAATCACCGGATAACGAGGGTTTCCCGCCAACTTTGCCGGTTTCCACTAACTAGACTCCTTTAAAATATTCTTTAAAAACTCTAAATCATTATTAAGGAATATAAATTCACTAAAAACAAAACTAGTCACTGTCTTCTGTTTGCTCAGTCCTCTCTCTCTCGCCGACACTTTCTTGATCCGATTGGTTTATATCTGATAATTAAACTCGTTAATTCAATCCTCTTTCTATGATTTCACCATTAGATGATACAAGAAGATCAATACACTTTTATCAAAAAAGAAAAAAAGATCAACATCTACATCTTAGAAAAATCAAGTCCTTTTGATGTGTAAAATTTTATTTTATATTTTATTTATTTTTGGGTCCATCTTCTATTTAGTCGTAGCAAGTACGTACAAAATGCTGATGATACATGGGGGCAGATTTCGACTGTTATTATTTATAGACATAACAGATGTAACGAGGTTTGGTAACACTATCTTGTCCCGTAATGCTCATTGTTTATCTTTTTCTAATCCATCTCTGATACGATTTTTCTACAGAATTGACATCACTTGTGAAATAAACAAAGAAAAACTTCGCTTTTTCCTAATATTAACAAATCACTTGTTCCAATGGAGTTTTTGCTGGTTTGACTTCTCTGTTGCAGAATCTGGAGATTTCGTTGTTGGCTCTTCAGGTTTCTCCTACTTCTCGTGAGCTTTTCGTCTCCTTCTTCTTATTTTGTTCCTTATAAGGTTCTTGCTTATGTCATTGTTAAGTGTATCCTGTTTCGAGTCACTATGGATATTGTGGAAAAAGTCATCGCTGGACTGCTATTTAGAACTGTATAGTGGGTTGTGTTCAGCTATAAAGGTATATGTTCTTAGATCACACCCACTTAAGATCTTTCGGTTTTTCATAGTAAAGTCAAGACTTTGAACAAAGGGTAACATGTATTTTGTTTTTTCATAGTAAAGACAAGACTTTGAACAAATACATTTCGGTTTTCATAGGAGCAAGTTTCGAAAGGAAGTTCGGTTAACTATCTATAGGAGCAATGGCTTTGGTTAACACTTCAGTTCATAAGATAGATTTGAGGTCAAGCTCTGAACCATTTTATGGTGAATGCAAGTCCGGCGAATCAAGAGTTAAAAGTGAAGAACTCTTGAAGATGGGTGAAGAAAAAAGGAAGATTTCAGGAAGATCGGTTTCGCTTCAATCGATAGACCAGAAACTAGGTTGGCCTTTGCTTATAAGATCATCTTCAGGAACGCCACAAGTTCACCATTGGCAAACACGGAAAGTCTCAGTGGTCAATTGGGTCATGAGCTTGCCTGACCGGTTTCCTAATCATCAGCAAAATCTAAACTCTGAGACAAGCTTTGTCAAAAAACAACTCGATGACATATTAAGAGACAGCAGCAAATGGTTCAACTACAATGTTCTTAAGACGGCAACATCAGATTTCTCTCAAGGTACTCTGTTTTTTCCCTCTCTCTCTCTCTGTTTCTCCTTCTTACTTGATATATGTGTTTCTGAGTTTTGGATTAATCTTTGCTTTTATATGACAGAAAATCTGATTGGGAAAGGAGGATGCAATGAAGTGTACAGAGGGATCCTTAAAGATGGGAAAGGCATTGCAGTGAAAATCTTGAAATCATCGTCTAAAGAAGCTACGACAGATTTTGTTCATGAAATCGACATTATCTCTTCTTTGAGTCACCAAAACATCTCACCGTTACTTGGTGTTTGCGTCCAAGACAATGATCTAATCTCCGTTTACAATCTTTCATCCGCAGGAAGTTTACAGGAAACTCTTCACGGTAAACACAACACTCACAGCTTCATACATATAAAAGGTATATCTACATTTATATAAAGTATGACGATTGATTATGCAGGTAAGGGAAATGAAAAGCATGTATTATCATGGGATGAGAGATTCAAGATAGCAATCGGATTAGCGGAAGCGTTAGATTATCTTCATAACCTATGTTCTAAGCCAGTGATTCACAGAGATGTCAAAACTTCCAATGTTCTTCTCTCAGATGAGCTCCAACCTCAGGTAATGAAAGCTTTTGACTTTGATTTCTTTTGCTTTATTTTCTTTAATGAACTCATTAGATACCTTTTCTGTTGCTTATTATTTTGAGAACAGTTGTCAGATTTCGGGCTGTCAATGTGGGGACCCACGACATCTTCTAGATATACGATACAAGGTGACGTCGTAGGCACGTTTGGATACCTAGCGCCGGAGTATTTCATGTACGGAAAAGTCAGTGATAAAGTTGACGTTTACGCCTTTGGAGTGGTTCTGCTTGAACTCATATCAGGAAGAAATCCTATTTCACCTGAGAGTCCAAGAGGTGAAGAGAGTTTGATCATGTGGGTAAGTTTTTTAAATCTTTTGCGCTGGTTACTTGTAGCGTAATCAACACTTCCTAGAACCCTAAACAGATATGACTTGGGATGCAGGCAAAGCCGTTGATAGAGACCGGAAATTCAAAAGGGCTGTTGGATCCAGAAGTAACAGAGGTATTCGATGAGTCTCAGCTTCAGAGAATGGTTATTGCTGCTACACGTTGCCTAACAAGATCAGCCACACATCGTCCCAATATCAGACAAGTACGATTTTTTGTTTCCTTCTCTAAGAAACCTAAGTTCGTCTTTCAAGAACTAATCTTTAATGTTTCTTCAGATACTGAGGCTTCTAAACGGTGAAAACGAAATCGATAAATTGATAAAAGAAGTGGAAGAAAATGAAGATTGCTTCGACGACGAGGTTTACCCGAATTTCAGCGCGGAGTTACACTTGCGCCTTGTGATGCTTGAAGAGGAAGACGATGAATCTGCATCCATCAGCACAACAGAGAGAAGTAACAACAGCCTCTTTTCTTCTTCTTGTTCATTAGGGGAGCTTCAACCTTAGAACACTCTGCTTTTAGCTAGTTATGGTTTTTTTACTTAAGTGTTTTAAGAAGTAAAAACTCTCTAAGACGAGTATTTCTCAATATCATAAACGCCTTCGTCAAAATGCGATTGTGGGATGCACTAATTCCAATTCGATCCCACAGGCGACGGGTCAATCTTGACAACTGTATCTTTGTTTGATTAATATCTACTTGGAATTTTGTGTGAGTAGACTTGTCATTCTATTTTTCAGCTTAAAACGATTTTTTTTCCGGGAACATCTCTTTGTTCCGCCGGTTTAATTTCTGGGGACATCTTTGTTCCGCTAGCTTACTTTGTATTTCACCTTAACGGTTAATATTAAGAGATGACAAAAAAAAAAAAAGAACTTTCTTTCAATGGAGAATACATTGAATTTTATAATAGCTTGTTTTGGACAATTGGGTATAAAGAGAGAGAGAGAGTAAAGAGGGTTTTGTCACAGATATAGATGGTGACCGCAGAGAAAAAAGAAGAAATATGCCGAGATGGAGAGGAAGAATATAATACAAACATAGGACTATTTTTACCATTATATTCTTACTGTGGTATATCTTCAGTTAGATATACATATTGATCAGCACGAAGCTCTTACGAGACTATGAGGGCATAAGATAGGATCTTTACGATCAAAATGTTTAATTTCGTAAAACATTAAACAATAATGTTAAAGTTCGTAAAGATATTTCTATTTTACACTCATTAAAGAAGATATTATTTAAGAAATCAGGTTATTTTAAAAGTATAAAAATGATGGCTTGAGAGTTGAGACATGCCACATTTTTTTCTTTTAATAATATAACATGCCATATACATTTGTCCGCACTCGCATTCGGGTTGCTTGAAATCCAAAACAACTGACTATTTCTGATGCAGTCATATAGATAAAAGATGAGGGATTATACTATTGCTTGGACTTTCATAATATATAACAGTACGTAACTATATTCGATACATGTATTTGATGTAGACGATCAATGGGTTATGCTAATTAATTTATTTGCGTTTACGGGTCTGCATAAAGTTTTAAAGTACAAAATAATGGTAACGTGGGCTCTAAATATAATATATCAACCAACAACGATTAGGGCAGCGACTGTTTCATCCCAACAAAAGATGCGGTTAATGTTTGATAATGACGGCTAATTAGACAATAAAAGCAAAAACAGTTTTAGTGTTCGTCGGATTGAAATTCTTACATTGAGAAAAAACGATTATAGTGAAACATTGTATATGGAATTACGATGTTTTTTTTTTTTTTTTTTTTTTTTTTTTTTGCTAAAAGACTATGGAATTATGATGTTCTGTTCTGAAATTTGAAGGTCCCTCTGACACATCTATATATTCATAGCTTAAAGAGGCTTAAATCAGATCTTCAAAATGTGATCTTGTATCCAATGCAAAGGTAACAAAAGAAACGAGCGATCATTTCAAAGAGGACGTCGGGGAAAGAATTAAGAACATAGAGATTATCGAATAAATTAATTAATTAAAATAAGTATCCCCACTAGCCAAAAGAAATAGATTCTTGCATCAAACCTTTTCTTTAAAATATATATAAAGTACAAAACCCTAAAAGAAAGCTACGTCTCTCACGATCACTAATGTTCACATCAACCAACCATTTAAAAAAGAAAGCTTTCCAAAAGAGAGAAAAATAACAAGTTGAAGATAACAGACTAATAGATGGTGATTAAAGATCTATTTGTTTTTCTAATCACAAAATATATATGTAGTAGAGGTGATTTAAAATCTTATTGTTTTCTTAATCACAAAAGATAGCTTTTGTTTTTCATACAACGACGTGGTGGAATCTTGTTGTCTTGCATACATCATATGAATTACAACAATATGCGTATTGGGAATTTCATAGTTCTGCGATAAAAACTTACTACTAATAGGCCAATAGCTATATTAAGCTTCTTCATGCGAATCTTTAATATATAGTTTTGGAAAAATGTTATATATATATAGACAATATATAAATGAATACGATGCGCTTGATGTATCTAAAATTATTAACCGGTATGAATAATCACTATATACTCGTCAAAGTCGATCGATCTATCTAGTTTGGCAATATTCGACCGTTCGCATGTACGGACTTCAACATTTTCTGGTCGATGTCTCAACTCGAAAGTAGAGTTTGATTTATTCTTGTGTCTCAATATCTTTTTTCACGAAACAAAATTAAATGAGGTATTGTTACAAAAAATAGATAAATGTAGCATGTAATTTTCAAGAATGTGTATTTAAAAACAGGCAATAAAAACAAAGTCCTCGAGAAAAAAGTCAGGACGATTTTTTTCTTTTTTAAAATGAGTGAAACTAATAAACGACCGTACTTGATAAATAATTGTTGAACTTGACAGGACAATTTTTTTTTTCCCCCGTCAACTTGACAGGACAAAATTAAGAAAAAAAAAAAAAAAAAAAAAATAAACAATCGTATTTGAGTATTGTTAAACTATTTTATTCCTTTTAAGTCAATGTTTTGTTTTTTTTTTCTCATGTACATCCATGTTAGTCTTAATATAATTATGCGGAGCTCCAATCACGTTCAGGTATGTGTAGTTATAATTAAACTTCAATAAAGAAAAAAAAAAAGCAAAGAAAAGAATCTCTCTGCAAGTCGAAATCGTTCTCGTACGTCCATGTCTTTTCTCCGGCCACCGAAATGATGCCATCTGTTTAGTGCGTCTTTACAATCAACGGCTTCGAACCTCCTCCGTTTCCTCCGCTTCCTCCGCTTTACTTACTCTATAAAACTTATCTTCCCTTCCCATCACTCTTCGCCAATTCCATTTTTTTAGGGTTTTTCTTGGATTCCTTCTTCCCTCAAAGGTACGGGGTTTCTCCTTACTTGCAGATCGGTTACTTGAATAATCATTTTTTTTTTTGCAGAAATTGAGTCTTGGATTAAGCTGAATTGCTCGGATTGTTGTAGGATTTGATCGATTTGGGAGCTCAATAGTTGATTCGGCGAAGTTTGTGTGTTTTATCTGGAAATCATCGATTTTGGGGGTTGGTGTGGTTTATAGAAGACTTTTGTTCGTGGTTGGTGGGTGATAGTAATGGAAGACGGCGAGCTTGATTTCTCGAACCAGGAAGTGTTCTCGAGCTCTGACATGGGCGAGTTACCGCCTAGCAACTGTTCGATGGATAGTTTCTTTGATGGGCTTCTGATGGATTCTCACCAAGCTGCTTGTACACACACCCACACCTGTAATCCCACGGGACCTGAGAACACGCATACCCACACTTGCTTCCATGTCCACACCAAGATTCTGCCGGAGGACAGCGACGAGAAGGTTTCCACCGACGACACGGCCGAGTCCTGTGGGAAGAAGGGCGAGAAGAGGCCCCTGGGGAACCGAGAAGCCGTCAGAAAGTATAGGGAGAAGAAGAAGGCTAAAGCCGCTTCCTTGGAGGATGAGGTCTCGAGGCTCAGGGCAGTGAACCAGCAGCTGGTGAAGAGGTTGCAAAGTCAGGCTACCTTGGAAGCTGAGGTCTCGAGGCTCAAGTGTTTGCTTGTGGATCTAAGAGGGAGGATAGACGGGGAGATTGGGTCTTTCCCTTATCAGAAACCCATGGCTGCGAACATTCCCTCTTTCTCGCACATGATGAATCCATGTAATGTGCAATGCGATGATGACGTTTATTGCCTTCAGGATGGGTTTGGAGGGAATAGCCAAGAAGGTGCATCGATCAATGACCAGGGCTTAAGTGGTTGTGAGTTTGACCAGCTTCAATGCATTGCTAATCAGAACTTAGTTGGCAATGGAAACGGATCATTCAACAACGCCGCTGTCTCTGCCTCTAATAAGAGAAAAGGTGACTTTTTTATACCTTATCTTCTCGTTTCTAGATAGTTTAGACTTTGCGGCTAACTGTGAAGATCCAAAAGTTGTTTACTTGCGAAGCAAAGTTGTGATATTTCCTTTTAGTTTGATGGGTTTTATCATTGTTTTCTGACTGTAGCTTCGTAGAACTAGTACGAGCTCACTCATGCTTTTTGTTCTTCATTTTCAGGTGGGCATCGTGCACCTAAGGCAGTTTGAAGCATCATCAAGGTTGTACCATCTATTTCCACCAGGATAGATATTGTATTCCAAATAAGTTGTAGGGTTCAGCTGCAGAATCAGCTTCACTCAGGTTCCTTTTGTGTTTGCATTTTTGTTTTTCTGATTCTTTTTTTCTGAATCTCTTTCCCTTCCATTGTATTTCCTTGTTGAGTGCCGTACAATAAGGATGATTTGTTAATACAAACTCAAATTTTCCGTGTGTTCCTGCCATTTGTTTTCACAGTTGAGTAGCTTCTTTCTAAGTTAATGTTGAAGAAGTTGATTGAATATTAGTTCTATGGTATTGTTTTTGGCTACAGAAGTTATTGATAAGATGCATGAAATTTTGAACTGCTGGATGACAGCTTTACGGTGTTGTTGGTATGGAGTTTCCTTGATGCTCCGAGTGAGATTTCTGAACTGGTGAGTTATAAAAAATTCACTTCCTGAGAACTCCTACCTTATATGCATACTTATAAATAAGACAGGTATACTTAAGGGTTCTTGAATCTTGCTGATTGATTAATAGCCAGATTCGGTAGTAAGGCTGGAATACGATTTCCTATTAAGCATCATGTTGCTTGTGAAGAACAAGGATGACTAAGATCGTGAGGGACTGTCTCTGCTCTAATGTTCTCGCAAGATTATGATCATAGATTGCATAGCAAGATCTTTTGTTGATCTTAATGTGAGATGTAGTCTAATTTTTAACTTGAACCAATCTCGGATTATGCAAATAAGGTTTAGTTAACAAGCAGACTTAAGGACCAGAGCATACACCAACTTTGTCTATATAGATTGGCTCAAACACGTTAAACAACACTTATAACGAGTCATTCATCATCATTAACAAAAAACGACTTTAAATCATTTCCGATTCTCATTGGTACGTTGTGCATTTTGGTCGCCTTCGTCATCTTCATCATCATCATCGCGGTAGATGCTTTCTGCCATCTGCCAGACCTGAAGACTGTTGTCTTCAGCTACGCTTGCGATGACCCAAGGCTCGTCCTTGTTCCAAGCAAAGTCTGATATCTTGGCCTTGTGGCCTCCATGAGAGAAAAGCAGCTCAGGTGGACCATCTTCTGCATCCAACTCTATCTCCAGCTGCTCATTCCCGACCCTGGCCGATCCAACAAGTTGTAACTAAATTAATCCCATTTCAATTCTGAATCAAAAGTAAAATGGAACTATCGATTATGGTGGTACCTGTTGATATCCCAGACCATAAGTCTTCTGTCCTCGCCAGAAGATGCAAGCACTGTTTCATGGTTGGGATCCCACTCCACTTGGAAAACTTCTCCCCTGTCACAAAACCCTCCCAGTCCTCAGCTAACAAGTATAGGTAGAAGAAGCTGAAGATTCAGAAACTGTGAAGAAAGTGAGAAACTAAGGGAGAGGCATACTCGTGTCTGCTCAGGACGTGTAATGGAGCAGTCAGCTTGCGGAGGTCAAACAAGGCGACAGTCGAGTCTGAGGAAGCTGTGGCTAATACCCATTCATTAAACGGATTGAAAGAAAGATAGTTTATCTACAAAACACAAAATAGTGTAGAATCGTCATGAAGAATGTCAACTGCTCATAACTTCCAATTATCTATTATAGCGAGGCGTCAAATCTTGCGCAATCAAACCTTAGTCGTGTAGCAGTTATCCTCTAATTCGCAGATTAGACATAAGAGGGGAGACAGAAAGTTAAGAGATGGTTTATACCTCTCTCTCGTGAACTTTGACTTGGTGTTGCATTTGGTTTGTCCGTAAGTCCCATATCACCAATTGACAATCATCACCCGCCGACCCAAATATGTTCTCATTCTTCATGTGCCATGCTACATCTTCGATACTGCTTTCGTGTGCCTATAAACAAATGTTTCGTGAATGAAATCAGACGCAGGAAAGCCCAAAACTTCTGTGATTCAGGAGAAAGAAAAACAAAGCTACTCTAAACTTACCTCATACACATGCATAGGATTCAAAGCCTTATCATTGGCCGTAGCTGAAACATCCCAAAGGCAGATTTTCTGATCTTGTGAGCCGCTCAAAAGATAACCTTCCTTGAAGGAGCTCCAAGCCAATCCATAACCTTCTTGTTCATGTCCCAACAGCCTCAGATCAGGATCACACTCACTTGTTGGAGGCTTTGCAGAGTGTCTGGCGTAATCGAACAGAAACACCTCAGACCCACTTGTTTTAGCACCCACAAGAGTCGGCTTTTGTGGCATACACCGCGCTCTGTTCACTTCCCCATCAACGCGTATCTTCTGCCTAATCTCCACCTACAAAGGAGAGTTTTTTGTAAAAGAGGAATGACTAAATGAGCTATGGTATGCAGAATAGTTGCAACTTGCAATCAAAACAATTCCAAGATAGTACTCAGGAATGTTGTTCTTCACTCTAAGCTAGAACTTTCGTCGAGCACATGGTATGCGAAGAACACAACATATACAACATCCGCGAAAAAAGTGAAGGAGCACCCAAAGAGTCAATTACCTTAGGGACTATGGGATCTTGATCTTTGCCACCTAATCCTGGCTCAGCGTCTGGTGTCGGGATAACGACGTCGGCGACCATTAGAAAGTCCGGAGCACCACCGGAGGTGTGGGTCCCGAGGATAAGCTTATGGATTGCGAAGTACGGATCCTTCGCGTATGGAATCGGCTTGGCAGGGACCCAATGGAGAGTGAGAGATGGCCATTCGAGCGGGTGAGAGATCATAAGATCGTAGAGAAATGGCGTGTTCCTTTTCCACACAGAGAATTCTTCCTCCACCTGGTCCAATCCCGCCTCCTCCTTTCCCTCTTCCGCCGCCATATCTTTATCTTTCTCTCGATCTCTCTCCTTCTCTCTCTCTGCTCTTGAGGATTTTTTTTGCTGGTCGAGTTCCCCGCCAAAAAAACAAGTAGACAGATGAGAGGAGAGGGAAGAGGGTTATGAGCAAAGCTTGAAATGCTGTTTCCATCGTCCAAAAGAAAACGCCTTGCCGTTTCTATTCACATACACACAGCATGCAGTGTATTCCAGCAATCTCAGGACGGCTTGTTGTTACGAAAGTGTGGGCTAAAAATTGAAATAGTATTGGACTATCAGTTCGGAGGCCCAAGTAGGGGCTTCATGAATTACTTACGTTCGTTGCTATTTACATGAAACCTAATTCTCGGAAACGAAAATCTTTTTGTTAATTTTTTTTTTTTTTTTCATTTTCTGGACCAAACACTTATCTTTTGCAACGTGATATTCTCTAATAAATTATAAGATTCTCTCTAAAATGTAACGTTGGCGAGGACAAGGACGGCCACATATGGCTTGTGTGGTGTTTTGGAATTTTTTTTTTGTTAATATGTGCAACCAATCACATCCCAAATTGAAGACAAGACACTTCTCAAAAATCCATCGCTAAATTGATATACTGATAATATTTAGCAATGAACACATTATTCCTGTCAAAACCAATGCTGGTGGGTGACAATTAGCGACAACTATTTGGCTTGTTTGCTTATGTATCCATGTTCTTTCCTTATATTGATCAATGATTTACTCATATTTTCTCTCATTTCATAATTACAGCATAACCATGAGATGCTTCCTTTTACAAGAATGTAATTAGTGACAACTAAACTAATAATTCCATTTCATTATGGCTAATGATTACATGAGCACCGCAAGCTATCAAATTTGTAATTAGTCAATTCCACCGAACTAATTAGGTCCAAAGGAAAAAGAAATATGAACTTTCTTAATTCTCATAATACGACAAAATTACTTCTATTTTCCTTCCAAAATTATTTAGGCAGCTTACCAAATCGTAATAGTTTTATTTTCTCTATAATTTTATAAAGTAATCCGAATTAAGTTAGCTTTTCGTTCTATTTAGTAGCCGAATTCCAGTAATGTCTTTATCATTTTTCACTTAAACAGTTATTAAACATAATCAAAGAAAAAACTAACATAACCAATTCATCACCATACAGTTAGAAAATTTAACTCGGTCTTATCTTACATTTACATACCCAAAATTCAAATCTCGGAAACACACATCAACACCTCCAAAAAAAAAAACTTGAAAGGGAAACAACAAACAGAATCACATGATAACACAAGCGGAGGCGTTCTCGTCGCTAAACGCCGTAGTATAACGAACCTCAGTGGAGCTAGCACGTGCGAGACGTGACACGTGTGGATCATACTCGGTGTTCCTAACGTAGCCAGTGGGAGCTCTGTTATCGTAGACACCAGAGGCATAAGGATGAGCCACAACGTCGTAAGGAACGAAAGGATAAAGCTCGGCTCTCTTGCCGGTCCGGTGAATGATCCGAGCCACCACTTTGTTTGCCTCAACGTAACCGACCACTGTCACTTTCTGAGCATTTGGCTCTATGGTTACATCTCTCACTCCTTTCATTCCTTCTAAGGCTCTTCTCACTTTCCTCTCACATCCTTCGCAATCTATCAAAACCCTCACATCCACCGTCTGGTAGTAGTTTCCACCACGATATATTAAAGAGATGTGATAAACTATATATGTATAAAATGTAATTATTAATTAATAGAGTGATTTTAATTACCTGTAGACTTTTGTGTCGCTTGGAGCTTCCATGGGAGCAATCGAAATATTCAGAGACGTGATCAAGAACACCCATTTGTTATTCTATTCTTGGTTTCTTCTTTAATTTTGGGTTGATAGAAAACAGAAAAAAAATAGATAGAAACCTTAGCTTGAAATTTTGAGATATATGGTATGAAGTTTTTCAGTTTTGTCAACGTAAAAATGAGTTTTAAAGTTTGAAAATATACAACCTACCAAACTTTATAAGTAGTTTTCGACCATATGTTTATGCGCTGATATTTTGTATGATTTATAGTGACTTGTGTGTGAGTTTGACTACCGAACAACAAGAAAAGCCAATACATGTATACATATCATGGTGTTCATAATCTTCTTATAAAAAGACTTTAATCTATATATATGTCGCTTTTGTTATATATGCAACCTTCCAGTGTGGCAATAATTAATCTTGACAGATAGATGAAATAGACCTTTGCAATATAATTCATGTTTGCTATTGATTGATATAAATTATTTTAAGATATCTCTTTTCGCAATTATTTAAAATCTGACTAAACAATTAAGATAATTGATGGTTAATAATTTGGGATTGGGAGTTGGAATCTCTTCTCTTCTCTTATGATGGACGACTGCTCATGTTACGTAATGGTGGACCCGCTCTTTGCATGTTTATATATATGCACAAACAAAATTATGTTTCAACATCGTCCTTTTGTTATGGTTTCAAAATTGATAACTCTTAAGAAAAAATTGATTTTGTTTTCCTTCTAGTCACAGATAAGACTATGAAAACCACAACTCACTTTCAATCTTGGTTTTTGATAATTTCTATAGTTTCACCATTTCGCGTAGCAATAACGAGCTATAATCTATAGTTTTTGATGAAGTTTTGACATGTTTTACATGCATTTTTTTTATTTGGAAACCTAACATTAGTTGGAAAAAAATACCCAAGATTCTGTAAATCTGGTTATACATACTAGTAATAATATATACATGTATGTAACTTAATAGTTTGTGTAAATATACTGATAGATGTCAATTAGCCCATTACGTTGTTCTTTCTATAGGGTTTGGCTCACTATGATCCAAAGTTACAGCCCATATCAAAGAATTATATGGTATTGCAATATATCATCATATTCTGTAAAAGAAAAATCTTATGATGATGTAATAATATAAAGAAAATCAGGATAACTGTCTATTATATTGACATTTGTATGAGTTTATAAACTTTTAACTTTGTATGATTTAAACAATATTTTAATGGTAGTATTAAAAAGTGGAGCTCAAACACTATTTAGTGGAATCCACGCCAAAAATTCAAAAGAAAAAGAATCCGTTGTTTTACGCTGGTCCAACCACAAACAAAGTGAGAAAGTCATTATTTTCCGTTAAATACATTTCAACTTTTTAATGAATAAGTTTTTACCTTTTTCCTGTGTGAATCACTTCCAGTAACGCCTTGGTAATGCACGTTGGATGAAAACGATGTATGTATCTGGTTTGAATTGTTATAATAGATTCCCAGTGACTCTTACTAGTATTAATCAAGCAATACATTTTATTTTTGTGATGAAATAAATAAAATTTTAAGAAATAGTAAAAGGTATAATTAATGGAGTGGGACAAAGAAACGACGGAGTAGGGAACTAGGAAGATAAGTCAAAGAAATAACAAAACAAAACAAAAAAAAGATTACTACGTAATTTATGCAGAAGTATGGAATATTGTGTTGTGTGTGACAGGTCGTGGCCTCGATACTTTAAGCCTCTTGGAAACAAGAATTAGCCCAGAGAAAAAGATGTACTGTATATACGTTACCAACAATTTCTGCTTTTTAAAATATTTCATTACTAATTTATGTCTACACCGAAAGTAACTAAACCGGGAAAGTGGGGAATCATTCAATGCGTCTGTCCGATCATCCGGTTATTGCACGAATAAAGTTCACCACCATCGAAGACAGCTAAAAAATCATTACATCTAAAGAGAACTCTCTTTCATGAACAAAGTCTTACTAGGTTCAGCTTTTATTATACGTTACCAAAACGGTCCATTGATTTAAATCAGTTAATTTGACGAAAGAAAGCAAATCAATCAAAAACAAATCTTTCTTTTTGTACTTGAATTGTCAAATTATTGTTATTCGTGCCAAGTAGTATGTCGTATCAAAACGGTCTTTCACGTAATACTCGGCCGACTTTTGTAAACGAGTAGTATTAATAAGTTCTAAGACTAAAGTAAAAGTCATTGTGGTCTTGAAAGAAATGTATTAATCGAAGACAGAGAATTTTTATCACGAAGAGAGAAAGGTTTGTTGTATATGTGATAATAAAAAAAAAAAAAAAGCGGAGGATGGATGATGCTGAATCCTGTTTCGTAGTCAAAGTTACACGAGAAATGGTTGAAAATTTATATTAACATATTTTCAATTATTACAAGGTGAAAATCTTTATCTGTTAAATGAATCTCCTTGTCCTTTTGTCCATTTTTTAATAGAGGAAACCGAAACAATAATGTTTGGTGTCAAATAAAATAAAAAAAGAGGAAATAACAATGGTCCAATTTGGATGATTTTCTCGAGAAGAGAATAGAAAGTGAGAAAGAAACAAAGAGAAAAAAAAAGAAAAGAGAAAGAACAGTTCACATGAGTTTCGTGTGTCGGTGTCCATCGTAGACTGTGACACGAAGCTGACACCTTTGCATGGCCACGGGAAACCACCTCCACTCTCTAAACCCTAATTTAATTTCTGTTTTTTGTATCACTTTTTTTTTATCCCAGTTCTCTTTAATATATCTTTCACAATAAAAATCCAACGACATAATATTTTTTAGTTCTGTATCAAATTTATTGATATATCAGTGTAAATCTGGGGACTTATCCACGTGGATAATGTAGACAGATTCGTATATCATTTAATCAGTTAGAACGATGGACCATGTGGTTACAACATAAGCGACAATGCAGGATCTGCTCTTACAGTCATACCTTACATACCTTACTATAATAGTAGTATGTAGTAACGGTGAAATATATAGTATTCCCTCTGTTTTATAATAAGTGTCATTTGAAGAAAATATATCTACATTGTAACTGAATGTATTTAGATATGTTTTGAGTTTAATACATTCAAATACATTATAGATACATTTTCTCCAAATGACAGCTTATTATGAAATAGATGGAGTATTATTTTGTTGTGCATCATACTGCCTGGGAACTCGACACCCGAGTATTATATATACGTATATATGTACATAAATACACGTAATCTTTAACGTACGTATGTTCATACTATTATATGGCTTTGAATGCGTTGGGGTTGGGTGATGTCCGAACGTACCAAACACCGATGGCACGACTATTGGCGACAGCGAGGGCCAAGACGTATTAATATATCGCAACATGTGGACGTCTTACAGCTGATGTACTATTTATTTGAAAACACAGTATTTTGAAATTTAATTGTCAATAAAAACGGGTATTAAAATTGTTCAATATTATGATGATCGGAAATCTAATGATTTATGGTAATTTCATTGTCGTTGTATATATATGAAATTATACACTACTGTAAATATAAGTTATTCAATTTTTTGTTATATTGTTCCGTATATTTTTTGTTACTATTTTCAATCTTCTGTATACAGCCTTTGTAAAAAAAATGTATAATATGTACTTTTACCATGGTGTATACATTAATTTCTGCCAAAATCCTGAAATTAAAGAAATACAGATATATAACGATAATTTGTTCATTGGATTTGAATTGTAGTCGTGGAGCCTACATGGCTACATATGCGATAATGAAGGGAAGAAGAACATAGAGCAATGGTGGGAAGTGATGTAGCTGTAGGCTGTACGGGGTAAGACATGCTTAGCAAAGTGGCGTAAAAAAAAACCTTTGCTTCTTTGTGTTTCTAAAACGTACAATCCCCTAATAGTCACAGTCTCTTTAATTATTGAATGGTTGTATGAATTATTTACGTAAACCCTAAATCATGGCATGATGTTTTCTAAAGAAAATTGAATGTTATAACGTCTACGGACTACGGTTGTTTTTTAGAAAGAAATATATGACGATTAGTGCTGATAGTTTGTTCTCTATTTTGAATACATGTATTAATAATTTACATGTATAATCAAAATTAAATAAACTAGTTATTTCACTCTGAGCTACGTTTAAAATACGTAACATGTTTTATGTATATCTCAGTATAATAATGTTTGAGATTTAAATCACTAATTGGTGTGGGGGAATTGGACCAATCAGCAAACACGGGATTTGGATGGAGATTGACGAGAGTGGTGGTGTCACGATGCGTATGTGACAATTTTGATTGAACGCAACGCAAGGCTTTTTATGTGCAGCCGACTGTGTTAAAGGTATAGTATTGTACTATTAATATTCACGAATCACGCATCTACAATACGCAATACGTATATACTTCTAATTAATGGAAATTTCGTAGTAAACACGGATTGAGTAAAAACTACAAGTTTGATTTAGATATATTTAAGTATCTTTTAGGACGAAACAAAAAAGTTGTCGGGTCGGTGTCGTTTTGTGCAAGTATTTTCAAAAGTAAATTAGGTTAACGTCTGCTTTCACCGCAAACCACGAAATATTCGAGATATCTTAAATTTGCTAAGAAAACAAAAAGGCGAGACCTCATAGTTTACAGTCATTTATTTATTTGTCATCTGTTCATTTTCCTGACGTCTATCGATTCTCAATATTCAACTGACTACAGACTATAGTCTACAGTCACTAAACTAATCAAGATACATATACCATATATATTACATTATATCATAATGGTGTGTGTGTCTATGTAGCATCACAGATACGTACGTGGTGGTGCGTACTTTTGATAGCAAATATGATGTTAGATTAATCGTGTTTCATTCTCTCACTTTCAAATAATTACCATTGTAATATACGTATTATCAACTTTAAAATTGGGGATATGGTTTTTCTTAGTAATATATTCGAAGGTATGACTAGTTGTTTAAATATATAAATATTAAAATTAAAAAAACAAATTTAGAAAAATTAGATACTTAAATAAGTAAAATAGAAGAAAATTTTACCACTGGTTATAGAGATCTCGAACATTAAATGAGATCATGCAATGCAACAGTGACGAGAAGGCATTGCGCGCGATTTAAGTTTCTCAAACATGTGTTACATGCCCCCCACACATAATAAGCATTGTAACACATTTTCGTCGTAAATTTGTAACAAAGGTTTTGTGCTAGATTTGACTTAGGTTGACTGAATAGTTAAATTTGGCTGGAAAAAAAATATTTTATAAAATTTAGTAATTTTTCGTAAATCTAGATTCTTAATTCAGCGACATGAATGATCTATTTCGTAAATGAATCATGAATATCTATGAAAAATTCATGTAATGCATATAAATAAAAATTAAGTTGTTGGTAGTTTTTTTATTTATAGTGCGTTTACACTATTTACTAGGATAATATTTCTTATGTTGCCGAACAAATTTTTTGCATGCAACGACTTTATGTTTATCGTAGTTCAACAAAATTACATATGTTCTTTATATTGGTTTCGTTTTTAACCATGTGATTTTCTTGGTTGGTTTGATTGTTAATTAGCCTCAGTATTGAACCGGGAACCATATATATATAAACCTTATCAGTGTTTTCGAGTTTAGCCGCATCCATTAATAGTCGTGTACTTTGAAAATTGCTTCACGTGTACTTAGTAGTAATCACTAATTTTATAAGAAAGTGGGATTAACTAGAAGCGATATACCGCTAAGTAAAGTGTATTTGGTTATAGATCTGTTGAAGATGCAATGCATCGGAAACGTGTCGGCCCTCGGCAGATACAATAAGAAGTGGAATTTGGGCCTTTTTTTGTGTGTGTGTTTTGTCCTTTTCTTATTTCTTTCAACATTTGATTTTCTTTTTTCTTTTTAGCGGGGCAAACATATTAACACATCCACCTCCCAAGAAACAGGCGACACATACTCGGATGATGATAACAATAATAGCCAACAAGTGTCTCTAAGTCGTCCAACGTCTGAAGCATATAATTTAAAAGCAAATACTTATTAGAGAGAGACATGTATATTATATAGTTGAAATGAATCACATGGTTTGCACCATTCCTCTAGCATGTATTATGTCATAATTCATAAATATGGACCCTTCTCTCCATGTTTTCTTTTCTTACCGTCCAAAAGCCAACCCACCAAATAAACAAATTAAAATTAAAATTAATTTTAAAACAACCATACAAAATCACAGTTGCGTTATATGTGTTATGCTTTTAGTTTTGCGAGCCATTTTGTTCCATAGTTTTTTAGAGCATGTGATAGCAAAAGATAATAGAGACTAGGCCTATCGATTTCGGTTCGCTAATGTATAAATTAAGTGAAAAGATTCGACCTCAGTCCGCATTTAGCTTATAGTCGCAAAATCTATCTAATATGCAATATTTTTTTGAAACGACGTTGGCAACAGCCTAGAAGAGACTTGTGTAGATTTTGGTATGAGATTGTCTTTTTTTTTTTTTTTTTTTTTTTTTGGTATGAGATTGTCTTTGTTAACCAAACAAAAAACTTATAAGTTTATTTCTAATTGTAGTCTCTCGGTTAAAGGTCTGAAGTACAGTTTGGTCTTAAAGATTAGCAATCTGGTAACATTGCACCTTGAGAGATATACCGACGTACTAAGTCGATCATATCAAATTACGACTAATATACACATACCTTTGAATTAAATTTGGCAAAATGAGTATTTCTTTATTGGTTTCCGTCAAAAGAATCTTCTTCCTAACCTAAACTATCAAATAGGATATCAATTCGATAAAAAAAAATGATTATGTAATTACAAGAAACGTATGATTCCAGTTCTCTAGAGAGATACATGTATGAGGACGACTTACCAATAAGCATCAGTTATCAAAAAAAAAAAAAAACCAATACGCTTCTAATTTGTCTTTTTACATATGTTACATCTTATAATTGTCCTTTTTTTCTCTCTAGACTACGATGTTTATATTGTTTCTTTTGTTTATTGATTTGCAATAAAATTCTTGGATATATATGGTTTATTGGTTTCTCGACTCTAGATATATACACAGACACATATTATAGAATAAATTGATTTGCATGTACTCATGCTGCGTCCCAAAATTTAAAACCGAATTTAAGCGAGTTGTATCAATGTTGAACGTACGTGCTGATAACAACATGCATTAAAAAAAACTAGAATAGACGGATTAACATATTGTGACTCAAAATTCATCAGTTATTCTCAACTCGTGAAGAGAATGAGTTTTGGTTGACGCTTTCCAAATACATATATAATTTTATGCTGATATATATATGCCATAATATTATTAAAATAAGTGAATTGATTTATAAAATATGCGGAACCATAAACATGTTATAGGCTCGAGTGTCGAGTCTTTCCAGTAACTTATACGAGATCCATTGACTATGGTTGGAATGTTCGAATCTCATCGGTGAATATATCTACATATATTAGATATCTATGTGCGTGTGTTTTGATAACCAAAATTATTATTTATAATTTTAAAAATATATTTGTTGTTAGTATGAAAAATATATATCTTTTTTGCACAAAAAGAGAAATATCTTTTAAAATGCTAACTTTAATTCCCACAAAAATGTTACATAATATTTGAAAATTTCTTATCATACATAGTAAACATAATCAAATTGCAAATTTTAATATATAGGAAAACGGCAATTCTAGTCATGCAAGATCATGGAGATTAACTGTTGCCACTTAATTAGACCAATGATCATTGGATTTATCAATTCCAAGTTCAGATTTCCATGGTACCCTCAAAGGTAACGTTCCAACAGGTTTGATTATATATATTCCATAAGAGCTCATTTATTCATCGCATATATCATCATCCGACTAAGAAAATTAATTTGGAGAAGGAAAACTTTTATTCCAGTTTAATGATTTTGTAAGGACCAGCCATATGCCATATTTGACCATAAAATTTGCAGTGGTCAACTAAAGCGTTTTGGATACTTTATAATTTCATCGAAGTTAACAATGAATTTAAATATGCCGCGTTTTGATTAGGAGATTTTCCAAACATTTTATAAAAGTCAATCTCTCTGAAATTTACTATACAGTGTCTTAATTTTTTTAAAATATAACAGCAACACATTATATGTTTCTATTAAACATATGTCCAATGTTTGTGTAAAATTATTACTTCAAGAATCAGTATAATGAGCTGTAAATAAAAGATTATACTACTATATAGTTTTGGTTTTTTCCAATTTTGTTTCTTGTGCACATCTAGAATAAAGGCTATGGCTGTGGATAACAACAAAAACTCAACGTCAATTATTTGTAACAATAGTGAATTATGGCTGTTTTTTCTTTTCCTTCCTTACAATGGCGTAACCTTTTCTAGAACAAAATAATGGGTAAATCAGCCATTGTTTGACTAAGAAAATTATAATTACTTCATAAATAGGAAGACAAAAATAGTGGTAAAAAATAGGAAAATATCATATAATTCAGGCGTTCCAGATGACCCAACTGACCAATTCAGAGTAAACAATAAATTTTAAATCAGAGAAAAATATATAAATAAAAAGGAAAAAAAAACTCTGTGCACTGCCATAATTCCACTTGGACTTGTATTTTCTTCACATTATCGAAAAAGCCGAAAAAGGATCAATTAAAAAAAAAGACTAGTACTAAATAAAAGACAAAACGGCTCTGGCAAAATCTCTGACCTTGGAAAGATAAAAGATAGTTCAGTCACATAATCAGCATGTGTACGTCGTTTCTTTAGTGCTAATATTAAAAAAATAAACAAAAGTTTTTAATTAACAAAACTTAACAATCTATAAATAATAATAATAGTGTCAGATAAATATTAAGACCATTAACCCAACAAAGTCTCTCCCTATCTCTCTCTCTTTTCAACTTTTTCAGTTACTTTACTCCGTTCATCTTTTGTTTTCTTTCTTTCGATTCTCATCAATACAAATCGACAGATATATATATATATAAATATATATAGAAGTTGGTATTGTGCAGAGGTTACATGCATTGTATTGAAGACCAAAGTTTATTTCCCGAGAAACAAGCGGATCAGAGACAAATCTGAGTCGGTTTCTTGCTTTTCGATTCCTCTTTATTAATCAAGAAGATCGTTTCTGTACTTCTCTCTCTCTCTGTTCTTCTTCTTCTTCTTCATCTTTCTTTGATCACAAATTCAAAGCTTGAAGCTTTTCTTCTCTGTGTTGGCGGTAAACGAGATGGCGATACAAGCGCAGTTAAATTACAACGCTTCGAATGCGAACCAAATCGGGTTTCCGTTAATCGATAGTACTGGTGGCCCTGAGTTTTCTCTGATCAACAACAATGGCGGAATCGGAATCGATCAGTCGTCGTACATGAACAATAATCTCCAGTCGCAGAAAGATTTCAACCAACAAGCTCTGTTCCATCATCAACATCAGAACCAACAGTATCGTTCGCAGAGCTTTTTAGACGCTCACATGGAGAAACAGAAGCAAGAGATCGATCAGTTCATCAAGTTACAGGTTTGTAATCAGATAATTTTTAGTACATGGGCGCTGATAAAGATATGATTTTTAGTACATGGGCGCTGATAAAGGTTTGATCTTTGCAGAACGAGAGGTTGAGATACGTGTTGCAAGAACAGAGGAAGCAGGAGATGGAGATGATCTTAAGGAAAATGGAAACGAAAGCTTTGGTTTTGATGAGGCAGAAGGAAGAAGAGATGTCAAGAGCATTGAGCAAGAACATGGAACTCGAAGATCTGTTGAGGAAAATGGAAATGGAGAATCAAACGTGGCAGAGAATGGCCCGCGATAACGAAGCAATGGTCGCAACGCTTAACTCGACGCTCGAACAGGTTAGAGAGAGAGCCGCGACGTGTCACAACGACGCAGCAACGGCGGAGGACGAAGGGTCGTGTTGCGGCGGAGATATTTTACCGGCGAAGAAGGCGAGTAGCAGTTGCTGGAATTGTGGGTCTAACGGAGAAACGAGAGTTCTGTTTCTGCCGTGTAGGCATCTCTGTTGCTGCACGGATTGCGAGGCGAGTCTTGTTCTTTGTCCGATCTGTAATACCCCCAAGAAAAATAGAATCGAGGCCTTTATTTTCTAGGGAAAACTGCTTTTCTTTTTTTCTCCTGTGAATTTTTCCCGAGAAAATGTGCATTATCGGTAGGATGCTTTTTACTCCGGTGAACGGAGAGATTTTACTCCGGTAGATGACGTAGCAGGGTAATTTGGTGTTTTCCGAGAAGTTTAGGGGAAAAGGGAAAAAAAGTTAGAATAGGAATTTTAGAATAGAAAAAGGTTATAAAATCTGATTAGGGTTTTCTTTTGATTGTTTTTTTGGTTTTTTTTTTTGGCATCAATGGAAAGAAGAAACCCAGCTAAGATCTGATGAACATATAATTCATATTTTCCCTTATTCTAATGGATTTTTGGATATTAATTTTGTGTGTTTCCCTATTATCATGAAATTTATTATTTAGAAATATTAACATATTACTAAATATTAAATTATATATATCAATATTAGATTTTCCTAATTATTACAGATTTTTTTCTCTATCAAGCATATCCTAATAAATTGATAAGTAATAATTTAATATTAATTGAATCTGTCTAGATGTCTGTTTAAATTATACTATTTGATTTAGTTTTGTATCATTAAAAACTGAAGAATCAATCAATTTTTATGAAACCAACCAAAAACCAAAAAAAAAAGCAAACTAAATAAGATGGAGAAAGTATTATACAATTAAATCAACTGTTTTGATGTTGCAATATGGCGAAAAGAGGTGGGAGTAGAGTCCGTAGACACGCGTATTGGAGATGCTGTAGGTATTATTGGGTTGCTCAATAATCAATACATAGTACAGTGACAAGAGAGCACAATAATATTATTTCAACATTTTATTTTTTTTTACTTAAAAGTTTTATAAGTAAAAAAAGTAGGGGAGAATCAGAGATTGGCCTGTCATAGGGTTGAGTTCTCGCACTTTCCTAAACAGAAACATGTTTCATTGAACACTTGAGCCTTCTTCCATTATGGATTCTCGATCTTTGTTTGGACAGATCTGTGCTACCTATGTTTTCTAGATCCTCCCTAACACCTACATAAGTAATTCTCTTTAGTTATATACTATACTACTAGCATCTATTGATTAATAGGTTGTACTATTTTACGTACTCCTTCAATTTGTCAACAATAATGTTTCGTATCGAGTTTCGCGATTTTTTAATAGTGATTATGGTTTCTTGTATATGTATTAGACATTTTTTTTTATATTCGGTGTATCAAATAAAGAAGGAAAAAGACATAGAATTTAAAATATTGTAGGCAGTTTTTTTCATCTTATTGTTGAAGGAAAGAGTATAGATACTCTGTATTTCGTGCAGGATATATGATTATTGCTTGATTGACTTGTAGTGTAATAACTTGCAAAAATTCTTGTGTTGAGATAGATGATCATAGTCATAGATAGTTATGTTTCTTATGTATGCCAACTGTGATAGATTTGCTTCCTAACGGCGATAGATTTTGGTTCAAATATTCTACAATTGTATTACTATCAATCCATAGATATTGGTTACTAGGATTTTCGATTGGTTCACATGCTAATTTCCTTGCATGTAATATATTTTAGTATTCATAAAAATGAGGGTTTATTGCACCAACAAGTTTCTTTCACTTTTCGTTTATATTTCAGAATTTAACTTCTTTTTTCATTTCTATCTTATCACTTTTAGCTGGAAAAATATAAAACCTACTGTTACTGTTACTGACATAAAATAATTAACAATAGAGGCTCAGGAACTTGATCTAGGGCTGGACAGATAATTGTTTTAGCCTCGTAGTTGTAGGGTGTTTTAGCTCTAGTAATATAATTCTTTGTTTAATTATGGATTAGAGTCCTATGAGTAAGGCCCAAATTAGCCTTATTTTAGTATCTTCGTCGAAAGGCTAAAAAGCTAACGAAGATCTGTCCAATACGGCCCAATTTTAGTATAGGTTTACTTTCCACAGTTGTTGTTGGACCTGCGCAAGTATTTTACATATTGGCCCATGAACAGGCCCGTTATTTTACACAGTTGTTATTGGACCGGTTCAATCACACGCATGTACTCGTTGATGTTGTCCTACTACGACTGCTTCTTGAGAACATGGTAGCACAACATTTCCATAAGCATGTCTCTTTGATCATAGAGTGCGTCTTTTACTTATAACTAATTTTGTTTGACAACTATAACTTAACTAGAGCTAACTAACTCATTAACTATAGTTAGGAACTTACCATGACGATTCAATTTACTAGCTTATTATTCGTCTTCTCACACGCAATCAAATTACATCTCTCTACTACTCTACCAAACCTAAAATTCAAAATAGCGTTTCTCAAAATTTTCCAAAGCTCAATTTGCTTAGGCATTTATTTTTTTCAACTTTCGTTTGTTTCGTGTAATAGTATTATATAGATTAGGCCCTAGTAATTAGTATAGATGTATATAGTTGCTGAACTCTTTGTACACAGTACACATGTTGTTTGTTTCTCTTAGAAAGATAATAATTTAAAAACTTATGACATGTGCGCCACTGCTGCTACAAATAGTGGAAGATACAAATAGTTGGAGTATTGTTTTGCAATTACTTTTTCCTTTTTGGCAGCTTTGCAATTATCCTAAAAGATATATATATATATATATATTTTAGAACAAAAGAAAAGAAAATGATAGTTTTCTGCTTACGTATTTCATATTAAGCCACGTAGATGCATTTATAAGCTCATAAATCTTTTTGTTAAACGTAGAATTACGTACGTACGAATATTAAAAGAGAACAAATTGGATAATTCTAAATAGTATACTGAAATTGCAACTTGGGTAATTAGGATAACTAGTAGGTAGGTAAAATCATAAGCAGGCGAGGAAATAGTAAAACCAAGGAAGAGAAAGAAAGTGGATGATGATGGGTCGTGGATTCCATATCTCGTTGCTTTACTTTTCATTTGTTAGGCGAAATATTTGACATTTCCAAACAAATATATTGTATGCTTTTTCTCATCATTTATTGGCCTACCTATGTATTTTTTACATAAATATGAAGGAACAGGCTTATACCATGGGGTTTTGGAACTTATTTTATATACGTTCTATCACTATATATTAAAATCTTATATGAAAAAGTTAGATCTAACTTTAATACATAAAAAATGCACCTTTATTTTTGTCTCGTTGCTTATTAACGTAAGAATATTAGGGAAGTCGGCTTTTTAACAATGGAATTGTCGATTTAGCTATAAGTTAATCTGTCGAATATTCGAAGTTAGGCATTTTTATTTAGCCCAAATGATTATTATTTTAATTATCGGTGAAATATTTTTTTAAAATTTGATTTTTTTCGTTTTAACTTATAAAAACATTCGTATATCTTTAACAGAAGCGCACGTACTCCATTTTCTCCCAGTTTTCGAGACTCTCTCTATTGCCTCGGAGCTCGTCACCGAAAGAGGAGGAGGAGAACGCCATGGAACGGCTTCTGCAGCCATCGTCTTCTTCCACGATCTCTCCTTCCAAATTCCCATCGAAGACTTCTCCTTTCCTTCCTCGTCTCCGCTCATCGAGCCTGGTCTTTGTCTCCTCGCTCCGACCCGAGTCACGCCGAGTGAGTTCAATATCCTGCAACTATTCCCAGAACCCATCTGCTTATACCCCTATAGGATCTGATAAGACTAACAATTCCTTCAATGGGTCTCCCAAAGCGGAAGAATCGAAACCCAATCCCGGATTTCTCCAACGGATCGTGAGCACCGCTTCTGAGCAGCCAAAGGTATTCAATTTTCACGTTGTGATCAGTGGAAACTACTAATCTCTGGATTTACGTCTATGTCTGTTTACTTCAACGCTTTGCTTAGTGATTCATTTCCCTCGTTATTCGCTTTTCCGTATTCAGTTTTTCTGGGTAAAATTTTACGAGATTTGGGGTTTAGGAGTTTTAATGGGGTTTGATGTGATTCGTCGAGAGATAGGATATGAAACATCGAAATTTGGTATATAGTTAACCCGAGAAGAAGATTCCAAGAAATTTGAAAAGCTCCAATTTTGTAGGGTTATATATGTTGGGATCCATCAGTTTCAAGAATCATGGAATCAGGTTCTCGTATATTTCAGGATTCTTGAACTAATACGATATCTTCGACATTGAACGTGCTTTTCCTTGTTAGATTCTCTGCAATATTTGTCGCTCCACGTTTGTTGGAATTCAGATCATTTTGCTCGTTTGACAATATAGCTTTTATTCTGTAAACCCAGAGCAACTTTTCAAACTAATATACTCTCTTGTTTAGCAGCTTCATTTAACTTCTACAACTCCAAAAGTTATGCTCTGTGAATATTTGATAAGGGCCATGTGTTGTTAACCCCTCCCCGAACTTGTAACATTTGATGGCTGATCTGTCTCTGTCTCTGTTTCTACATTGTGCTTGTTCACTGCCTTCTTATGCAGTCTCATGGATACTTACCAAATCTACTCAAATCTGTGTTCCTTTGCAGACATTATCTACTGGAACTGTCATACTAATCTCTGCAGTAGCAGCGCTTTTACTTAACCCGCTTCTTGCACCACCTGCTTTCGCTAGCTTTCAAACGGCAGCTAAATCCGGTTGGCTAACAAGTGCCTGGACCGGTTTCCTTGCTGGTTGCCTACACACGCTATCAGGACCCGATCACCTCGCTGCGTTAGCTCCGCTTTCAATCGGACGCACCAGAATGGAGAGCGCTGCAGTTGGAGCTCTCTGGGGATGTGGACACGACGCTGGTCAAGTCATCTTCGGTTTACTGTTTCTGCTACTTAAAGACAGGCTCCACATTGAAGTATTACAAACTTGGGGTACAAGAGTCGTGGGATTGACACTCGTCATCATCGGTGCTATGGGAATCAAGGAAGCTTCCGAAGCCCCGGAGCCTTGCGTGGCCTTAGAAACAGACATCAGCATGGTACCGGCGGAGAAAGAAGCCTTAACGCCGCCGAAAAAGAAGAAAATCGGGTTTGCTACGTTTGCAACTGGAGTGGTTCACGGGTTACAACCGGATGCTCTGATGATTGTTCTGCCTGCGTTGGCTCTGCCGTCTCGGTTAGCCGGGTCGGCGTTTCTGATCATGTTTCTGGTTGGGACGGTTATCGCAATGGGAAGCTACACAGCGTTTATTGGGTCTTGTAGTGAGGCATTGAAAGAGAAGGTTCCAAGGATCACAGAGAAACTGACTTGGGTTTCGTCTCTTGTGGCAATTGGTCTTGGTTTGGGAATTGTCATCAGCCCTTTCTTTGGTTTTAGCCTCTACTGAGAAAGTAAAGCTTCTTCAGGTAAAATGAGACGAGTTGAAATATTTGTAGCTCTATTAGAAGAAAAAGAGTTTTTTTTTTTTTTTGGTCCATTCAATTTACAATCAGAATCTCGTAGTCTTGCTTTTGAAACTCCTCTCGGAGAAAACCATTTCGTGATTTTTTTACTTCGCCCTTTATGTTTACGAAACGTTTGATTTTGGTTTGTGTTATTGAACAAGTGGATGTAGCCATATTTTTTCTTAATTATGAATGTATTATTTTTTTTTCTTATTATGAAGTGTTACATTTTAATAAATGATTATCTTTTCGTATTTTCATCGTGAACTGCAAATGGATATTCCCCTTGTGCTGATTTCCCTATTTTCATAAATAAAATAAAATAAAGTGCGAAAGTCTTTCCGAAGAAGCAAATCATATAAATAACAAAAAGAAAATCTCATTTTGTTTAACGGAATCTTTTATTATTATTTTCTGTTCATCTAAATAATAATAACACTAGAACAGTTTTTTTTCTTTTGTCACAAATTCAAATCCAAAATGTCAAACCCAAATTTATTTATTTCCTGTTGTCAAAACTCAAGACCTTTAAGACTCTGACTTTGATACAACAACGTTCTCTAATGTGGCTATTTCTACAGCACATATTGACAACTCTAAATTATCTACACCCACACAAATCACATAAAGATTCTATGGCCTGTATTGTCTTTTTCGTTTCATACTTGCTCTTCCTTTTCCTTCAGAAAAAACGTGTAATAATAAGGGATATGTCCTTCTCGATAGATCCTTGGCATGTGGTTCCTATTTCCTTTAGTGTATTAAAAAATCCCAGTTCATTCTAAATCTAGAATTCCAGATGTCACGGTTTTGCAAGATAAAAGGAGCTCTCATCAAAGAACAACGATTATTATAAATCTTTATAATGTATTATTCTGACAAACATGAGATAAAAACTACTTAAGGTCACAACACAACAACACGGAAGGTTTTTTTGGTCTTTACGCAAATAATATTACAACATAAGCACATCAGATCCACATGATGAAGATTATACTGTGGCAAATCTGATCTCTTCCCGTTCCCCACTTCTCTGCTGACTAGAACCACACAACGACCAATCAAGAATCTTCCAACTCATTTTAGATGCTTGGTCTCACGTTCAGACGGCTTGCCAGCTTCTGTCCCAGCGATTTATCAGCCTGTTTCACACATATCAGAGTCAAAAATGTTATAAACTTCACAAATTTTTTAAACTGTTAAGGCTTAGGGAAATAGGCAATGACAGTAAAATGAAACTTTCAGATTTTTATATACCTGAGACCAGTAAGAGATCCAGATGCTGCGGATTTCATGTGTGATACGAGGGTCGGATAGGGCTGCAATCCATCTACCGATGAATCGTTCTTGCCTGAAATTCAACTCAAACCGTAAAAAAGATTAAGAACATGTATGCTTGTTTTATACATTGTGCATCATCAGAAAGAGAAAAACAAATTGGTACCTCTCTGGTGGGAAGGAACGGTATCTCTCTCCAGGCTCCTTGAAGTTGTTCTCTTTCTCAATAATGCACTGCAAAACACATTTTAAACTTTCAGATCATATGTTGCTTATGTAAACAATCAAAGGAAACTGAAACAGAGACGAAAACAGATTTGAACTGATTACTGACCCTCTCACGTTTTCCGGAGCAGACTGCAGGTGGAGTTGGATACTTCTCAGCATGACGAACCGGGTCATACCTCGATGGGAAGTAGTTGACCTGTAGCAGCAGCTTCTTGTAAGATAATGATGTTCTAGCTACCAAGTTCAACAATAAAGATATTGTCATATTACATACCTCCTCGTCCCTGTGCATGAAATTCATGAGCCCATCGTGGTGGTTGTTGTGGTGAGCACATTTTGGGGCGTTCGCTGGCAGCTGAAGGTAGTTAGGTCCAAGACGGTATCTCTGGGTGTCGGCGTAGGAGAAGACACGGGTCTGAAGCATCTTGTCGTCTGAGTAGTGTATCCCTGGAACAATGATAGCAGGGCAGAAGGCAAGCTGCTCATTCTCCGCAAAGAAGTTGTCAATGTTCTTGTTCAACACCATACGACCAACGGGCTGGAGAGGCAAGATATCCTCAGGCCAGGTCTTGGTGACATCGAGCGGGTCAAAGTCGAACTTGTCTTCATCAGCAGGGTCAATAATCTGGATAAACAGCTTCCACTCAGGGTAGTTCCCAGCAGCGATGGAATCATACAAGTCCTGAGTCGCGTGGCTGTGGTTGGTTCCTCCAACGCGGATCGCATCTTCCTCCAGCAGAGACTTGACTCCACAAGTTGGCTTCCAGTGGAACTTGACGTAGTGAGCTTTGCCAGCTTTGTTGATGAGCATGTAAGTGTTGACACCTGAACCGTCCATGTGCCTGTAATCCTGTGGGATACCGATATCGTCGAAGAGGAAAGTGAACATGTTCAAGCTCTCAGGGTGGTGTGAGAAGAAGTCGAGGACCCTCCAGTTCTCTTGGATGTGAGATTTCGGGTTCGGCTTAAGGGCGTGGACCATGTCAGGGAACTTCATCCCATCGCGGATGAAGAACACTGGGAAGTTGTTTCCAACAAGATCAAAGTTCCCCTGCTCGCCAAGGATCACATCATCATTTGCTTAGTATATATGAATAAAAATCCGATTTTGCTAATCTTGTTCCACAAAGAAACAGAACCTACTACTGAGTTACCTCTCTGGTGTAGAACTTGACTGCAAAACCACGAGGGTCTCTCAAGGTCTCGGGGCTTCCACGCTCGTGGATGACGGTGGAGAACCGAACAATGACCGGAGTCTGAACACCTGGAGCTCTGAGGAAGTCGGCACATGTGAGGTTGGATATGTCGTGAGTGACCTCGAAGAACCCCTTTGCGCTGGCTCCTCTGGCATGAACCACACGCTCTGGGATCCGCTCCCTGTCGAAATTGGCGAGCTTCTCAACGAGATGGTAATCCTCAAGAAGGATAGGACCTGCCAACACCAACCCATTCCAATGCAAACAAATCAGAAGTGTAACATCAACATCTATAGATTAACTACGTCTTCTTCATCAAAATGGTAAATTTAATTCGGAACAGTGTCATAACTATCACTCAACTCGCAACTAGAATCGGGTTCAAGAAGAAACGCACGTGAACAAAGAGTAATCATGATTTGGTTTAGAATTAGAGAAGAGGAGAAAAAGAGATACCTCTGGGTCCGACGGTCATGGAGGAGTTGTTGTTCCATACAGGAGCACCAGAGTTTGTGGTGAAGAACGGAGAGTTGTAAGAACTCGCCGGCCGATACTGCAATCATCATCATCATCATCAATAGTTAGCCAAACCATTTCAATTGGAGAGGAGATTAAAGTCACCATCGTACAAAACCCAAACGATTCGAAATAATCAAACCCCAGCAAAAATCACAAGTCAAATCGACGACAAAAAGCCTCACTAAAATCCGCGCGAGTTACGCATACGAGCTTCGACAAATCAACATAAGGGCATACGACTCTCGTTTCCATAGTCGGATTAGATTCACGGATTCGATTAGAAGAAAGTCAAAACCCCATCGACGACGCTAATCGAACAGTTGCAGAGACTCGAAAACGCCGGGTGCAATACCAAAGCTCAAACAACATTTTTCCAAGGCGAAATACAGAGGACTGAAGAAGTGAGAGAGGGAGAAAGAATAGAGACGTGCGTACCTTGTAAGGATCCATAGTTGATGAGATGAGAGTTGAGAAAGAGAGAGAGAGAGAGTTTGGAGAGATTCAGAGATTTAACAAAACGAGGAGATTGGTGATGATGATAATTATAATATTTGCTTCCCTATTTATAAATGGCGTGTGCCTTTCTGCCGCTGCGCTTTAAGGCCTTTTTCTCTTTTTTTTTTTTTTTTTTTGGGGGGGGGAATTTTAAAGGTTATCGTTTTTTCTTATTTTAATTTTATTTTCAGATAAGTATTGAAATTGCAGAAACGTCACGAAAATCACAGAGACATTGGTTTTTTACTCAAACGAACAACCGGTTTACCTACTACTTTATTAAAACTCGAAAGAATAATTTAATTTATTATAAGAAAATGATTAAGAAGAATATGTGATCTTCACTCATATACACAAATAAATGAATATACTTTTGATAAGTATCACATTTACATGTTTAACATAAATCTCTTTTTCTTTACGTGGATGTGGTGGTATGAGTATACATAATAATACGACCAATATCTTCAACTCGCGAGATTTTTTACCGTCAACACGATAAATATTATACAATGTCATCCGAAATTTAGATTCCCAAGAAAATTAAGATAAGCTGAACCCACGATTGTGATATTGTCAAATATATTTTTCTATATAAGAGTTTTTTATATGGTAACAACAGCAATGGAGAAGGGAGACAAAAACAAATAAATACATTTTGCAATACGGAGAGCAAAAGAAAAAGAAATAAAAATAAAATGAGGACGTCCTTGAGCTGTGGTTCCTTATCCGGTTCTTTTGGCCTTTTACCAAGAACCTTAATAAGTGGTTTAGTATGGTTTTCGATGACGTGGATGATTCGTCGGGTTCCACGTGTGCTTAGTCAATGTGAACGCCCCGGGCGGGAGAATATGCCTTTTGAATTGATTTATCGTGTTCATGTTTGTTGGCCCTTGGGATATGTGGCGAGATGAGATTTATCAACTCCAAATGGCCCCACCTCAGAACCTTCTCCATGCTGCAGAAGCTTTGGTTAATTTTGGACTGCATAAATAAACTTTGTAAATACAAATGTAACACACATTGATTCATCCACGTACAGATGACTTCTAAGTTTTTGAAGATATTATGACCTGCCTAACAAAAACAATCACATGCTACTGGAATTACCAAACCCCATTGGTTATAGAGAAATTAAAAAGGTCTGCATATAACAAAAACAAAAATTCTGTATGGGCATCTAAATGGACCAACCATGCATATAATTCAATCCTTGATCCATTTCTTCTACAATCTTCACTCTTCGAGACTTTTGGACGATTTTTTTTACCGATTGCATGTTTCCTACAGCTTGGTCTAAAGTGATGGATTTGTTCTACAATCTTTTCACTCTTCGAGACCATTCATTCATTTCATATAAGTTTTTTTTTACCTCGTAAGCCCATCCAAATTTGACAAAAAATAATCAAGCGGGCTGAAAAAAGAATAGCAATTGAACTACAGCCCGAAAAAGCTTTCAAATGAAATGACGCTTATTCCACCGGATCAAAGCGCCATCAACGCAAAAGTGATGATATCAAAATGGGCCGACATATCTGGGCTGACCCAACTACTTAAATTATACGATTAAAAGTTTTATTTATTTTGGGGTGCAAAAATACGATTACAAGTTATTACTTCTCCATTTCCATGGTGTATTTACTAGTACTACTATACTTTGTTTGGATCATTCGATGTATAAATATCTTGGTTAACACGTGTCCGGTTTCTTGACAAGAAATTTCTAGAGGCCCGCCATTGGTTTATTATTGGGTCGAAGCCCATGATCAAAATAGACAGCATTTGTGTGTTTGCAAGAAATTTGTACAGGCCCACACATTTGATGATGTCCTCGTTATTAAGCTGGCGTGATCATCGACTCTATACATCTCCTTCACAAGATTCACCCTGGCCTCACTTTGGTTCAGGTTCAGCCTAAAAGTAATGATATAAAGACTCTTTTTAGTTCCTTTGGTCGACTGTTTCAGGTTTTGTCTCAACCTCCAAAAGGTTTTTTGCTAGAAGCTTGTAAAGGTTTAATTTGTTCAAATAAATTTTCCTTTTCTGAAAAGGCAACACTCTGATTATGTAACACTGAGTTATCAACCATAACCTAAAAAGAAACAGCTGACAATCTGTAATATTAAGAAACACCAAGTTTATGATACATAACCTGTTTAGACAAATTGTTACTTTTCTAAACGTGCTAGACTAAAGCATCGGTAAATTCTTCTGCACAGTCACAGCTTATGATTTGTTCTAAGTTGTTTGTTTTATGTTAATACGTAAAAGTAGTGGCCGTTGGATGATAATGAATTAAAAAGGAAATTCCGAAAACCGAGGACCATTTTGCAGGGTCGGAAAAAGACAGGTGTTGTAGATCAATCTAGCCGTTACCAGATACAGTACACGTGGCACGATCTGTGTGGATTAACGAAGAGATCTGACCTGTCTTTTGCCAAACTGATGTGGAAACAGTGACGTGGATGTTTTGGAGATAAAGATTGGGCAAGTAAGGCTGCCCTAATGGTAGGTCATTTCTTTCAAATTTCAATTACAACTATTATTATTAAATAAGATGAAATTCATCGAAATTCATCATGAATATTATAATATAGACCCCTTCTTTTCTGGAAAAAAAAACATGATCAAACCAAAAGGATAGGCTGCGAAATCATGTAAAGATGCGATGATGATTCATCCACATGCAATGATTTATGCTGAACCAAAAATTATTATCCAACCTCTTCTGCACCACGGAGATTTGAGTTAGGGAATATCTTAGATGGCAAAACCACCCAAAATTTGATTATCTTTTGTTTCCAAATCATACTCTATATGCGTAGTGTAATAGATTAGAAGATAAAAAAAAAAAAAAAAACTCAATTCCTATTGCATTTCAAGACTATAACAAATTATATATCATTATTTTGATTCGTAAAATGGACTTCATTACCAACTATTGTTGATTAATCTTATTAATATTTCGAGACCGCATGACCATCACTCATAAGCTTCAAAAATGAGATGTGTATTGCTTAAGCTTGGGGATATACATAGCCCACACAGCTTTTTGCTAATCATTTTCGAGGAAAGTATACACACAGATAAATGACTCAGACCTATTAGTGTTTGTATGATACAAATGATACGCATTACTGTTTTTATTACATACGGTTACTTGGAAGCTTACTTAATTTCCTAAAATAATTTTGTTATGAGAAAACGCATACAATCCATAAAAAAGGAGGAAATGATATAATCAATTTCCATTATTGCACAGAGCGACCTGGTGTTTTCTTTCGCAAAGACAGCATAGTTTCAAAACAAATATCTTCTTTGTCGTCATATACTTGAATGATGAAAACCGGTTAACGTTATCCCTATCTCTATATAGTAAGTAATAGTATTTCCATTACATGCTCATTTTATTCACATTTGCGTAAAAGTTAAGTATTGGGTTATTAAACCAAATAAATTGATTAGGGCTGGGATGATAAGGACAAATGTCATATTCACGTCTTAAAAAATTCAGAAGCAGCAGATTGGTACTCGTCATATGATTTGCTTTGGAAACAAAATTTAATAAAAAGTGAAATTACTTTGTTTTTAGACTTAGACAAATCACGACGACAATAATATTACAACACTTTGATTAAATAATCTTTTGTTACAGCACTTTGTATTCTGTTAGTCCACTACATTTAACTCTAGGAAAAATGGCTAGTAGCCTAATTGTTGCGATAATGATTTGTCTCTATATAATTCTTAGTTTTAATTACCATTCATGGACGAATATATTTTCATACTAATTGTTCCCAACTCATATAGTAATTACATTAAAAAACAAGTCACAAGTATATGATTTTCTTATGACAGAATGTCTGATAAATTTTTATTTAGAGACCTGACTTTTTAATATTTCATTATGCGTCACAAATATTATCAAAAAGTGTACAACCATCCTTTGCTGTTATAAACTCTGCATATATTTGAATGGGCTATAAACTCTCCCTTTCTTTGATTGCGACGAATTATAATTTTCTTAAAAACTGATAACAAACTAGGTCTTTAGAGAGTTTAGACCAACAAAATTTACAGAGAGAGCTGTTAATCATCCGGAAAATCAACTAGCTTATCTCGTCGATGAGAAAGAGAGTTAAATCATAATCTGCGATTAAGTTTACAGACATTTGACCCAAAAAGACAAGAAGTAAATTAATAAATATAAGAGGAAAGTTGCCAAAAAAAGATTGAAAAAAAGACAAAGATATCGATATAACCGTTGAGAAGAGAGAAAAAAGGGTTGGATGACAGGCTGACGAGAAAACCTTACACCTCATTTCTATCATTAACCCTCACATGGCTTCTCTGTACACTTTGGTCCCACCACCTTTTTTTTTTTTTTTTTTTTATCTCCCATTTTTTTTTCTTCAAATAAGTTAACCCAAAATATTCAGCAAACCTACAAAACACATGGCTTTATTTATTTATTAGCGCATTTTGTTTTTATTATATTGTTCCATATATTTAGTAAGAAAAATATTCACATTTCCAGAACAGCAGAAGATTTTGTCCATGCACATAGAGCCCACCTTTGATTGTTAATTTCGTAACATCATTATCAGACAATACTAAAATAAATATTTGACTATTGTGCCTGTAATAATAATGCATAAAACTACTGTACTGGTGATGACAAAGAAAAAAAGAACCCAATAAATTTACAAGTAATTAATTTTGTCTCCTGTGTCAATTTTGATGATCTACTGACTTGATTCAACGAGAAAGTTCTAAGACACATTTAATTTAGTAGGAGTAGTACTATTTTAGTTTAGAGGTACAAGTAAACTGACATTTAAATTCCCGAAACCTCAAGAAGCTTTCCATTAACACACCATTAACCGTACAAAACTACAAATAATGATTTTTAGCAATATTTCAGGATAATGATTTATAAAAAGCACAAGACAATACCGGAAATACCCTTGAGCTTATCCATGTCATCGCAAGGTTTTTCCTCTTTTAAAAGGAAGAAGAGAGACACTGTCGTCGTCACACAACACCACTCAATTCGAGCAAGCTCCATAGCTAGCTAGAGAGAGAAAACAAGTTCTTTTAGAGAGAGGGAAAAAAGAGAGAGATTCACGATGTCGAAAGAAGTGAGCGAAGAGGGACAAACTCATCACCATGGAAAAGACTACGTCGATCCACCACCAGCTCCGCTTTTCGACATGGGTGAGCTCAAGTCCTGGTCTTTCTACAGAGCTCTCATCGCCGAGTTTATCGCTACTCTCCTCTTCCTCTACGTGACCGTAGCCACCGTCATCGGCCACAAGAAACAAACCGGTCCTTGCGACGGCGTTGGTTTACTCGGAATCGCTTGGGCCTTCGGTGGTATGATCTTCGTCCTCGTTTACTGCACCGCCGGTATCTCTGGTAAGTTCTAGTTTCCCCCAAAATACCCTTTTTATGTTTTGCTTCATTCGTTAAGTTCGTTTCTTATCTCGTTTTCGATTTTGTTCTTGTCTTCAGGTGGTCACATCAACCCAGCTGTGACTTTCGGTCTGTTCTTGGCCCGTAAGGTCTCGTTGGTGAGAGCTGTTGGTTACATGATAGCTCAGTGTCTTGGAGCCATTTGCGGTGTGGGTTTCGTGAAAGCTTTCATGAAAACTCCCTACAACACCCTCGGAGGCGGAGCTAACACCGTAGCCGACGGTTACAGCACGGGAACTGCTCTCGGGGCTGAGATCATCGGAACCTTCGTCCTCGTCTACACCGTCTTTTCCGCAACTGACCCTAAGAGAAGCGCTCGTGACTCTCACATCCCCGTAAGTGCTGTTCTAGTCTCAAATTTGTCTGAATAGTAGCTTCCGTTCGGCAAGATCTTTTAGAGCTTTATGATTAAGTTTGGTTCACTCTCAAATTGGTCTGCGTAGATTTTGATAATGTTTTGAATCTCTGTGTAGAATCTTGTAAAGTTTAAATCTTTTAGGGATAGTGATGAAGTTTGGTTAAACCTCAAATGCGTCTGTGTAGTTTCTGTTAAAGTATGAATATTTTGTTAGGGATTTGTTGTAAATCTTATTTTACTCTCAAATAGGTCTGTGTAGAATCTTGTAAAGTTTGAATCTGTTAGAGATAGTGATAAAGTTTGTTTAAATCTCAAATGCGTCTGTGTAGTTTCTGTTAGAGTCTGAATATTTTGCGTAGTTTCTTTTACTCTGAATATTTTGGGTTTAATCTCAAATGGGTCTGTGCAGTGTAAATTCTGTTAAAGACTGGATTTTTTTGTTGGTTCATTAGGTTTTGGCTCCACTTCCAATTGGATTCGCTGTGTTCATGGTGCATTTGGCTACCATCCCCATTACTGGAACTGGAATTAACCCAGCGAGAAGCTTTGGTGCTGCTGTAATCTACAACAACGAGAAGGCTTGGGATGACCAAGTAAGTCTTTAATTACCATCGCATCGCATTATCTTGGTTAGGTTAAGAATATCATTCACTTCTCGAATGTTGTTGACAATTCAATTAATTGATAATCATTTTATTGTTCAGTGGATCTTCTGGGTTGGTCCATTCTTGGGAGCACTTGCAGCAGCAGCATACCATCAATACATATTGAGAGCTGCAGCAATCAAGGCCTTGGGCTCATTCCGAAGCAACGCAACCAACTGATGATCAAGTGTGAATTTCCCACTTAGTCAAGGCTTAAATGTGAAGAAACAACTTAAGATTTATGTGCTTTATTATTATTATTTGATCTTCTTTTGCGTGTAATGAGAGAGAATTAAGTTGGTGGATGATGTTAATTATGGTTTCTTCTTTTTTTCTTCCTTTTAAATCCCACTTTGTTACTTTAGTTTTAGTTCCGGTGTGTCTTGTGAATCTTTTGCTCTTTGTTTTCTTATTAGCAGTTTCGGTATTTATCCTTTTCCCTACCTCCATTTTCAAGAGCAGTGATCACTTACTTATCGTGAAATCGAACAATCCAATTTCACTTATTGGTCTATGGTTTTCACAAATATTAAATGATCTTGAACTCTTGTGAGAAGCGTCAAAAGAAAATAAACATTTCGGCTGAAAATAATAGTGTGGAGAAGATGTGGAGGTGGTGGGTCTTTGATTTCATTATCCTCGGGTCGACCGAAAAACCAATGAGACACTGACACGTGTACTTTCATATCAGATGAGCGTGAACACTGCGTTACGGGGTGTTTCTCGATTGTTCCACCGATATTGGATTCCATTTCGCCATGATTAACATTTTTGTTAGTAGACAAAAAAGAAAAAGAATTATTTTTTTTCGTTCCTTCTTTTTAGTCTTTTCTTTCGGATTTTAAAATTGAAATATTTAGTTTTGAAAAGCAAGAGTCGTGTCAGTACTTTTTATTGATTTTGTGAAGGGATAATAAAAAAAAGGTGGAGCCAATGGGATAGTAACAACCGGACAAGAAACGAGGACATTAAACCCATTTTCCACCGCACTCAACTTTTTGACGCGTGTCGCTTAGCTGATAAGATCATCACATGGGTAACTCCGCACCTGAATATTACCCCTAATGTTGTTTTTCATAGCCGATATATACATTAAGAGTTATAGAGACCCACCCAACGCATTTATGTTTGGATCTATTTGGAAATGATCTGTATTCAGAGGACTATACCAACTACAATTCAAATCATGCATTTTAAAAGAAAATAGTTGAATCTTGAATTCGACTGTATAGTACTCCAAACACAGAGTAATTTCTTTATAAAAAAAACGATAACAATCATATATAAAGTATATTGTGTTGGGGTAGAAACAATGTCACGTCTCGTCTTTTCAGTAAAGTGAAACACAGAGGTGAGAGAGAGAGAGAGGGACCACAAGCAATAACCCTAGCTTCCAAACTCTTTACTGGTTATATCACGCCTTTTGGTTCTGTTTTAAAAATACTTAGCCGTTACTATCTTTTTTCTTCGTTTTCTCTTTGCTTCAAATATGGTCCACTCATTTTTTAAGTTTGTAAAACCCTAACAGCTTATGAAACCATTTGATTATGTAACTGGGCCTTAAGTTTTGTTTTTTTATTCCTGTATTGGGTCCTGTATAGTGGATAAACACTAGCAATGTTTGCAACTTGCAACAAACCTCTAATATCATAATTAGTCTTTTCTTTTACCACTAATCTCACTTAACAGTTGAGTGTGTAACTTAATGTTGTCTATCAATTTTCTTGAAAGAAATGTCGTTATGATAGGTTAAAAAAAAATACTAAGTCACTAAATTGGACTTTAAAAAACGTACCGGACTTTTTGGTGTCGACAAAAACACACCTTTTGTAATAATGTTGATAAAAGAAAAGAGGTACAAAATTCTCTGTCCAGAATTTTCATAAAACAAAAATAAGAAAGGAAAATTTGGTTGTCATTGTTATTTCAAGTGACAACCAATTTTTTGTTGACATCATTTGTCATCTTTTCTTTTTTGTCGTCTGAAGCCTTTGTAATGAGGTTTGTTATTTAATTATAATTATGACTCATTGTGCAAAAAGACCAAGCGCACACCTTTTTACCCTTTTGGTGATTCTGGTTCAGTTTTGCTGGTTTACACGTAGTCTTCGGTTCGTAAGCAAAACCAAGGGGAGCTGCCGATTGGGCCACGTTGCAGTGGGCTCAGTGTAAAGCCCACATGAGTAACTGAAGGCCAGTGGCATTGTTGCAAATAACGGATTCGGTTTGTCTGTTGCAACGGTATAAAAGCAGAGAAGAGATTTTTTAGTCTTCGTTCTTCTTAATAAAATTATTGTCTTTCCTCTTTAAAAGTGTCCTTTTGACATTTTTCATACATGATAGCACATTACTACTTAAATAAGTATTCAAATATTCAACTAGTTTTGACTATTGACTAAGAGATAAACTAAAGGGAACATTAATAAATCTGGTTATGATAAGTAACTTGCAGGTTTTAAAACAATCTTTCGTTAGAGAATCGGGTACTGTTAACTCAAGTCGGTTTATACCATTCCGTTAGAGAAAACGAAAGAAAAGCAAACTTAAAAATAATACAATTGAAAGAACCTTTTGTATCAGAGAGCCAAACATATATATTAGCAGCAACAAAACACTTCAACCAGAGCTTTCCCATAATACTTTTTTTTCCCATAACACTTCAACCAGAGCTTTCCCATAATACAAGTTCCTAATAAAACCAGAGCTTTCCCATAATACTTTTTTTTTTTTTTTTTTGACAAAGAGCTTTCCCATAATACTTAAAAAGCCTAAAAACTCATTTAGAGTACTTCTTCGATTTTGTGCTGCTACTTACTATTAACAACATGACAATCACACAACACAAAAAAAGACTCACAGAAGCTCATCTATAAACGATTTCCCTTTAAATTTCTCCATTTTGAATCCCATTTTCTCCATCCTCGACCGTTCCCTCTCCATCTCGACCATCATAGCCCGCGTCTCCTCAATGCGCAACCTCGCTTCGGCCATTTCCTCCTCCATCCGAACCAAATCCGATTCTTGAGCTTCAAGCTCTTCTCTCTTAGCCTTCACTAAACCCTCTTGCCTCTCCTTCTCAGTCTCCACATCTTCTTGAGACCGCGCAAACTCCTCAAGAACCGAACGTAGCCAAGCCACTTCGATATTCACAGACTCCAAGTCTTTGAGAACAGCGAGCATCTCTTTGACTTTGACTTTGGTCAACTGCCCGACCGGGGTTGACCTGAGTTCCTGCATCAGTGAGCATAGACACTCGAGGTAACGGGACCGCATTGAGTCCGATTCCAGCTTACAGTTTTGAGCAATGTCTCCGTGTTTCTCGATGATGCCGCTGAGGATTGTGGACGAGCCCGATCTCACTCTGTATTTTCCGACAGAGACGAAAGTGTCAGACATTACCGATTCAAGATCGAGCTCTACTCCAATCTCGTTGTTGTTTTCCTCTTCTTCATCGTCATCGTCACTGTAATCATCACTGCTCTGTTTCCCATGCGGTATTGGAGAGCTAAGGAAATTGTATAGCGTAGTTTCGCCGCCTGCTTCAGTCTTCCCGTTGTGTTCTTGTTTTCCCGGTTTAGGTGATACCGCTGTGCCTCGATCAACCTTCATAAGACGTTAGAAACATTGAGAAACATCTCATGTAGATATGATAGATGGATTCTTGGATTCATTGAAAAGAGTAAAAGATGAAAATACCAAATTGTTGTGGGAAAAAGGAGTGACTTGAGAGAGTTTCTTCTCCGGTTTATGCTTAAAGAAATCATCTGGATCACCGGATGACGAAGAGGAGAAAGACTTGTTCGAGTCAGAAACCGTCTTGTTCTTCACAGCAACGGCTGGAGCTACGGAATGATGAACCTTCGGAGAATTAGCATTTGTAAAACCGCCACCACCGTTTTGATAAGGCCTTGTAGATAGCGGTGAAAGCGGTTGTGAATGCGAATGCGGTTCCTTCTTTTTCCTACCGAAACTCCCTGAGAAGCTAAGAATCTTTGAACCTGTAATAAAACAACACAAGAATCAAGGATACAAAAGACAAAAATTTTTTTGGCAAAAACAAAAAGCAATGATCAAGAAACAGAAACAAGCTACCTTGCTTCTTAGTGTTCTTCTTCACATGGCCTTGAGCAATTCTCTCTAAACAAGCAGAAGCACACTCATGGAAAGGATTGTCCGCATATACACAATCCGGATGAGCTTTTCGATTGAAATCCATAAAGTTTTGATCAAATGTCACAGCTTCAAGTAGGAAACTGCAATCAAAACCTCTGAAGATGAGAAAAAAAATAACCAAGCCTCCCAAAGGAAACAAACTTAAACAATTGAAGTTCAGCGTTGTGGCTTCACAGGGATGAACATATCAACATCAAGGGTATGTAAAAAGGTCAAACCTTTACACCTTAATTTTCAACAAATAGGTCAAAAAAGATTAGACACTGGGCTTATATAATACAACAAACTCCAACGAAATTGGATTCCTTTCAGATTTCACCAACCCTCTCATCCATTTGCTTTATGTTAAAGAAAGGTAAAGAGAGAGAGATAGTAAAGCGAAATGCAAAAGTTGAGAGAGATTCACCAAACATATCCGTAGAGAAGAGATTTCTCAAGACTAATGGTGAGTTTGATCCCCACAAGACCAATCAACTCTTAAAATGTAAGGTAGCAAGATACAAAAAGAAGACTTTTCGTTTTTGTTCCTTCTTCTTAATTTTATCTGGACCGACCACTCAATTTGCAAGTACAATTTCCCAGTGGCTTAAATTTCAACGGAGGAAGCTCTCATTTATTGACTAAGACCAAGGTTTTAAGAAAGGTAGATTTTTTTGACCGGCTTGTTTTTTGAACAGACAAAAACTTATAAGGCCCACCTTCTGGATAATATTTTAAAAAGATGAAATTTCGTTTTCATTGCTTGTGTTCTTCTGTCGTGAAATTTCTCAGTACATATCAATAGAACAGTATCCATCAATTTTCATCATCGATCATCGATTAAATCAGAAAAGAACGAAAAGCATCCCCACGATTCTAAGCAAGAACAAGAATCGATTTCTTGATCAAAGAACCAAACTTTTATTCACATAATTGCAATTTACATAGAGATTAGAGAGAGAGGGAGAGAAAGAGATACCAGGAAAAACGGGAGAGGGAAAGAAAGATGTTGAGCGGAGAAGACGGTAGGGAGAAAATGAATTGAAATGTTTGGTTTTTTTTTTTTTTTTTTCACAATTAACAGTTGTATTTATGTGTGGTTGTGTATATATATTATAAGGTTGTACATGTGACATTGTCTTGTGTATAAATAATGAGACGATGATGCTTTGACCAAAGCCATTATACCAAATGGAGAAATGAATTAAAGTTACTTGGAGAAGAGAGCATTAATTGAGAAGGTTGGAAACGGCAATCCATCACACCTCACTAATCTTCCAGATGTGGACATCAACGTGGGACGGTTACACTGAGAATATCTGAGACGAGAGAAGCCTAAATAAAAAAAAAACAGTAAAAAAATAAGGAACTTGTCAGTTACATTGCGCGTGAGGCTGTAAACTAAACAAGTCAATGCATGAACTACGTCACGCGTGTCAGTCTTTGCATCACACGTGAGAGTTAGTCGTCTCTTAATCTTTTTGTTAACCATTTGTCTCATGTCCAAGTTGGTATATTTCTGTTTTCCAAAATTACTTAACCAATAAAAATCTAGACATATTTCAAATAGAAGATGGTTAATCAATAATTTTTCCATTTTATAACATGATAATACATGATGAGTAAAATTTGATGACAATATTAATGAGATTATGGAGACTTAGTCACTTAGCTAAACATGTAGTATAGCTGTATGATTCAATCCGAAGGATCAGATAGGAAACCAAATTAAATGCAGAATCTCATAAAAAGCATAATTTCGAAACGCGAGTAGCTTATCCAGAAGCGATAAATGACCATTTCCCCAAACTTCCCGATTTTTTATGAAGGAGAAAAACATCGAAAGAAGTGGAGTAAATTCTAGTGCAGGTTTTTTTTTCTTTTGGGACATGAAATGATTTTGTTAATGCTTTTTCTTCTACACAAAATCATTTAGCAAATTCTTTTTCCCATCAATATTGGTTGACCTGTTATTATTTTCCATCTATCCACCAAAACTGTATATCGATCATCCAATTGGGTCATTGCTGTAATTATAAAGCCCAATATGTGATGTTGTTAATTGGGCTTGCGGGTTAGAATTTAGAAATTTTCTTATTTCATTCATATATTAAAGTCTCACTTACCGATTACATATTCAATTTTGCAATGGTATATGTAACTTTTTACACATGTATGATATATATGAGACCAAAAATCTAAAGATGAATTTATCATAGTTAACTATAACAATAGCAAACTGATAAAAGTAAATGGAAGTTAGGATGACATATATTGAAGTTGAAATTGAAAAAAAAATTAAATGTAATTGTGTAAAATGCATAAGTGAGGACAAGTGACGAACTTTTACTAAATAAATAAGATGTTGATATCAAGGATGAAGTCACTTATTTGTTTCCCATTTTGAATTTTGGTGCCATTGATATGTTTATAAATTGTTACATGTTGTTAAGTGTGGTGGGTTTCTAGTACAAATGATACTATCATTTCATATTCACAATGATTCCAGCATTCCTGTCTCCTGAATTGCTTGGGTTTTAGAGAATTGTTTGCTTTCCTTAATTATGCTATTTGCTCATCATTACATGTTTTTGTATTTTTTTTTTCAGTTTTTCAATTTATTTGTTTGTCAATTAGATGAGAGTTTGCTGCATGCAAACGTGAAAGTTGCTTTGAGAAAATTTTAAAAAGCCATCGATATACTGAAAAGCTTTGTGCAACAAACTGAGAAGGACGGCAAGATGAGAGTGATTGTGTATATATCCATATCAAAAGCTTATATTTCTATCTTTGAAGAAGTAGAAATTTACAAAAATAGAGATATTTCTCAAATTAAGGTGTTTACGCTTGATACAATACATATGAACACAATGGTGAGAAAAATATGGCACTTAACCAATTTGGACCAGCTGATGCTTAGATGTGACCTGTTGATGCTAGGAGGTGCTTCCCATGCTGGGATGAACTGAACTAGTTAGGAATGTTTTTAAGTAGATTATGGTAAATATAGCATAACGTTAATGCTATTTTAAAAAGTTTCCTGTGTGGTTGATTTTGCTGGAAATGACAAAAATGGATTAATTTTTGTTTAGTGGTGGATTTTTGACGAAATTTTAATATGTACGGCATTAATATAAAGAGGTTAACAAACAAATTTCGATCATAACAAAAACTACACCACTCACTATTTTCGTTTCTCAAATTGAATTTTGGTGTCATTCATATATGGATATAAACTGTTACTTATTGCCAGTTTTTTTTTTGATGCATTTTTGGTGCAAATGATATTATCATTTCATGCTCACCAATCACCATGATACCAGCATTCACGATTTTCGTTTCAATTTAAAAAGTTTTTATGCAGGTTTACAATGTTACATTGAAATCCATCACTCACATGCAAGACCAGTATGACTCGTACGACGGGATTTTGTGTTTCATATAAAAATTGCCAAAACATATCTTTTTCTTTTTACATTTGCCATAACATATACCCGTTATGGTCTCAACTTTCAAACACAGTGATCATAACTGTCTTCACCAATCATCCTCGAGATAATACCTAAGACCTCACAAATCTTGTTAGTCTCCACGTGGGATCTGTCTCCGTTTGTGAACACGTGATTTATGCTATTCGTCTCAACAGTGCTGCGACTCATTGTTCTGAATATGCCTTTGCTCTTCATGAGAAGCTCAATCCTATTAACATCTTCCCATCTCCCAGCTTCTGCATACATGTTCAAAAGCAAGACATAGCATCCCGTGTTATCGTGTTCCATCTTGAAGACCTGCTCTGCTGCGAATTCAGCTACGGCTATGTCGTTGTGGTTTCTGCTTGCGTTTAACAAAGACCCCCAAATCCGAGCTGTTGGCACAAACGGCATTTCTTCAATGAATCTCTTGGCTGAGCTGAGGTTTCCTGTACGACCAATGAGATCCAGCATGTACCCGTAATGCTCTATCCCAGGATCAATCCCGTATTCTCTTTTCATTGAATTGAAATGAGTCCATCCTTCATCAATCATGCCGGAATTGCTACATGCTGCTAATAGCGAGGCAAATGTGCTCTTGTTTGGACTTACTCCAGAAGTAATCAGCTCTGAGAATAAGCTAATCGAAATTCTCCCAAAACCGTGTACCGCATAGGCCATGATGATGCTGTTCCATGAAACAACATCCTTAAACACGACGTGGTCGAAACATTTCCTTGCATCCTCGAGGTCTCCACGCATGGCATACATGTGAACGAGTGAGTTCAAGATGATGGTGTTTGACCCGTATCTGGCTTTTACGACATAGGCATGAAGTTGTCTACCTTCCCTCAGGGAGACAGATTCTGCATAAGCTGGTAGAATAGTAGCGATTGTTGTGGAATCAGGAACAAGAGATGAATCCCATAGCTCTTGAAATAGCTCCAAGGCCGAATAGTTCTTCCCGTTCTGCACATAAGCAGCGATAATCGAGTTCCACGAGACCAAATTCTTTTCAGCCATTCGATCAAACACAACCTCGGCTGACTTTAACTGCCCGCATTCTCCATACATACCAACCAGAGAAGTCTCCAATACTAGATGAGGAAGAAAGCCTCTCCTCATTGCGTACCCGTGAATCGTTCGACCTTCCAAGATCTCACAAGCAGGAAGCAGATTTATCAATGTGATAACATCTGGCTTCAACCCATTGGCCTCTGACATTTTCTGAAAACAGGGAAAAGCATCAGTGACTCGGCCATATCTAGCATAACACCCGATCATAACGTTCCAGGCTACGATATTTCTCTGGATCATACCCTTAAACATCCTCTCTGCATAAATCACTTCACCATATTTACTGTACATGTCGAGAATTGATGTCAGTACCATAACATCGCCAGTCTCGATTCTACTTCGAATTGCGTGACAATGTATCTCCTTTCCCATTTTTGGACTATACACATGAGAACAAGCACCTAAAGCGCTCATGGTACTGAACCTGTCCGGTCTAAATCCGCGTGTCAGCATCTCTTTAAACAGAATCAAGGAGCGTAAGCCATCTCCAAGCGCAAGATACCCAGAAATCATGGAGTTCCACGAGACAGTATCTCTCTCAGGCATTCCATCGAACACTTTCTCTGCATCCCAGGCGCATCCGAGCTTAATGTACAACGATATAAGAGAATTACAGACGTAAACATCTGAATCAAACCCAAGCTTTATCACCATCGCGTGAACCTTCTTCCCATCTGCCAACGACGAAACTCCGGCGACCGACTTAATCACGAACGGATAAGTAAAGGAATCGGCTTTGATTCCTGCAAACACCATTCTGCAATAAAAGTGCACCGATTCATGATACAATCCAATCCTAGCGAAACCTCTGATCATCACATTCCACACGAAAGCATCTGCTTTGTTCATTTCATCGAACAGCTGGAGTGCATCCTCCATGAGGCCTGAATCGGCGAAATTGCGAAGCGCGCGCTTGACCGCAGGATCGTTGAGCTTAGTTAGCTTTCGTTGTTGCCGAAGAACCAGACGGGATAATTTCGAGAATCTCCGGTCGAATACGAGATTCCGTTTCCCATTTGACTTCTCCGTCGTCTGGTGATCCTCAGAAGAAACACACTTGCACGCGTAGCCTCGAGGCAAAAGAGTTGCAGCCATGAGTACTGGAAATTGAACTGGAAACTGAGATTCAAAGAGATGGGTGGAGATTGAATTTGTCTCTCGTCGTCTTCATTTTCGCGCGGGAACTTTTTGGTCTACTCTCGTATAACCAGTCCGACAATGACGTCATTAATCTCAAGATAAATAAAAAATAAAAGATAATTATTAATTTTCAAAATTCTCCAATTTTTCAATGAACTCCAACTCCATGAAAAAACTTAAATCGTCTTCAATAACATAATTGACACATATAACTTAGTGTATGCAAAATTTGTCAACGATTCGTTTTTCCAGCTTTGTATTAATTATCATAGAAAATCGTCTCCCATTATCTTACTAGTACACAAATCAAATTCAGAAGAGACTTTCATTTTTAAAAAACTTTTATTTTGACAATATAAAAACCTATGAACACAACAACAACGGTTATTCGTAAATGGTTTATCAAAAAAAGACACAAAATATTTACAAATTCTTGTAAAGGAGGTCTCTCTGTAAAGACACAAAACCTAAGAGAAGAAGTCCTCACGGCTATTACCATCTTCACCATCGCTCTCATCATTGAAGGTGAGTATAAGATCAAGAAGCTCTCTTCCAGTGGACGAAGATGATTCTCCTTCTCTATCTGGACTCATTCTTCGGTTCTGCAGCGAGAAGAGTTGTGCCAATAGCTCCCGCGGTGAAGACACACCATACATCCACCCCCTAGGCGTTCGCTTCCGCTGTACACACAAATTTCAAAACAATACACAACCATCATACCACTATCAACATTCCTCTCACCACCACCATCAACATGTATCAAACAAAGTCTTAATCAATTCAGCATATATACCAGTTCGATGTTGGCAGGCAACGTAGCTCTCTCAGCTGCCTTTGAGGTCCACACCTTGATGTCGCTTTCGATTCCGCTGCTAGCAAGCACTGGTACATGCGGATGAGGCTCGATACAGTTAACCACATCCCTATCCGCTTCCATAACACGTAAAAGCTCTCCACTTTTCTTCTTCCAAATAAAAATCCGACCACAGTCTGACCCACTAACCACATACTCAGACCAAGGTCCGAAAAAATTCACACCTTTAACCGTCTCACAGTTCTTGTGCCCCTTGTAAACCATAGGAACAGAACGTTTGCCACCATCTTTCGGAGAAGAAGCTGATTCTGACTTTGATCCACTACGCTTGGACACTGGAGAGGATGGGATAGGGTTAGAGCCTAGTCCCATATCGCGTGTGAACATGTAGATGAACTCGTCGTTGTATGAAACGAGGAGCTCGCTTTGCTCTGAGAAGGCCAAGCCTGTTATTCCAACTTGTTCATTGCCGACAAGGTGCGGAGGGCAGAAATGATCTGCAGCTCGGCTGAAACCGTTTAAACCTTCTCCCTGAAACCTACGGATATCGTAGAGACGAGCGTACTCGTCCATCCCACCGACAGCAAAGAGGTTGGAGTTCCTCGGGTCGATCGCGATTGCGTTTAGCTGTGTGGCTTCCATGTTCCTCCTCCTAGGATCAACTGAGTGACATGTCAGTAGTTCTGTAGGGGCTTCAGTCCTCAGATCAAACTGAAATGGTCAAGAATCCAAATCTTTTTAAAGAAGTAAAACTCTTCAATCGAGAATAGTAAAGCAGATCCAATGTGATGCAGCTATATTACTCACGCGTTGCACTAATCCGTCTTCACCACATGTGTAGAATATATGAGGGTTCCCTGGCTCGATACAAAGCTTATGAGCTCGTCCTTGATGCGATCCCAACAACGACGTCTCCACTTTCCCACTCTCAAGAATACTTGCACGCCGAACCTGAAGGGTGTTTTGGAATATTTTTCACAAGCTTAGAAAGAAGAAGAAGCTAGCCAATAAAGTGTGTGATGCAAAGAGAGGATATTTTTTTCTTTTCTTGGGAATTCAAAGGATTACCATTCCATCTGCAGCACAGGTGACGATGGTTCGATCGTCGGAGAAAGGCATAAACTTGGCCTGAAACACGTTATTAGCGTGTCCTGAGTGGAACGAAAGCTTGACTTTCCCGAGCTGCCAATCCCAAAGGATGACTCGCCGATCATCAGAACCCGAAACCAGAACATCTCCTTCGGCGTTGAAGCTCACTGTGTTCACACAACCTTTGTGCTTCACTAGCTTCCGGTGTATCTCTAGACGCAGAACCAGATTCTACCACAAACAGAACCAATCTCAGAATGTGATTCAACGGTTTTTTTTGAAGTGATCAGTTTCAAGAATTAGTCAATCGCAAATCTGAGAAAACTGAAAAGAGACTTGAAACTCATTCAATTGGACTATGCTACTATCTATATCCACCAATGAGACTCGCAAAATCAAAACTTTCGAATTGAGATCAAATTGACGAGGAACATACCTCGGAGCCGGAGAAGCGATTGGAGAAATTACGAGAGGAAATTCCGCCGACTTCTCGCCGCCAAAAATCAACAACAGGGTGATGAACTCCGTTAAAGTTTGTTCGACATCTCTTCGCCTTCTCACTCATATTGCTAAAAACCAACGGGAGAACACTGTGAAAGGAGCAAGTTTACACGGTCGATGAAGCTAGATCAGACTCAGAGGGAAGATTCTAATTGCTCTGTATCTCGCCGTGAAATGTCTACTTCGGTGAGAGAGGGAGGAGAAGCGTACTGTTAAGTCCGTCGCCGGAAGAGAGACCATTTCTTTGGTCCAAAATTCTTCACTAATATTATTGGGCTTTCTAATGAACCTTTTAATCTTTATAAATATTTTCAAGTCTCTAATTTCTTAGACATCAAATCGACAACATTATGTAGAGGAAAATAAAAGTAGCGAACATAGATTACGAAGAGATGTGATGAAGACATTTTCTGTGACTAGAGCTACAAACAATTTTTGCTTAACATATGTAAAATGAACCATGATATATAACTCAGGAAATATAAAATTTGAGAACTAATTACCAAAAGTATTGAGAAAGATAAATGTGGTTACACATATTAACTTATTTTATTTTGTTATTGCAACTTGTAAAATCAAAAGGAGCTTGATCCATTTTGGTAGTATCGATGGGTCTTGAAATTCATACACCTTAGATTATGTGTCAATATGCCATTTATGCAAATATTTTGTATGAGTTTATAAGTTAGATTATATTAATATTATACCACATTGTTTATTCTTTTATCATTTAAAAAAAAGTGATAACGTACACACAATATTTTATTTACGTTTGGTTTTATTTGATGATTTTGTAATGATGTTTAAGTTTAACTCTAATTTTTTGTGTGGGTGATGATGATGTGTTTAAATAAAACGACAAAAGTGTTGTAAAATTTGGGAATACAAAGAAGGTAAAAAAAAATTTTGAGCATAAAGAAAGTAATTTAACACGTATATAAATTCAAACTCAAACGCAGAACCAAATCAATATCTCATATATAAGTAGTGTATAACAACAAATAAAATTAGCAAGTTGTAAGTGCTTAGTTATACGTATGAACCATCGAGATTAAGATTATCAGAAACCATGTGAAACATTTTTAAAAAACATGTGAAAATACAAAGAACAAACACAATATATAACAGTATAACAGATTAACAGGGCTGGTACTGAAACAAGCCTTAATAATTTCACACAACACGATCATTCATACTTGCTCGCTTAGTTATAAACTTATAATTTCTCACATGCACCACTCACTAAACCAATATATATAACAGCCACAAATTTATTATGTTTTATCGAAGGAAATTATTTGGTTTAGCTGTTCCCCAACTAAGACCGATACGCGACGATAACACATTGAACATCATCGATGTCCCTAACTTCATATCGAGCAAAACCAGCTTCGTTAAGAACAAAGTCCCACTCTTTTAAAGTCCGTTCTTTGCCTGTGCTTGTGTGAGCCATCATCACCATGTCAAGCATCAATCTCACATGCTCTAACTTCTCGTCTCTTTCTTCCACTATCATCGCCTTTTTCTTCTCTCTGATCACAGATTCCACTATCAACACTTTACCGATCATTGGTGGGACCGCTTCTTTGCAGTTTTTCAATATTTTTATGCAATCTTTATCTCCCCAATCGTGTAACACCCACTGTCATCATTTTTCACGTTTTACGTATTAGACCACGTATTAGATAAAACTAATTAATATCCTCTTAGCAAACAAACAAAAAAAAACTAATTGATATCCTGTTTTGAAGTGATTATATCAACATATTTTAACATTGTTTTAATACATTGGAGAACTACGCAGATTAAATCTTTCCAAATTGTTTTTACTTGTTAGTATTCTCCAAAACAAATTAAAAATAAAAGCAAAATGTAAATGCCAACCCATATGACAACATACTACAGTCAAAGCTTCAAAGGAGTTAACTCGCACGTGAAATTTTTTAATTTGAAATGAATTGAGTAATTTCTAAATCAAACAATTATTCTTTCCTTCAATTGCATTAGTTAATAATTAATAGCAAAAAATTAAGATTAAAAAATAAAAAACTGATATTGAAGTAATATAGTATAAAAAAACATATTAAGGCTTTAAACTTATAAAGAACCAAAAGTTTGACATCTAGCAAAAAAAAGTGCTTGCTTTAAAAAAAAAAAAACTGTCTTCGAGTACTGGTTAATAATATATCTGGAGAAATTGGTAGTGGGTTACTTTATTTATTTGGCACTTGATAGTGGTCGACATCAATTGATTCGGTTGTTTGGTGTCATATGATATCATATATATCATTTCTAAATTATTCATCCTTCCTGAAAGATGGAAGAAAATAAGTGGATTCTAAAATTTCAACATCCAACTTTTAAAATTTTTGTGTTTAACATCCCAGCTGCTCTGTAAAAATCGAAATTTTCGGGTTTTAAAAGTGGGTTCTAAATTCTCTAAATATGAGTCGAATAAAACGTGAATAGTAGGAGTAATAGTTAAACACAAGAATATGGAGCATGGAAATGAACTTAACCTTAATGAAGACGGCGTCGCATTTTGGAATAGAACCAAACATGTCGCCTCGAACATTCTCAATACCATCCAAGATTTGAGCAACTTCGATAACATGAGGAAGATCGAAGTTAAATCCTTTGATCCAAGGAAACTCCTTAACCAATATTCCCATCGTCTCCCCGGTACCGCCTCCTACGTCCACTACCGTGGCTACGCCGTCAAACAAGTCATGACAAGCTCCGGCTACACGTGGCACTACGCGCCTAGTGTCACAAGCCATGGCCTCATTGATCATATCGCTGAGGCATGGATTATCCTCTGCGAAAGCCCACACATCCTTACCGTGCACCGTATCGAACGGTGGGGGATGTGAACCGTTGACCGGAGAAGAGACGACTGAGCTCAGTCTCAACCATGGAGCGAGCATCACGGGATTTGTTTCGAAGAGAACAAAAGGAGCCAGAGAGTTGCCGTCACGTTTTGTGATCATCATGCGGCGAGAGAGTGGCGTGTTACTGTAGCCTGTGGCTGAACCATCTTTTGTGGGGACTTCTTTGAAGACTCCTTGGTGCACAAGAAACCTCATTATACGGCGGAGATGTGACGGAGAGGCAGAAACTGCGGAGGAGAGCTCGGCTAGTGTCACGGGCTGTGACGAAGGATGGTTTTCAATGGCTTCTGGTATCTTAAGATCAATGGCACACTTTGCAGCTGCTATATCTGCAAACCCAAATACATATCTCCATATGTCTAGAGAAGCTTTAGCTTCTTCGTCTAATAAATTTCTTTTACTTTCTTCCATTTTTTTTTCTCTAACAATATTTTTGTAAAAGTCCAAAGACAGGTGATTTGGAGTTGAAGAATTAGGTTTTTTTATACTGATTACAAAATGAGGGTATAATAGTAAACTTTAATTTGTAAAGACACAGTAGTGATTTCGGGACCACAAAGGAAGAACCCACACGTTTTGAAATTAAAAAGGATTCACTGAGTGATCAGTATGACATTCAAGAACTCTATTCAATTATTTTTATTTTTGCATGAGTAAAGAAGATCTGACCACTTGTTAATTTATTTTGTTAGTACTGTCGACTGCCGAATAGTTATCTGTCCTTGAAAATTGTGATGATAGCCCTGGACTTGTATCAATTTTAAGACTTTGTCACAAGTTAGTAACAATAGTAAATTGGTACGTGAAAACTTAATGATAACCTAGCAACACCTCTTAATACCAATATTTTTCTAGCAAACCAAGCTCTGTCAACCAAACAACCACATCTTAGCGTAGCTGTCAAATGTCTTGGACACGTTTATATGTAAATTTACGGGCTGAATGGCTTCTGTATACACACATGTACCTCCATGGAAAATTTCTGATGCAAGTTGATTTATAAAATTTACTTTTCTACTTTCCAAAATTTTGCCATTAGAAATTACACTTTGCGATTCTTGATTTCCTTCAATTTATCAAATGGAATTTGTTGCAAAAATAATATTTTCTGTGATTTTGCTAAACCAGAAAAATACCTACACAACTTGTGAGGTTTGCTAATAAAACAATGTTTATAACCGTACTTAAATTCACTAAAGTATGTTGTATATAAGCTATCACTGACTAAGTAAGAATTAATAATATTAATATAGCTAAAAATTTGCAACTAGAGAGATTGACGTTTTGTAACCAAAGCATATAAAATATTCGTTCTACATCCTAATCTGATAAATTTCATATCGTTTATTAACATATAAAAATAATCAATCTACTATTTGGTAGACTTTTTATATTTAAATGTTCCTAATTGTACCTTACTAATTTAAATAGTGAATATGTTAATCCTTATATAGTTCTGTAAGAAGTTTTGGTTACACATATCATCATAAATAATTCAGGGTATGCATGCATCACCAGATAACACTAATGTGGTCCAGGTCAGGGCATTCTTAATAAATCACACAAGTTTTTTTATGTCCATGCATTTTTCCCGAGAAAAAAAGCAGCTAATTTATGTAGTAGTTAATTTGGGTCCTCATGTATTCGTGGATCCGACCGAATGTTTCAGAAAAATAAAAATCTCTATGGTCTAGTATGTGGCTGGTTTGAGGTAACATAAGATTACTGGATGAAAAATTTGGACCACTAGATTCATATATTATCTATGATCACGTGGTTCTTGCAGCATGAGCCATGTGTATCTCGTGGAGGAAGTTGTTATCTCCGGAAGACCCATTAAAAAAACCATTAGAGTTGGATCCGGTCTAGCTACGTAAACCGTGTTTATAACCGATCCACAAGAGCTATTAATATTGTCTCCTTAGTCTTAGTTGTAACTTTATGTTCCGCAGTTTGATCACTCCAGGAGTAGCTCATGAGCAACCAACACGATCACAATTTCCACTGGATTTTCCTATTAATATGGAAAAATGTTGGTCTTCTCTTTTCAATACTCACGGATGCGTATTCGAACTCTACAAATCAGTATTCTCTGGTCAGTTTGGGAATGTTGGAGTTGCATGTTACAAGGCATTCTCGACGATCGATGCTAATTGTTGGCCTCGTATGTTTCCTTTAAACCCGTTCTATCCACCTCTTCTCAAAGACAATTGTGCGCACATCGTCCCCAATTCCCCCACACACAAGTGAAATCGAGAATGAAAGTGAAAGATCGACTAAAGGCCTCTGTCATACACAATCAAGAGTTCAGGGTGTTTCAACCAACACATTAGAAGATAGAACATTTAACATAAAACCTGTATCCTATTCTTACAAATGTTGTCAGACAAAATTTGACAACACTTATAAAAAAATTCGACAACACTTAACCACTACTTAAAACCAAATAAATCAAGTTGCTAAACCGAGTCCGAGAACCAAATCAGAATCAAAACCAACTCTTTGCATGAAATATTTTAAGTGTTGTAAAACTGACAAGAAATGTATTGGACCGTTAAAAAGTTTCTGATTTAAAATTTTATAACGGCGACTTTAACGTTAGACTAGAAGGTACGACGCATCTGGAGTGCTCACAGATATGCTAACTCTAAATTCAACGGTCAAGATCTTATACAAAAACCCTGCAACTTTCTTCACTGTCCACGTCACCTCCTCTCCCTTCCAGCTCAGCTATTCCCAGCTCATCCTCGCCTCCGGTCAGGTGAACTATTTCACACCTTATTGATTAAACCGGGCCGGTTACATGTAATAATGATCTGAACCAACTTACAAAGTGTTGTCAATAATCCAACAAATTTAGTCAAAAAAAAAAGTGTTGTCAATAAATTCTGTATACCATTAGATTTATCCTCTTTCTTGTGAGCGATGTTTATTGAATAATCATAATTACAAAATTTGAATATTTCCATTGAGCATCTTTATCTACACAAATATATCAGTAATTTATGTTAAGCGGTTCTTGTGTTTTCCGAATGCCATCGATCGAGACCGTCTTATCAATCCAAGGATGTTGGTGGAGATTTTTAATACGCTGCCGTTTCCTTAAACTTCCTGCATCTAGTGGTCATTAACGTAAAGGTGCTTCCAAGAATTAACATCCTGTGTAAGAAATTCACATTTACATGCTAACAGAACCGTTGCAAGAATGCTTTAGGGTTTGAAGAAGTTTGCGTGTAAACCCTTATCAGCTAGACGCAAAGCCGAGGCAACCACAAGCAAAACGCTAAGAGAAGCACCTAAGCAACCCACCAAAACGTTGAGCAACCACATCGAGCTTTTCCTTTGGGGCTGTTTGATAGAGATCCACATGAAACACGGGTACGTAAACGTAACAAGTAGTCCTATTGCTCCGATAAGAACCGCTAGGTAAGGCAAGAACGAGAATCCGACGGCTACAAAGAAACAAACCAAACCCAAGAACGCACGCAACATCATCCGGACAAAGATGGAGCAAGGCTTTTGTCTCTTGGTTGTGTATACCATCTCTGCATTGTCACAAGCCGGCATTAAGTTTATCGGATATGAGCATAAGCAATTGAAGATGAACGTGAGGTGTATGAAACAAGCGGCTCGCTTCGAGTAGTCTTGTTCGTAAATACTCAAGTAATTCCCTATTGGACCTCCCGAAGCCGGAATCTGTAGTACATAAGAGTTAACATTAAAGCATCAATTGTTTCAAACACGAATGCGTTATATAACTAGTTACAAAAAAGAATCATAAAAAAAAAAGAATAATAATATAGTAGTGATGGAATTTGATTTTTGAAATACCTTGTCACCGTATGCCCAGTAGACAACAATAGCTACTATAAACATACAACTCGCTATGAGCACATGAGAGATCACCACTGCTCTCCACATTGTCTTGCTCGAAGGGTTTTTTGAATCGGAAGGAAGAGTGCCCTACAAGTATCACACAAAAAACTTCTCAATATCTACCAACTCAAAGAGAAATTTAGTTGAAAACTTATATATAAGTTAGCTATAAAATGCGAGAGGCTCTTTCAAATATAATCTTTAAGACCTGTATCTCGAGGACGAGGTTGTTCCCTCGAAATGCAATAGCTATCAATCCAATGGCGTTGAAAATGTTATCGAAGCTTGTATCCGTTGTAGCGTAAGTGACACTGTTTTGATTCCTTTGCGGACCGCTAGTTAGAGGTAAGATCCAGATGGCGGAGGAATATGCTACAGCCATAACACCACCGATGAACGAGAGTCCAAAAAGAGAATTTAGATTTGGAAACTGAGACATGACCACCGCGAGGCAGCTAAAGATCAAGAAGCAATGCAAGGTCGTGAGTGGCACTGTGTCGTCTTCAGACATTATGTGTAGAAGTTGTTTTATTGATTTCCCTCCGGTTATAACCAGAATCGAACAAGCTCCTCCTGAGAGATACATCACGGGGAATATGCCAAGAAGTTTCCCAAGCTTCACACCTATTATTATAGTTTTTTCATGACAACAACAAAAGAAAACGATACCGTATTTAGAAAGGTGAAGTCCTTAAAAAAAAATCCAAATCTCAGAAAACGACAAATTAACACTTAAGAATTGGATTGAGTGTTTTTTTTTTTTTTTTTGTATTACCGAATGAAGCAATTGCGAGTCTCAAGTATCTGCTGAAACGTGTTCCGTGAACAGCTTCGTGAAGTTGAACAAGAAGCCACATCGTGTAGAGCTTCCATACAAATCCCACCGTTAAAATTATCATTCCCCATACCCTGGAATAAATAAATAAAAGTATTATTCGCAAAAAAGTAAATATGGTACGATTTAAATACGAATAAATTAATGAATATAGAGAGGAGATTTGATTTGATATGAGATGTTACCATCCGAGTGCTGCAAAAGCTGCAGGAAGAAGAAGAACTTGGAAACCAAGTCCCGAACAGAGAAGATGAAACGTCGCCGTATAAACATTCCCTTTTCTCGATTCTGTGATCGGCAGCCACTCTTCTATCGGAATCCCCCCACCATCGCCGCCGTTGCTATCGCCGGAGATTGTTGGTGGATTCTTGGAAAGGGGCTGTGACATAAATAAAGGAGAACCACAACTTTCTTGTGATTCCAAGTCAAACAATTTGGCCAATGCTTTTTTGGACATTTTGTATATGAAAGATGTAAAACTTTTTTCTCTCTCTCGGGTTTCAATCGCGTTATTAACGTACAGCCACAGATGAGTTATGTTCTCTGATTCTCTCTCCATTCACTGGATTATATAGTTAGTTTATTGGGAACGTGCGTTATTGGGAAGCTGCGTTAGTAAATTCATTTACACAGTGCATTTAGTAAGGGGACGTTTAATTTTTATGTTAGGGTAGAACTAGAACATTTGAAATGATAAGATATGACATAAGCATGATGACGTAATCAGTTATGTCACTTTCAAACACTCAGAGGCGGGACCCACTGGTATAAATCGAGGACTTCTAGTTTTATCGGGTGGCTAAGTGACTCAAGGCTATTGCAAAGGCTGCTCCAACTGGTTTGTGCCCATTTGTGCAACTGATTCGGGTGTTTTGGTCAAAACAGGCGTCAATTTTGAGCCGACTTCCTTCATTGTCTCTTTGTTTACACGATATAATAATACACATTAACTAGTTAGTCGGAGATGGTTAAAGTTCGAGTTGCTTTTGACCCGACTTTTGTTTTAATTAGAAGAATATGTGTAAAGATATAAAGCGTAGGCATCTAGTCATCTACTTTTACAACACTAATTATATGTGAAGCTAAAGTTTCAAACGTAGCTTCAAGGCTAGTTTGGTTACCAATTAAGTGAGGATTATTACATTTTCCACTATAAGTATGATAATCTAGGGTTGGTGAGAAGCGAGTATTTTGTTTCCGCGTATATGATGAAATCTGTTCAATCCGTCACTATCCGGTAAAATTAGAATATCCATCTGGATACTGCCATAAAAAACGTTTTTTAATATACTGTTTAATTTTTTTTAACCAAGTATATTTTGCAGTATTCATTTCCAAAACCACCTCTTTATTAGTAAAAATAATTAATACTTTTATAACTAATCTGATAAAAAAATTATTTAATTTATAGATCTATACATATCGATTACATAAATATACATGAGCCTGTTGACAAAAAAAAAAGTACATTCATTTTTTAACAAAATGAAAAAATCGTAACAATAGTATCTATAATCTATGTTACCAAAATGACTTTGCACTTCTTTTACGTTGTTTCCTCGTGATTACAAATCAGAATATATATTGAAAAGTCTTAGCAACGACGACTATGAAAGTAACCAATTTTGGTGCTTTTTGTGATTTTTTGGTTTCTTTTGAATAATGTAAGAAGTACACTGTGCAAGTGTTGTAACTATAATAAAAGTATCTTGTTTGAGAAACTTAGAAATATATATATATATATATATATATATATTAGATTTTCGTAATTTTGAGTAATTTACACAGACGATTAGTTCTTTATAGAGAGGGCTATATTCCTAAGTTAATGATTTATAAGGAGGACGCTTAATGATTGATGTTGCTTCGTGTTTATACTCTCTTTTTATAAAACTTGATAATTGCTTAATTCGTTTAGTGCTTAATTTACTTGTTTAAGTTTGTTTAGTTATCTCATGTTTGATATTGTTTATGTTTAATGTTACGAAAAAACTAAAATCAATATTCCTGAACCGTCTTAATCAGATTTATTTTCTGCATCTCTAGTGTGTGACAAATACAATTTAATGACTGCCATTACTTCACCGTACATATCTGAATTAGTAAAAATCGAGTGTTTAAATTCAAACGCATTAGTAATGCATGTATTCCAAAACTCGAATTGTATTCTAACGATTGATCAACCTTAAATTCATAAATGGGGCAAGGTCTTTCTCTCTTCTTTTAGTTTTTGAATTTTCTGGTCTAAGTCGAGGGTTTTCCAAACTTGGTCATCAATTCTGAGTTGTGCCTGGACGGGGACAATGTAAAACACCTACAAAGACATCACATTATTATAATTCAGAATTTCAAACGAAGGGGCGTGCGTATTAAAGGTATGATAAAGTTAAGCTTGGTAACGACGTGACTTTAGAGAGATTTTGCTAAAGACATCAATAATAGTTTTTATGCTAACTTAATTTTTCTTTTTCTTTTTTTCAATCAAGGTTTAACCAGACATACGCTTTAGCCTTTACTATGTAGTGATAGTCCACGATAAAATCCCGTGTCGGATTGAAAATAATGTTGTGTCTTGCGGTATTTAGGACGACAATATATAACGTAAATAGTTATGTCTTTAACAAAAAAATGTATTTAGTTATGTCATTTTCAAATACCAATTACTACCATAACCTTAGGTTATCTCCTAAAAGATTTTAAATTTATGATACAAAATGGTTTTATCTGATTTTGGGTGACATAGCTCAAGTCAAAGACAAGGTTGGTTTGCGATACATTCATGTGGCAAGTTGATTTTGATGGTTAAAGTCAGCCTTACTATCATTACAATAGTTTAGGTGTCGGTCGAAATACTAGTTGGAGGTACTTTTGACTCGGCATTTTATTCAAATAAACTTTTAAAGTGAAATATTAATGTAACAATACAACTAGTGTTTAACGAAAGAAAACAAAATCAATACAACTAGTGGTTGTCGGGATCTTTATCATGTGGAGCCAAAGTTCCAAAAGTAGCAATAAGTATAGTGGTTCTCATTCGAGTATTAGCTAGTTGGTACATAAAAAACTTGAAAGCGAAAGTAATCTATTTGGTAATCCAAAATAGTGGGATTTATAAAACTGATAAGTTAAAGAAAAACTCATTCGTCAATTTATAATGCAGAAGTTAACCTCCTTACTCATGTGTCGTGAAAAAGAACTACACAATCAAATCTGCCTATTAACCATCTATTTTTAATTTATAAACTTTTTATTAGCTATTTGTCATCGATCAATCAGATTGCAAATATATAGGACAAGATAATTTGTAGCTAGATCGTTAATTAATTTATAGAGCATATACGGACTTAGTTGATTGGTATCAAGTGTTAAAACTGCAAATAGTTATATGCCAATAAAGCAACAAACACTAATTATTTATTCCACCTTAGATTTTAAATTATGCGTCGGGCCCATTTTAAATTAAGATGGCTATATTTTATATAGCAACACACTAGACCACAAAGGAATTTAGTTGATTTTCGATAGAATAGACTCGAGTATCGCTATCGTATCATGCTAACTTTATTGCAAAGAGTTTTATTATGTGTTCTCATAATGTCTTATGTTATCACATCTAACAATCTTTAAGTAAGAATTAAGAAAGAGATTAAAAAACAAAAAAGATGTGAGAGGTGTGCACGTAATATAGAATATTCACTTTACTTTGTATATTTAAAATTTTTGTTTTCGTTTCGCAGATGAGATAATTAGTTTACATTTATAATGCAAATGCTTTTTAATTCAAGTTTAATTCCATGACTTCAGCTCATAAAATGGATAGAACAAATTGCAGTTTTACGTGGAAAACGAAAAAAATATGATGACATTTTTCATATGTGAGAAACACACCTAAATACAATCTGAGCAAAATTAACTTGTTTTGGGGCTTTTGGCCCAGAAGGCCCATTAAGATAAACCTAGTTCCCGGAAATTTGGTTAAGAATCGATGTACACACGAGTGAGTTGAAGTTGGCATTTCACATAGTTCAACTGATTCTCCGCTTTTTCTGAAGCAGTGATGTTTAAGCTTAATTTGTTCTTATTTTAAAAAAGTTTATTTGAGTGTTTTAATTCCGTTAGAAATGGTCAGGGAACAATTTCAAAAGTAATACTACTAGATCCAGGTTTATTCTATACAAATAAAGAAGTACATTCTTTGATTAGCGAAAAGTGATTAATCATGTACATATACAAGATTTATATAGATTTGTCTTTGTATCTTAGTATCTAATCATAAAGCAACCGTGTAGTACTTAAGTAAGGGTTTAATTAATCTTCACAGTCTAGATTCTAGAAAAAAAGGGTCAATGAATGTTCGGTAGGTGACTGATAATGATGACATTTGGTACTTAAGTTTGAAATGATCATATTTTGCATCATGCTTGGAAAATGAAAGTGAAAAGAAAGTGAGCATTTCTTCTTTAACGGATTCAAAGTTCGGCATTGACCCAAAATATGGACAGAAGAACTGTGTGCTGTTTCAGTTTCAGAAAAGTAAACTACGCGTCGGTTAAGTTACAATCTACCAAAGATTGCAAGTACATATAATGGTGTGAACCGCAACAGACTAATAATGGAATGTTGTGTCAGGAGAAGTACCCTACTTGTTGACACATATACACCACGAGTATGGGTCATGATGTGGGACCCATAAACTTTAGTCATTAGTGTGCATCAACCCGAAGTCGACACGTTGAGCCAAGGACGAAACATTGAATGGAGAAAAGTGGAGAGAAAACGGTTCGATGATGATGAACCATCCTGCTAGAAAAGGTTAAAAAGAAATATATATACCTAACACACAAAGGTTTTATGACATCACCACACCAATTTTGAAAAATGAAGTTAGGAAGGAGAGAAATCAATCTTTGCTCTCAAAGATTTCAATAATTGATTTTTTTATTTATAAATTTTCTTATATGATTATTAGAGTTTAAGAGTTGAGTTTTGTTTGTCACACTTGTTTAAGTTTCCCTCCAAAAGTTTCAATTTTACTTTCTAACTCTGTTTTTGGTTCTGTTCTTGTAATTTCTTTTGATTTTTTTTTTTTTAATTTAGTTTTAAAGTGTCTTTTCCTTTTAACCATAAAAGCACCCACTCTTTAAACCATAAAAAGGAAAAGGAGAAAGCTTGTTACTTGAATACAATTGGATAAATGGAACAGTGCTCTCTTTCTTCCTTTGCTGGGTCTATATAATTTCTTGTCTCATTGTCTTAAGTTGCATCACAAAGTGAAACAAGAATGAGTTAGCTTGAACCACACGTTCTTCTTATGAGAAAGAATCTTTTTTTTTTTTCTTCAAATCCACAAGAAAAATAAAAGACAAGACAAAAAAATGCAAACTGATTTGGTTGAGAGAATGGAAATAGTGAAGTCGAGGTTCAAGAGGGTTTGTGTGTTCTGTGGAAGCAGCAGCGGAAACAGAGATTGTTACAGAGACGCCGCTATTGATCTAGCTCAAGAGCTGGTTCGGTTATGTTTTATGCGTTAATGATAATAATCTTGAAACCTTAAAATAGGTCTTGATTGAATTTTCTTTCTCTGTTTAATGGAACAGGTTGCGAGGAGACTGAATCTTGTCTATGGAGGAGGAAGCATTGGTCTCATGGGTTTGGTCTCACAAGCTGTTCATGAAGCTGGAGGACATGTACTAGGGTATGCTCAATAATTTCTTCACTTCTGCTTTGTGCCCCTCGTCGCTTAATGATCTGTAATTGTTGTGTGATTTCTTTGCATCTTGCTGTGCTTTCATGGGCCAGGATCATACCAAGGACTCTTATGGACAAAGAGGTAAGCTTAGACATCTTTTTAGCTTGAAATAATTGAAAAGAATGTTCTCTGAAATGTGATTTTATAATAACAGATCACCGGAGAAACATTTGGTGAGGTAAGAGCTGTGGCTGATATGCATCAGAGAAAAGCTGAAATGGCAAGCCACTCCGATTGCTTCATCGCATTACCAGGTACATAATAATCAAACTAGCTTAGATACTTTGTAGAACTTGAAAGTGTTTGTTACTCGTTAGCTCATACCAACGTCTAATCATCCCTTTGAAGATATTATCAAAATAAACAAGACTCGTTTGAAGTTGACTTTTGCTTGCTTCTGTAATTTGTAAATTGATATCAGGTGGGTATGGAACACTGGAGGAGTTATTGGAAGTAATAACGTGGGCACAACTTGGAATCCACGACAAGCCTGTAAGTTAAAAAGAGAAGACACTCTCCACTTTCTACTGTTCGTTGCTCTCTGAAGCACTAACCGAAATCAAAATAATAATAAAGTCTTGATCTTTTTGTGTTTCCACTTTGGGGGGAAAAAACAACTACAGGTGGGTTTGTTAAATGTGGATGGTTATTACAATTACCTCCTCACTTTCATAGATAAAGCCGTTGATGATGGCTTTATCAAGCCATCTCAGCGTCACATCTTTGTCTCTGCCCCTAATGCCAAAGAGCTTGTCCAAAAACTTGAGGTGGGTATCCACCATATTTTTGACTTTGCTTTGCTTTATTTCTCATGAGGTTCTGACATAATCTTGTAAAGATGAAGATAACAAAGACAAAAAAAAAAAACTTTGATTCGAAACTGATATTTTTTTTTGATCTTCCTCAGGCATATGAGCCTGTGAGTGATGGAGTCATAGCAAAATCTAAGTGGGAGGCTGGGAAGAAAGTGCAACAACAAGTAGTTAATGTTCTGTTTTAACATGAGCATGCAGACTGAGATTGCTCTTTAGACTTTTACAAGGTCTATTGTCTAAGAAATTTAAAGTCTAATTATGAGAAATGTAAATATAGTTTGTTGGTTTTTCTTGATGTATTCCATCGACTTGTTAGGAACGGCTTCTCTTAATTTCTCAACGAGAAGCAGTGACTCTTTATCATCTTCTTGGTCGGATCAAACAATTGTAGAGAAGCAGTATACACGATGTTGTAGGATTCTTATCATTGTAGAGAAATGCGTTTTCTTACAAAAGAAAGATACACAGAGTTTTATTCATGTCAAAGATAGATAAACAAGAGAGACGAACATAGCTTAGCAGCTCCTCGATCAATCCTAATCTTCTTCCTGGCACATGAACAATTGCGAGATTAGCTTCCTTGTTATCATCTTTCGATCCTAAATTCTAATTCAGAAGATAGATAACCCAAAAGAAACAAGTTGTTTTAATTTCTCTTATTACCTCGTCGAAATGTCTTGAGAAAGATTGTCGAAATCTCTTAGACAGCTCCTCTGAACGCTTGACTTCCTCCGTGTGCATTCTATCCAATTTTCGCATGTGCTCTTTTCCTGAATTGAAAAAGGCGATTGATTTATCACGGATCTGCTTCTGTTATTGAAAGTAGAAAAACGATTTCTCAAAGACCCCTTACTTATATACCAGTGGACAAAAAATCCACCGACAAATGTAACGAAAAGACCCGAAGCTTTCTGCTCTCGCCACCGACGTTTGACGGCTGATGACAAGGAGAAGGAGGGGGAAGAGGACGAGATGGTGGAGAAATCGTGAGTCCCTCTGCCGCAACACTGCAGCTTCCGAAGATAAACACAAATCAAGAAATCGCTAGGATGGCGAACAAGAAATCATTTTTGTTTACCTTTGCAAGCTTGGTTCGCATCATCATCTTCCTCCTTCGATTCCGTAAAATAGGGTTCTTTTTGGAAAGCCTTTTTTTTTTCTCCAAATCCCTCGATGATTGGGGAACTTTAAAATCCACTTGGAGTTGGAACCCAAATCCCAAGCCCACGGGGCCTCAGCCCAATTTAACAAATAAGAATGTGACCCAAGGTAAGATTTTGTCTTTTATTTTCTTCTTACAGTACAGTAGCTGTATTTGTTTTGTTTTAACAGTCATTTGAATTTTTGTGTGGATATAATCAAAATAAATAGCAAAACTCAACAGACATTTTGCCCATTCTCATCAACACGTTGGGCCTAGGATTTATTTTCTCTGTTTTTACCACATATGCTTCTAGTAGGAGCGTTCTCTGTTTTTACCACATATGCTTCTAGTAGTAGCGGCTTTGCTTCTCCAAGTACCCCAATAATTTTTTCTTTAAACTTTTTGCCAAAATATTTATTCTAAAATGTAGTAAAAGTAGCTTCTAACATCACAATTCATTCAATAAAATCACAAAAACTCTAACTCTATTCAAAATCAGTTCAACATTCGTACAACAATATATGTATGGTTTTCAGAAATCTTTTGCTATTCATATCGATAATACCACCATTACCATCTCCAGCAAAAAAAATTAAGAATAACAATTGTTTTATTTTTATTTCTTTCACCAATTAACTAAAAATCATATTATTAAATAAGCACAAAAGACAAAAAGTTACTTTTATTTATTCATCTAGTTTAATATTTAATCAAAGTTGATGTAGTAAACGATTTTATATCTAACTAATATATACATCCAATTCTCATTCAACTAACTATTTTCACACAAAAAATAGTTTTGTCTCTAGAATCATGAATTTTGATCTTCTTAAAAAGAATTAACTAATAGCTAAAGAAAAATATCCCTTTTTCTAAAACAAAAGTAAACAAATTATAAAAAAAAATTAGTTATGATTCTAAAACCATCTGCATTAGGAGGTTCTCACAAGAGTTTCTCAATATAATAATATAAGTATATTTAATTAATTTATATATACATAATAATTTAATTATTATTTAATTAATGAGTTTCTTAAAAAGTTGAGAGATTCATCCCAAAATCTATTATTTAAGAAGTGAGTCTTTCAACTTTTTAAGAGATTCATTAATATTATATTAATTTAAATCAATATACATATATAGATTAATTAAATATAATTATATCACTATATTGAGAGACTTTTGTGAGAACCTCCCAATGCAGATGTCTACCAAACCTAAACCTGGTTCAAAAGACTAGAACAACAGACTAAAGTCACCAAAGTTTGTTTTTGAAAAAGTATTTAAGATAAATTTACAGATTTTGTAAAGTTCATAAGAAAAATGAGTATTTTTGGATTTCGAGTGGATCGAAAATAATACAACAGGCCCAAATTGATTCGGTTGATAGTTACAATTTTAGATGGATGATCGAAGCAAAGGCTGAAAACCCTAGTTCCCAAATCGACGAGGAAGATGATGACGCGGTTGCTGGGAAACACTGTTGCTAAGGTAATCTTGGTGCCCATGAAATTGCAACATTGTCTGTACGTTTTCTGGAAAAATCATTGAAATCGAATGACCAAATCTGCAGAATTTTAGCATGGGGAGAAGACAGTATCGTGATTTTTCATCATCCATGGGAGAGAAAGGTATCTTAATCTCTACGTAATTAACTAGGTTTTGTTTTTGTCGACAGGAAAAAAAGAGAGAGCTTTGTATATTCATTTTGGTATTCTTGAGAATGATTTTTTTGATCTTCTTTTCACTTTGCTTAAACAAATTCATAGATGCTCCAATGGGAGATATGGAGCTATTTGTTAACAATGAGGCGGGGCTTTTGTTTAAAGGGGCCTCAGGGGTTGTTGGATTCGTGGTCGGTAAGTGATGAAGAATTGAGGAATCTTTAGGTGTTCCTTTGCTTTAGGACTAATTAAACAAGAATACATGAACATGATTGTTGTTTCTCAGGTGGTTTGGCAGCAGAGGATGTTAAGGAGACCGAAGAGGTAATTACACATGATCCCGAAATTCCTCAGATATGACATTTAATCTATGATTCTTGCCATTTTTTCCAGCTAATTAAACGATGGAAACAATGCAATGACAAACACCAAAGGTTTCTGGAACGTGCGCGGTAAGAGTAGCTGAAATAAGTGGATGGCAAATACTTCAAATCAGAGATGTTATCAGGATCAAAAGTATTTATCTTTATTTATGTTTTTTGGGATTTCCATAAGTGTGGGTTTGTTTGGCTCGTGAACTAGAATGTATGTTTGTCTCTCGGATACTTCCAAGTATAAAGCATGCAGTGTCATTTGTGGGCCTATTAGATGTTAAGAACTGAGACTCTGTATTTGATTAAAGATTTAGAGAGTGACTTGATTCCATCTTCAAGTTCTTGAATGCATGACTCTAAATTTTGCACATCCTCCATCTTCAAGGACTTCACAGATTGGAATTCTGAGTCCAACCTTTTGAATTCATTTGCTTCAGATTCACATGTAACTTTGCTCTGGCTCATCAGCTTTGAGACCAATAACCACTTGACATGAAGCTAAACAGAGACTCAAAACATAATGATTGTTACATAAATCTAAGATCTTGAGTGATCCATCAAGAAGCTTCTCAATCTGACTTTAAGATTTGTTTGTATCTGTGCTTCACTTGCAAGCTTGTTATTGTTATTGTTCATAAGCTTATGAACAGAGAAATTGCTAGAGCTTATGCTGCTTCTTTGTAACACAGCCAAAAGATTCACCGTTCGATACTCTCTTGTTTCTATAATTATAGAAACCTTCAACTTCTTTATTGCTTTTTGGATTTGTTTTTTTCTCGAGAGAGAAACTTTCCTCTCTTGATTAGAAGAAAAGGCATAATGATCTGTTTCTTCTGCGTTCATCACGTTTCATATATACAATCAAAATCGGAAGACCTCACGCAATTTTTTATTATTATTATTACCCATAGTTCCCCTCCAAAATATATGATTTGATTCATATTTTAAGAAAAATATGAATCAAATCATATCTCTATGATTCAGTATTTGAACTACCGAAAGATTCCTCATGTCTCTCTTCCTTATATATGTATTGACCAGAGAGCCAATGAAGGCAGAACAAACATCAAAGCCTCTTCTTCATCTCAATACAGAGAAGAAGAAAAAAAGGCTCAAACAAAAATGGCTGTCTCTGAACAAAGCGTGGAGGTTTATCCGCAGAGGTGAAGAAATACTTAGCCACAAGAAAGTTTCTGAACAAGTCATTCCAAAAAGTACTCAAGAATTTGAAAGTGAGCCAAAACAAAGACAACGCCGACGAATCTTTGGTTGTGTTTGGAGAAGCAGAAGCCGTAACAATCGCTCTCTGTTTGCATCTCTGTTTAGCTTCATGTCCGGATCAAAGGCTTGTGTAAAATGGCCATTGGTGTCAAAGATGACGAGCCAGAACAAAGCTGCATGTGAAGCAGAAGCAAATGAATTCACGAGGGTGGATTCCGAGTTCCAATCTGAGATATCATTGAAAATGGAAGATGTTCAGATCCTAGAGTCGTGCATTCAAGATCTTGAAGATGGAATCGAGTCACTCTCAAAGTCATTGATCAAATACAGAAGGTCACTTCTAAACATCTTATAAGTATAACTTCCTCTTCTTTTAAATTTTTTTTTTTTTTCTCTACAGACTAAAACTAATTGATTGAAGAACAAGGAATCAAACTTCCCGTACACTACGATACCGGACAGATATAGCATGCAGCTCTTTTGAACGCTTGTTGCATGCAACTCGGCACTAAAGAGGCCCATTAGTATAAAAAGCCCAACTTAGACCCACCGACACCTAATATCAATTAAATCGGAAGCGGGACAAAAATATCCGCTTGATTCCCTCCGAATTCGACCAATACAGAAAACCCTAGAAGATGATGCGGCTCCTACGAAACCCCTTTTTCAAGGTAATCGAGAGATCTTGTCTGTATTTTTTTTAAAAAAAAATTTATTTGTTCATTGGAATTTTGATAGAACAAATTTGCAGTCTTTTCGCAAGGGGAGGCTGCAGTATCGTGATTTTTCGTCCGGCAGTGAGAAAGGTATCTAATTTATTTTTTACATATCAACAATATAGTTGCTACATGTCTGATTTGTTTTTAATTTTCTTTAATCAATATGTATATTCTAGTTGCGACTACCGGCACGAAAATTGTTGGATACTGCTACAAAGCGGCGTTTTGTGGTGGTGGAGTCGTGCTCGGTATGTGATCTCTGTAACTAAGATAACTTTTCCTCTCTCTTTTTTTTCGCTGTACGAAACAAAAGTGGGAACAATCTTCTTCTTCTTCTTTAACATCAACATCATGTTCGTTGGGTTTCTTCAGGTGGTTTGACAACACCCCGCGTCGCGAAGCAAGTTCAGGAAGCGGAAGAGGTAAATTAAGAGAAGGGTTATTGGGTTTTACTTGCATCTAAAGTAAACAGAGTAATTGGTTATTTCTCATTCTCATGTTTCAGAGGACCACACTGAGATTGAAAAAGTTGGATAAAGATGAAGCCGAGTTTGAGGTAATAAAGAAAGAGTGGATATCTGCCAATCAAGATTGATGCTACTTTGCAAATGATTCTGGATCTGTTATGTGTTTATTTAAATCATGAAAATGACTGGAAGTTTCTCTTCCTTTTTTGCTGTTATTTTGATCATAGCGTATAATACTCGAGTGTTTGTCTCGATGATACAGAGAATAGTTGCTCAATTTTGTATAAACATAATTAAGATATCTGGTCTATATACCATCAACATCAACCAACTGATTCACAAACTCATTTCGTTTAGTTACATCTTTAGTTTATTATATTATTACACCTATATTCAAAACCCGTCTATGTGCGATCCAGCAACCGACGTCGCGTCCCAACACACAACCAACATCGGATCCTAGAGTCATGTTTTCAGGATCTTGAAGATGAACTTGAATCACTCTCAAAGTCGTTGAACAAATACAGAGTGTCAATTCTTAACATTCTTTTAGGTCACTGAGCCTACAAAATTTTTGTACAGAAAGCAATGTGAATACCGCCGCTAAATGATGATAAAAAATATATACAAATTTACCAAATTAACTTTGCTCCTGTTATCATCTTATCGTATTTGCCCTTATGTATTTTTATAATTGATTTAGTAACGAAATTAACTAACAAATAATCATCAAATGTACCATGTGTCAACGAGTGGACTTGTTCCTTTCACCCCAAGAAACTGGGCAGACTTGTTCCTCGTATTTTCTTTACTGTTCGGTTTCTTAGGATTCCAATTTCCTCGACAAGGTACTGAGTGTTTGGAACAAATCAGTTTCTTCGTATTACTTGAATTATTTGTAACATGTCAATGTCGAAAATTAAGCAGTAAAGTTTCACTAATATCCTCTTAAGCCTTAAGAGGACACGTAATGGAAAACCATATGGAACGAATACTTAGTTTTAAATGGTGGGCGCTTCTGCAAAAGCGTACAGCAGTCTTGATGGTTTGGGCCTAGAAATTAAGTAAAGGAAAACCATTGGGCCTAAAATTAATTTGGGCTCAGAAATTAAGTCAAGAAAAGCCCAAAGGGGTCAAACTTGATTCATCTTCTTCGGGGTGATCGAAATCGAGAAAGCGAACCACTACAATGGCCGCTCCTCCACTATTCCTCCTCCTTACACTCCTCTCCGTCCCTTTTCTTCCCATTTCTGCCGCCACCTCCGATGCCTACCCTTCCATTCCCGGAACCGCTCCTATCGACGGAGGTTTCTCCGATGAACTCAAGCCCATCCGCCGTGAGGTCTACGGCGAAGGCAAAATCTTCGACATCACTCACCGTATGACGCCGGATATGCCGTCGTGGGACTCATCGGAAGGACTCGGACGGTTTCTCTGGTTAGCCGCGAGTATTAAGAACGGATCTCTCGCAAACAACTCGGAGATGAAGATCCCTACGCACACTGGTACTCACGTTGATTCCCCTGGCCACTTCTACGACGAATATTACGACGCCGGTTTCGATATAGACTCGCTTGATCTCCAAGTCCTCAATGGTATGATCTCTGTTTCATGCGAGTGCTTTCTTCTCTTTGGAATCGGTGAATGATTTGGGTTTTTCGTTTGTAGGTCCTGCGTTGTTGGTTGATGTTCCCAGGGATAAGAACATAACTGGTAAGTAGTGAATGTTTGCTCGTTTCTAGAAAATAATTGAATTTTGGGCAAAATCTTCAGAATTCAGGATTAAAAAAGTTTATGTGGAACTCTGTGAGGTAGTTTGATTGATCGAATTGCACATTTTCCTTGTGATTTTGTAGCCGAAGTGATGAAATCTCTACACATTCCAAAAGGAGTTCGTCGTGTGCTTTTCAGAACGTTGAACACTGACAGGTAATACTAATGATTCTGATATCATCAATTTATTTATCTTCTTCCTTGTGTTTTTTTTATGGGATTTGAAAGCTGTTTCACAATGATTTCATTAACGAGCTCGTGTCATCTGTTGAATCTCGGTTTTTTTCTGAAAAAAGTGTTAACTATGGATTTTAAAAATTCAGGCGTCTTATGTTCAAGAAAGAGTTTGATACAAGCTATGTCGGATTCATGAAGGATGGTGCGCAATGGTTGGTAGACAACACAGACATCAAACTTGTTGGTAATTTTATCAAGTATCCACCTTTTGCCACCATTCATGTTGTTCGTGTTACCATTTAGCGTTAGAACATCAGTAAATATGGAAAGTGGTTTTTGGAAAGCATGTCCCCAACTTGTTTTGGCATCGTTGGAGAGTTCATATGAATTGAAAAAAAAAGCTAAATACTTTATCTCAAAGATTGATTTGGTTGTGTTTTGGTGTCAAAATGTAGGGACTGATTATCTATCAGTAGCTGCATATGATGATTTGGGTCCGTCCCACTTAGTATTCCTAAAAGGCCAGGTAAGCAAGCACTATCCTAAGTTTTGTTTTCGGTACATGGATCCAGAGAAGTGAAGATTTGATAGTGATGGTTGGAAAAATTGTATAAATCTCATTGACAGGAGACTATACTCGTAGAGGGATTGAAGCTGGATGATGTGAAGGCAGGACTCTACACTGTCCATTGCTTACCTCTAAGATTGGTTGGAGCAGAAGGATCTCCTATTCGCTGCATCCTCATCAACTGATTTTCTCCTCGAGTTGTCTATAAGCAGGTTTGCTTAGCGTTATTTGTGCCAGATGTATGCAAACAAAATTTGGAGATTGGAGTAGGAAGTAATAAGAGAGGTGCAGAGAAGACGAAGTTGAGGAGAGTGAAGCACTTCGAAGAAGAAGAAGAAGATTTCGATGTATGAATATGAATGTAGTTTGACAATAAATATTTGTTTATATAAAAAAAGATCTTCAATTTAATTACGTATAATTTCCTTTTCATTATCAAACTGGGATAAAAATAACAAAAAATAGGAAAGTATATAACAGATAAATCCTTGTAAAAAAATAGGAAAAGTCTCTCTTTAAATACACCAGCATCATAACCTCATCTAAACCATCCAAATTAACACGCCCTAAAGAACAAGAAAGAGTTCAAGAAATACTTTTTGTTCAAGGCTAACCAAATCAAAGCCCTTAAGATATCAACGCAGATGGAAGGAGTATTGCATATCGTGAAGCCCTTCATGGCTTTTGTGCCCGAGGTTCGGCGTTGTGAGAAGAGGGTTCCATTGAGGGAGAAAGTGATCTACACCGTGATCACTCTCTTCGTTTTTCTCGTTTGTAGCCAGCTTCCTCTCTACGGTATCCACTCTACGACCGGTGCGGATCCGTTCTACTGGATACGAGCCATTCTCGCATCAAGCCGTGGCACCGTCATGGAGCTCGGCATCGGTCCCATCGTCACATCAGGACTCGTGATGCAACTCTTGACAGGCTCAAAGATTATCCAAGCCGACAAGGAGGATCGTGCTCTCTTGAACGGTGCTCAAAAGCTTCTCGGGATTCTGATCGCCATAGGTCAAGCCGTGATTTACGTTCTCTCTGGGATGTACGGTCCTGTAGCGCAGCTCGGTTCCGGAAACGCACTTCTCATCGTCCTCCAGCTTGTCTTCGGCGGAATCATCGTTCTCTGTCTTGATGAGCTTCTCCAAAAGGGATACGGTCTTGGCTCAGGGATCTCTCTTTTCATAGCGACCAATCTCTGCGAAAGCGTTATCTGGAATGCGTTTAGCCCCGTGACGATCCACGGACGTTTTGGAACCGAGTTTGAAGGCGCCGTGATCTCGCTCTTCCATAAACTGATAACTACGTCTAGCATCCGACAAGCTTTCTTCAGACAAAACCTTCCAAACGTTACAAACTTGCTCGCAACGGTCGTGATCATCCTCGTCGTCGTCTACCTCCAAGGCTTCCAAGTTGTCTTGCCCCTCAAGTCAAAGAATTCCCGTGGCGGTGGCTCTAATAACTACCCGATCAAGCTCTTCTACACCTCCAACATGCCAATCATTCTCCAATCCGCTCTCGTCTCAAATCTCTACTTCATCTCCCAGCTTCTCTACACCAACTTCGGTGGCAACTTCTTGGTTAAGATGTTGGGACAGTGGAGAGAATCCGTACCAGTCGGTGGTCTCGCTTACTTGGTCACACCTCCATCAAGTTTAGCGGATATGGCAGCTCATCCTTGCCACGCACTCTTCTACATCGTCTTCATGCTCTCTGCTTGTGCGTTTTTGTCAAAGACGTGGGTTCAAATCTCGGGGTCTTCTGCTAGAGACGTAGCAAAACAGCTCAAGGAACAGCAATTGGAGATGCCGGGACACAGAGAGTGTAACTTGCACAAGGAGCTTAACCGCTACATCGAAACATCAGCTGCTTTTGGAGGAATGTGCATTGGTGCACTCACTGTTGTTGCTGACCTCATGGGAGCTATTGGCTCAGGGACAGGGATCTTGCTTGCCGTCTCAACCTTGTATCAGTGTTTCGAGACTTTCGACAAGGAAAAATCCAGCGAGCTCGGTTACTTTGGGTTCTGATCGTATGCACCATCAAACACATTCCTAAGATGTAACAACCCTTTTGCTTTCTGTCAAAACACATTCCTAAGATGTAACTTTTTCTGTCATTACATTCTTAAGTCTTGTTTTCTGTCAAAGACATTCCTAAGATGTAACTTTTATAAAATCCACTTAGATGAATTCCAATAAACAGAACCAAATATCTTGCAATTATCAATTTATTTATAGATTTGTATACTAATTTATTAAAAATCATGATTAGATTTTGGTTTGATTAATGGACATTTCAAGCTGGTATAATTTAGTGGGCTTAACGTTGGGCCTATTTGGTGAGGTGATGGAAGAAGGGTAAGGGCTAAGTAATGGTAATGTCGGCGGACTGTTTTTGACCGTTTTTTTTTTGTTATTCCGAATTTTATTTCTTCTTCCTCTTATTTTTCCATTACTCCCTCGTCTCTCTCGTTCAACAGGTAAATTGCAACTGGACATCTCAATAAAGTTTCTATCTTTATCAATTACTCATTACGATACATCTGTTTTTGACCGTTTTTTTATTTTTAATCCCAATTTCTGTTCCTTCTTCTTATTTCCTCAACGGGCAAAGTTTTTTCGGATAAAGTTTTGGTTTTCTTAACTCGATGAACAACTGGAAAGAAGCACCGGTAAATTGCAACTCGATTTTCCGATAAAGTTTCCATCTTTATCAATTTCCGCATCACTATCAACCGGTATCAAAAATTTGCAGTTTTCACCTGATGATTTGGAAATTGGGTTCTGAAATATTCGCAGATGGAGTTCTGAAATATCAAAGATCTTGTTTGATTTATTGTTCTTTCACTTTGCGGCGGAATTTTTAAGTCCACCGGTGGCAGAAAGTTATTGATCCTGCGCTTCTTAAAGGACCTTGGACTTAAAAGGTTCCTTTTTTCTTCCTGATCTTCTGAAACTTTTTTTTCGTTTTTAATTCCACGTTTTAAAACTTGTCCTTCGTTTCTGATTTTGTAGGAAGATTAAAATTGTTGAAGAAGAAGAAGTAAAACAGAATGGGGAAGAAACAGCACAGCAAAGAATCGTACTCTTCCTTATTATTGCTGCGCGTATGTTGCTCCTCAACAATTTCATATTAAATCTCCTTTTGCAGCTTCGATTTTGTTGACTTTAATCGATTTTTATTTCTGTCTCAGGCTTACGTTTCTGCCATTCGAAGATCCTGTCTGTACAAACGAACGACGGGTGTGTTTTCGAGTTAACGTCAGTAGTTTCATTGTGATTTTGGCCATAGAGCTTACACTTGCTTATATTGCCTTGTTGATTTTGAAATTGAGTTTTTTTTTTCTTCCACGTTGAATTGCAGAACTATAGTGCCTTACATTAGGAGATTTGGTAAACATCCAGTTACAAGAGCACCACTGAAAGGAGAAGATCTAATTCCTCTCGTCTTTCACAAGAATGCTGAAGGTTTTGTTCTATGTTTTTCTTACTAATCTCATTCGTTTCATCCTTGTGATATATACTGAAATGATCTATGTGGATGCCATTGTAGGAGAGTATCATTGTCATGTTCTCAACAAAGTCTTTACTGAATTTTTAACTAAACAATATTTCTCTCTGCTTGAAGTTATTTTTTTGCAATGGGTTAGTGTCATTAAAGCCGTGTTTGATTGATTTTGGTTATGTTCTGCAGAATCTCCTTTTGCAGCTTCGATTTTGTTGACAGTAAAGTTAGTGTGGAGTTTGGCCATGTTAAAAACGGCCTGAAGATTGATGATGAAGGTTTGATACAGTTTCTTATTTAACCAAGCTGTTTATCATAATCAATGTTTTTTCTTAGTTGGTAATGACTCCATTCTCTTGTGTGTTTGTTTTAACAGAGTTGAAGAAGATGAACGCAGACCCACCTTATAATATAAACGCCTCTGGAGATATCAAGCATATGCTTGCAGATCTCAGAACTGATAAAGCTAAAGAGGGTTCTAAAACCGACGAGTCTATACCTAAACAGACTTATAGTGTTGTGGGTGCTGCATCTGCTTCGGTTCATGGAAGAAGTGCTGCTGCAGCTAAAGCTGGTTCTAGTGATAAAACAGCTGCAAGAATAGCTATGCATATGGCTGGAGATAGAGCTCCTGTTAATTCACAAATGGTTGGTTAGTTTTCTTGTACAGAATAAAATCGGTTTTGAGCTTTTTGTGTGTGTTGTTACAATGTTTGGGATATGTTTTTCTTGTTTCAGGTGAAGAGCAGTTATTCTTCGGCTGCTGCTTCTCGTTCTTTCACTTCCACTGCGTTTACTCCTGTAACGGAAAACGGAAGCTGCTTCACTCGGGAAGAGGCGTAGTTAGTATGGCTAATAGTGGTCCTCACACAAATGGATCTCAGTTTCATCTTATACAAATCAGCAACCCATTTGAACTACAAGCACACGAGTCGTCTGAACTACAACCACACGAGTCGTCTATCACAAGAGTGCTGAAGGTTTTGTTCTCTCTTTTTCTTTCTTACTAATCTCATTATACTGAAATGATCTATGTGGATTCCATTGTAGGAGAGTATCATTGTCCTGTTCTCAACAAAGTCTTTACTGAGTTTACACATATAGTTGCTGTGAAGACTACCGGAAATGTTTTCTGCTACGAGATTTGTCTTTTTTTCTTTTTAGTGTTTTTCTTAAGAGTTTTTCTGGTTTTAGTGTTTTTTTAATATTGTTGTATTTTTGAATTATATGCAGTCAAAGAATTGAATATCAAGACCAAGAATGGGAACTATTCAGGCTTGTTACCCCATGAACTCCAGAAGAAATATCATCTCAAGGTAAGTAAAATCTAACACCAGCCCATTCTCATATATTTCCAGATTTATGAGAATGTCCAATTGTGACCTTTTTTATTGATCAATTGTGATTTTTTTGCAGAATGTCCATGCTTGCATTTGTGTGCTTTGTGTCAAGAACGGAAGGAACTCAAGAAACAAGAGACACTAAAAAAAAGATATGTTTCTTATTCTTTTTTTTTTTTTTAATATTCATGAACATTAAAATTTGAATTAGTTTAAAATCAATTAAATTTATATTAGTTGTGAAACTAACCGGACATAATATCCAGCCATTTGAATTTATTTGGTCGTTAGAAATTATCTATGTTCAATTTGTATTCATAATTAATATAAATTAATTGATTTTTTATTAGGAAAAAATTGATATAATAATAGTTATTTTAACACTAAAATTTTTTTTAATCTAATCCAAACATGGAATTTTGTGTTGTTTTTGTATTGTTTTAGGTTAATAAAATTTCTACAAAATGAAACTTGTGAAGCAAAAAACCTTGAACGAAAGAAACTGAAGAAGAAATATATGTTTTCTAATCTCTCTTTGTTTTTTTTTTATTTAGTCATCAGCCTTAAATTTTGAATTAGTTTAAAACCGATTAAATTTATATTAGTTGTGAAACTAACCAGACATAGTATCCAACCATTTGAATTCACTTGATCGTTAGAGATTGCTTATGTTCAATTTGTATCCATAACTAATATAGATCAATCAGTTTTTTGTTAGAAAAAATTAATAATATTAATAATAATTGTAACATTAAATAAAATTTTAATCTAACCCAAACATGAAATTTTATGTTATTTTTGTATTGTTTCAGATTAAAATTTTATCTACAAAATAAAACTCAGGAAGCAAGAGATATATTGGTGTCAAGAACTCAAGAAAGATATGTTTTCTAATCTTTCTTTGTTTTTTTTAGTAGTCATCAGCCTTAAAACTTGAATTAGTTTAAAATCGATTAGATTTATATTAGTTGTGAAACTAACCGGACATAGTATCCAGCCATTTGAATTCGTTAGAGATTGCTTATGTTCAATTTGTATCCATAACTAATATAGATCAATCAGTTTTTTATTAGAAAAAATTAATAATATTAATAATAATTGTAACATTAAATAAAATTTTAATCTAACCCAAACATGAAATTTTGTGTTATTTTTGTATTGTTTCAGATTAAAACTTTATCTACAAAATAAAACTCAGGAAACAAGAAATATATTGGTGTCAAGAACTCAAGAAAGATATGTTTTCTAATCTTTCTTTGTTTTTTTTTTAGTAGTCATCAGCCTTAAAACTTGAATTAGTTTAAAATCGATTAGATTTATATTAGTTGTGAAACTAACCGGATATGATATCCAATCATTTGAATTCACTTGGTCGTCAGAGATTGCTTATGTTCAATTTGTATCCATAACTAATATAGATTAATCGATTTTTATTAAAGAAAAAATTGATAATAATAATAATAATAATAATTTTAACATTAAAAAGACTTTAATCTAACCTAAAGATGAAATTTTATGTTGTTTTTGTATTGTTTCAGATTTAAACTTTTTCTACAAAATGAAACTGAAGCAAGAGATGCATGGGTGTGCTTTATATCAAGGAATTCAAGAAGAAAAATATGTTTTCTATTCTCTTTTTGTTTTATTTATATCAAGGACTCAAGAAAGATATGTTTTCTAATCTTTCTTTGTTTTTTTTAGTAGTCATCAGCCTTAAAACTTGAATTAGTTTAAAATCGATTAGATTTATATTAGTTGTGAAACTAACCGGATATGGTATCCAGTCATTTGAATTCACTTGGTCGTCAGAGATTGCCTATGTTCAATTTGTATCCACAACTAATATAGATTAATCGATTTTTATTAAAGAAAAATTGATAATAATAATAATAATAATTTTAACATTAAAAAAACTTTAATCTAACCTAAACATGAAATTTTATGTTGTTTTTGTATTGTTTCTGGTTTAAACTTTTCTACAAAATGAAACTGAAGCAAGAGATGCATGGGTGTGCTTTATATCAAGGAATTCAAGAAAAAAAATATGTTTTCTATTCTCTTTTTGTTTTATTTATATTCATCAGCTTTAAAATTTGAATTAGTTTAAATCGAATTAGTTGTGAAACTAACTAAACATGGTATCCAACCATTTAATTTATTTAGATGAATGTAATGACAGAAAAAACCACTTAGATGAATTCCTCCAACTAACAGAACCAAATAATTTCACATATTTTAATAAATTGATTTACAAATCTGAAATATCATGTAAAATTGATTTTAAAACTTGCAAAAAGTAACAAAAACCAAAGCTTAAAACACCAGGTATGTAGAATAGTAGTATCTTCTCTATTCATAAATACTGATAGATTCATCATATGGTTAATCAGAATCCATCTTCGAAAGAAAAGAACAACAATCTGTATTTTCCAAGATTTGTCCATTTAAAACATACAACATGTATTGCATTACAACCAAACGTCAACCCTTTTTTTTTTGTCTCCCCCTATGGTTACATTACATCCCCAATCAACAATCACAGAAACAAGTTTTTGTTTTTGCCTTCTTCTTAACAAGAATGTTATTTTTTTTTTAAGCTCATCAGATTTTACAACAAAGATAGTGTCTATAAGAATCAGGATCATTTGCCTCCTCGTTGTCTCTTCTCTTCGAGCTGAGCAGCTTCGTTCAACATATCGGCAGCGTCAGTGTTCATGTTCAGCTTCGCCAATGCCACTGACTGCATGTAAAAAGCCGTTGGCCAGTCAGGATACACGCATTGCGCTTGCATTGCGTCGCGTAGTGCTGCGTCTGGTTGGTCGCATAGTAAATAGCATAGACTTCGCCGCCCAAATACTGTTGGAGATACCATTGTTCCTACGTCGATGAACTGCCCAAAAATGCATTGTACTTATGTAAACCATATAGGACGCGACTCAATAAATATCGGTTTATATATTTCCTATTCGGTTCGATTCAGTTGCAATCACAATACCTGTGAGTAGCAGTCTATGGCGTTTTTGAAGTCTTTCTCACGGAAAGCTTGATCACCGCGTTTCCGTGCGTCAAGCATATCTTTCATCTGCTGTGTCCATTCTTGGAAAGATAACTGAAATCCAAGAAAAACCCAAAAGGGTTAGTTAAAAGAGTTTTAAACCCAATTATTGAAATGCGTTTTGGTATTTAGTTACCTCGTTTGTCCCTTCGTCGTCTCTGTAATGTGTCATGACCAAAATCTGATGAATAGCTGTGAGATCCATTCTCGAGCAAGCCTCACCTAACGGTGAAAGTGGCCTCTGCGGCGTCGATGGTGCCTCCTCGTGCTTCTTTATTCCAAGCATTACATAAGAAGGGACCTGTAGCCAAAATGTTTTAACTTTTAACTCTTAAAGACGAATTCAAGAACCAAGAAAGAAAACACAACAAAATTCAAGAACTCAGTCACGCTCACGTCTGATTTAGTTTGCAACGGTGCAAGTGTAGCGACGAGATCTTTTGTGTTGGGTCTCTCTCGAGGCTCATATTGCAAGCATTGAGAGGCGAGTTCCACAACTACGGTAGCTTCTTCTGTTGAGAACTTTCCTTCGAGGTGTGAATCCATCAACAGAATAATATTCTTGCCACGTATCATATCCAGAGCCTAGTAGTAGGAGAAGATCACTAAATTAACACCACAGAGCTTATCCACTTGCATACTATGACATGGGACATGTTTCAAGATTAACAATGGAACTTACATGGCTTGGAGGGATATGCTTTCCGCTAAGTAAATCCAGAAGCACAGTTCCAAAGCTGTAAGTAACACTTTCAGGTGTCACTCTTCCTACAACACACAAAACATTTGACAACACTGAGACTGCAATTGTACAAGGCAACAGAATCAAAACTATACATTTTTGTAACAATCTTAAGAGGGGAAGCACAAGTTGTTTTACCATTTCTTAAATATTCGGGTGGTGTATATGCTAGATTTGTGCTATAACTTTTACCATCCCGACTGTTCTTCATCAAGCCGAAACATGAGAGGCGAGGATCACCATCCTACAATATTCATTCAAACAAACTTTGTCAAAGCGTCGCTTCACAACGAATCTCATAAACATAAAATTTGACATTCTTGAGAAAGAGAACGATACCTCATCAAAGAGAACCCTGTAAGCATTTAAATCATGGTACAAAGGACGACCTTCGGTACTACAATAATCCAAAGCTTCAGCTATGTAATATCCTACTCGCAACCTCATAGCCCATTCAATAGTCTGATTTTCCCCTGTCAATGACCAAAAAAACACAATAAGATAAGAAAAAAAAATCCACCTTTTTCAGACATTCTAATCACCTAAAGTACTCTATGTAACCCATCTAACAGCACAACACTATAACATAAACCAACTCTCTCCAATTCCCTGTAATGGGGCAAACATTGGATAGTGAAAGATACTAATTTTCACAGCTTTAGAGACACATTTCAACTTATACAATCTAAAAGATTCACTGCCAGATTCATCGTTCTAATGTGGAGCAGATAGAGAGAGAATCATTAGGCATACAATGGAACAAATGCTTAGCAAGAGTATCATTAGGCATGAACTCAGCAACAAGCAGCCTTTCATCTCCATCGCAACAGTATCCAATCAAATTCGCCAAACGATTATGCCTCAACTTCCCCACACCCCATGCCTCTTCCTGAGATATTGCAACAAATTTTGAAGAAAACAAACAGATTTCAAAAACAATCGATGAAAAAAATCCAATTAATGATTAAATCAACTGAAAAAAAAAATTGAAGGCTTTATATTTTTTTGTTTACCGCGAATTGTTTAGGATCAGGCCAAGCCATCTTCGTGAACTTCTTGACGGCGATCCAGCGACGGTTCTGAAGTCGGCCTTTGTAGACAAGATTTGGGGCTTTCTCGCCGCTCTCTGATACGATGTTGTCGGAGCTGAAGTTGTTGGTGGCTGCTTTGAGGTCAGCGAAAGAGAACTCAGAGAAAGACGGGATTCCTCCTCCTCCTCCGACTACACCACCAGCTCCGCCGCCTCCGATTCCGCCGTTATCGAGTCCAGCAGCCGCCGTAGCACCGCCGCCTTGGTTTTTAGACGGTTGCAGCGGCTGAGTTCCATCTTTCCCAAGCGGATTTTCACCCGGGCACAAGGATTGACAACAACCCATGAACAATTTTGCTCAACGAAACAAAGCGAAGTCGGAAAGTGCTTCTCTTTCGCTCCTTGTAATAGAGAGAAAGAGAGAAGATGATAGTGGTGGAAACAATAAAAATTGGATTTTTATTATTTTTCTTCTTGTCTTTTTTGACTCCTGAGGTAAGTTTCTGAGACGTTGTCTCCTACTTGTCAATATGGTACTACTGAATAACAAAATGTTTTGTAAGTTAATCGATATTAAACATTATGATTATAAATTTTAACATCTCATCAGTAAAAGAAGCTTAGATTTTTTTTTATCATCGTCTTCCTGGTAAATTATAGATTTTATTATTAAAAGGATAATTCAAGTCATGCCTTCTCTTTTTCATTGGCTTCAGAAGGTCAACTCTGAAGTCTGTGCACTGTTTTTTTGAGGGGTCTATAAAATTGTTTAATCTTAAACCAATCGATTTGCAAACTGAAAAGCAAAGAAAAAAAAAGACAGAAGAAGCCAACTTCTTTGTATATATACTGGTACTATATAATACAATAAATTGATTCCGATGTTCAATGATTTACACTTTGTGGTACCAAAAGAGATTTTGGAAAATCACATTATTGCCAGCTCAAAGTGTTTGTGATTGGAGTGACTTATCATCAACCATTCCTGCTTTTGCTTTCTCGATTTTTCTTATTTTTTTTCAACACAACCAAGTTTTGTTTTTCTTCTAGTTTTATTTCAAAAGGTTCGTACTTGTGCAGTGTAAAGAGAAGCGTGTGAAGAAAATCTGAAGTTTTTTAGAAAGTTGACCAATGAAACCGTGTGATATTTGGATTTATATGTTTTTGCGTTTTCGCTCGAATTTATATTTCTGGATTTTTGACGTACCTTCTAATCAGAGTAAAGTGAATATCAATTTACCTAAAGGATTTGACAGGCGGTGACATATTTGTTTCCATTTGAGTTATAATTAACAAAAAATGACTTCTTTTATGCGTAAGTCCTAGAAATAAACCTGAATCAAGAACCTTACATTTTAAGAAATTCACTTTTGAAACAGAAATCTTTCGAAAAAGAAAAAAAAAACATTTTCTTTGGCTTTGAACTCTGAATGCGTAACAATTTATTTGGAGACCACATAAATTAATATGGAAGTGTTCATATTACATATTTATCACATTTGAATTGGATATGGTTACCCGGTGCTTTCTAATAATTATCCGCTAGACAAATACCTTATCAAATATGTTACTGTATTTATGAAATCATATTACTACATAGTACGAATTCAGTAATGTAAAAGGGGTATATAATGAATAAACTCCAATGATCACTCGCAAGTCGCAAGAACAATAATTTGGATGTATGCAGATGAAAAGTATTCGTAATGTTTGATACCTATAAATAGCTTTGGAGGAAAGAGAGCTTCAAGCTTTCGAGGACACAAGAGCTGTCTCTTTGTGTAGAAAAGGCAAAGAGTGAAGTGATCCAAAGATTCTCCAATGTAATTTGGCTTTCTTATATGATTAGATGCTCAAGCACTATCTCTAATATATATATATATATATATATACAATGAATGCACATTATTAACCTATGGTTGGATCACAACAATTACTTCTGGCACTTATTCTCTGCATGTTATAACTTTTTTATTTACAATTATTATTTTGCAAGAGGAAAAAAAGATCGACACACGAGACGTCAGGTTCACGCTAATCTTGTTTGGCACGGCAACTCGAAGTCGTTAACTATTGGGCTCAGACACTAGTTGAAACAAGAGTGGACCTGTTAAATTATTAGTAGTATAGTTTCACATGAATCATTAATGTTTGAAGTTGATCAGGTTAATGATTGCGAATAGTTTGTCTCCATATATCGTAAACGATTATGTACTTCTTCTTTTTTTATGCCTAATCGGCTATGCATAATTGCATAACAAACGTAATCTCTACACTACATAGTGGAGTATATTTTTGTGTGCTTTAAAACAATTCATATGAGCAAAAATAATGCATATACAAGGAGAATGATGCGGCAAAACTAAAAGGTAGCATGTTAAAAATCTTGGATTATTTGTACAGTAGTTTAGTGCCGCTTAGCGTAAACTAGGTTCTGCAAATAGTTCGGTAAAAAACAAAAGACCATTGATGTGATTTATATTTACTGGGCCAATGATACAAAAGTTATCGTTTATGGAAATGCCGAAAAGAGGCGTGTGATGTGATCACTTCGAAACCAAACATTTGTTTGAATAAATCTGGTAACAATTGAAATGTTTTTTTATTATTCCTAATTTCGAAGATGTTATCTCTATGGTAACTTTGATTTAGATACATTAACGTTCATGGTCAGTGAGTGAGACATGAAGTGTTGTGAGTTTTGTACTTTTTGGTAGATATCAAAGTCAGCTGTTTTTTTTTTTTAAAATTGAATATGAAATTGTAGAATGAGCAAAACTAAGGTTAATGCCAGACGGAATATTAGCGCGGGCAGAACATACCAAAACAGATAGTGCAAAAATGCATTGTCGTTTTTGTACGCTCCGACTATTTGTAAAATTAATGCATTTTTAAGTCTAGGAGGAATTTAAAGTTTTGTATTATTCTTGTTGTAGTTTCAGAGAATCTGTAAAATTTAAGTTACAGGTTTTTTGCTAGCTGTATCAAATACTAAAAAAAATGAACAACAAAAGTCAAGTGAAGAACAAGCTCGTTTGGAATAATTTTTAAACCGCTTTTAGTAATCTATGAGAAACAAAGAATTATAAGTCCACCTTCGGATTTTACAAAATAATTGTTGAGAATTATCAAAAGTTTTGTCCTAATTAAGCATCATATGTACACTACACACTGTCCGAATTATAAAATTATTACTCTCTCGACTAATATATCTGCGACCTGCGTTATATATTTTGGTACAGTAAGTTAACAAACCTTTCTCAAACATGGCATGTAAACCATCCGGTTCAGAGCCAATTGCACTTAACCGAACAATTGGCCACCTCTTTACCCCGGTTTCTCCCTCCTCCACGATCATCATCCTGATGAGGCTCTTCTTGCCCGGGTCTCACAAAGATGATTCCAAACCGCAAAACCGAGTGTTCCGGCATTGCAAGATCAGGAAACAGCTCATATGGGGATTTGAATTGATTTGGTAAAGCAAAGATCTTTCCTCATGATTAGCTTCTCATTCCTCGAGTTCTCGTGGAGCAGTTTCTTCTTCAGCGCGCAGTAAGAGATCATCATAAGCTCTCATAGATTCAGCAGTGAATCTCTCCATGGCTTCAAAAATCCGCTGCAAACTACTTTGCAAGCTATCGTTGCTTGTATCGCTTTGGTACACAACGTTGCCTGATATCGAAAGACTATTGATGTTACCATCACCAGGTGCCACGAGAACCATTTTCTTCTCCAGTGCTTGAATCTCTCTGTGTATCCTCTGTTCTTCCCTGTCCATGTTCCTAGCTCTCTTCTCTGAGTCCCCGTGCCCCATCACCGTCGTTTCTAACCGGTCTTGCTCCCAAAGCTGAAGCACGCTCGTGGTGAAACTGCGCATCGCCTCGATAACTTCCTTCTCGGATATCCTGTCCAGAGCTTGGGACCATTGGTTACAGATCACAAAGATTGGTGGGGCTCCGAGACGACCAGGTGAGAATGGAGCGATTCCATCTGGTGTTTCCTCGGGTTCGTAGAGAAGACACTTCATGAGCCATTTGTTCAACTCTTTCACATAACCTTTCTGCGCACTGACCCAGCTTGAGAACCCAAGTATCCAGTTAATAAGCTCGTGTCCAAGTAAACTCGTTGCCTCTAGATGTTCATCGCCGAGTTTCTTGCTCGCTCTTATGGGGCCTAATCCTCGAGCTTCCCTAATAGCTTGACACTGACTTTGATGACACTCGAGCATCGCTTTCCACATTCTTGTAAGCCTGAGCCAATACTTAAATCAATAATATTTCCAATTGCAAATATCTTAAAAACAGAAACATTTGGATGTAAAGTTTTTACCCTTGGATCAATGCATTCAATTGCGGCCATAGGTCTTCATCTCTTATCTTATTAATTGTAACAGAAATTTTATCGACAACCTGAATCGCAATACGTATCTTGGTGGACATGTCTCTCACTAATTTCCGTGTTGTGTCTACTTTATTAGCTTCAGCACCTCTTTCGTCCAAACGCTTTAGCTTCCTTCGCTTTTTCTCGTGAGCTATACGCAGTTTTTCCTCAGCCTACACAGAAGGGTAGCTTCTTCAGACATTCAGATAAGGAAAAGACTAACAGATCACACAGTGTTTCCAAGATCAGAATGTTACCTTCACTTCGTGGTAAAGCTTCTTCTCCCATAGATGGAGCTTGTGCAATGTTGAAGAGAGATTCCTCGACCTTGAAGCAAGCTCTTCTTCAATGTCTGCATAAGTTGGCGGCGCAGCAGCAGCAGCAGAAGAAGATGATCCTCCAGAGGTTGAAGGTAGCGAATGAGTAACCCCGTGCAACAACTTAGATGAAGCTGCTCCAATTTTACAAACAGAAACAAAAAAAAAATCAAAACTTTAGTTAACTTAATTGCAGAAAGCTGAGAGCTTTAAGTAGATAGCATTGAAAGATCGTTGATAACTCGACAAAATCGGAAAGTAATTTGATTTATAATTACGTACCATGTTTACGACCATAAGGATGCTTCCCCACTTCAAGTAACTTGGCGATCTCACTTCCTGACTCTGCAGCTTTCAAGAATTGATTCTCGATCTCTTGAGCAACCTCAGGCACCGCACGTGGCCCTCCTCCTCCACCACCGCCACGTGTGGCCGTGGCATTGCTCCGTCTTTCCTCGTTCTCTTCAACAACCGTCTTCTCAACGACGTGCACTTCGTACTCCACACCTTTCTTCTCCACCGACACGCTTGGTCTCGTCTGGTACATAGACGCATCTGCGGCATCTCCACCGCCTCCGCTGGTGCTGGCCCCCGATTTATCGGCAGGCAGTGGCGGAGACGGAGACTCTTCCCTGTACACGGCGGCTGGTTTCGAATGATTCTTACCACCGGCGGCGAATTTCGGCTTGCCGTGAACTTCCTTAACAACCTCGTACTGTGAATCGTCGTCCTCCAGCTCCGGGATACCTTCTTCCTCTCTTAACTCTCTCGAATCTCGGCTCGGAGTATACGGAGGGTAATAAGTGTCGAACGGATTCAAAAAATCCCACCCGTTAGACCTAGGCGGCGACGGAGGAGGCGGTGGCGGTTTCGAGGCAGCAGCCGCAGAAGAAGCAGCTGAAGAGCCGTAGAATCCGGGTCCGGGTCCGGGATTCGAGTATCCGAAATAAGAATTGGGAGGATAAGGATTGTAAGGGTAAGTAGAAGAGGAAGAAGATGATTCGCCAACGTAGACTCTTTGAGGGCTAATGGGTCTTTGCTCATAGATGACTGAAGGAGGCATCGATTTGTTCTTCATGTAGTTCATGTGCATATAACTCCCTCCTGATGGGTAAGGAGCTGGAGGAAGATGACCCATCATTTCCGGATTCGGGTATCGGGTATAACCCGGTTGTTCCATGTACGGCCCGGGCTCGTGTACTGGGAAATTTCCGAGATGGTGGTGTTGAGGAGGAGAGTGATGATGCAGCGAATCCAAATCTTCATCGTCTTCCTCGTCATCGTCATCCTCGGAATCCGAATCGAATTCGAGATGACCCGAATCAGAACCCGAACCCGAGTGAGCGTGATTGTTGTGGTGGGAAGCAGGTAGCTTTGCTTTTTCAGGTGAATTTCCTCCGTCGTCGTCTCCTCCTTCTTCAGGGTCGCCTTTTCTCTGGGGAGGAAGATTAAGCCTGGGAGAATCCCCGCCGCCGTTAGCGCCGCCGGAAGCGACGAAGCGGTGGTGGTGGTTGATGAAGAGATGAAGCGAGTGGCCGATTCCTCTGAGCGAGTGAGTGTAGGCCACGTGTGATTCGGCTAAAAGGTAACGTTGCTGAATCGCCGCTTCTAGGAAACCGCAGCGTTCACGGCAGAGAGCAACCGCCGGAAGATCGTCGAGCTTAGAACTTGTACAACCCATCAATAGTTCCCAAAACAAAAACTGAAGGAAAAAAAAAACAAGCTAAAATTAAAAAAAAAGGAAGGAAAACAAAAAAAAAAAAGAAATAAGGAAAGCCAAGATTTGAAATCAGGTAAGAGAAATGAAATTAAAAGGAAAAGAAAGAAAGAAAGAGAGAGAGAGAGAGAGTTGAAAGGTAGGTGAGAGGAATAAGAGATGGAGGCGCATAAGGGGCAAAGAAGGTGTGGGTTGATGGTGATAGAAAGAAAGAGTGAAGTGATTGTTTTCTCCAGAAAATATAAAAAGAAACGATTTATTTCAATTTAGTTGCAAGAAACGAAAAGAAAAAGAAGAGAGATAAAATTGAATGATTTAAGCTCATGAAGAAGAAGAAGGAAGAAAGATAGAAGAAGAAAAGAAAAAAATAAAAACAGCAAAGGACTGTGAAGGAATCTTGCCAGCACCGAGATTTTCGTCCGTTTCTCCCATAGGATGAGTCGGTGTTTTTTTCTTCATTTTCTTTTTTCCAGGTATTTAATTACTATAATCTCCTTTTTCAGAAAACTAATTAACTGAAATTCGATTTAAGGAGGGAGAAAACAAAACGGTAGATTTTTTTTTTTTTTTTTTGTTGAAAAATCAAAACCTTTTTAGGACAGTACTTTGAGAAGTTCAGAGTTCAGACAGATCTTAAGAAAGATACGGGTGGTTTTTTTGGGTCTTTAAGTTTAAATGGGAAGTACTTATTCAACTTTGGGTTTGACGGTAACTTTGACCCGTTTTGACTATTTTGTTATATTCCCATAATACCCTTAGTTGTAGTCTTTTATTACGCAACGACAAGTTCTGATTTTAGACAATTTAAATCGTACAGTAGTAATTTACATGATAGTAACGGGTAACGAAAAAAATTGAATGATGAAATGTACAGGACTTCTGTTTGTAATTGATAAATTTTATAATTAATTGTATGTGAGAGTCAAAATTTAATATTGATTATGGTTGAAGAATATAAAATGTTTTTTTGTTATGTTAATTGATTTGGGTGTCGTAACCAAATGAAAGTTGTTACCAAAACAGCACTTCAGGCTTCAGGTGTGATGCTAACGTCGTCAGGGTTATTCCTCTCTCTTTGACTAGACTTATATATTTTATTTTATTGATGCATTATATATATATATATATATATCATCTGAAAAACTGAAAAACAATAAGTAAATATGATATGTACTTAATAGTTAATACTAATATATATAGGTACGGGTCAATGAGATTTAATTGCACGAGTCAACCGTGTTTTCCGTATTCAAGTGTGCATAAAACTATTGGGTAGATTTGTTCTATACCATTAAACTTTAGATTTTTAGTCTGTAACGGTTTTTTTTTTCCTGAAAACGAAGATGAGGGGATCTTCTTCTGAAACAGAATTTGAAATTATTTATGATTACCGTTAAAACTACATTTCTTTAATGGACTGAGCTACTTTTGGTTTTGGATGAGATATGACGTAGCTTACAAATTATATAAATATACGAAAACAAAATCATAAAAGGCTAAGAGTGTGTGAAATAAGTGTGTTACGACATTTTTGTATGTGAAAAAAAGTGTGTTACATTCAAACAAACAAAAAACTAGTGCAAATCATTGGTATAGATGCATTCGAGCTCAAAATATTGATTTTCAAACGCCGGTTTGTAAAACATCGATAATGTGATGAATTAAAATTTCGGTGAATAATATAAACTATATTATATCTTTGTTCTAATGTGTTACTTTACTATCTTCATATCTGGAGAGACACGTGAATTTTGTTTCCGTTATGTTAGGCATGTTTGCATATAAGATATTAAAAATGCGAAAGACATGTTCCTACATATATAATCTCTTATACCTCAAATTACTTAAAAATTAGTATTACTGAAAGTACTTAAACAAGACTCATCTTTTGTTTAACCGGATTCACGCGACACTACAACGACTTTTTTTTTTAACTTGTCGCCGACTAAAAAAAAAAACTTCCCGCCGACTATCAGGAAGCAGGAACAGTCTAGAACATGAATTATATGCATATTGTGACAACAAAACAAATCGGGTCAATAGCGACAAAAGGTGGTGACGAGTTTATCGCACAACATTTAACCTCAGGAATAAGAATACTTAGCATCGAAGCCTTGTAAATTTGTAATTGATATCTAATGCTATTTACGCAGAATGACTTGGTGCAGAAGCAACCCCTTTTTGTCCCTTGTGTTTTCTTTTTACTTCTTTTTAACAATCTCTTTTTACTTTTAGCGTTTCTCTTCTTTTTTTGTCACAAGATTTGCCTTTGTACTGCATGCTAAATCCTTTATCGTTTCCGAAATTAAGACAAATATAAACTGGTGCGACATGTTGTTAATCTGTCTGCGTTTATATCGCACATGGTAACTGTAAGTAAAAATAGAAGTAAATTACTCCTATTTTATGCCAATACGGATGAGTTTTTAAAGAAGCTTCTACATCTTTAGTCCTATCGTTAAGATTCCAACAACAACAAAAGATGATGCAGGTGATGTGCATGGTGCATGTTTTGTATGTTTGCATGTATACAGTTTTTGACAGTGTTCAATGTAACGTCATAGGTGATAAAATGAAATTCATTTCACAAAGGATGTTATATATACATATATAAGATGACAAAAATAAAAGTAAAACTATCAAAACATTACAGTGTATTTTGCTATATTGCCAATTTTAATGTTCCATATCAAAAGGTGAATCCAGCACCACATTCTTTGTATATCGACCGATCTTTTAATTTTAAAACTTCAACGCATAACTGAAATGCATACAACTTATATCCATCTACTGCTAACCAACAACTTCTTTCCAACTTTTTTTTTCTAACCAAATTAACCAACATAAAGGTAATGATATTATAATAAGTACTTCTTTCCATTCAAAAACATTGATCACTGAATTCAGGCTGCCACACGTTTACAAATTCAGACGAACGAGTATATATAATATAGTAGTACGTTAAATATAAATGGTACGAGGAAATGTGAATAAAAGTCCAATTACTCTAGCCAATAACATATACTACTACTGAATATGTATAGGTGGTTTAATTTGGCATAAATCTAGCATTCATGATTTACCTGAAATCCAAAATAGTAGAGATCATATTTAATTGTCATGCAACTTAACAAATGCCCAAAATCTTAGCGATGTTTAGGTGCAAAATATAGGAAGACCGTGTTGATTCAGAGGTAATGATATTTTGAGAAAGTTACTTTGGTCCCCGAACTTCAATAAGTTAATTTATTGTTACATTTTGGGGAAAGAGTGATGAAGTAAATTTCTATATAGTATACAGGAAGTGTATGTAAATGAAAATGTAAAAATAAATAAAAAGAGGGAATAATTAACAGTACAGTACTAAAACATTGAATTTAATGCATTGTGACATCGTCTTCTTCTTCTTGTCCCTTTCACCTTTTAATTTTCTCACTTTCTTTAGCTTATCAAGTTAACACCATTTAATTTGCTGAGTTTAGAATCTAGTCATCTAGATAACGTTATTATTTCTGTCTACAAATAACAGTATTGTTTAATTATCCTTTTGTGAAAGCACTCCGCGAAGCTCTATTATAGTTCATTTTTTTGTTTGTTAAAGATAAAGAGCAGCATATTTCATTTACTTATAATAATAATAATAATAATGTAATACAGAAAGTATACAACGTACGTAACAAGAAATTTCGTAGCAAATATCGCGGGAAAATTTGTGAATGATATAATTTGTGAGCATTTGATTTAAGCCTTTAAACCATATATATATCAAATGAAGAATGATGTAGTAAATTAGTCTTAGTTGTTTCCAAAAGGTGATCTTCATTTTACTTCATAGTATTTTCTTTAGCGACGATTTGTGACCACAAAAATGAAAAAAGTGAATAAATATTATAGATCAATACAAATTATAATAGCATGTATATACTTATTTACTGCCTTTTGGCATATAACTACAGAAAAAAAAAAGTTGTCAATATTGTAGATTTTTGTAATGATAATTGCATAGATATTCTGCTTATTTCTGACTCATTTAGGTACCAAACGGTACTAAGGTTTCAGCTTTTAAAGTTGAATGACTGATTTTTTTTTTATAAAACTTGCATACAACTGCTTTTCCCACGGTATCTTGATTGATGATTTTGGCTAAAAAAATACAGAGAAAGAAAACGTCAATAATAAAGGCTGATAGCAAGTCAATTCCAATAAAAGGACGTCAATCAGTTGAGTAAAGTTATTTTTAAAAGATATATAGGAGTATTTATAAAGCATAAGATTAATTAACATAATGAAAATACCACCTTTAGGCATATTCCCGGCAATTCTAATTGTAATTGGGTCCCAAATATCATATGTAATTCGCTACATACATAAATAGGAGTACTGTATTATGTAAATTGTAGCCACAAACGGATGCAAAATCGCTGTGTATCTCTCATCTCATTATTGACTGGCTATTTCTGATTGATTTATACATAACGTAATCGTAGATGTTTGTGATAGATGATTAGGCCTTGTACATTATTAACGTGCATATATGAATGATTTAGTGACTATCACATTAATGAGTGTAATACAACTATTATATTCCTCTGCTATTTAGTGGGTCTGGAATAAAGTTCTGGTCAGTAAGATACATTTAATGTTATTAATGTGATGGTCATTGAGGGAGGCGGATTGAGTTTAGGGTTTAATGGAATAAACAAAACACAGATTCTGCTTTGAAAGATGGGGGAAATTCGGCAGGCACAGAATAATTGGGCGACGACAGGTGACATGTGAGACACATTTCACTGGTGAAAAAGGTTTACTATACACATGCGATTTTCATTTCATATTTTTATCTAGTATTTAAATACATTATATATGTGTATATAATAATACTGTTTATAGTCTTAGGTCTACGACGTACATGTTTTTTAGTCATTTTATGCATGCATTCCAACATCCAGATTTCAATAAGGAAAATTTGAGTTTTTGATTTACCGTTTTACGAAAACGTTTAGTTACGAATTGTTAGGAACGAGTTTTCTTTTTTGTTTCCTAGTTGTAATGCTAAGTCGTATCAAATGAAGATCGACTCTAAATATTTTGTAAACTTTTGATTTAATGCAAAACTTTACTATTTTGAGATTTCCAAAGATGTTCCTAAGTTTTTTCTTTTGGTGTTTCAACAAAACTATCATGTGCTATGACTTTGGGGGTGTTATTTATAAAATAGAAATCCTTATAAAGGAAAAAGAAAAAACAGAGCATCGAGTGTTGTGAATCATAAGGGAAATGTTTCTATGGCTGTGAATATTTTTGGGTGGTTTATTGTGACGCTGCAAAAAACACTCCGTCTATAATATGACAATAGTGGGTGAGATCTTTTGAGGTAACTTGTTTATGAACAATTTACTTTTTATTGTATAAATATCTTATTCTATAGACCACATTAGCTCGTCTGCGTGATCCATCTATTCAAACTTGAAAATCCTTAGAGGAGTTGTGATGGAGAGCAAATTCCACATTGGTCGAGGAAAAACAAATAAATTACGAAAATCGATAATAGTTAGTTATTAGTAAAAAGATAAATCGTCTAATAAAGGGTTCTAAAACCAAAGAGTATATTCTCGTAAAGCCAACTAATAGAAAAGCTTCGTTTTTACCTGTAAAGGAAAAGGAAAGATGCAGAAAATTTCAACTCGAAAGAATCGCTTTGACTTTCTTGTGTTCCTCCTTGGTACCAGTGATTCTTCTCATAAACTTTAAAGACTCTTCTTAACTTTTGATTGTTTTAATGGTGTAGACCGATCTACATTTTGTGTTTTTTTCAAAATTATAAAAATACTCACAACTCGTGATGTTGGAGTCATCTGTAGAAAGTTATCATTTTGTTCTTACGTCGATTCATATTGATTCATTTTCAGCTAGATTAACAGTTTCCTTTATTTTAAAGTGAATTTTGGTAATTCGTAGTTTACTTTATTCAGAATTTTTGATGCTACACATAAATAATACTATTAGAGATTTTTTTATAACACAGGTAATAATTTAACGACATTTGATGTCAAAAAAGGGGCAAAACTAAAAACCACACTTACTAAAAAAACCACTTTAGAAATCTTGTTCTTGTTTGTTAGAGATCATAAAAATTACGGTTGAGACTCGAGAGTATGGAAGGATTAAAAAAAACATTTATGTGAAAGCTAGGTCAAAAGGAGAAGAGAATATTCAACAGAAAGCAGCTGTTCCCTCCCAATCTCTAATTAACATAATTAACAAAAAGGTAATATAAAAAAAAAAAAATAAGGACTGGTCTGATCTGATTGTGTAGACTGTAGAGCATTCATTGGATTTATCTATTTATTTTTTTTCTCTGCCACTAGGGTATTATATAGTTGAAGATCACTTCACTCATCACACCACTTATATATTTACTTTTTTTTTTCTCCTCTGTTATTGAGTTTATTTTTCCTCATATGTTCCACTTTCAAGTTGAGAATGAAAACAAAAGGTCTAAAAAGTTCTAAACAGAATAAACGTACAATTTGGCAATTTGTTATTAGTGGTGAGATATATCAATAATGCATGCATAGTATTTTACTTTAGACGGTGTTATATTTTGGCTAACACAGTCAATTATATCTGGATTATCTAAGAGTGGAGTTCTATAGATCTTTGGTCTATAAATATATATGTATATGGTCATTAAACAATGTTATATTTAGTTTATCTAAGAGTGACAAATGAAATCCTCTATCAAGTATAGTGATGGCTCCAATTTGATTAATTATTTTTTTCTTACTTTTATCCGTCTGGTTATTCGATTTCAAGATTTAACCTGCAAATTCTATTTGAAATAGACTATATAGAGTTTTAGTAATAATATGCAATTACCATACACATATTGTTTTTCCAAAAAAAATATAGACATAAAGTGGAACGATTGTCTTTTGTATAGTTTCGGGGTGGCTGTCGAAGTAGGCCAGAACAATTAGGGGAGAACACAGAATGTGAATGTGGTTTCGAGGTTTACAATATATATGGAATAAGATCAATGAAAATATCATACGAAACGACATAGACAAGACAACCTAAATGATGATCAACGACCTAACTCTATGATTAGATTCCACAATTTTTTTTTCCCCTCTTTACAATCACTTTTCAGATTTTGATTTGTATGTACTGTGATCGTATCATCTCAATGCATTTTGTATATTAGTGTGTAGTTAGATGTACGATATTAATATGCGTACTTTTAGATCGAAAATAATCGAGAAAATAAAAGGTTTCAGTGTTGATCTTGAAAATAGGTCTTTTTAGATTTATAAGGATAATGATTTAACAACTCAGTCAGCTTTTGTAAACACTAATGATCATACAAAAGTGAATTTGGTGCTCGAGATAAGTAGTAGGAGTAGTAAATTTCCAATGGATCATTTTTTGCATTATGGATTCTCAAATTGGTAGCAAAAAGCTTGATTACAACTAATGAAAAGCAAATTTCAACTATAGGATAATAAGTGATCTTGTTCCACTTGCTAGGTACTCAAGTTACAAAGAGACTTACATTTGTTTGTTCTACCATTCCTTTTGCAAACAGACAAATAGTTCACTTTAGCCAAAGTAACAAGAACCAATAAAGTAGACGAAGACTTCAAGATGAAGAAAAACATACTAACAAGAAGCTCAAAATCCAAACTTCTAACCAAAAATGGTTCACCAAAGGAGTCTCATTTTCTTTTCACTTCTCCTCAAGACAACAAAGTATCTATATGTGTACATCAAGCTACATTTACATTACAACAATTCTCTTTAATTACAAGAAGCAACACAATAACCATTGAAGAACAGAGCAACAACGAAGCTCATAGTACGTAGTTTTTTTTATAGTGGTGTTGAATGTTATTAAGAGACCAGAAGATCAGAAACTCAGAAGTAGATGTCTGATTGCTTGGATTGTGCCTTAAGATCCTTGAGTTTCTTCAGTATGTTGCTGAAGTAATCCTGCAAGTACTTCTCCAGAGTCACCAAGTCCTTTTGATCCACACCTAGTAGACTATTAGTCTCGGTCATCGGAACAGAGAAGACTGTATCACTCGAGAGAACCTAAAAACGCCCGTGCCACCACATACATGTTAAGATACACATGTTTTCAATTGATCTGAAAGCCACAATGAAACAAAAGCATGACAAAGCTAGTTTCTTTTACCTCTGTGAAGGCTAATCTATCTGCGACATCGTTTGTCCACTGGAAAAAACGAGTTAATTGACGCGTGACTCTCAATACGGAAACTGGAACCGTGGTCACATTTGCATCTTGCCCAGCAAGTCTCTCACATAGTGTTATTACCTGACAAGTTTTGTAAAACAAAAAAGGTTATGCTTTTTTATCAAGCAAACATTTCTCTATTCATTTCAGACAGAATATTATTACTTCTTGGGTTGTCCACGCACGAGGGCCAGCGAAAGTTAGAAGCTTTCCGTTGATTTTCTCATTGCGCAAAGCAATAAGTGTAAGCCTAGCGATATCCTGTTACAGCAGCAATGATGGAACATGTTACATCATCTTGTGAGCTTCACCAACGCTTTACACAAAGAAGATGAATTTACATTGTTAGCTCACCTGCGTGTCCATGTAAGCAACACGAGTTGGTGCATCCGTTCCCCAAACCGATTTTTCCTCCAGAATCGGGACTGCATATTGACCGATAAGACCCTGCATAGAGGGCATTATGAATCAGACGAGACTTAGCCATAAACAATACACAATCTTGAACCTTTTGAAGAAAAGTGGGATGAGGCTTACTTGCATGAAACCGCATAACCGGATGGTGATGTGGTTTAAACCGGATTCCTTCAGGAATTTCTCAGTACAATACTTAATCTCCATGAGAGGAACCTCGGGATGCTTATCGCAATTGTGGATTGAGTAGAAGACGTATTTCTGAATCCCCATTGCCTTTGCACATTGTATCAGAGCAACTTTCCCTTCCCAGTCTACCTAAACCGAACACACACTAACTCACTCAAAATTGATCAAATAAGCAAAGACATGAGAGTGAGTGACTTTAATAAGTCTCGCTAGGCTAATGAATTCACAACCACACACAAGATTCTTGCTAGACTTTTTCATTCACAGAACCAAAATTGAAGCTTACCGTCTTGATGGGTTCTTCAGGACGTCCCGTGGCACAATCAATTACGGTGTGGATTCCGACCAATGTTGCCGGAATTGACTCCGGTTTACTAAGATCCGCCTGGTCCAAAGGGAATCCGGTTTAGTTCTCGCTTGGACAAAATCAAAAGACTTTGCAATCAGAAGAGATGTGAATACGTACATTGACGACGGTGGCGCCCCAATCACGGAGGAAGTCGGCGGGAGCTGGTCTAGGTCGAACCAAGCACCTGACATCATACCCTTCGTCTAATGCTCGCCGGACGATTTGTCTTCCCAGTGTCCCTGTAGCTCCGACAACCAAGATGCTCGTCGGTCGGACTGGAGTCCCCGGCGCAAGATTAACCGCTGCAGCACTGCACGTAACCGGGACTACCGTTGATTGTTTCCGGTTAAGGGATGAGGAAGATGGGATGCTCGGAATTGAATTGTCCGGAGTGAGAGAGCGCCGCCAGGAGAGGCGCCCAGAGGAGGAGGAGGCGGAGGAGTAAGAGTTATGGTGGTTGAGAGTGCCACGTGTAACGAGCTGAGCGGGGAGCCTGAGAGAAGCCATCATCACCGGTTGGAGAGGGAGAGAGGGGAGAGGTGAGGGAGAGAGATAGAGATAGAGATAGAGAGAGGACAGTTGATGGAGGTTTGGCCACGTCAGCTCATTTCTCTTTTGCCACGGAAATACCAGAGGGAAGAGCAAATGTATCTCTGTACTGAAAAAGGAAATTAACATTAAACCAAAGTGTTAACTGTGCATATATATATAATTAAGTTTAAGAAAAGTTTGAGAAATGGTTATAGAGAGATCACAAAACCGACCTTTATAAAACATGAGACCAAGGGCTACTCTCGAGATGGCTGGTCCTGCAAAATAAGCCAATCCCTTATGGATTTGTAGCAGTAGATAGATGATAATCCTGTGAAAAAAATAATTAAGTCAAATTGCGTCGTACGTTCAACATTGTGATATAATAGATATAGGAATGCGTGATTAATCGTAACACTCACTCGCGTACGCGTGGTGGAAAAATCAATGCGGTGATCTTCCTTAACAGGGGTGACATAACAATTACAAATACCAGAGCTCCTCCAGCAAGCAAAGCATCTCCCGAGCTCTGGAAAAACAGAACAAGAGTGCTTTAAATTGGTTTATAAAGTTGGGACTTTAAAATTGACCTCGAGACTGGATTCAAAAGAACCTGAACAATCAAAACGGCAGCCAAAATCCTGATGCACCAAGAGATATAGACTGAAGTGCTTATGTCAACGGAGGCATCCAGAGCAAGAAGAAGTTGTGTATTGCAAGCCAAGAATCCAAACAGTACTCCAGCCACTTGTAAATACCCAAATCCCTGCGGAACCAAATTGCGGTTAACATCAGCTTAGGTTAGGTTACATCAGTAAATACTGACACTTGTAAATACCCAAATCCCTGCGGAATCCCAACTTTCTTAGAAAATCTTGAAAGAAACCGGGTATGTATGTAACACTAACATAAGTTAGACCAAGCTGACAAAAGAAAAAAAACAAATCTTGTGAGTGTTGGGATAATGGGAGATAGTGGTTTAGACAAAAAAGAAGAAAAAAACCACAACAAATCACCAGAGATGCATATAGGAACAATGCCGAGAAACTGGGTCGAGTTGGTAGACGCTTAATTCCCTGTACGTACACACATCATCAGCTATCAAAAGCAGAATCTTTAATACGATAGAGAAAAGCAAAAGAAGAGAAAAAAAAGGGTCGAGGACGTTACCCGAAAGAGGAGAAGCATGAAAACAAGTAATAGACCAGCAGCAAAACAACAAACGCAGTAAAAAGCTAACGATGTGCTCAGTGTAAGTCATCAAAACGGTACCAAGGATTAAGAAACAAATGCGATACATAAACGATTCTGCAAAGCATAAAAACGGATTTCAGAAAAAGTAAAACCAACAAGGAGAGATTTTTATTAAAAAAAAAGTGAAGAACAAGAATGTAACCTTCTAAGGTAAACACTTGCAGAGTGACATTAGATGATGAGTTGGCTACTCTTACATCAAGGAGTATGTGGTCGAATGGTGACATTGCCGCATTCCATAAACCATCAGTGACATTGGATGATGAGTTGGCTACTCTTACATCGAGGAGTTTGTGGTCGAATGGTGACATTGTCGCAGTCCATAAACCATCAGTTGTGATATAATATGTTCAAAAAAAACATTGTGATATTAATATATATAGGAATGGTGGCATTGTCGCAGTCCATAAACCAAGCATGTAACTGAATAATTTTTTTAAAAATATTCTGTTAGAGAAGACTGTATACACAATAGGAATTTAGGAGTTGATCAAGCATGTAACTGAATAATTTTTTAAAAAATTTCTAATTGTTCTGTTTAGCTAGGCAACGAAGACTGTATACAACTAATTGTTACTGGCTTGAATGCTAACAAATAAAAATCTTTGTTCCTCACGAACTCATTGTATAATGTCTATGACTATTTGAAGCTGATACTGCAAATGAAATTTGTTACTTCACAAGAATCATAACCGGCCCGGTTTAATCAATAAGGTGTGAAATTGTTTCCCTGACCGGAGGCGAGGATGAGCTGGAGGGGAGAGGGGGTGACGTGGAGCATTGCGTGTGAACACAAATTAATTCGCGAATCTTTCGCTTCTGCCTCCTTCATCGCTTCTTCACCAGAAAACACATTTTCCGGCGATCGGAATCCAGCAACGGAAGACATGAGCAGTACGGCAGGGAAGCTCGTGACTTCGAGGTCAGAGCTTGACCTGGATCATCCTAACATCGAAGACTACCTTCCTTCCGGTTCCTCCATCAACGAGCCTCGCGGCAAGCTCCGCCTGTAATCTCTTTTCTTCTCCGTTTGTATATGGAATACAGTGGTTTCCATGTATTTTTTGCATGCTTTTGGATACTCCAAAACATCTGGCTAGGTTTGGGGATTCGTGATTGAGAATTTCTGCGAAATTTGAATAGTTCGATAGGCTGATTAACTTTCAGCGTTCTTCGTTGATTTCAGGCGTGATTTGCTCGATATATCCCCAACGCTCACTGAAGCTGCTGGTGCCATTGTTGACGTAAGATATTTTGACCTTGCGCCAAGAGTTTTTCTTTGTTTCCAGTGAAATTAATGGGCCAAATGATAGATGAATTTGGATTGGAATTGCAAAGTTATAGTATTATATGGATTTATCTCTCTATCTGACGATGCTTGATTCGATATCTGCAGCTGTTTGAGTTTCTGTTCAAGTTAAAAAGAAAATATATAATTTTGCAGGACTCGTTCACTCGGTGTTTCAAGTCGAATCCTCCAGAACCTTGGAACTGGAACATTTACTTGTTTCCACTTTGGTGCTGTGGGGTTGTCGTCAGATACTGTATTCTCTTTCCTCTGAGGTTGGTTCTATCTAATATATGTTGTCTTCTGCTATCCAGTTGGATTCTAGTAGCTCAAAGTCAAGATTTTCAGTTGATTGTTTAAACCTGCAGGTGCATCACTTTAGCTTTTGGGTGGTTTATTTTCCTTTCAACATTCATCCCCGTTCACTCTCTACTGAAAGGTCATGATAGGTTGAGGAAAAAGATTGAGGTGGGTTTGGTTCTCTGTTTCTTGTTTGCCTCATATGATTTAGTTTTCATTGTGTGATTCCGTTATCCTTCCATCTCTTAATACAGGGAATTTTTTTTTGTATATCCTCTGCTTTGTTGATATTTTCCTTCCTTATCTTGATATTGGACTTTGTACTGTGTTTTACTGTATTACCAGAGGGTATTGGTGGAAATGATATGCAGCTTTTTTGTCACCTCGTGGACAGGAGTTGTCAAATATCACGGGCCACGGCCAAGCATCCGTCCTAAGCAGGTCGGTCATGTTTCCTTCCTTGTAAAAAACCTTTTCTTTGTATCTCCTTGATACTTGCTTACATATGCTGATTTTAGTGATTGGATTAAACAGGTCTATGTTGCCAACCATACTTCAATGATTGATTTCATCGTCTTGGAGCAGATGACTGCATTTGCTGTTATCATGCAGAAGCATCCTGGTTGGGTTGGTAAGTCTCAGGGTGTGATTATGGCCTCTATGATTGATTCTTCTGGCGCGTGACTGGTTTGCCTTTCGTGCGTTATTTCGAAATCCATGTTTGACTTTTGTCCCCCTTGAATATGAAGGGCTTCTGCAAAGCACAATACTGGAGAGCGTAGGATGTATCTGGTTCAATCGTTCCGAGGCAAAAGATCGTGAAATTGTAGCGAGAAAGTATGCATAGTTCTTGTCCCCTTTTAAGTCTCATTCATTACGTAATTTACTCATATTAAACATGAATCACGTAAATCAGGTTAAGGAACCATGTCCAAGGAACTGACAATAATCCTCTTCTCATATTTCCCGAGGGGACATGTGTAAATAACAACTATACAGTGATGTTTAAGAAGGTATTCTGGACCTAACTTTGATGTGATTTGCACTTTATACTCATGTTAATAGTTTCTGACTCGCTTCATGACAATGTTTAGGGTGCTTTTGAATTGGACTGCACTGTCTGTCCAATTGCCATCAGATACAACAAGATCTTTGTTGACGCCTTCTGGAACAGCAGAAAGTAAGGGTCTTTTCTCTAAGACTTATCATATCAGCCAGACGATTTTGAATTTCTGAAGTATTGAAACAAGTTTTTACTGCAAAAATGTTTTGGGATATTTCTTTGTCTTGATAACAAAAGGTCTTTGCAGGCAATCATTCACTATGCACTTGCTGCAACTCATGACATCATGGGCTGTTGTGTGTGAAGTGTGGTACTTGGAACCCCAAACTATAAGGCCTGGTGAAACAGCAATTGAGTTTGCAGAGAGGTAAAACAGTAAAGCACTCTTTTCTGGTGCTTTTCATCAGAGAAGGCCTAAGCAAGAAAATAGATAACTTTGGCATGACATTCTTTTGCGTTTTAGTAGTTGCTCTAACATTTATGAGACCCACTTGATTTACTTGTCACAGGGTCAGAGACATGATATCTCTTCGGGCAGGTCTCAAAAAGGTCCCTTGGGATGGATACTTGAAGTATTCAAGGCCAAGCTCCAAGCATAGTGAACGCAAGTATGTTATTCTATATATATATATGTCTGTCATTGTTCTCTAGGAGTATGAATATCTAAAAACTTCCAGTAGCAAGATTAGTTCAAACCCATCATAAAAGTCTTTTTATCACAATTTGAACTTTGCATCAACAGGAAAAACAAATTAAGGATTCAATTGCACTGATACAAAGTCTTTTGCATCTGTTCGTATCTGTTGAAATTTTCCTAACAAGACCTGATTCTGATCTGTCTTTCTTTGAATTGACAGGCAACAGAGTTTCGCAGAGTCGATCCTGTCTAGATTGGAAAATAATTGATTGTAAAGACCATCATATCATGTTTTTAAGTTGTTGTTTCTCCTATGTGCTTTTAGTTCGCTTTGGTTTTCAATACAGGACATTTTGCGAATCCCACAATAGACAGAACTCACTTTTGCATCTTGTCCCTTCGCCGATCCTTTTTTATATACTACACTCGAATTAGTAATAGTTGTGATTGACAAGAATAATCCGAGACGACGAAGCCCAAAAAAGCGTTTCAACATGAATTATTTGGGATAAAAAAAATCTGATTTGAGAGTTTCGACGAGTTACGTCTAAAGAATGTATGAAACTAGAGGTACAAAACCAGACACAGTGGATCATACCCATATATCTTGGTGACAGAAAATCCGTAGCAGGAATTTTGATGATTTATGCAGAGAAAGGGTAATTTGTCAGAGTCACTCTAGATTCGCAATGACGGCATCAACGACCTCTTGAGTAGTGCTTGTCCCACCAAGATCTTTAGTCCGGCACTTTCCTTCAAAGATGACTCTTTTGACTGCTGTTTCAAGCCGGTCAGCGAATGAAGGAAACTGAAGGTGTCTCAGCATCATCGCTGATGACAGAAGCAACGCCACTGGGTTTGCTTTGTTTTCCAGTACTATCTTGTCTTTCCCGACATTTCCCGCTGAAGCTCCTTGCTCAAACACCGCATGGTCAGCCCCAACATTTCCTGTAATATGTCGCATATATACACAAGTTTCAAGACACTATTCCAATTTTGCATGTATCTCGAGAGTGTAACTGCGAATTATTTGAACATGTGCTAAATTTACCTCCAGGCATCACTCCGGTGCCTCCAGCAATACCAGCAGCAGTGTTTGCAACTAAATTACCATAGAGATTGGGTGTTACCTGCAAAACATTTAGTAGCAATTCTTATCAATGAGAGATTATATAATAGATACAGGTTATTAATAGCAGTGAAAAGGTACTTTTCCAAGTGAAGAATGCTCTATTTGAGATCAGTATTTAGCACATAATCAATCATTCGCGCAAAGATTATAAAACATACCATGACGTCGAATTGCTCTGGTTTCGCTACAAGTTGCATGCAGCAGTTATCGACAATAATTTCATTGTAGGTGATGCTTGGATACTTTTTAGCAACCTCTCGACAAGACTCCAAGAACAAACCATCTGCAAGTTTCATGATGTTAGCCTTGTGCACCGCTGTAACTTTCTTCCTGTTGTTCAGGTACGCGTACTCAAATGCATACTTTGCTATACGCTCCGAACAGAACTTGGTGATCACCTAGCAGAGAAATAGGATCACAAGAATTATGAATAAAACCAATCACCACTATCCATATGAAAGTGCACGAAAGTGTATACACATAACTAACTATAGCTCATGGAAATCAACGGTAACAAAATGATCTTGTTCAAGAAGATGGTGATGAAGAGATGGAAGATATATGCATGATTCCATCATATCCAGTACATAAACTGTTCATCCTTCTAAAGAAGATGCTAGAGAATTCTAAAACCCTTCTCTCTCAGCTAAGATTCAACAAATTCAAACTCATACAGAGAAATTGCAGACTGAAATCACCACAAGCATAAGGCCATAATCCTATAATCAGTTAAAAGAAAGGAAAATTCTCTCGAGGGTACTCACCTTAAGGCTCTCGACGACACCGGGAACAACCTCGTGCTCAAGGCCAGCATACTCGCCTTCGGTGTTCTCTCTGATGACGACGATGTCAACGTTTTCATGGCGAGTGGGTAAACCAGGCAAATTAAAACAGTTGACCAGAGACGCAAAGAGGTCAAGCTCTTTCCTCAGCTGCACGTTGAGGGAGCTCACACCACCACCTACGGGAGTCTTGAGGCCGCCTTTCAAGCACACCTTGTTCTTCCGGATCGACTCCATCACTTCCGGCGGCACGCGGCTCATTTCTCCGTGGACATCGTACTTCTCGAAGTAGATCGGCGCGTGCATAGCTTCCATCACCTGTTCCACCGCGTTCGTCACCAGCGGACCGATCCCATCGCCGGGAATCAGCGTCACAGGGCGTGGAGCTCCATCGCCGGGTCTGGGCATGTAAGTCACGGATCGGGTCTGGATACCTGAACCATTCGCGTTTCTAGCTAGATTCTTCAACAGAGTCAGCGATCGGCGAGACATCTTTTCGCTGCAAATTGTTTGAATCTGACCCAAAAAAAAAATTGATTCTCCTTCCTTTTGGCCTTTGGAGCTGGAGGCGGACGAAAAGCGTTTATTGTAAAACTTCAGGTATTTACACAAAATTGCCTCAAAAATCTTTCTCATTAATATATTCCCATAATTAAATTCGATACTTTCTTATCAGACCGCATTTGGAAAATCATCATTTCAGATATTTATACAACTACCCGAAACATTTTTACCTTTTCAACATTTTCCCAGAAATTAATTTCAATGTTGCTTATAAGACCACACTCGCAAAATCATCAGTTCCAAGTATTTACACGATTGCCGCAAAACTTTTGATATGACAAAAAACATCACTTCCAGCTGCTCAAAATTTCATCTGGTAACACTGTCAAAGGCTTCGTCGTCTTTTTGCTTTCCTCTTCACATAAATGCTTGAATATCTTGATTAGTCTTCTGATTCAACTTTTAAGATTTGGAAAGTTCACCCTTAAACAAACAATCACTCTGTTTTGGATTTGACATAGCTTTTTGATAAATTGTCTTTCAAGCTAAGGTGGTAGATTCAGGATCAATATCTTTCTTGATCTCTCTCTTGAGAAAAAATATTCTGTGTGCCTCACCATAAAAAGTAAATATTCTTCTCTCCTTTTTATGCCAAGAACAGCATCTGTGTTTACTTTGAATACAATCTTTTCCAGACAGTGTTATTATATAACCCAATAACTTTGTTGACAAGGCTTCTCTGGACTTGAATGTTTTTGCATTAGCTAAATACTCTGAAACTTCATGACTACATTTTCAAAGTAGGTTTCATGTCGAGAAACGAAAATGTAGGAAATATTTCAATAGAGCCATATACTTGCAGAGCGTAGTAGAATCCAGATGACAAATGATGTACAGAACATAAAAATACATATAAAAAAAGCATATGTTCCTGGTATGCATCGCCTTATTATACAAAAAATCTGCTAAGCCGATGCAGAAAACCAGAGTCCAACTACTACTGCTTGCAAAATGGTATATGATCCAGTGAGGGCACTGAAAATATGTTTACAAACGTTGCCCCTGGCTAATATAAAATGGGTGAGTAATATTTTGTTTTCTAACACACTATAGTAAATTAGTAGAATCTCCTTGTTTGGTACAAACCTTTACCTCGTTGCTTCATTATAACGAAGGACCAAGACCTGTGCTACCAAAAGAACCTCCCAGCTTCACTTGAGAAGCTTCATGAACGCTGATCTTGATCGTCCGGCTCTGTGATGACCTGTAAATATCTATACATTCCTCAAGATCAGCTTCACATGTCAGAAGAACCCACTCCTTGTCATCATCCAGGTACTTGAGATCAAACGTTGCGATATTATCTATGTTAAAACGCCTAGCAATCTCTTGCTGCAACTCCCTGAAGCCAAAGGTTGGGAGCAGAGTAAAGCGTACTTTGGCCTCACCAAACGTGGCTTTCACTTTAGATGCGCCTCCAGCTTTCAAGCTCCTGCTACGGCTCTCTGGCAACCGAGGTAGATTCTCGTAAAGAGGGTGCTCGCTGAATACTCTGTGGCTCAGTGTTCTAGAGAGAGACTTTGTTTCCTCCTGGTTCACGCTATGAAGCCTTACCTCGCTACGAGCTCTCTTCAAGATCGCGCCTGCGTTCTCAGCCATCAGAGTAGTGGCTGAGGTGTTTGCAGTAGTGGTGCTTTGATTAGCTCCAGTGGAGCAGCAGGTGCTTGAACCAGAGCTGTGGCTACAAGAAGATGACGGTGGTGACCTTGGAGCTGCAGCGACTCCTCCCTGACCTGATACACCGTTCTCGGTTTGAGCATTCAAATGCCTTGACAGGTCAGTGTTCTTGACTGAAGTGCCAGTAGCAGTAGCAGATACATTCGGTGAGCTTAGCTCTGGGAAACTTGTATAGAATGAGTCAAGCTGGATAGAGCCTTGAACACCTTGAACTGAGTCAATAACGAGTTGGAGTTTCTTTAACGAGTGCCCCACTTTCTTGATCTTACGAGAAGGCCATCTTGTTATCCCGTGTTGCCTGCATATTCTTTTCAATGTAGTTGGACAAACTGCAACATGAGAATGAATCAGAATCATCACTCTGGCGATAAACTTGATGGAGATGATTTATATTAAGAATTAAGTTCTTCCTTACCACCAATGCTCTTGGCTGCATCTTTGAGGCTTCCTGCAAAGTACTGTCTTAGAACTTCTAAACCGATTGTCTTTTCTGTTTTTGTTCTTCTCTTTTCACCTGGTCTTCTACTTCCTAGAAATGTTTGTCCCAAGCCAAAGGAACCTGAATCAAAACTAGGATCGATGTCGAGCCTGAGTCCTGAATTTGAAGTTTTCTGAAACTGCTCAGCATCTGAAAGAAAGTTGTTGTGGCCAATCTGATTGTTGTCCCAGCCAGATGTCAGCATGAACTCTTCTTTCGGCTCTTCTTTCTGGTACTCCCATGAAAGAGACACTCCTTTACCTTTCTCGTTGGCCTTTATCATGTGGGAGATCCATGATGAATCTTCCTGAGAAATCTCTTCCAAAGGCAAAGGTTTCAGATTCTCACCTGTCTCTGCGTCGATCAGTGGCTTCTCTGAGAAAAGTACTTCCTCTCTAACGGGAAACACCACTTCTAGCTCCAGCTCTTTGTCAATGACAAGGTTTAAGCTCCTGAAGTCCTGCTGCAGGGTCACAGAGAGTGACTTGAGCATTTCTTGTTGCGCTTCGGTGTCAAGGCAAGCTTTGGGAAAGAAGAACTCCAACACAAACTCAACCGAACCATTGAATTTGCTTTTCAGAGGAACTGCTAAAGCAGCGTGTAGACCAGAGATCTTAGCATGGTGTGCGAGAGGGTAGTTGGTCTTGCTGAAAGTGGTTACTTCGGGCACGAAAAACAGTTTGCTCGCTTTGAATGCTTTCCCCACGATTCCTTCACCTTGAAGCAGGTGGTGATCAGAGCATGCCTCTAGGAAGTTATGGCTCTGTTCGTCGAGGACAAAGCAAGCAGTGTCTACAGTTGAAACACACTCGGTGAAGTTCTCATCTGAATGTCGAGATCCGCCTTTGCCTTGCCGAGCACACGGTGCCCACGTTAGAGCCAGAGGCAGCTCATATGATCTGCAGACCGATGTCAAAAAGTCTGATACTTCAGGTAATGCTGCATAGTAGAACTGGTTATAGACCTGCAGAAACTGAAACAGAGAGCATATGAGCATTAAGCAACATAAAAGCCATTGTGTGAACAAATGATTTGGTTACACACCTCTCTGCTTGGAGATTTCAGGTTTGCTGAACTTCTTAGATTAACAGCCTACAAGACAAAGAAACCTCCTTTTAGGCTACCACACACACACAAAGGACAGAGAGTCAAGGGAAGAGAAAAACCTCGAGAGCTTTGCAGATATTCTCAAGTTCTGGCCTGTAATTCATCTTCTGAGTTGTTGTGACAATCTCAACAACACCTAAACAAGTCCCACTGCCACTTTCAAACACAGGAAGAGCTAATGATCCACGAACATCACACTTCTGCGCTTCTTTGATTCGCGGATACTCTTCGCTCCTGAAGAACCGAACATCAGGTGTCCACTCCGGTAGCTTCCCGAGGAAAACACGGCCAGGGAGACCAACAGACTCCTTGGAATCCTCATCAGCCAGGAAGTTATAAGCCACTGAGACATCTCTGTATCTTTTAAGGCTTAAGTATTTGGGGTTGAAGAAGTGTGGCTGCTCCAAAGTGGTAAGAAAGTTCTTGCCTTCCTGTTGAATCGGCACCCATATCTGTATAAGGAAGTCTTTATCCTGCACCGCCTCGTTAAGACCCTTTATAGCTTGTACTAGTCTATCTTTCACCGATGAAGAAGGGCCTTGTCTTGTTCTTGGAGCGATCCACCATCTTCTACCTAGCTCAGTTTCTTCAAGGAGAAACTTCTCTGCTTGTGCAGAACTCGTAGCTGCAGGCTGGTGAAAAGGTACTTGATTCATCGGTTGGTTGCTGAGATCTTCGATCTTGAGAAAACCTGGTGCTATTGGAGGAAACTTTCTTCCTGTCTCTTCGTTGGAGATATGATCCTGTGAAGGGTTCTCAGCAAATTGATAACCATAAAGGAAAGAGTTGCTGTTGTTGTTGTTGTCACTCATGGTGGTAGAATCAGAAACTGGCTGTGCCGTCTGCTTCAAGCTCTTACCGTCTGTTGTCTCAAGCCAACATCCATCAAAGAAGAGTTCTTCCATGAAATCCATATCCATAGCCGTCTCAGAGAATGCTCCAAAGCTAGAATTAGGTAAGAAACTGCCATCTCCACCACCACCACCACCTTCCATATCAAACAAAAAAATATCCTTTTGTTTTCTTTCTTCAACTCAATCTTGCATCCACCAGAAGCTTTACAAAACTCTCAGCTTTCTCAAAGACTTTGGTTTTCATGAACCAGCAAGAACAAGCGTCTTTGAGGTCCCCTTAAGGTTCCTTTGCTCGGTGTCTACATAACCTATCTGCAAAGGTTGCAGAAACATGATCAGAACACACAGCAAGAAGAAGAGAAGAAACAAGATAAGAGCCAAAAACTCAGTCTTTGTCAACTGCAAGATCGAAAGTGCATTTCAACATGTATATAATAGACTTTTAAGAGAGGTTGTGAAATCAGAGAGAGGGGCTATAAATATATAAAAGCTAGAGAGAGTTGACTTGAAAGGGGATTTCATCAAGTACTAACATCAGCCTTCCAAGTACAATATTCCCCAATGGACATGGAAACTCCAAGAGGGCCAATTATTGAGCCCCTTAAAAGACAAATTCTAAGAAATTTCTAGCAGACAGTAAATGCCACACATAAGAAAAGATAATGGAATTATAAATTAAGAATCTGATGCTCCATGACATCAGTTTCCAAAGAACAAAAAAATCTTGTGATGCTCCATGACATAAGTATCCAAAGAACAAAAGAATCCCAGAAATAGTTAGTAACTACAAAACCCACATACAAAAAAAAAAGAGTTACTTACTCTATCAAAGATTCCTTGAGCAAGCAAGTGAGAGAGAATTTCAGGAAGAACAAAAAACAAAAGAGAGAGAAAGATTGACTTTGGGATTCAAACACTCAGAAGAAGTAAATAGCTGACAGAAAACAAAAGATTTAGTTTGTTCTGTTTTCAGTTAAAAAGAGGCTGTTTGGTCTCTGTTTATTCGTACACAAACACATAAATGATGAAATAACAAAAAAGCTGTGAAAAATTCTTTTGCTCACAGAGATGATATTATCATCACCACTTCTTTTTTCTCTCTCTCTCTTTCTGGACACAAGTAGGTGATGAAGGGTAGTATTACTCTATTTTAATCTCACCATGTGGGCGTGCAGAATCTTTCCCAAGAACAAAGTGGACCCGTTTTATAGCATCCAATTAGATCTCTCTACTGTTCTTCTAATATTCACACTTCATTTTCTTTTTATAAAAAAAAAACCCCACCTGCAGTAAAAAAGAAAGAAAGAAAGAAAAGATCTTTTGTTTCTGTGTTTTCTTCTGCAAAAGAAAGAAAGATGAGAATAGAAAGAGATGGAAAAAAAGAGAGTTGAAGTTTTGGGTTTTAAGAGCTGAGATGTTTGTTCTCTTAATTATGTAGTTGGTGATCTCTTGTTGAGATTCTTTTGCTTCGTTCAAACTTTGCGATTAGTATTTTTTATAAATTAATTAGATATATAATAATTATGGTTACGTAAGCGATGTGTACTTTGTTCTGTTTCGTTGGTTAACATTTGATCTGTATCTCAATGAGAGAGGGAGAAAGATTCTTGCACAAGACAATGTCTGTCATGTTGAACAGGTTTCATTAATAATTTTGACCTTCAAGATTCTTTCTTTTAACTTATCACAAAAACAATAATCCCTTTGTGACCTCAGCCCTAGTTTTAAAGTATTAAACTGTTTTTTATTTGTTTTATTAATTGTTGTTACAAGTTTGAAATTTTCTTAAATGCCCTTTGTATAAATAATGACTCTTATTCCTCTTTCTTTTGGTTTTAGAATTTCCCATGGTGGTGTATTTAAGTCTCTATGTATGGATGTAATATATATATATATATATATATACATGCATACACATATATATATATTTATAAAAGAATGCGTTAAAATAATCAGCCAATAGTCGCTCTTCTTCTATAAGATTGAGTTTTGTATTGATTTCAGTACAAAAAGGTTAAAACTATGTTATATATATTCATTAAAATTGTAAACTTTAATGCTTTCTGAAAGTTAATTCCATCCTTTCAAATGGCGTCCATGTGAGTCCGATTCATGGAAAAAGATAGTGAAATAAGTTTTTTTTTTAATTAAGGATTATAAGTATAACATATGATTCGTTCACTAGCTGATTAAAGCGCTTTTTCTAAAATAAAAGTTTCACACACTAATGAATTATAGCAATTAACCTCTTCTTTTGTTTGTCTAAGTACAATGATACGTACTTTTCATCTTTCATGATGGATTGATGGCTATAAAGTGTAATCATTTAGGAATTACTTGAATTATCATAACAAGTGTTCTTTAGACATTTGACAAGGAAAAATGTTCTTAGAATTGAAATATTACACAGTATTATTACACACATTTACATAAAATAGAATGAACAGATATGAGATGCGCAAAAATTAGAATATACTTAAACCAAAAAAAATTAGAATATACAGATCACATATTACAGGGAAAGCAAAATTGTTACTGAGTCACTTAAAAATCACATAGTTGGCTTATGTAATTGTATACGTTGGAAGTTAAATGTGAAACGTATCAGTCCAAGTGAAAGATAATATGTTTCTTTGCAAAAATGATGGTAAAGTGGGTTTTCACTTGGTCGAAAAAAAACAAGTGGCTTTTCACTTTGTTCCTCACCACTAGAAAGGCCTAGCTATAAGTGTAATAGACTAATAGTGTGGCCAATAAATCTATAAGAATATATAGTTTATATTTTAGTTTGGGTACGATTATCCACATACAAAACCATGTTTTGTTTACTATTTGTGGTTTAAAGCAATTAATCACAAATTTGTGTGTTTATCAAGAGTTTAAAACTGTAGAAATGCAAGAATTAATTCATCCCTAATGATATTCTCTATGTCAGTACCCCCTTGATTGGGTTCAACTATGTGCATGACTTTGGGAGTTAGAATGTAGTCATGTGACCACTATAGCCTAAATGACATGAATCATTTAGAATTATTTTCGAAAAAAAAAATTAGAAATCATTTTCAAAATGGATAACATCCAAACTTCCTCGAGTTGTATATATATACAGCAATGATTCAAAATAGTACTTATCAGTTTACCATTGTTTCGAAATATCACTTTTAAATCATCTTTGTATATATGTTTCTTAGAACGAGACGTGGTATATATTAAAGCAAAGTTTTGGAAAAAACAAATTTGATCTTAACTTTCGGATTTGATTTTGAAACCAAAGCACTTTATTTTGATTTTTTTTTTTTAATTATAGTATCTTTTATTTGTGCGGTAGCTAGGCATTGGATTCCTCTACTATAAATAAGAAGAAGCATTTTCTGCAAACACACCAACATATATATAAAATTGGAGAAGATATCATGTTGAAACAAATAAAGAAATTTAAAGAGAGTTTTAAAATGAAGTATCGACTATAAACGATTGCGAGGGAAGAAAATATTTTGAAAATCCAACTTTAACAGAGGTTGTTGACATTTTTATGGTTAATTTTATTTCAGGAGTTTTTACAATTTTTCTTATTGGGTATAATGTACGCATAATAAGTTCTTCCTGCGACTTCATAACATGTAATTTATGAATATCAAGATAATGAATTCATCGATCCAAGTCCAACTATACGGCAAATCCATCATCCAATTCAGACTTTCACACATGTTCTTCTCATTTGATCAACTCTAAAAATCATATACATATTAGAGAATTATTAACGAGTATGTGTATTATAACATAATCTAAAATAATCTCCAAAGGGTCAGGTTTCAGAAATATAGGTTAAGTTAAGCCACTCTGCTCCAAAAAGTAAGGATCAAACGGCTCTCAGTGATCTGAGGAGCCATCATCTCTTCATCATCGTCCGATTTCCGACTCGCCGCATCCAAGAACTGACTAATAAAATGGTCAATAACTATATAACCCCTTACTTTAATCTCCATTAATCTCCTTCTTTTTGTAAATATATACTCAGTTGGAATCCTCGTGTTCATGATAACTTATATGTTCTCTCGTATACATACAATTAATTAATCAATTTACTAATTATAAGAAATATACTGTCGTGCACGAAATCTCTCTCTCTCTCTCTCTCTCTCTCTCTCTCTCTCTCTACAAAAAATAGCACCAAAATTTCTCTTACTGAAATTCTTTGTCTGAATCCAGCAGGCCCTACACATGTCGCTTTTCTGGAAACACTAGTTTCACTCTTTAGTTGCATTATTTACGCTTCTTATTAATTAGACTTAGATGAAAGACTTCTAAGTTCTAACCAAATTTCAAAATCATGAGCGTCATGTATTGTATATGTGCCTGTATGTGCATGTACGTGCAAACTTGCTAATATAAATTAGCAAGTGGCACTAAATCTATAAGGAAAATGGTAATTAGTATGTAACTACTTTACTAATTATCTCGTAAGTACTGATTGTTTTAAAGCTACTAAATTCACATAGATAATACTATAATATTTCTGCGAAGGAAAGCCCGCGATAATGGAAGATGATGTCACGCCGTTTGTTGTTTTTTAAAATGAAAGGCAAGTGATTTAAGTATTATTTTTTGTCACCCCCTTGTGGCATCACACTAGAAGTTAAAAGAGATAATTGGATTATATACTAAGAAATTGCTATTTTTGATTTTCAAAATAATAGTTTGATTAGGTGTAAAGCCTGGATTTGAAGATAAAATAAATCCCGCTCAGGAATCCACTTAATATTTGCTTATTAGTCTAATTAATTGATTATGGTGTAATATGTGCATATAAATAGTAATATATGTTTTTCTCTTAAAAAACACAATGACGTGCTTCCCACATAATTACATCTAGCTATACAGTATATAACTATATATACATACTTAACTGTATGTTGTACCAAGAATCTCACTTTGATTACCTTCTTCATTTTCGGATCTATATTTAATTAATAAGTTACAATTAACATTACTTAAAGACATAATGTCTAGTCAATTAAAATAATGTAACAAAAATTAATATTTTGTTTAATTTATGTTTTCTTTATAAAATTTAAGATAAAAAAACAACATCGTATTGCAGAATCAGCTAGCATCAGCAATCAGGAATCGTCAAATTATTCATTCAGATATATTTGTTGGATACCTATCTGACATTTTCTTATGACGTCGCTCCAATTAATGTCTATGGATCATATAATAGTTCAAGTTGTAGTTCTGATTAAAAATAATATTTTTAGTTTTCAAACTTGAAGCTTGTTAGACTACTAAATATTTCCCCAATCATAAAAATTGCTTGGAAGATTATGCTTCTGCAAAAAAAAAAAATGGATATATCTATTAAAATGGAGTATATATTTAATTATTATGTTAAAAAGTATTATCTTATTTTCTCTGAGATATTATTATAGTGTAGAGAAAAACTATTTCTCTGAGATTCTGAATCTCTGATAACGGTTTGTAGCAATAAATAGTTTTTCACACTCTTTGATAATATTCTAATTAAGTTTATTGGCTAATATCTTAAAATAACTTTTGTATATATATAGCTAAAATTGAGATGCAGGAATCTCTAAATTTACTGTTATGTTGCTTGTCAAATAATTCAATAATAAATATATTGGATATATTTACCTGAATGTCGTGGTAAAAGTAAAAGAATTGAGCATTTTGGAGAGAAACAAACTAATTTGAGCATAGTTCACCGTTTTCTTTTTCAAGGGGGTGTTTTTTAAAGATGTAAAGAACGTGTAAGGAGATAAATTGGTCAACTTCACCTTACGTAAGCCCTTTAGATCTAGAGTAATATAACCAAATGAACAACATATAAAATATTATTATGATGTATCAACAGGTAAATATTATATTTGTCAACATGATGCAGATGCAGACATATGAAATGAATCACATATTTACGTGAACAGTTTTACCGTATTTTATCTCACGCGCGTGTGGTTTACACGACCCCGTAGAAACCAGTTAAGAGCTATGGAGAGAGATTTATCTTCGATATATGCGCAAAAGGAATTTGTTTGATAAAAAAAAATTCTTGAACTAGATTTTACATTTGTTTTGATAATATTGCATTTTGCATATTAAGTTTTAATAATTTTTTAAAAGAAATCTCAGGGGAAGATTCTTCTTGTTATTTTTTATGCATTTATATACTAGCAGGCATCGCTGTAAACGATAATTATTGTTATTAAAAAGAGTTAGTAGTTGAATATTTTACGAAGGTTGTGTGTCGCACTAGTTTGATAGTGTTTCTGTGGGACAATTGATTATATAATTGTTTAATAGATTCGAGAAGATTAATTGAAAACTGTCTCGGATTAGGGTTCGTGCATGTTGTAATTAGTTCCGCGTGTTTACCTATAATGCATCTGAATCTTAGATTAGATATATGTTAGTTTTTTAAGATTCAATCTTAATCTTAACTTTATATATATGTCAAAACTAGCTGTTTATCGTGGATTTGATATAACACGAAGATTCTTTAGCGGAATATGATATAATGAGATCGTGGTGAGTTTGATAATCTAAAAGCCCAATCATCACGTCAACAAAAAAACCTCCCCACCGTTTTAATCGATCCTTTATTGTCAAAAAAATAAATATAGCAACTCGATCATTTTTTTTATTTGTGCGTACCACCATTTCTACTTAAACTATGTTAGTTTTCTAGCATGTAATCTTCAACATACTGTATATGTGAAGGAACTCAAATTTGTATACTTGTCACAAAAATCCAAAATCGTGTTTTCTTCTATTTTCTTTTTGTTGTATATTTTAGATTTTGCTTTTCAAATGAATACACCAGGAAAGCAGTATTGTAAATCGAAAACGAAGAATTGAACATACATATATCTTTATTACGCATACATATAGAAGAATACACTGGATACACCAAAACCCAAAATACATCATACAGATCATCAAATCACAACATTAACAAGCTTATCCTATAAATATTAGAAGCAAACATCCAATATATAACTAAAGATATATGTACTAATTAAAGTCGTAACCTAAGATCTAATGAACACCCTGATGTGTCCGAAGTAGAAGGATCGTGTGCTGTTGCAGGCACCTTCAGATCCAACGCACCACCGATGATCGTCTCCTCTTCTCTCTCCCAATGACATCTCATGTGACCTCCTAAAGCCTGACCACTCGAGAACACTCTAGAACAGATATTACACTTATGATGTCCCGAAAACGTAACGGTCTTACCCTGATGATCTTGATCACTAGATGTAGAAGCAACCGTCATAGGATCGTCAGTTACGTTTTTGATTGCGAAACATCCTTTAACGTTCTTGTGACTCGCTCTGTGTCCTCCTAAAGCCTGATGTGATCCAAACACTTTCTTGCAACCTCCACACTCGAACCGTTCACCACTGCTTGATGATGGTGGTATGGCTTCGGACAGCATTAAAAGATAAGACGCGACTTCATGGTCTTCTTCAGACATAAATGAGACCCAGTTTTGTGATCCCTGGTTTGGTTGTTTTGATGATGAAGCCGCAGTGGGGCCACGGTGGTTAGGAGGAGGATTGATGCCACGCCATTGACGCTCAGGATGACATCTCATGTGACCAAAAAGAGCTTTCCAAGACCAAAACTGTTTGCCACATTCGGTACACGGACGTGTGATTTTGGGGGCATTTGGGTCCGGTCTTTTGGGGTATTTTGGTTTTGGTGTGGATTTTGGGGAAGAGCTAGAGGATGAAGCAACGGTTTTGGTGCGTTTCTTTCTAGAGCTCTGATCGTAACTTGGAGATAAAGCAAGTTGGAGATTTCGATTAGGGAAGGTAGGGATGATAGCATTAGAAGTAGGAGGAAGTGGAAGGTGAGAATTGGGATCAGAATCGGAATGATTAGTCGTCATTGTGATCACACGTAGAGAAAGTGTTGGGAGAAAAGAGAGAGAGAAAAAAAAAAGTTCGAAGTGAGAGAAAGGGTTGCTTAAGTAGAAGAAGAAGAAGAAGAAGAGGAGGAAAAGAAAGAAGAAGGAGACGGTTACGTTGGGAGGAAGTTATGGAGGAACAGGGAGACAGTTAACTTCAGTTGAGGAACAGAGCGGTTTACTGTGTAAGGAAGACTTATCCCTTGGCAGTTTGAAACCACGTTTCTTTTTGTATCTGCTTCCATTTTGCCGCTTTTTATTTGTTGGGCCAACTTTATATCTAATGGGCCTTATAATCCAAGTTCTCCGTCAGTATAATTCTACGAATGTATAGAAGAATCTGAGACGATAGCCCAACAGTTTCACAACTTATTTAATATTCAATTTTTTTTTATTTTAATCCAACAAAAAGGTATAACAACGGACGAGTAAAGAGAGAAGGGTAACAAGTCGACATTCCCACAGAACAAATAACAATTCTAAAGAGAAAATTGTCAAAGAGTACAATGGAAGCGAAAATAAAAAAAATGAAGAGTTTTTTGAGGTAGCAATGCAGCTTTTGTATCCACAAGTGTCACCACCCTATATAAAAATATAATAGGATTAGTAATAATATTTGATTTCCATAAAAAGTAAAAAAAAAAAAACTAAAATACGATAAAAGTCAACGAACCTTTCTAATCACTGGCCGAAACTCGCCAAGAGTCTTTCTACAGCAGCGTTAACGTTGCCGTTGGTTGCACGCAACGCCCTAATGTTCTCTGCTCTGTCGAAGAAACCCATTTCCTCGAGCTGTTGCAATTGTGTGGCGTAAAGCTCTTCCGGAGGAACTGAACCACAAGACAAACACATATATGTATGTTTCAATCGAAAACCATCTCAAAGTATATTTGCATTTAAAGCAAATGGGTTCTCTAGAGAAAGTGCATCTCACCATTGGACTGGTTCGCACCACTTAAGCCGCCAGCACCAAGACTGCCAAACATATTCATCAACAAATCCAGCCCCCCGTTATTCCCTGTTCCTGAAAAACCATTGCGTGTTAACAATACTCAATCCATTGATCGAACATGACATTATCATTAAACATACAAGTGACTAGCACCATGAAAGCATCTTAACGCAATAATTAGGACACAAAGTGACGTAACTAGGGCCTGTGAATAGTGGATACACGATTAATATTTAATTCCAAGAGTACCTGTGGTAGCACCTGTTTGCCCTGGAACCCTAAATAAAAGACAAATGGAATTGATCAGCTTCTATTTATAGAAATAAAAACAGTGCTAGCTATGTCCAAGGAAAAAAAGAGAGAGAATTAACTATTTAGGTATTCACCACATCATTTGAAAATAACGCAACCCAAAACATAAACTATATATAATCACCTAAAAATTTAGCAAAGGGAGGTCTCACTTACTGGCTGGTTGTATTCCTATTCCCAGAGAAAAGTGATTGCTGCAGCGTCATCATTTGCTAAGGACCAAAAACAATTCCACCAACATTAGGCTGGAAAAACTTCATCACACTGAAATATCTTAAAGATACAGAAATCTTTTGTGAAGAAACCACATGTGTCAGAGACGAGGCTGAACAGACCTGCATTGCCTCAGGGGAGCTAAGCATACGAAGAAACTCTGGGTTCTGCATCATTTCCCTCACCTGAGGACTTGAATCCATCAAGCTTCTGAGTTGTGGGTTGAGACTCATGATCTGGAATCAAAAGATTTAAATTTTAAAAACATGTTATCAATAACAACAAAGGCCCTAGATTATACCCAATCCAGTCATTACCTGATTCATGTACTGTGGGTTCGAAAGTAAGCTTTGCATCATCTGTGACATGGCTGGATTTTGCAAAAACTGGTTCATTTGTGAGGCATCTGGAGTAGCACCAACCGTTGGATCCCCACCCAGTATTCCCAGTCCACCAAGACCTTCAAGTCCAGCAAGACCACTGAGGCCACCAAGGCCAGGAGCTCTAGTATCCCCACCCGAGTTCGTCCTTCCAGGCGCAGTTGTCTGACCTGTCAAGTAAGAGCACAAAACGTTCGGTCATCTATCTTTATTGCATTATGTTGCACAGTTCAAACTACAAAGTGCTGACAAGAAAGTAGTTTAAGAAACTGTGAGAACTACATCAATAAACTTTGATTGTGACATAGTGTCCCTTATACACGACAAGTACTAAGCAAAACGAAACTAAAACTATGAGAATATATAGTTTCTTACCAGCCGCAGCGCCCCAAGGATTTGGAAGTGGATTTGTATTCGGCACAGCATTCACTGTGCCTGTTTCAGCATTAGTTGTCGTGGGATTGTTAGAAGCATCTCTGCCTTGTGCAGCGCCCTGGTTCCCCAGGAGAGCAGCAAACGGATTAGAATCGGCATTGTTTCCAGCATTTCCGGACATCGTTGTAGCGTTCATCAACGGTTCCTGGACGTTTTCATACATACGCCTAAGCATGTTAAACCCTTCGGGGCTAGATTCGATGTTACTCATCGCTCTATCAGTATTCCGCATCATCTCGCGCATAAGCTCGGGGTTTCTCGCAGCTTCCAAAGTTTGTCTAAGGATGCTTGGGTCGTTAAGTATATGTCCGAGCTCAGGGTTGCGATCTACAAGCTCACGCATCTGAGGGTTGCTCATGATCAGGGTCCTCATTAGCTCCGGGTTGTTCATAAGGTTTTGAATGGCTGGTGTGTTCATCATGTCTCTAACCATGTTCGGGTTCTGAGCAAGCTGTTGCTGAGCTTGCTCGAGATCCTGAAGACCAGCTCCAAACAGCCCAGGCATGGCGTTCCCACTGCCCAATGGATTAAATCCAAGCCCCGGAAACAAAGATTCCCCTGCGGTATTTGGGCTGTCATTGGAACCAACCCCTCGAGTAACACTCGGTGCCGTGGCTTGGCTTCCAACATTTGAAGCAGGAGGTGCTGATGAAGGTGCAGAGCCTCGAACCATATGAAGAGCGTGGTCTGCTTGTATACCTAAAGAGGTAAAATAGTTCACAGAGAACAGAACAGTAAGGTTCTTGAGGCAAAACCGTACAAGTACTGTATCATATCTTGATGCAATTCAAAAACAATTGAAAAACGACGTCTTAATTCATGATTATATCAAGAAAACAATACCAAATTCAATACTTGTCCTCAAATGAAACCTAATTTCTACTGAGGAAAACTGGTGGAAATCAAAATGAATCCTTTAAAACAATATGTATGAATCAGAAGAGAGGAAGAAAAGAATAAAAAACATAAATTTGAAAAGTACCGTAGCTCAGGAGAGTTTGATCATCCTTGAGGATTCGTCCCTTGTAAATCAGGCGCTGCTGATTAGCTGGGACGTCGCAGTTCTGGGCAACCAAAGCTTTGAAAGACTCGACCGTGGAATCAAGGCTCGTCCTGACGCTGAATTTGGAGCCATTGGAGCACCTGACGTTCACAGAAACGACGTCTCCTCCTCCTTCGCCGCCATCAACGACGGTCTGCGGCTCATTCGAATCTCCTTCCCCACCCATTCCCGAAATTGTATCCCCCACCCTTGGATCAACAACAAAATCGATGAGGTCGTGAAAATGAATCGGGAGAAACCTAACACTAGAACGAGATTTAACGGAGAAGAGAAGACTGAGAGAGTCTCTCGTCGATTACTCTTTGTGAAATTTGGCTGAAAAGAAGGGATCGACTTTGGTTTTATTTGTCGTGTTGAACAAAGCAAACAATTTACATGAGACTGAAAACTTCTCTTCTTGTAAGATCAAGGGTCGGGTCGGGTCGGGTCGACGCTGTTCCTATCCTTCTTACATCAAAATGCGTGCCACGTGACGTGTGAAGTTTAATACGACATCGTTTCAGCGCTGTCTCCTTATTTTTTTTGGTTTAAACCGATAAACCCGTGTTAATTCACTTTTTAAATCATCCTTTGTTTGTGTCTTTAAACAACGAGAGAAGAAAAGTACGTATTCCTTAGTATATATATATATATGATTCTACAAGTAATCTTTGATTATATTATTTTCTTTGGAAAATATACATATATGACATATTAATCCTGCTGACTAGAAAAGAAGAAGAAGAAATATTAGTCCTGAGCAGTGAGTACATGCGAGGACTTTCTTGATACTGAACTCCTACGTAAATCAAAAGGTTAAGGGTTGAAAATTGAGATGGAGGTACCACATTCTAACCATATTCATAAATTCATTAACCCCAACATAAAAATAAGGGTCTTACTAAGCTTTATTGACAGACAACTTTAAATTTATGAGAGACTCGAGAAGGTAACAAGACGCTTCGATGAAGTGTGAGACAAGTTTCTCTAAATCGCTACAAAGCGGTTTCAGTTGTTTGAGGATTCAGAAACTCATGAACCTATCGGTGATCTCCAAGGGACACAAGTTTAGTAGTTAAGTCAAAACTCAAATCTATTGATTATTCCAAAGTATTGTTTATACTGCTTCATAGATCATGATATGAGCATATAGGTTCTTTGGTGCACTGGAAAAAAGTAAAGATTTAAGTGGTTTTCATTTTCCATTACCCAATTTCGGTGGAGCTTCCACACACTCAAAAATTCCCCACTCTCCCATGATTCACACTATTGATATTGGACATTTGTTTGTGCTTTGTTTCCTAAATTTTTACCCTTTTTAATTTTTTTTAATAGCTCTTCACTTTATCCGTAAAATTTTCTTCATCATGCGTTCTTGTTAATCTTTCTAAACATTACAATGATAATAAGAATATAAAAATTTTGCTTTCGTGGTGTACATTTGTCTCTACCTCTCTCTCTTTTAACAGGGTTTAAGTTTGCCTATTGGACCAAAAAAAAATCGGAAAATGCCATAAGCATCGATAGTTATTTTGTTTGGAGGTATAAAATTGACAAATGAAAGAATAGCCCCATAAGTATGTTTGGAGTTATGTGGAAAATGTTTAAACATTCAAGACTTTGTCGATTATCAAAGACCACAAATACAATAACATCACTTTTCGTAAAGAAATTGATCAAAACAATGAAAAGAAGCGTTGGATCATGGTTCGTATTAAAAAAAGAAACGACAAAAAAGAGATTAAAATAGTTTATTGGATGATGATTTCAGAGATTAATGGAAGTATTATCCAATTGGAATACTCATACAACTCGATGACCCAAAAGCTACTTATTTATGGGTTTTTTGGTTAATGATTTCATTAGCCAATAGATGCCGCAAAAAAGAAAATTGATTTCATTATTAAAGATTAACAAAAGACTATCATTAGTGTACTGTGTAAGAAGATATTTCTTTCTCCTCCTTTTCTTTGGCTGGGAACAAATATGGTCGTTGCTGCGTCAACTTGCAAAAGCAGAACAAAGAGTTTTCAAGCTCTTGCTTGACAATGGCTCATTATGTCAGAATTATCGATGTCGACAGACGTTGATTAGTCTATGTAATTTTCCTTCTTAACCTTTCCTCCGCCTGTAAATGTGCCCACTGCATGAATTCCGACTGTGAGTAATCAAATCCTTACCCATTATCAAAAAGAATTAAAAAAGTAATCAAATCCCACCAAAAAGTTTGCAACTTTCCCAAATCTTTAAGCATACCCACTATTCAATTTCCCATTTTTTGGTTGTTGAAACCCACTCGTTCGCTCTTACCTTTTCGGTTTATTATATAGCCCTCTTGCTTCTTCCTCATGCCTTTCTCTCAGCTAGATTTTTTTTTTTTTTTCTGTGCCTGACGAATCTTCTTTTTTAAAAGGATGGTTTTGGTTTGGGTTTTGGCATCTCTGCCACTAATTCCTTGCCAAGCGTTGTCTTCTCTACGTTTGAGGTAAGGGTTTAGTCCTCGTGACACTTTTTTTTTCTTTTAGTTCTGGTGAAAGCTACTTTATTTGCTTATCTTTCATATTCTCTTTGTTCATAACAAGTTTCTAGCTGTCTCTTATGTTACTCTTTGCTCTGACAAAAAAAAAAAGAAACCTCATTTTGATTCGGTTGAACTGGCTCACAATCTCTCATTTTGTGACTAGTGATTCTAAGTATTTTTGGGAATTCAGTCTCTCTCAAGGTTTTGGTCTAATTGTTGTTTGTTTATATCAAACTTGGTGTTTCAGGAACTGATTAAGCCAAAACAATGTTTTGGGTTTTGGTTCTACTGAGCGTCATTGTTCTTAGTGGTGATGGGCTAATCTCAGAGGGAGCTTCAAGGCCTCGTGATGTTAATGTTGGAGCAATCTTTAGTCTTACCACTTTATATGGCCAAGTTGCAAATATTGCCATGAAAGCTGCAGAGGATGATGTGAATTCCGATCCTAGCTTCCTCCGTGGTTCCAAATTGCGTATATTGATGTATGATGCGAAGCGTAACGGATTCCTCAGCATCATGGGAGGTGAAGAAATATTATCTTGTTTTAAAATTGATTCTTGTTTTGAAACTAAACTTTTACTTAACGCTGTTGTGTTGGTTTTATATCACAGCACTGCAATTCATGGAGACTGACGCTGTGGCTATAATTGGCCCTCAGACATCAATTATGGCTCATGTTCTGTCTCATCTTGCAAATGAGCTTAACGTACCAATGTTGTCATTCACAGCTCTAGACCCTAGCCTTTCTCCGCTCCAGTTCCCGTTCTTTGTCCAAACAGCGCCCAGCGATCTCTTTCTGATGCGTGCCATTGCGGAAATGATAACTTACTACGGTTGGTCTGACGTGATTGCATTGTACAACGACGATGACAACAGCAGAAACGGTGTAACATCTCTAGGCGATGAGCTCGAAGGAAGGCGCTGCAAGATCTCTTACAAGTCGGTGCTTCCTTTGGATGTGGTGATTACGGCTACGAGTCGTGGTGTGATCAGAGATGAGCTGGTCAAGATTCAAGGGATGGAGTCTCGGGTAATCATTGTGAACACATTCCCTAAAACAGGTAGGATGATCTTTGAGGAAGCCAGGAAGCTTGGCATGATGGAGAAAGGCTATGTCTGGATAGCTACAACTTGGTTGAGTTCTCTTTTAGATTCATATAAAACTCTAGTTCCCAAGAACATTGAATTTATCAGAGGAGTGCTCACTCTTCGCATTCACACTCCAGAATCAAGAAAGAAGAGAGATTTTGTGGCACGGTGGAACAAGCTGAGTAATGGAACCGTCGGGTTAAACGTTTATGGACTCTACGCTTATGACACTGTCTGGATCATTGCTCGAGCTGTTAAGAGCCTTTTAGATAGCGGAGCTAACATTTCCTTCTCCAGCGACCCGAAGTTAACCAGCTTGAAAGGAGGGTCACTGAATCTAGGTGCATTGAGCATATTTGATGAAGGATCACAATTTCTTGATTACATTGTGAAAACAAAGATGTCTGGTGTTACAGGTCCAATAAATTTTCTTCCTGACAGATCGATGATTCAGCCTGCATACGACATTATAAACGTGGTCGATGACGGGGTTAGGCAGATAGGGTACTGGTCTAACCATTCTGGTCTCTCTGTTACACCTCCTGAGTCACTATACAGTAAGCCTTCAAACCGCTCGAGCTCAAACCAACATCTGAGCAATGTGACTTGGCCTGGTGGGACTTCTGTGACGCCACGTGGGTGGGTTTTTCCTAACAACGGGAGAAGGTTGAGAATCGGTGTGCCCAACAGAGCAAGCTTCAAGGACTTTGTGTCAAGTGTCAATGGAAGCAACGAAGTGCAAGGGTATAGCATTGATGTCTTTGAAGCTGCGATTAAACTGCTTTCTTATCCGGTTCCTCATGAGTTCATCTTATTTGGAGACGGTCTCAAGAACCCAAACTTCAATGACCTTGTCAGCAATGTCACTACAGGGGTGAGTAAAAAGGATCAAGATTTCATTTAAATAAAGCATTATCTAGAGAAATGAGAGTAACAGAGTGAGTTTTTTTTCCATGTTCTGGTTTCAGGTATTTGATGCTGTGGTAGGAGACATAGCGATTGTTACAAAACGAACAAGGATTGTAGATTTCACTCAGCCATACATAGAGTCAGGGCTTGTCGTGGTTGCTCCTGTGACAAAGCTAAACGATACTCCTTGGGCGTTCTTACGCCCTTTTACTCCTCCAATGTGGGCTGTAACAGCAGCTTTTTTCCTCATCGTTGGATCAGTAATATGGATTCTTGAACATAGAATCAACGATGAGTTCCGTGGGCCTCCAAGGAGACAGATTGTCACAATTCTCTGGTTAGTAAAACAGTCACTGAGGCTGCGCTATACTGAATGTGTTGGCGTATACGAATACCTAAAGACCTCACAAGCTCTGTTTCTTTTTTCATGCAGGTTCAGCTTCTCGACGATGTTTTTCTCCCACAGTAAGTTCATATCGAAGCTCTAGCTAGTTATTAGAGTACCTGTGTATATTTCTTAACATATTTCTGCAACTCAAACTTGCAGGAGAGAATACAGTGAGCACACTTGGGCGTGTTGTGTTGCTCATCTGGCTTTTTGTGGTTCTGATCATCACGTCAAGCTACACAGCGAGTCTTACATCGATTCTTACAGTGCAACAGCTTAACTCACCGATCAAAGGAGTAGACACACTCATCAGCAGCAGCGGGCGTGTTGGGTTTCAGGTAGGTTCTTATGCTGAAAACTACATGATTGATGAGCTTAACATAGCCAGATCCAGACTCGTGCCACTCGGCTCTCCTAAAGAATACGCTACAGCTCTTCAAAACGGAACTGTCTCTGCAATTGTCGATGAACGCCCTTACGTTGATCTCTTCCTCTCTGAATTCTGCGGATTCGCCATCAGAGGACAAGAATTCACCAGAAGCGGCTGGGGATTTGTGAGTACCCTTCTCATGAAAATGTCTCTGCTGACTTGTTTAAAACACTCATCTTGATCATCTTCTTTGCGTTTCTTTTTGTTGTTTAAAAGGCATTCCCTAGAGACTCTCCATTAGCAGTTGACATGTCAACAGCGATCTTAGGTCTATCAGAAACAGGGAAGCTTCAAAAGATCCACGACAAGTGGCTTTCGAAGTCCAACTGCAGTAACTTGAATGGTTCAGAGTCAGATGATGATCCAGAACAGCTTAAACTCCGTAGCTTCTGGGGATTATTCCTTGTGTGTGGGATCGCTTGCTTTATCGCTCTCTTTATCTACTTCTTCAAGATAGTCCGCGACTTTTGCAACCACCACAAGCCTGAGGAAGAAGAAGTTATAGCACCTTCACCAGAAAGGTCGAGTTCTAGAACATTGCAGACGTTTCTAGCTTATTTTGATGAAAAAGAAGACGAATCCAAAAGAAGGTTGAAGCGTAAACGGAACAACGATGATCTATCTGTAAAGTCTTCTATACGAATGTGACAGATCCCATCATCACTCAAGCCATCTTCTTCAGTGGTGAAGAATTGCAGACATATACATATCTTATACGTATAGTAATTTTGATTATACTTCAAGAAATAACCCTTGAAGTAATAGGGAACATTTTTAACCCAAAAAGAAATATTGAAGCATACATAAACTTGTAAGACAAAGCTCAAAGCTGTTATAAAGAAATAACTTGGCTCTTTTTGTCTTCTCTAGTTTGTGTTTGAGAAAATGTAAACACTAGTTGCTCATCCGGTTTAACTACCCAAACCGAGGTGCATCCATACCGAAATCTGAACTAGAAACCAAAAGAAATTGATTTGGTTTTATTTTCAAACTGTAATGGAAACTGAACCACACCTAAAACAATTAAAACCGGAATTTCTGTAATGAAATGACAAAGTTTAAAACCTATAAAAACCGAAATTTCCTTATATAAATCTCTCAAATTAAAGATGTATTTTTCTGAAAACCAAATGCAAATTGAGAACAAAACCTTTCAAACCGATGCCAAGAAATTAACCGGAAGATAACCAAATGTACCGGTTGGGCTTGGTTCTTCTAGGTTAGTGTTTACTGAAAAATATTTGGATATTTGGTAAATGGATCTCCACCTCTATAGTCACCAGTTTGAAAACCATCAAAGAACACTATAAAATTAGGTCAGTCACATCACTTTGTTCATCTGCGATTCTCTTTGGTCTCGTTACTGTTGTATTGTGTTCAGATAGAGATTTTCGAATTTTCCTCAGTTCAGTCAATGGCGGCCATTTGTTTTCAATCTCCTTCCAAACCCATTTACAATTTCCACTCAAAGTCAAAACCTTCATCGCCGATAATCGCTAAAGTCTCCGTCTTTAGATGCAGAGCTTCCGTACAGTCACAAAGCCTTGTCGTCGCCGAGCCAGAGCCAGTTTTCACCTCCGTCAAGACTTTCGCTCCGGCGACTGTTGCGAATCTCGGTCCGGGATTCGATTTCTTGGGATGCGCCGTCGACGGTATCGGAGACCACGTCACTCTCCGTGTGGATCCCGCCGTTCGTAACGGAGAGATTTTAATCTCCGAGATCACAGGAACCACGACTAAACTCAGCACCGATCCACACCGTAACTGCGCTGGAATTGCAGCCATGGCGACGATGAAGATGCTCGGGATACGATCGGTTGGTTTATCGTTAGCTTTGCACAAAGGACTTCCTTTGGGTAGTGGTTTAGGTTCCAGCGCGGCCAGCGCCGCCGCAGCAGCTGTTGCTGTTAATGAATTATTTGGCCGGAGATTAGGAAACGACGAGCTGGTTCTCGCCGGATTGGAGTCGGAAGCGAAAGTCTCCGGTTATCACGCAGATAACATCGCGCCGGCGATTATGGGCGGATTCGTTCTGATCAGAAGCTACGAGGCGCTTGACTTAAAACCCTTGAGATTCCCACCAGAGAAAGATCTCTTCTTCGTTCTCGTCAGCCCCGATTTCGAAGCTCCCACGAAGAAGATGAGAGCCGCATTAGCCGCAGAGATTCCGATGGTTCACCACGTCTGGAACAGCAGCCAAGCGGCGGCGTTAGTGGCTGCGGTTTTGGAAGGTGACGTGGCGAATCTCGGGAAGGCTCTCTCGTCGGATAAAGTAGTTGAGCCGAAGAGAGCACCGTTGATTCCGGGAATGGAAGCTGTGAAGAAGGCGGCTTTAGAAGCTGGAGCATTCGGCTGCACCATAAGCGGAGCTGGTCCAACGGCTGTTGCGGTTATCGACACGGCGGAGAAAGGTGAAGAGATCGGAGAGAAAATGGTCGAAGCGTTCTTGAAAGCCGGAAACTTGAAATCTATTGCTTCCGTGAAGAAACTTGACAAAATCGGTGCTAGACTTATCAAAAGCATGTAATTTTCCAATTTTCAGAGTTCTCTCTTTCTGGTGATTGTTTTTAATTTACGGATTCTGCAAATGGTAAATGATAATAAAGAGATTCGTAATTGAAAGTTTGAAACCTTTTAGTTCTCCCCACATGAGGAAGAAGAAACAGAGAGAGAGAGAGATGATTATTACTGCACAAAGTAGAAAGACAACAACAAATCCACACGAACATGAAAACATTACAAGCTTGATCTCCTGTCTTTTAGTTTCTCAGTTGGTTTTGTCAGCTTCAGCTTGTCTAGCTCCAACAGAGAAGAACTCAGTGATGACTTCGAGTGGCATGCCCTTAGTTTCGGGGACTTTAAGGTACACAAAGACCCATGAGATGCAACAGACGATCGCGTACATTCCAAACACACCGGCAAGTCCAATGGATTTGAGCAGCACAGGGAGACTGTAAGTGACGATAATGTCACAGATCCAGAAAGTGAGGGCGCAAATGGCGATGCAGATTCCACGGACTCGAGTTGGAAAGATCTCTGAACAGAGGATGTTTGGAGCAGGACCGAAACCCATCACGAAGAAACAGAAGTAGAGAACGACGCTTATGGTCGATAAGACCGCGTGCACCATGTTGTTCATGTCAACTAGATTCGAGATTACTAACACTAGTAGAGATGCTATCAAGATTGGAATCGTGGTGAGCAGCAACGTCCTGCAAAAACGCAACATTGTTTTCATAACAAATTTCAGCTTCTTTCGTTCAGTGTATCAAGAACAGAGGAAAGTTTTAAGTTTTTGAATCACCTTCGACCAGAGAGATCCATGAGCCTCATTGCAACAGCTATTGCAGGTAACATCACAAAGGTTGTCAATGCACTTATAAGTAAGGATGCAGAGGAAGAACTAATCCCCAGGTTGGACAGTAGAATCCCAACACCTGCCTGCTCTAGGATTTGAGGTGTGTAGTAAAGAACTCCATTGATCCCTGAGAACTGCAGAAATACTTTTAAAGTTATCATAAACAGCAGAAGTATACATTGTAATGTACATTACATTGATGCCTCTATCTAGATTACCTGCTGAAGTATCTGAAGCCCGACTCCAACGAATAAAGCACGTTTGACTCCAGGATCATGAAGATCATGCCATATTGAGGCTTTAGCTGTTTCGGATGGGTGAACCATAGCAGGACCAACTGCATGTTCTCTGAGAAGGTCTTTGGAATAAAGAGCCGGTTGGCTAACCAAAGCAGCAGCTTGCACAAAATCTGTCTCACCGGTTCCGTCACCTCCGGGCAATGAGACGATGGAGCCTCGTCGAGATCCCGGGAAGCCTTCTTGATGCAAGTAAATCCTCTTGAACCCGCCTTCTTTCTGTCCCGACTCATCTTCTCTTTCAGTCCATTTCCATGCCACTTGCCATCCTCCTCCAATCCCCATACTACCCGGTCCTTCCCCGTGAGCTCCCTGCACTTGGCTTCCATGTCTGAAGGTCGAAAGAGTTCCAGGACCAGTCTCCATGTCTTTCTCCATGCTTGTCGTTTGGCGTGAGATCAAAGGAGAATGAAGATCATCATCAGAATCCTCCCCACGGTCCGACGGATAGTCCTCACCTTCTCCAACGAGATTCTCCTCATCCCATTCCTCATTCCTCGGTTGACCTCCCATGCTGAACATACTCCCGAAATGTGGGAACAAGGCACTCCTCATGCTTCCAGTGTCAGGCATCTTCTCGTGAACGCTCCCGAAGAGCGTGACAAGAGGATCAATCAACGAGCCTTGCCTCTTGCTCAGTGTACTTCCATGGCGAGACATAATGCTCACAGTGCTTCCTCCTTTGACTGGCCTAGCAACCCAAGTCAGGCCTTCTTCTGCACCATACAGCTTAATTTGATCCTTGTCCACAGCTAAATCATGATCATCACCAACTTCATCCGCAGGACCGATTATATATTCCTCTATCGTTGTTTCACCTCCAATCCCAAGACCCTCAACCAACAAAGCCATCTCACCTATTTCATTCCCGCATAAAAAAAAACATTCAATATAAATGAAACTCTTCTTCATCAAACAAAAACCAGAGTCAAGCTAATCAATTTAAGACTAACCAGACACATCTTCCCGCCCACGTAGTCTCTGCAGAACCCGCTTTGCTTCAAGCATTCGACCTTTGCTCACGAGCCACCTTGGGGACTCAGGCAAGAAGAAGATTGTGAGGAAGAAGAAGACAAGGGAAGGGACGAAGAGGACACCAAGCATCAATCTCCAGCTAGGAGAAGGCATCAACGACATTCCGAAAACCATACAGTAAGATAAGAACATGCCTCCAGAGCCAGTGAACTGGGGAAGCGTGTTCAACAGTCCCCTGATCTCAGGAGGTGCAGTCTCAGATATATAAATAGGAACAAGTGTGACCACAAGACCAACCCCAAACCCATCTAACAACCTGCCTAAGAGCAACACATAAACGTTTGGGGACCATAGCATTACTAGAGAACCAACGAAGTAGAGAATCGAGGACAGTATTAGCATCGGACGGCGACCAAGCCAATCAGCTACGCCTCCAGACCATGTTGTGATCAGAGTAGCACCAATTAGTGACATGGCCACAATTAGGCCTTCCATTGATGGATTGCTCTCCAAATTAAACTCTTTTTTTATGTACAACACAGCTCCTGCAGAGACCCAAAAGAAAGCTTCAAAATCCATCACACAAGCAAAAGAGATAAAGCTAAAAAAGGATGAAACGGGATCTGTGAACTGCATCGAGTAACGATAAAAATCCAGACTTTATCGATCCTGAGATTCATAAACAGAGTTATGGATTTCGAATCATAACAATCAATCACCTGCAATTGTTGCGTTATCCCATCCTTGTAACAAGTTGCCAACAGCAGCAGCAACAGCGACAAGCACAGCTCCACTCATGATTCGTCTCTCTTCTCAGAGAAATCTGAAGCGAATTCCGCAAAACAGAGTCACTGATCAACGACGAGTGAGGCAAAACCCACCTGAAAATCGAAAATTAGACAAGCCCTGGTGAGCAAAAGATGAACAGAGAGATAAAAGCCAAAAAAAACATGACCTAAGAGTATAACAAACCAACTGAAACAACAACAACAAAAGAAACCTAGTGACGTAAAAAAAGACACAGACCCAAAGGAGTGCTGGAAAAAACAGAGGTAATTACCCCAAGATATGTCAAAATCCAAAATAAGAATAAAAATTTGACTACTTTTTAATCGCTTCCAAGTAGCAGAAGAAAAAGAAGAGAAGAGAAACCAAAGAAAGCGCGAGAGAATAATGATATATAGAGAGAGATGAAAACTAGGGTTTGCAAGCAGAATAAGCCACTACTATCAGTGATGAGCCGCTTCAATGGCGTCACTCCGCAATCAAAAAGCATTTTTTTTTTCTTTTCTTTGCCCTTTTGGTTAAATCAAAAAGAAAACGAAAGATTTGAAGGTTTTTCAAGTAATCTATGGGTTTAAAAATAATACTTTGGCGAAAGTACTGTGAACAGAGAGCCTATGGGATCAGTGACACCTGCCGCTTTGCTCCTGTCCTCTCACACCACGTATATGCTCTCTTCTCTCTCTCTCTCGTGTTTGCGTACAGAAAATTTTCAGAGGATTTTTAAAAGACCAATAATCATAAATTTGTCATCTTGTCGATTTGGGTCCACGAGTTTGTACATCATTCATTCTCACCGTTAATAAATTCACATTTCTCTCGACATGTTCTTCTTACCATCTTGGCAGGGGCACTCATGAAGTAAAACTGTAAAAAGTAAAGTTATTTTAAATTAGGGTTTACATGGGGGGTGAAATGGTATTTACGTCTATCAATATTTTTTGACTTTGTCTGCGATATTATGTGTGTCTTAATCAAAACTAATGAGTTTCTTGTCGACTGTCGACATAATTGGGGAAAAGGTTTGTACTTTTCGTAAATATGGAAAAAAGTATAGGATTGGTTTTTGAAATCTTTGAATTCTTGGGATCATACGAGAAATAAGAGAAACATTTATAATTTTAGAGTTTTCTGAAAATAAAGTTATTGGTAAAGTAAAAGTTTAGTTTGTTTACATCCGAAAAGCATCTTCGAATCATTTCAACTTTGCATAATTAATCGGGAAAGAAAAAAAAATCAATAATAGAGAATATTGTCCAAACACAATGAGACACTTTTTAAGTCTATCTTAGTTAATCGTGAGTCGTACTCGTATGATACAGAAAAGTTAATACTTACTTCCTCACCTTAACATTTTGTATAAATTCAGTTTTATAAGGAGTAACAAATTTGATCAACAAAAAATAAATTTTCCATTGGCTTGCTGAAAGCCTGAAACAACAAGTACAGAGTATCTATATATAGTTTTTTTTTTGTTCAACATCTATATACAGTTTATCATACGAAACTTGATAGTATAAACCAAAACATATACAGATTTGTTAAACGTCGTTGTTGAAGTTTATATATATCATATATGACCGTAAAGATTACCAAATGTATTCGTAAGAAAAAGGATTACAGAACATAGGAAAATATCTGAACTGGTTTATGAGTATTTATGACTTTTTTTCTAATAACTTTTGAGTACGTATATACATTTTTTAGATGATTTTCCGAAAAAATAAGCACACAATAGAATCTTTTTTATATACTATGAAAGTTATAGCATATATAAGATTCTTCTGTCTACATCCTCGGTTCATCATCAATGCAGCTTAAATTCCGTTGAATGAAGAGAAAACGTACGCACCACCATCTTCAGTAGTTAAGATATTTTTCAGTGGACAGCAACATCTAATAACATTTTCTATTAAAAAAGAAAAGGATGATTTAAAGAGCTCAGAAACGTTATGTTTGTCACCAAACTAAAGTTTAATAATGCGAAAACGAAAGTAACAAAGTTTGAGATCGAGAGATCTAATAAGAGCAGAATTACGAAATTAGCCAGAAAGGTTGATAAATATATAATATATATATTAACATATAATATAATTAACAATATTTTCCTTTAAACTCATTATTGTCTTTGCAAATGTCAAATGCTGTCATAGTGTTTTATTTCCAAAAAAATTCAAACCTCTCTAGCATATTCTACATACATTTAAGTCATTAGATTTAGAATCAGCTACTAATACATATAATATGGCACAAACAAACTTCATTTCAACTTGATAATAATACATTAAGTGTCTTATCGTGTCTATCGACAGGGAAAGTGATGATGCTGCATCTGAATTCTGATGTGCGTCTCGACCAATCAGCATAGGCCCCTGTCCCGTGATCGCATCGTGAAGGTCAGATTCAAAGGCAGAACTACTCGGTCCGGTTTAACTCGTTGGGCTTCCGTACCTCAATGAGTCTCTTGGGCTTTATCAATAATGGTCATCAGCTTATAGTCCAACATAGTTGACCCAACAAAAATTAATTTTCTCATCTACCAAAAATACTAGAAAAGAGGAATAATGCAAAGCGAAGAAGGTAAGAGGAAAGCGCGTAGAGTCAAGTCAGTCAGAGAAAAGTAGCTGTTGAGCACTAAAGAGAGTCTAAGAACTTTCTTCGCACAATCGTCGCCGTAAAAGAGAACCCGCACACTCTCATCCAACGAATCTAATTGTCCGACCAGTCTCTCTGCAAACTTCAAATTAAAAATCTAATTTTTATTCTACTTGAATCTCGAATAAACCTATTTTTATACATAGTAGTATTTAAATGGTTAGCTTTCCCTGCTGGAAATAACATTAAATATTGTAGCTTTCCTCTTCTTGCTCGACTTTCTTCTCTGTCTCTCAATTTTCTCTTTTGCTTTTAAACCAGATTCCTAATCCATTCATTCTCTCAGTCTTCTCTTTCACCGTTCTGAACTTCTGATTACTGGTAAGTGGCTACTAGATCTTCTTTTTCCTTTGCTTTATTTCATTTCTCTGTTTCTGATTCCTATTGAATCTAAGGAAGCTCTGATTTGACTTTTCAGTAGCTCTTGGTTTTTGTCTTTTTTTTTATTTTTTGGTTAATTGGATATGCTTGATCTGAAAGTGGGTTTTGCGAGTTTCTTCTTGTGATTGTTAAAGCTCGTTACTTTCTCTTTTAGTTTATTGGATGTGGTCTGATTTAGGTGCTTTGACTTGTCTTTTTCTCTTTAACAGAGTTTTGGAACAAAAATCTATGAACAGTTCGTTGGATGAAGAACAGAGAGTGAAAGTTGCTGTCTTTAAAACAGGATTTGGTATTTCTCCATTGTTTCATGGGCAATTCATGCCGTGGATCTTTCAAGGACAAAATCTACGAGGGCGATAACGGCAAGCCCGAAGATAACTCCAAGAACTCTACCACCAACGTTTCTTCAGATCGCTCTAATTCCGACCACTCTCCGACCAACAACAACAACGCTTCAGAGACCATTGCTCAAGAATTCTCCAAAGAAGCTCACAAGAAGGACGACAGCAGCAAAAACCCACCCCTTCTTATTCCTTTAAAAGAACCAATCATGAGGCGTAACATGGACAATCAAGCTTACTATGTTCTCGGTCACAAGACGCCAAACATTCGTGATTTCTACACGCTGAGCCGTAAGCTAGGACAAGGCCAGTTCGGGACGACTTATCTCTGTACAGAAGTCGCCACGGGCGTTGACTACGCCTGCAAGTCGATATCCAAGAGGAAGCTGATCTCTAAGGAAGATGTGGAGGATGTTAGAAGGGAGATTCAGATTATGCATCATTTGGCTGGTCACGGAAACATCGTGACGATTAAAGGAGCTTATGAGGATTCTTTGTATGTCCACATTGTGATGGAGCTTTGTGCTGGAGGCGAATTGTTTGATAGGATTATTCAGAGAGGGCATTACAGTGAGAGGAAAGCAGCTGAGCTGACTAAGATCATCGTCGGTGTTGTTGAAGCTTGTCACTCGCTTGGTGTTATGCATAGAGACTTGAAGCCTGAGAATTTCTTGTTGGTTAATAAGGATGATGATTTCTCACTCAAGGCTATTGATTTTGGACTATCTGTCTTTTTCAAACCAGGTAAAATGTTTGAACCTAAGTTAACGTTTTGCTTAACTAGACTGGTCGAAATGAAACTGAAGGAGCCTGTAAAATGTGGGAACTTGTTTGCTGCTTCTAATTTTGGTTAATTTCGATCTTCCTGTGGCTTTTTTCAGGTCAAATATTTACTGATGTTGTTGGGAGTCCATATTATGTTGCTCCTGAGGTTTTGCTCAAACGTTATGGGCCTGAAGCTGATGTGTGGACTGCTGGTGTTATACTCTACATATTGCTGAGCGGAGTCCCACCGTTCTGGGCAGGTAAATGTGATTGGCGTTTCCCTCCTAAGCCTGTTTCTTAGTCGTTTAAAAACTCTCAGTCACCTGAAAATGTGTATTGTTTTTTGTCTGTTATGGAATCAGAAACACAGCAAGGGATATTTGATGCTGTGTTGAAGGGATATATCGACTTTGATTCAGACCCGTGGCCTGTGATATCGGACAGTGCTAAAGACTTGATCCGCAGAATGTTATCCTCCAAGCCTGCAGAACGCTTGACCGCCCATGAAGTCTTGCGTATGTATTCATTTAAGAAATGGTTACTTTTAGCAACATCTATACAAAGCATTAGTAGACTTATATGTCTATGTGTTGTTTCTCTTTTTTTCTCAGGTCATCCATGGATCTGTGAGAACGGTGTTGCACCAGATAGAGCACTTGATCCGGCTGTTCTGTCTCGTCTCAAGCAGTTCTCTGCAATGAATAAACTAAAGAAGATGGCTTTGAAGGTGAGTTGAGTTTGTGTATTAACAACCCTTTATCTTCTGTAGGGTCTCTGTGTCACTTCTCATGAAACTGTCTGTGTTGTTCTTTTTTTTCGGGGTCATCAGGTTATAGCTGAGAGCCTCTCGGAAGAAGAGATTGCTGGTTTAAGAGAAATGTTCCAGGCAATGGACACTGATAACAGCGGTGCAATCACCTTTGATGAACTCAAAGCTGGGCTGAGGAAATATGGATCGACCTTGAAAGACACAGAGATTCATGATCTAATGGAAGCGGTAAAATCTTAAATCTTGCTTGGCTAAAAAAACGACAAAATATAGTATTTGTGTGTGTTATAATGCGGAGCTCTTGTATCGACAGGCTGATGTGGACAACAGTGGGACAATAGACTACAGTGAGTTCATTGCAGCGACGATTCATCTGAACAAACTGGAGCGGGAAGAACATCTTGTCGCTGCGTTTCAGTACTTTGACAAAGACGGAAGCGGTTACATAACAATCGACGAGCTGCAACAAGCGTGCGTTGAGCATAGTATGACCGATGTTTTCCTTGAAGACATCATCAAAGAAGTTGATCAAAACAATGTAAGACTCTGTTCCCACATTCTTCTCTACAAGACTAATGTCCACGGATCAGATGTGTAAAAAGTTTCCTGATTTTGTTTTGATTTGATGTTACAGGACGGGAAGATTGATTATGGTGAGTTTGTGGAGATGATGCAAAAGGGAAATGCTGGTGTTGGAAGAAGAACGATGAGAAATAGTCTAAACATTAGCATGAGAGATGCGTAGAGGTTTGTTTTCCTCCGTGTTTGATCTGTTTGTGACTGCAAAAATGTTCCTTCTTATTTCATGGATCAACAATCTCAATGCTCACCACATAGAAGGAGAAGAAAGAAAGACCAAACCGGATTCATTTCTGTGGATGGTCGAGCTGATGTTTTAACGACTGTGTCAGCAGTTTTTTTGAGGTTTTGCCTTTACCTCTTTATTGTTTGTATGTTTGTTTTGTTATCGCCATTGTTGAGTTAGTGGACCTTTCTTCATCATCTTTCAAATTGTTGAAAACTTTGTTCAGTCTTTATCATTGTAAAACGAAAAATGTCTTTATGTTTGTGTGATCTCTAAGCATTTTTACTTTAAAAAAATATCTTCTTCTTTCTAGACGATCACGACCTTTCATCCATCTCAGACTACACAACACAGCTCGATTTAAATATGATATGTATGGGAAATACCAATGGCCTTTTGATGAGGAAGATGATGAGCTAACAAGTCTCAATCATATGTGATCAAAGTGCTTTTCCAAAGTATCTATCTTTAATCTCAAATAAAACCAAAACTCAAGGCTGTTCGAAACAAATCATACATTGGCACCAATCTGTAATTTGGAACATTATATACCAAAACCATTTTATATATTAAACATATGAATATACTTTTGTTTGACAACCCTCTTCATATTCACATGCTCTGTAACGCCGCAACCTTTAACAGAAACTATTTGTATCTATTTAATTCTATTGTATTCTTCATATTGATTAAGCTACCAAATTTTTTAAACTCAACTTAATTAATTTTATTTTCACATTTTTTTGACATAATTGTAATTTCCCTTAATTAAACATTCTTTTCTTAGTACTATAATTTTAAAAAATATTTCATCAAACAAAAAAGTTTATCCTACACCGACGATATTTCTCCCACCGACAATGGTAATGTCGGCCACATCACATATGCATCTCAGAAGCAACCGAAGTTCGTGACCGTTAATACTTAAATACTGCAGTGTATTTTTACTTTATTCGAAAACAATTTAGCTCGTCTGTGACATTTCTTAAACAATGTCATATATGATATATTTTCATTGTTAGCATCAATTTTTATGATCATCTATAGATTAATACAAGAAAAACCAGAATTTCATGGTTTTGGCGCGTAAGAATATTAAACAAAATAACAGGTTTCTATATAATTGCATGGTTATTGAATTACAAAATACAACTGCACAAGAACATGTAAAACAAATCAAATAAATAAATTGATTAAAATCTAGGCAAATTAATAACTATAGCAAAATACAACATCAATTTTTTCCAAAAACACATTATACATTACACTCCAATCGATTTTGATGCACGAGAATAAAACCGAAGATATTTTCAGAGACAGATCACGAAATCTCAACCGTCCGATTTCGATAAGAAGCGAGAATCATTATCGTTGACGCTTGTGCTTGCAGGAGAGAGGAAGAGTGTCGGAGGAAGGACCCATGAGATTGCGGATCTGAGATCGGAGCTTGAAGAAGACGTGCATTAAGCTTCCTCTGTTTTGAGAGCCAATCGATTTAGCTTCGTCTTTGTTGAGCTCGAGATCTCTGATGAAAATCGGTTTCCTGGAGAGGATCCATGACCAACCCCATTCCCACCATTCTTTCACAGAGCTCCCTGCTTGCTCTCCCATGGCGGAAACCGATTTGGATCTCGGGAATCGAGCCGCGATCGCAGCTGGTTGGCTCGAGAGATTGAGGGAGAGAGAAGAGAGACGACGGCGGAGGAGACCAGGCTCATCGTCGGCGGCGGTGGAAGCGGAGGATGAGGAAACAGGGCGTTGAGAAACGGGGAGAGAAGTCGGTTTACGAATCTGGAGAGTCTCCATCATTGAGCTCATTGCTTTTGATTTCTTTCTTCCTTCTCGTGTAAACAGAGATTCGAGATGAAGAAGAAAATGAGTTTTGAAGTAAGAGAGGAAAGAGAGAGAGAGAGAGAGAGATTAGTGGTGGGAGGTAGTGATCACAGCTCTAACACAGGCTGGGTTTTTATTCCGCTTTTTTGTGTGTGTGTGGGGTCCATTTACTTATATGCCCAGCCAATTACATGCATTTGTTTATTTTTGTTTGTTTAAAATTTATAAAATATTTATGTTTATTGTTGTTTTGTATACTTACTTATTTTGTGTATGAATGCACCTACAAAATAAGAAGAAAACACAAGATTTGATTTTTGTTAAATATATTTGTGAATTTTAGATAAACATCGTTTTCCAGTAGGGTTCCATCACAACACAGCACAAATTTTTGAATTTTGCTTTTCTCGGTCCAGAAAATGTTTTTTTTCACTCTGTTTTCTTTCCTTTAAAATTTCGGAAAATGTAGCAGCAGCTGTCCACAGATGAGTCTTATCGTGTGTAGGGTTAAGGCCCAATAGTTTTCAAGCCCAGGAACAAAATAATAAGCACTTTTTTTTTTTAATTTGCCAACATTTTCATCTTTTAGCTTGAGTATGTTCGGAGCAGAGATCACTGAGATCTGAGAGCTTGAACAATGGAATACCGGAAAATCAAAGATGAGGTTCGTTGCTTTCGTTCCTTTTTCATCTCTTTCTTTTGCTGTCAATCTAGGCTTCGACTCTCTTCTAATGCTCAATTTTAATACTGAGCTTCAGGGCGATCATGACGTCGCTTCTGATATCGAGAGTTTGAAGGGGAAGTCTCATACCGGTGAGTTTTTATTCTTCTTCTCAATTCCCACTCCTCTTGTTCGTTCTCTGTTCTCATTGGTGCTGCGATTTGCCAGTTGCTTCGACTAATATTGCCATGGCTACTCTGGGTGTTGGATCGGGTGAACGGATCAACTGGAAACGAAAGTAAGCTTTTTTTTTTCTGGTTTAATTTTTTCATGGGGTTAATACGAAATTTGTTTTTTTATTTCGTCTAAGTTTCTGTTGTTGAAGCAGGGGTGTAGTAACATGTGCATTGACGATTCTGACGAGTTCACAAGCGATACTCATCGTGTGGTCGAAGCGAGCTGGGAAGTATGAGTATAGTGTTACAACCGCCAACTTTCTGGTGAGTTTAATCGCTGTATTACTCTCTTATTGAAAATTGATTGATGCAATGTTTGTTATAAGCGAGCAACTGTTGTGTTACTTCTCATTTCTGAATCAAAAGTTGTAATCAGACTAATACAGTGAGATTGTTTAACATCTTTGGACATCAGGTTGAGACTCTGAAATGTGCGTTATCTCTGCTTGCATTGACAAGGATATGGAAAAACGAAGGTGTTACTGACGACAATAGGTTACGTATTCCTCTGCTACTCGATTTGCTTATGTATTTGCCATTAGCATCATCTTCAATTAGTTTCCTTTAAGTTATAAAAGGCTTTTGGTAGCTTAGAATCACGTATTATCTTTGGGCCTTAGAGGACTCACCATGCATTTCTTTGAAAATGACCATGGTGTGCTCATTGAGATTTTGCCTTACTGACACCCAAAACCTGTCTCTGAATCAGGTTAAGCACAACATATGACGAAGTTAAAGTCTTTCCCATCCCTGCTGCTTTGTATCTTTTCAAAAATCTGTTGCAGGTTGGCTTTATTGAATTCTTTTGGCTTACGTCATGTAACTTTTGATTTCTGTGTGAATCAGTTTCTAACTACTTGTGATGTAACCTTTTATGTGGCAGTACTACATTTTTGCATACGTAGACGCCCCAGGGTATCAGATATTGAAGAACCTGAACATCATAAGTACTGGTGTATTGTACAGAATTATACTGAAGAAAAAGTAGGTTGTTTATTTATCCAGATGGATTTCATAGCTTCCAGTGAATTGCTGTTCTGAGAATCCATAATTTTTCTGTTATTAATTCCCATCAACTCTTTCTCTTCTTGCTCAGAGCAAAAACTTCTTGATTTCAAAGAGGCTCTGTTTATTCAGTTTGCTGACTAGCTTCTCTGACAGATTGAGCGAGATCCAGTGGGCGGGATTCATTCTATTGTGTTGTGGATGCACCACTGCTCAGTTGAATTCAAAGTAAATTTGGCTCTTGACACTTTTCCCCTTTATTGACTGCTATCAACATGAGTTTCATTGCTTCTTTCATATGATTCATGTTTTTGTCTATACTGATTTTTCTATTACACAGTCTCACATTTGAATTTGCTTTTGCAGTTCTGATCGTGTTCTTCAGACATCTCTTCCGGGCTGGACTATGGCAATTGTAAGTTGTTAGCCACCTTAGCATATTAATATATACTTGAGTTGTGAAGCTTCTTCCATGTCCACACCAATTGACATAATCGTTTGTCGTTGTTTATAGGTTATGGCGCTCTTAAGTGGTTTTGCCGGAGTGTACACAGAGGTGAGCTTGTTAGGACTTTTCACTTAAAATACTCAAAGCTAGCACTGATTTGCTTTGTTGTTTAAAACAGTATATTATAGAGCTAAAGGGTTTTGCTTTCCATTTGGGCAGGCTATTATAAAAAAGCGGCCTTCAAGGAATATAAATGTACAGAACTTCTGGCTGTATGTCTTTGGGATGGCTTTCAATGCTATTGCTATAGTGATCCAAGATTTCGATGCCGTTGCAAATAAGTAAATGCAAAACCCATCTTTTAATTTGCGTCATTCATATTGACAGATTAGTATTGCTGACGTCTCCATTGAGATTTACTTTCCTATATCCACACACTTGTCCATATTTAGTAACCAGATTACTCACTCTTCATGTACAATTAAAGAAAAACGCCACTCATGTTATAGTCTTGATGTCAGAGAGTTCATTATTTTCTGCTTGCTGAGTAATTATGCCGTTATGTCTCATCTGCTTTGTTTTTGAATATGCCGGTTTTCCATTTTTTTCAGGGGATTCTTCCATGGCTACTCATTCATCACAGTACTCATGATTCTTAACCATGCGCTCAGGTAAAAAGCTACTTCTAAGGCCATACTATTCTCTTAACTCTAACGTAAGTTAACAAATTAAAACACTATTCTATTGTTTGTTTTGCAGTGGCATTGCTGTGTCGATGGTGATGAAATATGCAGACAACATTGTAAAGGTCAGAAATTCGCAACTGCATATATTTATTCGCCAGCAGATACCCTCCTAAGTAGTGACTTCAGTACACGGGGTTTTAACCTTATCAATCTGTATGTAGGTTTATTCGACATCAGTGGCGATGCTTCTCACAGCGGTTGTCTCTGTATTCCTATTCAATTTTCATCTTTCCCTTGCCTTCTTCCTTGGTTCCACGTAAGTTAAACCGTATTTGCCTCTGTCAATACAATCATCTCACTTTTCTCACATCCAAAATAGCCAAACATATGTGCTGATGTTCGCGTATAAAATGCAAATACTCTGTTTCCTCTTTGCAGGGTCGTCTCTGTTTCGGTATATCTACATTCCGCTGGGAAGCTACGATAGTAAAGAAAGATCTCTATAGTCTATACTTCAGCTGCCAAAAACAAAAGTGTGCCTTTATTCTAGCACAGAGATAAAACCTTTTTTTAACAATTTCGATTTTGTATTTCCTGTAGCCTGTAGGGTAAATTCACATTCGTACCTCTGTATTCATTTTCCCCTCATTTGTACGGAACCCAAAACTATCAAAAGCAGTATAAATTTCAGAAATTAAGCTCTTAATCCTCCCTCCGGATATTTTAAATTACATTTAACTGGTTGAAAGAGAAGCTATTGCATTGAAAATTGCACGCTTAGAGCTAAAGGCAAAACTAAGAAAAGATCCAACCGTGAAGACTCAGAGACCGGCGTACTTGGTTTTTAAATTAATCCTTGTCTTTGCTTCAAAGCCAATACTTTGAGACTTTGTCTTCTCCCCCACTTGTATATAAACTCTATGCCTCCTCTACTCTCTTTCACACCACCACTTCCTCTTCTTCCTCTTCTCTCGGTGAAACAGCTTCAGCTATGGCTTTTTCTGCACCGTCACTTGCCAAGTTCTCTCTTTTGGTCGCCATTGCAGCATCAGCCCTCCTCTGTTCTGCTCTTGCCCGTGACTTCTCCATCATTGGATACACACCGGAGCAGTTGACATCCACTGATAATCTACTAGAGCTCTTTGAGTCATGGATGTCAGAACACAGCAAGGCTTATAAAAGCGTAGAGGAGAAGGTACGAAGGTTCGAGGTGTTCAGAGAGAACCTGATGCATATAGACCAGAGGAACAACGAGATCAGCAGTTACTGGCTCGGTTTGAACGAGTTTGCGGATTTGACCCATGAAGAGTTCAAGGGAAGATATCTAGGACTCGCAAAGCCACAATTCTCTAGAAAGAGAGATCCCTCTGCTAACTTCAGGTACAGAGACGTCACAGACTTGCCTAAATCCGTCGACTGGAGGAAGAAAGGTGCTGTGACTCCCGTCAAGAACCAGGGTCAATGTGGTAACGTTTCTCTCTTTCATCTTTCTTGATCTCAAGTAGATTATATAACCAGAGATCTTTACAAAAAAACTTTATTATGTCATTTTCAGGTAGCTGTTGGGCGTTTTCGACAGTTGCGGCTGTTGAGGGGATTCACCAAATCGCAACAGGGAATCTGAGTTCGCTTTCAGAGCAAGAACTCATAGACTGTGACACGACTTTCAACAGCGGTTGCAACGGAGGTCTCATGGACTATGCATTCCAGTACATAATCTCGACAGGTGGTCTCCACAAAGAAGACGATTACCCTTATCTCATGGAGGAAGGAATTTGCCAAGAGCAGAAAGTAAAACAAACACTGGACACAAACACATGAATCAGAACTTTCTGTGATGCAGCTTATAAACATTCATGAATCTTATTTCTATATAGGAGGATGTCGAGCTTGTGACAATCAGTGGCTACGAAGATGTTCCAGAAAACGATGATGAAAGCTTGGTGAAGGCTTTAGCTCATCAGCCAATCAGTGTGGCTATTGAGGCTTCAGGAAGAGACTTCCAGTTCTACAAAGGGGTATATAATATAACAGATGATTCTGATATCTACGCTTTGTGTCTGTTTATCTAAGCATTCTTCTCAAAAAGTAGACTCTTGTGATTACAGGGAGTGTTTAATGGGAAGTGTGGAACAGAGCTAGACCACGGTGTAGCTGCGGTTGGGTACGGTTCATCAAAGGGATCCGACTATGTAATAGTGAAGAACTCATGGGGACCAAGATGGGGAGAGAAAGGGTTTATTAGAATGAAGAGAAACACAGGCAAACCAGAGGGACTCTGTGGAATCAACAAAATGGCTTCATATCCTACCAAGACCAACTGAGTTATATCTATATCTTCTGCATCCAACTTTATTTGTTCTTTCAGTGCATTTCTATTGTTTAAAGCACATCATATTGTATTGATGAATTTGAGATTTTAAAATAATATGGTCAAAGTTCTGTTGCCTCTTTCTTGCTTATAGTCCTCTAAATGCTCCAACTTCAAGAAACTTTGAAACCATGACCTCTTAATAGGATAATGTTCTCTCATGTATGAAACTTTCAAATACCATAGACATGCCAACCAGAAAGATTGGTGCTTTTGCGTGTTTTAATAAAGAATGCTGAAAGAGTATTCGATTCTAACATCTGAATGCAGGGAGAGTAGGGATTTGAATCTCTAACTTACAAAGCCTAACAGTTTTTCATATAATAAAAACTGATTTGGCTGGTTCAGTGAAAACGTGGGCGGTGAAATGTAATTAACTCTGAACTTCATTGTATTTGATGACACAGTCATAAAGCCGTCCTCCCAGAAACTGTGCTACTTCTAGATGCTTAACCTACATAACAAACAAACAGACCAGAGAAATGAGGAAAACAAGAAACCCAACAAAATAAATTAGTGTAACACTGTGAAACTACTAAGTTAGTTCATTACCATTCCAATCTTGAGGGAATCGCACTTGAACTGAGCATAAAGGTTTGTCTCTATTCCACGTCCCTGGCACAGAACAATCTACGAGTCAGCTTTACAGAGAGTTGAAACCTTAAGACTAGACAGCATGTGAGGAGGGGATGAACAGGTCTTACCATGCCTTCCAATATGACCAAGTCTGCATCCGTAGAAAGGTAAGCAACCTCCTGTGATACTCTTGCAAGATCAATAACCTGCAACAAGTACAGAAAGGGAGAATTTTTATTTGTTTGATAATCGCCAATCAATAAACAAGTTCATTAATTCATTTTATGATAGGTTTGGACTTTGGAGTATCGTACCGGCAAGTCGTTCCCTGAATTTGCAATCAGAAGATTTGTGGTATCAACGCCCATCAATTGTCCGTTTTCATCCTTGAGCTGGTAAAATTAAGACTCAGTCAGGGTCGAGTTTTCTTTAATCTGTAATGGACGACAATACCAGAATTACTCCATTCAGCACCTTTGACAAGATCTCTGCAAGCTCGATGTAAGTTACATCATTGATAGATGGAAGCTCATTAGCAGCCAGCACCACCTTCAAAGGGAAGAAGCAAAAGCAGGAATTTAAAAATTAAGAACTTCTCACATTCAGAAAGTCAATATAGAAAACACTAGTGTCCATAATGACAGGACATAGAAGCAAGCACCTGCATTCCCCGACGTAGCATTTCTCTAGCAAACGGCAAGATACCCAAAATAATGTCTGCACCAGAGTTGTCGACAAATATCACTGCCTGTTCATGAAAAAGGGAAAAAAATCAAACAAAATCAGTTTGTCCTGTGATCAAACTCTTTAAATTAGGATAAAGTATAAGGACAGCAGCAGCAGAAGAAAAAAAACAGAGTCAAGTTAAATGACTGACCTTCTTCCATGGATTCTTGATCCATCTAGCTTGAAAGCTGTCCAAGTCATCAATGACCCATGGCCGTAAAACCAAGTTTTGACAGCTAGCCAAGAATGACATCCCATCCTTTGAGAAAACCTCGGCAAGCTTCAAGATGTGAAAAAACAAAACAAAAGATCCAATTCATGAAGATACTCAACAAAAGAGAAGTGATGGAAGCGACAAGGCATGAAAGGAAAGAGGTGATATATACCTGAGCAGAACCCAGATCAAAGATGTTTCCAGCGAAAATCCCTCTAACGAGATTCTCTATGCGCTTTCCTTCATCTTCAATAGCATCACTCAGACGGACAACTTCAGGAAACAGTGATATAGCCTTTGCATTCTCCTCATCCTATAACAAGTTCACCACGAGCTCAGAAAAAGCGTACAAAGAGAAATGTCGCCATATCCTCGTCAGAAACTCATACCTTAACTTTCTTGAATATGTCCCTAAATCCCAGTTCTCTGAGTATGAGCTCACGGATTCTGCAGAGAAGCTGCACACAAACTAATCCATGAACAACAAAAAGAGCATCATTTTAGTTGTAGCAAGGAAAGCGTTTCAACTTACAATGCAATCTGGTGGCCCACCATGGCTCTCCGGATCTTTCTTCAAGTCCTCAAGGATCTCCGCATACCTTCCAGTAGGTCCCAAAGAGAGAAGTTAAACGTAAAAACTGATACTTTCGACTGAAACAGTAGGCTCTTGTAGCAGAATCCTTCTGAAACAACACACAAAAGCGTACCTTTGGGCGAATTTTTCAGCTCGAACAGGAGCATCTGGAACGGTTGTATCGCTCTCTGCACGATCCCTGCAACAAAACAGAAAAATAAAAACACAAACTTTATGCTAATTGAATCCGCTAGATCAGGGATTATCTAGTCTCCAACAACAAGAGTTTCGTTATCCGGATCAGTAGACGGGTAATTCGAGAAAACAAAACAAAAGGTAAAGAGAGGGAAGGAAATGGAACTTGAAAGAAGGGATGGAATTGAGGAAGAGGTCGATCCAGGAGATCTCGGTGGGAGTGGCCTTCTTGGGGTTATCGGAAGGGAAGCGATAAGGAATGGTGCAAGCCCTGTAGTTTGATTCTATCGGAGTCGGTAACAATGGCAACGCAACCATCTCCGAGTCGCTCTCCATCTCTGAGAATCAATCTTTCTCAATGATACAACAGATTCCCGAACTTGTTTTGTTTGTGTGGCTATTCGTTTATTTTGGTTCGGTTATCTCTAATTTCTTGGTTATTTTGGTTTGGTTATCTTAATTGATTCCCTGTAAATTTTCACCTAAAACAACAAAGTTTCCTCGTACACTACGAAGAGGTCCAGCTGCTGAAGTGATGATCTCTTGCGTTGGAAAAGAATGCATCATGTTCCAACTATTTTGTGGTCGTAATTCTTTGTCTCCAAGCATTTTGGAACAGAAAATTACAAACACATAGAACATTATGCATTCTTGTGCAACACAGAACATCATCATTTGACTAGTTAGACCTCATTTATTGTATACAAAGAAAAAACTTTGGTGCTCTGTTCCTCTGGATAAAATATTTCTACCTATTCTGCAAAAAATTTTGGATACTCTGTAAGGACATCTCTAGTTGTTAAAACTCTGTGAGAGTATCTAACAAAAAAATATATAAATTTTTAAATTATAAAAAAAAGTAAACCAATCATAAAAAGGAAACATGTAGAAGGGTTTATTAAAATGGTTAAAATCGTTTGTTAAAACAGAAACTAAAAAACGCTTTTAATACTTTTTTCTTAGTTTTTATTATTTTATTAATTTTTTTTTTAAAACATTGTGTTTAAAAACACCCGATAGAGGTGGTCTAAATATTACCTCGAGGGAATAAAATTTTACAAGTGTGAGAACAAGAAAATTAACTTTGAGGAAAGAAGGTAGTGAAGACATTTGAGCGTAGGGGGAGGCTCATTTTATAGCCAAAGAAAGTCACAAGTTTAATAATTGAGCAACTAATTGCATTTTTTCTAATAAAAAGAAGAAAATTTTAATATGCTAAATTTGCCATCTTAAATGAAATTCAAAATCAAGAGTTTTGTTTTTTTAATATCCGTATGGAATTTTATAATCATTTTATAATCATTTTGCAAGTTAGTCAAAACATTTATGTCCTAATTAAAACTTAGACGAAAATTATACTTTAAAATAAAATATTTCATTTGTGGCTTTGCTGTATTAACTTTGTATGTAATATTGTCTCGATATTTCGTAAATTTTCGTTTAAGTCATGTTCCACTTCCACCCTGTTGCTAAACCGGAATAGAAAAGTAATGTGTTTTTGTATTGATATGAAACTTGAAATCAAAATCGAAAAATGACAAGACGAGACATTTATAAAAAATCATTTTAAACGCGACAGCATGACATTCTCGGAGAACGATATTCAAACATCAAATATCAAAACATAGCATGCCGATGCCATACTCAAACTCCAAGCAAGCAATGAGAGAATTTATGAAAGGGTTAAGCTTTGGGATAAAAAATTTACTGAAAAGAATTATGATGCTAATGATGTAGATGTGATAATAGGAGGAGATTGTGACTATTCAAACCTCATTGATGAACTAAAGGAAGATAGATACACAACTGGTGTGATTTATCAACTAAGCGCAACTACTTTCTTGCTCTCAGAATTGTAAGATTTCATTCACTTGTGAGTTATGAATACAATTTTGTTCATTAGTTTTTTTTTGCTTATGAAATTGAGTTGTTAGATAAAGTTTTAATGTAATTTGTTTACTATTATTACTATTTATGATTTTGAATATGCACACAAAATACACCTTTTCTAAATCTACGTAGAATATACAAAATGTTGGACTGGCTTAGACTTATGTATACAAAAAAGATTTTCATATGAATGTGTGACAGAAAACTCATCATTAGCGTCAAAAACTTGCTCGAACTTGAGTCATAAGCCTAAATTATACATATTATCTTCATCTTCTTGAGGTATCCCAACCATCCTCTTTGGCTCTTTCAATCCACATGTTTCTTCATCCTCTTTCCATAAAGTCTCATTGTTAAAATCGTCAATTTTAAACTAGAAAAAACTCAATAAAAAAATACATTAGTTACATGCATGTTGTCATTTTTTTTTTCTCCCTTTTTAGTAATAATAAAGATGCATGTTGTCAAATGTCAATTCTTAGTAATTTACCAATTATCGATAGACTTCAAGAGAAAGAGAATTTAAAATTCTCTAGTTGCCGATGACAAAGGCAGGAAGGGAAAACAAACTAAGTTCGCCAAAACAATTCATAATTTCAACCCAAGAGTCACTTATTGAGATGATCCGATATACATGTTAAAACGTTACATCTTCCTTCCATCAGCATGCTTGCTTTGGAAAACGTCGACCAATGAAATGTCCATATATTACATATTTTTGTATAAAATGACCAAGTATTGCGATTATATATGTGATGTCCTTACGGTTTCACACTGTATGTATATAATACTATATCACAAAGAGAATTTTGCAAAACAATCAACGTCATATCATTATATTCTATGTCAAGAGGGGAAACTGTCATTGTATTTGGCCTTTGGACACTATTTTTGTTTGGAATAAACCCACAATAATCTATATAGCCTATGGTTTGGTAAGGAACCAAAATAATCATTTGACTAGTACTTATACAAATCGGATTAATTTATGTTCGCAGTGGATTGATTGGTAGAATGACAAGTGATAACCGAGATCCGGAGACATTTTTTTCTTTTCCTCTTTGGTCCGAAATCAACGGTTAATAATACATCCAAAATACATAATCATCTTCCCCCATAAATACAAATATCACATGGTCGGAAAATAATCACCTACAACTTAGTACTATAATCGAATCAAACTAACCAATTTTAACCAGTCGTCTTTTTATTTTTGTGGCTAAAAAACCAATCGTCTGAAAAGGACTAATTAGAATTATTCGCGAGGGGATCATAATTTCACTACCTACTACTGTTACGTGCAATTATGTTTCGATAATCGATATTACTACGGTTACGTCTCATAAAAGTCAACTAATCGACACCATTAATATATCGTATGAATAACATTTGAAACATAGATGCCATTGGGACGTGGGAGACGACGAGTGGGGCAATAATAAGACAAAGAGAATCACACGCGCCTTTCTTTTGCGCGTGAGTTACACGTTCCCTCCCTCTTCAGCAGGAAGCCTTTTACCGATTCAGCAAATCGACAAGGTATATAAATGCGATACTCTACCAAATTGAAACGTACGATCAAAGCTTCTCTCTCTCCTCTTCTTCCTTCCTGAGTTTGAAATTTGAGATTCCCAAAATGGACTAAATCAACATTCCCGGCGATGTCGACGTCACACACTCTCGGCGGCGCCACTCGCTGTGGCCGGGTGATAGGTCCGTCGTTGGACAAGATCATCAAGAACGCCGCGTGGCGTAAGCACACGTACCTCGTCTCCTCCTGTAAATCCGTCCTCGACAAGCTCGAATCTCTCCCCGACGACTTTCACGATCCTTCCTCCACCGTCTCCGGCCTCGCCGCATCGGACGCAGATTCCGTTCTCCAGCCATTCCTCTTCTCCCTCGACACCGGCTATTCCAAGGTCGTCGAGCCTGCTCTCGATTGCGCCTTCAAGCTCTTCTCCCTCTCCATCATCCGCGGCGAGATCCAGTCCTCCCGACAAGACTCCGTCCTCTTCAAGCTCGTCAATGCCGTCTCCAAGGTCGGTGCTATGGCCGAGGAGCCGATCCAGCTCGCCGTTCTCCGAGTTCTCCTCGCCGCCGTCAGATCTCCGTGCGTCCTGATCCGCGGAGACTGCTTGCTACACGTCGTCAAGACATGTTACAACATCTACCTCGGCGGATTAAGCGGCACGACGCAGATCTGCGCGAAGTCGGTGTTGGCCCAGATGATGCTCGTGATCTTCACCCGATCCGAGGACGACTCGCTCGACGTCACCGTCAAGACGATATACGTGAACGATCTGTTGACCTTCACGGACAAGAGCGTCAACGAAGGAAGCTCTGTTTATTTCTGCCAGGGGTTTGTGAACGAGGTGATGGCTGCAGGACAAGGGAGCCCTCTTCCTCCTCCCGATGTGATTCAGATTCTTCTTCAGAACCCGGAGACTGAAACCGTCATGACTCCGGATTCACCGTCATTTCGAGGCTACGGGGAAGCTGACTCCGAAGGTGGTGATATGAGCAAGATCAGACAGGACGCTTTCCTCCTGTTCAAGAACCTCTGTAAACTGTCTATGAGGTTTTCGTCTCAGGAGAACAACGATGATCAGATCATGGTGAGGGGAAAGACTTTGTCTTTGGAGTTGCTTAAGGTCATTATCGACAATGGAGGTCCTGTTTGGCGCTCTAATGACAGGCAAGTGTTGACTTTTGTATGATTCTCTCTTACAATAAGCCATTTTCTTACACTATATGTGATTCTGTTTTTCTTCTCTGAATGCAGCTTCGTCAATGCCGTTAAGCAATACCTATGCCTATCACTACTGAAGAACAGTGCGGTGTCGATCATGTCGATATTCCAATTGCAGTGTGCTATCTTCATGAGCTTGTTGTCAAAACTTAGATCAGTCTTGAAAGCGGAAATCGGCATTTTCTTTCCGATGATCGTCCTCCGTGTGCTCGAGAACGTTCTCCAGCCTAGCTTCCTGCAGAAGATGACTGTTCTGAACTTGCTGGATAAAATGTCGCAGGATCCGCAGTTGATTGTCGATATCTTTGTGAACTACGACTGCGATGTTGATTCCTCAAACATATTAGAAAGGTATTAGATTAGTCTTAAGAAGTGCAACAAAATCGCATGGCTCTCGTTAAAAAGAGTAATATATATAATGTATTAAAGCTCTTATAATTCCATCAGATAATTGCAGGATTGTCAACGGTCTTCTGAAAACTGCTCTGGGACCACCGACCGGTTCGTCCACAACGCTGTCTCCAGCACAAGATAGTACGTTCAGGAATGAGTCAGTCAAGTGTTTGGTTAACGTAGTCAAGGCGATGGGAAACTGGATGGACCAGCAGCTGAAAGTGAATGAGACGGTTTGGCCTAAAGGATCACAAATATATGCTTCTATGGACAGTAATGCAGGACAGATTGGTGAAGAAGGAACTATATCTGACTGCGATTCACAGCCAGATACTACTAATCCAGAAGCTTATGATGCTTCTATGCTTGAGCAACGAAGAGCTTACAAAATTGAACTGCAGGTCCAGTTTTTTACAAGTCCTTAACTTTTTGATTTTATATATGAGTTTTGCTTCACTGACATATAATAATCCTTCGGTTTTGCAGAAGGGTATCTCTCTGTTTAATAGGAAGCCTTCGAAAGGTATTGAGTTTCTCATAAGCAGCAAGAAAATAGGCAACTCACCTGAGGAAGTGGCTTCGTTTCTTATGAAGACAGCCGGGCTTAATGGAACCGTGATTGGTGATTATCTTGGTGAAAGAGATGAGCTTCCACTCAAAGTCATGCATGCGTATGTGGACTCGTTTAACTTCGAGAGGAAAGATTTTGTCGAGGCGATAAGGTTCTTCCTACGTGGCTTTAGGCTACCAGGGGAAGCGCAGAAAATCGACCGGATCATGGAGAAGTTTGCAGAACATTACTGGAAATGCAACCCGGATTCTTTCACAAGTGCAGACACTGCTTACGTTCTTGCATACTCTGTCATAATGCTCAACACTGATGCACACAACAATATGGTCAAGGACAAGGTATGATGATGCTTCCTTTCTTCTGATATTTATCTCTGTTTCAGCACCTCTGTTTCATGATGGTTGAAACCGCTCTGATGCCTTGTACTGATTCAATGGTTTGTTTAGATGACGAAAGATGACTTTGTCCGAAACAATCGGGGAATAGACGATGGCAAGGACTTAGCAGGAGAGTATCTAGGCTCTCTGTATGATCGAGTTGTCAAAGACGAAATCAAGATGAACTCCGATACGTTAGCCCCACAAAGCAAACAGGTGAATGGCTTGAATAAGCTACTGGGCTTAGACGGCATCCTCAATCTTGTTTCTTGGATGCAACCAGATGAGAAACCGCATGGTGCCAATGGACTGCTTATAAGGGATATCCAGGAACAGTTCCAAGCTAAGCCAGGGAAATCAGAGTAAGCACTATTGATGATATACCAGCATTATTCTCTGTTTCTTGCTTTGTAATATTCAGATATCTTATGTTCTTGGTCGGTTGGTTCCGCAGGTCAGTGTATCATACTGTTACAGATGTCTCCATCTTGAGGTTCATACTCGAGGTCTCTTGGGGACCGATGCTTGCGGCATTCAGTGTCACACTTGACCAGAGTGATGATAGACTAGCCACTTCTCTTTGCTTACAAGGCTTCAGATACGCGGTGCACGTCACTGCAGTTATGGGAATGCAAACTCAGAGAGATGCTTTTGTCACCTCAATGGCAAAGTTCACTAATCTTCATTGTGCTGCAGATATGAGGCAGAAGAATGTTGATGCTGTGAAGGTAACTCACTTTTTCTTCTTCTGTATCTTAGCCCTAACGAACTTGTGTCTTATATCTCTGCAACTTAACAATCCTTTCCCATTTTATGCAGGCGATAATAACAATAGCCATAGAGGACGGTAACCACCTACAAGGATCTTGGGAACACATTTTAACTTGCCTTTCTCGTATTGAACATCTGCAACTCCTGGGGGAAGTACCACCTGCAGATACACGTTACATCCCTAAAACAAAAGCTGAGGTAGATGAGAAGAAAGCTTTGGGTTTCCCGAATCTGAAGAAACGTGGAGCTCTTCAGAATCCATCTGTGATGGCTGTCGTCAGGGGAGGTTCTTATGATAGTACTTCGCTTGTGAAAAGCGTTCCCAAACTAGTTACTCAGGAGCAGATCAAGAGTTTCATTGCCAATTTGAACCTACTTGATCAAATAGGCAACTTTGAGTTGAACCATGTCTATGCTAACAGCCAGAGGTTGAACAGTGAAGCTATAGTAGCCTTTGTTAGAGCGCTCTGCAAAGTCTCCATGTCAGAACTTCAGTCACCAGCAGATCCTCGTGTCTTTAGCCTCACGAAACTAGTCGAGACAGCGTAAGTTCTCATTCTGTGATCTCTTATTCGTTTCATTTGCTTCTCTGGTCAAATGAACTGTTCCACTGTCTTTCAGGCATTATAACATGAGCCGAATCCGACTAGTTTGGTCCCGCATATGGAACGTTCTCTCTGATTTCTTCGTATCAGTTGGCTTGTCAGAGAATCTATCTGTTGCAATATTCGTCATGGACTCCCTTCGTCAGCTTTCCATGAAGTTCTTGGAGCGTGAAGAGCTAGCAAACTACCATTTCCAGCATGAGTTCCTTCGACCATTCGCCGTTGTCATGCAGAAAAGCAGTTCCGCGGAGATTAGAGAGCTAATAGTCCGATGTGTTTCTCAAATGGTTCTCAGTCGAGTTAGTAATGTGAAATCCGGTTGGAAAAGTGTCTTCACAGTGAGTAACACACATTTGTTCAATCCAAATGAATGTTTTTCTAGTTTCTTCTACTGGTCTATTTACAAAACCATGATTTTGTTGGGGTTTTTTTAGGTTTTCACAACTGCTGCGACAGACGAGAGGAAGAACATTGTACTGTTGGCTTTTGAGACGATAGAGAAAATCGTGAGGGATCATTTTCATTGCATAACCGAGACAGAGATATCGGTATATGCAGACTGCATCAGATGCCTCATCACGTTCACGAACAGCAAGTTTGAAGGCGACATTGGTTTCAACACCATAGAGTTTCTTCGTTTCTGCGCTTTAAAGCTTGCAGAAGGAGGACTTGTGTGGAACGAGAAGATCAAGAACAGTAACATCACAGCTTTAAAGGAAGATTCATCTGATACACAGAGTGTTGCTGACCTAGATGAACAAGTATCCTATTGGGTCCCTCTGCTTTCAGGTTGGAATCAAATCAGTTACTAGACGAGCTTACGAAGTTGCATCCTCTGCTTTTACTAAATGATTTTGAGCTATGTGTATGTTCAGGTTTATCTAAGCAAGCATCAAATCCGAGACCAGCAATTCGAAAGCGTTCCATAGAAGTGCTCTTCAACATTCTGATGGACCATGGTCATCTTTTCACAAGACCCTTTTGGACCGGAATCTTTAGCTCTATCATTCTCCCGGTTTTCAACAACATACGTAGTAAAACCGATATGCTCTTTGAAGAAAGCGTTGATTCGCCACCCTCTGCTTCTCTAGACACGGAAGACACCACGTGGGACTCTGAGACATCGACATTTGCGTTGAAGCTTCTCGTCGACCTACTCGTCAACTTTTTCGGCTCCGTGAGGTCTCAGCTTTCAAGCGTTGTGTCAATCCTCATAGGGTTCATAAAGAGTCCTGTTCAGGGCTCTACAGGATCTGGAATCTCTGTCTTGCTTCATTTAGCTGATGGATTGGCTCCTACCGCCTCTAAAGATGAATGGAGAGATATTTTCTTGGCTCTCAAGGAAGCAGCCTCGCTAACTTTCGCAGGTTTCATGAAAGTCTTGAGAGCCATGGATGATATCGAAGATGTTGAAACAGTTTCTGGTCAAAGCGTAAACAAAGAAGATCTCGATGATGATAGTCTCCACATCATGTTTTACGTTGTCTCCAGAACAAAGAAACACATTGATGTCCTGTCTCAAATCGTCGAGGTCCCCTCTCTCTCACTCTATTTCCCTCTCTTACTAAGCCAATTTCTCTGTTTTTGACGTCTCTGTTTCGTTTTCAGGTTGTGGGTGATTTATACAGTAAAAACCATTTCTCATTGTCCGCAACACACGTGGATATCCTCGCGGACATTCTCTCGTGCATCGCGTCTCACGCGGAGCAACTAAACACAGACAGTGTACTTCGCAGGAAATTCAAGAGAGCATGCTCAGTCCAAAACCTAACGGAGCCTCCACTTCTTAACTTTGAGAACGAGTCTAACAAATCCTACTTGATGTTCCTCCAAGACATGGTTACTTGCAATCCAAACGTCTCCAAAGAACTCGATCTCGAGTCTCGTCTAGTCGCTGAATGCGCAAAAGTAGTGAAGATCTACCTTAAATGCACTGGTCAACAACAACAAACTAGACTGGTTCATTGGATTCTTCCGATGGAAACAGATCGGATAGAAGAAGCAACGGCAAGAACTTCGCTGCTTGTTTCGTCACTTGAAGCCTTGTGCTCATTAGAAGCAAAGTCTCTAAAAAGGCACGTGTCGAGCTTCTTCCCTTTGTTGGTGGATCTTGTGGGGACTGAGCATTGCTCTCCACAGGTTCCGTACGTCCTAAGCAATGTTTTAAGATCGTGCGTTGGTCCTATTTTGACTTAGTCGCTTGCGGCTTAAGTTATCATTTCCTCTGATCTGTGTTTTCTTCCGTTACACGTTTTTTTGTTGGGTTTTGGCTTGTCTACCCGAATAAATTTTGGCCATAGATGTTTTATGTTATTCTCTTTAAATTAATTTTTGAGTTGGTTAATTATTAACGTAAGCTAACACGGGCGAGAATTATTCAAGACTGTATTTGGAAAGATCTGATGTCCAACTTTTTTTTATCGACTTTCTTTGCTCTAATTATTATTTTTTTAGATAAACTGAATTTGAACCCTTTTTTTTACTGCCATCATCAAATTAATGTATTGCCAAACATATGCATAAAAAATCTAGTTTCCTTTGTTACAACAGTTTTTTTAAATGGGTAATTGTTTACACCATAGATCACCTATCTGTAAAGTTTCAACAGTGTTAATATAACCATTTTGTTTTTTTTTAAAAGGAAGATATAAAGTGAGTTGCTCTTGAGTGGCTCGAGAAATTTAAAAAGGTTTAATTAAATCAAGAAAAAGGAAGAAATCCAAATGCTCATCATGTGAAAACCACCACTCTTTTCACTACAACAGCCAATGGTGAAGCCCCATTGTCTTCTTCTACTCATGACACACACATCTTTTATTTGAGCTTTACTCGTCCGATCACTTCATGACCACTCAAAAGAAAAATATTAAAGAAGCAATCCATATGACTATATGAGTTTATGTACCAGCATGGTTAATTTCCATCAGATAATATTTACTCCCTCCGTTGCAGAAATTTTGATGTTTTAAAAAAAAAATTTGTTCCACAAAGTTTAATTTTTTGGATTATATATAATCTATTTCTTTTTTCGAAAACACTTTATTCTTGGAAAGAGAAAATATACATTAAAATAACTAATATAAAGGAATATTCAAATAAAAATGTAACTGAAAAGAATAATTAATAATTGCTTCTTAAAACTTGTGAAAAATTTAAAGAATTATACATTAAGAAACGGAGAGAGTACTTAACTTACATTTTTTATCCAGACCAATTAGTTTTTTTCTAACAATATACCATTTCTACAACAGTAGAAATTATTACAATTTTTCACATATATTAAGTTGTATACAGAATTATCCCAACAACAAAACACAAATATTCCAGTCAATTTTGCTCTTAAGAAAAACCAAACAAGAAGAGTATTAATTAATATTCACTTTTGGTATGTAGAAATATAAACGTTGTTTGCATCCAAAAGTTTTTCATGATAAAATTTTCAAAAAGTTGATTGAACTCTTGAAAGCCAAAAAATGAAATGTAGGTGTTCTTAATATCTGTCCATTTAACGTGTCAAAGTTTCTAAGAAACTTGAATTTCTTCAATCTTTTAATGATGATCGATCATGTACGATATTTGGTGTAGTCATTATTTACATATAGTACCTGTTAAAAAAGGTCAATTTATGCAATTAAGAATTCGTACGAGCTTATAAACTACTATAAGAACTAAAAATATAAAAGGACTTTGATTTTACACTTAAACATACCAAAACTCATTTTCAAAAAAAAAAAAAAAAACATACCAAAACTTGTTCTTTTTTTTTACCTAACCACCACAGTTACTAAACCATATTTTTATACTGTTATTGATTTAAATGGAGAAGATATAAAACATGTATAACATTAAAAATTTGTATCTTTTTGTTGGTCCACGTTCATTAATTAAGAGTGCTTTCTTTATTTAATTCAAGAATGTATTTGGTAGCACAAAACTCATTTAGTACTTACTGTGCTTGGAGATATGTTGAATCATATACTCATATTTTAATTCTAAGAAAAAAAATAATTTAAAATTTAATACGAGGAAATTATAGATTATCGAATCTGAATCTTTTTGATTACCAAAACAAATTTCAAACAAATAGTTGCTATCATGTTACAGCAATACAATACTAAAGTATAAAGAAAATCGAATCCAAATCTTATAATTAAAATGTAATTATATTATAGTCGAATAAACGAGGACGATTAATCCGTTTTTATGTTTGTTACCGACAATAACAGTAACAGAAAGTTAGGTGGGCTATTGACATTGTCATCGAAATGAAACAGCATAACTTGACTTTGGAATAACAATCGCATTTCTTTGAAATATAAAGAAAACCAAAAAAAAATTCCATCATCATATCACCAAACCATGCCTTCGCCGTCACAAAAGGTCTCTTCTTTAATTTCTCTTTGTTTTCTTTCTTGTTTGCCTTCAGCTTTATCTTGGAAAATGATCAACACAACAATCTCTTTCTTTCTATCTCCGTAATTTCCTTCCTCAGATTCCTTCTTTTGTCTCCCCTAGAATCCATCAATCCCTTCTTCAGTCGTCAACATCTAGTTTTTTTTGCTTTTCTCGAGGAAAAGTCACTACACCATTTTACCCCGAAAAGAAAATCACTATATCAACACAAATTATTCTATAAATATATACATATATTTATATTTATGTATATTATAGATAATTTAGAAGAGAGCCGTGTTTAAATAGTGTTTTGATGCTCTTGCTTTACTCCTTTCTTTCCTTTGTTTCATTCCATTACTTCACATGAAGATCTAGATCTGGGTCCAGACAAATTTCACCGACCCTCTTTCACATATGTAGACCTCCCTTTCTCTCTCTCCTCTCCCTCACTGTTCAGTAGGGTTTTGTTCCCTTGTCGTCTTCTTGTTTTGTCCGTAACATTAATGTAAGTTTAATCAAATTCACGCAGTCTCTGAAAAACTCTCAGTGATAAACCACTACATCACTAAGTTGTCTGTCGAGACTTTTGTCTTTGTCTCTCTCTATAAACAAAAAGTTCCAAAAACCAAACCGCAGCTTCTTGTTTTTGTTATCAATGTCTGGCTATATGCACCCTCTTCTAGGGCAAGAACTGCATCTACAGAGACCTGAAGATTCCAGAACCTCACCTGATCATAACAACATGGAACTCAACAGATCTGAAGCTAACGAAGCAAAGGCCGAGACCACTCCCACCGGCGGAGCTACCAGCTCAGCCACCGCCTCTGGCTCTTCCTCCGGACGCCGTCCACGTGGCCGTCCTGCTGGTTCCAAAAACAAACCCAAACCTCCGACGATTATAACCAGAGATAGTCCTAACGTCCTTAGATCCCACGTTCTTGAAATTACCTCCGGCTCCGACATATCCGAGGCTATCTCCACCTACGCGACTCGCCGCGGCTGCGGCGTTTGCGTTATAAGCGGTACCGGTGCGGTTACTAATGTCACCATACGGCAACCGGCGGCTCCGACAGGTGGCGGTGTGATTACACTGCATGGTCGGTTTGAGATCTTGTCTTTAACCGGGACGGCACTTCCACCGCCTGCGCCGCCGGGAGCAGGAGGTTTGACGGTGTATCTAGCCGGAGGCCAAGGACAGGTTGTGGGAGGGAATGTGGCTGGTTCGTTGATTGCTTCGGGACCGGTAGTGTTGATGGCTGCGTCTTTCTCAAACGCTGTCTATGATAGGTTACCGATCGAGGAGGAAGAAACTCCTCCGCCGAGAACCACCGGAGGGCAGCAGCCGCAGCCTGCTGCATCTCAGTCTTCGGATGTTACAGGGAGTGGGACCCAGGTGTGTGAGTCAAACCTCGGAGGTAGAAACGGAGGAGGAGTTGCATTTTATAATCTTGGTATGAATATGAACAATTTTCAGTTCTCCGGCGGAGATATTTTCGGTATGGGCGGCGGTGGTGGCGGCGGAGGAGGAGATGGTGGAGGCGGAGGTGTTACTAGACCCGCGTTTTAGCGTTTTGGTGACACTTTTTTGTTGCGTTTGAGTTTGATCTCAAACCACTAGCTATAGCGGTTGCGAAATGCGAATATTAGGGTTTCTTTTTTTTCCTTCAAAATTTGGTGTGTGAAAATGAAAACGAAAGCTTCAACTTCTTTTTTCTTTGTTGTTTATTATGAATAGAATCAGTAAGTGTTTGACAAAAAAGAAAAACGAATCAGTAAGTGTTATAAAAAGAAGATATTATTTATTTTGTGACATATCTAGCTTGGACTAATTGTTACAGCATGTTCGAGTTACATGTGAATAATGCGGAGTAAATGATTTTTCAATCATAATTATTTAATTGATGTTCCACATATTAAGGCTTTAATTACTGTTTTACAACTTCTACTGTCTGGCAAAGAAGGAGAAAGAATATATTGGGAGAACAACAAAAACCCTAATTTCTATGATGTCAGCTTCAAAAAAACATTGAAACTTGAGCAACAAAAAAAGAAAGAAAAGAAAGCCTGTGCATGCAGAGAAGAGAATATGCTTTCTTCCCTATGTATGGAGCTCAACTAAATAGATATACAAGCTTATGTCGGAGAGTTTGTATTTAATAAATTGTCCATTACTAATATCTGGATTCTCTGCTCTATTTTCGACTTTTAGTTTAAGAGTTCTTTCTGCCGTATGTCTCTTTTGTTATTTATGTCTTTTGATTATGGGCTTAATTACGTTTGCATTTGCACTTTTTAATTCAACATTTGTAAAAGTTCAAAAAAAAGTATGTAAGAAGACGCAATTTCTCCTTATGATTGCCTTTGCAAGATCTGCCTTAACGATTACAAGCCAAACAATTTGACATATATGTATACTCAAAATATTAGCTCGAAATTATAAGAAAAAACATCAACGCGAAGAGAATATTAGACATTCAGACCTATATAAAGCTAGCTCTATAATATCCTCGCATATGTAATTTCTATGATCATTTTAACAGTTGAATCGAATTAATAAGAAAAAATTGTGGTCATCTATGCTAAACTTCGAATTATATGTGATTCATATGAACCATTTTATTTCTTTAGCTATATAACATATGGTTTCGAAAATAATCAAAAATATAAATAGTGTTTAGTGAGGTATAAAAGATTCATTTTTCCTTTCCTTCAATCTTTGTAAGTCTTGTCTTATACTTTATACATTACTAATTAAGAATGAGTAATTTAGCAAAGCCAAAATGGAATAATTATTGGAACTGTTTTCTATATGATTTTAAAAATGTAACATTGTCTACCAATGATCGAGAAAGAAAAAAAATTATAATAATTATTAAATTTCTCTTTTATTACGATCATATTTGTCTTTGAATTGTATTTGAACGTTTAAAGTGATGTAGATTAAAAAAGGGATAATCCAACAATATGCACCCGGCTTGGAACAAGGTGAGATTACTATTATACCCCTAACACTTGACAGTTTGAGCAAAGAAACGCATTCTTCAGAGGATCATCATCATCAGCTTCTGGAGAGCTGCTACAGATTTGTCCCCTGTTCAAGTTACGAAACCATGGTAACAATCTCTACACTCTGCGAATTTTGATCTGCCTTCGATTCTGTGCATTTGCTTTTATCTACGATTGCAGCCCCCAAAAAGAAAAACTTCTTTCGCATCTCCGATTCGTTCTTATGTTTGTTCGTCATTTCGATAATAAGCTTGATTCGATCGTCCGGTGTGTGAATTTTTCTGGTTGGATCTGATCTTCCTCCGTTTATTTACTTTCTCTTGCACCAGTCGATCGGTTGTTAGGACGTGATGTGATGTTTTTTTTTGGGTTTATCTCGCGGAGCTTGAGAATGCTATGAAATCTGTTCAAGTGAGTCTTCCGCAGATAGAAAATTGATACCTTTAAATTGAACCAAATTAAAATAGATACCTTTAGTTTTAGCTTCTTCTGGGTCTCATTTTTCGTATGTTTGATCTCAAATTTGTCATCTTTGAGTACTTGTATCGGTGGAAATTAAGATACAATTTGGAAATGTGCGACCATGAATTGCTAATGAATAACGATTATAGTTGGGTGAAAAGCATCTCTGCTCTCATGCTTTCTCCTATTGTTAGGATTTTGAGTGAAATGATCCTAAGACACAATCAAAGGCGGAATCTTGGGTGTATGTTTTTGCAGATACAGTTTGTGCTTCTAGTTAGTCGGCAAGGAAAGGTTAGGCTCACCAAATGGTATTCGCCTTATACACAGAAGGAGAGATCAAAGGTAATGATTATCAAAATCATTGAGCTTGATATCCTGTTATGCGTTGCATACATTTGATGTTACATCATGCTATGGATTATTAGGTGATACGTGAGCTCAGCGGAGTGATTCTGAATCGAGGTCCCAAGCTCTGCAATTTCGTCGAGTGGAGAGGGTACAAAGTTGTTTACAAAAGATACGCAAGCCTCTACTTCTGCATGTGCATTGACCAGGAGGACAACGAGTTAGAGGTCCTTGAGATCATTCATCACTACGTTGAGATTCTCGACCGCTACTTCGGAAGCGTGAGTCAAAAAATGACTCCCAACTCTTTTTGTTTTACCTATACGGAACATCTTGATTTTGACCGGGGTTTGTTTTTTTTTATCTTATGATGATCTTCAGGTGTGTGAACTCGATTTGATTTTTAACTTCCATAAGGTAAAATACTGATTCTCTCTACTCTCTGCCTCTGCCATATTCAAACACTTGTTGATGGCAACTTTTGTGGGGTTTCTTAGGCGTATTACATATTGGATGAGCTCTTGATTGCCGGGGAGCTCCAAGAATCAAGCAAGAAAACAGTAGCCAGGATTATCTCTGCCCAGGTACTCTCTACTGAGTTGTAAATTTCGAAGTCTATAGAGATTTGTCTTGACATAAAAAAAGATGACAAAATCTCTGTCTGATTTGATTGTTGGTAGGATCAACTGGTGGAAGCTGCAAAAGAGGAGGCCGGTTCAATAAGCAATATAATCGCTCAGGCTACTAAATAGTATTACTACTGTAGTTTCTTTCATCTTCTATGCGCGGTTAAAAACGTGTTTTCTTGTGCGGTTGCTATGGTAAATGTTTTGAGTAATCTTGAAACTCATCTTTTTTTTTTCATCTCCTGAGCGGGGTTTTCGTCTTTTTCTTTTTTTTTACATCAATGGGTTTAATCGTCTTTAAGCTACAACTTGGGCTTTAAAAAATTTGGTATCCTATTTATTTTGGGCTTTGAATAATCTGGTAAGAGGAGACGTGTTTTAAAAGCTATTTTCATAAAGTAAACCCTAAACGAAAAAAAAGAAAAACAAATAAAATAAAGTGAACCCTAGATATGGCGGACGACGGCGCTGTAGGAGACCGCCGCCACCGCTGCTACGATGCAGGTGGTCGCCGTAAAACGGAAGGACCAGTGGTAGTAGACTCGATCAACAGTCTACCTGATGTGATCCTACAACAAATCCTCACCTTTGTTCCGGCGAAATTGGCCATCACAACTTCCCTCTTGTCAAAACGATGGAGGCACGTATGGTGCGATACGCCTTCTCTCTCCTTCGATACTACTCCAATGAAGGTTGCTTGGATCAACGAAACCCTAGCTCGCTACACTGCTCCCAAGATCATGCGTTTTCACCTCAATACCACCAGTATCTGCGATTTACAACTCCATACCATCTATATCCTCGATTTACAACTCCAAACCATCAATATCTTCGAAAGGTGGATCGAGTTCGTCATGTCCCGCCACGTAGAGGATCTGTCCCTAGAATTATGGGTTGGCCTTTATGTTCTTCCTCATTTCATCTACACCAGTTCCTCTGTCAAGCAACTCACCGTTACGTATTGTTATATGGCTCCCAGCTACGTGTCTTGGACATCTCTTAAGAACCTGTCCCTGCTTAGTTGTACTCTCTCGGATGAATCCATGGCTAAGATTCTATCGGGCTGTCCCATTCTTGAGAGCTTAACTTTGTATAACTGCTATGAACTTAGGATTCTTGATCTCGGCAAATCACTGCGTCTGAGAACATTAGCAGTAGAGCGCAACAATGGGTTTCAGGGGCCAACGCAGATTGTGGCACCGTATGTACATTGTCTCAATTTGAGAGACTCTCATGAGCCATCATGTACTTTAGCTGATGTCTCGTCTTTAACCGAAGCTAATCTGAACATTTGCTATAACTCGGATAATTCTCTTAAAGTCAAAGTGGTAAAGATGTTAGAAGAGCTACAACATGTAGAGAAGCTTACTCTCGGAGGAAACTTTCTTCAGGTACGTTTTGGGCTCACATTCTTGCATCATCCACTCCCTAGGATCAGGTAGTTTCTGATGAATGATTAATTTCTGCTAGATTCTATCTATTGCCGAGCTTCTTGGTGGTCACTTTCCGGTGTTGAAAGTCAGAGCTTTGACACTTGAGACAGAGATGGTTCAGTATGTTATTCCTGGTCTAGAAAGGGTGTTACAAAACTCACCCGATTTAATGAAGCTAACCGTACACACAAGCCACTGCAACACCATACCGGTATATATACATTACCATAAACCTTTCTTTCATATTCTTTGACGTTATATAACTATCACCGAATCCAAGAATCATGTTTTCTTTTCTCCCCTGTTGTGCAGGGGAGGTATCTTGACAAGTACTTGGATTTGGAAGACTTGAATCCGGCTCGACGTTGGAGATCAAAAGATGGGGTTCGATGGAACAGGTCTCGTTCGGATATACAGTTTAAGCACTTGGCTTCATTCGTGAAACTTATGGTTAAAAACACAAACGCATTAGAAAAGCTGTTCCTGCTATTGGACGACCCTTACCATAGGTTTAAAGAGATGGTTCCAACACTTTGTCACAACAACAAAGTCTCTATTGCCTTCACGAATTAGTGAATCTTGCATAGGGTTTAGTCTTGAGTCTTGTTGAATATTTTTACATGAAGGTTTTTTTTTTATTTGCATTAACCTTAACGTTCCCACTTCTACTGATTTATTGTGGAGCAAGATAACTACTTATCTCAGACCAATCTTTATTTTGCAAATGAGTCTAATACTAGAGTTTAAGGAAGAACAACATCAGATAAATAGCCTTGCTCCACAAATGAGGCAATGCAATCATCGAACATCTCTTCAAGGGACTTGAACTTGAGCCCGAGGCTCCTAATCTTTGAAGTGTCAAAGTCGTAATGCAGCCTGTTTAGTTTCTCAAACCTGAAATTTTTCAAAGAGAAGATTATATCATCTATTATAGTTTTTTTTCAAGGATAATAGAGGTTTAAGAAAAGGTTAAAAGATGAGTGTGAAACCTCTTGGGGATAGGGAGTGATGGGTAACGAGTGGATAGGAAGGAAACTAGTTCCTCTAGACTGACAACGTTAGAGCTGCAAATGTATCTGCCTCGAGCTGCTTCTTGTTCGAAAACGAGTATGTGGGTTCTTGCCACATCGTCGATATGAACATAACCCATCTGTCCATGCCACTGAAACTTCTCTGTTTCTCCTGTTTGTGTTGAATAAAACAAAGTTATAAGCATCTGAAACAGAGGAAAAGAGTTATGGAAGTGATGTTGCCTAGAGAGTATAATACCTTTAAGCAATCCAAGGACATCGGACGCTGTAGAACACAGATCAGGAGGCAGGCTAGGTCCCACGAGGAAAGATGGTAGAACAGTGACAAGGTCAATACCATTTTCTTCACTGAATTTCCATGCAGCTTGCTCTGCTAATGTCTTTGATAAAGCATACCACACCTTTTGTTTTTGGGCCATGTCGCATTATCACATTGTGAAACGCGTTTAGCCGATATGGTTTTTGTTTATACATAAAAAAGGCTCTATTCAAATGATTATTATACCTGGAAACGCTTGCAGAGTTCCACAGAGGTCCAAACTGATTCGTCAAGAGGGATTTTGGGATCAAAGTCATCTCTGATCCTGACTGTTGAAGAGGAGGAGGTGAGAACCACACGCTTCAGAGACTGATTCTTCCTGCATGATCTCAGTACATTCAGTGTGCCCTCTATAGCCGGTTTCAAAATCTCTTCCTATCAGAAGATCACAGGAAATAAAAAAAGTCTTAATTAAAAATGATACACAAAAGCATACTGTGACCAGAAAAAAGGAAACAAAAGTTGTAGTGGGGTGCCTCTGGATTAGAGGTAGGTTTGAGCACAGGAGAAGCAGTATGGAAAACTCCTTGGCATCCCATTATGGCCTCATCAAAACTTCCATCTTCCACTAAATCAGCCTTCACCAACTGTAGTCTCTCCTTTGCCCCTTCCAATTTCCAGAGGTGTGCAAGTTTTTTCTCATTTCCTGTCAAAACAAGGAACTCACTGAGACCCACTTGGCTACCTTATTACGGTTTCAAAGCAATGACACAGAGCAAGAAAAAGAGAAAAGGATGGGATAGAGAAACCTGGATCTCTGACTGTTCCGATGACTTCATATCCCTCAAGGAGAAGCCTCTTCACAAGCCAAGAAGCTAAGAAGCCTGAAGCTCCCGTAACACAAACTTTTCCTTTTGCTTGGTCCATTCTCCGGTAACGATGGAATCACACATGAATAGCTATATAGCATGTGTATACATGCGTGTTAAGAGGGTACTAACAATACCATGCTGAAGGTAAGTATGGATTAGGTAGGTCATTCAAGCCATGTGGGTTGCTTATTCATTACCTAAAAATGGTTTCAGGACGGTTTGTTTAACCACCACAATGGCCTTGCCCACTGTATTCTCTAGGAACTTGGTTGGAGAGAATTCTCTTTATAACTTGGTGGGTCACAGCGAGAGAATCCAGAGTTCCATAAAAATTTATGTTCTTCAATATAGAAAATAGTGGAAAAGAGAAACCCTTATAATCGTTGACACTGTCATAGTCTTCAAGTAGTCAAAACTTTCTCAATATGATACAAAGCCAACTAGCAATTTACAAATTAGACAAATATCTGAGTAAGCTACAGTAACAATCTGTAAAAAAAAAATATGAAATGGTAACGAATCACTTGAGTGCAGTATCTTTAGTCTCAAAAAAAGACTGAAGATTTTCTCAGTAACCACGTTCCATGTTTGTATTCCCTTTGGATTGATCAACACCTTAAGCGGGATATGGAGCTTCCACCATTTCAACCAACAGATGCAGAACACGAACTTCTTCTATCCACGCTGCACCAGCCAACTCTTTTCTCCCCAATTCTCTTAATATAAAGAACAAAATTTGGCCCCGAGCCTCACAGATGAAAAGGATTGAAATCATCATGGTCAGCTCAGGAAAAGTTACAAAGCAAACCCGTTTACGAATGCAGAGAATTGACTCAGACGAGGAACATTCTGGTTGCTAGAGCTCTGCCAAATCAAACGAGAGAAAGAAAATTAGAAAAACCAGTATCATTTCCTGAGCCAGTATCTACACAGGACAAAAGCAGAAAATCACACATACGCTTGCCATATGTAAGACTCGGTGAAATGAGAGAAAAATTAAAAAAAATTCCATACGAAGAAGTTAAACTGAGGGAAGACAGATGTAGGCGTACCTGCGTGTTACTGTGATACATTCTTTATCTAGGACCCCAACAGGGTGTATTCTGTGGGAATCAATGCTGCCTGAAACGACTGGGACATGAGAAATTTCATGCTTGTCCATGATTGTTTGTGCAGCGAGAAGATCCATATCAGGTGTAACAGTCCACGAGACTTTACATCCTCCTCCGCTCGTGGAACATATTTCATTAACGAAAAACTCCTAAACCAAAGAAATGGTTCCATTATTTGATCAGGTAACCCCCACAAGATAGATACTGTTATTTCAGAGGTTGAGGCAAGAACAGACTATTCAAATTCGTACCTTGGGTCCCTTGCTGCCTTCTTTTCTTGCTTTGCTGAATTTCAGAATGTCTGAAAGTGTAAGCAGGCCGAGAAAGATGTTGTCAGGATCAACAATCAAAGCACATGATTGTTTCTCTATCAGCATACGAGTGATTGCCTCTTCCAGAGAAGTGCTCATCATAACAGTGGCAAATCTTGTTCGCATGGCTTCTGAGACAAAGATACTCTTCGGCAGCTCCTCAGCTTGGATACTTGACTCATCAATGCAAAGAGAGCTTTCAACTTCACAAAGGTTATTCGTTGATGATCCATCGTCAGACGTCGCCAGAGGCTGTGCAGCGTCCTGGCTCTTTCTTTGCCTCGTTTCTTTTGTTTCCCTAGTTTCTTGCCTCTTTGATTGTCCAGATGTAATCCATGAAGACATGCCTACAGCTCCCAGTAGTGGTAACACTATACGATAGTCCTGTGTGAGTTCAAATAGCAGTAGTACCGATGTAAGAGGAACTTGACAAACCCCGGCAAGTGTAGCAGCCATTCCAACCTGTGAAAACAATGAGACGTACATAAATCATTGGCAACGAAGCTGCAAAATTAACCAAAAGATACTGATCTTTGGTTTGTCAGGTAAACAATCAAGGGACTCTGAACATAAGACAATATCCAAGTATGAAATATTGACAACATAAGAACAGTACCAGACCATAAGCTTGTGGCGACGCCACTTCCAGGATAGAGAGATGGATTTGAGGATTCTGAGCCAAAGCAAGTCCAATAAACTTCCCATAGGCCATTCCTGCTGCACCGCCAATAAAGAGAGAAGGAGCATAGTAACCACCGACCAGTCCAGAAGCCCGACACAATGCGGTTGCAGCTATCTTGACCGCAACAAGCTGTAGCAAAAGATCAGCTGAAAGGCCCTTCACAAATGGACGAGACTCCAACAATATATCAACGTTCTCAAAACCCCAATACAAGACTTCAGGGTACACCAAAGCTATGATACCCACAGTTAAGCCACCCATTACAGGAAATACAGCCTTTGGTATCCCAGCATCCTTGTTAAGACTGTCGAAAGCAGATGTCATGGATGATGTACATCGAGATAATGCCAGCGAGACCAATCCACACAGAGCGCCCAACAAAAGATAGAGTGGAAGTTCTGCAAAATCATAAACAGCTCTGAAAAAGTTACCAACAACAATGCACAAACAAGGATGAAAGCGTAAGAATAGCGATGTTGAAGATTACCTCCTGGAGAGCGGAAGTCATAGTCAGGAACCTTAAACGCAGGTTGAGAGCCAAGGCCGATTTCTGAAACCACAGAAGCAGTAACAGCACTAAGAATAACCATTGAAGTTGCGTTTGGAAGTGATGTTGATGAATCACTTGATGAAGGCCACAAAACGGACTCAACTGCAAAGAAGCATCCAGCTACAGCTGCATTGAACCCTGTACAAAAAGCCAATCTCTTTTGATAAACTTCTAACTCTAAAGAAAGCAAACATGCACTTTGAACTCAAGCAAGAGACCCAGAAGAAGAAAAAAAATCAAATATCCGATGGTATGATTCGATAGAGGGTTGATGAAACAAACCAGAGGAAATTCCGGAGGCTGAGCCGGCGGCAAGAAGTGAGAGACCCGTTTGAGGACTTTTATTGAAGAGAGAGTTTACTCCTTTTGCGATTGAAGCTCCGATTTCAACACTTGGACCTTCCGGCCCCAGCGAGTTTCCGGTCCCGAGCGTCACACTTGCGGCGACAGCCTTAAGGAAGGGACGCACCACCGCCTTTAAACGATCGAGACTAGAATCAGAATCCGCGGCGGAATCTCCAGCAGCTTCTCGGAGCTGATTGAGGACGCTGACCAGCAAACCGCCGATGGTCGGTACAAGGATGACGCGCAACCAATTGAAACCGATCGGTTCTTCTCTAAGCCACGAAGCTCCACGATCAGGGATCCCATCCCAGGAGAAGTCTCGGAGCAAGTGAACGCAATTGTTGAACAGAACCACACTGATTCCGGTGAGGACACCGACCAAACACGCCGACGCTATCGCCAGCTCCTGAGACGGCGGTTGATCGAATCCAGCCTCATCCTGCTCAACCTGCTGTTTCGCCGCCGGGCTGCGCGGGAAAAGTCTGCCGCCGGTAGCGACGGAACGGAACAGCAAAGGCAGTGTAAACGAGGACGACGAAGCAACGACATTGGTCTGAAAAGGAGCGATGGTTCTGCGAATCGGAGAGAATCTCCGGGGAGAGAAGGGAGATCGGAGAGCAGCACAGAGCGCCATGAACGGCTGTTCCCGAGGAGTGACGCGTGTTTATCCATTAACGGATAATTGGAACCCATTAACGTTACTGTAAGAAAATTATAAATCTGACGTGGCGCAGGCTCCCCCACTACAAGTCAGATTATTAATTTCCGGTTCACATTCGAAACCGTGGGCTTCGGTTGTTCGGTTTAATCGAATTATACAACTAAACCCCTAATCAAAATGGATTTACCGTGGTTGGAGGCTTGGGGCCCAAATAGCATAGAGGTTTTGGGCCTACAGTATATAGTAAATACTCTATTTGATTTAAGATAAAAACTCTTACCTTTAAAGGTTCAAATTTCAATGGAAGCAGTGGCTGTTGTGCGTCGTGTTCTTGCCAATCCAATCCAACCCAATCCAATCCAACCCAATCCAATAATTGAAATATATAATAAATTATTTTATTTTTCAGTCGACATATTAATTTTTTTTTTAAAAAAGATTGATTATCTGTTTTCGTCTCGCTTGTGCGTTTGCCACCACAACGTTGTCTTCTCGGGTTAATTCTTCTTCTTCTTCTTCTTCTTCTTCGTCTTCTCTTCCTCTTCTGGTTTTACTCATTTCTCTTTGATTGGTCTCGCCTATGTCTCTCAATCTTCCTTCTACGATTAATCTCACTAAGTCTTGTTGATTCCATTTTGCATGCTTGATCTGAATAAATTTGTGAATCTATTGTTTGCTTTCAGGGTTTAAGTTTTACCATAATGGCTTCCAATCCAGAGAAAATTCCGCCTCCTTCAGGTACCATTTCAGTTTCACCCAGTGTTGTTCTCAAATCGCCTGTGTATATACAATCTGATCTGCGACATTTAGTGATTGGTTTTTTTGTATTTTTAATCACGAATCTAATCGTTTCTGGGCATCTCAAAGTGTATAGAATTGTATGTTGTTAACTGTAGATGAGAAAACCGAATCGACGGAGGAGAATAAGAGTGCTCCTACACCTGAATCAGCCTCCGGGAGCTCACCTTCACCAGCAAATCCTGGCCTGAATTTCAATGCTTTCGATTTCTCAAACCTAGCTGGTATCCTCAACGTAAGTGTCCCTCTGTTGTAGCAAAAGTTGAAAAAAAAAGTTATCTTGTTGGAATCTTCAGTTGATGGGTTTTAGGTGGGATGTTGTAGGATCCGAACATCAAAGAATTGGCTGAGCAGATAGCTAAAGATCCTGCGTTTAACCAATTGGCTGAGCAGCTTCAGAGATCCATTCCAAACGCAGCTCAGGAAGGAGGAGGAGGTTTCCCTAACATTGATCCAGAACAGTATGTCAGCACAATGCAACAGGTTATGCATAACCCCGAGTTTCAGACAATGGCGCAGCGACTTGGTAACGCCTTGGTGCAGGTGAAGAAACTAGGAAATTTATTCCGTCTAGATTTCTTTCTGGTACTTTGGTTATTATTGAGGCTTGTCTTTGAATGAATCTCTTCTGTCTGGTCTCTTTTTTTTTTTGTTCTTACGCCTTCAGGATCCACAAATGTCTCCCTTTTTGGATGCTTTCTCGAACCCTGAAACAGCGGAGCACTTTGCTGAGCGTATGGCTCGGTTGAAAGAAGATCCAGAGTTGAAACCTATACTAGATGAGATAGATGCTGGTGGTCCTTCTGCCATGATGAAGTGAGTGATATTGATACAAATGTTTCTATAGAAATGGTAAGGCTTGCTTATGTTTGTTTTTGCTCATGGAGGAATTTTTTTTATCTTGTTTTTTAGGTACTGGAATGATAAAGATGTGTTGAAAAAGCTTGGTGAAGCAATGGGTATGCCTGTTGTTGTGCCAGAGCAGGCTGCTTCAGCTGAACCCGAAGTAGCAGAAGAAGGTGAAGAAGAAGAAGAGTCTGTTGTTCATCAAACTGCCAGTCTTGGTGATGTTGAGGTATATACCGCAGCTTACTTTGCCATTTTCTCACTCTTATTTCCCCATTCAACAATTTGTTTTGTTCAACTCTTTGATCTGTTGTGATTCGATTAGGGTTTAAAAAAGGCTTTGGAATCTGGTGGTAACAAAGATGAAGAAGATTCTGAGGGAAGGACAGCATTGCATTTCGCTTGTGGATACGGGGAGGTATGCAAGTCTTTTATCAATTCAGGGAAATTAAATATTCGGATTTAGGTGGTTCTCTTTTCTTACTAGCTGCTCAAGTTAAGAATTTTTTATCATTATTCGCTTGGTAGAGAAGTCACTGGTCCATATAATTTAACATATTTTGTTTATACCTGTGGATTGAACTTAGTTTGACCTATTGAGTCTTATCACAGTTAAAATGTGCCCAAGTTCTTATCGATGCTGGAGCAAGTGTTAATGCTGTTGACAAAAACAAGAACACACCTCTGCATTACGCTGCTGGTTACGGGAGGAAAGAGTGTGTAGGCCTTCTCCTGGAGAATGGTGCTGCAGTGTAAGCCTGACAACACTTTACATGTTAAGAAACGAACTCCATTAAACAATGTGTCTGGACTAAGTTATATATACGATTTGTGTGTGGTTTCAGCACTCTGCAAAACCTAGACAAGAAGACACCCATTGATGTGGCGAAGCTCAACAACCAGCTCGAGGTGGTGAAGCTGCTTGAGAAGGATGTATTCCTCTGAAAAAAGAAGGTCCTAAGATCAAATTGTCTTTGAGGGATTTGTCTTTGGTGTGTCCTGAACCAATTTCACAGACTTTTGTATACTTTTTTTTCTTATTTACAATTTGTGTTTGATTAGTTTCTCTCTCTCTCGTTCTACATTTTCTAGAATCATTTGGGTATCGAAGACCAATTACTTCAGATTAAAGTGATTCTATTCTTGTGTTGTGACTGTTGTCCCAATTTCTCGACGTCCTCCCCAAGCTTTATATAATTTATATGCAAGCTTAAATATTAAAACCCGAGAAAGACATCTCATTTTTACGATAAAATACTTTAATTATTCAAAGGTAAAAAATCATTAAAATCAAAAGGTCTCTCGTTGTCTCTTCGTGTATTCGTTCCCAATGAGTTGTTTGAATCGTTCAAGGTTTTTAAAGAGTTTGATAAGCAGAGCACGAAGCGTTGCGCGGCTTGGGTCCACTATCTCCCAGCCGCAGCCGCCGTCTCTAGCCTCCGCGTTTTCTTCATCCGCCGTCATGAACGGCCTTGAAACTCACAACACCAGGCTCTGCATAGTCGGTAGTGGCCCGGCGGCTCACACGGCGGCTATTTACGCGGCTAGGGCGGAGCTTAAGCCCCTTCTCTTCGAAGGATGGATGGCTAACGACATCGCTCCCGGCGGCCAGTTAACAACCACCACCGACGTCGAGAATTTCCCTGGGTTTCCCGAAGGTATCCTCGGCGCGGAGCTCACGGACAAATTCCGGAAGCAGTCGGAGCGATTCGGTACCACGATCTTCACGGAGACGGTGACCAAGGTCGATTTCTCGTCGAAACCGTTTAAGCTGTTCACAGACTCCAGAGCCGTTCTCGCCGACGCCGTGATCCTCGCTACGGGAGCCGTGGCCAGGCGGCTTAGCTTCGCTGGATCTGGTGAAGGCTCGGGAGGTTTCTGGAACCGTGGAATCTCCGCTTGTGCTGTCTGCGACGGAGCCGCCCCGATTTTCCGTGACAAACCTCTTGCGGTTATCGGCGGAGGCGATTCGGCAATGGAAGAGGCGAATTTCCTCACCAAATACGGATCGAAAGTGCATATAATACACAGGAGAGACGCTTTCAGGGCGTCTAAAATTATGCAGCAGCGAGCTCTGTCAAACCCTAAGATCGACGTGATTTGGAACTCGACGGTCGTGGAGGCTTACGGAGACGGAGAGAAAGGCGTTCTCGGGGGGTTGAAGGTGAAGAATGTGGTTACTGGAGAGGTTTCCGATTTGAAAGTTTCTGGATTGTTCTTTGCCATTGGTCATGAGCCAGCAACCAAGTTTCTGGATGGTGCGGTTAAGCTAGATTCTGATGGTTATGTGGTGACGAAGCCCGGCACTACACAGACTAGCGTTGCCGGAGTTTTTGCCGCCGGCGATGTACAGGACAAGAAATATAGGCAGGCGATCACAGCTGCAGGAACTGGTTAGTTCTCTACTTTTCCCTCAGCTTTTTTGTATCCTCAAGTGTTGCAACAGTGTTTATAAAAGAAGTGTTTTTGTTAGTAGCAACTGTTGCTTTGTAGCTATTTGGAACTGCTTGAATTTGCGTGCAACTACTTCCATTGCCAGAGCAAAAAGTTTTGTTTTTGAAGTGAAGTTGCGTTTGTAGCATTTGACTTAATTAAACAGTTGATGCAAGCCAAGGTTTTTGGGTTGGAGTTAGTCTTCTTTGAGTGTGTTGTTGTTACATTACTTAGTAGAGATGTTAAATTCTTCTTTTTTAAGTATCAGTCGTAAGCTTAAGAGTCCTTGTTTTCACAATGTTAGTAGAGATGTTAAATTTTTCTTTTTTAAGTATCAGTGGTAAGATTAAGAGTCCTTGTTTTAACAATGTTCAAATCTCACTCTGTTTATAGAGAGAGCATTAGTGGTCATTTCAGCTCGTTTGATTGAGTGTGTAGGATGCATGGCAGCTTTGGATGCGGAGCATTACTTACAGGAGATTGGATCTCAGCAAGGCAAGAGTGATTGAGATATGCTCAGATCAAGCGTTTGGTCATAAAGCTAACTGTTAGTTAAGGGACTTTGATTTGTTTAATTATTGATATTGCAGTTGGAGTTAAGTACGGTTGTTGTTCAAAGCTGTGTAGATTTGTTTCTCGGTTGATGCTTTCACATTAATAAACATGATTTATCCGAAACTACTTTGATGTGTTTCTAGAAAATCAATAAGACGATAGCCATATGTCTGATATTAAAACCGAGCAATTAATGTACGCACCAGGGCTTCTAGAAGCTTTTGGAGTTATGGTCTGAAAATTTGTTTGTTGTCAGAGATGGATATGACTGTGTGATGAAGGGGTTTTGAACACATGCCGTCGTTTCACTTAAAGTCAAAAGCAATACGTGCGACCACCAAAAAAGAATCTCCTACGTAGGTGGAAAATTGGAAATATTCAAAAGAGGCTAAAAGAATTTGTTCCAAAAATATCTATCCATCAAACCTTAATACAGTGAAGAATGCAACGATGAATGTAAAAGACTGAAAGTTATATACATTTTGTCTCAAATTATAGTCAAATTGATCAAACTATAATGTGAATAAAAAGCTATTCTAATAGAAAGTTGAATTCAATCTCTACTTTATAGCGACAGAAGCCGGAATTCTCTCTCTATATATATACAAATTTAGGCAGTTTATCTTCTTCTTCTTTGTCGGCCGTTTATCTTTTGTTTTCGATTTTATTTGACTGTGTGAATATTTAAGTTTTTCAATAAAGTCCACGAATAAGAATCAAACTTGTGAAACAAAATTCAAGCATATTTAAGTAACCACAGGTATATAATAATTTCATGAGCATATAGACTGATTCTTCGAATCGTGCTTTTTTTTTACCCTTTTACAAGAGAAAACAAATAACAAGGGAGGTCGTCTGTCTATTATGGCCGTTGGTTTTCGTCATTTTTCTATGTTCTTTTCTTTCGAGGAGGGTTTCTGTCATTTGTTGGTTTTTGTCATAAAAAGCTTTGTATATTTAGCGTTCTTATAAATTTGATCAAGATTTTGTCATGTTTGTCTCATGTACGCATAATTTAACCGAAACGATTCATGAACCTGAAAATCTGACATTACCAGAAAGTATAACACATTTTTTTTTGGTATTCTCTCATATTAAAAAATAGAACACAGCTTGCAATATTCTAAAACACATTCAGGCATATAATAAAGCTATAGTATTTTTAAATATTTTTGAAATGATTATCAGTCTTCTATACTGTTTAAAATTCTTGTTTTTTTATATATTGTGTACAAATCAAAATTCTTTTTTTTGTTTCGGATCTGCAATTAGAATATTTTGTTTTGTCTTTGCTTTATGGAGTCCCTTAGAAACTAAATATAAGAACAATTATATCAAATTCATATGAACTATTATTATATCCACAAAAGACAGCAAATCCCTGAGTTGTTGAGTTAAGACTTTTGTTTAAACTGGATCAGACTTGCCTGACACTCTTGAATTACTAAACGAATTGTTTTTATCGGAAGAAAATATACAAAGCTTGAAAACAACTTAGCTATATGTTACAACGCTAAAACTAAAGTTTTTTTGCAACTTCTTTTGATGAGCTTTTAACAAATTTAATATCGATATTACACGTAAAATTCTAATCATCTTATAACTCAATTGTATGTATTTTAACCTTGCAGAAGGAAAAAACTTGAATAATATTTACTTAAAGTATCTAGCTTAATTATATTTATTTACAAGCGTCTCTATATATATGTAGTTTATAGTTTTATTTTGTTTCAATTAGCTTTGTGTTTACTTAATGAATAAGTAGATTTAGATTATACTTCCAAATGGTTCAGCAGAAAATAAAATTTATATATCCCATATGCGTATGCGTATATGCTAGTGGGGACTGTGAATATGACAGCTGGATACAGGTTAAAGGACAACACAACATCGGTCCATTCACCGACACGTGTCCCATCTCACACATGGCGTTCTCTTATCTTTCGCCTTTTTTGTCTTTCGCGTCTCCGTTTTTTTTTTCTCTTTAATTATTGTATTCGTCATTTCTTTTTTTTATATTAATAGGGGTTTTACATACTGTTTAGATATCATTTTCGTTAATAATACGATATTATCTTTTCACAAAGTATTAGATTTTACTCCGGAAAAAGGAGTAAGACTTGTACTTTTTGTATTAACTTTTCGTAACCAGAGCAATACTGGAGTTATGTTGAGTTATTTAATGCTTATCCTTCTTACGGACATAATGGGCCTATTAGTTATATTTTGATGATCCCTATAACTATATAACATTCCAACTTCCGAGTGATGTCTTATTTCAATAGAAACAGAGATAGCAAAACTATAAAATCTAACGGTAACGAACAATACTTTTATTTTAATTCGTTTGGAGACAACGAAAATGGAAATAATAGGCATTGATCTCCGCAGAATCTACTACTGCATGTAGGCTGCATAATAATAATAGTATTTTAAACTTTCCTTCTCAATTCGAAAAGGAGTAATTTCCATAAATACGAGACAAAAACGTAGAAAATACGATAAGGAGAGTGTGTATAGGGAGAAAATGGGAATAACGTGATATACAAATCCACAGATAAACAATAGGTCACCATCCCACGGTTCACGTTATTTCCGTCGCATTTAAAACATAAAAATATCCAATAATGATAATGTTAATTAAGTAAAGTTTTTTAATTATAACTATGAAATTACAGTAAAAGACATTAATCAGCATTTTTGTAGTTTCCTTGGCGACAATATAAAAAGTAATCAACTATTTCTGATGGATACAGAAGAAGAAGAACTGAGGAAGCAGAAGAAGAAGAGAAGAAGCAAAAAAATATTTTTTGACAGAGATAATACAGAGAGAGAGAGAGACAGACAGAGAGTGATGGAAACAGCTGTATTTATGAGGCGAAACAAGAACCTCTGGGTTTCTACATAAACTCTCTTTTTTTCTTTCTCCTTTCCACTCACTTACTTTGAGCAAGAACAAAAAAAGGGGTTTTCTCTTATCTTTTCTTTCTTCCAATTTCTGGGTTTTAGTGAAATTTTGGAGCTAATGGATTTGATGCAAATGGATAAGCGTTTGGATTCGACGGAGCAAGTGGTTGAAGAAATCATGAGAATTCACAGATCTTTGCCACCGAGACCAGGAATCGACGAGGTTGAAGCTGCGATGTCTCTGATACAGAACGTCGAGAAAGAAGATCAAGCTTGCTTAGAAGCCATTGCTAAGCAGAGGAAGAGCTCCGAGGTTCCCGGTGAGCTCTTCACGGTGCTGCAGGAAATGAAGAAGGGTCTCGTTCGATTCCGCAGCAAAGAACAGAAAAGAGAAGCCGAGAAACTTCTCGATCTGGAAGCTGTTCACACTTTGTTCGACGATTTCATCCAGAGAGCTTCTAATTGCGTTGCTTCGCCGTCTTCCACTTCCTCTAACGGCTCTGCTCCGTCTCGTCCTCCCCAGGCTCCGGCAATTCGTTCCGATTCTCCGTCGAGCTTGTATTTCTCCGAGAAACCCCCTGTTCGACCCAAGGAGATGGTTTCCAGAGACGATAGCTTCGTGACGAAAGCTAAGCCTTCTCTCTACAACGACGGTTTTGTAGCTCCTCCTCGAAAACCCCAGATTGTCGATTCAACGCTTACCACCGGAAAATTCTCCAGTGAGTTAACCCTTCTTCATCTTCTTCTTCCTCTCAATTCAATTGATTCAAAAGCAATAGGTTTACTCAATTGGTACTAAGAACTTTGGATGAAAGTGTAAACCTTTAGATACAACTAGAGACTGAACAAAAGGTTATGTTTTTAGTAACTCTATAGTGTGTGAATCATTTGTTATTGTGTAGGCAATGATGGAGAGAAGCTGAGTTTGATAAAACTTGCTAGTTTGATTGAGGTATCAGCCAAGAAAGCTACTCAAGAGCTGAATCTACAGAACAAGCTAACGGAACAAGTCGAGTGGCTTCCAGACTCCATTGGCAAGCTATCGAGTCTAACCTCGCTTGATCTGTCTGAGAATCACATTGTGGTATTGCCAAACACCATAGGAGGACTCTCTTCCTTGACAAAGCTCGACTTGGGTTCCAACAGAATCGGTCAGCTCCCTGAGTGTATCGGAGAGTTGTTGAACTTGGTTTACCTCAACGTCAGTGGAAACCAGTTATCATCTCTGCCTTCAGCGTTTAGCAGACTGTTGCGGCTCGAGGAGCTTGATCTGAGCTGCAACAACCTACCGATTCTCCCTGAATCCATCGGCTCTCTTGTGAGCCTAAAGAAGCTCGACGTGGAGACAAATGATATCGAGGAGATACCGTATTCGATCGGTGGGTGTTCCTCGCTGAAAGAGCTCCGTGCCGATTACAACAAACTCAAGGCTCTCCCTGAAGCTATCGGGAAGATAACTACGCTGGAGATCTTGTCCGTGCGCTACAATAACATCAGGCAGTTACCAACGACCATGTCTTCTTTAGCCAACCTCAAGGAGCTTGACGTGAGTTTCAACGAGCTCGAGTCTGTGCCGGAGAGCTTGTGTTTCGCCACTACGCTCGTGAAGCTGAACGTTGGGAACAATTTCGCTGATATGATATCACTCCCGAGGTCAATAGGCAACCTTGAGATGCTTGAAGAGCTTGATATAAGCAATAACCAGATCCGTGTGCTTCCAGACTCTTTCAAAATGCTTACAAAGTTGCGAGTTCTCCGTGCTCAGGAGAATCCACTACAAGTTCCTCCCCGGGATATAGCCGAAAAGGGCCCTCAGGTTCATTCTCTCTCTCTCATCCTCTCTTGGATTCTAAATTTGTGATTAAAACGCTACTCGCTCACGGATGATTCATACTACTTACTTACTTACAGGCCGTTGTTCAATACATGAATGATCTTGTGGAGATGAGAAACGCGAAATCTCTAATGGTTAAGCCGAAGAAGAGCTGGGTTCAGATGTGCTTCTTCTCCAAGTCCAACAAGAGAAAACAGAGCAGCATGGAGATTGTCTAAAAAAACTGCTGATAATAATGTCTTTGACCCTTAATCAGGTAACGGTTTCCTTAAATTCCCAAACTCAGAAATCAAGATTCACACAGTCTGTATTATAAAAACCAACATGTGGCTTTTTTCCCTCCCTTTTTTCAGGTAATTCTGTTAATGCTGTTGACAGCACAAGTGACAGACAAATCCAGCTATCATTACAGGATAATCCAGGCATTGCTGCTCCCAAGTACTGTAGAGATGTTTCACTATTCATTATTTGTATGTTTGTTTGTTTCTTCGCTGTATCACATGTATCAATGTGCATAACATTGTTTCACTCATGTCTCTCCACACACCTGTTCTTGCTTTCCCCGGTTAGGACTGAACCGCAGAGCCCGTCCCAAATCAGAACTGAACCATGTCCCTCTTGTAGATTGAGGTTTTGTTTTAGGCTTTTACCACTTGTGTTTACAGTGTATCGTCTCTTGTTTTGTTGCTGTAGTTAGAAACCCAAATGGCACTCACACCTTAGAAATGCATATCTGTGTGTGGATAGAGAGATGTGATGTGATGGCTTTTGATGTTAGAAGGAGAGACATGACATGAGTTGGCTATGAACGTGGCTTTGTCTAGAGACCAAACTGATTGATTAATAACACCCTTTTGTATTTAATGCTTCTTTTTTTTTGTTTTTGTTTTGTCGATGTGTTAATCTTCACGAGAGGAGTTCTTACTTTAATTAATACGCCCTTTGTACATGTGACTTAACATATGATGAACCAATGAATGAACCAGAAAGATTTGTTCATCCATTGAAAACCCCTCACTGAATGTTAAAAAAAACACCAGGCCCATACAAAGTTTATTGGGCTGGATATGGGTTTCTGTTGAAGAGCGATAAACGATAAAATAAAACAATCATAGAAACCCGGACTATACAAGCCGCTTAACGGACTCGTAGAATGTTGATTCTTTCAGCCTTAGACCAAAAAATACAAAAAGTTGGAAAAAGGCTCAAGTTAAAAAGTGACAAAACGTGTTGGCCGAAAATTTCAATTCACTTTTTTGCCTCTTGGGTGTTAAATAATAAAACATTTCGAGAAGAGATAACAAGTTTTGTTTACTATCATATTTTTCTTCGGTGTCTTCTTATAAAAAAAGAGAGATGTACATGGAACTTATGTTCAACATCATACAAATCGTTTGAACCCAATTTTGGTTAATTTTTCAACTTCATTATGAACATTATCCAAATTTGATTGTAGCTTTTATGAAAGCAGAGGAGGATGTCACTTTTAAAAAGTTATATTTTTGCCATGATGAATATGGTGAAAAGTAAGATGTAATAGTAAATTAATAGGGAGAGACATATATAATGTGAACACTGAAAAGAAGTATGGAAAAAAAGGGTTAGGGAAGAAGATTAAGTCATTTGAGAGATGAATAAGTGAATCTTTGAAGTATATCACTTTATTGACTATGCGGGGCAAAAGATAGTTAGGAGCAAAGTACCTATAATGAAATGACATATATCATTTGAAAATAGATTTATACTCATTTGTTTTCTTTTTAATATTACTTTAAACCTTGGACCATCCTCTCTATCTGAACTTTCTTTTATTCTTCTTAGTTTTTTATCAGATGATTGGATTTATATATTCGTGAAAATCATCTCCATCTAAGAAGAAAATATTCGTGAAAGCAAAATTTCACTTTTCGCTACACTAATCGTATGCTAAAAACTAAATGTTTATTTATTTTCAGTGTTTTCATTTATTTATTTTCATAGCAATTGTTGTGGAACTTGTTTGAACAGGATTTTGATGAATCACAATAATTTCAAAACTTGTAATGAATTCAACAGTAACCAAGTGAATCCATCAGACTGAAATTAATAAAAGGAGTCCATCCAGATATTTGTGTATATGTTTATCAAAGAATGTAAAATACATTCAGTCTTAAATAATAAAATGCAAAAACAAAGTTGGATAGCCTTGAGCTATTTGTAGAAGACAAAAAAAAATTTTAAAAGTCGAAGTTAAATGATGAAAAGGTTTAGGCCGAAAATTTTCTTCACTTTTTTAGCCTCTTGGGTGTTATATATATATATATATAATAAAACATTTTGAGAAAAAGAAAGGAAAGAGATAAGGCATAAGATTCCATTAAGTGAAACTGAAAGGAGGATAATATTTGGGCTTGTCATGCGTTTCTAGTGTCTATACGTTGGGTGGTACGTTTATCGTTTCTCTTCAAATATTCCCTCTTTCTCCACCTTTTCGCCTTTAATCACTTTATTTTTATTCCCAATATAAGAAAACAACTATATTGTTACTTTAGCAGCTTCATTTGATCGTCTATATCAGTAACTGAATTTTTAAGTAGAAAACAATAATAACGAATGAGTTTTTGTCGAACTTGTATTCCACAGCTAGAAACTAAGTTAGTCTGTGTTTTTTAATTTGTCGATATCCAAGTTTGGAATTAGTTAGTTTCAACCACGTATAAGTGAATAACCGTTTAATTTTTTTTTGTTTTTAAACTATTTAAAACAAAATATCTCCAAAGATAGACTATGAAAATCTCTATAAAACTAAGTTTAAACAAAAAAAAAAAAAAATCCAACTACTATAATGGTGAAATGGGACCTAACAAAGTTCATTGTCATCAAATTTATGTTTGTTTCAAATGAAGTATTTTGTAGATATTTTGAGATATTTTGTTAAACCCATAAATGTTTGTTGCATTAGTTTATCCTCACCAACTTGCATTACAAAAAAGCTAAATATTACCTTAAATCCGCCAATCAAAACTACATGAATCCATAAAACTGAAAATGGAAGAAAAAGATTGAATTGCTATAATGGTGAAAGAGACCTAACCAAAGTTTATCAACTGTATGTTTTTTTTTTCATTAACGTGGAGTATTTCGGGGGTACTTTGATAAAAAAAATTAAGAATAGTTTGCTTTTAAAAATCTACATACAATCCTGTAGGATTTGAGCAAATAGTTTCTTTTACTTAAATCAATGACTTATATTTATGACTTATAATTTCTCACAAATTCTTTTTGCATGGCTTCAAGATATTGATCATTATTGAAGTACAGATCTCAAATAAAGTCACATATTTCAGGAGAATGATCTGCACTTAGTTAGAATTCAGATACTGTAAGTCTCAACTAATTTGTATACTTGTGGTCATTGAAAAAAAAAACACAACTATCAATTTCACTGCCCATCCGGAATGAATGAGACCGAGTCTACCTTATTTGCGGGTAAAGGAGATGAGACCATACATGCTTCTTTGACTAACGACTGAAAATGGGGAATACTTTAATATTACACTCACACTAGGAATTATCATAGTATATTTTATTTATTTTGTATATATAATAATGGGATCTTCATATAAGTTAGATATTACCATCACTACGCAGTCTACACACTAAATTCTCGCCAAACTTTCCATAAATTGGACTTATAAAAGGTAAAAAAAAAAAGGTAAAAAGAAGTGAGATTTACTTAGTTAATAAAAATTAATTTAGTTAATGAGAACTGTCGGAAAAGGATAAACCAATCACTCGCTATATAATTTGCAAAACAAATACAATGAAATTAAGGAAATACTCCATACTATTACTACTTTCCAGTTTCAAATTTATCTTTTAAAATAGTTTTATTCATTTCTGGGTTTTTGCTCATGAAACGGGTTCACATGACCGACTCTTTTTCTCAGTGCTCGTGTTGTCCAATCAGTTAAATCATTCTCTAACATATTTGAAAATAAAATCATTATGTTTTATGCGAATTATGAGTTCGTGGAAGATAAATTAACATCTCGAACTTTGAAATTCCATCTGATTGATTGATTCAAATACAGAACAGTGGTTACAGTCTTACACAGATGATAAAGATCGACCAAGTAACGAAAAGATCCTTCCTAACTCCTAATTAATTAATACTTTACTTTTTTAATCATGCCGATAATTTTTCGCAAATTAAAAAGAAAAAAAAAAGTTAAAACTTTTTAAGGAAGAAAAGCAGGAATAATGGCGGAAGTGAACTGTGCAGGATGCTGATGAGGAGGAGGCTGATCTTTGATCTGAGTCTCCGCCGTGGAAGCGTGGTGACCACACCGATCACACTTCACCGGAACCAAAATCCGACGGCAAGAAGGACACGACGACCGAGAAGTCAACCATTTGTCAATACACGCCACGTGGAAGGCGTGGCTACAGAGCGGTAAGATCCTGATTTCTTCGCCGTCGGAAAATTCGGTTAAGCATATGGCACACTCTGTGGAGGAATCTCCGTCTCCGGAGGAGGAACACGGCGAATCAGCGGTGGAGGTGGAGGTTGCGGCGGTGAAGGTGGATTTAGGGAGAGACTGAAGTGCTTTTTTCTTGAGGCCTTTGTTCGGCGGCGGAGATTCTCCTACGGCGGAGGAATTAACGCCGGTGAGACGGCGGAGCCAGGCACAGCGAGCTACAGCAGCCAAGCCGGCTACACATATGAGAGCGCAGAGAAGAGCTGAGAGAATCACAACCATGTCGGTTTCCGCGGCGAGGATTTCTGCCGGCGGTGGCGGCGCCGCCGCCGTTCCAAGGAATCTAGAGGATCGAGTCATTTGTTATTTCTGGTGTTTGAAGAGAAAGAGGAAAATGTGAAAGTGGTGAAGAAAGAAAGAAGGAAATTTTGTTGTTGTGTAGAGAGGAAGAAGAATCTGATCTTAAGTTGTAATAGAGACACACACACATACACATCTGTTACTTATATACATACATATATGCCCAATTGCAGATAATTATAGTTGATAAATAAATATTTATTAAATCCATGTCATATCGGCATATAAAGTTTTGTATGAATAGAAGAAAAACGTAGGTACTACAACTTTATATAAATAAAAAATGAGATTGAAGTATCCATAAAGCCAAACATATTTGCATCTTTAATCAGGAGGGTAAAAAGATTGATTTCTTTTATTCAACTTTGATGTTTTAAAATCTTGCTTGATTTTTCTTATTTGTAGAAAAATCCTGATATTTCAAGACCTACAGTTTAGTCAAGTGGTCCAAATTCATAATCTTAAACCAATATATTACTACATGCTTTTTAATTTGAAAATATTGGTGTTTTTGATATGTAAAAGCTCTGGTCAACAAATTGCTAAATCACATACAGAATATGTTGTATAAAAAACAACAGAATCATAACTGAAATTAATTAGTAAAATAAAACTAACAGAAATACACAAATTTCATTTCAACTTATCTGACAAAAATATAAAAATATTTTGTTGTGAATACTTATTTTATACAATCATAAAGATCCTGGAGCATGCGACAACGTAGATACGGGGTGCAAGATTATATATTATTATCCCATAAAAATCTAATAGATAAATTGATTTGGAAATATCGTAATCGTATGCGAACAAATATAATAAGAATCAAATTGGCGTATATTATTGAAAAACGAAGCAGAGAAAAAGATGGGTTGGTGTGAGTACTCTTTATAGGTTCAGTTTTGACGAACTCATTATCAAAAAGTTATAAGCAGCATACATTACTTTCTTTCCTGAACCTACTTCGACAAGACTCTTTTATTTGTTTTATGCTCTTCGTTTTTTACTTTTACTTCTTTTCTTTAGCATCGAGAAGAATCCATTCAATACAAAAGGAGGAAAAGATTGAGATTTAAGAGAAATTTTAGAATCATTGACAGCTGGTTCCGAAGTTGGATTCAATGAATTTCGAAGTTCTTGCAACATTATCTATAGTAGAGAAGTTATCTGTGAGGTTAATGGGCTTATGTGCAAATCTGTGGATTAAAGAAATGACCGAATATTGGCCAACGTATTAATTTGTATAGCTTAAGTTCGCTCGACTCTTGGAAATAGCAAGTTTAATCTTAAAGTTAAAGTTACTTTAAAGATTTTATTTTCTGGTAAGAGTTTTGGATTTAAATTTGTAATATGTTTGGTTTTGTTTAGATGTAGGTTGGATCTTGATAATGATAACTATCAAGTTTCAGAATCTTTGAAATAGACCTACGTGTCCTAAAAGGTAGTTAATATTTTTCATTATAGTATTAATAGCAGGTAACACCGTCCACGTGTGTTGGTGTTTCTAGAATATGGTCATAGTACTACTAATTAGAAATGTCATTAGATTCCATTAGAGTCGGTCTTGAGCTAGAGAGAGAGAGAGAGAGGTGTACTTAAGAGAATAACTAATTACCCCTAAAAAATAAAGTTGCAAGAATAACAACTTCATTATTAAAAGTACAATCGGAATGGAATAATAACATTTGGTGTGAATACGTGTGATGTGAGTATCCAACGTTTTATATGGAACCCAAAAAAAAAAGTGAAAAAGCAAACCGAGTTAATAATCCATCCAATAATTGAAATAAGAAGACATTCGCACACCGGATAAATAAAAAAAACCCCAACAATAATAGAAACTTGAAGCATTAATTATTACAAGTAGAAAACGAAAAACAACAATAATAGAGATTGGAAGCATCAATTATATTGGAGATAAGGAGCCATCAATAATCCATTGTTTTGGATAAAGGGTTTATGTACGTGTGCTGTTTGTTTTTACACAAATAAGATTCTATTCTTTTTTTTGGCTAAAAAAAGATTCTAAATTTGTTACCCTTTTGACTATATCAGTTTCAGATAACTTTTTTTCAAATAATTTTTCTTTTTAGGAGCATACAAACTATCGTATGCAGACTAAATATATTAATTCAAAACATTCGATCTAACCGATATAGAATAATATCAATCATAAACGTAATTGGTGTTTATAGTATTTTTGTGGTTAATTTTCGTATTGATCGTATGCGAAACGTCTGCCTGATCCTGATTCCTCAAGGGTTATCATCTAGTGAATGCACGTGTGTAAGACTCTGTATCTTTAGCTCTACGGGAAAGTCCCAATTACAACGAGTAGACTTATCTTTGACATATAATATGATAAAGTCCATGCGATTCCAGCTAACAAGATATATAACTTATTCATAAATATCAAATATTTTATATAAAAATGATGAGAGTGTTTAGTCCTTTTGAACTTTGTTGAAGTATCGAAGGTTGACAGAATCTAAAAGCCCATGAAATTAGTTTGAGACTTAAAAGAGTTGAATATGAAGCAGCAGCAATAAACGAGTCAAAGTCCATGCTTCACGCCTGTTACGTGTATTATTATGTGTCCATGTTTATAACGCAAGCCATTATCATGTCGGTGCGCTAACTTGTGTTGACTTTTTCGGTCATGCAACATTCATTTCAAAACTATATATACACATGACGTCATAAATGGATCGATCCAGTCGCCGTGCCGTTACTATAGATTAGAATAGAACTATTATTATCGATGGAAAATCTTTTCCCTTTTATGTTTAGTTTTTTTTTTTTTTTTGAACTAAATTTTTCTGTGTAGGTTGAATTTAAGTTATCCTTCAATTTGTAAAACCACTCTTCGAGCCAATTGAATATGAGTCTGTCTGTTGGTTTTTTTCGGTTTTGCAACGTAACAATTTTTAAGGATATTATTGCATATTTTCTCACATTCAACAGCGTTTACGGCAAAAGTGACGATTTTTCAAAACGCAACGTTTAAGACAAAAGTGTCAAAACGATGTTGAAATGCAGCGTTTAAGACAGAGATTCTTTGGCTTAAAATAAAACGGTCAAAACGCAGCGTTTAAGACAAAAGTGATCAAACTCAAAATACAGCAGAGAGACAGCTTCTCTGGCTTAAAACACACTAATGATTTCTCTAGAGAAGCTTAAGAGCCATCAACCCCTCTTAGACGGTATTCTTCAGATCGTAGGAGCTAAATCCATTCGTGGTTGTATAAGATTTCAGAAATCTGTAAAAAGAAAAGCACATTCTAAGCCACCCATCGAAGATAAAAACAGCAGAAAGTTTCTTGCTTTTTCATCCATTGAATCTACTATACATTGATTGGCATCTCTGCGATGATAATGCCGCTGCTTTCTTCGAGGCTTTTGAGCGTCGTTACTTCGCCTCCAACAACCATGTTTATGACAATCCCACCTAAACAGAGAAAGTCCCAAATGTTAAAATCGCCATTGTTGATGAACAAAGGAGGTTTGTTTTGAAGAAAGAAAACCTGAAGCTAAGCAAGTTGTTATACGCCTTGTATATGTCTCCTGAAACATAGTTACTACAACAGGTTAACAAAAGAAGCTTCTTTTTTTTTTATAAAACCAGAAGGAAGAAAACTTGGAATTGATTTAACAAAATACCTTCTTTGTGCGGAAAGAGAGGATTCTCCAGATGAAAGCAACGGAAGACAAACATCGCTTACAACGACCAAATGAGATTTCTCTTTTTCTTCTCCAGTTACACTCTTTTCCAAACCTTGTTGGTTCCAGCTAATTGTTGCTTGCCGGAATTTCTCTAAAACCAAAGTTCGGTCTCTCTCTGCTAGATCGCTGTACTGTAAACACAATAGATGCTGAATGTGAATATCATCTAGATGAATCACAATGCAGCATAATCTAATCTAATCCCAAAATCGAACACTGATCATGATGAACAAACCAAGTAAGACAACGATCAAGAACGAACCATTAACTCTCCAAAGATACAGAACACCAACCTAACATGTGTGAAGCAAAATATATCTGAGATGTGAACAAAGGCCATGTAACATAACCTAATGTATATTAAATCAAACACTAAGAGACGAAGAGATACCAAAGCAGCTAAGGAGATGTAAGGAAGTGTTGATAAGGAAGAGCATACGGCGTCGAGTTCGTCGCGAGAGCTGCAACAAACTTCAATCGGCAGCAATGGACGGCGTTGAATTTTGCGACTTCGGGATTTCAGTTTTGATTCAGTCTGATTCTATGGTGACACAATCACTGCACCAGAGAAGGTTCAGCTCACGGCACAAACAGAGAAGAAGAAAAAGTAAAAGTTCTGATTTTGTTGGAGTGGAATGTTCTACGGCCTCGTTTGACGTTAACAGAGTTGTTTACCCCGACTAACGGCATCGTTTAGTATTTCTTTTAACGGCTACACCCTTTTTTCGCAATAATGTCAAATTTTCAAAGCTGATATATTTTTTTTTTAAAAAGATAAAAGAGATATAAATTAATGACAACAAGAACACAGATATATATATATAGTTGTGATGTATTTATTAAATTAATGTCAAATTATTGCATTGAAATTTTGAATTCAAATATAGAAAAAACAAATAATTACAAACAAAAATTAAAACCTAAAATAAATAAATAAAATAAATATAATTTCAAAATCTTAAAAGAATGATGGTAACTTTTTTTGCGCATGTGATTGATGAAAAATCTTTAACCTGAAACAATTAAAAAACATGACTTATATACAAATTTCTTATTATTATTACTATTTTCTAATCTAATAAAATAAAAAGTTGATTGAATCTACATTAGTTATGAAAACAAAGTTGACAAAATGAATTCAAATGGCGGGATATCAAGTCCGGTTAGTTTTACAACTAATATAAGCTATATCGATTTTAAACTAATCTATATTTTAATATAAATAAATATAATAAAAAACATATCTTTTTCTTTCGATATTTTTTCCCTTTTGAGTTTCATATTTTACGAAAAATATTTTAACCTGAAACAATACAAAAAACAACATTAAGTTAGATTCAAATTTTATTTAGTGTTATTATTTATTATTTTTCTTTTTTCTAATAAAAAATTGATTGATCTATATTAGTTATGAAAACAAATTGAACATAAGTAATCTCTAACGACCAAATGAATTCAAATGGCTGGATACTATGTCCGGTTAGTTTCACAACTAATATAAATTATATCGATTTAAAACTAATTTAAGTTTTAATGCAAAGAAATAAAAAAAATAAAAATAGAGAATAAGAAACATATCTTTCTTTTTAATTTTTCTTCTCTCGGTGTCTCTTGCTTCTTGAATTTCATTTTGTAGATTTTTTTTTTAATCTGAAACAATACAAAAAGAAAGACAACACCAAATTTTTTGTTTAAATTATATTCAAAATTTTATATAATATTGCTATTACTATTATTATTATTATTATTATATAAAAAACTGATTGATTTATATTAGTTGTGAAAATAAGTTGAACATATGCAATCTCTAACGACCAAATGAATTCTAATGGCTGGATGCTATGTTCTGTTAGCTTCACAGCTAATTTAAATCTAATCAGTTTTAAACTAATCTAAATTTTAATGCAAATAAGAAAAAAGAAAAAAAAAAATTAGAATACATATCTTTATTTCTGAGTTTTGGATGCCTCTTGCTTTTTGAGTTTCATTGCATCAAAAATCATCTTGACACAAAGCACACCAATGCAAGTTACTCTGAACCATTCAGTGATCACACGGTGCTGCAAGAAAATCACCATTAAGCAATAGGAGATCATATATAGAAATACGCAGTAGCGGCAGAGAGAATCATATTGAATAAACAACGATCAAAATACGCAGTGACCAATCTTGTGTACCTCGCTAAGCAATGGTAATTTTACTCTCAACATATTGAAAAGAGGCAATGCATCCCTCTGCAACCTGTATTGGATATCAAAGTTCTTTAGGTAATAACTAAAGACAAGAAAAGACTAAAAAAAGAAGAAGATCTAAGACGGCAACTAACGTTTCTAGAAGATATGAGATAAAGTGGATAAGGTCTGATTCTGAAAGCTCGGGAGTTTTTGTCTCTTAATCTCATCCATCATAAAATTTGCATCTTTCATGTTACCCATAGATAATAAGTACCTAAAATTGCAAAAGAAGAAAAACATAAAGAAAAATCAATACATTCCCTTCACAATATGGTATATCTTAATCCAGTTAGAAAGCATAAACTTACATGAGAACTGATCGTGCAATCGCAAGGTCATCTTCACCAGGATAACACTGCAAAGTAGCATGCAAGTAAAACCATGTATAAGAAAGTCATATTACACGTCTTACGATCTGATAGAAATATTTTTGTATAACCATAAAGAAGTAGAGCGATGAGTTGTAGCAGACTAACCAAGAGTTTCATCATTGCATGACTTGGCTTTAACTAGTTGTGTCCACGAACAAAAGAGAAAGGTCCGCCCCACAATTCACCTGAGGAATCATTGTATTAATAAGAAATCACCTCTACAAAACTGAAAGATGAGAAAATAAAGATTTTTGCGAGTACATGTCACTACATGTTCCAAGTAACTACAGTCTATATCTATATAGATTAGATATATGTAATAACAAATGAAGGAAAGCTGAACAAACCAGGCTTGAGCTTGAATTTGGATACATGTAGTCCCAACAACCTCAAACTCATATCTAGCCTCGCACTGAACAAACCAGGCTGTAATAACAATCGTAGCTTATCTCTTCCAATTGCTCTGCCCAAACAAGAAGAACAAAATAAGCTACCAGTTCATAACCATCAAGAATCCACTTTTCAACCAATGACCAGAATCCTAAAAGGTCAAAAAGATGCAGAATCGAGTATTTGGTTATTAAAGAATCGAGCCAAAGAAGATCTACGAACCTTGAACTAATTGATTTGTACATCTGCAACGTTCCAGAGTAATTGCCTTCCTCTACCAGTTTCCTCAATTTATCAGTATGCTATAAGAATCTGAGGAAAAAAAACTCATCAATTTAAAGTGATCTATCTATCTCCGATGATAAGAATCGCAGGGAAATAGAGAAACGGACAATTCCAGTGAAATTAGCCAAATTTGGAAGTAAATTAAAATCGAGAGAACCTTGTCGCAGGTGAAATCGAAAACCTATCAATTTAAAAGGATCTAAGATCTTTATCTTTGAAATCGAAAACCCATCAATCTTTATGTTGATGATAAAAATCGCAAAGTGATAGAAAAATGGACAATTTGAGTGAAATTTAAAAAAAGAAATTGAGAGAACCTTGTCGCAGGTAAAATCGAAAACTCATCAATGAAAAACCTATCTTTATCTCCCTCATCGGATGTTGATGATAAGAATCGCAAGATGATAGAAATTCAGACGGACAATTCGAGTGAAATTTGAAATCGAGAGAAGCTTGTTGTAGGTGAAATCGAAAACTGTGAAAGAATGAAAACAGATTGGAGTAAAAGTACCTCTTGAACGGGAGACAATTCTCGTTTGGTCCTCTCTCGACATGGATTAGAGGTTTTTCGTTTGAATGTGGATTCAAAGATCTTCCAACGGTTCTTTTATTTCTCTGTTGAATTATTAATATTGCTGGTAGAAGATATATATAGTTCGTAGGGATTATGTGGTAATCGGTTACATTGTTCAGTAACCCGAGTTTTAACCGGCTAGACCGTGGAAATGCAAAAATCGCTGGTTTATTTTAATGGGCTCAGCTTAAGACCCAAATGAAAAGACAAGGCCCAATCTCTTCACCTTGTAAAACCCTCGAACCGTGAAAAAGCTCTTCACGATCCCAACAATGGCGGCTGCGAAGGAGATCCTGACACGGCGATCTGTAGCGGCGACGATAAGGCTGACGGTTCCGGCTGGAGCGGCACGGCCAGCACCGCCGGTAGGTCCGGCGCTAGGTCAGTACAGGCTTAACCTGATGGCCTTCTGCAAGGACTTCAACGCCCGGACCCAAAAGTTCAAACCGGACACTCCGATGGCCGTGACGATAACGGCGTACAAGGACAACTCGTTCGAGTTCACCGTTAAATCGCCGTCTGTGTCGTGGTACATCAAGAAAGCGGCCGGGGTGGATAAAGGGAGCCAGCGTCCTGGGCATTTGAACGTGACGACGCTCTCGGTGAGACACGTGTACGAGATCGCGAAGGTGAAGCAGACGGATCCGTTTTGTCAGTATATGCCATTGGAGTCGATTTGCAAATCTATCATTGGTACTGCCAAATCCATGGGGATCAAGATCGTTAAGGATTTGGAGTGATTAGGGGTTATTTTGCTTTAGCGGTGAGAGAGTGGAATCAGTCTGATGTTTTTACGAAATGATCATTTGTGTTCTTAATAATCGTATAAGCATGAATGTCAGATTGTTCTGTGTTTAATTACTCCATCTTTTTTTCTGTTTGTTTGCTTGTTTCAATGGATAATCGAGCTCCACGGCTTTTGCAATCATTTACTGGGAATCAAATTATATGGATTGAATTTGTGAATGTAAGAGTGAAACTGAGTCCAATTTGTTCAGGAGCACAAAAGATTGTTTCTTGGATCGTTTGAAGAAACTTGAAAGTTACATATAGATAGTGTTGTGGCTGAAGAACTTACAAGGTACACATAGATAGTGTTGTGGCTGTTCTCAAGGTACAAGTAAGATCTTAAAGAAACATCCATCTAAACTTTGCTCTGCTTCATGTTTTTCTCTGTAATATGTATTTTTGGAGAAACAAGAACATCACTTATGTTTCACCGAATAGCACTTGTGCCAAGCTTAGTGAAAGTTTGGGAGCAAACCGGTTTATGAGAGTTTATGAATATCAGATTTATTACTACTTAAAGGTGTGGTCAAGGAAGACAATGACTTTGGCCCTTGAGAAATAAAAAGACGACACCTGACCGGAGCAATAACTCTAACAACTCTCTCCCCTGAGAAAAAGGGCAAAATAGAGAAATAGACAAAAGTTTAAATCGGGAAAATCTGAGGCAAACCCATCGATTAAAAAACACAGAAAAGAGCAAAAAGTGGAGAGGGTCTTACGTTTTCAGGGCCACACGCAATCTCAGTGCAATTTCTCTCTTTGTCTTTCTCTCTCTCTCTCTCTCTGTTCTAAGAAAGGGAAGCTCTTTGGGTCCTCGCAAAGATCCAATTTTGACGATCAAAATCGACTCGGTGGAATTCAGACACGTCTATAGAGAGATATGTCGTGTTCATCCTCGTCCGGATCAGAAGGAGAAGAAGAGGGTTTCGATGCTTACCGGAAAGGTGGATACCACGCCGTCAGGATCGGCGATCCTTTCTCCGGTGGTCGTTACATCGCCCAGAGGAAGCTTGGTTGGGGTCAATTCTCCACCGTCTGGCTTGCCTACGACACTCGCACCTCCGTACGTATCTCTCTCTCTGTCGCTTCTGCCTACTTCGATATTTCTGTCTGTTGCTTTGATCGTAATGCTTAATTTTGATTCCCACCAATTTTGAACATCGAAGGCTATATCCATTGGTTTTCTGGAGATCTCGTGTAATCTGGGCTCTGATCTCGTTTTTTTCTATCTGAGAGTTAATTCGAGATCGAACCACATTTCAAAGACACTGTTGAAATCGAAAGACTCGTCCTTTATACAATACGCATCTGTAACTCTCAAGCCCTCTAGATTTTTGTGCAAAGATCCTTGCTTTTGCTTCATGTGATGATGATTCTGATTTTGAAATGGTGGGCGAGAACCCTAGATTTGGCATTGTACTACTCTCTTGTTAACCAGTTAAGCAAATTTGTTTGTTCGAATTAAATGATTCTAGAATCATAAGAATCTGTATATGTGTTGTTGATGTCTCTTTTTGGCAGAACTTTAAACATAGGCAGATCATTGTAATATAAAAGTCTATCCTAAGAATGTTTTGCTCTGTGTATATGTGTGGTTGATGTCTCTTTTTGGGCAGAACTACGTCGCTTTGAAGATTCAGAAGAGCGCACAACAGTTTGCTCAAGCTGCACTTCACGAAATCGAATTCCTTTCAGCTGCTGCTGATGGAGATCTCGCCAATGCCAAATGCGTTGTTCGTCTTATCGACCATTTCAAGCACGCTGGTCCCAACGGGCAGCATTTATGCATGGTGCTCGAGTTTCTCGGCGATAGCTTGCTCCGTTTGATCAGATACAACCGTTACAAAGGCCTGAAGCTGGATAAAGTCCGGGAGATTTGCAGATGTATACTGACTGGTTTGGATTACTTGCACCGTGAGCTCGGCATGATTCACTCTGACTTGAAACCTGAAAACATCCTTCTCTGTTCCACCATTGACCCTGCCAAAGATCCGGTGAGATCCGGACTAACACCGTTATTAGAAAAGCCCGAGGGAAACGCAAACGGAGGAGGAGGAGTGTCCACCATGAATCTGATTGAGAAGAAGTTAAAGAGGAGAGCGAAAAGAGCGGTTGCTAAAATATCAGAGAGAAGATCATCAATGGTGGGTACTTTAGGTGAGGAAGCATCTTCGAAGACGGAGAGAAGTCTCGATGGGATCGATATGAGATGCAAAGTGGTCGACTTTGGTAACGCTTGCTGGGCTGATAAACAGTTTGCGGAAGAGATACAAACGAGACAGTATCGAGCTCCTGAAGTAGTACTAAAGTCAGGATACTCTTTCTCTGTTGATATGTGGTCTTTTGGTTGTACGGCTTTCGAGCTTGTCACAGGGGATATGCTGTTTGCTCCTAAAGAGGGAAATGGTTATGGAGAAGACGAGGTAAGACCTAAAACCTAACCTCAAGAGCTTGCTTGCTTCTTCTTATTCTTCTTCTGATGTGGTTTTGGTATATATGGTTTTTGGACTTAGGATCACCTTGCTCTTATGATGGAACTCTTAGGAAAAATGCCTCGGAAGGTATTGTTTTTGCTATTGCTTTTTTATATGTTTTCTTGCAATTGCTTGTGTTTTCTGACGTGCTTGATGTGAAGCAGATTGCGATTGGAGGAGCGAGATCGAAAGACTATTTTGACAGGCACGGCGATTTAAAGAGAATCCGGCGATTGAAGTATTGGCCACTCGATCGCTTACTGATTGATAGATACAAGCTTCCCGAAGCAGAGGCAAAAGAGTTTGCCGAGTTTCTGAGCCCGATCCTGGAGTTTGCGCCAGAGAAACGACCAACTGCTCAACAGTGCTTGGAACATCCATGGATGAATGTAAGTACACAGAACAATGCAGATAATGTAGGATCCCAAATGAGAAACTTGCAGATCAAAGGCTGAAAGAAACTCAACTTCGTCATTTTGTTTTTCTTTTTTTTCAATACATTTTGTTCGTGTTTTCTTTTTGAACAATTTCGATATTTTTTTATGTTTAATTGTTCTTTGTATTTTTGGGGGAACTATGATTGTTGGTTAACCATTGATGTCAGATGTTGCTTATAAAGAATTTCGTTGTAGTAAGTTGATGATTTGACTAACAAGGATATTTCATCTTCTTGAAAATGGTATGCCTCCTCATCCCGGTTTACTCTGGAGCTGGGTCATATTCGATTGATTTTGGTATTATTGTTAAATGTCAATTGGTTGGGGTTTTCATCAGGATAGGGTGATTTTTCTCTCTTTTTTTTTTTAATTTAAAATTTCGAGACTGACAAAAAAAATAAAAAATTCACATGATCCCGTTATTAAAACGTGTTGGATGGTGCTAAAAGTTAAGATCATTGTTTTTGTCTCATTTCCCTTAATTTGTTAGTTTCTCTTTTGTTTGCCTCAGTTTTTGAAGTGTTTGTTAGGTTTTCTTTTGCCATTTATGCGTCACCACCTGAATTCATACATGCACAATCCTGATCAAAACCCGAACACATGGATGAGATAAATCTGGTCATGACAAAATAAAGTCCCCAGTTTAGACATGTCACTGTCAACGTATTTATTCAAGTAATAAAAACTACGTTCTATAAACTGAAATCAATTTAGTTATTAGTAAATTTAAAAGCGACATGGCCAGATGGTTTTTACTTTCAGACCACATGTGACGTGCATGACTGAGCTTTTGTCTTTCTCATTCTCAGATTTGCATATATATATTTCTCATTCTGTCTGTGTCACACGTTCCATATCAGCACGTGGATCTACTCGTGACACACCCTGTATCCAATCGTTGTAATTTACCCACTTCTTTTTGGTCAGATTAATTTATTCTCTTTGTTTATTAGATTCATAGACCATTATTTTCAATGTTTTAACAAATAAACCCATTTCTTGAGTAATGTTGTAAAGAATAGGAAAAAAAAGATAAATCAAAACATAACATTCAACAAAAGTGAGTAATTTTCCCTCATCTATGAATCCAAATATCAAACCAAGATGGTTTCCAGTATATATGTAGATATAATATTATTTCCAGTATCATAACATAAATTCAAACACATCCAAAAAAGGAAACAACAATGTGATTCTTCTACTCAAAATGGCAATGCTGACCAAATCTTGAATACACGGTGTCCCTACGACCGTACGGCTTTGTTCTGCTTCACACATTCCGGAGCCTTCAGGTCCTGGCATTTCCATGACGTTTTTGATCCCGGTACGACCGAGATCACACCGTCTTCCGGCGGATGAGCCACGGAGGAAGTTCCGTTTCCTTGGTCCCTAGAATTACAAATGCTCAAAGGAAGCTTCTTTAGCTTCACTCTTCCTCTTCTTTTAGCCAATGAGTTACTTTCTTCCTCTGTTTTTTCCTTCCCCGGTGTCGGAATCGAATCCGGTTCATCCGGTTTAAACACTTCGGGCGTCTTCCTGTTTAATTCTAACCGTTCATACGAGCTGTCTGAATCCACAACCCCAGCAATGTCATCGGTCACTCTACTACTCCCAACTTCAACTACGGTCTTGTTCATCTTCTGCTTCTTGTTAATTCGACCATCCTCCTCGTAACCGGAGCGAGTTCCCAAGACATTAAGGTACCTACCGTCTATAGCTCGATGCAACCTACGCGCTTCCTCGTCTCTTAACCGTCCCTTTGAATACAAGAACTCAACGGGGACTTGTTTCTTCTGCTTGTTCTTCTTAAGAGGCCTCTCCTTGCAATCAGCAACAACAGCCATTGCTTCTTTAGGGAAAGAATCAACCAGTTCCAGTGCCCTCTTGGCTGCAGCGATCGCCCTTGCGGAAATCAAGGCCTTCTCGTTCGCCACTGCCCTCGCCGCCTTTGCGGCTTTCACCGCTAAAGCGGCGGCGGATCTCGCTGCCTCCACGAGCTCTTCCGGTGACTGATTCTGGTCGGTGTTGAAACGGGAGGCTAATAAGTTGTCGAGATGGGTTTGGACATCGGTTGGAGCAGAGGAGGAGGATCCGTTTGAGTTTGAAGTTGAGGAAGAAGAAGCGAAAGCTGAAGGAGAAGGCGAAGAAGAAGAAGAAGATCCGTTGCTGTTGGAGTTTAGTTTCTTGAAACCAGCAAGTAATCGCTTTCTAGGAGGGAGATGCGAATCGGAATCGAGCTGAGTCATGTCACAAGGACTCGTCTCCATTGAGTTAGCTATAAAACCCAAATCGGAGAAACAATGATACAAAGTTAGTGTCTTAGTTGCGAGATTGTAAATCGGATTAATTAAAAGGATCGGAATTCGAATTATGGATGAGATCGGAATCAGAGTACATACATCTAAATCATTCGCTGATTCAGATTTAAAAAAGTAAAAACAATCCGATACATTAACGATCGATACTTGATGCAATCGTGAAGGAAGAACATTAACGGATCATCAAAAACCTTTTTTTTTCAAATATGGCATCTCTAAACTCAGTTTTAAAATCTCACAGAATTCTCATAATTAGCAACAGAATAAGCAGCAAAATTGACATGAAGAACATGTGAATTACTCGATCATAAGGTGATCGATGAAAAGGAATTACGCAGCATTGAAACAAACAATAATCATGAATCAAATAAAACATAAGAAAACAGAGTGCCAGATGAACGAGCGATTCGATTTTACCTCTGCGCTTCTTTCCAGTTTCTTACAAGGTGTATTGCCACAGCTTTGAAGTCATCTTGTCGTCTCGGTTTCTCGGGGAAAAGGAAAGAGAAAGAGATGGAGAAGGAGAAACAGAAGAGGGAAGATGAGAGAGTGGAGGAGAAGGAAAATTAGGGTTTGCAGAGGGAAAGAAGGAGAGGAAATAGCAATGGAGAAGAGAAAGACAAGTTTGTTCCAATTTCAATTTTATATGTAAACCCTACAAACTCCTTCGTCTCTCTTTCTTTTAGATTTTATTAATCACTTAACATTTTTAGTAGTTTTATAAAATTTGCTTTTTACAGTTCTCTCCTACGTGACATTGACAAGAACCGCAGAAAATTCACCAGCTGGTTTATACATGTCCTCCGTCTAACCATAATAACGGCCGTCATGTCTTTCCTTCTTTCTTCACGGAGTTACTTTTTTTTTTTTTTTTTTTGGCGTCGGATGTTATTTTATTTAACCTACAGCTTTTACTTTGGAAAATACTTAATCACCGAGAAAGTACTTAATCACCAAGAAAGAAAAAAGAATTGAACGTGTGTACTAGCTACCATATGATATGAGTGACGTGATTTAGAATTTATGGTGGATGAATATAAAAGCAACGTGGATGAATATTTAGTCTGGAGAAAAATAATCAAAAGATCGATGTATTAAACTAATCTTGATAGAATTATGATCAGTATTCCCTACTAGTGACAATTAATATGTTTGGCGGTGATAGTCAACTTCACCATCCACTTGCCGTGCCATTTCATTCTCAATAGACCCCCCCCCCCCCCCCCCCCCCCAAAAAAAAAAAAAAAAGTAAAATAGAAAATTATGCAATTATTACATCGTAATTATCATTACTGTCTGACCAAACCAACACCATAAGAAGAAATATCAACATTAACATCACTGAACTCTTTTTCTTCCGTCTCAACCTAATTATTTTTCATTTTACAGTTTCATTAACTATTTTCGAATTCAGTTCTTCTGATAAAGATTCTGTTTATCTTTTTTTTATGATCATTAATAAGACTGTGCTTAGCCATAATAATTACGAATATTTTGCAAGAGCTGGGTGGTCTACCGACGCATGGCACTAAGGTTAAGACAATGGCTAAAGACAAATGGCCTTTAAAAGTGTAAGTGGGGTCTGCAATAAACATAATAAAAGCCTGAAAAGAAAAATATTTATAAACGACGGATACATACACGTCGTCGTTTTGGAAAACCCTAACCCCAAATTTCTGATTTTCCCTCCAGTTCCACAGTTGCTGAACCATTCCCGTTAAGAGCGAGCGAGAAAAAGGTGCGAGAGGCGATTCCTTCTTCTCCACTTCATGTCTAATTGCGATAAACAATCTCGTAATCTCCCTTAATTGATACCCGCGAAATTTAATTCTCTTAAGATTTTGGGTTTTAGGGTTTTGTTTCTCGGTGTCTCATTCGGATAATTCGGAGATGAAGACGATCAAGCCCTTGCCGGAAGGTGTTCGTCACTCCATGCGCTCCGGAATTATCATGTTCGACATGGCGAGGGTCGTGGAGGAACTCGTCTTCAACAGCCTCGATGCTGGTGCGACCAAGGTCAACAAAATCAAAACCCCCCCTCCGCTGATTTCTTCTGGTTCTGGAACATGTTTTGGAATTCTGCTAATTGATATCTTTATTTCGCAGGTGTCTATCTTCGTGGGTGTTGTTTCGTGCTCCGTGAAGGTTGTGGATGATGGTGAGTATAGTTAAGCTGCACGATGATTATATTTTACCTTTTGTGCAAATGATTGAATCTTAATTTGGAAACTTTTACTGATTTGGTCTCCAGGATCAGGCATTTCCAGAGATGATTTGGTTTTGTTGGGAGAAAGATATGGTAATTTCTCACTAGAATCTTCGATCAGATGCTTTGTTTTTCTCATAAAGGACGATTTTTTTTTTGGTAAAAGCTATTTGTTAGTTTACGATTGAGAAACTTATCATGAGCAATGTGCGCAAAACAGCTACTTCAAAGTTTCACGGCTACACAAATGTGGAGTCAACCAGTGAAAGTTTTGGCTTCAGAGGAGAGGCCTTAGCTTCGATATCAGATATCTCGTTGCTGGAAATCACGACAAAAGCTATTGGGAGGCCTAATGGTTTTCGAAAAGTGATGAAGGTATGGGATGGCTTTTGACGCAACTCAACACTCTTACATAATCTGTGTGTGACGTTGGCTATGGTTTAAAACTTCTCACCACGCTTTTCAGGGATCCAAGTGTCTACATCTTGGAATTGATGATGGTAGAAAAGACTCTGGCACGACTGGTAATGTGTCTTTTGTCACCATTGCTTTTTTAAATACGACGGTGAAATGCATCTGCTCAGTTTTTAGTTTCCTTTGGCAATGGCATGACTTACTTCTGATGTTGACGTGGCTGATGCAGTAACGGTCCGAGATCTATTTTACAATCAACCAGTGAGACAGAAATATATGCAATCCAGGTTCATTTCTTAGACACTTAGATATCCGCATTCATCTTCGCCTTGTCTAAAGTTCTATGAAATGCGACCATGTTTATTTCTCTCCCACTAAATTCATTTGTTTACTTTTTGCAACGGAAGCCCCAAGAAAGTGTTGGAGTCGATAACAAAGTGTGTGTTCCGGATTGCCCTTGTGCACTCTAATGTCACCTTCAATGTTCTTGATATCGAAAGGTGGGTTCCTACTTTCATTTAAAGATCCTTATGAATTCAGCCCTTCTGATAGTTTCCTTGTTACAGTGATGATGAACTTTTCCAAACCAATCCTTCTTCTCCAGCATTTTCGCTACTGATGAGAGATGCAGGGACCGAGGCTTCGAGTTCTCTTTGTAAAGTAAACGTTACAGATGGCTTGCTGAATGTCTCTGGGTATATATCTGGTCCTGGAGATAGTTTCAAGGTAAGTTACTTGCTCACTTATGAGCTCCAAGATTATTACCCTTGTTTGTCAGTTTCAATGTTGAGCCTTACCTTTCTGTACTATTGTGGTATTTTCCTTGCAGGCTTTGCAGTATATATGTATCCTTATTTGTGCATCTTTTTATGTGCGACTGTACATGAAGAATCTTCTGCGGTTTAAGTTAAGAAGTTTCTGTATATGGTTGTATGGCCTTCACGGTGACAGATATCAATTCAAGATTCATAAGCAAAGGGCCCATACATAAGCTGCTGAACAACCTGGCTGCTAATTTTGAGTGTACGGATGACTGGAAGCCTACAGATGGGATACAACCAGGAAGACGTAACAGAATTCTATCCAATCCTGGTTACATTTTGTGCATAACATGTCCTCGTCATCTCTATGAACTCTCGTTTGAACCATCAAAGACGAATGTTGAGTTCAAGGTATTAGATTTCTCGTGTGATCTAAAATTTCAGTTAGATTTTTGATATTTTGATGATTGCCTATATCATCTGTCGCAGAATTGGGAACCTATACTTGGCTTTATAGAAAGAATCATTCTCGCCAACTGGAAGAAAGATACAAGTCTTGGTATGCCTCGCTTTTGTCAAGCTCTGATAGTATCCCTAATATTTCTGGGTTTTCCAATATTTTCTTACGGTCTTTTCATAGAACTTTTTGATGGAGGAGCTGACCTACTGGCAAAAGTTGATAGACAAGACCTGATTGATGACATGGGTAGACTTCAAGAAGGTACACAAATTCTCATACTGTTACCGTTATATAATTATTTAGTGGAATGGGGCTGCATCTATTCTTCGTCCCTTTTATATTTCCAGTCAGCTTTTAACAAAGCTTCATTTTCTAGATGCAGAGTGGCCAGAAGCTATGGAACCTACAAAAAAGAAGCTCAAGAGATGTAATGATCAGGCACCTTGTAGTTTTCTCTTTCCCCCGTCTGAAGACTTTAAAAGAGATGACGATTATATGTCTCAAGGAAAGGACAAATGGTCTCCAAAATATACACTTGAAGTGAAAATTCAGAATCTCAAAGAGCAAGACACTGTAGCTGAATATGTCCGCCAGAGTAATTCTCTTCTACAGTCATGTGACATAGAAATGCAAAAGAATGAAGACTTTCCACAAGCTACTGGCCTAGAAAGAAGCTTGGTTTCTGGCGCTAAGTGCAGCAGACAGTTTCTAACAAGATGCCAGATTAGCACACCTCTCAACATCAACCATGAGTTTATGAAAGATTCAGACGTATTAAATTTTCAGTTCGAAGAATTTAAAGATGAGTTGGATGTGAGCAATTCCATTGGGAAGCATCGCTTGCGTGGTTCCTCTTCAAGAGGAAGCCTAGCTCTTCATGAGCCTAAACTATGTCATGGTGAAAGGTCTGAATCTGTCATGCCAATGATACTTAATGAAGAACGAAGTAATTCACTGATTCATGTCCTAGAGACCAGAGAAGGTGGTTCTTACAGTGATGTTTTTTCTGATACTCCTGAATATCATGGAATGTCCAGGACTCCTAATTGTTCCCTAGGGAGGCCATGGCAGGGTAGTGATTGGTTTACTCCACAACGTTCCTCAGATAGCACAAGTGATGGAGTTGGTAAAGATTTTAACATCAACCTCGTAGATACTGCGGAATTTTGTTCTGATGAAGACAAATTTGTCGAGAAAAAGTTCTATTCCTCTGTCAATCTGGGGTGCTTTGGTCCTGATAGTTTCCGTTTGAATTCTGAGTGGTCTCCAATGTTCTCCACACCTCCTTCTGCGACCAAGTGGGAGTCTGATTATCAGAAAGGTTGTCAGATTCTTGAAGGGAGTTTGAAACTGGGAAGGATGCCTGACCCTGAATATTTTGCCAGTGCAGCTAATAACATCAAAGATCATATCATACCTCAAATCGATTGCTGGGAAACTGGCATAGATTCTGTCACAGATATTCAGAACTGCACTCAGTTAAATGAAAAGATTTTGCAGCCATTGTGGGGGCATGCAGATATTGTGGGTATTGAACAATATAGTATCAGGAAGGACAAGTTCAGTTGTAGGGATGGCACACAGAATAATGTTGGTAAACGAAGGTCAAGAAGAAGCCGCTCTGCTCCTCCATTTTATCGTGAGAAAAAGAGATTTATCAGTTTAAGTTGTAGATCAGATGCAAAATTAAAGAACTCGGATCCATCAGGTTCATACTACTGATTTTTCTCAGATGTGGTTTATTTTGTTGCTACTGTTGTTTTGGTTTTGGGAATTTGGTGCTAGAAATGAAACTTATGAGGTATAACTTTCTGCAGAACCTGATGATTTGGAGTGTTTGACACAACCTTGTAATGCATCTCCTATGCATCTTAAGGGCAGTATCCTTGATGATGAGTCATATGACCACATACAAGAAACGGAAAAAAGCTTGAGTTCGGCCTCGGACTTGAAAGCATCTGCTGGTTGCAGGACTGTGCACTCAGAGACCCAAGATGAGGATGTAGACGAAGGTAAGTATTAATCTTAAATTAGCTGTCTGTCTCTGTAGTAGATAAATCAATTCCAAGACACTGTCACAAAAGGTTAGACATTAGATTTTGTCTTATCTCCCAGGTCGTTGTAGTAGTTGTCAATCAAAATGTGCATCGTGACAAGTTTGGTATATGAGTCAGGATGTTTCCTTTTTTCTCCCCTCTTTCATCTGTAGTATTTAACTACGTTACCTATTTCGCAGACTTCAACTCAGAGGAAAATCTGGATCCAATTAAATCCACAACGAAATGGCGCCATAACTGTTCAGTCTCTCAGGTTAAGCAAATTGAAAGTGTTTGTTTTTGCCTAATAGACTGACTCTCCGTTTCAATGGAAGACAACTGAGCATCCATAATATTTTCCGTTGTTGTGTCAGGTTGCCAAAGAATCACACGAGCTTCATGACCGAGATAGTGTACTTGATATATGTTCAGGATTTTTGCACCTCCGATCCGATGAATCCTTGGTTCCTGAATCTATACACAGACACTCCCTTGAAGATGCCAAGGTTCTACAACAAGTTGATAAAAAATATATTCCACTCGTTGCTTGTGGAACAGTTGCCATTGTTGATCAGGTTCATCCTATATCATCTCTTTCTTCTCATTTTTCTAAAAGTCTAGACACTTTATCTGATTATGGTTGAAGATTTTCTTCAAACTAGGACAACATTAGTTGTGGAAACTATTGCTCTTAGTAAATGTCTTGCTACAATTTGATCTGAGTGTGTCATTTTTTTTTCAGCATGCTGCCGATGAAAGAATTCGTTTAGAGGAGCTGCGTAAAAAGGTAAGAGCATTTTCTAACCTCTTGCTCATGAAACCATTTTTCTAATGTTTCCTAGTTCCTATTTTGGACAAAGTTGTGCTTTATCAACTGACAAGACAATTGAAATTACTAGGTCCTGGCTGGGGAAGCAAGGACAGTCACCTACTTGAGTGCAGACCAAGAGTTGGTACGTTCGAACATGATATATTAGAAACCAGCATCTCCTGGAATTGATCAGATTTGTCTGCTCTGCCCCAGTATATTGATGATGCATCATTAATTTTCTATGTTCACATAAAAGGTACTGCCAGAGATGGGTTATCAGTTACTCCAGAGCTATTCAGAGCAGCTAAGAGACTGGGGTTGGATCTGCAACATTAATGTAGAAGGCTCAACATCCTTTAAGAAGTAAGTTTTCTCTTACGGTCCCTTCAATATGCCGCAATACGTTTATTTTATTGCTTAAGAATATGCAATACATGATCATTGTGTTTTAGAGATTCTCTCAAATTAAACGGGTGATTAATGTTTTCCTTTTCTACAGGAACATGAGCATCATCCAACGGAAACCAACTCCCATCACACTTAATGCGGTTAGGCGCTGAATCGTTTCACTTAGATTCTATTCTCTGTGGGATTCTATATGGGTCACTTGAATGATCAGTCTGTTTTGCACCACTTGTAGGTCCCATGCATTATGGGTGTAAATCTATCAGATGTTGATCTATTGGAGTTTCTTCAGCAGGTACGCTCTGAATCATGCTTACCTTTTCTCTTTTAGTTACTTTAAGATTCCTACTCAACTTTTGCCAAACCAGCTTGCTGATACTGACGGATCATCAACAATTCCTCCATCAGTTCTTCGAGTCCTAAATTCCAAAGCATGTAGAGGTATGTTTCACATCTCTCCAGAATTGTTATGTATGTTCAAGGAATAGTTGGTGACTACCTCTCAGCACTTAGTTTCACTGCGAATTCTGTCTCCCTCTACAACTGCTTAGGTGCAATTATGTTCGGAGATTCTCTGTTACCCTCAGAATGCTCTTTAATCATCGAAGGACTGAAGCAGACCTCACTTTGTTTCCAGGTCAGTAAGAAACACCAAATCTTACCCTAAAGGATTCCTCTATAATCAACTTAACCCATTACTCTTTGCGGACAGTGTGCTCATGGGCGACCAACGACTGTTCCTCTAGTAAATTTGAAGGCATTGCACAAACAGATAGCAAAGCTCGATTCTAGACAACCATGGCATGGGTTCGAACGCAGAGAAATCACACTTGATCGTGCTAAGTCACGCTTAGATGAAGCTAAAAGCTGAAAAAAGTTGGACCTCTATAAACTACTTTCTCAGTAAATAACTACTATATTCTCTCAGTCACACTGTAAATCTGTTCCGTAGATGTATAGTATAGTTACTAGTTAGGTTGATGCCACACTCGAGTTTGCAATTTCATATATAACTCATTGTATTCTTTGCACTAGATTAATATACAATAAAATGATCCAAGATCCAAAATATTTGAGAAAAAAGTTCACCAGTAAAGACTTTTTAAAAATTTCAACATATTGTGCTATCATCTTTGACATAAAAGCAACAAATCTACAAGTTCTTTGATCTAACAACTTCTGTGCTTGTCTTGTAACGGATCTCCCATGTGTCTGCTTCTTCTGGTAGTAGATACGAGATACTTCACGTAGATGCTTGACCAGATACATCATGTTCTTCTTCAGTTATTATTTCACTTTGATCTGTTCCAATAACAGCACATAATGCCTTCCAAATGGGAACCAGCATCTTCAATGATGGACGCAGCTCCTGTACAAACAGGCAACTGAACTTAGAATCAATGGCCAAAAGAAACAATATAATGTTCCCAGATTGAATAACTGGTAGCTCGTGATTATCAGCAAAAGTTTCTCTCAGAATGTATTGGAAACAAACTGTTTGCATTACCTTAAACACCAATGTAAGCTGTTCTTCGCCCCGCAGAAATAAGGAAAGACTCCAGTAACATGTAACGGGGGTGACACATTCGACAAGCACAGGCTTCAAAATCTTGCCAATAGGGATAAACCTGGAGACAGTTTTTCCACTGAAAAGCAGACACACGTACAAAAATTAACTACTTTTGTCTGATTGGTAAAAGCACAGATGAAAATTTTAGAACTAATTCCACCATTACCACCTCTCTAATAGGCCATTAATATGCTGTAGTTCAAAGCATCAAGTCATCATGGAGTGAAAGACAATATACACTAACTAAATGGATAAAGCGTACCTTAAATATTGAGTTTCAAGTTGGATCCCGAAGGTTGGCATGATTATAACAGATTCTGAACAACTCAAACAATAAAAAAAAGAATCAGTTTTAAAGATGTGAAGACTCTATTTTTTGGTGAAACTTTAAGCCGTGTAACAAGGTCTCACCTTTCTTGACAAACTTCCGACTTTGTATCATAACAAAGAAACCACTTAAAAGGCAGCTCCAAGAAAGACTGCTAACTGGATTGTCCTGTTTCATGTGAATCAATTACCCCCTTTCAGATATAGATGGAACATCAACAAAACAACCTTGTAATGTAACACAAATTAAGAAACGTGCTTTATCATTCACTCGTACTATGCACTAGCCTCAGAATTACTCGCAAGCAATATCATATGTAGATAACAAACATCTCCTCACTACCTTTCCAAGAAAAAAGTAGATAGAAATCGCCAAAAGCACAAGGAAGAAAGCAAGCCCTCTACGGCGGGCAAAACCAGTTGCTTTGCTTCCATTGATGATCACATGGTGAACGTCAATGGCTCCTCCAGGTGGCTCACTTTCACTTTCGCGTATGTAAGTGTATCTCTTATTCGAAAGAGACAGGCTCACCATTCGAAACCTAGTTTAGTTGAAACACACACACTGTATGTATGAACGTCGTTTACTCCAACCCATATAGGAGGAGCCTCTCTAAGACCAGCTTCTCAATACCCAAGCGACAATTTTCAGACTTTTAATTCTCAATGGAATCGTGCAGTAACAAAATTTCTCTGCGGATTTCTGTCGAGCAACATGTGTGCATTACAACCCCGTTTCACTATTAAAAACCATAAGCCTCATAAATCTCGCCAACTATCTCCACACAATTAAACTATATATCAAACAGGAAGAAGAAAGGATTCTCACGGAGCCGACGACTAAAATCCGCAATTCCTAAGATTGGAGTCAAACGGAAAAAAAAAAAAAAAAAAATGTATATCAAATCTGAGCCGGCTTCTCTTACCGGTGAAGAGAAGAAGACGATATACTTGCGGTGGACTGAAAAAGTCGAAATCCAAACGATCTGCCGTTTTATTTAATTGCATTAACGCCTTGCCGTTTTTTCAATCTCGAAAAAAGTATATAAACCTAATTTAGCTTTAATTTTTTTTTTAAGGAAAAGACACAAATCTAATTTTTCATTACTTTCATCTCTCCCGGTCCTTCTCTAATCGCCGCCGACTCGCCGTCGAACCGATTTGCGTTTCGCTGTCATCCGTCGGCTTGTTCCCCCTGGGGAAAAAACCCTAATTGAAAGTTTGAGACTTTTCCGATTTCAATCATGCCGTGCAAGAGATGCAGCGGCAGCAACTTTCTACGCGACGAAAACACAGGGAATTCGTTTTGCGCCGACTGTGGGACATTACAAGAGTACGACAACTACGAGGCACAGCTCGGCGGCATAAAAGGACCTGAGGGTACATATATCCGAGTAGGCACAAGCGGCGTGGGCTCTGTTCTTGCTTACAGAGAGAAGAAGATCTTTGAAGCGAACAATTCGATTGAGGAAATCACAGAGAGGTTGAATCTCGGTACTAAAACTGACGAGATCAAGAGGATGATCAGTAAAATCACAGATGGGGAGTTTGGGGAAGGTGAGTGGTTCTCGATTCTGATTGGTGCGTGTTGTTACGCTGTGATAAGAAAAGAAGGGAAAGGTGTTTTGCCTATGGAGGAGATCGCTGTTGCTGTTGGGTGTGATTTGCATCAGCTGGGGAGTATGATTAAGCGTGTTGTGGAGCATTTGGAGTTGAAACTGCAGGAGTTTGATCTTGTTGGTTTGTTCACCAAGACGGCGACTAATTCGTCGAGATTGATGGATGTTGATAGGGGGAAGAAGGAGAGAGTGATAAAGCAAGGTGTTTTCTTGATGAATTGCTCGTTGAAGTGGTTTCTGTCTACGGGGAGGAGACCGTTGCCTTTGGTTGTGGCTGTTTTGGCGTTTGTCTGTCAAGTGAATGGTGTCAGTGTAAAGGTTGATGCTTTGGCCAAAGATGCTCACGTTTCGTTGACTACTTGTAAAAAGCGGTATAAAGAGTTATCAGAGAAGCTTGTGAATAGTGCGCAAGAGTTGCGTTTGCCTTGGGCGAAAGATATTACCGTGAAGAATGTTGTGAAATATTCAGGGACTTTGATTGGTCTGATGGAAGCCAAGTCCATGAGAAAGAGAATCCAAGGGGAGGGGAATGAATTGGTTACAAGTGATGCGTTTTGTTTAGAGGATATAGTGAGGGATTGCTTAAGCAAAGATGTGTATTGTTATGATGATAATGATGGTGGTCAAGATCATTTGTCTCGGTATTTTGATGCAGGAGGTGAAAGCCAGCTTAGTCTATGCAACGGCAATGATAAGATATCGGAGAAACAGTTAACTACTACAGTGAATGGAGAATTCGAAGATGGAAGAGTTGAAAGAAGTGAGGGAGACAATAACATTAGGAGATCGTTTTTTCAGATGGTTTCGAGTGAAGATTGGTGGAAGGGGAAATCGAAGTTGTGTCAAAGGCTTTCGCTGAAGGAAGTGTTGGAGAAAGATGTAGGGCTTGATGCTTTGCCTCCTTCTTACATTAAAGGTTGCGCTGCAGTCGAAAGGCGAAGAGCGAAGATTAAGGCGGCAAAGTTACGGATTAATGCGATACAACATCCTTCTGACATTGTTGGTGGAAGTGAGTTGTCTTTGGAGGTTGAACATAGCAAGAAGAAAAGGAAGATAGGATCTGAAATTGATTGGGAGGATTTGGTTATACAGACTCTGGTCCTACATGATGTGAACGACCAAGAAATCGAGAAGGGTCATTACAGAACTTTGCTAGAGTTGCATGTTTTCAACTGAAATTGTAATGACTGGATCATTTTTTTGTTTTTCTTACTTTAAATTATTAATTAAGGAGAATGAGAATCGTTCTGAATGCAGAAAAACATCAAAGCAAGAGCATCACAAGCAATATTCCATGTAAATAGTTTCTCTGAAACTGATAATATAAAGATGATAAACTGCTTGTTTCATAAAATCCTTAGAACAAAAACCATTAAAAACCCCAGAAAAAAAAAAGATCTAAAACTGCTTATGACTGACTACGAAATCCATTCCTTCACTCTGAGAAAAATTTCCTTAGCTTTTATTAATCACCCTGACATGCCATAATCTTGAACATGATCATAAAGGTTGTAACTTTCAGACAATCCCATCTTTCCCACAAGATGCTCATCCCCTGCAAACACAAAATCACAGCAAACTCTCTGAGTATTGTACAGACACAACTCACAAACTTTCTTGTCTGTTGTGTTTTACACTCGGCGTTGCTAATATATTATAAAGAATGTACTTACTCGGGTTTGATAGAACTCCTAGCAAGTGAAGATCTGAGCTCATCTCAGGGCTCTGGAAGCAAAGATCTTGAGGCCTAGGACTAGTATCTGTTGTCCCAACGGCATTGTTGCTGTTGTTACCATCAGGTTGAACAAGAAGAGCCTCTGGCCTCTTTCTCTTGTCATTCAACGACTCAGTTTCAGTCTCCACCTCAGACTCGCCATTGTTGTTGCTAGAAGAACCACCACCGTGCTGCTTCCTCTTGGAACGAGCACGCCGGTTCTGGAACCAATTGTAGACGTTTTGATCAGCAATCTGGCCGTGCTGGCTCAGCTCTTCGGTTATGTCTTTGATCTTCTGCTTGCTCGGTGTTCCCGTGCCTTGATCGAATATACGCTCCAGAATCTGAAGCTGCACCGGCGTAGGAGTCCACCTCTGTCTAGCAGTCATCTTGTGACCAATAGATGACATCATTGGGTCTGCGTATAGACCTACCATTCTCCCTCCTGTTTTAACACCAAAGAGAGAAAATTGAAGTGGAAGCAAAGCTGTTGAAGTTGGACTAAATGTAAAAAAACTCAAAACTTTATATCTAAGAAACAAGCATCAAGCAGAGATACGATTCCAAAATTCCTCAAGAACCCTATGCTAAAGCATTCTCTTTTCAACTCAAAATTCAACGAAAGGGTTTGGTCTACGCATCAGATTTAGACCGCTAATTACGCCAATAATGATTAAAAAGGCAGAGAATTTTCAATTGCCCATTTCACCAAAGTGAAGAAGGAAGGCTAAATCAATCAAACCACACACAAAAGTTCTGAAAATTTTAAAATTACAAAACGAACCCTTTTTTCTTTCTTTATGTGAACAGAGAAATAAACTAAATGGAAGAAGGAGGAGGAAACCTGCAAGATCTTGTTGAGCAGTGAGAGTTTTGTGCATCTCAACGAGACGCTCACAAATGGTGGCGTAGATAGCAATCTGTTTCCTCAGAGTTTCAAGCTGCTCGTCGGTCATCACCTTCACGTACATTCCTCCTCCTCCTCCTCCAACGGTGGCGCCGGAGCCACCATTAGCGTCGATCCCTTGGAAATTAGAAGAGTGGGGGTTATTGGGTTGCTGCTGATTATCCCATTCCATCATCTCTTTTGTCAGAATTTCGTCTTTTCTTCTCTCTCTTTTTACTCGCTGTGTGAATGAAGGAAACAGAGGAAGTCAGTGCTTTTTTCCGGGAGTAGAAGGAAAGGTAAAGGCAGAAAAAGACAAAAAGGAGAAGAAGCTGAATTTATGTATTTATGAATTATAGCCGTTTATAGTTTATTTATGGTACGTAGCCGTTAATATATATTTATTTATGGAATTACCATGCCATTCGAAATATTTGGTTAATTATATAGCCGTTAATATTTATCAACGAATGAAATTTTTCGTTACCGGCCAAAAAAGGAGAATGAAATTGTCGTTTAATTCTTATTTTTAATGACTGGTTTTTTAAAGAAATTAAGATATAAACTTTTGTTTTTGTTAAATAAAATTGTAACTGTACCTAACTTCTGAAATTTGATTACTCTTAAATGAAACTGAGATATACATTTTTGCTTTGGTAAAAAAAAAGATGTATATAATTTTTTAAAAAATGTAACTAACGAACTTCACAAGTTTGGTTACTCTTATATATGAATTTTTATATAAAAATGTATATGTTTAAATATTTTTATTATAAAACTAGTTTACTACAGTACCATTTATTTATTTATGAAATGTTTTTTTTGGGTCAACATTATTGTTTTCTTTATTGGTCAACAATCAAATTTGTATTTACTGTTTAAAACTAAGTGATAAGGAACACTTTAATTTCCACACAAAAGAACACTTGAGACAAAATTACTCAAATAAATAACACTTAATATTCCTCATTTTCTGACTGATTAACTGACATTCCGTTGGTTAATAAACTGAGGTTGCGATCTAACTTTTTCTGACACATTCCAGATTATATTTTCCGCAATTATTCTATAGTGGGTATATTAGCTACACCGTCTTTTGCAATCCCTTTCATCTAAAATCAAATTATCAAGAAAATAAAGTAAAACATTAAACGAAAAAAAAAAATCAAGAAAATAGTGGGCCAGTCAAGACTTATTAATGAGCTATAGGCTCCACGTGTCATATGAACAGTAGCGTTTGTAGGTGGTCGGTGTCCGCCGCCCATGTTCCACGGGCACTTTGATTTTAATATGATCTAATCTGAGTCATTAATTGCTAAAGGAAAAAAAAAAACACAATGAATTTGATCAGAAAGAAAGAAAAACTGAAAATAGTTTCTGCATGGTCGCAAAAATATGAAAATAAATACAAATAAAATGTGGGCATGATTCGTGCCGTATTGTTCTCGAGGGTGTGTTTTTTCTGAACTTGTATCTCTTTGTTAAAAGGCTTCAATTCTATTTACTTCACAATTCATTTTTAACTTTTGGTGAACATAAGATGAACTTACTTAGTTAGTCAATTGTCAACTTATTGTTATTATGATTTACTATCGGAACACCTGTTTGTTGAACTAGTACGTCCTTTTTTTCCCGACAGTGTTTTCGTTTAAGTAATATTTTGTTTTTGTTTTTGCTGTTTAAGTAAATTTTAAATTGTCAATAATGAGGTTTGCATGTGCGAGTAGGTCAAACATCGAGACCAAACTGTTTATATGAACGTCGAGAACGAGAAGTCCATATTTTCATACATGTCTCTCTCTCTCTCTTTCATCATAGGCCGTGTGCGCATATAATAATATATATATACATTTCTTTTCTTCTTTTTTATTTGATGCTAATTAAAGTACATTTCTGTTCCGTTTTTCACGAAATAAAAGGTAAGTCCGCAAGTAAGATTGATCTTCACAAAATTTTAGCATTTTTTTATACACGATATATTAACATTTAACAGGTAAGGTCTGGTAAAACAGTCGATCACGGCTTTTCTAGAATAATGCGAAAGTGTAATTACCCATACATATATCGAAGAATATAGAGACAACACAAACGAAAAATATTCAGAACAAGTAATAATGACATTTTACATAAATTACTAATCGACCAAATGATAGGAAATTAAGATACAGCAGAAAATAGCTTTTGATAAAAGTTTTCACATATATGTGTATAAATAAATCATGACAAAAAAAAATATATGTATAAATATATTCTCATTTGAGTGACTTAGTGATGATCCAGAATAAAACCCATTGGATTCTCTTGGGACAAGTTTCTTTGGATTCTTCCTTTAGATTTGAGAGTTTGGTGTACCTAGCTTCTCTGGTCTTCTATACCTATACTTTATGCTTACTTCTTTATCATTCTTTTGTATTTATTCCAAGATTTTTTTTTTATAGTCATATTTATGTTCTTAATCCAGAAAACAATTCAATTGTATGGCGAGATAAAAAAAAAAAAAAGAAAGTATTATACTGATTTTGCTAAAACAATTGTTGGTACTCAAATTTTTATAATTTATTAGCATGTTTTATTTCGCTAATTGTATGATCCACCCAGGCCAAGACGGCCAGATCAATTATATCCCCTAACAGGCCCAATCCATCCATTTGATAGGATCAATAAAAATTACAGGTTTATAGACCCTATGACAGGCCCAATACTTTTTGTTTTGTTGATACATGATCGCCAGACGTTACAATTCTATTGATTTTCATCAAAACTGTTGAACTTTTGATAAACAAGATTTTTTTTTTGTTAAGGATTTGATAAACAAGATTTTTCTCCAGTAACTTTCACTTTTCCAATCTGTAATGTGTAGAGTACAGAAATTGCCAAAAGACTGAAGCAACTATAAATGGGTCTAATCTTTATAGTTGCTTTGTTATATAACCCAAACTATCACGCTAAGAATCGCATTAGAAAATGATAACTGCAAAAATAAGTCTTTGGTTCAAGTATTGTTATTTATTCAACCAGATATGGTCGGTGGTCAGAGAGTTCTCAAAAGAAAAAACCAGCGTGATTTCTCACCGTCCATCGACATAAAATCGGACGTTTCTTGTGACACCACGTAATAGAAGAAGGTAAACGTTTGCCACGTATACCGTTTGACTTGTCTTCTGAAGAGGACCCTTCTTTGGCTCAATGGCTCTACCATGACTCAAAGCTTCTATTTTCTTTTCTTTTTTTTTTCTTAGCTTTTATCATTAAAGTTTGATGCGTGCCCCAGTCACATTTCTGTTTAATTTAGTTTCAGTAAAAAATTCAATATCTCATTGAAGCTAAATTATATCTTGGGTTTACTTGGATATTCTCTTCACTTCTTTTTTAAGTTTTCTTTTTAGCAAATTGTATCATATTATTAAAAAAGTAGTTTTGTTCAACTGAGATTTATTTAGACTTAGAAATGATAGTTTTTTTTTTCTTTTTCTTTTTTTATCCTATTGATATCTTTCACTCTACTCTAAAAGAGTCATACGTACTGACACACAGAAGCTCTAAGACCATCTCCATTGGTAAAACTTAAGTTGGGGTTCTGAACAATATTTTTAGTATAAATTTTCTATCATTTTAACTTAAGAACTTTACTAAAAGATTTTATATTTTTTCTCTTCCATTGGTAGAGCTCCATTAAGAGTTCTAAGAAATAAAAAAAATTAGAATTGGTATATATTCTCCAAATGTACTTTGTTCGACTATGAAACAATACAAATCAGGAATTGGATCAAAGATTGCATTGTTTTGCAACAACCTAAACCAAAAGCATTAAAGTTTAATAAAAAACAATCGCAATAACTACAAAACACGAATCAAACATTGCAAAGAAAACTATCACAACTTACATAGATTACAGGTAAGTGAGGTTTCCGATTGTAGAAGACAATGTACCAGACAAGCTTTGGCTACGAAGTCCTCTGTTTTATCAAAGTTTCCAAACGCTCTGCATCAGTGACACTTAAAATTGATCTGAACGACTCAATTGCAGAAACATAGCTTTGAGGTGCATCATCTGAACTTTTCGTTTTCTCTTCCTCCTTCACATCCTGAACAGATGAACAACATCGCATGGGCATAAACAAAAACCAAAGAAACATGAAATCGAAACAAATCCTTCAAGTGAACTTCATAAACCACAAATACAAACAAATCATTCATTTTTTTTTATCCAATTCATCTATGATCTTCACCCACAAAGAAAACAACATGTGGCATGTGCTTCCGTTCACAACACTACAAATCACAAAAATACCAAAGAACTTCAAATTTTCACAAAGGTTGCATCTTTTCGATCCATTTTGTTAACCATAAGGTAAATTTAAGATCTAACCACATCAAGTATCATCCTTTAACCAAAACCTAACTCTACCAAAGAGTCATCAAGTTCACAGAAATTGTAGAATCACTAAGCTCTATCAAAGTTTTCCATTCACTTCTCACAAGCTAAGAAAATGTTACTCTCATTATATGGCTGATTAGAAAAATACAAATTGTCAGCATAGAAAACATTTCCTGATTATGATCTTTGTTTGAGAATACCGCGGAAGCCCGGGAGCTGGCGAATGATACAGGAGATACCCATGTCAGATTCATCTACGGTTTTCATACCATCAAGGCTTGAAATCTAGTGCCCGCACCTTCGTCAACGGTCTCTAAAAAGAGGATGGATAAATCGCGATGGGAGGAAACCACATACCGAAAGGAGATGGGTTGCGAGCAAGAGAAAGAGAAGGATTTTTAACAACGGCGAAGATAGACCGGACTCGACCCATCCGACTACCACAGACGGAAGCTAGCCTAGACGCTGACCTACGGACGTAGGAAAATTTGGGTGCAGCGAGGTTTCAGAGGCGGAGAGATTGAGGTGCCGAAAGGAGTTTTTTTTTTTGTTAAAATTAGTCCACCCAATATGAAGTTGACACGTATGAGTTTTTAATCAGTCCTTAAAAGTTTTAGTTTGTATACGGTTGTTAGCAATTTTACACAGTAATGAATTGTTTATTATTTTTTTTTAACTTAAAAAACTTTTAAAAACTCTCTAAAAGTCACCGATGGAGGTGCTCTAAGTCATGTGTTGGTATTGTTTTGAACAATATAGAACATCTTACTTTGTAAACCAAATGTATTTTTTTGCCTATAATAATACAACAATTTCAAATAGTTTTCGATTAAAATCTTTGGGAATATTTTAAAATTATTTGGTGATTTTACGTATTGTAATTTAATTGAATTCTTTGTATTTCATTGGTTTTGAGTTTTGGTTTGATTTGAATTTTTTTTTAGTTTTCCTTTGTCGCACATGCAAACCTCATCGGATAATAATGTGTGTTTTAGGAATTTTGACTTAAATTGCTAATAGAATTGAATGTATAGTTGATATGTTTCCGTATATGTTGTGAATAAATATTTTTTCCGGGTCGCCGTTTATAAAAAAACCGTCAAAGGAACCGTTACTTCTCAACACTCTCCCATCTTGTTTCTTCTCTCTTGTCTCCTTTTCTCTCAATATATTCGTAGGACGACGAATCGAACAAAATCTCTCAAACTCTCTGAGACATTTCGAGTTTGATCCTTGTCTATTTTCATTTGGTCGTTTCGATAATTTTGAAACCAATTCACTGTGCGTTTCATTTCGCGGTTCGACAAAGATGTTCGTGAAGAAGCTGGTCGAGAAAGCAGCGAAGAAGGTACAAATCCAATCATATGCTTCCTCCTCTTTTTTGTTCCAACTGTTCATCTTCATCTGAGATTCAGTGAAAAAGGTTCTCTGTGCGATTCGTTTTTCTCGAGGAAAAATATCAAATTACGAAATCGATGTGAGATCCACTCACTAAAATAATATTTGATTTTTTTCGCTTATTTTAAAGGAGTAATTTTTCTTTGGTCCATTATTATTACATTTGATCGCTTATGATGATTTTAATTCACAAGTTTGTCGGATTATTAACTCAGATCTTATTGTACTTGTGAATGTGACTGTGACTCTGTGTCGGTTCGTGGTTAGCCCAGATGTTTAATGATCCAGTTTGATACTTTGATTAATTTAAAAAAAAATAATAATGACGTAAGATGAATTTTGTTTACACGCATGTTTCGTGTCCGAAAATTTGAAAAGTTCCATTAAATGCGTATCCAAATTTTTTTCTTCTTTTTGTTAGTAATTTTACTAATTTATATTTCCCATCACCAATGACCTTTTGACTTTTCTACTTATCCATCCATACAGCTATAACTAAACCGGCCGGTTTAGTTATACCGGCCGGTTTAGTAATAGCCAGAACAGAACATGTATCATGCCAACAATTTGCAAAATCTAACTATTGCCTCCATTGCTTCAGCCTGGAGGAAGCTCGTCGGAAGGACTAAGAGCTAATGACGTTGAGCCACGTGTCGTTCTACATTATGGAATCCCATCAGGTTCTCACTTGTTTGCTTATGATCCAATTCAGAAGATCCTCGCCGTTTCCACCAGGTAAGAGCAGAGAGAAAGAAGGCATTTTCATAATATCTCTTGTGCAGATTCAAGCTGTTTTAAAATTGTGTATTGTATATTCATATATTAATTCTGGTTTCTTGATTCTCAGGGATGGTAGAATCAAACTGTTTGGGAAAGATCAGACTCAGTGTTTACTAGTGTCAGAAGAAGCATCAACAAGCAAGTTTCTTGAGGTGTTCACTTTATTATCATCTCTTTCTTCCCTTTGACCATTTTGCTGTATTACAAACCATCACACAGCGTGAGCAAAAAAATTCTTACTTTATTGTTTGATTTATTCAGTTTGTTCAGAACCAAGGAATCCTTCTCAATGTGAACGCCAAGAACCAGATTGAGGTAAGACATTTCTTGATTCACTCAAAGTAGTACCAACATTTGAGTTTTGGTCTCTGAAATTTAAAAATTCACTCAGGTTTGGGACTTAGAAAAGAGGCTTCTGTCTCATGTTCATGCCTTCAACGGCGAGATCACTTCTTTCCGGGTTATGCAACATACACCTTACTTGTATGCTTCAATTCTTGTTTTGGTTACTTGACTTTGCATAGTTGTGAGTTCCTGATATAATTAAAACAGGTGTGTGAATCATTGAATTGGCAGTTACGTTGGAGATTCTTCTGGTAATGTATCGGTGTTGAAGATCGATCAAGAAGCTAATCAAGTTATACAAATGGACTACACTATACCTTATCTAGCATCAAATGGTAATCAACCACTTTACATTCCACTTGGATCAGAACCGCCTCTTGAAACATCTTGTTGCTTTGTAGGCTCTCCCGTTGAAACTAGTGATGATACTTCAGTTGTGAGCATCCTACCACAGCCAACAGCTGAAAGCAAAAGGATTCTTCTGGTATTCAGTAGCGGGTTTATAGCATTATGGGACATCAAAGAAAGCAAACCGGTTCTTAAAACCGGGGGTCACGGGATGGTGAAGCAGGAAGCCAAGAAAGCTACTTGTGCTTGTTGGGTTTGCCCTTCTGGAAGCAGAGTTTCAGTTGGATACAGTAATGGAGATATTCTCATATGGAGCATTCCTTCAAAAGGCGAATCCTCCACAGAGAGCTCTGCAATGATCTGCAAGCTTAACCTCGGATACAAATCCGAGAAGATACCCATAGCTTCTCTGAAATGGGTTTATGGCGAAGGGAAAGCAAGCCGGGTTTATGTCATTGGATCATCCTCGAACTTGTTGCAGGTGGTTTTGCTGAATGATCAAACGGAAACTCGGATGATCAAGCTGGGGCTTCATGTGTCTGAGCCTTGTTCTGATATGGAGATGATCATGGCTGATGGTAATGATCAGGGAAAGCATAAACAGGGTTCTCTGTTTGTTCTTGGAAAGTCTGGACGTGTGTACGCTTACGATGATAACATGATCGAGAAGTATCTGATTCAATCTCAGTCCAAATCAGCTCCTTCTCTCCCAAAGGAAACTTTGGTTAAGATGCCATTTTCAGATTCTAGCAGCATCACAGTTGGGAAATTCCTCACAAACCCTTCACACTTACTGAATCTCTCTGACGAGGTAAGTCTAAATTTTGAGATTGATGCACCAAGTTTTATATTGAAATGTATATTACTGAGGGTTGTGATTCTCTTATGCTGCAGGATTATGCTCAGCTGGCGAAAGATGCTGCGTCGATTCTTCCTTCTCAGACAGTTTCAAAGGAAAGTTCCCGTTCTGCGCATTTTCCTGGTTTCACAAAGGTTAAGAATGTTTACATCACAGGGCATAATGATGGAACTATTGGTGTATGGGACATGTCTTGTCCTTTTCTCATTCCTGTCTTGTTCCTTAAAGAACAGGTAAAAAGTTTCCTGGACACTTTGTTTTGGAGAATGCACATCTTTGAGGTGTATTTTTTTTTTAACTTTCTTGTGTGTTTCTTAACAGACTGATCAAGATATACCTTCACGTGGAACTGCGGCATTGACAGCTTTGCATTTTGACAGCAACCTAAGGCTTCTTGCTTCTGGTGATCAGAACGGAATGGTAAAAAAAAGCATTTTTACCTAATATACGCTGTGAAATTCCACTAAAACTAGAGGCTTATGATCGATTTTTACAATGCGCAGGTTCGACTTTATAGGTTCAAACCTGAGCCATACCTAACAGAAAATAGTTTTATCCCTTTCCATGGTATGTGAAAAAAAAGCAGAAAGAAGTTGGATTTACTTATCTTGTGTCCTCATAAGGTTTGATATACTCTTTTGTTTGCAGGAAGCTCAAAGAAAGGGAATACACATATTGTTCAAAGTGTTAAGAACATAAAGCTTACTGGTTCCATAACCTGTATTCACAAGAGCCAGAACTCGAAACATCTCGCTATTGGATCAGATCAAGGACATGTAAGCGTTGTACTTGTTCCATTTTCTTAGAGGATTTGCTGGTTGAATGTGACTGATGCGTGCGTGACTACCGGTTAACTATCAGGTTTCGCTTGTCGACATTGAGGAAGCAACTGTGATATACACAAAACACATCGCAAGTGAAATCTGCTCAGGGGTCATCTCCTTGCAATCTGAGAGTTGCAGTGTGCAAGGCTTCGAGAAGAACGTGTTAGTGGTTGCTATGAGGGACTCCTCTGTTTTTGCTCTCGACAGCGACACAGGGAATATGATTGGAACCAACATGATTAAGCCTAAAAAGCCATTCAAGGCTCTGTTCATGCAGATACTTGGTAGGTCCACACATCTCCCTTTTTTAAGCACAAAATCAAAGAATCTCTCAATGATTCTTCTCATCTTCATTTTGCAGACGGAAAACAAGACTCTTCAGGAAATGGAACTGATTCGAACAGAGAAAGCATAGTTGAGGATGTTTCAATAAGGCAGCCTTCGGTTTTGATTTGCTCTGAGAAATCTATATATGTCTACTCTTTGGCACAAGTTGTCCAGGTACATTATCTTCCATCTTCATCTCTTCATCTCATATTCCTTTGATACTTATTTGCCTCTTTTTTGTTCTGTTTCTCTCAGGGAGTGAAGAAGGTCCTTCACAAGAAAAAGTTTAGTTCCCCATCCATTTGCTCAGCTTCTACCTTCCATGGAACCTCTGGTGTTGGTCTTACACTTGTTTTCTCAGATGAAACTGTTGAGATAAGGTGAAAATTTCTGCCTTTTTAACTATCTTTCTTCATATTCTTGAAAACTAGCTCATCAAAGCTTCAAAATTTCTCAGGTCTTTGCCAGAACTCTCGCTGCTAAAACAGATTTCCATTAGAGGCTTCTCATATTCTTCACCAAAACAAAACTCTTTACTAGAGATTACCATATCTGCTTCTTGGGACGGAGATCTAGTCATGGTACCCTTCACAACACATTACTCGAGATGGATTTTCGTTGATCATCATCATCATCATAATCATCTTTCTCATTGCAGGTGAATGGAGACAGCGAACTGATTGTCAGCTCAGTTTTACCTCAAAAGGACACATTTAGGTTAGACTTGAATAAGAGTTTGAGTACATTCTATATAACATACAGATGAACTAAAAAAAGTCTGAAACTGGCTTTACTTTACTTTTGTTCTAGGCTTGTGGAGTCGTTGAGCCGAGTTTACAAGAAAGATAGCACAGTTTGCCAGGAAGGCAACATCGCATCATCTCCAAAGGAAAAGAAGGTGAAACAATATTAGACTTTTTGTAACACACAAATGAGTACTAAATCCATTATATTGTTTGTTGCAGGGTATGTTTGGTTCCGTCTTCAAGACTAAACCCAAGCGCACCACTGATACAGAAACGGAAAGCACCAAGGAAACCATCGAGGCGCTGTCTAAAATCTTTGCCACAGCTAATTTCCCGTGGAACAACAATGTCGAGCGTAGTAGAGAGTGCAATACAGTTATTAGAGTTGACAATGAAGAAGAAGAGTTGGACATAGGTAGGATCTATACTTTGATATCCTTTGTGATGTAATAACTGAGCCTGCTTCTGTTTCTGATCTTTCTTTCTTCTTCTTGACATTCGAAGATGACATTGACATTGAAGATGATGATGATCATCATCAACCACAAGAACAAGAGCAGCATAAAGAACAAGGGATCTTGTCAGGGATTAGTAAGCAGAAGCTGGCGAATAAGTTTAGCAGCTTCAAAGGTAAGCTGAAGCAGATGACGGCTAAGAATGAAAAGAGTGTTGTTGCAACCAATGAAGAGAAACATGAGGAGACAAGCGGCACCACAGTCGAGCAGATCAAGAAGAGATACGGGTTTGCTCCGTCAGAGGTAAGCTTTTGTAAGCCTTCAAGAAGAAGTTTTTATGTAATTTCGCTACTCGGTTTCATCTTCCTGTGTTTTTGCAGGAAACGAGTGCTGCCAAAATGGCTCATAGCAAACTTCAAGACAACTTGAAAAAGTTACAGGTACTCTTTACCTTTATGGTTACATATAGCCGTTTCAGATTTAACCTCTATGTTTGAATGATTCATACTGAGACTAAAAATCTGTTTTGTATTTCTGCAGGGGATTAGCTTGAAGACGACGGAAATGGAAGATACTGCAAAGTCTTTCTCCTCTACGGCAAAGGAATTGCTGAATGCTGTTGAGTTCAATAAACAGAGCTCGAAATCGTAGCACTCTCTTCTGTCGCTGCATTAATCTTTTATTTCAAACTATTATACTAAAGAACTAACTCTGTGTGAACAAAAAATACCATTCATTTTGTTTGACCATATTGATGAACTCATTGTAAATAGCTTCTTCATAGAGATACATTACACCTGTGGGGGTTTTTCAATTTCTTGTGAACATTTGACACTGGATAAACCGAAATCATTCAACAACCACGAACTGAAAATGATAGAGAAGTACTCTCAATTTGTATATGTTAAAAAGCGTTTTAGTGTAGACCTCAAGCTCTAACCAGTGATTCAATTCACAGGAATCACACAAAATGTCATATCACCAAAACAAATATATTCCATCAGAGAAACGATCAACTTTGTAGATAAGTGTGTACTTGACATTTCACCAATCAATCAATCATAGAGAGTACGATATAGAACCAGAGGCATGCAAAAACACATTATATCATCTCAGAAAAGTAGAAATGAAAATCAAAAGCTAAATCCAAAGTTGAAAGTACAGAATAAGAATAAATCCCAGTTAAACATAAAGGGGAATACATAGCAACGGTGTAACTATTCTTCTCCCTAAAACTAGCTAAACACATAACAACAGAAAGAAAGATACTTGAAAGACAAATCACTGATCCATCTTCTATTCGTCATCTTCCTCCTGCAAACCAAAAAAAAAAAAAAAAAAACATCAGATCAAATTAAGTGACGAGACACTAGCAACTACTATCAACACTTAAAAGCCAACACACAAGAGATTTTTGAAAATACCTCCTCGCTTCCACCTTCCTCATCGTTGACTTCAGACTTGGACTTGTCAGAGTCATCATCTTTAGTATTGGTTCCATTAGCCTGTGAAAGACGAACATTATTTGTCTAACATCAGAAAAAGCCAAAAAAACACAAACTTAGGTCAACAAAAATAAAAGTAAAGCAACGACAAATATTTATACCAATTTCATGTTGTATTTTTGCATAGTCTTGACATATTCACTCTTCTTGCTATCTGCCGTAGCTACAAAGGGAGCTTTCTCCTGTTTCATCAAAAATTGGGGGAAAAAAAACTAAATGATTTGAGTACAGATCTAAAGATTTGAACACAAAAATTTCAAAAGAAGAAGAAGAAGCCTTAACACTCACTTCATCACTCATCGATTTCCATTTCGCTCCAGCAGCTTTCCCAACCTAATGTCATTGCGAATTCAAAATTGAAAAATTAACAAACTAAGATCCAAACGGGAGAGAGAGATCGTGATGAGTATAATTGTTAAATCTCAGATTAGTACTTACAGTTCCGACGGATTTGTTGTTAGGGTTAGCTTCATTGAACTCCCGTCGGAAGCCGTCCCTTCAAATCGCCGAAAGTAATTAGCAAAACTACTAATCCCAAACAGTAATCATTAGCGGAATATATAGAGAGAAAAGGAGGTTCGTGGTTTTACAGGAAGACGAAGAAGGCACTTGGAGGCCTCTTAGGCTTGTTCGGATCCTTCGTTTTCTTTCCAGCTTTCTTACCTCTGGTTTTCAATCTGAGAAAACAAAATTAAACGAGAGAAAGTGAGAATAGGGAAGAGAATTTGAAAATGCGGAAACAACTGAATCTCAGATTCGCGATGTGGATAAGAAGATTACCTATCATCAGTGCTCTTCACTTGGGCTTTGGTTTCACCACCTTTCATCTCGAGATCTGCGACAGAGAAAAAGTGAGAATCGAAGGAGAATCGGTGACTCGGAACTTGACTCAAACGACGCAGTGAGAGCGAGATTTTTTACCTGTGAAGGGTTAGGGTTTTGGTTTGACGAGAGACGATTGAGATTTTTTTTTTTCTCCGCTTTGCCTTTTTATTTTTATTTTTTTTAATTTTCTGCCAATTTGATGTGCTGTGAATTCGTATTTAAAGATAATCCAGATTTCCTAAAGATTTTTATTAAAAAAAATACTATAATTGAAAATTCCGTGATGTGGCGGGATTTTGCCAGGTAGATAATTAAGATGCGATACTTTGAATCTTGGCTGTCCATTACTTATTCAACAGTGTCCTAATTAACTCCTTTGATTATGTTGGTAAGTCTGACTGATTTCATTTGATTATGTTGGTAAGTCTGACTGATTTCATTTTCTTGCGCCAGTTATTTAATATCGCAATCAGTATTTTGTACGTATTGTTTTCACCGAATCAGTATTAGTATTTATTTTTCTCGTATTCTGCGTTTCACTAATTGTGTTAAAAGTATTAATTAACTCACACCTACTAGCATAAGCATTGCTTATGTCCACGGACATTTATATGTCTCTACAAAAATCTATGCATTGATGACACTCACACTCTCTCCTCCTCAGATTGATTATGAGAAGAACTCATTTTGTCATTTCTATACAAAACATGTTTTTAAACCGTAATCTTTTATTTGGCCTTAATACAAAGATTGCTGTAAAGAAAAAAAATATAGAATACAAAGCATATATTTTTGTTTCCAAAATTTATTTCTATTATTACAGTCTCTATATATTGTTACAAAATCTTAATGGGTTTTTATTACACAAAATGAACAAAAAAATAAAGCCTTGGCATTACAACAAATATGTCAACATGCACTGTACTTCATCTCCTCTACTCTTACAGACGCGAAAGATTCGAGCCTACCGGAAAATAAGACACTACGATCGGAGCTCTGGGAGATTCGGATTTTCTTTTTGGTTTCTCCGATGACAAGACTTTCGAGTTACTACCATCGACTGAGCTAATCCTTGAGTCGGATTTTGGAATGAAGCAATTAAAGAAGCACGCCAAGAGAGACATAACTTGAATTTTTTAAATCGTGAATAGAGAGTCTACAAACGAGAGATCGATGGTGTTTAGATTTATTTTCAGATGATTTATGAGAAGGTTGTGTATTTAACTATTTATAATACAAAAAAACATCGCTGAATATTCTTGGACACGTTTCTTGGAAATAACCTCTTAGCTTGGTGGGCAAGCTTTGGCAACTTCTTAATCGTTATGACAGTTGACAATTCATGGATACTTTTGACTTTTCTAGTTAAAATATTTGGCCATCACGGACTAACTATTCACATGATTGTATGTAGCAAAAAAAATTCCGAAAACTTAGGATTAAAAATTAAGGGCCATCGTCTTCAAATCACTATCCAAGCACGTTTCTCAAAACTTCAAGATTAAAGTTAGGTTCATCATCTTTACTAATAGTCTTCACATGCTACATCACTCGTCCAATCAAATTGTTATAACGGATATCAAAAGATAAACGTGTGTCTACGTGGGCTGGGCTAACCAATCATGTTTTGGTTAGATAAGTCCACAGACACACATTTAAGCCCTAATATAATGTTTATTGGACTTAGGCTATAGTTGGTCACTGCTCGTTTTAGGAACTTCATTCATATATTAGGCCAGGCCGAACAAAATTTATATCAACCGTAAAATTGGCCCAGCCCATGACTTAAAATATGGAAGAAGAAAACCCAAAAAGGATAAACGAAATCAATATATAATTGGAAACACATAATCAAATGGCTAGTATTTTCTCTAATTCAATTTACCAAATTAAACCTCTGTAGTACTAATCCATTTTTTCTTTCTGTAAAAGAAATTATTACTCCGATAATTACTACTAGTAGTACATTTTTTTATCGGGTGCCACTTTTCGGACATGCGTCGCGTCGCGCGTGTGAGTGTTTCGCTAAATGGGACCCGCTTCGTACTGCTATTTTACATAAATATCCTGGCACGCTCCGCACCGTTACACGTGCGCTAGCGAATATTCTGTTGTAACCGAGGACAAGAAAAATAATAATAATACAGTAACTCATCTCATTTCATTTCAGTGGCTTGAGCGGTATTTAAATGGATGAAGCAAGGGCATTTTGTACCAAACTCTCTTTGAGCCTTTTTCACTTGATGACGAACGCTTCTATGCTCATAATAAAAAGAAACCTTGGATTCTTCTGCGGATTTTGTTTACACTAAAAAGGAAATATTTAATTCAAAGAATTAAAATCCCTTTTTGTTAAAAAATCTCCGTCTTTGCGACTCTTGGTCTTCTTCCGAGTCCGAATGGCACATTCCTTAACCTCACTCGCTGTTTTCCAGAGCGTCATCCGTAAAGGTTAGTAGTCAACACTCACTGAAGAAAATCTCGATTCGGGTCGGTTTCGGCCTTTCGGGTCGGGTTGAAAAGCGGGTCATTTTCTTTTCTTTTTTTGGGTTTTGTGGGGGTTGATGCAGAGATCACGATAAGGAGTTTGCATGTCTACGGATCGGTGGAGGTCGAGAGAGAGTTCTTGTTCGAGAGGGATAGCCGTTATGTGGAGAAGAAAGCGGAGCCTCTGTTTCGTTCGCAACCGGAGATCTCGAAAGGTTCGGTCTTTGGCACGTGGCGATGTATCTTCGTGTTCCGGTCTAATCAGTCGCTTCCTCGGTTCCCTGCTCTTCTCTGCCCTTCAAGGTAAACCGCCTCTATAAGCTTCTCTTTCAGCATTTGGGTTTTGTTTAATAATTCGCAGCAAAGACTGATTCTTTTGATACTCGGGATCTCTTGAATCGAATTATCGATTGATGTATTTCATATAAATACTGTGTGATTGTTACCTTCAGTGCTCTTCTTCAAGTAGGAAATGTCATTTCAAAAGAATTAGTTCATTACCGATTAGACCAAAAACTTGTGTGTATCTAATGAGTTTGATACTAAGATTCTCGGATTGTAAACGAATAGGCTTTGTAACTGTAATACATTTTCAATGTGAATTTTTGGAAACCAAACATGTTTATGGATCTTCTTAATGGCAGAAACCCTAAGCTAGAGGACATCCCTAATTTAGCCAATGAGCTTAAGTTTATCTCCGAGTTAAAACCGAAGAGACCATCAAAGATTTCTGACCAGGAACAATGCAGCAGAGACCGATACTCTAGCTTCGACCATCGTAAACTGCCGAAGCTAGTCTTCAAAGAAGAAAGAGTTGAAGAAGATTGTGAAGTTTATCAGCCTAAACCGCGAAAGATCGTCCTCAAACAAGATCTTAACTGCCTTCCTGATTCAGAAACTGAATCCGACGAAACTGAAGATGACCGTTCGGAATCGGGTATCTCTTTTTACCCTACTGATGTTTTTTCTTTCTTTAAAATGTCAATAAACTTGTTTTCTTGAGAAGGTATAACTCTAGGCTAATGTTACTCTTTTGGTGGTTACTTTTGGGTTATTGTAAAAGTACAGATGCTAAGACAGAGATGTTGAAGAAGAAGAGGACACCATCGGAACATGTTGCCGGACTTTCCTTGGAAGATCTTTCCAAATACTTTGGTGTTCCTATCGTGGAAGCTTCTCGGAATCTCAATGTCGGTCTCACGGTCTTGAAAAAGAAATGCAGACAGTTTGGGATTCCTCGGTGGCCTCATAGGAAGATCAAATCTCTCGACAGTCTCATCCACGATCTTCAGGTCCTCTCTCTCTCTCCCTCTCTCTTCATCAATCTAAAACTTGATTTCACTGAAACAAGCTTGCTATGTTTTGTATTGCTTAGGAAGAAGCAGAAAAGCAGCAGGAAAAGAACAAAGCAGCAGCACTGGCGGTAGCTACGAGACAGAAGAAGCTGGAAATAGAGAAGATAAATATAGTGAAGAGACCTTTCATGGAGATACAGGTAGAAACCAAAAAATTCAGACAAGACAACTTCAAAAAAAGACACAGAGCTTCCAGGGCCAAGAAGAATCAAGAATCTCTCGTCACTTCCTCCTCCACTTAAAAAAGATTTTAGGTCTTTTTAACAAAAAATCATCGAACATATTAGTTAGTTAACTTAGGATTTCTATGACGTGTTTTGGTATTTAGAAATGCTAGTTACAAGTCTAACAGATCTTAAGTCATGTTTGTTTGAAACTTTCTTTTTTTGGCGCAAGGAGTTCCAAGAAGAAAGGAACTCTTGTAACATGACTTTTTGTGATCGGAAATCGGAATTAATATATGCATGCCACCAAATACGAGGCGCAAAAACAAGATCCATTTACCAAATCTTGGTTTCTTAATTGATCCAATTGACCCATGGGCAAGACTCAATGCTTACAAGAGCGTGACAATAATTTTAGTTAATGCAAGTAGTGTATGTGTGTTCTTGGGTGGTCTTTTTTGTTAGCTCGTGCTTTGAAAATCTGCAACGACTCTGTCCACTTAACAAAGACCTTTAATTAACGTGTACCGTACAGACAGGTTCGAAAGTCGAAACTTAAGAGACCCCACTTCAAGTGTGTATGTGTGTGTTCATACTCTACTATAATGACGAAAATGAAAATATGTTTTACTTATACAATTCCCTGCATTTGATTAAACACGTGTGAACTGAAATTTTGTTTTCGACTAAAATGTCATTTATGTGGTTAACGCTCAAAGACTTAACTTGGAACGTTCCGATAAATTTACAGAAATTAAAACCTAAGTTATCCAAAAGAAATAAAACTGAAATTAATAGTACGACATCATTTCCTTTGATCTAAAATAACTTTTTATTTTGATAAAAGGTTAACATATGAACATCTTTTGCCAAAGTGAAGAAAAAAAACTAACCTACATCACGTTGGTAAACAGATTCACATATTCTCCGAATCTGATGGTTCCTAATTTAGGAACAGCTTGTTAGAAAATATCAAAATAGAAGAAATCGAATGATTACTTTATTAGTGTTTGCGGAAAATAAATGAAAAAAATTCCACAGAGACGCATACGTCCAAACCGTGTGACCCAGAGGATGACTTTTAAAGCATTTTGTTTATACAAGGAAATTACCTTTTTACTTTTAAGGGTTTCCGATCCCTGTACATATGCATTATTATATAATAAAAAATCATATCTACAATAACGAAAAATTGACTCCAGAATATAATTTTCCATGTTTTTTTAATCAACGTTGTAGTTGTAATTGGTTGAAATTTTAAAAGTCATTAATCAATTAATGAATAGTTTATTACTACTATTTTCATAGTAAAAGTTTTTTTCCATAAAATATTATTTTATTAGGAAAATAAAATTTACAAACGGCATAATATGAATAAAAAAGGTTAAGATAGAAATATAAGATTGCAAAGTTCTAGAAACCGTTCGAACATGCATTTTCTAAAATTTCAACATGAAAATAATTTGGCTAGGATATTTTATTTTGTCAATCTTCTAGGCATTTTCGTATTTATTTTTAATTTATTTAAATTCAAAAAGGAATGCATAAAAAATGACAAATAAGACCAAAACATGGAAAATGTCATATTAAGCAGAATGGTGGGTTCCTCAGCCTCCTCACCTTTAATAATTTAGCTACTCCTTTCCTCAATCTCACAAGAACTCTCAATATTCTTCTTCTATTTCCATTACAAACCCCACAAATTTTCTTCTTCTTTATTTTTTCCTAAATCAAAATTATATTGCAACCTCTCTTTTTATTATTTCGAAACTCAAGCAATAAAGGTTTTCCATAGCTACTTGGATCATCCACTAGCTCTTGTCTGAATTGGTAAACAAGAAAGAGAAGAAGAAGAAGACGAAGACTAATGAAATGGGTCTTTGTTTTTCATCCGATTCTTCTTCCTCTCCTTCCAAACCAGGTCTCCACAGTCATGGTAATTCTTTATCTTTAGGTTCCCCAAATTCTTCTGCAATTTTGTGCAAGAATATTTTCTCAATAAAAATGTTTTCAAATTTCACTTTCTAATCTCTTTTTGCCTTTGTGATTAATCAGCCTCGACGAACAACCACAGTAATGGAACAGAGTTCTTGTCGTCAACGCCCACCACCGCCGCGACAACAAGCAGTACCATCGGACGGCGGAGCCAATTCTCCGAGGCTGCTAGCGAGAGTTCCGTTGGGATTATGGGTGATTCTGGTCAAATCTTGGAATCGCCAAATCTCAAAGTCTATAGCTTTCTGGAACTAACGACGGCGACCAAGAATTTCAAACCGGATTCGATGTTGGGTCAAGGAGGTTTCGGGAAAGTTTACAGAGGTTGGATCGATGCCAAGACTCTTGCTCCGTCTAAAGCCGGTTCCGGTATGATCGTCGCCGTCAAGAGATTGAATTCCGAGAGTGTTCAAGGATTTGCAGAGTGGCGTGTAAGATCTAAAATCTCTCTAATTTCAACAAACAAACAAATTTTTTTTTGCGATTTTGATTTCTTCTTTGACGGGGAAGAAAAAACTCAATTATTACGTTATTCGATCAAAGATGAAGAGTTGACTATTCCAATCAAGAAACGACCTTGACTTTCTGTTGCAGTCTTGCAGGATAATTTAAGAAAATTTAATACTATTATTTATTATAAATAAATGAGGTTTTTGTACTACAGTATGAGTCAGGAAATAAATACTTTTAAATTTAGGGCTCTAGAGGAACTTTTAATAATCTTTTAACACCGAGCTATATAAATGGTTTGAATTGCCACCTTTCTTTATTAGAAGCATAATGTTTTTTATACATGTGCTTTAGTAAGAAACTTTCCAAATTTCCACTGTTACCGGGACTTTGTGTTGGAGACACGTTGTTACATGTTTTTAGCTTGAATATTGTAATCAAAGTTATTCTTCATATGTAATATTATAATCCAAATGCTAAGTCATACGTCAACATTATTTCTCTTTTAACTCGTATTGGATGAAAATCCAGATTCTTTGGCACGCTTAATTGAAAATATTTATGAACCCTAGATCCTTCATTTGGTTTATTCTACGTACGTATGTTCTGACAGAACAAATTTAATCTTCCACTTATATAAGCTAATCTTGAGATTTTATGGTTTTGTTTTTGATTTTGGACAGTCCGAAGTTAACTTCCTAGGGATGCTTTCCCACCCGAACCTGGTGAAGTTATTAGGATACTGCCGCGAGGAGAAGGAGCTTCTGCTTGTCTACGAGTTCATGCCCAAAGGAAGCCTTGAGAATCATCTTTTTCGGCGTAATTAAGATCTTTTAAACCCTCAAATCACCATCCATCGATGTAACAAAGAGTGATTTGAAAAAGAAAAAAAAAATTGATTTGCTTTGCATGATCTTTATTTGATTCAGGGAACGAGCCTTTTCCTTGGGACCTAAGGATCAAAATTGTCCTCGGTGCAGCTCGAGGCCTTGCGTTTCTACACGGCTCACAAAGAGAAGTCATTTATAGAGACTTCAAAGCCTCCAATGTACTTCTCGACTCGGTTAGTCTAATTAAAACATCCAATTATATAATAGTCATGGCAATTAGAAGTATTTGTGATCGTTATTTATTTTTAAAATTTGTTTGCTAATGAGATTTGTTTTAATATATTTATCTGCGCAGAACTATGAAGCAAAGCTTTCAGATTTTGGATTAGCAAAGCTTGGGCCATCACAAGAGAAGTCACACGTTACGACTAGAATCATGGGCACATATGGTTATGCTGCTCCTGAATATATGGCAACAGGTAACCACAGTTTTATTCTTGGATTATATATAATATTTATAGTCAAATTTGTTATCTTCAAGATTTCTCTTTTGAAAGGTTAATTAGATGGAAACTTTATCAAAGAATTAACCGTTTTGGTTTGTTTTCTCCATCCTCAGGCCATTTATACGTTAAGAGTGATGTATACGCCTTTGGAGTGGTCTTATTAGAAGTGATGACAGGTCTTAGAGCGCACAACCCAAAACGGCCCAACGGACAAGAGAGTCTAGTAGACTGGTTAAGACCAGAGCTTTCAAGCAAACAAAAAGTGAAATATATCATGGACAAAGGAATCAAAGGTCAATACACATCGAAAGTCGCAGCGGAAATGGGACGAATCACTCTTTCTTGTATTGAACCAGATCCTAAAAACCGACCGCACATGAAGGAAGTAGTCGACGTACTCGAACATCTCCAACGCATAAATGTCGTCCCGAACCGTTCGGTAACTAAAACTGCTGTTGCTAGCTCTTCTCATTCCTCGCCACGTCAGTACGGTTACAGAGCTGGTACGGCTGGCGCTGAACGGAGGAGGCGATCGCCTGGACGGTTTGGAGTAGAGAAAGACTTGGTTGCTTAATATTCTTCTTTCTTTACGGCTGTACGATTTGTTTTTGTCATTTTCATAAAATTCTATTTTCAAATTAGAGATTTCGCACGTGCGTCATTGTATAAATTTTTGCCGTTACTAAATCGTTGTTACGAAAGGAAAATTGATTGAAATGGAATATAAACAAAATTTTGTAACATAAAAATTTTAAAAATGTCGTAAAAGTAGCTTGATCACAATTCATTCAATAAAATCACAAGAACTCTAACTCTATTTGAAATCAGTTTTTGCTAGATTAAGTATATGACAACACAGATCATGTTTGTGAAGTTAAGATGATCACCCACGACGACAAATTTTTATTTTAAAGATGCAAATAACTTTATAATTATATTTTAGGATATTATGTTGATTATTATATAATTATAGTTGATTTTTAATTTGTCTGGCTATACAGTCGAATAAGTATACATTCGTTTATCATTTTTCTTGGATATTGCGTATATAACATTTATTAGCCGCGTACCAGTTTCTAATTTTAAATTGTAATTGTTCTTGGAATGATGTTATTCTCTGTACATATTTTTTATATTCGTTATTTGTATATGATGAAAACATTTACCCCTTTCTTATTTAATAGAACATATTGCGAATGTTGCAAATTATAAGTAACTATTTTATAAATAACGTAGTTTAAAATGTATCAGATTGTTGCATATGTTACAAAATTCCATCCACACTAACCTGCACCAAAAAAAAAACCAAAAAATTCTAACAATAATGTGTTGAAAATAAACTTAATATTGTGTGGAAAAGAAGAAGCAAATAGATCATTAATGTGTTATAAATTATAATTTATTTGGCTTTATCAGCTTCCTCATCATCTTCCGGTGGTGGCTTATTCAGATCAAACTTTGCAACTCCTCCTCCAGCTTCGATCACCTCATCCTCATCTTCCTCCACAGGATCAACGTTAAGATCGATCTCTAACCCTCTACCCCCATCCCCACCCGGTGCCCCACCCGATGCACCACCGGCACTGCCAGCACCGCCGGCTATAAAGCCAACAGAGCTGCCTCCACCGGCAGAAAACAGAACGAATGAGGAGTTAGGTCCAGGAATGGTAAAACCTCGGCGCACCGGAGAGAATTTAGGAGGAGGAAGAAACCCTTGATAGTTCCTATCCTTGTGACACCTCATGTGTCCAAAAACACCTTTCCACGAGCCAAATCTTCTTCCGCAGATGTGACAGATTGGTGGTCCTCTCGGTGGATTAGTCAATACCGAAGCTTTTTTCTTCGGCTTCTTAACATCGACTCCTACATTCGGACCGGAACCACCCGCTTCGTCGTTGAAGTTCAACTTTTTCCTCGGCCTTCTCACTACCTTCTTCTTACCATCACTCCTCTCTTTCATAACCGCTTCATCTGCCGCAGCCATAACTAACTGCGCCGCAACAACCGCCTGCTCATTCAAACGCGCTTCTTCTTCCTTTCCGACGACACTGACACCAAATGCTTCGCTGCTAATACGTAAAGCAGGAAGGCCGAGAACGATTTCTCTCATATCGAATTCTTCATCGTTACGTTGCTCATCGGAGTTTTCTTTCTCTTCCTCGGTTGCGGTATCATCAACTTTCATTTTCTCTGGATTGCTCATTTTTTTTAATCCTTACGCAAATAGATCAGTGTATTGAAATGCTACTGGAGTAGTCATTTTTATAGTTTTCTTGTGAGTCACGGCGGTTATGGCCGTTAATTTCAAATGGTTGTGTTCGTTCGTCCATTTACATCTCTCTCCCACCTTTTCGTTTGAAGGTTTTTGCGTCCGTCTGATTGAATTAAAACCCACGTCACGTGTGCTTCGTTGGAGTGAAATCGCCTAAACTCAGTGGGCTTAACGACGTATCAAGCCCATTTGTAACTTAGAGCTTATTCGTAGATTTGACCATTCAAATTGAACTAATTAAATAGACTTCAAAAAAAGTTATTGATTTTATGTAAATCGGAGGATTTGATTCTGACAGCAGGTATATAACTATTTCAAAGGTTGATGGATTTCCTTAAGTTTTGATTATTTACAAGAAAATGGAACGGAAATGTGTACAACAAACTCATTTTTTTTCTCACAATAATTTCCTTTAATTGTTTTTTTTCTTAATTATTTAATAATTATTCTCCAAACATATACTTATTATACTTTGAATAAGAGCATTATGCTATTAACCGTTCATTATTCATACAAATGCTTAACAAGAATTGTTTCAAATAATATTATTAACGAGGCACGCGCCACAAAGTCACACAGATATTTTTTTTCCCCAACTTTTTTTTTGTTTTTGTTTTTCGTTCCCAGCTCGTTTTTGATCCGACCGGAGATGGAGATTGTAAGAATCGTTGCACTAAATAACAAATTTCAAATATCCCAATTTTATATGCATGTGATGACATCTGACAGTGACGTGACTTGTAAACTTTTGCATTGTCATATTACAATAATATTGCTATTTAATGGTATGTGTTTTTCTATTTACTCTTAAAATTTGAACACAATTGTATACTACAATCGCTATGAACTTATGATGGATTATAGTTTCGAAGATATGTGATAATTAAATCACGAATACTAATTATATACATTATACATATCGTACTATATATACTTGACTGTAACCATCTTATCACTGATTAATTAAAGCTGTTGTTAAGTAAATGCAGACACCTTTAGTAGTAGTAGATTCAGAGGTGCACTAACAAATTAATAATGATCTCATTAATATTCTACAATTAATGTCTACATGTAGACACTCATTTTCTATTCATTAATCTTACATAATCGTCTAACAGAGTAAGAGGTAAAAGCAAAACTACTGAATACTAAATTCAATGCTATTGATGTAAATAAATCGTGAAGGTTTTATCGATCAGATGTATATGGATTTCGCTAATTTAGTTCTTTTCCCACGAGCCAAAATAATAAGCCATATTTTTTAGACTCAATGATAAACCACATATTCAAATTCAAAGTAATATTTTCTCATTCATGTCAGTGTTAACTACTACTTATAACAAACAATGAAGATGTCGACTAAAAAATCAATGGAGAAAAAAGGGAACTCAACCTCATAAAGTACATATATTCTCATAAACTGTGTGTTACTTAACTGAAAATTTTAAAAATAATGACTTGACTTTTAGATTAGAATTTTACAAAGTCTAAATGTTAAATATAAGTCAAGTAATATAGTCCTACAGACTTGATTTAAATCTAACAATAAAATATTTTTCTCCTACAAGATTATGTTACCGATTTATGACATACCATATATTTTAATTCTATGGTAAAAAAATTAGTAATATTTAATGTGTGGTAATATGTAAGGCAAATGTTTTAGTAGTTCTTTTGAATAATATGAAGATTGTTGTAATCCAAATTTTAATAGGTTTCTAAAAAATACAGATACAAAGTATCTAAAAATTCAAATATGTAAGATACATCCATTGAATAAAATATTTGAAACAAAATCACTTTCTACATGGTCTCATTCTATTGAGAATAAAATTCAGTTTAAATATTTATGATCAAGAACTCATCTAGCCTAAATTTTGGATATCTCAAAATTGAATATTAAAAACTTTCACAAAATTTTGTTTTTCATGACTACAAATGGCCGAACACTTACTACAGGGTCAGCATAATTGTCGGTAACAATAATTCTTTGGAAAGAGAGCAAATTCTTAGCTCTGTAATTACAGAGATTAATAAGCTAAGATTATGATTGAATAATTAATATGTTGACTTTAAGTTGTTAGAAACGCGCCTAAGGAGGCTACTACTAGTGGCAACGAGCCTTCTTTGTCTGAAAAGGCAAGAAAAAAAAAGAAAAGAATACAAAAAGGAATCACAAAATTTGAAATGAGAAGAAAGAGCCACATGCCTTCTTCAACCAAAAAAGTTACCGTTGGCTTAGAGACAGACTTAGAAGCAAATCGTTTCCTTCATGATCCAACGGTCATCTTAATCACCTAGCCGTTGCTATTTTCTTTAATAAAAACAAAATAAAATAAAAACTAAAAATTCCCATCTTTTTTTATAATTGGATTTATTTTATTTCCTCTTAATTCTTCTTCTGTCTCTCCCCTTATTTCATCGCTTTCTCTGACTCCTCCTGGTTCAATTGCATCAGACGTAGACAGAGAGAAAGAGAGATCCTCTTCGTTTGATGCTCTTCTTCCTCTAGGGATTTCTTTAGTGGGTTTCGAGTTTTCTTCTCAATTCGATAAACAAAAATGGTTAACCCAGATGAGAACTCTCGTAGCATCGTCGTCAAACCCATTACAACGATTCAAGGTATACAAACGTGTTTGAGTATCTGAGAATTTGTTGAGGTCTCATGAACAGAGAATCTGACAAATATGGTATTTTTTATATTTTGTCAGATGAAACAAGAATCGGAAAATTCGGGTTAGAGATGAAGAGACAGAACAGGAGAGCACTGGGTGTGATTAATCAGAATCTCGTCGGTGCAAAAGCTTACCCTTGCGTCGTTAACAAGAGAAGAGGCTTATCTGAGTAAATTACTAACTCTCTCGATCCTCAAAGCTCGTCTCTTTGTTTCAGTTTTTAAAAATTTCTGATTTTATTGATGTTTTTGCTCAACAGACGGCAACAAGAAGGATGTGAGAAGAAGAAGCTTGATTCATTGCATCCATCAGTTTCAAGGTTAATAAAGCTCACAGCTTTGAAAAATGTTTCTCTCTCCTTTTATTAGATTATTTAGAAAGAGAGATCTGAGATTCTTTTGAATTTCTGCAGATCCCAAGAAGAGACGACGAAGAAGCTGAAGCCATCGGTACCAAGCGGAAACGAGTTCGGTGATTGTATATTCATTGATGATGATGAAGAGGAGGAGAAAGAAGCTGCATTGGACCAACCTATGCCAATGTCATTAGAGGAACCATACATTGAATCAGATCCTATGGTAAATGAACAAATAATCAGATTTTAAAAGAAATTTAGCCTTTTTAATGTAATGTCTAAATGAATTTTCAATTTGGATAGGAGGAAGAAGTTGAGATGGAGGATATAATAGTGGAAGAAGAAGAAGAACCAATTCTGGATATCGACGGACAAGATGCAAACAACTCTCTTGCAGTTGTTGAATATGTCGAAGATCTATACGAGTTCTACCGTAAAAATGAGGTAAGATTCTTGCTGGTTTTTCTAAAATCTAAAGCAAACCATATAGGACTTGAAGTGTAGCCTGAGTTAATTTTCCTGGAATTTGGTAATCTGCAGAGATTTAGCTGTGTTCCTCTTGATTACATGGCGCAACAGTTTGATATAACCGACAAAATGAGAGCAATACTTATAGATTGGCTCATCGAGGTAATATTCAAAATCTCTCTTTGGAACTCAAAAGTTAAAGGTAATGCCTTTTGTTATATAAGAGAGGCTTAATTCATAAGGTTATTGAATGTTGCAGGTACATGACAAATTCGAGCTTATGAACGAGACATTGTTTCTAACCGTGAATCTGATAGATAGATTCTTGTCCAAGCAAGCTGTTGTAAGAAAGAAGCTTCAGCTTGTTGGTTTAGTCGCATTGCTCTTGGCTTGCAAATACGAAGAGGTGTCGGTACCAATTGTTGAAGATTTAGTTGTCATTTCCGACAAAGCCTATACCAGGAACGATGTTTTAGAAATGGTATGACTCATAAGAAGAATAAGATGCTTTCTTGATTTTTGTTTCCAAAAACTTGGAAAAAGATTACATTGATCTGATTTCGAAAAACCTCTGTGTGCAGGAGAAGATTATGCTCAACACTTTGCAATTCAATATGTCGTTACCAACGCAATACCCTTTCTTGAAGAGGTTCCTCAAGGCTGCTCAATCAGACAAGAAGGTATAACATTATTAACTAAATCTATCAATGGCTTGTGAGTTACATAACAATCATCAAACACTATGTATGTATTACAACTACTTTGTTTACTGAAACAGCTTGAGATCTTGGCGTCGTTCTTGATCGAGCTTGCTCTTGTGGACTACGAGATGGTTCAGTATCCACCATCGTTACTAGCCGCCACTGCAGTGTACACAGCTCAGTGTACAATCCATGGCTTCAGTGAATGGAACAGCACTTGTGAATTCCACAGTCACTACTCTGAAAATCAACTCCTGTAAGTCTTTTCTTTCCATTACAACAAAAGGGTACCTTTGTAACTCAAAAGACTGATTTTTAATCCGAATCTCATCATGGGTTTGTTTATGCAGAGAATGTTGTAGAAGAATGGTGAGCCTGCACCAGAAGGCTGCTACGGATAAACTAACAGGAGTACATAGAAAATACAGCTCCTCTAAATTCGGATGCATAGCAACAAAGTATGAAGCTGCACACTTCCTTGTGTCACAGTCTCACAAGCTATAGCAAAGAGTGGAAATAGTAGTTTGTGTACACTGACATTTTTCACTCACATTTTTTAATTACAGAAACTTCAACAAATAAGTTCATCAAATTCTCCTCTAAAATTCCATCTGTAGTTTTTTTTTTATTGATATCTCAGCAATAAAAAAGTCTCTAATTTTCTGATTCAAATCAAATCCTGGAAAATTCACGGAATTTTGACAGTGTACACAGACTCTTAAAGTATGAATATATTAAGAATGAGAGTTTTGGTTTGAACTCTTTTGTTCAACAAAAGAATTACACACATTGGAAATGAGCCTAATATAACACAAAAGCAGCAGACAAACCAGTGTCACCTAACACGAAACGTTGTCGTTTTCGATCTATTTTTATATCTCTCTCCCACCGAACTCTTTTTCCAGATCTTTTTGCAAAAAAGCGAAATTGAGAATCTCAGGAACTCTCTCACTCACTCACAATCATGGCTGCGTCAGCGAACTCTTTCCTCGTCGGAAACAATACTCAGATCCCCGCTTTGAAACCCAAATCCACATCTCAATCCCTTCTCCACCTCAGCAAACCAAACACCGTGAGCCTCGCCGGAAAAGCCAAGCCCGTCTCGGTTAGATGCGTCGCCGCAACGACCCATGTCCAAGACGGAGCTAGATCCGGCTCCGTCGGATCACAAGAACGCGTCTTCAACTTCGCGGCGGGTCCAGCCACTTTGCCGGAGAACGTTCTCCTTAAAGCGCAGTCGGATCTGTACAACTGGCGTGGATCCGGGATGAGCGTGATGGAGATGAGCCACAGAGGGAAAGAGTTCCTCTCGATTATACAGAAAGCGGAATCGGATCTCCGTCAGCTCCTGGAGATTCCTTCGGAATATTCCGTTCTGTTCTTACAAGGAGGTGCAACGACCCAATTCGCTGCCTTGCCTCTCAATCTCTGCAAACCGGATGATACGGTCGATTTCGTTGTTACCGGTTCGTGGGGAGACAAAGCCGCGAAGGAAGCGAAGAAGTATTGCAAAACCAATGTGATTTGGTCTGGTAAATCTGAGAAATACACAAAGGTTCCATCTTTCGGCGAGTTGGAGCAGAGCCCGCACGCCAAGTATTTGCATATATGCGCCAACGAAACAATCCATGGAGTTGAGTTCAAAGACTACCCTGTTCCTAAGAACCCTGATGGGATCTTGGTCGCTGATATGTCTTCCAACTTCTGCTCGAAACCGGTTGATGTATCCAAGTTCGGCGTGATCTACGGTGGTGCACAGAAGAACGTTGGTCCGTCTGGTGTCACGATCGTGATCATTCGAAAAGATTTGATTGGAAACGCTCAAGACATCACTCCTGTGATGCTTGATTACAAGATCCACGACGAGAACAGCTCGTTGTACAACACGCCTCCTTGTTTCGGGATTTACATGTGTGGCCTCGTGTTTGAGGATCTGTTGGAGCAAGGTGGGTTGAAAGAAGTGGAGAAGAAGAACCAGAGGAAGGCTGATCTGCTTTACAACGCCATTGAAGAAAGCAAAGGCTTTTACAGGTGTCCTGTTGAGAAATCAGTGAGGTCGTTGATGAACGTGCCTTTCACATTGGAGAAGTCTGAATTGGAAGCTGAGTTTATCAAGGAAGCTGCCAAGGAGAAGATGGTGCAGCTTAAAGGGCATAGATCAGTGGGAGGTATGAGAGCTTCTATCTACAATGCAATGCCTTTGGCTGGTGTGGAAAAGCTTGTTGCTTTCATGAAAGATTTTCAGGCAAAGCATGCTTAGTCTAAAGGTTTTTGTTTATTTCTTCTTCGTTTCTTTTTGTTTTGCATTCATGTTTTGTTGGGTGATGATAAGCTGATGCTTATGATTTGGTTCTCTTTCTTTCCAGAATTTTCGAGTAATAATGTTTATTAGCATTGTATCAAAAATCTTTCTCCAATTGGAAAGCGAGTTTGTTAACAACAAAGATCTCATATTCTCTTAATAACGTCTTCTTTCTCTGCAACTCCTGAAACTGAAGATCATAAACTCGATTCAGATTCCAAACCAAACTCTGTTAAGAAAAAAACAGAGATCACTGTAAGAGAGTAAGTTACCATTTGGTATTGTTCCACTATAAGCAATAGCTACATTCCGAAAGAACTCTTTTGTCGCATCTGCATATTCATTCAACTAACTATCACTACTAAAACCTGAGCAATGGAGAAAAAAAAAACAGAGTACTATTGTCAGCATCATGCCTCACCGTGTTTCATTGTCAATGACTGATCTTGCTCATCGACGAACCCGATCAGTTTCGCCGGATTTCCAGCCACCATGCTTCCAGAAACCATAAAAGAAAAAATTTCATTTCAGAGCTATTCTAACAGAAAAACTCTTAAGAAGATTTCTCAGAAGCGTTACAGTTTTTCATACCTATGCGAAGGAACATCCTTCAACACAAGCGAACCAGCAGCTACCATTGCTCCAGCCCCGATCCTTATGTTGCCGAGTATAGTCGCACATGTTCCAAGGACGGCACCGTCACCTATTTTTGGATGGCGATCACCAATTTCCTTCCCGGTTCCTCCTAATGTACACCCTGTGAAATGAAAATACAAAGTAGCATAACTAGCACATCGAAAGTTTTCGATATTTTTTCAGGGAAGTGAATTCAAAGAAGAGATCTGTACATGCAAAATTGAGACACGGTCGCCTATCACAGAAGTCTCACCTATGACGACACCGGTTCCATGATCCAACAATATTCCCTCCCCAATTCTTGCAGCTGAGCAAGAAACACATATGAGAGCTGTATGAACATAAGCAAGATATGATACTCAGAACTTACCCGGATGAATATCGATTCCAAAAACCTGAGATAAACCACTGACATGGATCAGAGCTTGTACACCAAGACTATAACAATAACCAAAGAAGCTTTGAAAGCTACAATACCTCGCTTACTCGGCTTTGCAATGCCAGTGCAAATACTTGTCGTCCTTGCTTCCACAACTTATGTGAAACTCTGCACGCCTGCAGCGCAAGATAGCCCTGTGGAACAAACTATTCTGGTAAATTGCACATGAAAACTTACTCAGCAACCGTCATTAAAAGATGTTATTGTCTTTGAATAAATTGGTTACAAAAAAAAGTACCTTCAAATGCAAAATAGCTGAACTATACGATAGACAAGCAGGATCTCTGTTTTTGAATGCCTACAACAAACCACAAAAAAGGTTCATTGCAGTCAAAATTCTCAGATGATACTGTCTGAAACAAAAAAAAGATCAAACTTTTAGCTGATACAGGATAAATGTACTTACCTGAAGATCAAGGCGAACCGAGCTTTGAATACCTCTGTCATGTACCATAACATTGCAAAATATATCCATGAGTTGAGTCGCCAACAAGGTAGGGTTCTGGAGACGGTTAGCTAGAACGAAACCCAATGCTTGCTCTAAACAGTCATGCGACAAGATACTAGCATACAAGAAACTACTCAAAATCGGTTCCTTTTCTGCCTGTAAAGCACAACAACATTCACCATTATAGTAGGTAACATAGACACACAAACACTCTTCCTCAGGCTAGTCCTTAAGGATTATATGATTCAATGAAAATTGATACGAATGAGATTTCAACACCTTTTAAGGCCTAAAAATGATTAGATAACATCAACATCTTAAAGATGTCGTTAAGTACTTAAAGAGACAAAGATCAGATTAGGTGATCACTTGACCCCACTGTTTTGTTGGATTGATACAAAAGGCACATTATAATGTCTTTATCATAAGCTATAATTGTAGAATCAGCAAGTTTTACTAACAAAATCAAAATTTATGTTTTTTTTTTTTGTCGAACGGATTATTCATTTTTATCGTACGTTAATAAGAAGTTAAGAATGTGCTTATAGAGCAGAAGGAGAAAACCTCAAGCTTGGCTTCTTCTCTTATACCATACGAAGTTGACACGAACATAATTAGACAAAGCATTTTTTAAAACGTCAAATTGACAAGCATTTATATAAGTGAACAGCATTTTAAGATTTTAAATAGTCCATTTTTTAAGAAAAACATTTGATGAAATTGTACAATTTTACAAACAAAAAAACGGTTCAAATATACTGAATATACATATTTTTCCTCAATATTATTGTTTATTTGTCATATTTTATGTTTTCTTTGACTGTTGAAAAAGAAGGAGAAGGAACAAAAAGCTGACAAAGGCATAAAGAAATGAAAATCTTATAAACGCCGCATGCAATCGCCGAAAACGAGAACGACCAACGTCCGTCTAATCGTCGCTCCGAAACCCTAAATTAGCTAAAATCCACCGATGGCGAGGAGATCCGCTTCGATCCTCAGTCGCCTTCTGGCGAATCCGCCTTCTCCATTCGCCGCACCGTCCCGATCCATCACCTACATGCCTCGACCCGGCGACGGAGCCCCACGCACCGTAACCCTGATTCCGGGAGACGGGATCGGACCCTTAGTGACCGGTGCGGTGGAACAGGTCATGGAGGCGATGCACGCGCCGGTGCATTTCGAGCGGTACGAGGTGTTCGGCCACATGAGGAGAGTCCCGGAGGAAGTAATCGAGTCTGTGAAGAGGAACAAGGTCTGCCTTAAAGGAGGATTAGCGACTCCCGTTGGCGGAGGAGTCAGCTCCTTGAATATGCAATTGAGGAAAGAGCTCGACATCTTCGCTTCTCTCGTCAATTGCATCAACGTCCCTGGGTTAGCCACGCGGCACGAGAATGTCGACATCGTCGTCATCAGGGAGAACACGGAAGGAGAGTACGCGGGTCTCGAGCACGAGGTTGTTCCTGGCGTTGTCGAGAGCCTTAAGGTAACCAAAATCAAATCTCACACTCCGATTCAATCCTTGTGATTGCGAATTCTTCTTTGGGGATTTTCAAAAGCTTTGAAATTTGTTGATGTAGGTGATAACCAAGTTTTGTTCAGAGCGTATTGCGAGGTATGCATTTGAGTATGCGTATCTGAACAACAGGAAGAAAGTGACTGCTGTTCATAAAGCCAACATTATGAAGCTCGCCGATGGGCTCTTCCTCGAATCTTGCAGAGAGGTTGCCAAAAGCTATCCTGGGATTACTTACAACGAAATCATCGTAGACAATTGTTGTATGCAGCTTGTCGCCAAGCCCGAGCAATTCGATGTCATGGTATGTCGTCACTTCATACGCTCTGTTTTCCATTGTTAAAAATCCAAACTTTGAAGAAGCAAAACCGTAAAATGTTGATTGGATTGTGATAATTCTATGTATGGTTCAGGTGACGCCTAATTTGTATGGTAACCTTGTTGCAAACACGGCGGCTGGAATAGCCGGTGGCACTGGAGTGATGCCAGGAGGTTTGTCCATAGTTGTATTGGTTGAAAAGCTTTAAACTAATATCATTCTCAGGATTCTTGGACTTTGGCTCAGGAATGACTCTTTGTTGGGTTTGCTGATGATGTTACAGGGAATGTTGGTGCGGAGCATGCGATATTCGAGCAAGGCGCATCAGCCGGGAACGTGGGGAATGATAAGATGGTGGAGCAGAAGAAGGCGAATCCGGTGGCTCTGCTTCTCTCATCGGCTATGATGCTTAGACATCTCAGGTTTCCTACTTTTGCTGATCGGCTTGAAACCGCGGTGAAGCAAGTGATACAAGAAGGCAAATGGCGAACAAAAGACCTTGGTGGAGACTGCACCACGCAGGAAATGGTTGATGCGGTCATAGCAGCTCTTGACTGAATCTAGCCATGCGAGCATATTGCTTCTCTGCTTCAATTTCAACTAAGACAAAAAGTTTTGCTTCTCTGTTTTTTCTTTTTTCTTGATTTTGTTTCTATTCTTCATTCTTTTCCAGCGTTTGAGCACGAGCTTATATGGTTACCAAATAAAGTCAATAAGCAATTTTGTTATATCAATTTTTGTCAAAATAAGAAATAAACTTTTATAAGTGATGGTCACGTATAGGTATGTAAAAAAGCATATAAAATAGCCACCTAATAAGAAAACAGAGAAGGCATGTATATAATCATTTTGCTATATTTAGGGATTTATAAGTGAAGGACGCGCAAAGACCAACGATTTTGAACCTCAGATAGATTAAGGAGAATTTCCAAAAAGGAATATCCTCGTCTCCGTGTCTCATACGAGTACAATCCGTTGGGACATTTCAGAACGCAATCTTTTACTTCTCTGTTGTATTGAAATCTCCTAACTATAAAATACATCATGGTTCCATCCTCTTTTGATCAATAACAACGATCCCTGAGAAAAGTTATTGGAGAAGAAGAAATAGAGAAACAGGAATAACGAATAAAAGAATTTGCTCTTTGAGAAATTTTGCTCTGTTTTCTTGAAATGGCATCGAATAGTGAAGCAAGGCCTCTGCCAAAATTCGGGGAATGGGATGTGAATGATCCGGCGACGGCTGAGGGATTCACCGTTATATTTAGTAAAGCCGGAGAGGATAAGAAAACTGGTCGGAGCGCCAGCAAAGCAACTTCACAGAGGAAACGCGACGGTGTAAAACCAGCGGCCAAGAAATGGCTCTGTTTTACCTTTTCATGATTTTGGTGTTCCTTTATTATTTAACCGTTTGAGATTAGCATTGAGATACATTCGTGTTAGAAATTTTTTTTCTTCTTCATTTGTTTAGCATTTCTCTTTATGATATGCAGGGTTATATATATATATATATATTTTTTTTTTTTTTAAAAAAATGTTGTTGAGAAGAAAAAATGGATTAGCCTCTTGTATATACTGTTTTGATGTTTGTTTCGTTTGATAATTAATACAAGTTCTGGAAGGTCTTGCAATTTGCTAATACCCTCCTCCAATATATCTCATAATCTCCTCTGCAATCAAAATTTTCTTCTCGATCTTAGTTAGTTACAAACAAAGAGATACTTGCATGGCAAGAAACCGCTTTTCTTGCTCCAAATTAGATGAACCAGGATTCAATCACAGTGCTGCCTTGTGTATCTATGCAAATCTCACCCACAGATTTTGAAAAATGATATGTTCTTTGGTAAATCAGACAACTATATCTGATCAAAGATTGTTATAATCTTCTCTCTTTGTGACAAACGAGAGGCAAACGATCTTGTAATCTCCATTGATTACTCTCTCAAAGGAGAAAGACTTTTTTTATTTTAACACTAAGTAGCCAAGTGCAGAGTATTATGACGTTTCAGTGTAATTAGATTGCTAATCATTGAAATGAAAAAAAGAAAGGACAATGTTCAAGGGATCAATTAGGGAAGATTTACAAAGGACAAGTGGTCAACATTGTTATAATACTCTGTTCGTTTTGATGACTCCCTTCAAATCATTTGGCAAAATTAAATTCGCCTTTTTAGTTTATTTCTCCTCTCTTCTGTCATGTTCTCTTCTATGCTACAACTTCTGTCTCCTTGTCTCCCATTAAACTAATACCGAAATAAATACACACATGAGTAGGAAATGAATCGTACCACGACATTATTGAACAAAATTCTCCTACTAACGTAATTGTTTAAAACGCTAGATTCTTGGACCTATAATGGCCTAAGTTTTTGTGCATATATTTGTTTAATACTATGTTTTAAATCCTCCCTTGGAAAACGTTTCTCTGAGTTGTAATGTTTTTTTCTTGATGAAACAGATCTTTGAGTTTGCCAGCGATGATGGAGGAGGCAAAAAGAGACAAGATAATCATAATATTCAAGAAAGCTTGACGTTGCTGGTTTCATGACCACAGAGAGATAATTAAAATAAGCAAAAGGGGATAATTTTGCAAAGATCCTCACTTTATATGGTTTTAACACATGCCCAATTGCTCTTACGTTGAATGATTTTTAAAAAAGTTCTTTTGGAATTATCTGTTAAAAATTTCCTCTCTTATATATCTTTGAAGTCTCTGAAACTTAATCCACCAAAACCCATTTCAAAGTTTGAAGCTTTCTTTTGCTTCAGTGCTAAAAAAATGGCAGAATCATCTTCCTCTGCGGCGACTACGCATGTACCGACTAGGTCTATTAGTTTGCCTACAAGACTAATCCATCCAAAAGCACAGAGAGTTGAAGAAGAGGTGAGAAACATTCAAGCTTTAAACTCTTCCTCATCAGGTTCTTCTCGAGTCAAACTTGGGCTTGCTCGGTTCGTCGAGCTCTACGACTTTGTCAATGAACAAGTCATTTGTTCTCCTCAAGGCCAACAAGCACTTCGCCTTTCTCAGAACGCGAAACTTGTGGAAGAAGCTCTTGATGAATCCATCTTCTTACTTGATGTAACCGACTTCACAAGAGACTTGATAGGAACATTCATGGAGCAAATCCAACAACTTCAATCCACTCTGCGTAGACGCGGAGGAGATCTATCGATCATTCAATCCGAGATCCGCGCTTACATTAGCTTTCAGAAGAAATTCAGGAACGCAGCGACTAGAAAACTTAAATCCCTTGCAAGAACACAAACAAAGAAGAAATCTCCGGTGACCAAACAATCCGGTAGTCTTGATCAACATTCTTCTATGGTGTCCAACATTCTAAGACAATCAAACACGTCGACGATCTCTTATTTCCAGTCACTCTTGCAGTTTCTTTCTTCTTCGGGGGAGAACCAGAACAAGAATGGTGAAATTGGATGTGTAGGTAACTCTTTGATCCGTTCTTTTTATGGAAGAATCATCGGTAAGAAGATTTCAAGAGTCATTGACGTGCAAACGATGATCGGAAGATTAGCTATGCTTAATGTGAGCCTTGAAGCAATTAAGGATGAGCTAAGTTACTTGTCGAGACGACTTATTCATCATAGAGCGTCTCTTTTGAACATTGTTACCCTATGAAAACAATAGCAAAAGGATTGTATATTTTTGTGTAAAAACAACGTTTTGTATAGAGATGAAGTTATTATAGAAAGGATTAATCTCATTTTGACTGTCCATTGACTCCATTTACATAAATTGATCCGGTTAAGCACAATATTTCAAAAGTTAACGTTGAATTAAACCGAACAAAAAGAAAATAAATAAAAAATGCAACATGTGCTTCATCTATCATCACTTAAGAGTTAAGACATCACATGCTGAACAAACTTACCAAACTTGATTATTGTCATTTTCTTTCTGGTTTAAGTTATATTTGTATTCTTAGTATTACTTGCCACTTGACTTGATTAATATTTGAAGCAGCTTTCAAATAAGTTGACGCTCCAAAATACAAATAGACACAATGATCGTCTGTGACTCTGCTTTACTGCCACTTTGTCTCCAAATACATCACACCCAACTCTCGTATCATGGCTGGAGCTTTTTATTAAATGCTTTTTAATTCTTAGATTGTTACGTGCGTTGTGTACTTGTGTGATGACTTCTTCAATTCTTTCATTACATTACATAATACTTCTTCAAGCTGCTACCTTATTAGTCACAATTATCAAAAATTGGAGCTAGTTTTTTTTTAATCTTTAATTTTAATTTGTTGGTAATTTTAAATCTTCAAATTTGAATTTTTTCCCCGCGTAATATTGTGAACCATTACATCTTGTACAGATACAACGTATGTTGTATTCAACATTTTTGTTTTGACTTCATTGTATATATACATATATAATAAGAGGGAGAGGTATAATTTCATGTATTCAAACACCAGAAAAAGAATATCTAACTAATATTTAAGGAAGCAAACGATTTAGGCGCAGCTTAGATATATGGAAGGGAGGAACGAGATGCACGATTCATATATACGTAAATGAACTCAGTATATATGCGCGATAAAGAACACATACATGATACATACACATACACTATCTAGTAGCTGAACATTCAATAGATTAGCATCATCGCCATTACACATCGATGGTACATATATCATAAAACTAATCAAATCATAATCTCTTTGATAATATCTGTTATTAATTGTTTATTCTAACATTTGTTTTTCTTGTGTGTTTTAGGAAACCATACTAGGTCTTTCGATCTTGGTAAATTTGCTCTGTTTTAGTTTTGTGAAGAGTCAAAACTATAACGTACTCGATTTTGGTGCCAAAGGAGATGGTCAAACTGATGATTCATACGTAAGTTAGGTTTTGTAGTTTATTTTCTATATGATATTTTACTAAACACATTTGTTCTTTTTCTAAAAACTAATTACAAACTTAAAATTTTCATGATTTTTTTTTGCTATTTCTTTATTATTTTATTTTTAAATTAATTATGTGAAAAAGGCATTTGCGAAAATGTGGAACGCTACATGTGGCGGAGAAGAAAGCATAGGAAAACTTGTTATTCCTGCTGGCAAAACATTTCTACTTCAACCTCGTGTGTTCCAAGGTCCATGTAGATCAAGCTCTATACACATTCAGGTACGTAAATAATTAGTTTACAAATTCATTGGTTAAATACATAAGTTTGTGTGTTTAAATTATAGACATCAATAAAAACTTAGGGTTTTTTTTTTGTAATATTTGAAGTTTGATGGCGTCATTGTCGCACCTAGCAACAAAGAAGCATGGTCCATCCCCAAAAGCCAAATGTGGATCGGTTTTTCAGATGTAACTGGCCTCGCGATCGTTGGTTCTGGAACGATTAATGGACGTGGCTCTTCCTTTTGGGAGGTTAGAATCCTTTATATCATAATTTTTCATCACTTTTTCTTCTTCTTACTAACATCAAGATTATGAATTTCTATTTTTCAGCAAAAAGTTAAAGTTTCTGAACGGGCTACAGTGAGTACATCTACTAATTTTATCAAGTGCTGGGTGAAGATATTTGTATCGATAAAAACTGCCATAATTTCCTATTAAATCAACTCTTTTCTTTGCAGGCACTACATTTTAGCAGATGTGATAATCTTACGATAAACGGAATAACTTTGATAGATAGTCCGAAAAGTCATATATCAATCCAAGTATCCAAAACTGTTGCAATATCGAAAATAAATATTTCTTCACCCGAGTCAAGTCCCAACACAGATGGGATTAATGTACATGGCTCCACTGATGTCAACATATTTGATTCTACAATTCAAAGTGGTGTGTACTAAATTTTATGCATTTATCTGAAATTCTGTTCTTATATAATAAGTAGACGGCATAACAATCATTTGAATTGCAATCATTAAATTCTCAGGGGATGATTGTATAGCAATCAGTACAGGAAGTGTAAATATTAACATCACAAGGATTAATTGTGGACCTGGTCATGGAATAAGGTAATTCATTGTAGTATTAATTAATTTCTTGCATTACATCGTTCATTATGAATAGTCATTAATTTGATATACGTGGACAACAGTGTGGGAAGTCTAGGAGAAGATGGGGAAAAAGCTGAAGTTAGTGGCGTTCAAGTAACTCACTGCACTTTTAATAGAACAATGAATGGAGCTAGAATCAAAACATGGCCGGTATTGGTTTTATACTATTACAATACTATTATGTATTATCTCTTATCTTAACTAATGATCACATATTTTTAATTTCTAGGGTGGAGAAGGATATGCAAGAGACATCAGTTTTGAGGACATCACGCTTATTGACGCCAAGAATCCAATTATAATCGACCAAAACTATATAGATAAAGGACGCCATGGCCAAACGGTAAATATATTATAAATACAAATAGATATTCTTTTTTCCATTTTTTTTTTGAAAACGACTAAATTGAAAAAAAATGTATGTATTTATATGTCCAATAGGATTCAGCAGTGATGATTAGCAACATAACATTTGTTGGTTTTCGCGGAACTTCGTTGACTAAAGATGCTATGACGCTTGATTGTAGTCCCATCACACATTGTAAAGACGTCGTTATGGATGGAATCAATATTACCATGGCGGGTGGAGAAAAACCAACAGTTAATTGCCAATATGTTGATGGAGAGTCCAGCGATATCAATTTGATGCATGACTGCTTTAAAGGAAACACAACTGCTTAGTTATGTCGATGAAAAGTCTATCTCCATTGTTTATTGTTATAGAATAATGATATGTTTTTTGTTGTCAACATCATAGAATGTCATCTATCAGATAAATATACAAACGGTTGAAATTTCCTTTACCCAGACACAATCAATACATAAATAATGTTCTATATACACACTATACTCATGAATCATGATGATGTGATTGCTCATATATGAAATTTCATATACATTTGGTTGCTGCTGACTCAAATTTCCAATGAAACACTTTTTGTAGTAATATATTAGCATTTTGATGATAGTTCTACTTGATAAAACTTAAAGGATGTCTCGTTTTACTTTAACCTTTTGCCAAAATATTTTCTCGTTGTTAAACAAATAGAGGGTTAAAATGTCGTAAAAGTAGCTTGATCACAATTCATTCAATAAAATCACAAGAACTCTAACTCTATTTGAAATCAGTTTTTGCTAGATTAAGTATATGACAACACAGATCATGTTTGTGAAGTTAAGATGATCACCCACGACGACAAATTTTTATTTTAAAGATGCAAATAACTTTATAATTATATTTTAGGATATTATGTTGATTATTATATAATTATAGTGGATTCTTTTGAAATATTATTTTATTACTGTTAATTTTTAAACCAGCATGAATTGCAAAGTTAGAACCAGGAAAATATTCTTTTTTCTAATGTTTTTGATTTTATTGAGTATTCGTTTAGAAAAAAATTGTTTAAATTGCAATTCATGATCTGAAGATTCCTCTTCTGGTTACGCTATTCTTTTTTATATTTTTTGTATTAAAACTTTTGCAACTAATAAACCATTGGTTTTATGAAGCCGGACCTTTTAAGGTCTCTTAAGTCTTAACTAAATTTTATAACCTGACACGAAAAAATAGTTTTTTTTTTTTCTGGCTAATCAAGAAAATCATTGACAAAACGAACAAGAAAATGATTTTTTTAAAATGAGTACGTAGCCAAAGTTGAATCGATTTATAAGAAAAAGACAAAGAGGAACATGAGTTACAGGAGTCACTGGCCATAACTGATAATTTAGTCATGTTAGAAACAAACAGATCAGATTAAGTGACCCATGTTCTTCTCACATGTTCCCACGTCCTTTAACCCGAGGATTCCTCTGTTCTTGAGCTTCCCTGCAATATATATAGTAACGGTCAAGAACCCTTATAGAGCATCTCATTCCAATTTAGAATTCGGAAAAAAATATTCATGGAGGGTTTAGATTCAGTTTTCTTGTCTGATCAAACCACACACCGACCGGTTCGATCTGTGAGTCTTCCTTCAAGAATACATCCACTCTCTGTTAAACTCAGAGAAACCTTGATCCGGCTCAGTATCTGGCAGAGAACTCCTTCCTCGATCTCGGTTTTCCCTTCTTTCCGGTTTGAGACGCTTCTTGTTGGACTCGTGAACCTCGCCGAGCTCTACGGTTGCGTCCACGAGCTTCTTGTGTCCCCTTACGTGAAACACACTCTTCTTCATCACCAGAAGGGGAAACTTCTAGAAGATTTTTTAGATGGCTCCGTTGTGCTGCTCGATGTGTGTGAGGCAGCCAGGGAGGTGATTATCGCGGTGAGAGAGCACGTAACGAATCTCAAATCGGCTCTTCGTAGGAAAGGTGGAGTAGACATGGAGGCTAAAGCCTATGTTAACTTGCGGAAGAAGGTAAAGAAAGAAATATCTAAACACATCATTGCACTTCAGAAAATAAAAACCAGAGATATTTCTACGAACATAAATCAAGATCCAGCGATAGCATCCACGAGTGTTGTAAGAGAAGCTATCGAAATATCTGTCTTGATTTTTAGACATCTTTTGCTATTCCTATCGACAATACCACCATCTCCGGCAAGGAAAATCAAGAACAACATTGGCCATTTTTTAATTCCTTTTGCATCGTCGTCATTATCAGATAAATATCTGGATCTGATCAAAGAAATGAAAAGTGTTGATGATATCTTTTTGGGTTCTAATGTGGATTCGGGAAGAACCTTTGGTAAAGCCAATACGATGCAGAAGGAGAAGAAGATAAGTAGAGATGTTGTTGAAGAGAATTTTTGTGATCTGGAGACAGAATTGGACTCTGTTTTCAAGAGCTTAGTTAAAACCAGAGTTATGTTCCTTAACATCTTCAGCAACTGTTGAGACCGAGCTTTTTGTCGTTTTTGGTTTTTATTTTGTTTCAAGCTTTTATTTCTGTCAATCAGATGCACATACGTCTTTGTCCTCAAATTGTCTTGTTGGCAAAAAATGAAAAAATAATTAATAAATAATAATAATAAGAAGAATCTCAGTTTTGCACATGTGTAAACCGGCTTTGACGTGAGGAAACCCCTATTTTCGTGTCACCTAAACCTCACGTTTGTACAAGTAATGCAAAGTACAGTATTAAGCTCATTTAATCATAGAATATAAAAATTGATGTTAAATTTAAGAATTTATTTTATCAATTCGATATGACTATATTTATAGTTTTACCAAAATTATATTACAACCTGATTTTTTTGATTTTTGTTTCTTCTACTTAAACTGACGATTTGCATCTAATAGTTCTACCATAGATTATCAAATACTGGTTTCAAAACTGAGAAGCCATGCGCATAAGGTCTATAAATCCTATATATCCAAATGCAGGATCATATCATATTAAAGTGGTAAGATATATTGTTCATCAATCATCACAAATTAAGTGTTTGTAGAATAACATTTTCTGAAAACACAACTTTACTTTAGGAACCTTTTTCTTCTAGCTAGATCTTATCCGAGTGCTAAATGGTGTAAGGTTGGTTCTTATAATTTTAGCAAGATCATTGACAACTTTATTCTAGCTAGATCTTATCCGAGTAATAATTGGTGTAAGATTCTTATAATTTTAGCAAGATCATTGACAACTTTCTTCGAGCTAGCTAGTTCTTATCCGAGTGATAATTGGTGTAAAGATTCTTATAACTTTAGCAAGATCATTGGCAGTGACGTGGAGCCTATAAGTATCCTTTAGCTACTGCTAAAAAAATAATGTTTTTATAGATCTTTATATAATAAGATAGGAACAGTAGCATAATGTGATGGAGCATATGATCATTGATGCCCAAAATAGCAGTTAAAATAAAATAAAAAATATTAAGCTTTCTACACGTGTCCCCGGGGACTGTGACAAAAATACGATGAAGCTAATTATATGAATAATTTGTGTTATGAATCTACAAATTAATCATAGCCTTCATACACGTGTATGCATTGAAAAGAAATTTAAAAACAAAATTTGTTCTCGGACTCGAGAGACTCAGAGTAACCATAATGGAAGATTTGCTCTCACTTTTTTGAAAGAAATAACTATTTACTTTTGTTGGTGAAATACTGAAATTAAAACATAATGGCGCGTCACTTCTCAAAAGAATGTCTGTTTAGTTTGACGAGTACTGTTTTCACTCTATATTGTGTCAATACATGATATGATTATTATTTATATTTTATTTTGTCATCAATACATATATATACATATATATTTATAGTTATATTTATATAATCTCAAATTTAGATTGTGACGCATAAACAAAACCAGCAGAAATCATTATATTATGTCTTAATCATCCCAAAAATGGGGTTTTATTCATCATTTAGACGTACTTTTAAGAATTTAGAAGAAATATATTGTGTACAATATTCTGGTCTTGTCTGATTTCCTTGCTAATTTACACGTTAAAAGATCACTCCACGATTATGAGATTCGGTCAATCAGATACAAAAGTCAGTGAAATATCGCAAGCAAATTAACTCAAAACCCGTGCACCTCTTATACGTGTCGTGATGTGAGAAGCCATGCAGAGGGAGTTACATATAAAACATTATTTTATTTACTTGTAAGAAAATCTTTTCGTAATCTATATAAGATGATTGGATAATTGAGGGATGACTATAATATATGGTTGAGGAAGATCTGGATCTCTTTACCTACCGAGACAATTTTAAGACCGTCGATATTTTTAAATAAAATAATCGAAAAGTCTACTAACAATGTGGCAAAACAAGAGGCATCACAAACGATGACTCATCAGGCTTTATCTCTGTGGCCAAATTATTTGACCAATATAATAGCCCGACAGCTCAGAGAGCCACAGATTTGTCAGTAATAATCGGACCACTCAAGCTTAAAAAATTCAATAATTTTATATATCTTAAGAAAAAAAGAAACACTCTGTTATATATATATAGCTAGGCATGTGTAGAGCATCTTGATAAAGCAGACAGATCAAAGAAACAAAGCTCAAAACAAAATACGTATAACAAAAAACACAAAAGGATATATAAAAATGTCGAATGTGATCATCAATAATCAACTAAGGTCTATCAGCTTACCTTCAAGATCGCATCCGAGCACAACCAGGATCGAGGAAGCTCTTAACAAGGTTAAAGCGGTTAACACTGCGACGGGTTCGTCAGAATCAATCTTGATGGCCTTGGCTGGTTTGGAGGAGCTCTACAATTGTACGGATGACTTTCTGACAATGGGTTCGACGCAACGTGTTATGTCTTCTGATGGATCAGAGTTTGTGGAGGAGATGCTTGATGGATCTTTGAGGCTAATGGATATTTGCAGCGTCTCGAGGGATCTAATGGTGGAGACTCACGAGCATGTTCGTGGCGTTCAGTCATGTGTTAGACGCAAGAAAGTAGCCGGAGGAGGAGGCGACCAACTCGATGTTGCTATCTCAAGCTATGTCGGATTTAGAAAGAACATGAGAAAAGAAGCTAAGAGGCTTCTTGGATCCTTAAAGAAAATCGGTGGAGGGACATTCTCATCATCATCCGTAAATAATGGCCAACAAGATGAATATCTTGTGGCTGTTACAGATGTGATGAGACAAGTAGTCTCCGTAAGTGTGTCGATGCTGAAGTCGTTCTTGGAGTTCTTGACGAGACGACAAAGTAACATAAAGAAGAAGTTGACTTCGGTACTAAAGAAAAAGAAGGATCATCATGATGAGACAAAGAACGAGTTGGAGAGTTTGGATTCCGCGTTATGCTGCTCTCGTGATGATCACCTACAAAAAAAGCTTGAGGTGGTTGAAATGAGCATTGATGGATTCGAGAAATATCTAGAAGGTTTATTTCGCAGGTTGATAAGAACACGAACCTCGCTTCTCAACATAATCTCTCATTAGATTTTAAACTATGCACGTATTAATGTTCGTTGGCATTCGACTTTAGAGAATTTGCCTGAGGGATACATTATAGACGCATAGATTGTAATTGTGTAAACTAATATAACAGATAAATGTAGAGATCACGTCACATTACACAGACAGCACCGGTAAAACGTGACGTGGGTCACCATGTAGATAACCTACCAATCATATTTACTTTACTTTATATATAATTTGGCTTGTAATATTACGTTAATGTAAGGTTACGTGACTGTCTTCCACAGTGAAGATGTGATTGCAGTTATATATATACAACAATTTTGGCATGGAACGATTAAAATCGATAGTTGAAATGACTAAATCAGTGACTTTATATGTTCTTCCTAATTTTTCTTTAATTGGAAGGAATTCGTTATTCGATGAGATTACAAGCCTACTAGCAACTAAATCTGCGGTTAACTGTAATTTATTTGGTTTCTTGACCATTTTTACAGCCAATTTTAATAAATTTAGACGCTTAAAAAAAACAAAATGTAGATATTTAAAGCTCATGTTTTCAATAATATTAAAATTAATTACTCCTGAACAAACCAAATTACCCCAAAAATTCATGACATTCATAAGAAGAAGTGGGATTCGGACCAAGCCACGTGCATGGGCTAGTAACAATGCTAGCACGTGCGTACAGAATTACTTTAATCGATGATTTCGGTTCTCTATTTCCGGTTTATCTCTAGTGAAGAAACAAAGTTCTGGGTTTAACGGTACATATCAATTTCCGGTACAATTTCCGAATTTTCAAAGAAGTAAAAGATTGTGGGTTTTGACAAGGGCAGTTTCGTCAAAAACGATATTTAATGGAACCGAACGAACGCAACCTTCAAATGAAAAGGCGGGAAAGTGATCGAAAGGAACAAAACAGGAAAACAATAATAATAATAACGGTCATAACCGCCGTGTGGTCAAAGAAACTATATAAATACCATTTCGACGTGCCACCAAAAACGCATTACTCTCCGAAAAGGCAAAAGCCATGAGTAATCCCGAGAAAGCAAAAATGGATGCCGATGAAGAGATCAACGAAAACTCTGACGGCAGTTACTACATGTGGAGCGACGAAGAAGAAGGAGAAATTCGCGAACTTGTTCTCGCCCTTCCTGCACTGACTGTTAGCGAAAGGCTTAATGCTGATGAATTAATCAGAAACGAGGCCATTGTTGCTGCGCAATTGCTTCTGCTTGCTGCTCAAGAAGCACCGGCGACGACTGAACAAGGGGTTGAAGCAAGTGCTGAGAATGTCCAGAAACCAAAACTGGGCCGACCTCGGGAGGTCAACTTGGGTGGTGCGGTGGCTGCTGCTGGAGCGTCCGGTCCTACAGCCCTTGGTTCGGCCGTAGAAGAAGAGCCTGCCAAGAAACTTAAGAAGAAATGCTCTTCAAAGTTGCACTATCCGCCTCCAGGGCCTCCACGATGTAATATCTGTGGAAGAAACTTCGTGTCTTGGAAAGTAGTGTTCGGTCATCTGAGGGCCCATAAAGACCGTGGTTACCACGGTTTTCTTCCTCCGCCGGTGTTTAATGCCGCCGAGGAAGCACGTCTTGCAGCGGTTAATGCTTCCAGTAGTGGTTGGGGTCTTGGCTCTGGGACCTGTGGGCTGGATATCGACTTAAACGTCGATCCAGCGGAGGAAGAGGAGGAGGAGACCGAACCTGAAGCTACTCCAAAGTTTGATCTCAATAGGTCACCACCACATGAAGAAGAAGAAGAGAAGGAGGATGAAGCCAAGTGAAGACTTTGTGTGAACCTAAACGTTCTTCAAAATTGCATTGTTTTCTTCGGTCTGTTTTTTTTTAAATACTGCAGTTTATGCGTATTGCCGCCTCTAAACTTATGTTGGTGGTGCATTATTTCTTTACCTAAATGCTTCTTTACAGCATTTAATTTGTAGCATGCATATGCATGCGAATAATAAACGTAAAACAATGCAATGTTTACAAACATATATTTTACATTACATCTACAAATTCCTAATATTGCAAATTATACTATGAATAAACAAAACATTTGTTTATCAATTCAAAGTAATATAAATAGGAAGAGGAAATACTTTTCTAAGTAAGTAGAAAAGATATTAACACTTAGTACGTACATTAGATAAAAAAATATAACATACATACTGTAATACGTACATCTGAAAAAACAATAAAAAAGCAAAATTTAAAAAGCTTTCGATTTGTAAACCATACTGTCAACAATTTTTTCAATAGAATTGCATAATTAGAATGGAAATAGACAGTATATGTAACACACATCAAGTAAAAAAACAGAAACATTTACTATTTAGTATTTCCATCGTCCTATTTTATATAACAATGAAATCTTCGATTTTTAACGAAGGAATACCACTAATAAATTTTTTTTTTTTTTGGGGCAAATACCACAAATAGATTATGAATGAATAAATATGAAGATGATTATATTATATTTCAAAAATAAATGCAGCAGTACATTATTATTTTTTCTGTTTAAATTAATTATAGAATAATGGCAGAGAATGGCTGTTATTTAGATAGTTCATACGAAAGGATTGGTAATAAATGTAACTGTAACAAAGTTTATTCCACGATTACTATGTTCCCAACTCGCAACCAAATCAATTTATAATACGTGTCCCTCTTCCACGTGTCATTAACATAGACGATATGCAGAAGCTAATCATAGGAAAAAACATTGGTCAATTTTCTTGACAAATATAAATTTTCATTTTTTAGGACCCGTAACATGCAAGCAATCCAAACCTCATTAGATGATAGCTAGGATAATATAGGAGAAAAATCTGGATCTCGTTTCCTACCGAGAGAATATAAAGACCATCACTTATTTTGAAATTTTAATAACGCGAAAGGTCAAATTAATTAAAAAAGAGTATGCGCTCGAAAGGGCAATTGATAGCGTGGCGAAAGCGGAGGTAACACATACGATGACTCATCAGGCTTCATCTCTGTGGCTAAATAACTTGACAAAAATAATAGCCCGACAGCTCAGAGAGTCACAGATTTGCCAGTAATAATCGGACCAATCAAAATTTAAAAATTCAATTATAGTTGAATTTAGTTTTTGATCGATGACGTGACCAAGCCCTATATATGCTTTATATGTACAAGAGTAGCTGAGTAGGGCAAGATAAGTAAAGCAGATCAACAAAAGAAGAAAGAAAAAAACCTCAAACACCTTCATAAAAGATATAAGTCAAAACAAAAACACATCACAATGGCGAATGTGATCATTAAGAAACAATTAAGATCTGTGAGTTTACCTCCAAGTTCGCATCCAAGCACGAGTGAGATCGAAGAAGCTCTTAATAAGATGAACACGGTTTACACCACCACCACAGGTTCATCCGAATCGATCCTGTTGGGCTTGGCGGGTTTGGAGCAACTCTACAATTGCACGGAGGGCTTTCTGAAAATGGCCTCGACGCAACGTGTGATGTCGTCTGATAGGTCGGAGTACATGGAGGAAATGCTCGATCGTTCGTTGAGGCTAATGGATATATGCAGTGTCTCGAGAGATCTCATGGTGGAGGCTCACGAGCATGTTCGTGTTGTTCAGTCTTGTGTTAGAAGAAAGAAAATAGTCGGAGGAAGAGGTGATCAACTCGATGTCTCTGTCTCGGGCTATGTCCGATTTAGAAAGAACATGAGAAAAGAAGCTAAGAAGCTTCTTGGAGCTTTGAAGAAAATCGATGGTGGGTCAAGTTCATATGGTAAAGATCATGAAGATGACCATCTTGTGGCAGTTATAGATGCAATGAGACGAGTAGTTTCGGTTAGTGTCGTGGTGTTGAAGTCATTCTTGGATTTCTTGTCCGGACGACAAAGTAACATAAAGAGCAAGTTGGCTTCGGTACTAAAGAAAAAGAAGGATAATCATCATGAAGAGACAAAGAACGAGTTGGAGATATTGGATTCCTCGATTTGCGAAGATTTTTGCTCACAAGATGATCTACAAAAGCAGCTGTGGGAGGTCGAAGTGAGCATCGGTGGGTTCGAGAAGAATCTAGAAGGGCTGTTTCGAGGGTTGATAAGAACACGAGCCTCTCTTCTCAACATTATCTCTCATTAGATATTTTTAAACGTATGTATATAGTGTAGGCGTGTAACCATCGTGGGCATTCAATTTTAGAGAACTTGCCGGATGGAGGCACTACAAAAGCATACAGAAGATTTTGCATACTAATCAAAATTGATTGTAGGGAGAAATTTGTATAATAGAAATTTTGTATTACAACAGCATTCAGGTTATATACCCTTAGATGTTAATGAAACAATCTAAGATTCATAGTTCAAAATGAGTTGACTAAATTAGGTAGAAGCATCATAAACTCAAATCGATGCATTGGAACTTAATTATACATTCGCATCTTAATATCTTATGAAAAAGGTACAAAAAGAAACGATGTTTTATAAGCCATTATAACGCTATAGTATATCTAAACAGTGGCTGATTAGCAGCTAGATTATTAATTAGTCCATGCCAATATTCTTCTACTTGTTTTCTTTCAGGTTTATATATAAGGGCAGTTTATAATGATTAATATCTATCAAATATTTAAACTTAGAGAATTATGGATCTTAATTTGTTTTTTTTTTATATAAAAAAATGTGCGAACAATATAGAGATCGAAAAATATCTTAAAATACCAAACAAATTTTCATTCGAAAAATATCACAAATTTAAAAAACTCTAAAATGCCACAAATTTTAGGTTCGTATAAGTGTAGTACGCATACGTACTCCTTTCCAAAAAAATAAACCATTTATATAATAAACTTAAATCAAATAATCAACTCATACCAAGTGATTAATCGTTAAACTGTGTCAATTACTTATTTTCTTAGTTAGATGTAATATTCAGAATGGATAGCCCTCACGTCTCATTACTAAACCATACACAATCAATATTTATAGCAATCAACGATTGTACACCAATAAATATAACTTATCTCTTAAAATCAGTTCGGTTTAGGATTGAATACCAATTGATCGGTCAGCAGAATTTTAAAGAGAGGAGAGTTGACTATGAGAATGAACTCACTGACGTAGAACGTGCATATACTTATCGCTGCTAAATTCTATGCATGCTGGTATTATAATATAAATCATGAACGTCTGACGTAAAGATGATTTTGGCATGTGCCAAAATTTAACTGGAATCTGTTTTCGGACATATCAAAATCTAATCATCCGACTTATATGGTTAGGCCTAATTTTCATAGTCGGATGACAGTAAATAGTATCATATATTGTTTCGTTCCAATATTTGCGTATATGGTTGGGCCTAATTTTTAAGAGTTGTGAGCCCAATCGTGGTCCACACCAAACAATATTTCTTTCTCTAGCTCCTCCCTTACTCAATTTTATCATTGTCACGTTGTTTTAGGATTCTCAAAGTAATCCTCTCTTTTATTGAGATTGCACCGAATTGTATTTCGGGTTTGAAAAGAAATCGGAATATCTCACCTATGCCTCTCGCAAATCAAAATACTGTAGAAAGAGAAAAAAGGACGTTAATTTCTTCATAAGTGGTTGAAATATGGTGTTAGCATTCTCAATATGATTTTTTCATAAATAGTTAAAATATGGTGTGCTATATTATTCACAAATCTCTAAATTCGATACTTTTGAACGGGATTGTAAATATTATTTGTAAACGAACTTATCAAAGATTCACAAAATTAAAATTAGGATAATTTAGTTAATCACTTGTCGAAAATTTACATTTTGAATGAAACCTGGTGTAAATTCTTTCAGTTGTATCAAAAATGCGTTACACATAAAGGTATCGATTAAAACTTCATACACATATTGATTATGAAAGCGAAATTAAAGAATCTTAAAATCAAATCAAAAGGTATAAAAACTCAGAACCTGTTCAATGGGAAACTGACCTGATGGACACTCCGAAATTCATGGTAACATAACTGCTGACGTGTGACGGTGTTATTTAAGGGAGGCATCGTCCCTTGCGTGGGACCAAATCATCCGTGCATAGATATCTTCATATTTATTATTTAAAATAATGTAACAAATCTTCAAAAGATCTTTCAATTAAAATTCAATCGAGGTACCCACACATTAAAAAAAGAGTTAAAAAGAGCATTGTATCTGTAACCTTCAAAAGAAACAAAATCCAACGAGGATAAAAATAAATATAAATATGACAAAAATAATAAAAGAATCGTAAATGGACGGTGGCTTTGGCGCATGAAAAGAGGTGTGAAAAAGTTTCGGTTTTTGTAACCGAAACCGAAACATCGAACTTCGACAACGATTCAACTACAAATCAAACACATAGCATTTAATGAGCCTTACGTGTTCTGTTTCTGCTTAGTGGAGTACCCACACTCACTTCACATGGTCTTCACGTCTTATGCTATATGCTAGGCCCTACTCATTGACATTTATGTCACTATATGAGTATTTTATTTATATAAAACCCTAGAGCTAAAGGACCAAACAAGCCACAACTCCAAAAACCCAGTTAATTAGATCATCATTACTTGAGATGTATATGTCATCATTGTCTCCGAGACTCCACAAAGCATACAAAGCTAGATGTGTTAGCTTACCGGTTCGCTCTCATCCGAGTGTTAGGAGGATTCAAGAAGTACTTTCCAAGGTTAGAGCTTTGGGGTCGTCTTCGTTAGAGTCGAGGATGATGGTCCGAGACGGTCTCTCTGGTCTCACCGAGCTTTATAGATGCTTAAGTGAAGATTTGTTCAAGTCTTCTTCTGACACCCAGCAAGCTCTTCTCAATGGTGGCTTGATGGATGATCTTCTTGAAATGTCTTTGAAGTATTTAGACGTTTGTGGAGGAGTAAAGGAAGGTGCATCGAGGATCAAGAAGAGTGTTGTTGAGCTTCAGTCTGCTTTGAGACGGAGCAAGAAGGGAGGTGAATTTAGCCTCGAGAGTGACGTGGATGCTTACGTGGCAATGCGGAAAGAGATAAAGAAGGAGATCAAGAAGTATATGGCAATGTCGAATGAGACAGACGCATGTTTAGAGAGTAGAGTTTGGTGTGGTGATGATGATCAAGAGATTAGTGCTTTGGTTAGACTGATGCAAGAAACAAGTGTGATCACTTGTTTCGTCTTACGCACGGTTTTGTCGTTCTTGTCGTCGCCTAAAGGGTTAAAGGCTAATAATCATCATCATCACAAAGGTTGGGGTATTGTTATGAAGCTTGTGAAGAAAGGAATAGATCATCATCATCAGGATAAGAGAGATCATGATGAGAAAGGCTTTTCTTGTCTCGAGCTTGAAGCTATGGAAGCTGACATCGGGAAGCTCGTTGTGATGACGACAAGGGAAGATCAAGAAGAGGAGAAAGAGACTAGTGAGGAAGTAAGTGAGAGAATCCAATGTGCATTGGTTAGATCGAAAAGTGTAGAGGAAGCCATGGAAGAGCTTGAAGAGGGACTCGAAGGATTGTTCAAGGTGATGATACAAACTAGAGTTTCTCTTCTTAACATCTTATCCACATAAATCAAAATGGGACCAGATTCGAGTTTCTTTCTCTGAATTTGGAAATTAGTTGCTCTTGACCAGGTTGATTGTTTTTAAAAATCTTGGTTTGGTGTGTTGGAAGGGAGTTTATATTAAGCGTGCATCCATGTATTAAAGGATGTGTGTTTGTTGTAAGTTTATAACTCGTTCAGGTCTGAACATCTCTTGTAAAGTTTTATGTACCTATAAAATTTATAATTTTATCACCTAAAAAGAAATATACGGATGCAATAGCTTTAATTTTCATTATTTCCAATAGTTTAACATTTTAGTATTTTTGATCGGAAAAAGCAATTTAACAATGGCAAAATTGTTGAAGTAATCAAAAAGGTTTTTTTGTTTATTTCACAAAAGAAGTTCAAAAAGTTAGAAAGCAATAGGAGTCAGGCTCATACGGTGAAAGATGGTCCTAGTAAAAAAAAAATTGGGTATATAGTTTTTTTGAAAATGGATATTCAAATAAATTTGGGATATATAGTTGTTTCAAATTAATAAAGATTTACCTGTTTATTTGGTCGAAACTAATTTTTCCACATTAACCAGAATTTGATATTCACAATGGCATAGTAAACCGAAATATTCTTTTTGGACTTTGGTTTAATACTATGGATCACCAAATCGTAATTTTAACTTTTTTTTACTAATTTAAATAAAAATATAAAAAATTTATATACCATTAAAATCAAATATAATTTGTTGGGTTAATCTTTTAGAAATAAGATTCATAAACTATAAATATAAATAAGAGTGAAAATTCATAAAAATGATATTGTGAGAAGTTACTTTAATTTTCCAGAACTGAATTTTAAATATGTATATATTTTTTTAAATTTTGTTCACACAATTATTACATGAAATTAAGTAACGCACTTGTCAACAATATATTTTTTTTTTTATTAGAGATCATAATTTTTTAGATTGTACTTTATATTTTTGGAACATGAGAACATACACAGTGATAACTTGTTCCAAAACATAATTCTTTGCATGGTGGTTTACAAAAGTCAAATCCTATTTTTTTAACCGACTCCAGTGAAGCTTTAAGATGAAAGGGAAAAGTTTCTTCATGTAACATACGTTTCGCCTCAACAATCTGAACTGTTATCGATATCATCACTACAATACAAAATATAATAATATAAGTAACATAATCTAATTGTTTAATAGATCATAAATATAATTTTAATTGGATACATAATTAGATAGATTTTCTTTTTTTGGGTCAAAAAATTTAGAGCTAAAAATTTAGATTTAGAGCTAAAAATTTTAGTTTTATATATTATATAAAATATTAAACTTACCAGTAAAAGCTAAAAACATTACGAAAGCAGATTTCAATGAAATGTTCTCCATCACTGTAAAAATTTGTGTTTTAGGTTTTCTATAACTTTGTAGAATTATCTCAATTTATATCAATCCGGATAATGTAATATAACATATTTATAGATTAAAAAGTGTGCTATTTTAATAAATAATAAAATAGTAATATAAAAATTCTATATATGGTAAATGTAATTTTATTTTAAAAAAATCTCCCAAAAATCGTAGACTATCAATTAGTCAAAATTTATTTTCAATATTTCCTAAAATATTGGATAGCTTTGAATCGCCAGTAACATTATCTGAAAAACAAAGGGATAACCTTCAAAATATAAAAGCCTAATTTTTGTTCTACCGACTCAACTAGGCCCAAGAGAAAATTTAAGCTCATTCCAGAAATCCCATTGTATAATTATTAAGTCAGACATATCCATAAGATGTAACTATAGAGTGCTCTGGATTCTTTGCTCGTTGGGTTGGAGATTAATATGTGTCAAAGACTCAAAGAGACAATGGCTATATTTTGATAATGTCAAATTGGACCATATACGCCGTTTATACGTTCAAAAAAATCGAAACATGGTTTTAAAGTGTGAAATCTGTTGATTTGTTGTAAATATGATATCTTGTGATCGAAACTGAAGAAAACAGTTAGCAAGAGACTGAGAAAAATGCAAAAAACAAAAAAAAAAAGTGAAAAGGGCATTCTCATCTTTTTGCAGTTCACTAAAACAACATTACAAGAGAAAAACAAAGTCGCATTACTACCATAAGATCAAACCCGGGTTAGATTAAGCTACAGTTACTGTCCTAAACCGCATACCAAATACTTATATTTACATATAGACAAAAACACAGAAAAAATTACACGATTAATCCGTGATTTAAACCTGCTTTTCGACTCTTTATTCACAAAACAAGTTTGAAAAGCGTTTGCCTGATTATTTGGCCAAAATTGTTTTTCTTTTTTTGCCTCATCAACGAGTAATTCGATATTTACATTGGCATAGTTGTCTTTTAAGCCAAACTAAGAAGTATATTTTTTTGGGTCATCGGTCAAACCATGAATTACCAAATTGTAATTTTAACCTTTTTATTATTAATCAAAGTAGATTAATCAAAGTAAAAACGTGAGTCGAGTTGTGTACCATTAAGATTCATGAACTGAAAATAGAAATGGGGAGATTCGTAAAAAAAGTAGTCAGAGTTACTTTGATTTTGCGTGACTAAATTTCAAGAATGTATGTTTTATTAGTTTGATTTAGACAAAAGAAATTCAGTAGCCAATTTGTCAATCAATATTTTTTATTCAATAGGGATTATTATTTTATTTTATTTTGGAGGACATACACAATAACAATTTGTTGCAAAACATAAGTCATGACATGGTTTTTCACACCAAGAACCCCCTAAATTATTAACCTGCGTTAATGTAGCTCCAGGGTACAAGTGAGAAATTTCTTCAGATAAAATACGTTTTGCCTCAATAATTTGAATGGTTGCCGATATCATCACTACAACACAAATGTAATAAATATAAGTAATATAATCTAATTGTTTAGTAGATCATAAATATAATTTTAACTAGATAAATGTTTAAATAAATATTGTAGACATTAATCTTACCAGTAAAAGTTAAAAAGATGATAAACGTAGATTTCAATAAAATTTTCTCCATTATTGTATAAAACTGTGTTTAAGTTTTCTTATAACTTTTTAAAATTAGATTAAAGAGATGTATATTAATCCAGACAATGTACTATGATGTTTTTATAGATAAGAGAAGTGTGCTATTATAGTAAAAAATTGGAAAATAGTCATAACATCAATTAGTCAAGATTTTATACACATAAATGTCTAACAGAGATAACCTTCGATCGTCATCAACATGTCAAAAAATCGAGAGCCCAAGATTTGTTCGGGCTGGCTCAAAAGGCCCATGAGAAAATTCAAACTTATTCAAGAAAGCCCATTAATAATTATTTACATATAAAATTTGCTTAGGATTCTTTGGTCGTTGGGTTGGAGATTAATACGTGTCAAATACACAACGGCTATATTTGACGACGTCAAATTGGTGCAGCTAAGAGTGAGTCGGTGGGTTCTTGTAGGACCCAAAAGAGCGTTACTTTCCTAATTTTAGTGGAGCGTTACATACACACTCAGCAAGCCTTCTTCTTCTTCATTCATCTCCTGCTTCTAGACGCGGTGGTGAAGAAATGACGGCGGCCGGAGTAGCCTCGGCTCAGACGAAGAAGCTCCTCAAGTTTAGTCTTTCTCTCTTCCGTCGTGGCTTTAACTCCTCCAAATGGTACTCATTTCCTTTCTTTTAATGCCTTTTCGTTCCCTAATTTCCCTCAATGGGCTACCCAGAAAAATTAAATTCGAAGAATTTGGTATCGGTCATGTACTCGAGTTTTGTTATCCGTTCTCGATTTGGGTAGGAAGAAATCGAGAAAAGTTAGGGTTTTTTTAGTGTGTTGATACTTCGTAGCTCGAGAATCGGCGGTTTGAGCCAGAATTCTGAGAAATTTTCCGATTTGAGCATTTCTCGAGGTCTCTATGATTTACCATCTGATGAGCTTTTTTGTTTCAACATTTGATCGGGAAAACAAAAGCAAAACGGCGGCGAAGATGGCAGTGGCTCGGATAAAGCTTCTGAGGAACAAGAGGCAAGTCGTGGTGAAGCAAATGAGGCGTGACATCGCGGTTCTTCTTCAGTCGGGTCAAGATGCCACCGCTCGAATCAGAGTATTTCACTTTTCTCCTTTGTGTTAAATAAGTTTCTTAACCACAAGCAGCCATTCAGTTTCAAGTAAGACTTGGCTTTTTTTTGACAATTCAGGTTGAGCATGTGATTAGGGAGCAGAACATCCTGGCGGCAAACGAACTCATCGAGCTTTTCTGCGAGCTCATCGTGTCCCGTCTCACTATCATCACCAAGCAGAAGTATGTTCATGTCAAGTTTCAACTATATATCTTCTCCAATTTGGATTCTTACATGTCATGTTTGGGCATTAATGCTTTTAACTTGTATATTTAGGGAGTGCCCTGTGGATCTGAAGGAAGGCATTTCTAGTTTGATCTTCGCTGCGCCTAGGTGCTCTGAAATCCCTGAGCTTGGAGATCTGAAAGACATCTTTGAGAAGAAGTACGGAAGAGATTTTGTAACTGCTGCTACTGATTTGCGTCCTACCTGCGGCGTGAACCGGACGGTGAGTAATATATTCTCTTGTTTCAGATGATTAGTTGAATGATGAGACCATTTTGACGACTCTTTTTCTGATTTTTGTTTCCTCTTCATGTGCGTTTGTAGTTGGTTGATAAGCTTTCTGTTAGGCGTCCGTTTGGAGAATTCAAACTGAAAATCATGAAGGAGATCGCCAAGGAGTTCCAGGTCGATTGGGACACTACTGAGACAGAGCAAGAACTTCTCAAGCCTCAAGAAGAAACCATTGTGAAATATTCTCTCCTTATTCTCAACTTCCTCTTTTGTTTTCTTTTGCAGAATCAGAATTCTATAACATGTGTTCTCTCTTGTTTCATGAACAGGACGGTCCACGTGCGTTTGTTAGCGCCTCAAGCTTACCCGTAAACCGTGCTTCTCACGAGCCCATTGATCCTAACAAAGCTGTGCCGAGGTAATTATATTCATCTTTTGCTTCAACAATCTCCGAACAAGAAGGGGTCAGAAACAAATTCCTCAAGACTTTTTGGTTGTTCTTTGTTTCATCAGGTCGAGTAGTAGCATGAGCATCAACACGCATTATCATGACACCGAGTCAGCAGCGGAAGCAGCAGCAGAATTAGCCAAGCAGGCGGTTGCAGCAGCACAAGTAGCCGCCTTATTAGCTAATAAAAGAGACAACAACACCACCAAGGCTCATTCTTTCGATCATTCAACAAACCAGGAGAAGGATCATTATCATCCAGGCTCAGCAAGACAATCCCGAGATTCTGAAACAAGCTCCTACTACTCAAAGCCTACTGCGGAAAACAGAGGAATCTGCAGGAGACACAGCTGCAACAATCCGTGTATACATGAATCAGCTGACCACGAGGAAGAAGAAGCAAAGGAAACAATGAGGAGGAGACACAGCTACAACTCTCCACCAGTTCCTCCTCCTGCAACTTCTGAGATCAAGTTTGATGAGTCAGACTACTACGAGGACGAGACAGATCCAGAAGAAGGAACATTACAGAGTCGTGGTTCTTGTTCCCTCCCGCCAAACCGAGCACCGCCTCAGGCTCCTCCTTCTCAGTCCGCTGAGTCGAGACGGGACTCAAGCGGTCACCATGTTCACCCAAAACTCCCTGACTACGATACGTTGGCTGCACGTTTCGACGCAATCAGACACAGTAAAGGGCCATTGATATAAAGCTGCGAACTACGATTACTGCTATATAAATAGAAAGAAAACCACTTATGGGACTTACTACTACATTGGTTCATTATTGTGTATGGAGAAGGAAGAATCATTTTGTTTTTGGGTACTACTTAATATTTGCTGTGATTTTTTCAGAAAAACTAAAGTTAAAACAGAAACGGAAGTACTCTTTATCAGATTAATTCGAAATTTTCTTAATGCTAAATCTTATAGAAAACAAAAAAAAAAAGAAACCTCTTCTACATCAGATTAGGAATATATTTGTTTCTGTCTATATATATATATGCATACATATTTAGGATCAGTTCTGAAATTGTTTTAATCGTTTCACTAACGACGCATAGACAGAGATCGTGATGGGTAAAGTCGGGTGGTCTGATTTACCTGAAGAACTCGTCGGTTTAGTTGCCGACCGTTTATCTCCCAACATCGACCTACTCCGTCTACGTAGCATATGTAAGCCCTGGCGTTCTGCGGTTGCGGCCAAGAAGCCTTCCCCCAACCGCTTTAAACGCGCCCTTCATCCTTTCAATAGGAGCAAGACTGAACTCTTTCCCGCCACTTTCTTCCGTGTAACTCTCTCTTCTTCTTCTTCACGTCCTAGCAAAGGATGGCTGATTAAAACCAGACAAGTCTCTGAATCCAGCAAGAGTACTTTCTTGTCTCCTCTCTGTCGCCGCTTCATTACCCCTTCCCACCAAACTCTAGACCTTCTGAAGTTCGGCGTTTCAGATATTCGTCAATCTTACGACGTTGAATACTCGAACAAGCGACTGAAAATATCACGTAATTCGTCTAGAGCTGTGCTCGTAGACAGTTTATTTTTCGTAGTCGACAGCAACAAGCAAATCTGGTGCTGCAAGAGCGGAGAAGAAAATAGTAGATGGACAAGAATCAAAAACGAAGAATCTGGAGGTTTATGTTTCTCGGACATTGCACTTCACAGAGGATCAATCTATGCCTTGGACTTGAAAGGAGCAATTTGGTGGATTTGTTTACCCGAGCTTATCATTTATCAGTCCACAGTTTCAAGTCCAATGGACGACAACAACAATTATACTTGCAAAGACAAGAGACTCGTGGAGTATTGTGGAGATCTGTGCGTTGTTTATCGCTTCTATAATAGATATGATATCGAGAGGACACTTTGTTTCAAGGTTTATAAGATGGACGACGAGTTGATGGAATGGGTTGAGATTAAATCCTTGGGAAACAAGGCACTCATTGTGGCTACGGACAGTTGTTTTACGGTTTTAGCCTCCGACTACTATGGATGTTTGGAGAATTCCATCTACTTCACTGATGTTGATGGAGATAAATTTAGGATTATTGGAGTGGAGGATGAAGATGTTAAAGTGTTCAAGCTTGGTGATGGTAGTATCATCAATATGATTGATTCTTCTTCTCCGACTTGTTTTCAGATGTTCTCTCTTCCCTTTCTCTCGAAAGATCAATTATCTTAAAATTGAATTTAAGTTTGTCTCCAAATTAAATGTTAGTTCAAATTAAAAAGTACTTACTTATTTTCAGGTTTTTTTTGTATTACTTCTTCTCTTACTTAATTTCGTTTTTGTTTTTAGTTTTATTTGTTAACATTCTTCGTTTCTATTTAAACCACATTGAATATTTAGCTAAGTGCATCTAACTAAATACTAGCAATAAATATATTCAAATAAAACATACTAATAATTTTGGTCAAACCAAAGTGTAACAGAAACCAATTGAATTTATAAAATAAATAGGCAAGACATTCAATGAAAATACAGAAAATAAATTACAACAAAACAAGGTCCATGTAAGGGTAGGTCTTTGACACACAACAATAAGGTAAGTTTATAATTATTATTTCATTGACTTAAAAAGAGGTAATATCTTGAATTCAAACAAGATACTTTCTTTCCTTGTCAGATTTAGAGTATAAATACACGTACACATCTTTATATTCTTTCAATCATTGATCAAACTAATAAACGATTTCTTTCTTAAAGCCCTAAGTAACAAATAAGGGCATATATAGAGAGAGAGATATGAGTAAATTCGTCGAGGGGTCTGATTTACCCGAAGAACTGATCGATTTCATAGCCAACCGTCTCTTCTCCAACGTCGAGCTTCTCCGAGTCCGTAGTATCTGCAAACCATGGCGTTCTGCGGTTGCGACCAATAAGAGTTTCCCCAACCGCCACAACCGCAACCGTAGACGCTTACTTGCTCCTTACGCGAATGGAAAAATGTGTAGACTCGATCCCGCAGCTTTCTTCCGTGTGATTCTGTCGTCATCTCCGAACAAAGGATGGCTTATCAAAACCCAAGATATCTCCGACATCCGCAAAAGACTCATTTGCCCTCTGTCTCGTGTCTCCATAGACTACTCCGACCAAACCTTGGATCTTTTGGAGTTTACCGTCTCAGAGATCCATCAATCGTACGACGTTCAGGAATGCCGAAAGAATTCGACTGCAGTAAGATCATATGGTTTCGCTAGAGTTGTTCTCGTGGGAGATCTTGTTTTCGGTGTCGATTATTCCAAGCAAATCTGGTGGTGCAATAGTGGAGAAACTAGTAGTAATGGTGTGTGGACAAGAATTGCAGATGAAGAAGCTGAATATTTCTCTGATATTATAGTCCACAAAGGTCAAATCTATGCATTGGACCTAAAAGGCGCGATTTGGTGGATTAGTTTATCAGAGCTTCAGATTTTTCAGTACGGACCTCCAACTCCAATGGGCTACTACGAGGTTGATGATTGCAAAGACAAGAGGTTCATGGAGTGTTGCGGAGATCTATACATTGTTCATCGTTTCTGTAAGAGTTTCCTCGTAAAGAGAGGTAAGCATGTCGAGAGGACCATTGGCTTTAAGGTTTATAGGATGGACGAGGAATTGGTTGAATGGGTTCAGGTTAAGTCTTTGGGAGAGACGGCTTTTGTTATGGCAACGGATTGTTGTTTCTCTGTATTGGCTAAAGAGTATTATGGATGTTTGGAGAATTCCATCTATTTCACAGATGAGGAAGGAACAAACAATGTTAAAGTGTTCAAGCTTGGTGATGGTAGTATTACTACCATGGTCAACTCTTCTTCCGGGAGCTGCTTTCAGATGTTTTCTCCTCCTCCTTTTGTATGAGAGTGTCTTTGTTATTCAAGTTTTAATATTCTGTCAAACCAAAAAAAAAAAATGTTTTAATATGTTGTTTTGTTCACCTTATGTTTAATCTTATGTTTGTTTTTCTTCGTACTTTTTTTTTTTTTTTTTTTAAGACAAACATACATCAATTTATTAGCGCCAGAGAGACTAATTGATAGAGACGATTTTATGTAGAATGCTCTCAGAAGCTAATTCGAATTTTGCATTATTGTTTAACGCCATTTCAATTGCCCAATCAGTAAACTAGAATCTGGATTACTGAACCGGGAATTAACAATTAGTTTCGGGATGGTTAATCCGGTTGGGTTTTGGTTATCGACAATCAGATACCAACGCAACTTTTGTAGGACGGCGTTTTCTGTTTTCCCAATCGCCCTCCTTCACTTTCCGCAAGCGTCTCGAGGAAGCGTCGACACATGCCTTGAAAATTTTCCCAGAATCGGATGAAACAATCACAAACATACGAAATCTCGTCAGACCAAATTTGTAGTTCCAACAAGGCGTTGAAGATTTGATCGGAGACATGGATAAATCGCCGTTGCCGGTGCAGAATGTGCACCGCTCCGATAAGAATGTTGCTGGAAAGGAAGCACTGGTGAAGCTTTTGAGATGGCATTTCGGTCATGCCGATTTCAGAGGGAAGCAACTGGAGGCGATTCAAGCTGTTGTATCTGGTAAGTGTTAACACCACACGCCTTTCTTTTTTCTTCTCTCTAATGAGGAAAATTGGAACGATTTTTTGAATTCTTCGCTTCTGTATGTCGTTTGATTGAAATAGGAAGGGATTGCTTTTGCTTGATGCCCACTGGAGGAGGGAAATCGATTTGTTATCAGATACCTGCACTAGCTAAACCTGGAATCGTGCTTGTTGTTTCTCCTTTGATTGGTAATCTGTTTCTTTCCTGATCTCATGAATGGAGAATCTATGGTTTTTGATTGGTCTCTAACACTATCTGCTCTATTTTCCTCTCGTCTGGTCTTGTGTTTGCTTTCTCAGCTTTGATGGTAAGTGCATTGTTCTTTTTCCTTTTCGTATTCTCCTTTTTAAGCTTTCTTGTTAATTATGAATTTTGAAAAACGATTCTGTGTTTCTATTTGCTAAAGGAAAACCAAGTGATTGCTCTGAAGGAGAAAGGTATTGCTGCTGAGTATCTCTCATCCACCCAACCTACACATGTTAGAAACAAGGTGAATTGGCTCTACTGTGTTTTGGGTCTATGTGTGTATGATTCTAAGCTTTGTGTATTATCTGAACTCTTTAACCAAAATGTATGCACACTTTGTTAAAATTCAAAATTCATGCTATGTGCTTTGCCATATAACGCTGATAGAATCATTTGGACGATTTCTTCATTTCGTTATTCTTGACTTTGGTTTTTAGATCCATGAAGACCTTGATTCTGGAAAACCCTCAGTAAGATTGTTGTATGTTACTCCAGAGTTGATTGCGACGAAAGGATTTATGGTGAAGCTTAGAAAACTCCATTCCAGGGGTTTACTAAATCTTATAGCCATAGACGAGGTAAATCTTTTGTAATGCCTATACAATAGTAAGAAGGAAAGCTTCAGGTTTTGAACTTGAAAGTTGGTTTGATTGCTCTCGGCTGTTTATCTATATCCCAGGCACATTGCATCTCATCATGGGGCCACGACTTCAGGTTCATAATTCGTGATTGTGTCAATATTCGTTTCCATGGGCACTTACTATAGTCTAACTTGTTTTTTGTGTTTCATAAATACAGACCTAGCTATCGTCAACTTTCAACCTTGAGAGATTCTTTGGCTGACGTTCCAGTGTTGGCTCTAACTGCGACTGCGGCTCCTAAGTGATCTTCTTTTTCAGTGCATTAAAAGAACACGTGTGCAAATTGTAGGGCCGTTTTTCAAAGAGCAATTTTTTTACAGGGTACAAAAGGATGTTATGGACTCCTTGAGGTTGCGGAATCCTTTGGTCCTTAAGTCTTCTTTCAATCGCCCAAATATCTTTTATGAAGGTTTCCCTTTGAGCTATTAATTTGTGTATGATATTTTCTTTCTGTAAATTGTTTTGAGGTGTTTCCAAAACTGTTTTGTTTGAGAATGTTTCATTACTATGAAAGAATGGATTTTCTAAATTTGCTTCCTATCATCTAAAATAAGCTTTTGTTGGTGCAGTTCGGTACAAAGATATTTTGGAGAATGCTTACACTGATTTGTGTAACTTGCTCAAGTCATGTGGAAATGTTTGTGCAATTATCTATTGCCTTGAGCGTACAACCTGTGATGACTTGTCTGTTCATCTTTCCAGTACTGGGATCTCGTCTGCTGGTAAAAGAATGTCCCTTCTACCTCTGTCTTCATTAGTCAGCCACAACCGCTGACGTATGTTTACATATATGATTACAGCATATCATGCAGGACTCAATAGTAAACTGAGGAGCACCGTTTTAGATGATTGGCTGTCCTCGAAGAAGCAAGTTATTGTTGCTACAGTGGCTTTCGGGTATGAATGACCCTGCGATTTACATTTTATTTGGATTATGGGCTTGTTATGATCATCTTCTTTGTGGCTTATTATGTTTGGGACTTGGGAGCTCTCGGGTGCACGTAGTGAACGCTCTAATGGTTTTTCTGCAGAATGGTATGCAACTATGATTCTTTCTCATGTTGCATTTTTTAATGTCTATATATTTTTGTACTGTCGCATGATGAGGCTGCTGACTTTCTAGGGTATAGATAAGAAGGATGTTAGAATGGTTTGCCATTTTAACATGCCAAAATCAATGGAATCTTTCTATCAAGAGTCTGGTAGAGCTGGCCGGGATCAATTACCCTCGAGAAGTGTATTATACTACGGTGTAGAAGATAGAAAGAAAATGGTAATGTTCCTCTGGTTATGACAGTTTTTGGCTTCACAACTTTCATTCTATATGTAATTCTCTAGCTCACTTTACCAACTCGTTACTAGGAATTTCTACTACGGAATTCAGAGAATAAGAAATCTCCATCCTCAAAGAAGCCAATATCTGACTTTGAGCAGGTAAATGCTTTCTTACTTCCCTCTGGCTCTGTGTATTTCAGTTGAAAATTTATTCTTTTTAATTCTGCATGCTTTTAGATTGTGAAATACTGTGAAGGTTCTGGATGCCGAAGAAGAAAAATTCTTGAGAGCTTTGGGGAAGAGGTATGACTTGTATATTACTGATTCATGAATCAGATCCCTTACGTTGCCTTAAGCCGCTGATAATCTTGTTGCAAACAGTTTCCTGTGCAGCAATGCAAAAAAACGTGTGATGCATGTAAGCATCCAAATCAAGTTGCTCATTGCCTGGAGGAGCTCATGACTACTGCCTCCCGAAGACACAATTCATCTCGAGTTTTCATCACCAGGTTTTGCCTTTAACCGCATCTAAATAAGCAGTGAGGTATTACAAAGTCTAACTGAGCTCCATGCTCATTCTTTTGCAAGCTCGAACGATAAGAACAACGAGGGACAGTACTCCGAGTTCTGGAATCGTAATGAAGATGGAAGCAATTCCGATGAGGAAATATCAGATTCAGATGGTAACTCAGTTTCTTGATATCTAGCGCAACTTTTCGAAAAGAACTTCTCATAGCCTAAAACTTTCCAACTAACGTGTTGATTCATCTACACCCAGATGGCGCTGAGGCTGGCAAGAGTCTAACAGGACCTAAACTATCGAAAAAGTTGGGAATAGACGAGAAACTGGTTTTACTGGAGCGGGCTGAGGAAAAGTACTACGAAAGCAATAAACAGGTTTGGGTACAGATTCACTTTATCTTCTCTAGAAACAAAAGTTTTAGCATATTTCCTCCAATTTAACTTCGCAAAGCCTTATTTGAACTGTTTGCAGGTCAAAAAGTCCGAGAGGAATGCAATATCTGAAGCATTAAGGGAATCGAGCAAGAAGAGACTCTTGGATGAGCTGACACCAGTACTTCAGCTGCTCCCCAGTGTAGACGAGTAAAAATCTCTTGAATCCTTCCTCATAAGTATTTTATAGTTTAAAAAGCTCTCATGTGCATCTCTCTTATCTCATTCATTGGAACTGTGAAATCAATATTGCAGGATCGATTCCCAAAACGCATCTGAGTTTCTGGAAAACGAGTGCTATAGAAAATATAGCAAAGCTGGGAAATCGTTTTACTACTCGCAGATAGCGAGTACTGTGAGATGGTTAGGAACCGCAAGCAGAGACGAGCTAATGACCCGACTTAGCCCAGTGGTAAGTTTGGCTAGAGAAGAAGAGCCATCAGGAGAATCGATGCTGGTGACTGAACCAGCCGAGAAGATAGAGGAAGAAGACGCAAAGATACACACAGCCGAGTCACGGGTTTATGAACCAACACAGCAGCTAGTGGTGAGCCCGAGCCGTTCGCCTATAATGCTCCCACAGATTCCGTCGTTCTCAGAGTTTGTGAACCGGAGAAAGATGAAGCATAATACATCTTTAGACAATTCTTCTGAAGGTTTTGATGACAAGAAACCAGCAAAGATTATGAAGCTACAGTGATAATTGTACATATCCCTCGGATATTTTCATTTCAACAAGTTTTTTTTAGTTTAGGCGTTGGCCTTTTGTGAAGTGTTTCTCTCGGTTGAGAGTACATTTAGTGAAGCTGAACCAATTTAACCGATTTTTTTCCTCAACCATGTAAGAAGATGACTTGCACTGACATATTATATTAATATTTACATATATTTCCAAATCAACTCACAACCACCACCACTAAACAAAAGACCTACAAATTTCTTCAAAGAAAGATTAAAGAAAAACACTTAAACAAACAAAAAGAAAAGATTTCAGAAAAAATCTAAAGATTCTCACTATTTCCTTATCCAAGCGCCAACTACTTTCTTTTCCGTAAGAAACGCTCACTGATTTCAAAAAGCACACCTATTTGTAATCTTTTGTTTTTTGTAATCGTATATTATATAGTTTATAAGACACGATCCGAGATCTCTGGTGGGTGGATTTTACGCTAAGAGATACACCTCATCGAGAAACTGGAGACTGAGGAATCCACGGCGGCTCCGGGGAAAATCCTCGCGTGATCGCTTTCTTGACCGTAATCCATCATCGGACGGTACTCTAGATCGTCGTCGTGATCGTACACAAACTCAGGCATCTCTATCTCGTTCCTCCGCACGTGTTCCCACAAATAGTCAACTCTGCTTATGTACCTTAGCTTCCCGTACAACCTGCCGTAGTCAATCACCACACCATCAACCAATCAGTTAAACGACGTTTTCCAACTTCAAAGTACCAATCAAACCAAAAAAAAAAGGTTACTCACCCGCCGGAAAAGAGAAATCGGCCGCAAGTGGCGAGGAAGAGACGTGACTGGAGGCCTGGGTGGAGAAAGTAAACCTCCTGGAGATTGTCTCTGACGTTGACCGGGATCGCGTCGTAGATCGCTCGTAGAGCTGAGATTCCGGGGAAATTCTCGCTCCTCTGTACGCCGGTGTGGACGTAAAGTACGGCGAAAGGTTTTCTCCCTAATCGAGGAAAGATCTTCTCCTCCAGATACTTCTTCAACACATCCAGTGACAGAAACCGAGCTGATTTGAGAAAAATCTATTTAGAAATTTAACAAAGCAACTGAAAAGAAACGGTATAAAACAACTAGATCCAACTTGGATGAGTACCTGGGAAGAATTTGCCGATGATACGAAGGATCTTACGGCCGCGTTTGTCTCTGCCATGGATCTTGAAGATCTCAAGCTTCTCGATCAGCTGTTCCTGTTCGACCTCTGAAATCTGAGTGCTCATCGCTTCTCTCTCGCTTCGACGGTGAAACAAGTTGAATTATTAAAGAAGGAGAAGGGGAATTACAAATGCGGCGAGTGAAAGAAAGTGAAGATGATTTTAAAACGGGGAAAGCAAAAAAAGTGTATTTATTGGGGGGTTAATGTGAGAAACGACGCACTCTTACGAATATTCTATAGCATCTTCCTTTTAACGTGATCTTTCTCACCTCTTCGTGGGTCCTACACTCATTGCCCTCTTGTTTTGATCCTTCTGGTTCTGGCTAAGCAACTAATCTGATCCCTCCATTTTTCGCTACATCTAACGGCTACTGCTTTTTTTCACTCTTTCCCGCGCGCTCTTAAGCGTGTTATGTTTTTCATCATTAGACTTTAGGATAAGATTAACGTTATTTTTGGCTGATCTGTTCTTTAGCAAAAGCAAATCGATTTTATTATTTTCTGACACCGTCGTGCTTGATTTTTATATCTATCCTAAAGAATCTTTTAAAGAGAAAACTTTATCTATACTGCGTATCAAACGGATAATAACGGCAAAGTTTGTGGATCATTATTAGAAGAGAACAAAATAAAGTAAAATACCCAAAAGAACATGCAAGAAAATTGTTCAAAAGGGCACCGATAGCAACTAACATAATTTTATATCTCGTACACCGATAAACATCCATTTATATACGTACATCTACAGGCATAAATCTATACAAATACATACATGTGCAACTCTTACATAAACCCCATTTCTAGGCATAGACACACATAAGGTTCATTTCTAGATTCATTCAAAAAAATAAAGGTTCATTTCTAGGCAGTGTACACACACGAAGGTGCAAATTCTCAAATAACAAATAGAACCTAACAATTTATGGAACCTAAATATCTATATATGATAGATAACATAGTGATGCTCTGGTGAAGAATATGGGAGATTTCATCAAGTTATTAACCTCCTATGGCAATAATAAGCACTTTCATCACTTGTATTTTTATACAATACCCTATAACTATCAGGATCAAGCAAAGAGAGCATTCACAGATTCACCTAATATATTCTGCAACAATACAATATTTACTGAACTTGATTGGCCTCATTTGCCTGATCAAGGCTGAATCCAGACATCTCCGCTAGTTCAGCGAGTTCTACTTCTCCGCTTAAGACCTAAACAATTAAGGAGGTGAAATAGAAACTGACGTGTGATGAAAATGTACCAAAGATTCAGAGGATTTTACTCACCTGACCATTAATCATCCATGTCGGGAATCCTTCGATCCCAGCATCTGAACATGCCTTGAATATCTTAGTTCCTTTCTTATATCCTTCAGGGAAGCATTCCACGTAGTTCAGTAGTTTTGCCGCTTCTCTACCAAACATCTATAGATGCAGGGAAGTTACATGAACATAATAATATTCCATGAAACTGATTTTAGGCAAACCCACGATGAATAAACTACTTACCTCTTTTTGCTCTAGGCAGTGAGAACACCAGAATGCTCCATACATTTTAGCTCCAATGGAGTTTAGATGTTTCGCTAAGGCAATAGCATAAGGGCTCGATGATGTAGCGATCTCTGTTGAATAATATGGCAGCTCAATGTCACCTGAGCTGCAAGGAGTGAAACCAAAAGACATTTTGTGGTTAAAAAGAAACCACCCTGATAAATCTCATTCATCCTTGGGCAGCTTATTTTGTTCACTAATTGTTCCAAAGGACTAATAAATGCCATTTCGACTCCAGAAAGGAAACTATGAACCTAGATTACCGTGAAGGGATTGGTTGAGCAGTACTATAGGAAGCAGTCAAGGAGGCAACTACTATGATTGCCAAGCATATCTGCAATCCTACAACTTGCTGTATCTCTTGCAACTTCACATCCTATACCACATATGCATGGAGCACATAAACCCAATCCGAAGTTAAATTGTCATCTTGAGTAGAAACAATAAATCCAAAAAATGTAAGAGAAACGGATATGAAGGAATACCTTTAAAGAGAGGAAAAACAGACTAAACGATAGGAAAGCAGACACTAGACAGTACAAGCACGATGATCCTGAGAGTTTTGTGCTAAGGATATACAAGAAATATGCACTAGCAGATGCCATTGTAGTCGTGGTCGCGAACAACGCAAAACGCCCATTGCTTTTACTGATTCCAAAGGGTAAATTCCCTTCCCCAAGCTGTGCACTTAGAGCGGTCACTAAGCCATACATAACAAATCCAATCACTGGCAGAGGAAGACCTGAAAAAATGTTAAGGGATAGTCATTACATAGAGTGGAGCGAAGCATGCGATTCAGCTTTAACAATTTTATACATGCTTAAGTATTAAAGCTCGAGAATGATATAGCTTCTAGCACATATTCACAAACATTATCACATGCGAGTGCTTGACCTTGACCTTATAATGCCTTTTTTTGAACGATTTTCTACTTCAAGAGATCTACACGAATACAAAATCTGACACTAAGCTAAGCTACATGAATGTTTCCAGGTTATTCTTTTACAAAGGCAACAAACTCTAACCCTACACTCAGGACTGCCTATGTTCATGCAATTTCAAGGATATTATTGCTAAATCAAACGAAGCGGTGGAAAATACCGAAGACGACGGCATAATCGCTGTTAAGGACATCTCCGCAAGTGCCACCACCAACAGGGCAAAACGCATCGGAGCCAGTGAGTTTGAGGTAAGTCAAATACGCGGTGTCTAACATCCCAATACCGCCGAGTCCGGTGTACCAGTTGTATGCCGAACTGTTAGTAGCTGCTTCACTTGTGGACGACGATGCGGAGGAAGACAGCGACGGCGCAGAATCTCCATCATTTTCCGGCTCAGATGACGAACACTTGACCGTAACCACCGGAAATCTCCGGCCAGAGACCTAATTGAGAAAATCTGACTTCAAATGACCGATCACACTACCATCGCAGAGGGCAACACAACATGACAAGAATTTACCTCGAACCGTCTAGGGTAAAGAGTTGACGGTGAAGGAAGAAAATCACGGACGTTGAAATGGAACCGAGGAGACGACACTGAAACAAACCTCGCCATCATCGTCGTCGGAAAAGAGCAATTCCACCATTGCTATAAGCAAGGCTTCTCTAACTCCATCTTAGCCACTTGTCTCAACATTGGGCTTAAGGCCCAAACACTATTTAGTCGGATCCATTAAAAGCTAATAATTGGGCCTATTTTTGAGCCGTGCGGTACTATCCATCCGAGTCAGCAAGTTATCCTATTCTTCATGAGTTTACGACTTACGAGGCAACCGAGTTGGACTTATCATGATCCATTCCACGCATTGCTTAAACTTTTGGAATCACCTTTGTACATGATTGATTGAATACTCTATCCGTAAAGGGATAGAGACTCAAAATTCAGACATAAAAGTAGCTGACGTGTTGCTGACACCCATACTCTGTGTCTGTATGTATATATACACGCACGAGAAGAAGTATCTCAAAGCATCCAAGAAAGAAGAACGAAAAAATGGAAACGATATTAAACACACCCACACGAATCGGAAGCTGGTCATCGGCTATTTCTCCACCTCTACAAACAAAGTGTGGATCTTTCAAGTCGAGATTACCAACGGCAAATTCAACAAGAAGAGTTACCATTGCTGCAGATCTTCAAAACTCAAACTTCCGATGGTGAGCGACGTTTTGGAAATCTCTCTACCTCTTTCGGATTATGAATTAGCATTAAGGGCAAACAATGACTAAAACCTCTGTTTTGCTTTTTTTCTCAATTGTTTGTTGAAGGCGGAGAGCAACAACGAGCAGAGGAAATGTTGCAGCAGAAGCAGCTAGAGTTCCTACATCAGTACCGGTGAGAGTGGCGCATGAGCTAGCTCAAGCAGGGTATCGTTATCTCGACGTGAGGACACCAGACGAATTCAGCATCGGACATCCGTCAAGCGCCATCAACGTACCTTACATGTACAGAGTCGGATCAGGTTTTCATCAACGACCTTTGGATTCCTTTATTGCAAACTGTTAAATTGAAAAAAAAAATGTTGAATTGATAAAACTTAAAAAAAAATTTGCAGGTGTGGTCAAGAACCCGAATTTTCTAAGGCAGGTCAAGTCCCACTTTAGAAAACACGACGAAATCATCATAGTAAGTTCATCATATTTTAGCAAATTCTCTAGTAACACGATGAAATAAAATCGCTGAGAGGCACGTAAATATATTGCAGGGTTGCGAGAGCGGACAAATGTCTTTCATGGCTTCAACTGATCTTCTCACTGCTGTAAGTGTGATTCACTTCTACTTATGTTATCAGTTAACACAGAAAAGTTTATACGGTTTGGCTCGTGTACAGGGTTTCACCGCGGTCACAGACATTGCTGGAGGATACGTTGCCTGGGCAGAGAATGAATTACCAGTAGAAGAGTGAAAGACAAACAAGACCAATGCGTTTGTAAATTATACATAAAGAAATGTACATGTTCTCAACACAAGTGTTATTTATGTTATCTAAATGCACTACCAAATAATAAAGACTACTAGTTTCACTTGAAGGCTGACATCAGAGAAAGTAATGTAGTAGAAAAGTAAAGAGACTTACCTCCGCAGTTAAAAGTTCCCACAGCACAATAGCGTAACTGAAGACATCTGCCCGATGATCATAAGGTTTGTGCTCAATGACCTGAGTTCAGAAACTATGTTGTCAAAGTAGAGAAATAAGGAAATTGGTCAATGCAGGCATTAACAAATGAGCTTCTACAGCTGAATGTCATGTTTAAAACTACATGTCATTTCAAATAGGTCCAACTGTGTGTAGTTCAGCCATGGGACATTACAGTGCTTAGCAGAGAAATAGCCAAAACTCTCTATAGACATGTCATAAGTCTCATAAACTCCAAAAGCCTGGAAAGCAAAAACAAGATGTACGAAAGCAGTCCCTGTTTCAGCTGTCATGCCCTTAATGAAATGTATCGAGAATTACAAAGCAAATAACATACAAGAACCTCATTGTCGTGCTGAGAAAACTTCAGATACAATCAAGATGAAAGGACTCTCTTATTCAGAATCTACCGAGAACTTACCCGTCACGATGCAGAGGTTTGGAGATCGTGTGCATGCTCCGATAAAAATAAAATGGACAACATTTTTATAGCGTACTTTCCTACAAGCAAGAATATATATCAGTAACAACTAACAACCGTCCCCAAAGACCAATCAGCATCTGGAATATGCATGTTAGAGATTTTTGACTGAGAACACCGCATGACTCCGAACATAAACTTTACTTAATTCCGACATTAGTGAACAGAACTTAATGACTCAAGGATCATGAAACATACGATTGAAGCAAGAGATCATTCAACAGGATGGATATTGCTTCTGGTTGCCAAGTGCATACCGCTCCTTCCAGCGCTAGCAAATCTGTGTCCGCATGGGCTGATATTGACGCCAAAGCATATGGTGTAGGAACTTTTGCAGCAGGCAGAGAACACCGTAAGTTGCAGTAGCTCTGTCTTTCCCCAAACTGCGAAGATGTAATGTTTGCATTATTAGGATATTAAGAAATGTCATCCTGTCAAAACGCTTCATTTCCTATGGTTAAAGCGAAACGAAGCATAAGTAGAAAGGAGTCTAAGCTAACCTGTCGTTCCGGGATTAACTCTTGTAGCTGAGACTGTGAGCATTGCAGCCCATGGAAACGAATTGAACAAAGTCCTCACAAAACAAAAAGAAATACATAGTTAGATGATTCTTAAGCAGACAGATATGACTAAACTAAAACTTAACATCTAACTGAATCGAAAATCTGAGTGTTTAAAACTGACAGAAGAGTGAAAAGACAAAAGAAACTTGTGACACCTCTAACGATCTTAAAAGACAGGATGTACATGTCTAATTTGTTTTCACAGTTGCAGTTTTTAAACACTTCGATTCTCTAATTCACCTAACAACATAAAATTCAAATTGTAAGTGATCTGAGTAACAACAATAGCAACATTACCTCTTTCTGAGCCTCTCCTCCTAGTCGAATATTCAGCCATAACAGCTTCAGAGATAGGCTTGTAGCTATTGAATCAGAATTTCTTCCTCGAGGAAACTAATGGTTGGATTTGGATTTAAGAATCTCTCTCTTCTTTGCTTTTCATAATGTTAACTGGACAATAAATACACCAAACATAAACAAAGGGAACACATCTACGATAAAATCTATGTTTCAGCAAATCAGAACACAATCACAAGCCAGCAATCCATAACACTAACATTAACCTATAATTCTCAGAACTGGACCACATTTCTAAACAAACAGCAAAGCAAATTTTTCAGGGAACAAGCTAGAATTTCAAAACCACGGTGGAAGAAAAATGATTTCAAAGCACAAAGAAGCATGATTTCGGAAAACTCGAGAACAATTCAAAGAAGCCATAAATCAAAGTGTAACGTGTCGGTGGAATGGGTTAGGAACAGTAGCGGTTCATATTCAAGTTTCAAACAAGTCGCTAAAATCTAAAATTCTGAAAGAACATGAAAAATTTGATAAAAGAAGGAATCGGGTAATTAGGGTTACCCATAGGAACAAATTAGTGCGCACATATCGATCTGGTGACGGAGACTGACAGTTGCGGCTGCGGATACCGACGGAGACGCTTTCCTTCGCGATCGGAGACCGACGAAGACGCTTTCCTTCGCGATCGGAGACCGACGGAGACGCTTCGCGAGCGGAGACCGACGGAGACGCTCTCCTTCGCGAGCAGAGACCGACGGAGACGCCCTCCTTCACGAGCAGAGACCGACGGAGACGCTCTCCTTCACGAGCGGAAACCGGTTTTGTCAACGTTAGCTTCGTGTGGTCCCAACGCAACGGTCAGATTTGTTTACGGACTTCTTTGAGCGGAAACCGGTTTTGTCAACGTTAAGCTCCGAGTGGTCCCAACGGTCAGATTTTTTTACGGACTTCTTTTGGTGAGATTTGTTTAATTTATGTAGGCGTCTGGTTACAATGTTATTGCACAAATTAGTTACTGTAGCCGTTATTGTTATTGCACAAATTAATTACGGTAGCCGTAGGTTCTTCTTTTTATATAACGAATTTAAAAGGGAGAGTTTTGTCTCAACTATAATTTATTGTTGGTCGGTATTAACGAAAATACTAATAAAGAGGGTTCAAATTAAGATGATTGAAAATACGAATTGAAATTGATTTTCAAATTAAGATGATTGAAAATAAGATTACTAGTTTCACTTGAAGGCGGACCTCTGAGAAAGTAATGAAGTAAAAAAAAAAAAAAAAATTCTCATACCCGCTCAGTGATTCTTTATCTCGAAAGTGAACTGTTAAAAAAAAAGGTACACAAGAAAGAAAAACAAAACAAAAGTGAGGCTCCAAGAAAATACTCTACAGTTATAAAGAGATCCCTCACCATTAGACGCAAACTGTACAAAGCATAGATGAAAGGTGAGCAGAGCTCTCTATTCAGACCGATCAAGCCACAAGTTTCAGATGATCAAGTCGAGAGTATCAATGATGGCCTTTTCTTAGGCCTGAAAAAAAGCCACCATGTTTATCCTTTTGGCGCTCCTCAACTCCAACCTGGGTGGTTTCAGGACATTATTATTGCTCACAAGTCAGACTCGTTCTGGTAATGGTTTCAGCTGGTCAGAGAGATGATATAGCCATTACCTCATGGAGTAGTTGCTTAACCATTTCTATGATTTCTGCAAAATTGGGCCTCTGAGCTGGGTCTTGTTGCCAGCATTTCTCCAGAAGTTCAGTCAGTTTTGGGTGTGTTTGCTTCGGAATTTTTGGTCGTAGTCCCTGCATAAACATTCAGAAGTCATTGTACAAAAAGCTCTCTCTCAAAGCACGAGGAAAAGAGATGTAAAGTCCTTATAAACATACCTTTTGGACAACGCCAACAGCCGCTTGTAGTGGAGTCAAATGAGAATATGGGAGCTGTTTCATTCATTATACACCAGAAAATGAAAAAAAAAAAAGTGTCAAATAGAGAAGTTAGCTGAGTTTAGCAACAGAGAGAAAAGTAAAGAGATTTGCCTCCCCAGTTAAAAGTTCCCACAGCACAATCGCGTAACTGAAGACATCTGCCCTATGATCATAAGGTTTGTGCTCAATGACCTGAGTTCAGAATTTACAGTGTCAAAGTAGAGACATAAGGAAACTGGTCAATTCAGGCATTGACAAATGAGCTTCCACAGCTGAATGTCATGTTTAAAACAACATGTCATCTCAAGGCAGTCATACCTCTGGAGCCATCCATCGGTAAGTCCCTGTTTCAGCTGTCATGACCCCTGACTGAGTCTGCACCCTGGCAACCCCAAAATCAGCAACCTTGACAACCTGTTCACAATTATGCAAAATTATTAAGATTTTTTTTTTTTAAATTCTAAGGTGTTTACAAGCTGAAATAAAGGCGTGGATTACAACATGTTTGAGCGACTAAAGTATGTTGAAAGGCCACAAAATCAGTGATGCTTACTTCATGTTCGTCCATAAGAAGATTAGCAGTCTTAAGGTCTCTATGAATAATATTGTTTTGATGCAAATAGTTCATTCCTTTCGAGACGTCAAGCGCCACTTTGAGCAAAGATTGAAGTTTAAAAACGCCTTTCTGTTTGTGAAGAAAATCATAAATGCTGCCCCGAGTCATGAATTCTGATACAGCAGGATAAAAATCAGTCGACCATGCATACATATGAAAGCCAAAACTAGCAAATGAAATGTATCGAGAATTACAGAGCAATAACATACAAGAATCTCTTATTTAAAATCTAGTGAGAACTTACCAGTCACAATGCAGAGGTTTGGAGATCGTGTGCATGCTCCAATAAACTGGACTACATTTTTATGGCGTACTTTCCTACAAGCAAGAATATATCAGTAACAACTAGAGTTGTTAGCATGTTTGACTGAGAACAGCGCATGTCTCCGAACATATACTTTACTTAATGATGGAGAATGGTGGTGAAAAATGAGAGAAAATTCATGTCTATTTCTGAATACAGACCCATGAAATGAAATTTTTATAAAAGTTTTAGAACAATAATACCATTAGAGTATGAGTGATAATGAGAATCGACTGCAACATACCTCATTATATACACTTCCTGAGAAAACTCTCGGAGCATTTCAGCATTGACACGCTCAGGCTTCAGAATTTTTATAGCTACTTCCTGACTGCAATAGGTTCCTCTATATCTGCATAAACATCAAGAACACATATCCGTTAACTTCATAGCATAAACTTCAGAGGTATTCGGAATGAAAATACTCACAGCTCCCCATATGATCCACATGCCACTTTCTTTTCAATCTTGAGCTGTTTCATGTCAATTTCCCACTCATCAGTTCCATCCGTAGGTATTTCAACACATGCGGGTACCAGCTCGTTGGTTGATTGGTCATGCTCAAAGAAAGTGATAGACTTTTGCTTCGAACTAGGTTGATCCTGCAGAGCAGCCAGTGTGGAATATGGAGAGAGGACAACTTTCAAAAGTTGATGCAAAACATAGCAAGAAAATATCAGTACAGCGTCACACTAAATCTTAGGGCGAGCTAATGCTAAAGCATTACTTGCATTTTCAGATTACGAATTGAGAATCAGGCATGGAAAGAATATGAGGAAACATCATGAAGATAACAAATGCCCATGACAACAGAAAGGGAAAATATAGAAGATACCTTGAGCTTCCGTATCTCCTTCCTCAATGCATCTTTTAAACCCTCTGTTTCCTGTATTTCCAAAGTTGTAAAATTTCATAACCAGTTTAGTGATGACAGGGACAGAGAGGTCGTCGTCAATGGTCAATTTCTTTCTAAGCCATTCACTTAATACATCAGTGACAAGGAACATGATGGTTCTAAAAGATGTGGTCCATACAGAAAACTGAAACTATACCTCCTGCGACCATCCATCAACAACGAAGACATCCAGAGAGAAACCATCAGCCGTAGAAAAAGCATGGGCCTCTTGAATATTTAATCCAAGCTCACCAAGCATTGAAGTTAACTGGAACCAAATATATTTTTTCGTTCAGATATTGTAACAATAACTACCCATTCTTTACATGACAGTCTCTAATGGAACATATATACTGCGGTTAGGTTAGTGAAATTATTTAGCAAAAACGAGATGTACGCATTTGTATACTGGTAATCATAAACATCACCCTACTCAACAGAAGAGATTCCATTAACAGAGTTAGTATAAAGACAATAAATTCACCAACCTGACTTAGGAGTTTTGGCTTGTCGATGGTTGAAAAGGTGATTTCGTGCATTGGTCTATAATATAAGCAACAAAGGAATATATCACTGCTCATGGTTGTATAATCAAATCAGGCTAACCCGAAAAACATGAGACCGCAAGTCCAAGCTACAAAGGTTCTCTCTTTAAAACTAATGTAGACAAGACTGGGGCATATACAACATAACTCGGATATAAAACTTTCGGGAAAGAACTCTCACCTAGAATAAGGCAACTCTGCATTGACCGCACTGTCATCGTCTTCAGCATGATGTTTGTAGGCTTGTGTAAGAGCCTCAAAGTTCGGAGAAGAACCAAAAGTCGGAGGTGCAAGAACCCTTTTAACAGGAAGTAAGAAAAAAAGCCAAGAATAAGAAATTATTAACAAAAAGCGTCTAAAGATCAGCCCAACATTTTCTAGAACTACATATGCTTGCCTGCTCGATTGGTATGAGCTTTGAGCATCTTCCTTCACAGCAGGATCTGAAGGATCAGCGTCAGCAGAATGTCCATTTAACGTGGGAGAAACCTGTAAGAAAGACGAACACAAGTACCAATCAAGTAAGCAAAAGGATAATGCAGTCTCGAACAAAGATTTCAGTATCAAACACAGAGCAGGGCTAAAAAAGGATAATGCTTTAGTTACCTGAACACAACGAACTTCAAAAACAGGTCTAGTTGCAGGATCTTCAGCCAATTTGAGCAATCTCTGATGAGTGAGGACATCTTCTGCTCTCTCAACATTTACATCCATAGCATATCTAAACAAAATAAGTAAACGTTCATCAGTACTGTTAAGTGATAAGTGGCCAAAACGAGAAAATTGGAAAATTAGACAAAAAAAACAGTGAATGGAGAAAATAAACTAACAACGCTACAATCACACGTGTTAATCTTCAAATAGCAAAGTTACAAATTCAATTCAGAGGAGACAGAACAAAGCATCACACTAGTACAATCAAATTAGGACAAAATGATGAAAGAAATTTCAATAACCAAAGTACACAAACAAGTGGCAAACCATTATCATTGATCCAAAACCCATAGATTAGTAAAAAGCAAAACACTAATTAGTGAAGAGATTACCGAGCAGGAAGACGGTTGAAATGGAGCCAGAGCTGATCATCGAAATCAGGGAAATTGGCTTCTTCGTAATTGGATTCCTGGATTCGCTGTAGAACCTCGCCGTACACCTCGAGTTTCATACGATGCTGCCTAGGGTTTTCCTTAGACACGGAAGCCGCGACGGCTCTGCTTCCGCAACTCTCCTCCGTCTCCTCCTTGATCGCCATCGGAACAAAATTCACGGGCGGATCAGAAAAACACAAAACAACTCCAGTAAGCAAGAACAAAAAATCAAACAGGACGATCTCTTCTTCGATCCAAAAGCACAGAAAGGAGAATGATCCAAGATTCAGCAGCTAAAAGTGAGAGAGTGAGGAGACGGAAGAAATTGAAGAGGGAGAGAGAGAGAGAGAGGGGTTTCGGTTGAGAGCCAGGGAGGACATTGAACGTTTCGTTGTGTAACACGTAGGGCTTGTCCACGTCATCATCTAGGGTCCACATAAGTGTGGGTCACGGGGTTCTCTGTTTTTTTTTTTTTTTTAAAAAAAAATCTGTAAATGGATAATGGACATTGTTGCTTTTATGCTTTGGGATAAATGTATGGTGGTGCTGATGCTTAAGAAAAAAAAGAAAAGGAGATAGTGGTGCCTTTTGTTTTTTTCTCTAAAAAATACAAATATGATGACATAATATTACAACTTTTTGATGTTTATATACTTATATAAGTTCAACAATCGGTAATTACACTAAAGTGGGTTTGTTACTACAACACCAGGAGAGATGTGTTTTTTTTTTCCAAAAATTTGTTTGGAGTATGACGAGAATGATTTTTGTATTATGTCACACACCAGTGAGAGATGTGTAATTTAATTCATGCATGTTATCGAAAAAAGGAACAGGTATGTGTATTAAATTAAATTACATACGAAAAGAAAAGATATGCCTACCTAAATGAATAACAGCTCTATTCGTTTGGCAGCCGCAGCTACTTGCGGCTACGTCGGCGATAATAATTCATGTTCGTTTCGTTGCCGCGGTTATCTGTATCTAAACACAGCGTTTACTATAGATATCTGCGTTCGAAATTTTTAGACGCAAAGGAAAATCGGTGGTACGACTAAATTTGCTGCGACTAAATTATTAAAAGACGAATTACCCATATTATTATTTGTAAATTACAAACACATGCCATCAAACATAATCTAAATCATTTCCTCTTCGTCGCCTTCACTAGTTCTTCTTCTCCCAGCTCTTTCAAAAGTTTCAAACTTCATTTTCGATCTTATATTAGATTTCTGGGTTTGTTCATTTGCATTTCTGGGTTTCTGGGTTTAGTTTCTAAGCCCCGCTCAAGCTCTTTTCTCTCTCTCTCTCTTTATCTCGGCCATTGAATCGAATAACCATTGAAGCTTCCGGTGAACTTTTCTCTCTCTCTTTTTCCTTTACTGTTTCAGTTATTTTCCGCGAGTGATATTCCCATTCATCTTATGAATGTTTACCCATCATTTGCAGATCTTAAGACTCTTGTGTGAGAAATACGGCTTACTCGGATTTGATTCTCTTTGAAGGGTTTTGAATCTCTCAGTTAAAGGTAAATGAGGTTACTTGAATTTGATTCTGTGTATGGTGAAGGCTCGAGATGGTCCTAATTTGTATTTTGTGTTTCACGTTTACACTTGCGCAAGACTCCTTATAACTTGTGATGAATGTATCTGCTTAGCTTTGATTATTGTGTATTGCTGTTCATTTCGTTTGATTACTTAGAGACTAGTTTATGTGAGATTAGCTTATGTATGAGTTTGTGTATCGCTTTTGTGACTTTAGCCGATGTAGGAGATTTTATATTTGCCTTATGTGAGACTAATTTCTGTGAGATTAGCTTATGTATGAGTTTGTGTATCGCTTTTGTGACTTTAGCCGATGTAGGAGGTTTTATATTTGCCTTATGTGAGATTAGCTTATTATGTATGAGATTTGTGTGTGAGATTCAAGTTCTGATCTGATGAACTTAATGTTTATGCAGCTTGGTGTTGAGACCGTCCCTGTACTTGTTGGCCCAGTCTCTTACTCGTTGCTTTTTAAGGCTGCCAAGGGTAAGAAATCACTTTGTTTTTTTTCCTGTACTTGAGATTAGCTTAGCTTATGTAGTCGCTGCATCAATACTCGGGTCCTAGATACATTAGTGCCTAGTTACACCTAAAGTAGTTTCTTCTTCTTCTGTTATTTAAACGGATTGGGTTGGATTCTCGAATTGCTTAGCTAGAATCAATAAGGACACTTAGCTAGAACCAAATGAATCGGATCTGGATTCTAGTTTTCTCCCTTGGATCGAGTGTGATGTTTTGTTGTATGCTTGCTTGATTGAGCCTAGGACTTGTCCATTTAATGGTAAACGAATTCCCCTGCTTTTACAAATACTTTTTGGTTTCTATTCTACAAATGTATGTAGCTCTCATTGTAGTTGAAGATCACATCTTGTTGTTTATATACTTCCGCTTAGTTCTCAGTTTACGTTTGTGTTGCATACAAATAGAAGAGATTTAAATTGTTGATTTATCTTTGTGTTTACGTTGAATCCTTGTGTTTATGAGCTGATTGATAATTCCCTTAGTCATCTCCATCGATTTATGCTATCTGTATTGTTAATTCTTATAGACGATGAGAGTATAGACGATTAATTATTGCTCTTCTTCCTTGGATTGTAGATCTTCTGTACAGGGACTACCAAGGAGACCATAAATTCAGTGTCACCACGTACTCTTCCTCCGGAGTTGTAAGTTATTTTACCAAATTTTACTGAAATCAGACTCCTCATACTTGTTCGTTCGTCTTTTGGTTTATTGTTAGTGACGGAAACGAGATTTTACGTTTACGTTTCGATGACTAAGGGAATTATCTTTGCTTATCTTTCGGTTGTTGATATGTTAGATATATGTGATTGTTCTTCTCTTCTTCAGTTGTTCTATCTCTCGATTTGATTTGTTCATTGATTCTTCTAGTACAGTGCATAAACTTAGATTATTAAAATGGTTTTATGATTGCATTATACTTTGCAGTTCAATTAAAGCTTGTAAGACGTCATAATAGTCTCGTTCTATCAGCTTGCTTCATAACGGTGTCTATGGTTTTATGGTCTTCTCTTCTCTTATGACTTTTTCCGATGATTTGCTTTCTTACTGGTGTTTATTGTTAGTGACAGAAACTTTGGTTTATCTCTCGAGGTTGAACTCTTATAGCGTTCTGATTTAAAAACTCTTTTAAGATTTTCAAAAGTATTGATGAATTTAAAGCATTCTGATTTAAAAACGAGATTTGCTTTCTTATTGGTGTTTATTGTATATGTTTGCTTGTGTTTCTTCAGGGTTTTGTCATCACTAGTGCTCTCTCTGTTTTGTAGTTAATTGCCGAGTCATGTACTCTCTTCGCTTATCTTTTCTAATTTATCTTAGCTTATCTTTGTATATGTTTGCTTGTGTTTCTTCAGGGTCTTGTCATCACGGAGAGGACAAAACTTGACCCAGCATTTAGAGAAAGATGTCTAAAGATGTAAGTGTTTTGGTTTTAATCTTAGTGTTTTGTTAGTGTTTTGGTTTTGATCGTAGAGTCTTTTATGCATCGTTTAGAATTGGACCGATGAAGAAACTAGATACTTTTTTCAACTTTTTGCGGATGAGAGAAGCAAAGGAAATAGGACTAGTACTGGAATGAAAAAAACCGGGAAAGATTGTATCATGAAGAAGTTTGAAGCAAGATTTAAGAGAGGATATCAGAAATGGAACCCTTTCAAGAACAAGTATGACTCGTGTAAAAAGAAATACACTAGCTATAGGATGTTAACTCACAATAGGACCGGGATTGGGTATGATGATATGGGAAAGCTGGACATGTCAGGAAGATCATGATTTTGTACATTGGCAAAGCACAGAAAGAGAAGGAGAAGGAGAAGGAGAAGAAGAAGAAGAAGAAGAAGAAGAAGAAGAAGAAGAAGAAGAAGAAGAAGAAGAAGAAGAAGAAGAAGAAGAATGAGAAGGAGAAGGAGGAGAAGAAGAAGATGATAGTGATGAAGATCATGGTGGACATATTGCATATGAACCGACTGGTGATAGAGCGATGGAAATTTTGAGTAATTTTATTACAAATAAATGTAATAGAGATCGTTTACCTTATTAAGTTTTTGTTTAAAACTTTGTTTATGACTTTTTATTAATTTGTTGAGATAATGTCTTTGATTATTTTTTTTATATAACTTTGGTTATTTATAACTTGATGTTGTATTTTTATTTTATTTCAGTTAAATATTTTAGCTTATTACTTTTATTTTAGTTTATTCTACAATTTATCACAAAATAAGTTGTTTTAATCTGTTATAGCTATATATTCAATTTAAAAATTATTACTAACTAAATATGATATTTTTTATTGATATAAATATATTTAAATTATATTTTATTGATTAAAAATCTAATTATACAAATTTATAAAAATAAAATATGAATTATATGAAAACTTGTTGCAGAGTCTGCAAAACGAACAATATTTATGTATCCTGCGGCTGCATCCTGCGACTGCGGTTGCGGCTGCGACTGCGACTGCGACTTCCAAACAAATAAAAATAAATTTGTTGTGGCTACAGCTGCGTCTACGGCTGCGGCTGCCAAAGGAACATCAAGTTGCAGTAATATTACCACTGCTGCCACCGCTGCTCTCCCGCTTTTGGCAGCCTGCTGCCGCCTGCAGCTGCCAAACGAACAGGGCTAACATAAAATTTGCATATACTCAAGGATTGTGTGAGGTAGTATTACACAATAATTCTTGGTGAGTATGGATCGTATTATCATGATGCCATGTCATACCCACACAAAAAAACATTATTGCTAAGAAGAAAAAAACCCATAAAATCAAAAATAATACGAAGGCCTAATCATATGAATAGGCCTTTCAAATTTTAATTTCAATGAACCAGAGCATATTTGATAGGCCCGTGTGGCCCAAATTAGCTTGGTGCGGCTACTAGCCTACTGGAACACTATTGATCAGCGAGGATTATGCTATGCTAATTATATAAAACTTCATTACACTCTTAACAGTAAATAAAGTGGCAAATCGGTAAGATGAAATGTCGACAAAATTGTGAACGAATTCTATGTAGCTTATATATTACTGTAACAATATCCATATCCATATCTCTCGGTTCCGTAATTAAAATCATAAAATTATTATCCGACACACAAAAAAAAACAGTATAAAAGAGTTATATTCTTTTTTTTTGTCAGAAAAAAACAAGAACAAGGGAATAATACACAGCTGTCAAAAGGAAGTGTGCTGACGTGGCAAAACTAATCAACTACCAATGATTGGTCAGTACTGCTTCCAGATACTTTATTCTCTTCCACCAGTTCATGCTGACGTTGCTCTGCGTCTGCGACGCGCCGCTCAAACCAACAAATTAAAACTTTCATGTCTTTCAAATAACGTCTCTAATATTTAACCTACTCAAATATGTATTAATTTTAATCAAACCGTATTAATTTTAATCAAACCGTATTAATTTTGATATGAATTGATATCTCATTACCTTTTATCCTATATAAACCAATCTAAAAACTAACTTTTATACGAAATCTGTTCGTAGATGAACAGAAATCTAATGCTAGTCAGAATAATAATATTGTACTACATATATACTTCACACAGATTTTAAGATATTTTATTTTTTTATTACTTTTTTGCTTTCCAATACAATTATACTAATAAAATAAAAATAAAAATAATTTGTAATTTAAAATATATTAATTAAAGCTAAAACATCAAATATTTAAAAATAAATATAAATCTTAAAACATCAAATAATTAAAAATGGAGGGAGTATATAAAAATGAATTAGCTTAAGAAATTAGTAATTGATTACCGTAAGACGAGGAAAAGGTAAATATCATTACACAATATGATAACAATCGGAGAAGGACACGTGTAAGCAATAGATAAGCCGTTGTCTCATCGGGTACGCTAAACCCACCTGAGACGCGTTTTTTCGGTTGGTTTATCAAATCCGGCCAAAAATGTTAACAATAATTAAATAACGAAAAATAAAAATAACAACAACATGCGGATGTTTTGTTATTCATTACATGATCAATCCACCATAGCGATTTGAACCGTAAACATTAAAATCACAATATCAAGTAGTATACCGGAAGAGTTACTCTCTAAAGTCTTAACAGTTAATACGAGACTTTAGTTTTTTTTTTATGTTATACACAAAAAAATGAAAAAAATGATAAAAGCGTAGTGTAGAATTGTTTAATCGCGTAAGTACACAAGCCAAAGGAAGTAATGGATTTTCTTGGAGAAATAAAAAAGAGAGCCTAATGACGTTTAACGTCATCGCATCATCATTGCTCCACCACTCCTCTATTTATAGTCGTTATTATCATTTATTTTTTTCCTCTCCACCCTTTTCACATTTGGTCCCTTTAATTTTGCTTCTTCTTCTTTGATTTTTCTTTTGTAGCGAAAAATCGTCTCTCCAGAGAATACACAACAAAGAGAAGGAAACGCAAAAGTGAGAAGAGACGAAAAACAAAGGGAAAAAAGGGGTTAGAAGATGGGCCAATGTTCATCGACGACAAAGATGAGGAGAAAGAGAAAAAGGGAAGAAGGAAGTTGCAGCGAATCAATGGAGAGGAATAAAGGATGTTTAGCGATGGTGAAAGAGAGGCGTTCGAGGTTTTATATTGCTAGAAGATGTATTCTAATGTTGCTTTGTTGGCACAAATACGCCAACTCTTGATAAGGTTTGTTTGTGTTTTTATTATTGCAACTAAAGAAACAACGGTATACTGTATACATATAGCTGTATCTGTTCATAGCCTTGTCCTTGAGAGGTTTTTTGAGTTTGAAAGTTTCAAGCTTTATTTTGGTATATCCCTACCGTTTTGTTTCAAACAAATATTTTGCCAACAATTTCAAGATTCTGATCACAAAAGATTGCCTGATTCACTCAAAAACAAGTAGCATAGAGAGTTTCTAGTTTTCACGTCACTGAGTTCTGCACCATACAATATAAAAGCAACAAGACAAACACAAACCAAAAGAGTCACCGACAGAATCTCTGGGCTATTTTAAGGATTATCAATCACACAACCTAAATCAAACAAAGAAGTTCTTGAATTCACTTGTCAAGAGAGCTAAAGAGGTCATCTCGCGCCACGAGGTTGATACCTTCTCTCTGACCTTCTCTCTGGGCTTCTTCCATAAGGAGAGTAAGACCGATCTCTTCTAGAACTTCTCCCACCACGAGGTGAATAGTCACGTCTTGGTGACCTCCTTGCATCGCGAGGTGAATAGTCGCGTCTTGGTGACCTACGGTGTCCATAATCATCACGATCGTTGTGCCTCCCTCGACTGCTACGGCCTTCTCGGTCTTTTTCCACAACAGCAAAATATCACAGAACAGTAAGCAATCTTTTCATTTTGCTAACAGACTCAGTATAATTAGAAACAGGGGCTTAATACGTTCACATACCATTGTCTCTGGAGTTTTTCAAGCCAAGATAGTGGCCTGGGGTGGGAGTTCTCGGGCGCTTTCTTCGGGACTGGAGATAACACAAAGCACATAAAACCTCATGTAATGGACGACACAACTTCAAGTTACAAAATGCCACGGAATATTCAAGGAAATAAGATGCATCCTAGGCTGAAGAACACTTGACTAATAGTTGTTGATACTTGATAATGTCCTTTGATTAGTTGAGAGTTGAGGCAATATAGTTGCTTATGATTTAGTTGGATCAGATCATTTGGAAAAGCTGTTTAAGCTGGCGATTGGATTGATCAAGCTGTGTTTCACTTAATGATGTTGGGCAAGGATGAGAATCATCTCTGATTGTTGTCAACACTAGCTTGACGCAATATTTTCTGAATTGTCAGAAAACCTCCAAGTCAACAAATAATGATATCAAACATATCATCATACTGCCACCAAAATCAGTAGAGCATGGAAACGTTTACCCTTTCGACAGTTATGTATCGGCCTTCTAGTACAGACTGGTTGAGATATTTAATGCACCGCTCAGCATCTTTGAGGCTATCCATCGTAACAAAGGCGAAACCACGAGACTCGCGGGTGCGCGGCTCCATCACAAGAAAACATGACGCAACCTGTGGAAATGAAACCTGTTAACTACACGATGAAGGATTCAAACAGGTAACATGAGAAAGGAGAATCAGCTTTTTTGTATGTTATCATCACCTTCCCTTCCTTGGAGAAATGTGCTTCAAGATCCTTGTCAGTGACCCTTGTAGATAGTCCAGTCACATAGAGAGTGGTACCAGGGTTTTCAATGTCAGACCTGTCAACCAAAATTCATCCAGATAACGAAGAACCAAACATTAGAAACCCATCAATCCAATCGTAAACAACGAAACAATGCAAACTCAGATTGTAAAAAGAAAGCTAGCGAGCTAACCTTCCACGGCTTCTTGACCTTGACCTAGAACGAGTACAGTTAACGAAAGAATATTAACACGCAATATCTTTTCTAGTTTTACTCAGAGACATATGAAAACCCTAGACTCAAAGCAAATAACTAACCTTCCACGGCCTCTTGATGGAGATATAGGCCTTGGCAAAGACCTTGACCTAGACCTCGCCCTCGGCAAAGACCTTGACCTAGACCTCTCCCTCGGCATGGACCTGGATCTCGATCTGGACTGGGGCCTGCGTTGTTGTTCTCTGCGGGGTGAAGGAGATCGTGAATCCCTGATGCAGAAATCACGCAAAAGATTAACACAATCCTTTACAGAAATGCTCTAGCTGTAACACCTCTCACTAAGACTTCTTACTTCGAAACACCATCTAGCTAAGCTTATGACTAATCCTATGAGCTAGAAAGCATCAACATAAGTTTCAAATACACAGAGAAAAAGTCTCCAGAATTAGATATTTAACAAGTCAAACTTCGCAAATCTAATCCGTAGTGTGATGCAATTCAACATCGTAGAAACACGTGAAACCAGAAAGAGAACGATTTGAAATACACAGCAATGAAAATGCCAAGCAATAGAAACATGAATCTAACCTTTTTACCGGAGAATCCGCCTGCAAAACGAATTATTTAGGTCAATTTCGTCGGAAAAACAAAAACGAAGATCAACAAAGAAGGTGACGATTGATAGTCCTCGAAGCTTACCATCGCGAAAGAAAAATTAAGAGCGAGTGGCGATCGAGACGGAGAGGATTAGGGTTTTACTGTAAGCAACAAGCGTAAAATCGATTTTCCTTTTCCCCCTTGTCTACAAATGATTTTTTAGCTTCATTAAATTTTATATTACACGAGTAGTAATTGCATGCGGCAAGACTCACTTTCCTTATGGTGCATTGTGCAACTGAATCGTAACTAATACGGTTTTCAATTTTCGGTCAGAATCGTAATCAATCCGGTTTTCAATTTTCGGTCTGGATCATTTCTTTCCACCTCGGTTCGATTTTATTTGTGCTGCAATTTCGTCTGGGTACCGGAAATTAACGCCGACGAATTCGACAGAGAAATAAAATATGGATCTGTCTATGAATCTTCTTTTTCGGTTTAACAGAGCATAAAACTCGTAAAGAAATAGTAATAAACATCAGAATATCCTTATTATTTTGCCTCCACAGTCTTAACTCTTTGCAGTTCAGTTCACCCCAAACAACAAATATCTGATGTCAATCACAAAAGAATAAATAAAACAACACAGTTAAATGTACAACTCACACAACACTTTCAGCTTTTTCTTTTCAGGATCGAAAGGAAACCTTGAAAAAAAATGCTGATAATTTACATTTAACAAGAACAGAACAGTTACGTGGTTAAAGTATCAGGGAGAGCCATGGAATGAGCTCCAATGATCTTACCACCAACATCTGGGAAGCTTTCGTAATCAGGAAGAGAGCTCACTTTACCATCAATGTCTACTTGAAGAGGATATTTAATCAAGTGACCTTGTAGCTCTGAGAATTCCAAATCTATGAATTTTTTCCAGTTTCCTTCAGAGATTTCGTTCACGTTCCTCACACAGTCTAGATCCGCAGGCTCCCCAAATTCATCTCCTGTTTTGCCTAGATGCTCTGCCCATAGTGACATTCTGTATCCATACACCTGTGCATAGAGATTTCAACAAACCTCTTAATGTGTTATTCTTCCAACAAGATTCGAGATTCTTTAGTTGTTTACAAAGAGCAGAAATACAAACTTCTCAAGCATCTAAAATGGCCATGGGTCATGCTATTTCAACATAACTTTCCTTTCTTTAGTGTTTCTAATCTAGGATTCAGTATCTTTAAAACTTGCCCACATGTAGATAGGATATAAATTCTAACGAAAGAGAGCCGCTTTTGAGGTTTGGTTATGGTATAGATGATGATGATGATAGGAGGAAGACAAACCTGGCCACGTGGGTGTTTTCCCTTGTGAGTCCAAGTATGATGGGGTTGATATGCGCCCATGGCAATCTCGGAATCTTTTGTGCCGGCCATGGATCTTTGGTTGATATTAGCAGATCCCATGAGCACATACTCATCATCTACTATCATCCCCTTTGCGTGCACGTAAATCATGAAACGCTGGAACTTGTAAGAATCCGATACCTGAAAATGCAGTAAAAAGATCATAAGCGATTGACTTCTCTGTCTGTAGGCTAGAGCTTTTGTTCTTAGTCTTTGAATATTATACCACACTGCCATTGGTCGCTGGCATATCATCTGGAAGTTGCTCTCGTTTACCAAGGCAATAAAAGTTAAGGTAGTCGAGAGGATGAGCATCTGACTGCACCGATTTCAGTTCTCGTGCTATAACATCATACATCATCTGCATAGTTTGGCTCTGCAAACAGGATGGTTTTTTTAACAAGAAATGTTAGTTTCTCTTGAAAAGATATGGAAGAGTCTATTTTTGATATCAGTGCTAATTCTTTGACTCAGCTAAAAGTCTTACCTGCCAATATAGAATTTCTTGCACAGGTCCAGACTTTGGGTCGCCTTCAGGCCACAATGGTATGACGACATATACAGCGAATCTTTCTTTAGCTCTGATTTTACTAACAATCTTTAGTGCCAACTCCATAGGAATAAGATTGTCAGCTCCTGCTCATTCAAGAAGTCAGAGATCAGAAATTCACGGGTAAAAGAGTTCACTTTCATTTTACGCAGATGGAGTTGAGAATAATTATAGACTAGAGCTTATGCAGAGTGAACATTTTCTTTCCTAGTCTAAGAACTGTTCTCAAACTCAAAAGATCAAGATGTACCTGCATATTTATAAGAAGGCCAGGCATAAGAAGAACCCAGGAAATACTGATTCTCGATGTATATGAAATGCTGAGCAGATCTGATTGTCTGGATATATGCAGTTTGGATACTTTTATCTACTACCAGACGCTTGGCACATTCCAGATGCTGCAGTAAAGAAATAATTATCAAGACTTAGTAGTGCAATTTATACCATGTGGCGACAATGGCTTTATAAACAGCAAATGCCATTGTCAAGGAACATTAGTCATAATATCAAATAAGTTGAACTACTAACTTGGGCCTCAGCCTCATCTTCATATTTTGGAAATCCTTTCACGGATCCTGAGTCGATAGAACGGAATACCTGAAGGTCAAAAGAAAACGCCATTAGTTACATCAAAATCAAACCAATTTTTTTGCGTCAGAATTATTGTTTGGGAAGGAATCTGGAAATACCTGAACATGCCAGTTCTCGGGATCATCTTCTTTGGACACATAAACAACAGGTTCGTCCTCTGGAACAATTGAAGTACCATCCTTGAGATATTTAAAGACTGGGCTTAGAATCCACGATATGCGTCCTATCCGGATCAAAGCATCATCTTGCCAGTGAGTTTTCCCCTTCAAACGTAAGCTAAACTCTTTCCATCGTGTTGCCTTTCTCCACCGCTGCTCAAAGTTTATGAGAACATCATATGCCGCAGGTCCATCTAGCCTACAGTGCAGATCGTGCCAAGGTTGTCTTGGAGCCTTGGTACCAGCCTGAGGAGGCAGAAAAGGAACAAGAATCGTAAGGACACATAATGAATTAGGATTCTAGCTTTGATAACAACCAGCGAATAATCATATATATATACACTCACAGGAAATGTAGGATTGTGAAAATCATCCTTGAATACAGAGTCAAGATCGTGTAAAATCCGGTGCTCCGGTGTGTCATAGCGGCCGTCGCAAAGATCGATACCTCCAATAAAAGCTGTGACCTTGCGATTATTACCAACAGCCTGGGTGTCTACAAGAACACACTTCTGATGGTGCGTGAAGAGAGTGCCAACAACCTGGGAATCAACCAAAGAATGAAACCTGAGTCAGTCTAAAGGAAAGTCCATGGAGAGATAATAGTTATGCCACAACATTATAATACACACACTAAGTCAACGACAAACATTATGATTAGAGAAGATATCAATGAACACAAAATTATGAAGGGCTAGGACTTGCCTGTTGTTTGAACAAGCCAAGCTTACTGCTGGCATATCGGGGTGACAAAACACATATCACAGAAGAATGCTTGAAGAACTTCCTAGTCTCTTCATCATGTGTCCCCATAACTCCAGGCTGCACCCAAATAAAAATGCCATACAACAATCTTAATCTCGCCTGTTCTAAACACAAATTATCCTCACCAAGAATCATCACTTCTTTTAAAAAGAACACTCACCGTGCTTATCCCGAACTTATCATGAGAAGTCTTATCGTCCCATACGAGCAGCAAAACTCGAACTCCCTCTTCGGATTTGTATTTCAGCAATTCCCCAAGCGTCAGATCACCGCCTCTGGGCAATTTCCTGGTAGGTTCCCTAACGAGCTTCACCTTGTGGAAGACAGACCAGCCAACAACGTAAATCATATGGTGAGCCTCAGAGACAGCATAACATATATCTTCCCAGCACTTGCCGTGCTCGTAAATCTTCCCGTTGTCCAGCCGGATCTCCGGCAACATTCCGTCCATTACGTGAGCGTCCTGGTAAAGCCTCACCTGACTTCCCTTCCTCACGGGGAAATAAGTCCGCTTAACACCTTTACGCTCCGGATCTCCGGCGATTCCACCGCGGTACGAATGGATCTGATCGAACGGAGTGAATTTCATGTCGATGTAGAGAGCTGTTTCCTTTTTAGGCGGTTTTCCCGAGGCGCCGAGCACGGGGAACCAGCCGGAGATGCGTTGGCCGGATGCGATATCCCGAACCGGGATCTTAGCTGTTCCGATGATCTGTGCGCCGAAGACATCGTCGTCCTTGACCTGGAACTCGAGGTAGGACAGCGGATGCGCCACGGAGATGTTGAAATGCTCGTCCCAGAGAGGATCCTGGGAGTTTTTCAAAACGCGCGTCCGAGCAAGAGTCGCCTGCGGGACGACGACGGTGACGTACGGATCGCTGGTGATAACCCTCCGGTGGCCACGGATGTTTCTATCACCGGAATTCGCTCCACCGTCTCTGTCTCTGGGATCCTCATCATCTGCAGGTGTAGTACAGGTGTTGCAGGCCGTGAAGACTCGGCGCAGATGCTCTGAGAACATATCCATGTTGGGCAATCTCCTCGCCTGAACAATTTTCAAATCGAGGTCGCCGTGTAAAAGCATCACATCCTCCGATACTTTCTCCGCCATGGTTACAAATTCAGGCGGAGGGAAAGAGGAAGGTGGAGAGCGTTGAGCAACGCAAGGAAAAAGAAAAAGAAAGAAAAAAGCCAACAAAAACCGAAAACCCTAACGAACAGGGCTCGGTGGTTGTAGCCACAGATGAATTTGAAAGTTTTTCCTTTTTGGAGTTTTGTTTTTGTTAAATCAAGATTTTGTTTTTAAAAGTAAAAGATATTTATTATATTAGGTAAAATGATTTGAGAGAGAAAACGAAAGGGGAGGACGAAGAAGAAGGGACGCGTGTAGGGACGACGTGACGGTAGTTGGACTGACGACATGATTCCGTGTAGATCTGTCTGAGAGAGAGCAACTGTTGCGCACACGTTCTGCGTTTCGCTTCTTTAATTGGTAAGAGTAGGCTTTCACTTTGCTTAATTTGTTCATTATCTAAACCTATTGATGACGAATTCAGTTTTAGAATGTTGTGCTGATATGTTTCTACATTTTTATAGGAGTGATTTAATTAATGGTGAATGGAAAGTGATGATGTAAAGTGGTCTTCTTTTGTGTTTGGACAAATAATGAAAAAGGTGAGTCAACGACACAGCAATGCGAATTCCAGATCCATCCACCATATCCATTTAAATGATTCTTCGAAATCATTTATTAAGCCAGAATAATTAATCAATGGCGAACAAAACAAAAAGAAAATCGGACATTAGATCACTTTAATGCGGATACAATTTTTGATATACCGGAATTCATTTTCTCAAATTGGAAAATTCCAGTTGTATAAAGTGGTCACATGCCTGCCAATCATGTTTTTTTTGTCGGAACAAAGAATTTCTCCATTCAGAACTACTTAATGAAGCAACAGTAACGTAAAGAATCCTTCCATTTTATTACAAATGAACCGTTTCACATGTTTACTTTCTGAAATCGAACAAAGCAAGAACTCAACAACCAGATAGGAACCCAAAGTGCAGGATGATTCGTTTATATTTCTTTTTGGGGTAAGGATAGATGGACATGGCTTTATGGGTAAGTTTAGAACACTTTTTACAAACCACAAGGAGAACAAAAAAAGATTTACTAAGAAAACCCTTTGTCACACAGAAGATTCACTTTGAAACGGTTTCTTCCTTTTCTCAGCCTCAACTGTGTCTCTGAATTTATCCCCTGCTTGCTGGTTACACGAAAGGACATGTGGCTAGGTTTGTGAGCTATTAAGAGTTTTAAAGCCAATGGTTCCAAGAGATTTTAGACGTTACCTAAAACTTAGAATGTCTCTTCTCTCCCTTTCAAGGGTTGCTTTTATCATCCTTACTGGCATCTTTTCCACTCTTGTCATTTTTATCACCCTCATGAGGTGTATACTGACCCGTAGATGACGGTGAATAACCAGGAAGTGTTGGCGAGTAACCTGCGCTTGGGCTGTAGTCAGGGCTTGCTCCTGAGCTGTATGGGCTGGGACAGAATTTAAGAATAACAACACGGTTACTCCTTTTTGCAGATTCTAAATGCCATATACGAAAGATGGTGAATCTTTCCAAATGAGATCCAAGCATGCAACAGATTTAACTAACAAGCGGGTTAAAAAACTGAACCTGCTAGGACTGTATGTTGGACTTGAAGGTGAATAAGATGGAGATGTGGGTGAGTAGGATGGTGATGTCGGGCTGCAGAATAGAATGTGACCAAGTGTTAAACGAATAGAGAAAGATGTCACCACGAACATAGAGGTGTATTAATGAAGAAAAACTCCAAAACGCAGGTTACTACTTACCTGTAATTTGGAGATGTAGGACTGTAGGGGCTAGCTGGTGATAGTCTTGCATTGCTAGGAGAGTAAGCCAGAGACGGGCTGTACTTAGCAGATTGAGGGTTGTAGCTTGGAGACGTAGGACCATAGCTAGGAGATGTTGGACTGTAGCTTGGTGATGTTGGGCTGTAGCCAGGAGATGTAGGGCTGTATGCGGGTGAAGTAGGACTGTAAGAAGGAGAGGTCGGGCTGTAGGATGGTGAAGTAGGGCTGTAAGAAGGCGATGTTGGGCTGTAGGATGGTGAAGTTGGGCTGTAAGAAGGAGAGGTCGGGCTGTATGCAGGTGAAGTCGGGCTATACGCGGGCGAAGTCGGGCTGTAAGCAGGCGAAGTTGGACTGTAACTTGGAGATGTCGGGCTGTAGCTTGGGGATGTGGGGCTGTAGCTCGGGGATGTCGGGCTGTAGCTTGGGGAAGTTGGGCTATAGCTAGGGGAGGTGGGAGAGTAGGAAGGACTTGTAGGAGAATAAGCAGGGCTAGTTGGGCTATAACCAGGAGAACTGGGACTGTAGGTCGGTGAAGTGGGACTGTAGCCGGGAGAAGTCGGGCTATATCCAGGTGACGTGGGACTGTAACCGGGGGAAGTTGGACTGTATCCAGGGGATGATGCGTAGCCTGGAGATAAAGTTGGCGAAAAAGCCATCCCACCAACATATGGAGAGAACTGTGCATCTGACATTGGAGACAAACGCATATTTGGACTCAAGAGGTAGTTCGGGGACATCATGCCTTCATGGTAAGGAGTGCCTGACATTGGTGAACGAGCAGGAGTCATATTAAACTCTACACCATCCATATAGCTAGGGAGTTGAAGTTCAATAGCATTCTTCAGCATCTCATCATTCAGATACAGCTCACAATCTCCAGTCCCGATTGGTGCAAGCTGACCAAGCATTATATTCTCTGTAACACCCCGTAAGCAGTCCGTCTCAGCATAAGCTGCAGCATCCAACAGAATATCAACTGTTTCTTCAAAGGAACATCTCATCAGAGGCCCAGTGTCATTTCTGTTGATACCATGTCGAGTGATAGCCATTAGATGACCACGATAGGTCATGGTGTCACACAAGATGGCAAGATGACGGTAATTCACATAGGAACCATCAAAGGAAATCACAACACGCAGTTCATCCAACAAAGCGCGACGAACTGCCTCAATTCCGAGAACTTCAATAATTTCAATCAAGTGATTGCTAGTTGTCCTCTTTGGATCCACATCTTCATGGCACATAACAGCTAAGAGGTTAACACCTTCTGTATCCAACATCCACTCCTCAGATGTCTTGAATCCTCCCTCCTCATCAAATCTGCTTTTTCTGACCTGCTTAATGAAAACCTTGTTGATGTCTGGAATACCCCTGAGCGCCATTTCTGTCAGCATGTTGCTCTCAATCTTTTTAAGGAAAACATCATCTTCAGCTGATTCATCTTGTGCTTCTCCCTTTGCTCCCTCGTCATTCATAATGCGGATTCGAAGGATCAGTTTTTGAGAATTGTCATCATTGAATATGCAGGTCAGGTCATCATCAAACTCAAGATTTATCTTCTCCGCAATATCCGCCATACTCAATTTCTTATCAACCATCATCTCACGATTCAACTCTATACGAAGCAGCCATGGAGATATTTTATCCGGAGAAACATCTTCATCTGGCATTTCATAGTAGGACCTCACAAATTCAAAATCTTCTTCAATGATGGTACTCATCGGATCTGGGTCATACCAGACCTCCGTAGCTTGAGTGACACTCCTGAGAGTAGTATACTCCAAAGCACACTGAACAGTCTTAGCCCCCTCTTTTGATTTGCTTGCTTCCGGTGTGAGGTAGACAGATAAGGAAGGTGTTTTGATCCTTTTTGCTACATTGATAATTTCTCGCAACCTGGGAACACCGAGTGTAACATTCTTCGCACTGACTCCAGCATAATGGAAGGTGTTCAGAGTCATCTGCGTAGCAGGCTCTCCAATTGATTGAGCAGCAACACAACCGATCATTTCCCCCGGGGCTACTAGCGATTGTAAAAATCTCGATTCAATCTCACCAATGACCCACTCAAAGGCCTCGCGGCTGAGCTTGTATTCCTCCAAAACTCTTTTACTAGCAAGAGTACTGCGAAGCAAAATGTTAAAGAACAGTGTGGCATTCTTCTGTGCTTCTACACTCAACGCATCATCACCAGGAACAACCAACAGCCTCTCCTGTAGTTTATCAACGGCATCAACAATTTCAACAGGGTGCATATCTGAAATCTTGCGCAAGTCAATCTTGAAAGTCTTCTGGGCATTCCAGATATGCCTCTTGATGTTAACAGGCAATGGCCAAGTGCTATCACCATTTGTTGCAATTTCAGTCCCGAGTTGGTATCTATCAGCCTCAAGTTTCTGATATTCCGCATCGAATACATCACGCAACTCCCGGATCCCTTTTAAGTCCTCAAGATGTTCATCACTTAGGTATGTAGGATTCCAGTTTTCGTCATCAATCTCATACTTGAAGGTCCTATCGAACTCTGATTTCTTCATTTTCAAGGAATCCAGCTTCTGGGATTCTATCCATACAGCATCCATACCATCTTCCCCATAGAGAAATTGAATAACATCACCCAACGAGTTTCTGACTGTCCCATCATATTTAACCATAATATCCTCCATAGCCTTAACCAATCGCCTCTGAATGTATCCAGTTTCTGATGTCTTCACAGCAGTATCGATAAGACCTTCCCTTCCTCCCATTGCGTGGAAAAAGAACTCTTGAGGAGTCAACCCACGTAAGTAAGAATTCTCGACAAATCCACGACTTTCAGGACCATAATCATCTTTGGTGAAATGCGGCAATGTCCGCCCATCAAATCCAAAAGGGATCCGCTTCCCTTCAACATTTTGCTGACCGACACACGCAGTCATTTGAGAAATATTAATGAAACTTCCTTTGGATCCTGCTGTCACCATAGCCTTAAGGTTATTGGTTTCTGCTAAACTCTTTTGGGCACTACTTCCAGCATCGTCACGAGCTTTATTCAAGACCTACAGGAACAGCATTCCGCATAGGTTAGAGAATCATTGACAACGCACCAAATGAATATCATATTATTATCGACCAATTAATGTACCTGGTTAACCCTGTTCTCAAATGTCTCCGTCATAGTTCGCCCAGGTTCAGGATCCAATTTCTTTTCCTGGAACTGTCGGATAAGGTCTTTCACGGCAGTTTTTGCATTAGAAATAGTTTCATTAATCTTCTCCATTGTCGATGAATCAGCAATTGTGTCACCAATTCCAATGGTAAAACCATTCTGCAGAAGCCAGTAATTGACAAGCCATTGAGTATGACCGAGGAATTTCCTAGCTGCATCAGGACCAACCTCTTCCCTATAAAACAAGTAAAAAATAAAAATTAAAACAAAAAAGCTCATAAAACCAATTACTACATTTGGTATTTCTCCACGATGCCCCAAGCAGTGTTAAGACTTCATAAGGTGCTAAATTTTAGCCAGTAGGAACTTGATTTTTTAAGTATTATTTGTGCGAGATGAACAGGATGCAGCATCTTACCAAATGACATGCACGAGACTTCCATTTCCGGTACCAAGGGTCTTTTTGCAGAGAGTTCCGGCAAGAAGCTCTCCTCTTTCAATTCGCACTTGAGTATCCCCCGGAGTTATGAATCCAGTCTCTTGGTCTGAGTGCCAAGCAGAGTACCTGAACAGATTTATCTGCTTTGGTATGATAAGATTAAAAACTTGCTTGCCAGTCCAAAGAGGGCGTGGCTTCAAAATTGCAGGAGCTGGAACTTTCCCGTCAAAGTCTTCCCACCACATAAGGGTATTCATGAATACATCCTGAAATTGAAAAAGATATCAGCATAGTGGTTAAGGTATTCTCTCATCAAACTCAGAGAGAGCATGAAATTGTTACCTTCTCTATGAAGGTATCTCTCTTTGTAATTTTACGACATCCAAGAAGGGTATCCTGCACAATACCCATGACAGGCCGATTCGCCTGGGGAGAAACGATACATTTAGGAACCATCATCAGCTCTAACACCTCGGCTCTGGTCTCAAATGATTGTGGTACATGCATGTTCATCTCATCCCCATCAAAATCAGCATTGTAAGGTGACGTGACAGACAAATTCAGACGGAAAGTGGAATATGGCATAATCCTAATCCTGTGACCCATGATAGACATTTTGTGCAGACTTGGTTGACGATTAAACAGAACAAAATCACCATCAATCAAGTGCCGCTCCACCTGCGACCAAGAAAGCATAGAAAAATTACTACTTCGAGAAAAAAACCTTTGTAGCTTGAGTATATAGAATAAAGAAAAGTAGTAAATACTTTGTATCCAAGTTCCAAATGATGATCACTGCTCTTCTTAAGGTACCGGAGATCTAGTCTTTGGCCATCATCCCTAATGATATATTTCGCCCCAGTCTTGCCAGGTGGAGGATGTGGCCCATAATCAACGAGCTCTTTCAATCTGCCAATTAAAATTGTCAGCAAAACATGAAATACACTTTTGACCCCCAAAAAAAACATGAAATAAACTCTTTCTGGAAATCAAATGACACCAAAAGTACTAACCTTTCAATGTTATATGGAGTAACTGTTTCTGGGTATGTGAGATTCAGGGCAATGCTCCACGGTACACCAAGTTCATCGATATTTATAGTTGGGTCTGGTGTAATAACAGTACGTGCCGAGAAATCAACTCGTTTTCCCATCAAATTTCCCCTGATTCTACCTTCCTTCGCCTTCAGCCTACTACATATTGATTTAATAGGCCTCCCTGATTTCTGGGTAGCCTGTAGAAAATAAAGACCAACCGATCAAGATAAAGCAACGTTCGCATGTATCATACCAAATCTGGAAGGATACAAAAGCATTACCCTTGGCTGTCCAGGCAACTCGTTATCAAAATAAGTAGCTATATGAAACTGCAAGAGTTGTGTGAACTCTGATATAATATGAGCTGGTGCTCCATTTTTTTCCTGTCTTTTCAAGTTTTCATTGTGCCGAATAATCATGGCCAGTTGATGAGTCAAGTCATCCTGCATCAACAATAAGCATAAACTCAGAGACATAGTCAAATAGCAAATAACAATATTGTCAGTCACGACTACATATCTACTAGAACCTAAGCAATTTCATATTCAGTAGACAAAAGTCTGACTTGCCTCGCTTCTGGAAGTGGCGTCCATCATTACAGATGGTCTGACAGGGGGTGGAGGAATAGGAAGGACTTCTAGAATCATCCAGTCAGGACGAGCATACTTAGGGTTGAACCCTAAGAGTTGACAATCCGCATCACTAATCCTCTTTAAAACACTCAAGACCTGCAAGAATCTCACATGCCATCAGATTACCCCCCAAACATGAAGGAGGTAAGCTCATTCGAAAGAAAAGACGAACCCTATCAGCACCAAGTGTCTGTTTCCTTTCTGCGGGCTCCGGAAGCTGGTCCTGCTCATCGCTTTTCTTCCTTGTGATTTTATACTCTGCAATCATCTTCATACCCTCAATAGTCAGCTTTGGTTGTTGTGCACCACATCCACCACGGCTTTTTTTTACTGGTTCGTCTGTGTCTTGGTTTTGGACATCCTCAATCTCATCACCACCCTCACATTTGGTCTTGTTTTTGCAGGCATCCAGAATCTTCTTAAGCCTATTCTTGGGATTCTTTATCTTCATGGCCTGCTTAAACTTATGCTCGTCCTGCATGAAAATAACAAATCGGATTATTCTCAACACTAACAGTTCCAATCTATGCTCTCTAGGAAGCATAATCCTCTGGTAAACTCAAGAGGACGACAAAGTAAAACAAAGAGAGGGATGCAATCACAAGACCAGTTCCTCCATACCTCATCAGCTAAAATCTTGGAGCAGTTGAAGCAAACACATCGCATAATACTCAGCACAGTCTTCATAAAACCGACATGATACATTGGCTTAGCGAGCTCAAGATGGCCAAAATGCCCGGGACACTCAGCCATGTTAGCCATACATGTCTCACACTTCACCTTCCGATCAATCGTACCAAGCCGAATATCGCTCAATCCTCCCACCTTGGGTTTACCCTTCTCGGTGGTCTCACTATGTTCAACGTGTATGACTGACATTTGCCTCTGGAAAACATAACAAAAGGCAAAAAGCCATTAGCAACAGGCGGTGCACAATTCCTACTTGAAACTCCCGATTAACATCAATAGATTGAATAGAACATGGTCCTCAGCTAAACACAACGATTTCATTACTATGTTTCATTACTATTCACTCCCCCCTCCAATTTCCCCGCCGGGCAAACAGACGGCGGAGCAATGAGCTAGAGAAATCGAAAGAGAAAGGATCATTACGATCTCATCGGGGCTGAGGATGCCAAACTGGACCACCCGGACCTTGGAGACCTCGGCCGGAGAGAACGGAAACCGCGTATCCATGGGGGCGAAACTCCGATCAAAGAAAAATCGAAAGGAACGAAAACCCTAGAACGTGAATTAAAAGAGAATCAAAAACAACTATTGTGTTTCCCCCTCTTTTGAATTTGTTTGGGTCTGTGAGAGTCAGTTTACAGTTTACTTTTGAGCTAATTTTTTCGTTTTCCCCTCTGGTTTGACAGGACCAGATCTGGATTTCTCTCGTCTCTTCACGAGGAGAGATATGAGCAAAAGAGACGAAATACGATGCCCTAAGCCTCTATTTATAGAGAAAAACGCCGTCTTCCTAGAGGTCGGTCGAGTATATTGGGCCGTCTATGCCTCAGGGCTCAGGCCCAATTATAATCGTTTTCTTTTTTCTATTTTTTTTTCTTCTTTTAAATTGGATGTAAATTAAATCGATTTGGTTTCCTATCGGTTTAGTTGGTATATGTTTACTGATCATGTTCTGGTTGACTGAACCGATACAAAATCAACCTTTATGCAAAAAATATAAATTCGTTTATATCAAACTCAGAAGAAAAGTAGTTTTTTCAAAAGAACAATTAAGCTCTACGTTTAAATTGAAATCGTTGCTAAACTTGGTCCATTTTCATAAAATTATAATAAGTGGGTTAAGAAGACATATGATGCTTAACCTCATAATAACCAAGTCTAATCTTATATATTAATCTCGTAGTAACCAAGTCTAATCTTATATGTAGCACTTGTATTCAATTCATTTTCAGCCACTAGTTGGGAGCACTATCCAATGAAACAGTTTGTCAAAAAAAAAACAAACTTGATCAAGATTTATATAATAGGAGTATAACGAAGACGACATTGGTAAAAAAGTAAAAACTGATACAAGATTATAAACCTCAGTTAACAAAATAACTACATTTGTAATTGTGAAGTGAAAGCTAAACAGTAATACTAGAGGTCTATTATTTCACCATGTTTGATAAGAATGGAAAAAAATACAGTAAATGAAGATGAACCCCCTACACGAGACGAACTTAATTAATAAGGATGCAATTAGGCTGAAACTTTAAAGTATCTTCAATTCATCTGTTGAATATGAAATACCTAAAGTCCTTAAGGAAATTGATCAATCTTGTTTATCTTTATGAATTAACCAATTCATTTCGCTTCTTCCCAACGAAGTAGCTATTTTTTTGTTGGTCAAATCCTTCTGCCTAACAACTTGGTTTTTTTATTGATAGTCCTCGAATGAGTTGACCAGAGTTATTAATTGAAGAGTTGATATAATTAAATATTTGTTCTACTTTCTACTCTAGTCTCTCTCTCTTAAGCAAAACAGAATAAAAAATTTAGTTCGTAAATATGAAAAGTAAAGGGGTAGAAACTAACAAATAAAAATTACACAGAGGGAGAATCCGAACTACGTAAAGTGAAGCCACTCTGTTTCTATAGCTAACAAACACGGAAAAGCCGAAACAAAATATATAGCTTCCGTCTTCAAAACGCATGTTCTCGCTGTAACGTCTTTTCTTTCGATTTAGGTTCTTGACAAACTTCTAGATCAATAAAAAAAAAGTAATCTCTAATCAAATGGCGAAGAAACCGAAGCACCTTCGTCATCAGCCGCGTAAATCTTCATCGTCGACGACGCAGGCTTTCACAGTTGTCATACTTGTACTCTCCGGCATTCTTATTCTTCTCGGTCTCGGAAACATTTCACTTCCTAGCACCAGCAAGAACTCTTCACTACCGATCGATTTGACCACCATTGTCCGCGAAAGCGAAGAGAGGTTAGGGGACACGATTTTGTGCTTTTGCATGTGAATATATATATATATACTATTTTTTTATTGAGTAAAAGCTTTGAATTTATCAAATAGGCAGAGTTACGGAGACGAAGAAGACGGTAATGGCGACCGTTGGCTCGAAATTATTTCTTGGGAGCCTAGAGCTTTCCTTTACCACAATTTCTTGGTAATATTTTTCCATATAGTTTAATATATTTCTTGTCTGACAAGCTAAAGAAATTATAACCTAATTTTACTAAATTTTTGTTTAGATCTTACTCACTCCTCCGGTAAAAACTAAAAAAAAAAACACATACATTTCATGCATTTGGTAATGTTTGGGATTTGATATTAGGGCTCTGTTTTTTTTAAATTTTGTAAAAGACAAATGAAGAATGTGAGCACTTAATTAGCCTCGCCAAACCTAATATGGTGAAGTCAATGGTGGCTGATGTGAAAACCGGACGCAGCAAAGATAGCAGGTTCTGTACCTCCATCCATATTTTTTAAGTTTTAATTTGGAAAGAGTTGAGAAACTCTAAATTTGCAAACCCGTTTAATGTGTGCATGCAGAGTACGAACAAGCTCAGGAGCTTTTCTTGAAAGAGGGCATGACGAAATTGTGGAAGAAATTGAGAATAGGATTTCAGATTTCACCTTCATTCCTGTTGGTATGTGGGTAACTATACATTGTAACTATACATTTTCTTGGAAAATCCTATAATGTGATGTAACATTGTAGAAAATGGAGAAGGTCTTCAAGTACTCCATTATGAAGTTGGGCAGAAATATGAGCCTCACCATGACTATTTCGTAGATGAGTTCAACGTCAAAAGGGGAGGGCAAAGAGTTGCTACTGTCCTTATGTACCTGTATGTAAAACCATAAACCCCTCACAATATTTCCCCATCAATAGCGTTAGCTAATCCTATTATTACTTTTGAACACTGTACAATGATTTAGCTCGGACGTTGATGAAGGCGGCGAAACAGTGTTCCCTTTAGCCAAAGGAAACATTAGTGATGTCCCGTGGTGGAAAGAGCTCTCGCAATGTGGTAAAGAAGGACTCTCTGTTCTGCCAAAGAAGAGAGACGCCTTACTATTCTGGAGCACGAAGCCTGACGCCACTCTAGACCCTTCTAGCTTGCATGGCGGTTGTCCAGTGATTAAAGGAAACAAGTGGTCTTCGACTAAATGGCTTCATGTTCACGAGTACAAGACTTGAATAAACCATAAAATGAGATATGATGATCTCGTCTCACCAACATGTACTATTATGTACTGTATCGTTCTCAGTTTCATCCTCCTTTAAGTGATATAACTTATGTATGTTACCTTATGGATTATTTTTCTTTCAATCCTTGATTATTAACTAGAGACAAGAGGCCTAAGTTAATTTTCCTTTTTGGTTTGTGAGAATCCACGGGAGAAGTTAATCTTTTGAATTTCTTTGCAAGCGGGTTAATTATATGGATTCAATTATTCAACAATACGCAGTCGAGAAACCCTATTACCATTTTCTATTACACAAAACAGATGGAGTTAGCCCTATTTCCATATTCTAGTTGTATGATCGGTTTTATTTTGACTTATCGAAAAAGATTTATATTTGCCCAAAAAAAAAATCGAAAAAGATTTATATACTTTATTCTACTTTCGGACACTTGATGATTTCGATTCTCCATCATGGATCACTACTAAGCTTCACCGTTGTTTTATCCAAGTAAATAAAACTCCTCATTTCTACAAATTAACACCAACATTAAAGCATAATTTAAATGCCATTTTCCCCAAAAAATGAGCGTATCCTGAATTTTCTACTCATTGCTAAATTCAAAAACTCGAAATCATACGAAGTCACCTTTAGTTTTCCATCATAAAAGGTGTTTTAGGATAGATGACGTGGAATAGGTGACGTATTTGCTATTTCCATATTCTAATTGTATTGGTTTTTTTTTTTGTATAAAAAAATTGTATTGGATTTTATTTTAAAAATATATATTTTGTAACTAATTCCATCCACAGGATTAATAAAAGGAAAACCCTAGACCATAGCTAGCTTCAATCGTTTTCTCTCTCTAAATTTAAAGGTTTGCGAATTCATATATTTGATTCGATATTCACTCTTTCGAATTCACTGTCTCGATGTCGACTATGTCGACGCCACTGTCGACAAAGTTGTACCTCAGGCAGAGGTTGTATAAACTGAAGATATATACAGTATCAGATTTAATGCAGCACATCGTCACGTTCAATCAAATAATGGGTGATCATGTGGAGATTAAGGACGAAGATAATGCGATGGTTTTGTTGTGTTCTCTGCCCCCTTTGTTGACAGCACTTACGTGCAACGAAGAGAAGGTTGCTGCTTCGTTGCGCTTTCCTAATGAGCGCTGGCCTGAAGTTATCTCGTGGGAGCCTAGAGCTTTCGTTTACCACAATTTCTTGGTAATTTCTTTTTGCTTAATTCTTAATTTGGGATAAAATCTTGATTTAGTTTTGTTATATATGATTGATGACTTAGCATATTCATGCTAGTTCACATATAGATTGGATATTTCTTGTCAGACAAGCTAAAGAAATTACAACTTGTTGTTACCAAATTTTCTAATGTTGTAGTTTGTGGTTAGATCTTAATCACTCTTTCAGTAAGAACACATAGGGGGAACAGTTATTTCTCTCACGAGAAAGAATGTAATCAGATGTGATCTTCATTCTTCAGCACCATGCATGTTTGGGATGATTTATACGCACTTGGAATGTTTAGGGTTTAATATTAAGCTCTGTTTTCTTAAAAATTTGTATGAAGACAAATGAAGAATGTCAACATTTGATTAGCCTCGCGAAACCTCGTATGGCTAAGTCAATGGTGCATGATAAGATAACCGGAAGGGGAAAAGAAAGCAGGTTCTTTACTCAGTTTTGGTTTTTTTCTTTCCTTGTTCAAGTTTTACTTTGGAAAGATCTGAGATTTGGAAAAAAAATCCGTTGGTTAATGTGCAGCTCACGGACGAGCACGGGTACTTTTATTAGAAGAGGACATGACAAAATCGTGGAAGAGATTGAGAATCGGATCTCAGAATTCACCTTCATTCCCGTAGGTACGTACGTATGTGGCTTATGCTTTGACTTGTCGGACCAAACAAAAGGAAGTGTTGGTGTTGTGTAAGATCACCAGGTGTTTTTACTCTTTAAGTCTAATGTAAGTGCAGAGAATGGTGAAGCGCTTCAGGTTATCCATTACGGAGTTGGGCAGAAATTTGAGCCTCACTTTGACGGAATGCAAAGAATTGCTACGTTTCTTATGTACCTGTACGTGTAACCTTTTTTTTTCTCAACAGCCACAAGAAAAAGAGTTTTTTTCAATTCGTAACTTTCTTGAATCTACTATTATTTAGCTCGGACGTTGAAGAAGGCGGGGAAACAGTTTTCCCTTCTGCGAAAGGAAACATTAGTAAAGGAGGACTCTCTGTTTCACCAAAGAAGAGAGACGCTTTACTCTTCTGGAGCATGAGGCCTGACGGGTCTCAAGACCCTTGTAGCAAGCATGGTAAGAGGGAGGAGAGATATAAGCTTACAGAGATGATATAAAATGTAAACCAGAATCTCTCAAAAAGAAAGCTTGTTTGATTTGATTTCAGGTGGTAGTCCAGTGCTCAAAGGAAACAAGTGGGCATCGACTAAATGGTTACACTTTCAAGAGCACAAGTTTAATACTATTATAAGATAGCTTTTGAAGAGGCAAGGCTATTAACCTCACTCACTTTTAGTGATCAAATCGTTGCATTGTCTTCATGTTGTTTTAATGTTTCTGTCGTCACTTGCACTCGCAGGTTCCCATAATCTCAAGCAACATGACAAAATGGAGTAAATACACCTCACTTGAATATGTGTGCTTATTTATATATCCGCTCTTACTCCCAAAACAACCAAATTTATGTTTATATTTCCGTTGGCATTATATAATTTATTCATGCGTAATCACCCCATCATTTGCGAGGTTCTTTCAAAGTTTAAATTGTATGAAAAAGAAATATTAATTGGTAGAACAGAAGAGAGAAAAAAAAGACTTCTCATTTTTATTTCAAATAAAAAGCGACTTCACGGTGACAAAGGCAAAAAAAAAGGATAAAGAAAGCAAAGTTCTTCCCTGAAAACATTTTTATTGCAACAAACATTGTGGGCATAAAAGTTTTCTTGTGGCTTATTGCTTGAACCGATTCTTGATTACCAGATTTATTGTTTGATCAGATTCCTGATTACGTATTGCAATATCCCTCCGTGATTGAAGTAAGCCAACTCCACCTGCCATTCCAATTTTCCTCTTTTATCAGTCTATTTTTTTTATAGCTTTAAAAAAATCTGAGATGAAAAAGAAGCGAAAGTAAATCATCGAGAGATGACCACATTTTACCTCAGTGTCGAATCGGAGTGTACAAGTGAAAGATTTGCCATTGTTTGTGATGACCGTTACATCTTGTCCTGGTTTGATCTCGCTAACATTGTTTGGGAGCTCAATGGTGTAAAGCTCCTGACCCGTTAACCCTAGAGTCTCAGCATCTTCTCCTGTCTTGAAGCACAACGGTATGATTCCCATTCCCACCAGATTGCTTCGGTGAATTCGCTCAAAGCTCTTTGAGATCACAGCTTTCACTCCCTGTCGTCACGATTTTTAGAAACCGCATATTTATGTAAATGATTGTGTTTGTTATATACGAGAAACAAAAAAATGTACCAGAAGCATTGGACCCTTAGCAGCCCAATCACGAGAACTTCCACTTCCATATTCAGCACCAGCCAAAATGATTGTGTCGCGTCCCTCGTTCCTGTATTTCTGTTAAAACGCAACAAGAGAACAATTTGATAAGAACAATTTGTTCCAATTGACCAAACCAGAGAGACTTGATCAATGAGGTTTTAGAAGAGATGAAGAAAGTGTGTGGGATTTATACCATGGCAGCATCGAAAACAGAAAGCTTCTCTCCACTGGGAATGTGAACTGTTTTGGGACCAACTTCTCCTTTCAAGTGTTTGTTGACAATACGGATATTGGCGAAAGTTCCTCTCGCCATAATCTCATCATTACCACGGCGACTCCCGTAAGAGTTGAAGTCTCTTCTATCCACACCACGCTCCATCAAGTACTTAGCCGCGGGACTGTCCTTGTGGATGCTACCCGCTGGTGAGATGTGATCAGTGGTGATACTGTCTCCGAAATTGAGCAGACAGTAAGCATCTTTCACACCGTGTGGACCCGGTGGAGACATGGTCATGCCCTTGAAATAAGGCGGCTCGTGAATGTAAGTTGATTTAGGATCCCACTCATAGAGTGTGCCGGATGCGACAGATAACTCATTCCACATGGAATTCCCTTTGGTGATTGCTTCGTATGTAGCTTTGAACATATCAGGGAGAACACTAGCTTGAACAACCTGAAAAAAACGGAACAGAGAATTTGACATCCCTTCCAATGATAAGATCTCTTATTGTTTCTGTATTGCAGCATATATTTACCTCGGCAACTTCTTTGTTAGAGGGCCAGATGTCCCTGAAAAATATCTGTTTGCCATCTTTACCAGTTCCTATGGGCTCCGTCTCAAAATCAATGTCAACCTACAAGAACATTCATAGGACTGATTCAGTGCTTCATATAACATGAATGCTTGATTGGTGTGTGATAGTTTTAGAGTTAGCATTAACATACAGTGCCAGCCAGTGCATAGGCTACAACAAGCGGTGGGGAAGCTAGATAGTTCGCTCTTGTTAACGGATGAACACGTCCCTCAAAGTTTCTGTTCCCCGACAACACAGCGGACGCCACCAAGTCTTGTACATGTATGAGTAATATGTTAGTTTCACCTTCGAAACTTCAAGTGAATAAGCATCACATTATTAACTACTTTGAAGAATTACCATTATCAACTATTGCTGAAGCCACAGCTTCATGGATATCCCCCGAGTTTCCGATGCATGTGGTGCACCCATAACCAACTATACTGAAGCCAAGCTGATTCAAGTACTTCTGCAAGCCACTGCAAGACTCAAAAACTCAGGACCACATGATACAAGGAAATAAATAACAAAATATTTCAACGGTGTATCTGCCATACCTCTTCGCCAAGTACTTTGTTACAACTCCAGAGCCAGGAGCAAGACTAGTTTTAATCCATGGCTTAACCTAATAATGGAGAAAATTGAGACACTTATTTCCATTGTACAGAAAGATATTAAAAACGCGATAATACAATAGAGCAGGGCAGAAAGGAACAGTAGTCAAACCTCCAGTCCTAGATCGCAGGCCTTTTTTGCAACCAAGGCGGCGCCAAGCATTACACTGGGGTTTGAGGTATTTGTGCAACTGGTGATTGCTGCTATAACAACATCTCCATGTCTAAGATGAGCTGTGGTCCCGTTAAAATTGAACTCTACAGCCTTACTCTGTGCTTCCTTTGGTACAGCAAAACCCTGAAAATATCATGGCTAAGTAGAATCACTAACAACAATTTTTGTATACTGGGGCTAAATTATAAAAATCAGAAGTGTTGCAGGACACAGTTTTTTATTGGACCTACTTAATGACTTGAATACCTACTACTGTTTAAAAACCACACAGTAACATTTGTTAGACATGCCACCAAACAACTGCAAGCGTTCACATTGAGAATTTCTTCTGAAGAGAAAGAGTTCTAACCTTGAATCCTACTCTATTATCCAAGCAAGAATGCCAGTCCGCTTTCATATCCTTCAAAGTAACGCGATCGTGTGGCCTGTATTGTGCATAGAGAATATATGTTATAAGTAAAATAGATCCTAGAAATATTATGTAGAGACATTTGCTATTAGTACCTCTTGGGACCAGAAATACAAGGTTCCACATCCTCGAGATTCAATTCCAGAATTGAGGAGTATACCGTCTGACTCGCGGGCTGATATGAGTAACAAATTCCAAGTGGAGAATATGTTATGCTATATGATAGATGGAAATAGACAAAGAGATGAAGCATTAGAGATGCCCAAGGTTTTACCTCACTGTAGTCCACAAACATCTTGTTTGCTCGTAAATACGCCTCTATCATAGAGACCTGAAATTCAATTCACAAATCACGACCCTGATGTAAAGCAATAGCACACTATATTATGAAAATTCCCCTTGCAACCCCCTTACAGTTTCTTCGCTCCTGCCTGTCAACTTGAGATACTGCAAAGTGACATGATCGACGGGGAAGAATCCCATGGTTGCACCGTACTCAGGAGACATGTTAGCAATGGTAGCACGATCAGCTAAAGACAATTCTCTCATCCCCTCCCCTGTGTTGGGAAAAGCAATACATGCATATGTGAGTTAGCCTAACTCGGTCTGGATAACTAAGGAAATGACAAATATGAAAATGATATCAAATTATTCATGAATGTACCGTGGAATTCAACAAACTTTCCAACTACTCCATGTTTCCTCAGCATCTGAGTCACTGTTAAGACCAAATCAGTAGCTGTCATTCCATCTCTTAGTTTTCCCGTTAGCTTGAAACCCACAACACCAGGCAAGACCATGCTCATTGGCTGCAATGAAAGAGAGAAATTCATACTTACAGTTTATAACAGAAGAAACATCAACAAAGTGCATAAACTTCAACAATTAGTTCTGAATTCTCGACCAAAAGAGCATCAGTTTACCTGACCAAGCATGGTAGCTTCCGCTTCTATACCACCAACTCCCCATCCAGCAACACCCAGTCCATCAATCATAGTGGTGTGAGAGTCTGTGCCAACAACACTGTCTGGGTAAAGAAGCCCGTCTGTGTTGAAAACAACTCTGGCAAGGTACTCCAAATTAACCTGTCAATCGCAAATTATAGAACTTCAAAAAGACATCCTGCGTCCAAACAAATACAGTTTATTTCTGAACCCTTCTTACTTACTTGATGAACGATTCCAGAACCCGGAGGTACGACAAGCATGTTGTGAAAGGCATTGGAGCCCCACTTAAGGAAAGCAAATCTTTCTTTGTTACGCTGGAACTCAAGCTCCATGTTTGCCTGCACTGCGTTCTCTGATCTCGCCACATCCACCTGAACCGAGTGATCAATGACGAGATCTACGGGGACCTGCAAGCATCAAGGTATTGTATCAAACCTTGTAACATGGAAGAAGGACAGGTGACATCAACCAATCTCAGTTAATTATAACAGGGAAACTAACCAGAGGATTAATCTTATTAGAATCCCCACCGAGATTATTCATGGCATCACGCATGCAAGCAAGATCCACAACAGCAGGGACACCAGTAAAGTCCTGAAAACGAACAGAAAAATTACATTAACAGTCAAAGGATTTTCAGGAAATCTCGTCGAGATGTTCAATAGCAATCATATCGTATCTCTACCTGAAGAAGAACCCGAGCAGGTTTGAACGGGATCTCAACCTGTTTGGGAGAGGTATTCTCCCAATCAAGTATCTTCTCAACATCTTTGCTCTTAACTTGAAACTCATCACAGTTACGTATGGCCGATTCGAGAAGGATCCTAATGGAATAAGGCAGTTTATCTGCATCCGCAACAACACTCCGTCGATCAAATAACCACAAACAACAATTTTCATGAATCTCGATATTTAGTTTTTCCAAACGAAGATTAGCATCGATCAGAAGCTAACTCACCGATCCTCGGATCGTTCAGAGCTGGCAAGCTGTAGTAGTTTCCGAATTCGCCACCATCAGGCTTCTCAAGCGCCTTCAATATGCTCCGGAAAGGATTCTCGGAAGCTGAAAACACATCAGAAACAGAGATCGACACAGAAATTCAAAATACAAAACCAGATTTTTTTTTAAAAAAAAAGCGAAAATGATTGGAAAATGAGCATCGATGACGACAGGAGGAACGAGGAATCATGCATGAATCATTTTCGATCATAAACAAAAATGGAGAAAGCAGATAAATCGGTACCCATGGATGTTACGACTCGAGTGAAGAAGCAAAGCAGAGATCTGTTTCAGGAGAGAGAGAGGATTAGCGGAGTTGGTGAGGCTATGCGTCGGAGCCGAGAAAGATTTTTATATGTAAGGAAAAACAAAAATCTGAATATCCGTGTGGGCTCTTCTCGTCAGAAGTGATGGCTGCTTGAATTTTTTCCCCTTTTTTCTTAATTTTCCTACTTTTTGTGAATATTCATTGCTTTTTTTGTGTAAGTGAATTTATATATTCGTTTAATTTTATTTTTCAGTATTATCCTCTATTTTTATTCTCAAACTCGTAATTCTTTCATCCACTTGACGTTGTTTTTATATATCTGTAGACGACAAACTATGAGAATCAAATTGAAGTTTCTCAATTGATTAATGATCATCAACAAAGGCTTCAACCACAGATTTTTGTAAAAATGACAAAGAACGAAAAAACAATATGGGCCGCTCCACTCGAATATTATGGTCTTTTAAATTTGGACCCAACAGATTTTTATTGTTAGCCCGTTAGGCCTTGCCCGACTTGGTTTGAGGACGTCGGTTTATTTATAAATATTTTTTTTACTCTAAACATAACATAACATGATGGTTTTTGCCCCAAAAAAAAAACATGATGGTTATATTCCAAATTAACAAAATACAATACTCTACATATTTTTATAACCATTAGACTAGCCTGATGTATGTGCAACGATAACATAATAGATACACATACATATAGAGTAGAGCTAAATACAACGAGAATACATGTATGAGTATCTATTATGTTAATGATCTTTTTTTTTTTACCAGACGAGAACGAGAGTCACCTGATTTAATCTTGTTAATAAAGTGTTGTTCGTTCTTTCAATTTACGGCTCCCTTGTTTGAAATATGGACAAAACCATATAGTATTTTAGAATTATGGAGTTTTTAGTTGATGATGATTGCATGCAATACAACTAAATAAAGGAGTAGATATGAAGTGGTGGCCTGGTTAAATTATCAATCACGTCACAAACATAGAGACAGCACCGGTAAAACGTGACATGGGTCACCATGTAGATAACCTACCAATCATATTATCTTTCTTTATATATTTGTTTTTTTTTTCATTTCTTATTATATAGTCTTATAGATAGGTAAGATATTCTCTTTGTATAAAATTCCTAGGAAGTGTTGATCTCAATTATAATAAATACAATACTTATCACGATCTTAATCCTAGTACTTAAACTATTATATAGGTGTATCATGTTCAATAATATCTAAGAATGAAGTTTCTGTTTGAATCCGACTCAAGAACATGTAAGTAAACGTGGACAAATGCAGCCGATAAAAATCTCAAGCTGAAATCATAGTTTTTTCTGAGTCCGAACAACATCATGGAGTGAACAAGTTGACATACAAATTTAGTTCAAAAAAAAAAAGTTCATGACATACATAAAGATTCACTCTCAGTATTAAAAGTTGGGTCAATAATTTATCAAATAACCATATTAAGAGACATTTATAAGAAATAGTCATGTTTATAGAATATTTAATCAAATAGTCAAAACTCTTTTTATTCATCTTTTTATCCTTTTAACTATGAACAAAAAGTTGTTATACATTGGAGTTTTGTTCTTTATAAAATGGTTAGTAAATATCTATACTATTTTGTTATGTTAATAAACATATATTTTTATTTCATTAATCTTATTTAGTGGTTTAGTCACTTATTATTAGTTAATTAAACTTTGCAATCATACTAAAAACACACATATTTTAGCATCTAACATATTTTAATTTCAAAACATATATAAGCTTCTCAATTTTGGCAAATAGTTTTTGAATGTAACATGGTTATATAGTTTTATATAAACATACATAGAATGTCATACTATGATATTAACTATACTATGCTATTTATTAAAAAAAATACAAACATATTTTTGCAGGTTTCATATAGAAGTACATCATTTTGTATACGTTCTATATAGATTTGTGTGAGAGGTTACTTAGCTATAAATTTGTTTCTTGTATATTTATATGTATTTTTTTAAGAAAAAACAGAATCAATGGTCATTGGGTTCTATCTAGTAAATAGGAAATTGAACATTATACTAGGCTATTTTATAGATGTCAACAAAAAAATTACTAGACCATTTTAATCTATTTGTATATTCATAGAATAGTGTAGAAGTATTAGTTAACAATACTATTCACCAAATTTAAAAATCTATGTCCATTTAAAAAAAATGCAAATTATCGTTAGATGCAAAAACAATTTATGTTAGTTTTTGTAAGAATATTATAAAATCTAATCAATTAATAATATAAGATTAATGTAATAAAGAAGATGAAATGGGGTAAAAACTTATTATACACATATCAATACAAAAAAAAAAAAAAAAAAAGAGAGAGATAAGAACGTGGCATCACTTAGAAGTAAAATCGTATATATTGTAATTTATACAAAGAGTATTACTAACTATTTTATTTTTTTGATTATATAGTAAAATATTTTTTTAAAAAATTTGGTTATTACCGTCAATTTCTCTTAAAAGATTAAAACTAACAATTGAAGACATGTACATGTCACGCAACCATGTATCTTATCATGCATATGCTTAGATTTGAATTTAATCACTACGAGACTGATGGGGACCAGCTTCTGGACCATCTGCCCATGATATTAACTATTAAAAAATGATGGCAATCAAATAATATTATTGTGGGTAGATATTTTCTTCGTCAACATAATTAGAAATGCTGGAGTAGATATTTTACTGGACATGTTGAGGAAAAAAAAATGTTGTTTAGTAGCAAGCGTCAGTCAAAAATAAATAAATTTTTATGATTTATGCCCCTATATCCTGACATATAAATTCAATAGCTTAGGTGTATTTAATGTTTTACTCGTATATGTATGGAAGATGTAGGAAATATCTAACCCATCTTCATGATCTTATTGTGGGTATACAATATTTGTAAACGATGATTTATAGTCTTCAAGTAGAGTTTAATTTATATGTTTTAAAGGCCAATTTCGAAACAGAAGGGGATGCATGTTTTCAAGTTTGATCTTCAAACAGAGTATAAAAGATTAACTAGTAACTATGACTGTGATATGTAATTTAATAGTTTTCTATAATATAATCGTTCTGTTACGGTGTTACCACAAGATTCAAATCCACATCGTACTTAGTATCGATAGAAAAAATTAATTGGATTTGCTATAACCACGATAAGTCGACGTACCAAAAAATATAAATGTAATTATGCAGAGTTTGGATTGCAGAAACGGTAAAAGAAGAGTAAATTCAACTTCCTTAAAAATGCAATTACGTATATTCATATACCTAAGCTATCTTCTCGCACGTACAATATAACAAGTCTCACCGACCCTTCTTATTTTGTTTGGTATGACACTAAACTATTGCTCATACAAGGGAACTTTCTATAAAAGGAAAAGCAGAATCAAATAAGTTTTTTTCTAAATTTCCTCGAATAGTTCTCATATGTAGAAAATTATTTCTAGAAAATGGTTTCTTCATTGCTAGTATTATCGGAGAGGACCCTACCATATTTTGGTATTATTCAGACAATCTAATTATCTCCGGACTAAACATTCTTGTAAGCATAAGCATTGCAATATATGTATACAAGGCAAAATATACAAGTCTCTGTAAGAAAATGTAGAAATTAAATGCTAACAACAACTTTGACCCAAATCAATTGCGCTGTACTAAGACTTTTGATTTGTTTTCGCTTGTTAATTGAAAGTGAATTATAACTAACGAGTAACTGTGTTATAAGAAAAAAAAACATTTTCAAAGTAAAGTATTACAAAAAGTCATTTATGTATTTAATGATATTTTGATTTGTTGCTGAGGTATCGCGCTTACCTCTCTCTCTTGCTCTCTTGTTTCGTACTTTGAAAAAAGAGAGATTTTTTAGTCGCGTTTTGAACATAGATCATGACAGGAGAAGCCTAGATTTTACTTCACCTACTTGAGGTAAAATTTCAAGCAAAGGAGCCCAAGCTTTAATTGCAAGTAGGCCATACATCGGATCTTCTTTCTCTCTTAAGAGCTAAGCAAAAACCTCCATCTCTTCCTCTATTTCTTCTATCTTCTCTCTCTCTCTCTCTTGAATAAGCTCCACTGCTCTGTTTTTTTGCTTTTGTTTTACCGGAGATCGTTTTGGGTCTCTTTCTCTTGTTAATCAACACGCTTAATCTTTGCGGGACCTGAAAAAAATGGCATCTTATCGATCCCAATCTGGGTTTTGCCCTCTCTCGCCGTGTCCCTTGCTCGGTAATTTCGTCGAACGGATTAAAGACGCATGTCGTTTCCTCGTCTCTGCTGTTCTGGGCACAATTCTCTCCGCGATCTTGACCTTCTTCTTCGCTTTAGGTCGGTCTCTCGTTTCATTCATGCGTTTCATGGTTCTGTTCTCGAACGTCTCCACCGGCATTTGAAAACTTGCTCTTTTTTTGTGTTTGTATCTAAATTTAGTCCATTTTTGTGTGGTGGTGCAAATCCAGTATCTGATGAAGATTCTCTAGCTAGAATATCGTTCTTTTCGGACTGATTTGATCATTCATCTGTGATTCGGGTGATGGCAGAAAAATCTGCAACTTTGGGGTTTATGTAGTCAAAGCTGATAAAGTTGTTTCTTTTATCTTCTTCAGTGGGCACATTGCTTGGGGCACTCACAGGAGCTTTGATAGGCCAAGAAACAGAGAGTGGTTTCATCCGAGGAGCAGCGGTTGGAGCCATCTCAGGAGCTGTTTTCTCCATCGAAGTCTTTGAATCATCACTTGTTCTCTGGAAATCTAACGAGTCACGTTTCGGATGCCTCCTCTACTTGGTGAGCTGAGATCTTTTCATTTTCTCTGTTTTGAAGTTGCGTACTCGAGCTTCGAATTGATACTTGTTAAGTTTTGGTGTAGATTGATGTCATTGTTAGTCTTATAAGCGGCAGACTTGTGCGGGAACGCATAGGTCCAGCAATGCTAAGCGCGGTTCAGAGTCAGGTACATTGATATTCAGTATTGGTTCCATTTTCTCGCAATGAGATCTCTCAACCAGTTTCTTGATCCATATCATCTCTCTTGTCACTGATCAGATGGGAGCTGTAGATACAACTTTCGACGAGCTCTCGAGTATCTTTGACACCGGCGGTTCAAAAGGATTAACAGGAGATTTGGTTGATAAAATACCAAAAATCAAAATCACTGGCAAAAACAACTTGGATGCTTCTGGCAACAAAGACTCGTGTTCTGTCTGCCTTCAGGTTTTTTGCTCTCTTCAGATCTTATGTAAACCGCGGATTTGAACAAAAAGGGTATAGTTTTAATTTATTGTTGCTTGTGTTTGTGTGAATTTTGCAGGATTTTCAACTTGGTGAAACGGTAAGAAACTTGCCACATTGTCATCACATGTTTCACCTGCCTTGCATAGACAATTGGCTACTCAGGCACGGATCTTGTCCAATGTGTAGACGTGATCTGTAATCTCCCTTCTTACCATTTGCACAGTCTCTGTCTCTCCTCATTAAGCCTAAGCTTCTTCTTCTCTCTTCTCTTTATATGGTCGTAATCTTGTGGCTAGTCTCTCTATATGTACAAAGAAATGGAAAAAAAAAGTTTTGAATTGTGTTGACGAAACCCATAAACTCAACCAAATCCATTTAATAGATTGTGTGTTGATCTCACCAAACTTTTGAAGTGGTTGAATTTTCGCAATATTCTTTACTTATGACGTGAAGGAAAGAAATTGAATTCTATGTGTGAATCTGTGTGGCTCGTGGACCCCCAGGAGATAAAATCATGCCAAAACACATTTCTTGATTTGGTTTGTTAATCAACTCTTAACTTTTAAGCAAACATCATTATTACTCACCAACACGTAATTAATCACAACGTCAATTTCGGCTAACGCAGTTTATTTCTCGAGACTTTTTTTTTTCTTTAACACCCAAGAATTTTGTTGTTGCTGAGACTACAAAAGCCTTAAAAGTGAATAAGTTATCGTTAAATATTTTCTAGGATCATGATTTTCAAATGTTGGTATTACATGTACGAGGATGTCTTTGATTTTCATTCTTTTCAGTTTGAATACTTGTACTGATTACTTTCAAAATAGTAAAGCTATGGTTGTTCTCTCTTTACAAAATAGTAAAGCTATGGTCATAATATGCCTCGGAAATCATGATCCTAGAAAGTTCAGAAAATTTTATATCCAAATTATTCAAAACCACATAGAACTGTGTTTGAATTGTGGACCAGACGTAAAAAGCTTTTTTTTTTCCTACAATTAATTCTTGTGATTAAAGAACTTTATATACAAGTTAAGTAATGTTTAAACTTTAAAAAAGAGCCACAGCTTTTTTAATCACGGGAAGTAAACTAGCATATCTTATGTCACTCGAAAATCCTAGAAGCATTTAGTGAAAAGTGTTTCCGAAATTCGTTATTTCAAAATTTACGAGCTTTGAATAGATAAAGGTTTTTGTTTGGTCAATAATTTTCACATACCGCAAGAACCTGTATTAGTTGTCTTCACGTGATCGTCCGACAGATTGAAAGATTTATAGTTAGGGAGGTCCCAACTATAACCATTCGTATCATTTTCTGGTTCTTCGTTTATTCTAATATTATTTTTAATGTCGAGTTATTTTAAGAATGTTAAATTACTACTGACCTTCACATTCGTGAGCTTGGGAGAACCATCGTCTTTCCTATTTGACAATAGGGAAGGTAGGAACACGGTTTAAAGTCAAATTCCTACAACCGTTAAATTAATCTGGTTCACATATGGTTAGAGTGAGTTTGCTTTCATGTTTATATTTTAATCCCTAATCCAAGTCTTTAGAACCGTTAAATTAATCTGGTTCACATACGGTTAGAGTGAGTTTGTTTTCCGGTTCTAATCACTACTTCAAGTCTTTAGAAAACCTTTAAATTGATCTGGTTCACATACGGTTAGAGTGGGTTAGTTTTCCGGTTTATGTTTTAATCCCTAAACCCCGAGCCCTGAGCTGCTATATCCACACTTTCCGACGGCGAAACTCGATTATTCAGATTTCCTGTTATCTAGTGATCTGAGACTCACGGAGCTTCGCCGGAAAAGCTTGAATTTGGGCTCTCTGCGATTCCTGGCTAAATTTTCGAGAGGAAGCGAGACTTTACTGTGAGCTATGAAGTTCCTCATTCAATCCATTTCTGGTATGCTTTTATAGACACCACTGTAGCTAACTAGATAGATCCCATTTTCGTCTATCATCAATCGATCTTTCTTTCTGGCTACATTTTGGTTCGATCGAGTGCGCATTCTCCATTCCTTAGTTACGCATCTACATATCTCTGCACCTGCACGAATGCTTACGTTTGTTTTTTTTTTTGATCGACGGGAAACAGGGAGGAATCGATCTGTGGTTCGAGCTCTTGTTAGCCGGCGTTGCTTCGCTTCGTCGTCGGAGGAACTCGCAAAGAGAAATTACGCCAACGACCTGTCGGAGTACAACTCAGTCGTCAACTCCGTCACAGCTCAGCGCAGGTTTTCATTTACTAGCTTTCCTTACATTTTATATGTATGGCTCCTTCCTCGTGTGTTTCATTATACAGAAGTATTCAATATGTTTGCTTGGTTACTCCATTGATCCTTGTGTAGGCACTATCTGCTGAGGGATGTGTATGATGATATGAAGCTAGATGGAGTGCAGCCTACAGCTGATATATTCCATTCATTTGTTGTGGGAGTGATGAAGGGAGCTCGCTTAAATGATGCTTTCTTTTTCCGTGAAGAAATGAAGGCCATGGGAATTGCTCCAGATGTATGTGTTCTCCTGTGATCTTTCTTTTATTTTGAATTAAACCCTTCTTGTTTGAGTTAACTTCATCCGTGACTTGTGTTGTTGATCGTTCGTGCGTTCCTTCTTGTAGGTGAACTTGTACAACTTTTTGATTTCCACATGTGGTAAATGCAAGAATGGAAAGGAAGCGATCCGAGTAATGTCATCTTCCCTTTGCTTTAGTAGAAGACTTCTTTTTCCGAGTAATGTACACTTCTGAATCTTCATTCATATACGGAAACCTTTTGGTTTGTTTCTTATTGTAAGGTCTACGAGGAGATGAAGAGATATGATGTTAAACCAAATGGACAGACTTTTGTCTGCCTGCTCAATGCCTGCGCTGTTTCTGGCCAATTAGATCTTGTGTAAGTTACAAATCGAATTGATTTCCTTTGAGATTGAGTGTTTATGTTATAAGCAAGAAGTGGTCTAATTTTATCTTTCTTCAAATAATGGTTAGGTATGCGATAGTTCGAGATATGACTGCTGCTGGTGTTGGTTTGAACCAGTTCTGCTATGCAGGACTCATAACTGCTCACTTAAACAAGCAGCCTAGACCAGCTAATCTTTCTACCAAGGTAACTTGTGAATGTTTCTTGTTCGTATCTCCTTTTAGTTTTCTTTTTGTTTAATTACGTTTTCTCACATCCTCCTTTTTTCTTCTCAAAAGATTCTCGAGTTCGTGGAGCAGTCAAAAGGCTGGTCATCAATTGATTCGTCAAGGAAGAGTGCAGAAGATATGATGTTTAGCATCAGTGAAGAAGAGCTGTACAATATTCCAACCGCTGAATATTCCCATCGGAGCAGGTTTCTGCAGAGGAATTTGACCGTGCACCACGTAGCATTCAGTGCTCTCGCTGATCTACAGGATGTAAAAGTAAGATGATCTGTGTATTTTCCAAAATGAACTGAATATTAGAAATCTGTTCCAGTTTCGGAGTTGAAATTTGCATCTGACCAGCACTTCTTTATGGCAGGCAACGGAAGCTCTTCTTGAGATGCTTAAGAAAGACGGAAAAGACACTGACACTTACTGCGTCCTACAAATTATGAGGTACACTGTGGTTGACAATATTATGCGTCACTGTTCTGTGCAGCGATCTTTGTCAACAATATGAATTGGCCTAGTATGCATATGTGATTATGATATTTTCATTTCGATGTTTAGAACATTTGGCATTGTCATAGGTTAAAAGATAGTCTTTAGTTATCAATTAAACTTTTGCTACTAGTATATTACATTATAAACTCTCATTGAGAATGAAAACATGAATATCATATCTCATCCAACTTTTATATCTCCACAGGTGCTATCTACACTCGAAAGACTTTAAAAATGGTCTCAAATGGTTTGAAGATTACATGAAAGACAAAACCCCTGCCATGGAACTCTACACGGTAACTGTCATCTCACCTCATAAGCATTTGTTCGAAGAGCAAACATGTTCTTTTCTGTATATAGTGCGGGAATGACAACAACTATAAAACAAATTTTGTCGATTCCCAATCCTAAAAACCCAACAAATGTATAGAGATGGATCTGTATTTCACAACGAATCCAAGATTTTTACGCTTCTGTCTTGTTTCAGCATATCTTTGGGTAACCTTTATACATTCTGTCTGTTGTTGCTGCTACAGACTCTCATAGAGGGAGCCATGACAGGATACACCGATGAAGGAATGCAGATTGCTCAAGACGCTCTGGTAAATGCTTATAGGCTCGAGCTGTAGTGAAAGAAATTAACCGAGTTTACGGCCGGTACCCAATGATATAGCCTTGGCCTTTAACTTATGACGACGAGTTTTTTTATAAATGCAGGTCAAGATGAACGATCGCAATTTCTTCTTAGAGCCAAGAACTGGAAGCAATTTGCTACTCAAAGCTGCTGGTGAAAAGGTAAAATATCTTGAAGTTCCTCAAATTTCTGTGAAAATATATTTTGCTTTAACGAGTTGGCTTAGTAAAAAAATCCTCTTTTTCTGTTTGGCAGACCGGTGGGTACACGGTTGCCAATATGATATGGGATCTGATGCAAGCTCGGAATATTCCACCCACACTAGCTGCTGTTGAAGCTTACTACAAGGGATTAAAAGTAAAACTTTGAAAACTCCCTCTTCTTAATCTTCATTAGAGAGCATAAACTGGAATCTTTATTGATGGGTTGTTTGTTTTTTTTTGTGGCGTGGGAATCACAGGAACGTGAAATACCAGAGGATGATCCGAGATTGATGTTAGTGACGCGTACATACAATAACCTGAGGCTTCAGCAAGGGACATTGCCGAATCGACGCTAAGGCACATGGACATGAGGAAAAGAATACAATGTCTTCTTCGTTTTCTGCGTCTTTTTGCTTATTAGGATTCTCTGTAAACCAATTTGGGTATGCTTTGTAACCAGTCGTTTATTAGATGAATAAGGAGACTTCCCATAAGAAGAAACTTCAACTATGGGATTGAATATTACTCTTTGATTTCAAATTGCTTTAAAACCTGAAGAGTTTGTCTTTTTACATGCAAACAACAAATTGATTCAAAGAAGCCAACGCCTGTTTCGTTTATAAAAGAACAGGCTGTTCACTCTCAAATGCACCGGTTTAGTTTTTTGGTAAAGACAAACTGGAAAATAGAGGAAAAAAAAAGAGAAACTATACATTCTGGTGTATCCATTTGCAGAGATTAATAAAAGCAAGAGAAGTTTCTGAATCACCAGATTACATCAGAATATGTGTGTGACTGTTGACACATCTTGAGGGCTCTTTAACCACAACAGCCACCTCCCTGTGAGATCGCACCATCTCTTCCTCCAGCTGCACCTTGAGGACGCCCGTAGCCGACCTTAATGCCTGATGACTGCAACATCCAGAGAAGTTAAGGGAATTGGATCAAATGATGTAACACAATCAAGGGCAGCATATTCGACAATGTGTAGTACTGTAACCAATAAAATCACACCCACAAAAGGTAGGCACGAAACTACCAGAGAAGAGATTTGTGTGGCTCTAACAAGATCACAACACCAGAAAATTAAGTTTGCTTCTAGATTCAAGAATGGATTTACCTCGTTGGATACATCAAAGACGCCTTCCTGAATGTTCTGGAGGATCTTTGCTGCAGTCTTTATGAAGGCCTGTTGATATTATATGCGATATTAAGCATGGTATATTCCAGTTCACTACAGACGGTCTCCATAGATTGTCGTGATTACAGTCAAATAGGAAAAGAGATTTGGTAAGGAAGTATCATCACCTCCTCAACGTTTTGAGCCGTTCTTGCAGATGCTTCTAAGAACAACAGTCCATGTTCTTTGGCAAACTGTTCTCCCTCCTCTTTGCTAACAGCTCTCTTGTGAGCAAGATCGCATTTGTTCCCAATCAGCATAATACTCATGTTAGGATTTGCATGTTGCCGAGCATCCTCTAACCAGCTCGCCAGATGGTTAAACGTCTCTCTCCTACAACCAAAAGAACATACTTTTAATGGCAGAGAGATCAAAGCTAAGTCCTCAATAAATATCAGTTTCCAAAACCTCTCCGAGAGTCCAAGCTGAAGTATATTGTCATAAAAAACAATACTAACCTGGTAATGTCGTAAACCAGTAAAGCTCCGGCTGCTCCTCTGTAGTATGATCTGGTGATGGATCTAAACGATTCTTGTCCAGCCTACAACATCATACGCTAGGTTTAAAACATAAACAACATCATACCAAAGTAGAACAGAAGCCTCAAAAACCAAACATAGACACCTGAAACCCAAAAAACTGCACACAAAAAAAGTTTTACAACTAGATTCAAAGAATCACAACCCTGTCGACCAGAAGAAACCACAACAAGGACTGAAAAGTTGGAGAGGGACTAGAGAATAATCATATAGATATAAGCCTATAATACTGAAATCAAGAACCTTGTAATGATTAACTTTCCAAAATTACCCTACTTTGAGTCTCTTTGGCCATGATTATCAAACAGAGATTCAGTATCAGCAATTCTAATACCGCATTGTTTCTCTAAATACGAATCAAATGTATTAATTATGACAGTTAATCTTCATAATCACATCTATCTTGGATTAAAGCAATCCTAAATCAACAAAACGTGATAAGTTCTTCGGGACTAACTAGACCAATACAAGAGAGGCGAGACAGAGACAGAGCCGTACGGTATCCCAAATTTGCAGCTTGATGGGGCGTCCATCGACGGTGACCATCCGGGCACCAAACTCGACACCAATGGTGAGATCGTGGACTGGTTGGAACCTCTTGTCAGTAAATTGCAGAAGCAGGCACGATTTTCCCACACCTGAAGGACAAGACAGCGAGAACCCATGAAAATCGATCTAACCCAGAGAATCAAAAAAAAAAAAATTGGGGGAAATTCGAAACGATAGAAAATCGCTAAGGGAGGGAAGAAGGGCGTGATCGGTGGTGGGGGTTACCTGTGTCACCGATGATTATGTACTTGAAGAGGTAATCGTACGACATGGCTGATGAAATTGCGGATGAGTTTTTTTCGTCTGGGTCGATTATTTGAGAGAGAGAGAAGAAATGTGTAAAGATTGAAAGAGAGGAAGAAGAGATTGAGAGTACAAGTCACCGACGCGCTTTGTCCCCTTTTATTTTCGAGGTTTCTCGATGGAGAAGCTATCTCATGATCTCCTCATCTTTTAAAAATCTTCTCGTTAATTTATTATTTAAATTAGAGGGACCAGATGGAAAAAACAAAATATCTAAAAACAAAATTATTGCAATAATGGTTTGAAACATATATTAAGCAAAATAATAATTAGTTTACACGTTTTATTTAGATGATGGTCCAAAATGGAATAGTTTCGTGCGGACGATGGACTAATTCACACCCATCAATTAACAATTTCATATTTAGGCTATAAAATGAATATACTTTGGTAAATCTTTAAAAGGTTAAATACTATTATTTGGTTAGTTGAATATAAAATTTGTTACGAATAATTAGTAAGAATAAACGACTGATCCACACAACATTTACAAGGATGTCTTAGAATTGGTGTGTTTTTTTATAATTGCACTTGTCAACAAGCTGATCTAATCTTTTTGAAATCACAATACATTTTAAAGGATGTTACAGAATGACTTAAATGTAATCAAACCCGTTTCATTTGAGCTTACTAAAAAATGCATGTTGACAACACCAACGAATTTTGAATCCATGGTTATATTATTAGAAACGTTTGATGGTTTTTTTCGGTTAATCTTGATAAATCTTGTTTAGGTAAAAAGTTAACTATATCAAATAGAAATCTGACTTTAAACCTAAAACTTATAATTATGGATATAGCTTAAGAATTTGGTGATTATTATGGAATTTTTTTTATAAGTTTTAAGGGAAGAAGAACCTGTGAGATAGATTCCAAACCGCGATCGCGTTCCTTCTTCGTCCTTTAATCCTTTTTTTTTTTTTTTTTTTTAATTTCTACAATATTTTGCATCCTCATGCCTCAACTTTCCTCAGCATCTCTGTCGATCTACTCCAGAAATCAAACCCTAAATCTCCAAAATTCTAAAACTTTGATAAATCCTGAATCTGAAGAAAAATTGAAGATTTGGGTTGCCACAATTTGTTAGGAAAAATTCGCGATGCATCGCAGTTTTTCGCCAGCCGCGATGCCGCCGATTTCATCCATTGTCATGGATGATTCATTCTCTCCTCCCCCGTCCTCCGGCGACTTGCCCGACATCCCCGATGCTTGGTACGGCAACATTCAGTACCTGCTTAATATCTCGGTGATTGGGCTCTTAACCTGCGTCTCCATCTTCCTATTCGTGAAGCTACGCAGCGATCACCGTCGTATGCCTGGTCCTTCTGCTCTCTTCTCCAAGCTCCTCGCCGTCTGGAAAGCCACTTGTCGCGAGATCGCTCGCCACTGTGGCGCCGATGCTGCTCAGTTCCTCTTGATCGAAGGTGGTAGCTTCGTGCTCCTTTTCGCCATTGCTGTTTTGGCTGTTTCCGTTATGCTTCCGTTGAATCTATATGCCGGGACTGCTCTTCTGAGTGACGAGCTCTCCAAAACGATGATTACCCATATTAAGAAAGGTTCAGGTTTGCTTTGGCTGCATTTTGTGTTTGTTGTCATTGTTGTCGTCATCTCGCATTTTGGAATCTCTGCCATTGAAGCTAGGCTGAAGTTTACTAGGTTTAGAGATGGGAATGGGAATATCAGCGACCCCAGTGCGAATTCCACTGCTGTGTTTACTATAATGTTGCAGGGCTTGCCTAAGAATATAGGGTCTGATAGAGTTGAGTTTGAAGAGTGTTTTCGGCAAAAGTACCCGGGGAAAGTTTACAAGATTATTGTTCCCATGGATCTGTGTGCACTGGATGATCTTGCTACAGAGTTGGTTCGTGTCCGAGACGAGATTACTTGGTTAGTCGCTAAGATGGACTCTAGGCTTCTACCGGACGAGTTTGAGAATGCTGGAGACGGAGGATTACTGTCTTCTGTGTGTGATTTGTGGATTAGGGCAAAGGTTTTGTGGTCTCAGGTCACAGAGAGGTTTGGTTTTACCGATGATGAAAAACTGAGGAAGCTGCAAGAATTGAGAGCTGATTTGGAGTCTCAGTTAGCCGCTTACAAAGAAGGACGAGCACAAGGCGCTGGGGTTGCTTTTGTGATGTTTAAGGATGTGTACACAGCTAATAAAGCTGTTCAGGATTTCAAAAACGAGAGATCAAGGCGTACCGGAAAATTCTTCTCTGTCACAGAGCTGCGGCTACAGAGAAACCAGTGGAAAGTCGAGAGAGCACCTTTGGCAACTGATATCTACTGGAATCATCTTGGATTGACAAAAGTCGCTCTTATCGTAAGAAGAGTGATTGTGAATACGATTCTATTGTTGATTCTTGTGTTTTTCAGCTCCCCGTTGGCCTTGATTAGTGCCTTGATAAGTGCCGGGCGAATCTTCAATGCTGAAGCATTGGATAGTGCTCAGTCTTGGCTCACTTGGGTGCAAACTTCTGGCTGGATCGGATCTCTGATATTTCAGTTCCTGCCCAACGTCTTCATTTTCGTTAGCATGTACATTGTGATCCCTTCTGCTCTCTCGTATCTCTCCAAGTTTGAGCGGCACCTAACAGTGTCAGGGGAACAGAGAGCAGCTCTCTTGAAGATGGTTTGCTTCTTCCTTGTGAACCTCATCGTGCTCAAGGCTCTTGTCGAGTCGTCACTGGAAAGCGCACTCTTGAAAATGAGCCGGTGCTACTTAGACGGTGAGGATTGCAAGAGGATTGAAGAATACATGAGCCCTTCCTTCTTATCAAGGTCGTGCGTCTCTGCTCTAGCTTTCCTCATCACGAGCACGTTCTTGGGGATCTCCTTCGACCTACTCGCTCCAATCCCGTGGATCAAGAAAAAAATCCAGAAATTCAGGAAGAACGACATGCTTCAGCTAGTCCCCGAGCAAAACGAAGAGTACCCTTTGGAAAACCAAGACCCAAGCAGCAGCCTTGAGAGACCACTTCTCCCTGAAAACATGTTTGAGTCTCCAAGATTCGGCGACATCGAACCTATGAGCCAAGACCTCTCCGAGTACCCAATCAGCAGAACCTCACCAATCCCTAAACAGAAATTCGACTTTGCTCAATACTACGCCTTCAACCTCACCATCTTTGCCTTGACGATGATATACTCTTCATTCGCTCCGCTCGTGGTCCCTGTAGGCGCGGTTTACTTTGGTTACAGATACATTGTGGACAAATACAACTTCCTATACGTGTACAGAGTTCGTGGCTTCCCTGCAGGCAACGAAGGAAAGCTGATGGACACGGTTTTGTGCATCATGCGCTTCTGCGTCGACCTGTACCTCGTCTCCATGCTCTTCTTCTTCTCTGTCAAAGGAGATTCGACAAAGCTTCAAGCCATTTTCACACTTGGGGTGCTTGTGATGTACAAGCTTTTGCCTTCGGATACAGACCGGTTTCACCCGGCTCTTCTCCGGAGTATCCAGACCGTCGAGAGCATCGTCGACGGACCAGTGGATTACGAAGCTTATTCTCAACCCAACTTCGATTGGGACACTTACAACAACAGATGATTCTACGACCTTTTTAAGTCTTATTAGTTTTTCTTCTTTGACCAAAATCGGGACTTGGAATCTATTTTTGTAAGTTTGTATATCTCTTTGTGTATAATCCATGTTTTGAGAGCATTACTTTTGTTTAGTCGCTGTCTCTTGTATTATTCTCTTGCAATTAAATATCCATTCTTTCTTAAAAATGTGATTAAGAAGTCGGAAGAAACAGAAATTAGCAGGTGGGACTCAGTTGATCGCAGTTTCCTTTGCTTTTCTACACATGGACTGTTACACTCACCTAATAACGAAGACGAACATAGATCTCTTTCTCTTCTTCTCGAGAAGTCTCAGTTTTTTTTTTCTCGTTCCTCAAAAAACCTAATTTTGTTTTTCTGTTCCCCCCCAATTTCTCACTATTCCAAGATCTAAAATCACGCATTTTGCTTTCTAATATTTCTTGGGTTTCTGGTGCCATGATTTCTCATTTGCTCTTTGCTTCTCCGAGAAAAACCTCCGGGAAAGTAGGATAAATCTGTGTTGAGTTCGAGAGGTAAATTGATTCACAATGTTGGCCTGTTTCTTCAAGAGTACTCTGTTCTTGATCTCGATTTTGGCGTTACTGAGCTTCGGGAGCTGCAATGGTCGAATCTTCACCTTCGAGATGCACCACCGATTCTCCGATGAAGTCAAGCGTTGGTCCGATTTAACCGGGCGGTTTGGTAGTTTCCCCCCTAAGGGAAGCTTCGAATATTACAACACTCTCGTTCTCCGTGATCAGCTCATCCGCGGAAGACGCCTCTCGGAGTCGGAATCGGAGCCGTCGCTCACTTTCTCCGACGGAAATTCAACTTCTCGTATCAGCTCTCTCGGATTGTAAGTTGCATTTTGCTCAGATTGTTACCCAACAATTTCCAAAACTTCTCTGTTTCAGGATAAATCAGAATTTTTCTGTTTCCGTCTTCTGATTTCAGTTTGCATTACACGACGGTGAAATTGGGTACTCCGGGATTGAGATTCATGGTGGCGCTCGACACAGGAAGCGACCTCTTCTGGGTCCCTTGTGACTGCGGAAAATGCGCACCAACCGAAGGAGCTGCTTTCGCTTCTGTATGTGAACACTTTTAGCAATTATAACAGTTGTTGAGCTTACTGATCTTAGCCATTGACTTATATCTAAGTTTCCCCATGATCGATTGAATCCTTTTTTCTATTTGCTGTGTTTAGGAATTTGAACTAAGCATTTACAATCCTAAAGTGTCAACCACAAACAAGAAAGTCACCTGCAATAACAGCCTATGTGCACAGCGTAATCAGTGCCCCGGAACGTTCAGCACTTGCCCTTATATGGTGTCTTACGTCTCTGCTCAGACTTCTACATCCGGTATACTTATGGAAGATGTTATGCACTTGACAACCGAAGATAAGAATCCAGAGCGTGTTGAGGCATATGTCACATTCGGGTTAGTAGCAGTTTCGCAACAACTGCTTCGCTTTGCTTCTTGTGTGTTCAGTTCAATGCAGTAAGTCCCTGAAATGTGGAATTTTTGCAGATGTGGACAGGTTCAAAGTGGTTCTTTTCTTGACATTGCGGCACCAAATGGTTTATTTGGACTTGGCATGGAAAAGATATCGGTTCCAAGTGTTTTGGCGAGGGAAGGTCTGGTTGCTGATTCTTTCTCCATGTGTTTCGGACATGATGGAGTCGGAAGGATCAGTTTTGGGGATAAAGGTAGCTCTGATCAGGAAGAGACACCGTTTAATCTGAACCCTTCACAGTAAGTGGTAATTCACTTTTGAGCTGAATTGTAAATTGTAAATCCGATATGCCAAGTATGCACCTTTTAACCTTGGTGGGATTCATTACAGCCCAAACTACAACATCACGGTGACTCGAGTACGTGTGGGGACAACTCTAATAGATGATGAATTTACAGCTCTCTTTGACACCGGCACATCGTTTACTTATTTGGTTGATCCGATGTATACAACAGTCTCAGAGAGTGTAAGCATCTTAACACCATCATATATCGTTTTTGTTCCTCCTCGTGATGCTCAGTTTTGGTGAACCAACATTGCCGTCTTCAGTTCCATTCTCAGGCCCAAGATAAGCGCCATTCACCGGATCCAAGGATTCCCTTTGACTATTGCTATGACATGAGGTATGAGTTTGTTGTATCTACCCAACTCGATGTTTCTTTGTCTCCGCTACGCAAATCTAAACATTATTTCTCGTAAACCGTGTGTTCAGCACTGACGCAAATGCCAGTTTGATACCGAGTTTAAGCCTCACAATGAAAGAAAACAGCCACTTCACCATCAATGATCCTATAATCGTCATCTCTACCGAGGTCATTCAAAGTCTCTCTCTTTACTTCTTTCTCTATCGTTCCTTGTCTTCCTCAACCAAAGCTCATACTATCAGTAGCTTTGCGTTTTCGCAGGGTGAGCTTGTATATTGCCTGGCCATTGTCAAAAGCTCTGAACTCAACATAATCGGACGTAAGTTTAGTTTTTCTTTCTATGATCATCAAACATCCAGTAAATTTCGACTTGACGTTGTTCACTCTTAATGAAACAGAGAACTACATGACCGGGTATCGTGTAGTATTCGACAGAGAGAAACTCATCTTAGCTTGGAAAAAGTTTGACTGTAAGTTTCCTCTTACGTTTGTTGATTCACTTAAAAACCCGTTGTGTTCTGAGTCTTCTGACTTATGATCTGTGAATTCATATCTCTTGACGCAGGCTATGATATTGAAGAGACAAAGACAACTCTTGCCGGAGCAAACAAAACAGAGGCGGTGGCTCCGGCAATGGCAGCCGGAATAGACACTCATAATAATTCCTCAGATCCACACAAAACAAACAAAACCATCTCCAATAGTAGTTCTTCCTCCAACCAAAGATTTAAAACAGTAAAGCTATGGTCTTTTTTCAGATTTGTGTTCATATTACTTCCACTTTTGTAGATATGTAGTAACCTTCAAGTCCCATCCAAAACACAAAAGCCATTTTTTTTTTTTGTATCATAAATCGGCCTCTTCAGGAAATATATGCTGCCCATTCATATCACTATCAACTTTTTGTCAAATTTTTACCCATTTTTCGCGGCTGTAATTAGATAATTACATAGTCAAACCGAAATAAATCGATGTAAACCGAACATAAAGAGAACGTGGTTTATGGAGTAGCTAGAACGCTACGCTGAATATTCAAAAGAAAAAAGAAGATGGGTTCCATATTGATGACCTGATTTGGCGAGTGCCACCACCGGATATATGATTTAATTTTTTTTTACTGTTGATCATTTCTATAATGTTTATACTGGTTTTAAATGATTTTGGTATTGGATGGTACATATACAGTAGTGCCCTTTTTTGAACCCTTGTTTATTATATAAAATTCATTATAGCCAATAGTGTGCTGGGTTTTTCGATATTATCTCTATCCATTCTTCGAATGTAAGGGACAAAAAGATAATGAATTACACATATTGTTAAAAAAAAAGATTCGTTTTCTAGAAGGTATATATATGAGCTTTTTTAAATATTCATTCTTGTCAAATACTAATAGTATATCCAAGATGTAAACATAGTTACACCACCATATAATCCATGACCATGTCACAGAATTAGTATAGTAGATTAATTATATGAAACTATACAGGAAAAGACGAAAGTTCATATTACAAGGCTTTTGTATTTAATAAAAACGTTTGTATAATGATTTAAGAAATATTGAATTTTCTGTAACCATTGACATTCGTATTTGTCAACAACTATAAACATTCCAAATCAAGATGACAACATTACTACATCAATATCAATAAAAAAACTTATATACAACACGAAGTCTCGTTGGGAATATATCTTAAACTAATGAATAACTAAAATCATTTTTTCAAGATTTAAAATCATATATATATGTATATATTAATTTAACAATAATTATGGATATATCCATTGCCAAAACTGTTTAAATTTTAATTTTGATTTATGTAAATGGCAGATGCAACAAATCTCTCTTTGAAAAGTAGTATTAAAGTTATGAACGTTGAAAAATATTATATAATGGTAAGATACTTTTTTTATGAACCGTTAGAACGGTATGACTTAGAATTAAATCTTTTGAAATTACTCTTTGATCTATATATTCTTTGACCAGTATCGTCTGATTCTCAGATTGAAAGTGACTGAAATATTTACTCTTATCGTCCAAAATTTTAATATATTTTTTATTCATTTCATTTTAAGAAACAAATCTACCACAGAGAACATATGCAAAGTTGTCTAGTGTTTTCCAAATTTAAATAAAAAACACGATTCAGTGGGGGAAAAAAAGATTTACTGTTTGACCTATTTTAAGGGAGTAAAAACATTGAACCAATCGTTAGATAACACGTGTCGCATTAGTATACTCGGTATAAACGTCAACAATCCTCAAAGAAGTTTCACAGCCAATAAGATTCAGCGAAAGAAAACCTGTGTTTTTTTTCTTGTGTTTACCCCAAGGGTACTATCGTAACTTGAGTAGCCAAGAAAATCCAGACGGAAAAAGTAAAATAAAATAAAATGTATAATTATAAAGAACATATAAGAACGGAAAAAAAAAATTAAAGAGAGAGAGAGAGGAGACTACACTGCTCCATCGTCTTCTCCTTCTGGGAATAGTTTTTGGAAAACATCGGTCTGGTTCCTTCTTCTTCTTCTTTTTTGCATAACTCAAACCCTAACCCTAATTTTCTGAATCGCGGAGGTTTCGTCGGATTCTTTCACCGCTAACTCTTTTTTTGGGGGGTAATCGATAATCATTTATTAAGATACTGTCGATCGGAGCTCATCGACTCTCTAACAAACCCTAATTTTTTTGTCCGCTGATGATGGCGCCCGCCACTCCCAATAACTCCAGCTCTTCTTCCTCCTCTCCTCGTCAAATTAGCGACAATCACGGCAGCCCTACCGCTGCCGCTGCACAATCGCGCCGTCCGTCTCGGCAGGTTTCCTCTCCGTGGACTCAAATCGTCCGCGGCGATTCGGAGCCGACGATCGCCGCCGCTCCTGCCTCCCCTAAACCGAAGGCCCCGATCGAGCCGATTGCTTCTGCATCCGTGGCTCCACCTGCTTCTCTTTTGACGGTGGAGGCGGCCGCTGGAGACGAGAAATCGGAGGAATCTGGTGGTCAGGGAAATGTCGGAAAGAAACCAGTTTGGAAAACGCCGTCTAATGGGGCTTCTGAGGTCGGAGCTGTCATGGGAGCTTCGTCGTGGCCTGCTCTTACTGATTCCACCAAAGCTCCTTCGAACAAATCTTCTTCTGATTCATTAAAAAGTCTCGGTGATGTACCATCTTCATCATCATCTGCCCCCGTTTCTCAGGTTTGAATGATTATCATGACCTTATTGATTATGTGGTTTTGTTTGGTTGCTGAAAGGTGAAAGTTTTAGCTTCTGCGTATGATCTATTTGTTGCGAAATGACTACAGTAGAGGTTGCTTGATGTGTGTGATCGCTATAAAACCTTTGTAGCTATAATTTTTTCTCACTGCTCTTTGTTGAAACAAATCTTAGCTTGCCAAACTCTTTCCTATTCGATTGTTTATACTGTAATGTATCAACATGTAACTTCAGCATCGTAATGTCTTCCTGTTGGTTTAAGAACGCATATTGATGTTTCTTCTGTTCAAAGTTCTCTCTTTTTTTTTTTTGAAGCTGAAATTTCGAAAACGAAATGTATATCTTGATGTACGACTTCACTTGTTCATGTGTACTGTCGATGATTCTTTTTATCCTAAGTTTAGTAGTGAAAATGGTTCTATGTCTTTGATTTAGGGGATCGCAAGTGTTTCTGTTCCTGCACCAAAGCAAGCTGTCCGTGCAACCCCTAATCCAACACCAAATCACTCGCGCCAGAGATCATTTAAACGGAATGGATCCTCTGGATCCGCTGCTAATGGTACTGTTTCTCAACCATCAGCCCAGGGTTCACATGCCGAATTGACTTCGCACAACCCTTCTCCTAGAGGTCAAAACCAGAAGAATGGCTTTGGATCGCACAGCAATGGCGGTTCTGACAACCTATCACAACGAGACTCGTACAGGAACCAAAATGGTAATCATCACCAAAGTCATGGTGGCAGGCGCAATCAGGAGCACGGGAATCAAAACTGGAATTTCCAGAGAAGCTTTAATGGGAGAGATGGGAACGCACAACCACAAAGAGGCACTCCAGGATATGCAAGACATGCACCCCCACCTGTGCAGCCAATTCCTCCTCAGTTTATGGCAGCTCAGCCTATTCAGCCTTTTGGCAGTCCTGTGCCCTTCCCTCCTGGTGAGACCCACTGAAGATCACGTCTTTGACATTTCATTTTTTTATTTTTTCTAATGCGTCTTCGTCATTTCAGAATTGGCATCGCCATATTATTCCCGTGTGCCTTTCATCACACCTCTTGCACCTGCTTCCGTCTTCTACCATGTCCATGATCCTCCCTTGAACATAAAACTACAAAAGCAAATACATTATTATTTTAGGTAGTACTTTCGTATTGAATTTCTCTTTTGTTTCTTCTGGATAACGAAATACCCATTTCTCGGTTCTCTTTCGGGGAGGACTAGGAGTAATTTAGATGCAAATGTTTCTTTTTTTTCAGTGAAGAGAATTTGATTAGAGACACATACCTTCGTGGGCACATGGATGATCAGGGTTTTGTTCCGCTACGTGTGATTGCTGGTTTCAAAAAGGTAAACTATTTTCTGGATGTGTTGTCTTGCATCTTGGCCTCGTTCGCTTTTCTCTGTTTGTGATATCTAAACAGTATGTCTAATTTCATAATTCATTTCAAAGTTTATTACCTTCACATCTGTAGAATTTCACTAAAACCATTTTTTTTTACTCAGATTGAGGTTTTGGGTGAATGTGTATTTAATCGGATAGGACCGTAAGTAGTTTTTGTGACGGTTTATATAAAGGTGTGATATGGATGTACATACTTTAGGCAAATGGGTTCTGTTCTTAAGACAGGTGATATAAATAGTTTTTGTGATATAATGTATTTATTCCTACAAATTCGATCATGTATACATCTTTAGCTTGCTCAGCTGCCTATCTAATCAGTGCTCATTGCTTTTGTATTTTCTTCTCTTAATTTGAGTTACAATAACACTCTGTTGCTTAGTACCATTGTATTATTCTCTGTGACTTTTAGCTATCGGTGTTGCTTCTTTTTTCTCCTTCTTCAGGTTGCGGAACTTACAGATAATATTCAGCAAATAGTGGAGGCTCTGCAAAATTCACCTTTTGTTGAAGTGCAGGTATTTGTCTTCTATGTGTCCTTTAGTGTTATTGACATTGGTTCATTCTGAGAGAGGATGACTATGGAACTTTGTGAAAATATGAAATTATCGATATCAGTCTCTCTCATCAGGCTGAAATCTAACGTTTATTTTGATTGCACATGGTTTTTTAGGGTGACAGAATAAGGAAGCGCTATAATTGGCAGCATTGGTTGCTTCCTAGAGGGAGTAACTCTGCGGTTTCGAGCCCACAATCAGTGGATGCAGTAGCAAGCCGAGTAGGAAATTTGTCGCTTGGTCAGAGCTCGACGGATCCAATGGGTGGTGGCTCAAGCAATCAGCTGCAACCTGCTGTACCAGAAAAGAAGACTGTTTCAGATGGTCTGCAACAGTCTTCTGGTGTTGATCCACTGAGCAACCGCAATGGCTCAGACGGCGGAAGCCGTTGAACCATCATCTTTGGGGCTGGTGGTTAGTGTGGACGTGAACTATATTATTTTGTCCTGCCCAAAATCAGGAAAAACAATAATGAAGGGGAATCAACAAAAAAAAAAAAAAGGTAAGGCATAAAACCAAAAAGAGAGAGAGAGAGAGACACTCATATGAAAACAGAAAGAAGAAAAAAAAGGAATCAAACATTTATGATTCTTCTAGCTAGCGGAAACTTTGGCATATTTATGGGTTTTTTTTTTTGTTGTTGTTGGTTTTGGTTATTTTTGGATGCTAATAACTTTTTTTTTTTTTTTTTTTATGTTTATGCAACTTTGCTACATACCCAAGGATGGTTGCTTGTAACCATTGTTATGTATGGTCTGGGATTTATCGGTTTTTATCGGTTTTGCTTGCTATTACCCTCTTCACCCTTTAACTTATTACTTTTGTTCCTTTTCAAAATCTCGTTTATTGATGTATGAGGGAAAGCTTACTTCCGAGAAAAGTCGTAAATCTCATTTTTTTCCTCTGCAAACTCAATGTTATGACAGAAAGCAAATATTGGTAAAGGCCCATCGGTAAAGCGAAGCAGTACCCTTTAATTAGTCTTATATCCCTAAAAGTGTTGTAAAAAGAAACAAAAAGGTACTAACAAAATCATGTACCAAACGGCGTCGTTTTGTCGTTTGGTTGTATTGCTTCGACGCGAATGTGAACAAACAGTCAAACACGTGTGCGTCACGCTCAGCTGAGGTTGTACTGTTGTGTAGGTATTGTCATTGTTTGAATGGGACTATTAAACAATTTAGCAAATTGTTCGGCGAGTCGCTATATCGTCAATGTCATCTAAAATCGATTATTGCAGCGAATTAAGTTTTACGACTAGAAATCTACTATCTTTGGTGACAAATGAAAATTGACTTTACTTCCCCCTCACTCAGTCACTCTCTCGACTTAGCTGAAGCCTAAGATGATCCAGTTATCATTCAAAGCCATATAGGTTCTACTTAATTTAGTCATAACTATCTGTAACTAAACAAACACTCACATATATCAAAATATTCTATATGCTCACCTAAATATGGAAAATAAACTGAAACAGCCCAAGAATGGGTTCAGTGTTCACAATCTTTATGAACCAAAAATCTGAATTGTTATTTTATTAAAGAAAGACTCAAAAAGACAGTAAACCCTAATTCACAAAACTCACCAAATATATAGAAAGTTGTCCAATTCTTGTTACCATTTGGAGATGTCAAAGTACACAATCCCACCATCTCTCCACTATCCAACGGACATTAGCACTCTTTTGGCTATTTCAACTCCAAGTTTTTGCTCATTTATTTTATTCTTAATTTTATTAGTAAATTATTACGACTGCTTTGTGTCCGTACGGTCTATAGACAACCTATAGACAGATGACTATTGCACGGACCATTGGAACTATAGAATCCAACGGTCATAAACTCGGCCATTCATATTGTTCGTTGGATTTTAATTTAAATTTAAACGAAATTTTTGAATAAATACTTAAAAGTATATCGTCAAAATCAAAACACTTGCCTTGAATGATTTTGAGTCTATCAATCCTATTTTTGCAAACGAGTTTATTTATGATCTGAAAATACATATGGTTTATTTTTAATTTGTTAACCAAAGAATAATGATTTTTATCGGTCAAAAGATACATCTCTTTTTATTTTAGTTGCATGTAGCCCATATTAGAAAGAACAAACAAAAAATACTACAGTCCATATATTAAATACTGGTATTTTTTTTTCGTCAAGAATAATGAAAATTCTGAAAAATTCAAAGTCTTCAAACCGTTGGACGAACTTACACTTACTATTTTGGCAACTGGCAATCAAAATTTCCGTTTATATGCATTGTTTTAAAGTAAACCAAAGAGGATATAATAAAAAGACAGGGGAAAAGATTTGATGGAGTTTGGGACAGAGCAATATAGTGCTGACACCTGTCCAATCCCTACGAGACATGACATGTCACACTCTCTCTCTATCATACAACTCACAAGTTCTGCATAGCTTGTGAATTGTAATACTATGGACATTTGGTTTCACTCGTTGCCTACTACGTAGTACCCCTACTTTATTTTTCAAAATATTATCTAATATATAGGGCTTAAATATAGATTACTTTGAACTTTAAAATGTGTCGGCTCAAATCCGGATAAAATTGAGAAAAACAATAGAAAGCCAATATTGAATTTGTTGGCAAAAATAAATCTTGAATTTGTTGACGCTAATGAGATTGTTGACAAGCTGAGGATAGATAACATTTACGGTTTAACTTATGTTAGAAAACAGATGCGTCTTAAACAAAGAAAATAAAAGGGAGAAGAAAAAAGAGAGTGAATCATAATTTTGAGAAAAAAACAATGAACTCCCAAAGCCTTAATTAATACTATTATGCTTTGAATAACATTTCTCTTTTTTTCTTCCCTCTCACTCTTAATGCACTGCTGCAGTATCGAACCCATCACGCATTAACATTCCTGTAAGAAAATTACAAAATTTCGGTCAATGCAAGGGTTGGGAAAAGAAAAAGAATAATGACGGTCAATGCATACAAACCAAAAGTTAATCAAATGTTAAACAATTAGTTAAAATTTTGTACGATATTAAAATAATTTTGATTATTAATTCTTTCAAAAGTTTTTAGGCTAGAAGAGCACACGCACATGCAACATAGCAAATTTATTGTGGCACGGAGAAATGCAGCATAACACCAAAGTAGGACTTTTTTTATTTGTATATATGTCTGCACTACAAGCGATATTATTATTAGCATGTGTAGAAACTTCGTTCTCAAAGTAACCTCTGCTGTAAAAATAAATAATGGTAGAACCTTGTTTTTATTCATAATCTTAATCATTAGATTTATGAAGGTTCGAGATTAAACAAAATAGACTGTGAAAGGTTCTCAGTTTCGACCACATGCATATGGACAAATATGAGTATTTAAGGAGGTTGCGTTTTATTTGAGTTGATTCTTCAATAAACAGCTACTAAATGTATTATTTGCATGTTCAAAGATGGGACGTTTCCTTCAGAGCTATTTTTTTCTTATTGATTTAAATTTTTATACGCATGAAAAAAATATCATATATATGTACGGAAATGAATAGTTAATCTTTGTTGATAGAATTAGAATCTCAAGAGATGAAGAAAAGAACTCAAGAAAAATGTCATATATTTTATTATAATATCAACTTGCAGTAAAGAAAAGAAAATGAAAAGCGTGACTAGATATGCACTTGGAGACTGAACATATATTCGAATATCTCTGGAGGTACTCAGATCATGTAACATTATATCTTTTTATTGATTATTACATTGGGGTTCAGATTTATGGATATGGATCATCTTCTATTTATCTAATAGGCTTATTAACTATTTAATTTTTTTTTCTCTAGATATTGGTATATACAAGTATAATATACCTAGCAAACAACATATTTTTATTGGTTTTAAACTACACATTTTTCATCAAAATTTAAATAAAATGCTACGTCTGAAACAACAACTACTAATTTTTGTTAATATCCTATTCAATTGATAATTGCGATAGCACTTTATATAGTTTCAAATATTTGGATGAATAAAACAAAACTACATCAAGCAAGGATAAAACAACCGATTTATCAGAGAATAGAAAGACTATGTTCGCATATGGTTCCGTATGTAAGCTTTATTAGTATGCAAACGATTAGGAAAAATAATAAAGGAAAAGAGTTATTTAAACTTAAGTAATGGGAAAAATAGTCCACACTTGATAGTTGAAAGTGATACAAAAGGATGTGTGATCTTATAAAAAGTGAGATTAAACCAAAGTTTAATTATTTGCTTGCCTTTTGTCATGCATCTCTCCCCCACCCACTCTTTACATTTAAGGATCATGGCAATAGTTCACTAAACTTCAATTTTATCTTAATAAAACTTTGAAATTGAAGACATCAAAACTTTAATTACATAGTTACGGATTTTTTCTTCTTCATTTAATGTTTTTTTTTTTTTTTTTGGAATAGTTTCAATCTCTGTGTCTTCTTTCCTCTGGACCCCAACCATCATTCCAGAAATGACCGGCGAAAGTCAAGAAGCTCTCTGAGCTCTCTACTCACTACTTTCTCTCTCTCTCTCTCCTCTCTGCTCTGCTTCTCTCTCTACTTTCTCTCTCTCTCTCTCTCTCTCTGCGTGTAGGATACAAGATAATTGACACCAAAGACCTAAAGCTGTGTGTTTTGGTTCTCTTTTCCAATGTTGTCATCAGCAAAGCATCAGAGAAACCATAGAGTCTCTGCTCCAAACAAGAACAAGACTCTCAACAAAGTTTCTTCCATTTCATCCTCAACACCATCATCATCATCATCATCATCTTCATCCTCATCCTCATCATCTCCTCTACACTCACAAGACTCTCAATCCCAGAAGAGATCTCTAACCACCATGGAAGAAGTTTGGAAAGACATCAACCTTGCTTCCAACCACCACCTTAACCGCCACAGCCAACATCCACAACACAGCCACGAGCCAAGGTTCAGGAGTCACAACCACCAGAACCAAAACCCTAACTCCATCTTCCAAGATTTTCTCAACAGGCCTTTGAACCAGGAACCGACAATACCCACAAGCCCCACCATGGGTTCCTCAGCTAATGGCGATACCACCACTGTCACTGCGTTCTTCAGCAGCTCTCCTTTGCCACCTCCTGCAACTGTTCTGAGCTTAAATTCCGGCGCTGGCTTTGATTTTCTCGATAACCAAGATCCTCTTGTTACCCCTAACTCCAATCACCTCCCAAACATTTCTTCATTCAACACCCCTTTCGAGTCTCTGGTTACATCCACTTGTTTTGGTAAGAAAAGAGGCCAAGAGTCCAATGAAGGTTCAGGGAATAGAAGACATAAGCGTATGATCAAGAACAGAGAATCCGCGGCTCGTTCCAGAGCTAGGAAACAGGAATGTGCCTTTCCTCTTCTCTCCTAGCCTTATACTCCTCTGAATCAAATGGATGAAAAGAAATGTGGTTTTGGTATCAAATTGCTTTTGATCTGAAAAAAAGTATCTGGGTTTTGATTCTCATTTGCAGGCTTATACAAACGAGTTAGAACTTGAGGTTGCTCACCTGCAGGCAGAAAATGCAAGACTCAGGAGACAACAAGAACAGGTAAACAATAATTCAAATCCTTATACTTAAAAGGAAATAGACAGCCTCTGCATTACTTGCAGTATCTTTGTTTTGCACACTTTTTAGTCCAATGATTTTGAGTGGTATGATTCTGATACTTCAGTTATGTTTGTGTGTGTGCGTGTTTGTGCAGTTAAGAATGGCGGCAGCAAATCAAAAACCCAAAAAGAACACACTTCAACGGTCTTCCACAGCTCCATTTTGAGAAATCTACAAGTCCTTGTTTCTCTTTTGGGGATTGAGAGTCTCTGATGAAGAAGTGAAAAAATGGAAAAGTTTGTACCTTTTTTCTATTAGCTATAAGTATAACTAAGCTAAATTTGTAGAAGTAAGATATTGCAGGGGGGAAAGAAGTTGTAAAAAAAAAAAGAAAAAAAAAAACCCCCGGAAAGAGAAAAGGATCTTTCCATTTCCTAAGGCACAGGAACACCTGTCCTGGGCCTCTCCTCTTGTTCTGTCATTTTCTTATTCAATCCTTTTTTTCACTTGTGTACTAACGTCTGTCTACTTGTGTTCTTGTAGTAATGCTACTTCCTCTTCTAATGCTAGTTAAAAAAAAAAAAAAAAATTATAGGCCAGTTACGTTTTACTGTTTAACCCATTTTGGTTCTCAAAAAGAAGCAACTGTTCAAGTGACCAATAGACAAAACAGTGCTCCACTTAAATGATGACAATACTAAAAAGAAAAGTGATAAGGGGACCTATCACTGAACATTTATGTTTCTCCCTGCCCCCATTATCACAAAAATGTCCATTCCTTTGGCTGGCTACCATATAAGCCAACAACTTGCACTACGAAATTGAAACCTCCAAGCCAATGGGAATTAAGTCAGCCCACTTTTCTTGGTTGGTCAGAGAGAACATGATAGGATTGGTTATGTTCTGGTCACACCCCCCCACGTTTTACTTATTCATTCTACTGCTATACTAGTCATCATCAAAACACCATGTGTTTGTGTGCATTTGGGTTATCAAGAGAATGGTTTTATCCTCTTTTGGTCCATTGTCAATTATCGGGACAGTGATAAGTCAGTTGATGATGTCCAAGTAGATTCTTGTTTATCTACTTTTGGTTGTTGATCTTTTGCTGTGTATTCTTTTAAGCAACCAAAAGCAGATAAGAGTGGACATCAAAGAGCTAATATATAGTAGCATTAAGATAGAGAACATTAGTTACCAAAAGTGAGACTATGACTAGAATCTATCCTCACATTATACACTAAGAGCCCCTCAATTAGGTATCCAATACTTTAAAAATCATGCTTTTAGCTTCATTCCAGTCAATGAGAATCCTTAGACTTCAACAAACTTAAAAAGAAAAGATCGGTACATTCACCTGAAACTACACCTTCATTATCTATCTCTCATTTGCTTACATTCATGTTTCCCATCAAAAAAAAAATCAATCTTTAAAGTGTTACCAGAACTTGGTCACAAGCCTTAAAAAAGTGAAGCAAACTAGTACATAGGACAGAACAAACCATTGATAAGTCGCTGATGGATAAGGTCCAACAAGTTGCAAGCTTCACTCTGGTCATTTTATTTCTTCTGTTGCAAAAGCAAAAAAAATCATTGAGCTTTTGATGCATCACCTTCTTCTCCAAGTATTTTTCCATCCTTTGGAACCAAGCATGGAATCCCATCTTTAATCTGGCGTGTTAAGAGAAGCAAAATCAAGTCTTTACCACACGGAATCGTGAACATCAAGAGAGAGGTAAAAAGAACAAAGACAGAATAATGATTAACAAGCAAAACCCAAGTCTTGAACACTGAATCGTGATCATGAAGTGAAAACGTAAAAAGAATATATGATTAAGAAGAGAGAGCGGCCGACCAATCACTTTAGCATATGATTATTCTGTCAGTGAATCCCAAATCTACATCAAGAATATATCCCTTTCTAATTTTATTTAGTATGAGGCAAATGAAAAATAGGAAAGAATCGAGCTCCCAGTCTCCGATTAGACAATTCTTCAGGGATCAAAGTTCGGATCAGAACATGTTCATTCAGCACGAGATATGATTCTGAAAGCATATATGATAGTGGTTTTGGAACAATAATTTCCCAGCTTGGTGAGCTAATAAGAGCCATACATCTAACTTTCATGGAGCTCAGCACAACACAAGCATCTTAGCAATAATTAACTCATCTGAATCGAATAATCGAAACGCTTTGGACTTTGGATTGACATTGAGTTCTGAAAAAAAAAAAAAAAAAAAATTGGATAGAAGCTTACAGGAAAAGAGACACCGATTGCATCGCTGACCAGTGATTTCGTCTTCTCGCAAAACCTTTCAAACACACAATTCGTCAAATTGCTTAAACAATTTCTTCATAAACTTGGGAACCGCATCGAATCAAAAAATACGAACTAAAGGAGAGAAATCGAACCTCAAAGGTTGCTTGGAGAGAGGACACACCAGAATCTCGGATAGGGTATTGTCGATTACATTTACGGCGTCTTTTAGCAGCACTCTGCTAAATCTCACCATATTTGAGCTGTGATCTTTAGCTCTCTCCGGCAGAACCGACCGGCGTTTCGAATAGAACGATGGTTTTGAAAACGAGCCAATGGGGAGTATTTGCCCCTGACCGGACTCAAACGCAAAACGCCGTTTTGATAGGACTTCCCCTATAAATTTGAAAGTTTCCAACTATGCCCCTAAATTCTTTTGTTTTGTGTATTAGTCCTTCAATAGTTATTGTTTACAATTATGAGAGAAAGTATTCGATATTAGATATAATAAGGCTCTATTTCTGAGAGTTTTCGAAATATACTCACACCTTTTATATTGTTCGGATTCATCCGACAATGTTCATAATTTGGTGACCTAGCTTTAAAACGTTCTAATCGGTGTCTAAACAGTTAAATGGACAGTATTAAAATTGAATTAACTAATCATTTGTTATATTCTACTTCAACATGTTTTTTATCTATATTAAAAATTAATAAATTTGTTTCATCATTACCACACATAAAAGTAAATTGCTTTCCCCCCCCACACAAATTGTACTATTATTACATTTAGGGTAAAATACTAAAAAGCGTTGAAGAGATAAAGCCTATATTTCCAAACCAAAGGATGATGAATAATACTGAATAGTAGATCCAATTTTCGTTGAAAAACAGTTAACATACGTTACATAAATGGTAGGCATGTGCATTATTTTGGAAGCATCTCTAAAAACGGACCCGACCAGTTTTGTCCAATTGGGTGCTTGCGAATCATAAGTCATATCAATTTTCACGATGTTTTAGGCTTTTAGCTATGGTGATAACTCAAATGTATTATCCTCGTCTTCAAATAATTTTCTTCGTTGCTATCCATAGTTTATGATCTACAAGCAAATTGAATATGTGACATGTTCCTCAATTTATAAAATTTACTATTTTCACACAAACATTAAAGTTTTGTGCAATTGAGACGACCCGTAAAGTCACAATACCCCCTATCATATGATAAAAGTAAAAAGAAGAGAATTAGTTAGTCTATAGTAGTCTATGATACACAACACAAATTACTGGAATTTCAATGAAAATCCAAGACTAATTTACATGCAACAACGATTCAAAACAAAAGACAGTAAGTAGTACGAAGAAGAATCTCGAGTCATATTCAGAGAGACAACATAAAGTTCGTTTTGTTCACCTTTTGTATAATTGAATATGGATTCAATACTCCATGAACTGCGAGGAAGGCGGGCTTATTTTTGTCTTCTCCGTACCTGCGAGGATATCAAGAGATGTTTTGTGTTAGTGCCTCAAGTTTAACACCAATTTTTTTTTAACATGTATGTATATAATCTATATACCATAAGCCCCACGAATCTCAACTTCTCGCAGTTCTTGGACAAGGGCACAGCAACAACACATCAAATGAGAAAGAAAATCGTCAATGAACCCTCCCTGCAATATCACAAAACAGTAAGCATTTATAAACATTTTCACACAATCACAAAACAAGAAAATCGTCAATGAACCCTCCCTGCGAATTCACAAAACATTAAGGATGTTGAAGAGATTGTACCTTGATGTCAAGTGTTTTCCGGAGCTTCCTCCTTACGCAACAAGTGTAGCAGCAACACGAAAGTATCAACGAATATGCCATCAGCTCATTGCATGCTTCAGCGGAAGCTGGGAGAGCGAAAACAAAAACAGTCGACTTATTATTAGTTTTCACATGTACTAACCAACAAATTGAAACATAATAAAGTTGACTGTAGTCAACAAACTGAAACATACAGATGTGCCTGTTAGTTGCTGCAGTGGCAATCTTTGCCAAAGTACCACATGGGAAAAAGAATGTCTTGAAGCCTGCGGTTTCATCATTGAATCATTCAAAACTTTACAAATAACAAGAAAGTACGGAGAAAACAATGTGGAGGAGACTTACAAAGAGAAGGTTCCGAGCAACAAGCCAGTAAGTCGGTATGCCATTCTTCATGGTGCTCTGGTGCTCTTCGTGAAACCATATCATGCGCCGATGTAACAGAAGAAGTGGATCTGCATGGAACAATTATAGAAACATTGTACCAAATCTTAGCTTTCAAACATGAAAACAGACCTGATAAGCATTACAGTCACAGCAAAGAATTGGAGATTAAACTTCCTTAACCTCAATATAATATTTCTTCCGACATTACACACAAGTTGCAAGCACATGAAGTTTGGATCTTTTAAGCGGAACAAGTTGGAGATTCTAACCTTGAAGCTGCACGACTAGTGCTTTTCTTCGGGAAATCCTCGTCATACGTATACTCTGTCTTATTGCTTGAGCTACGCTCAGTTTTTTTGGAAGCTTTCTTCGTCAGCTCCTTCTCAGAGTCGTCAACAGCAGCAGCGGTTTGCGTAACGCCAATTAAACGCTGAATGACTTCACACTGAGCCACGTCGTAGTGCTCCTGCGAGCGCTGAAGTTCGAGCTGCAGTTTCTCGTTTTCGGTTTTGAGAGCATCACAGAAACGCAAGTTAGGGTACGAGCAAGAGAGAGTCTTCTTCAGCACCGATGCTGCTTCTCTGGTGGATTCTTGTTTCATGATAACATCTTGCACATGCCTGTCCTCTTCATCCAGAGTGTACTCGAACTGATCACGGTCAATATACTCTAACCTCTCCTGTATAATTTCAAACACACATAAACGTCAAAAAAAAAACCATCTTCCCATCAGCAAGAACATGATCTTTAGATGGGGAATGCAGATAACTCACCCTCACTCGAGCGTTATCAACCAAAGTGATGAGCGGTATGATCTTGAGGAAACGATCAATCTCATCCTGAGCTTTCCTGAACTGGTAAACAATGTTCCATCCCATAGCCAGCAGGTAGAGATAGCTCCGGTCACGGCAACTGTTGACCAGAATGTAAGACCTCCTCAAGGCATCCTCGAGCCCTTCGAGAGGCTCTCGAGTCTCCGGGTACTTCTTCATCTCGGAGATCTTCAGCTGTTCCAGCAGATTCCCGATGAGTTTGAGGTGTTGAGCGAATTGGCGACAGTTCTTCTTGTGCATCCAAGCAGTGTTCGCAGCTTTGACTATAAGCCCTATCAGCTTGACGGCATCAAGCCCAGTGAGCTGAGCCACCGATGCAATCTCCCCGAGACCATCCCATGAATGAGACATTTTCTTCCGCTCTCTTCAAAGCGATCAACCGCGAGAGAAAGTTCCTGGTGGTACCGATTCATCCTTATCAAAACTCTTAGCAAATTTTAAGATCCAAATGAGATTGTTGGGAATTTTACCTTCACTGAGCTAAAATTTCTGGAAATTACTGGAATCGGAGGATTGGATCCGAGTTCTCCGACGCCGGCATTGCTGACTGAGATCGAGTATGAGCCAGATTCCGACGCCAAATCAGATGTTACCACACACAGGGATTCGGATATTCAGAGGACTGATCAGATGAGAAATCGCATCATGAGGGAGTGAAGCAGGACTTGACTAAAGAGGGAGCAGCTTCTTCGACTGCGACAACAAAAGCAACAAAAGAACGATTAAAGAAAAGTCCATAAGATATACCAATCAAAGAGATTCTCCAGCTCCTTTGGCTTTTCTACGTCAAAGATCTTCAACGCCAAAAAGAAAATAAAAGGAAAAAAAAATCCCTAAAGACGGTTTCTCTTTGAACACTTCAAGCTGACGAAAGCGAAAGCTAAAAATCTAATAAAGACCAGAAAGGAAAAGAAGGGGGCAAAAGAGGGAAAACCAATGAACTGTATAAACTCCGACGAGTGACCAATTCGCCGGCGACCAAACTCCTCCACCGAGAGTCCAGTCAAATGGAAAATTTACAGAAAAATATAGTGTAATAGTATTAAATGTAAGAGAGAGGAAACAATATTGGAATGCTCACTTAATGCATTGAAGAAGGCAACAGATATACTTTTCCTCTTCCCGACTTTCTATTAAGAAAAAATAGAAAAAGGAAAAATGTTAGAATATTGATTGAAGAAGAGGAAGAAGAACATTTAAAAATTACAGAGATTTCCGGAGAAAATGCAAACCACAAGGAGATTTGGTCGTTCTTCGAATTAGAGCAGAGAGAAGATTCTCTGCGTCTCAAGAGAGGCAGAGATGAGTCATATGGAGAAGACGGTTTGTTTTTGTCGATTTATGTATTCCTCATTACTCATTAGCTTTCCTTCCCCACAACTTCATTTGCCACTCGTCGGAGCTCAAGAGAACCCATCCTGCTTTTGCTTGCTTTTTACCCGTAGACCTCCTCAACTCTCTTTATTTACCAATATGCCCCCAGTGACTTTTTTTTTTTTTTTTTTACAAGTTTCTAAATCCTACTAGCTAATGTGTTTTGTTACACACTTACGCTAAAGCTAATGAGAAGTTAAGAAAGAAGAGACCATAGATAAACGAATTAAGTAAATTATACATCATAGTATCTCGAAATTTGAGATTTACTATGTAAAACACCGTTGAAATATTACTTTTCCGGTTAAATCTTATTGTGCTAGAGAGAGTCCAATTTGACTTACTTCGAGAGATGTATGACTTTGTTGTCTTTTTTTGTTGTCGGCATAAAATATAACCTCGTTTGAAAGGAATAATGTTAGTTCACTTCATCCTAACATGATAAACGTTACTTTTTTTCTTTCAAGTAGAAAATGTTTACGAACAATTCCAATGACGAAAATCTAAAATTGATATGTTTTTTTTTATATATCCTTGTGATTTGAATCCTAACCACTAAGAAGTTGAAACTCTTGATATGGAAGACTGGCAGGAGAGGAAATTAGCTAACTTAGCTTGATAGATCGTGTAATTCTAAATCAGATTAAAAAATGTGTATCAACATTACGGTAAACGAACATCTGGATTTTAGTTTTTGTTTTGTTCTATAATGATAATAGTGTGTTTATTAGATATATAATAGGGTGACCATTTACTTGTGAGTTGTGATTTATCGTGTTACTATAAGAAATATTATGAAGACTTTTACAAGGAGGAAATATAGCATCTGTTTAAAACAATTAGCTAGTGATCAAAGTGAGACATGATCGCTTGAACTTGATTTGTCTTTGAATTACAGAAACTGTAGTAATGATGGTGGTTAAGAAAGAAAGTTAAGAAGGGTAGTTCGTCCATCACAAATTCACCTTTACTCCTTTTTCGGTTGAAAATGATTTGTTCTTTAAATTGCAGTTAATTTCCCTCCGTATTGAACTATTGATCTTGCTGCACGTGGATTACCATGATTGTTTCTAGACAGCTGGCGAAACGGACGGTAAACTAATATTGGATATATCTTCTAAGTTTATAAGAAAAAAGTATAAAATTCTTTCTAAGATTTATTGAGACAGGAACAAAAAAAGAAGAAGAATGATATTTATCTTTCAAATGCAAAACTACAAAAGCCCGAAAATATATATTGTTGACACAGACAAAAATGTTTTTTGTTTCGTTTTTGAACTCTAACAGAAAATAATTTTTATAAAAACTCAAATCTGACTTATAATAGAATTAGGGTTTGAGGATTTTAAAGAAATCTTTTATTAAAAGAAGTCGGAGCTTGGTTGAATACAATGGTGTTTTAAGTCGTCGGAAGAAGAACGCCGATCTAAAACTGTTTAAGGAAGTAAATTGAAAACTATAATAGTCTGATCGCTAAGTTTTGCTCTAGGTCGATTGATTATTTTTGGATTGATTGAGAAGTCGAGGACTTCCTATATTTATAGCCGATTAGGTCGGTTTTCAACCTGTTCAGAATAGGAAACTTTTGTCGGTAAGGAATTTCCTTTTTTGCCGGATCGCTTGATAAATGGAAGCTTTCTTTTTATATTACCGACCTGGAACTTGTTAGATAGACCGACTAGAATTCATATCGGACTTGTTAGAGACGGTACGAATCTCATCTCTAACAATTTTGGAATGTAGAAAACCAAACTAGTAATATCATTCTACGTTCATCAATATAAATAAGTGATCAGCTTATAGTGAATCTAAACATTTTGATTTATGATTATCCGTTTTTTGGTCAACATAATCACATTTTTTTGTTTAACAGTTTTTTTGTTACACAGTTTTACGACATTGTTGCAAACCAAAACAGAAAGTGAATATAGAAAGTGAAATAGTGGAGCAAACCTAAGCTATGGATTTATGAATTTCATGCTCTGACTTGTTCTCAACATGATTAGCTGATCATCTGGTTAATATACACTATTTATTTATAAATGATTTTGTCTGTATGAATATAATGTAACAAAAAAGTATATAAATTGTAACCTATATAACTACTAGATATTATATTAGAAATATTTTGGCACGTATACAATATGCATGTGTGGAAAGGGTGGACATTGGTGGTGGTGGTGGTCCTGGTGGACTGTGACTGCTACGCCCTCTGCCTTTTTAAGAGTGCCTATATACCATGCGTTTACTCTATACCTAAAATAATCATAAATGTAACCATTTTTTCTTCCAGACGTATGTTACTGATTTTAGCATTCAAATAGCATTCAACCAATTAGCATTAGTATGTCATAATTGTAAAAGTAAGAAAGAAAATGTAATAAAGATGGAGAGGAACTGTTGTTTTAGTTGTTTGGTGGATTGTCTCCATGTGATTTAGTTGGGAATAATCGTGCATCTTACTTTATATTAAAACAAACATCTCGAAATGTCCTTATCTGTAACAATAAATGGGACAGCTAAATTTTCCATAAACATCATAAAAATATTACTACTGCTTAAACAAAAGTATTTATACAGTACTTTAACTAATTTTTTGGGGTTATATAGTGTAAACGATCATCGAATGTCTAACCCCTTTGTCGGCGTCGAATTCATATAAAAATGATATAACGAAGAATAGTACCTCTCAAAATCTTCATTCCTTCTGACCAAATAAATCAAAATTATTAAACTATAAGCATCGAAGCACTTTATAGCACGGAATTAAGGTTCCACTATAGAGGAGATTTTTGTAATATACAAATTTTCTTTATCGATGATTTGCCAAAACAGCTCTTTTTGTTGTTGTTGTCGACTTCCATTACAAATTTTCGCAATACTTTTGTTAGTAAGATGAAATCTGTGAAAATATGAAACGGGCTAATCTAGCCTGATCTTAGTCTAGTGAGATGTGATGTAGTACACAAATTGCAAATTTTAAACCTATAACTAATCCGTTTAATTTACAAAGTAGATGGATAGATCAATCCTCATATTATATAGATTTTGTTAAAGCTAACTAGTTACTCATAAAAGAAATATATACACATATACCCAAATAAAAATATATTTAAATTATTGTTTATCATAAAACATGCATATACACACTTCAATCTTATGTTGACAAAAAACACATAAATCTTACAAGCGATATAAATACACACACGTATACATATACTCATGTGCTTATCAACCAACCCCCTAATATAGTATTAAGAGCCCGTGAACCAAAAGTTTGTGACTTACGAATAATCATACGAACAAGGATAGCCCGTGAATTTTTCAATCTATTTCAATATTTATAATTGTATATATAAGTATTTTCATACTAACAGCTAATGAGTTCTATTTATATAATTTATTTTCGTTATGCATGCCTTTGATTTGTTACAAAATTAAACTTGTTCAATCATTTCTTCACCAAACAAATGGGCCACAAATGGCTGAACAAATCGAAGTAAGGCCATTATATTTTATAAAATCAGTTGTTGGCCCAAATTGAAATGGACTTTTTTCTAGAAAACTAGAAAAAGAAACCAGACCAAAATACCCCGCACGTGAAATAAACAACGAGAAAGGAAAATTAAAATCAACACGAGAAGATAAAGGAAATTCAGATAAACTTTTTCCAAATTTTGAATTTATTTAATCAGTTACGTTGGTACAAGGGATTAAAAAATCGAAGAAGAAAAACTCACAAGAGGAGCCACCCTCGTAATTAATAAGGCGTGATAGAGGTTTAATGTTGTCCTTTCATAACATTGAATTTAATCATGCTAATTACCCCATAAGTGGGACCATAGTCAAGCTCATATATTAAAGTTCTTAATCACCCTTCATCCCACACGCATTAACACCAGAAGGATAGGGCAAATACGTCCTTGCAGTAAATGATTAAAGAGTGGAGTAAAAAAAAGAAAAGTCGTACTAATACAATTTTTGGAAAGAAGAAAAAAGCGGACCGCACAATCTTCGCCGTTAACTTTGGCAGGGCAGCTAGTGGATTGGTGAAATCGGGTCCCACGTCTCCGATAATTTAGGGTTAGCCACTAGTAACGTACCACGTATACAGATTACTTTGGTAATTGTAGTGCTCAGAAATTGTTTTGGCGGGCGTAATTAAAATATTCAAAATCAGAGCCAAAATTAAAACAAAAACCCTAGCGCCTCTCTCTCTCTCTCTCTCCCACACTCTCAAATCGATTCCCTCGCTATCGCCATTTCTCCCTCCATTTTCGCTCTGGATTTTGAGCTTCCTCTCTCCACCTCCCGAATCGAGAGATTCTTTAATCTAAAGCTGAACCTTTCTCGATCTGAACGTTTTCCGAAGCAGAAGGTCTCTGTTAATCTATGGTAATTCCTTTTCCGTGCTTTTTCCTTTTCGATTTCTAGGGTTTCAACTCGCTCGATTTGCTCGGCATCCTCCTTCTTCTTTGATTTGATTTTTGTTTTCAAGTGCAATTCGTCGATTGATTGGCTGATATTTAATTTTTCAGTTTCGTCATCGATAGTTCGTCTGTTAATCTCTCGAGAGAGCAATATCTGGAGAATATCGAAGAGAAATCATTTTTCCGATGTCTAATTGATCTAAAACTCGATTGTTTCAGGTTTGAATTGATGATTTCCGTTGCTTTCTCTCGTCCTATAGACCTAATCTATAGTAGCTGTCACTGCTCAAGAGAGAGCAATATCTGCTAAAACAATCGGGAGAATCAATAAGGCCAACGCCGCATATGGGGAAGGTGTCACCTAAGGACTCGGATTCGAAAATCTCAGCGAGGAAGAAGAAGTTGAAAAGTTCAAGCAACAAATATTTAAAGCCAGGGGCTCTGGTTCAGCTATGTTACACCAAAGCGTCGGCTGCTGCTAAGTCATGCAACGATTTGGGGAAGAAACGAGTACCTGTGTTTGATACTAGGCATGCAAGGAACAATAGAACTGCTGTGGAACCTGTCGCTTCTCCCAAAAGCCCTCTGATGTTGTCGCCGGTCAACGTTGTTAAGCGGAGCAATCTGGTGAGGCCGATGAAGTTCGATGATCTGCAGGTGGAGAGTAAGGCTTGTAAGATGTTATCCCCGATGGGTATTGTTATGCAAAACACGTTGTTGAAGACACCGAAAACGCCACAAGCTGATCCTTGCAATTCTGAATCTCAATTTGAGTCTCTCCCCATGGATTTACTGGTATTTTTTTCGGTTTTTCCTTCACTCCATATGTGTTCCTCGTGGTAGGTTTTTGCCTTTTGATGCTTATTTTCAGCTTGCTACATCTTTCAGGTTAAAATAGTTTGTCATCTGCACCATGATCAGCTGAAGGCAGTTTTCCATGTTTCTCAAAGAATAAGAAAGGCTGTAAGTGTTTCTGTAAATGTTTAGTTCGCATCCAATAAAAGCTCTATCCTTTTTGCTGTTTTACTTGTTGGGCATTAAACTGTTTTGAGTTTTCTTTTGCAACAGACCTTGATTGCAAGGCAATATCATTTCAATTATACAACACCGGACCGCTCAAGGCAGGAAATGTTGAGTGTCATGACCCCAATGCCAATAAATCGTTGGCCATTTCTTAGGTACATACATGTTTTGCTTTAGTTTTTACCGCTTTGGAAAAGAGCATCAAACAACTTGTTTGCCTCTTAACAGAAAAAACTGTATTTGTTCTGATAAACAGCAAAGGAGATGGAAACCCAACAATGGTGTCAAGCCCACATACCCCAAAAGCACCAAGACATGCTCCTCGGCCACCTTTTCGAACCAAACTCACAGAGATGAAGCAAATCACTGCTGTTCTTTTCCAAGACCAGACGACATTCCCTTCAAGATGCATCGTTCCTTCTGTTCTCCAAAGGCCGACTTTGTTCAAACCATTGGCTCCCAAGCACCCTCGAGTGCTCTTCTATGAGGATGAATTATGTCAAGCTGTTGCTCAAAACAACCTTCGCTGATTACACTTGCTGCGGTCAGACGCTTCGTTTCGCTTTTCCCTCTCTGTTCATATTACCTGTGTCTTCATCGCCTTGATCATTGTTCGTGATCATCTTTGTCCTCATCATCATCATCATCAACTGTTAGATTATATAGTAAAGAGCATGCAAGTTTTGTAGCAGTGCTAGTTCAGGGTTCTAGGTTTACATGACATCTCGTAGTATCATTTTAAGGTTTCTAAGGTTTAGTCATCTGAGGTTGTCATAATAAGTGTTTTTGATTTGGTCGATTGAGTCTTGTGTATATTTTCTGCATCTATATGGATCAGTGGTTTTTTTTCCCCTTCCATTTATTGCTTTTGCTTTCTTTTTTCTTATATTGGTTCTTAAATTTTCCGTGAATGGAACTGTACCAAAATTGATGACGGTATCCTCGTGTTCATGTAAAGTATACGATTTAACGACACCAGAAACTGAATTAGGTTCGTTTCTAATTTGGTTTAGTGTTCTTAAGCCATTCGTTTCGTAAACTATTGAACCAAAAAGCGGATTCTGTACCCTAACATAAACCTGTTTTAGCTATTCTATAATATCTCAGTAGAGGAAACGTTTGTAAGAACTTCATAATTAACAAAATTATTTTTTTTCAGACAGAAAGAAAAACAGAATTATTAAATTTATTTTGAAAGCCTTCTGATATATTTGGGCTTAGTTATGGGCCTCAGACTCCTTTTGTCAACCAGCCGTCACTAAAGAGTATATATAAGGAGAAGAAAAGTCTATTAATCACAGGACGCCGTTAACTTAATTATCTTTGTTCCCAAACAGGGCTTTTGTCCCGTGTAGGGCCAAACTTTTTTTTTGGCTATAAATATACCTATAATGTGTTAAAAGCCAACACTTTTTTTCATCGGAGAGCTTCCAAGGGATTGTGAGATCTCGCGGCACCTTCGTTCCTCTCCGCTCAACTAATACCTCCGATCCATGGCTGATCTACTGTAACTTCTTAAATTTGATTTTGGCGCGTTACTAGAAGCCCTAATATCCTACTTTAAACCCACTCGAGGTCCCTCTTGATCGATCTAGGGTTTCGCTGGTGTTCGCGAGATCTGAAATTTCTTCTCTGTCCCGTTTTTGGTTCCGAGCCATCTTCGTATCCAATAGTTTGAGCTTGGATTTGTCCCTAATCGTAAGATGTCTCGGTGTTTTCCGTTCCCGCCTCCTGGCTATATACTTAACGGAATCCGCGATGAGGCTCTGATCGAATCGATCAAGGTTTGTTTGAGCATTTAATCACGTGGTTGGTTTCCGGTTTTGGTTTTTGGGGGTTCACGGGATTTCGAATGCTCAGCTTCCTTGTTTTGGTTCTCGAACCTGATTTCCAGCTCTCTGTTACCAGTGTTCTAGGGTTTGTGGGATAAAATTTCTCGGCATATGAAAGATTTGGGAGATTAAGAGTTTGGTACTTGTATTGAAAATGAGGATACAAATTGTACTGAAGTGCACCATTATAAAATCGAAGCTTGAATACGATTCAATGTCCCAATATTAACCTGTTCGTTAAAGATGATAATATCAATCAGAGTTCGTAAATTTGAGTCCATCGAGTGAATGTGTAGAAATCATGTAGTGGTGTAAGGGTTCGTAAATTTGAGTGCATGTTTCTGAAATTCATTGAATTCGTGAGGTTCTGCGAACTAATCGTTGTCCCAATTCCTCTTGTTAATCCAGGGGGCAGAGGAGAAAGCTAAGAAAGAACAAAGGAGAAAGGAGAGAAAAAGAGATAAAAAGGAAAAAAAGGAGAAGAAGGATAAAAAAGAGAAGAAGGATAAGAAGAGGAAGGAGAGGGAAGGAGGGGATGGTGAGAGCGAAAAGCGCAGTCATAAGAGACGGCATAAAGAAGAAGTTGCCAAAGATGGTCAGAGTCAGAAAGTGGATGTCTTTCGCAAACTTAAAGAAAGCGAAATTGACTGTCTGGAGAAGAGCAGCCTTACCGTAGAACGTGAGCTGTTTCAGTCGACGTCTCAGAACTCTTGTGATAGCACTCTTAACAGCAATGAGCTACCACCGAAGCAGCAGAAGGAGAACGAGAAGAAGCAGCCTCTCGATGGTAGACATAACACTGACTCGGGTGAGTTTGTTTGTGTTTCTTCCTTCCTCCCCGGGGAGGATCTTGTTTCTATTTACCTTTTCAGGACATTGATGACATTATTTCTTCAAATTGTTGATATGAATTTGAAGAAAGCATCATTCGGATCCGATTGCCTATCCGAAGGCAGAAAGATCCTGAGGTGACGACTATGATGATCAACAAGGATCAACAGAAACCGTCTACTTCCCGGGAAATAAAGTTAGATACCTCTCAGACTGCTACTAGAGAGCAGCCGATTAATCATAAGCAACATCCCTGTTCCACTTCTGCACCAGAACATGCGTCAATGCCATATCAAGAGAAAAGAAAAGATCACGTTTCCACAACGAAACTCGGTAAAGAGAAGAAATCTTCGTCCACTAGTCAAGAAACTTTTCAACCTAAAGCCCTATGCAGGGTTTGCCCACCATCCATGGCGGCGCAATTCTTGAATGTAGTCGAGAATTGGGTCCCTAACACGATCGACACAAGAGTAGAGCTCACCAACTCTGAAGATGAAGAATGTTGGTGGTTCACGAAGAAGCCAAGTAGCCAAAAGTTTGGCACAGAAAGATGTAATGAGACCACGCAATTAGTAAGCAGTTCGATGGCGTGGCCGTGTTCTCTCTTCTTACCAGAAGCTGATGTCCACGCCTTGCCTTACACCGTTCCTTTCTGATAACATCAGAAGATTTTAACGAGGAACCTGGTCGAGATATCCATGTAACCGGAGTCTGACCAGACATTTTTTGCTGTAGCCTTTATAGTATAAGAGAACACTGTTTGTTGTTCTTTGCGGTTGCTTATAATAGTAATATCATATATTACGCCTCTAATCTCTATCTTGCTGAAAAAGATGGAAATTTTCATGAGGTGGGATTAAAATTATCATACGTTGAACAAACATTCAGAAAGGAAGAGAGACTAGTATTGCAAATATTAGTTGAATCACAAGTTGAATTAAACCACAATTCGTTTTTTAAGAAACTAAGAGATGGAGAGAGCAATCACAGTGAATTACAGGAAAAAAAAAAAAAACAAAAAAATGAAAGAAGCAAATACTTTCTCAACGACCCCTGTCATCGACATATCAAAGAGCTTGTTGGCCTCCATGAAAGCTATTACAAAATGGAGCATGCCTTTTGTGCTTTGCTCTTCTTTTTCTTCTGCTTTGGAGGTTGAAGGACCACTCTGATCGCTGCGTCGAAGACTCCCTTCACGTTCTGTAGTTATCAACATAGTTTTCATCAAAAAGAAGGAAGCCAACAATCGAAAAATTGACTCATGAAATATGTGTTTCCAGCTTTACCTCTTGTGTTTTTGAACTGCACTCGATGTAAGCAGGCGCTCCAATTAGCTTCTTGAGCTCCTCTCCCTTTAGTGCAGAGCGGGCAAATGATTAACGGTTTCTTTTTGGCAAAACTGAGAAATTTACACCGAGGAAGAAGAAGTATTCCTACCTGAGCAGTGGTAATAGGGACAGCACCAGGATGGTCGATAAAAAACTGTTTGTCATCCCGAAGATCTGACAGAAACCAAGGTTAAATAATCAAAAAGGCAAAAACCACGTATCAAAATGCAGAAACCAAAGATTCAAATGCATTAAACAAGAGGAATCTATAGTCGAACCATATAGGTAACAGTATGGAAAATGATCGTGAGCTATACAACCAAACATTTCATTGAAGATCTTGCATATGCCTTTTCTGGAGCTATTTGACTATAGGATGTTTATAATCATATGACCTCCTCTTGAAATGGACGTCACTAAAAGTTTTAATAGGTCATCAAAAGAAGCTTATAGCATTTGGGTTGCTTATCACACGAAGAAACCTGTTAAAACACTCTAGAAAACTAGCCTTGGTTTCACCAAATGGATCCATCTTGAAAACGTTCAAGCTTGAACCAGAACCAAGAGAATGTGAAGCTACAGTTACTAATGTCATATAGATCAGAGAAGCTTAACAAAGTCGCAAGAAAATGGCTATAAGTGTAATGAAACGCAATGGGAATCAGATATATATATATATATATATATATATATATGTAAATTGCATCAAAGCAAATGCCAGAGTAACTTACCTAGTTTGGTTCCAACAAGGACGATCGGGACACCAGGTGCATAGTGCTTCAACTCTGGAATCCACTGCAAAAGAGAAGATCAAGCATCAAAATTTACAACCCCAGCAAAGAATCTAATGTTCAAAATTAGAAAGGGTCGAACAGGAAGGTGAAGCGCACCTTCTTGGACACATTCTCATAACTAGCCTTACTAATGAGAGAGAAGGCTAGGATGAAAACATCAGCACCTCGATAACTCAAAGGTCTTAGTCTGTTATAGTCCTCCTGCCCTGTTACCAAATATTAAAAAAAAAACATAATTTAGATCCTAATCAGTATAAATCCATAGCTGCAGCTACGAAAATCTCTCCACGAGGATGAGGAGATTCGGTCATTACCTGCAGTATCCCACAATCCTAGGTTCACCGTGCTCCCGTTGACAACCACATTCGCACTAAAGTTATCGAAAACAGTCGGGACATAGTCCTGTTCACATGGGAAATTCACAAGATAAGCCAAGACACAATAGCTCTACAATCCATAATTTCTTTCAACTATCAGACAAAGAAAAAACATAATCAAACAAATCAAAATTCACATGAAAACATATACACACAGAGATGACATTTGACCTGAATCGAAGAAGAAATAGGAGGAAGATTATTATTACCGTGGGGAAGGTGTTGCTGGTGTAAGAAATCAGCAAACATGTTTTACCCACAGCTCCGTCACCAACGGTAACGCACTTTATGAACCTTGAAGCGCTCATTGCCTCCACGATTGCCTACCACAAGCTTCTCTTCTCCACAGTCTTTCCCAGAACGGACCCAAAAGTCGTGATGATGACACAATACAATAAAAAAAAATGGAGAAGGAAAAAGAAAATTTAACAACCTCAGATCTACGCCTGAGGAACCCAGAAAACCCCACAATATGAAGCCTCTCCCTCCGAATCGTCCAGCATTACCATCAATTAACCATCTCCCGCACAAACCAAAACCCTAGAAATGTAAATGTGGAAACCCCTAAGAGGAAATCAGAAAAAAAACGTGAGACGTAAAACAGAGAGAAGATGAATGAATGTTGTTAACAAAAAAAACGTGAGGACGATGAATTGGATCGAGAGAAGTAGAGAGAGAGAGAGACAAGTAGAGGAAAGTGATGGCCGGAAATAATTGCCATTGAAGCGTTCGCTAGTGGAATAATCTCCTCCATCAACCTCCCGATTGTTTTGCTTCCTTTTACTTTTACTTTTCAAATAAAAAAAAATATTTACGTTTTGTTTGTTTTTCTGTTTGGTCAACGGTTACTTTCAAATGTAACAAATTTTAATTTCTTACAATCATAATCATACGTCACAAACATGCAGTGTGACGCTGACATTTAAATGTAATAAACATGAGAAGATTTGAATATATGCGAAGATTAGCAAAAGAGTTGTCCCAAATTTTTACAAAAAAAAGAAAAAGAAGAATACTTTGCTTTCTCCATATGACAAAACATACTTCTCCCATAGACTCTGCTTACACCTTTATATAAGATTGCTCAAATTCTATTCATCCATCAGAGTCATTCTTCAAAAATCCTATTCTCATCGCTCTTGAATTAAACTTCCGCTTGCTCTTTGAAAGTCTTGGCAATGGCAGTGAATGTTGATGCAGAGTACCTGAAAAAGATAGAGAAGACTCGTCGAGACCTTCGAGCTCTTATCTCTTCCAGAAGCTGTGCTCCTATCATGCTCCGTCTTGCGTAAGATCTTCAACCCTCAAGAATCATTTCTCTACTCTTCTTTCTTGTCTTAACGTTTCCAAATGCATATCCTTGGTCCGCGTATATAGATGGCACGACGCGGGAACGTATGATGCCAAGAAGAAAACCGGAGGCCCCAATGGATCTATTAGGTTCAAGGAGGAGCTAAACCGCCCGCACAACAAAGGTTTGGAGAAAGCAGTCGCCTTCTGCGGTGAGTTTACGACATGCCTTTCATCTATTACTATGACTTTTGGTTGCTGTTGTCTGAACTTTGGTTTCTGGTTTCAGAGGAAGTAAAGGCTAAGCATCCGCAAGTCTCTTATGCAGACCTTTACCAGGTTAGCACATTGAATCTCTAAGCCAGTGTTGAACCTATATAAACCTTTCTTCTTCCTTGATGATGACAGATTCTTTCTTTTCACTTTCAGCTCGCTGGAGTTGTTGCAGTAGAGGTTACTGGTGGCCCTGCAATCCAATTTACTCCAGGCCGTAAGGTAATTGCGTTAGAGTCATCATAGTGTAGCTACGTGAGAAGAACATAATCATTGAGGGAAATGATTGCAGGATGCTGGTTCGCCAGACGAAGGAGAACTTCCAGATCCAAATCAAGGTGCCTCACATCTAAGAACTCTCTTCTCTCGTATGGGTTTATCGGATAGAGACATTGTTGCTCTCTCTGGAGGCCACACTTTGGTAACTAACTAACTTTAACTTAAACTCTTGTGAAAAATATCCGCTCGAGACGTTCTTTTTGTTGACACCAACGTCGTGGTGGTTGCTGCTTTTGTATATAGGGACGTGCGCATAAGGAGAGATCAGACTTTGAAGGTCCCTGGACACAAGATCCTCTCAAGTTTGATAACTCATATTTCGTGTAAGCCAACGACAAAATCACACAGAAGTTTAGAAATAGTTCCGAAAACTTACATTGGTTGCTGATTGATTATGTTTCAGAGAGCTTCTAAAAGGGGAGACGCCTGGATTGCTACAGCTGAAAACCGACAAGGCTCTACTTGGTGATTCCAAGTTCCACCCTTATGTTGAGTTGTATGCAAAGGTAGATTTCTGTACAATTATAAGAAATTTTCAAGTTTCAAGGATTCTCTGTGGTTTCATCAAGAATTTAAAGGTGATTACGATGTCGTATGGCAGGACGAGGATGTGTTCTTCAGAGACTACGCAATCTCACACAAGAAACTCTCGGAACTAGGATTCAATCCGCCGAGAAAAATTCCTGCAGCAGTGACGCAGCAGACGCTTGGAATCGCTGTCACTGCAGCTGTTGTGATCTTTACCATATGCTACGAAACAAGCAGAAGAGGCAAGTGAGGGAGATTTCACAGATGTGAAAAGAGTGGAGAGAACAAATGTACTACTGTTAACTGAATGAATGCAATAAAAAAACAAAGATTCATGCGTTGTTACTTTCAAGTTTCATTGCTCCAAGTTTCTGGATGTTATACAGCCTCATAACATTAGTAAGTCACTCCGATAAACAGCATTCTAAAATAGCGGCATGTGAACTCTCACTCACAAACAGTGATTTCTCACCAATTAAAAAAAACAGAGTTTAACTGAGAAACGAACTCCCTGGAGGAGAAGGAAACTTTCTATAGAAAGAACCAAGAGGTACTTAAAAGTTGATTAGGTTGCAATAACCATCCAATTGTTGTTAACTCGTATAACAACCAATATTCTGAGCTTGGGAGTAGTATAGAAAAAACACCATAAGTAGACAATATGTTCAAGAAATGGGAGATATCCACTGTACAAGTAAAACGGAGTATGTCCGAAGAGAGTATACGAAGAGATTGATATTTCCAAGTAGTAGCAAAACATTTATTTCTCAGAGTCACACAATGGGAATAATACAGCATAAGACTATCATGGGATAAATCAAGAGTTAAAAAAATTAGACAAACAGACACTTAGGCTGCTGAGAATTTGAAAAAACTGACATCAAAGTGCCCTGAAACTATCCACTTTATCTAGCCTAGCAGTACCAGAGCTTGATGATTCGCCCACTGGATCAGGAGAAGTTGCTGCTCTTGAAGATTCTCTTCTCTTCAGAGAAGTTGACAATCCCGAGATCTCCTACAGAAGTAGAATCATATAAATACTTTAAAAAAGGTTCGTACTCAAAATCACAAGACGCAAACTAAATGGCTGAAACAATTCAATACCTTCATCAGATGCAACCTCATGTCAGTAGGACGAGTCTGGTTTCCGATGCAGGCCATTGCAAACTTGGAATAACTATACAATACATCAGCAGCGGCTTGCTTCTTCTCATCGACCTATAAGATATTATCGCCTCAACTTTTTCAATAACAGAATTAACCAACAAAAGCCAAGACCTTTGGTCAAGTATCCGAAAAAGAGAACAAAGTAGCGACACAATCTAACAATCATCAAAGCTCGAAAATTTCCCGATTTAATTAAAACCGTATATAGTGGATTTATATAGGGGAAGACGATGAAACCAAAGGTTGAATACTTGAATTCTAATAGCTATGAATCAACATCTTGAATTTCATGGCGCAGATGGAACATGTTGAGTGAAAAATAGGATTTTAAAGTTTTCAACTTTCCAGGAAAAACAAATCCAAAATTAGCTACCTAATAACGAATTCGATCCCTGTATCATCTAAATTTGAAAACCCAGAAGAAAAAAAAGAACAATCTGATCAAACACGAAGAATGAGAAATCAGAAGTCGCACCTCGAAATCCTCTTTCATGGTGGGTTCCTCTGTTTCGCGTTCCTGCTCTCTGGTCTGATGTTGAGGACCCGCGACAACAAGTGACCTATTCAGCTAAGTTGGTCAGAGCTTCTAACTAATAAACTCCAAGCTCGCAGTTTCGAATAGACACAATTCAGATTATTTATTTCTCTCAACTTGTGGGGCTGAAAAAAAAAAAAAGAAACACCATACTGTTTTGCTTACCATAAGACGACGGGTGCATAAAAACGGCAGAGCATGTGATAAAAATACAACACTATTCATTTTTTTTGGGGTCAAAGCAACACATTATTCATTATGAAATGAAAATCACTGGTCATAAAAACGACAGAGCATGCCTTAATCTGTTCCGTTTCACTAACTCAGACAACACATAAAAGAAAGCCATACGAAGAATGAAAGAACCTTATTATAAAATTCTCAACTTATGATTATTTTGCGGTTACCAATCAATAATATACCCAAATATAACCTTAAACCAAAAAAAAAAAAAAACCCAAATATCTATACTTGTATCCATGTTTTGAATAAAAAAATCTCATGATTCTTGAAGAAGCAAAACACTTGCACCAACAACAAAAACCTAATCTTTTTAACTATCGTCTATTCATTATCTTCTGTACCAAGGCAACGAGACTGGTCTATTAGAAACAACACCTCCTTGTCCCCTTCTTTTTTTCTTCAGTTGCGATATAAGCCACTGATGTTGGCTTATATGCACTCTTGGGGTTAAGAGCTTGTTTAATTTTGTAAACTGCCAACGCCGTCCCAAGAGCATGCCCTGCTGCTCCAAGCCCATCGTCTGTCGCTTGTGCTGCCTGTGCTCCATACCTACAAATTCAATCACATCCCAACAATGTATAAGACTGAAACTTAACCACCATTGTTGTTTTGGTAGGAACACATTCGCTATTGTACTTACTTGTGATCGACGATCTCAGTTGTGACCATGGCAGATGTTTTCAGAACGTTTCTTCCAGCTACTTCAAGAGCTTCACAAACCTTGTCTATCGAACAAAAAGTAAAAAGGAAAACAACAAAAATGTTAAGTATCAGGTTAAGCTCCAATAAAAAATAAACAAGAGTATATGAAGATGTAAAAGCAAAAACTTACTGAATCCACCAAGTGTTGCAAGAACCATTTCTCCAGGGAGAAGACCAAAGAGTTTCTGCCCAGCTGTGCTGTTCATCACTGAAGTCGAGAAGAATCCAGAAACTCTAATAACACCAGAGAGCAAAGCATTCGCCACTTGCTCGGTCTTTCTCGTCATCTTCCTCACTCTGTTATGATAAGCCAATCAACAGTGGAAATGTTTCAAACATATTGAGTTGATCATACAGATCTCAAGTTCATTTATATACCTCTTGAGACGTCTCAAAGTTTTAGGGCTAACTTCTCTCTCTTTCTCAGCTTTGGACAGCTTGCTCTTCAAGATATCACCTCCCGACACGAGCTTATCCATGGTGATATCTCCACACCATAAGATCCCTTTGATCAACTGTCCAGAACCAACAGCGATCAGTTTCGCTACGACTCCACCGTAATCCTCAACATCCGGAGCCAGAGTCGTCCAATACGCCGTACATTGCCTCTCCACCAACTTCTGCCTCTTTCCCTTCAGCTTCGCCGGCGACGTCTCCTTCGCCGCCGTCAAATCCAACACGTCATCGACGTCATCATCCATCGGTTTCTCCGCCGTGAAAAGGCTGTAGTCCTCTAAGATCATGTCCAGCGCCTTCAGCAACGGTTCTTGCCCTTTGGAAGCGATTGTTAGCCCGTAGTTCAACATCTCGTCCTTCTCTTCCTCGGCCGGATGATCCGACCCGGATTCTTTCAAGGGTCGGAGCGAGAAGAAGTAATGCGACTCATCGACTTTCACGGCGGGTCCGTCTTTGGTCAACGGCCACTGGATCTCGTCGGCGACGCGAGCGAATACCGCGACGGTGATATCGCCCTGAACTAGACGGATAATGTCGAGGTCTCCGACAGCGAGCTCTACGCTGTAGGATTCGTCGATGAGGTGGAGAATTGTGCCGCTGATTGTCAAAAGCACTTCCTCTGTCGCCACGGGAGGAGCCGAGGCGGTGTGCATCGCCGCCGATTGCTCCGGTAAGATACTGTTGGCGAGATCATTCACATCGAGGGAAGGATGTCGTTTATGAGTAGGAGGGGGAGGATGGAGAGGAGCATTGGTGGTTGAAGTGTCGACGGTCGGGTCAATGTCACGAGATTCAGCGGATCCCATTGTCGCCGGAAAGTAGAGAGGTGGAAGACGAAGGGAAATGATTGGCTATTTATATGAATGTTAAATGATTAGTAGCATTAAAGAGCGCGTACTTTGTCTAAACCGGGCTGGTTTAAAACTTAACATATTCTTGGCACATTTTCCCGCTCTTATCCAATAATTATTTTGATGAAATATTTTCTTCATTTTATCACTTTAAATATTATCTTTATGTCATTTTAGAAAAAGAATAAATTATTACAAAGTAATTGATTATGGAAATTTATTTAACAGTAGACCCCTTATGTCAACAATGAAGGAAAATTGGTTTTCTTGGGGAGGTTCTAATATAAACATAAAATGGTTAAAATAATTATTAAGGAGAATTAATAAGGATGATTAGAATATACTTTTAGTGTATTTGCATCTAATATTACTCAAACAAAAACACAATTATGAAAATTAATCTAATAAAGTTCAAAGTACAGTAGTTGAAGTATAAGATTTGTTTGAGGATCTTATATTTAAATGAAAATCAAACCCACTAGATTTTAAAGTAATTAAAATTAAACCAATAGAGTTCAAAGAAAATCTATAGAAAGTAAATAAGATTTGTTTATAACAGATGTCTACACTTGCTATTTTGTTTCCACATGTTTGGTTTTGACTTTTGAGGTTTGAGTTATCAGTTGTCAGCTTTGTGTCACTTTAACTATTGATTCACAAAACAAGTCATCAAATTTCGAAATAATTAGCATGTGTATATACTCTGTGATTTATGATCTTCAAATCTGAATATTTAAAAAATGTTTCTGTACATTCTCTGTTGACATGAATTCTCATTTTTAACTGTACTTCGTTGACCCCTCCCTCCCAAAAAGTTAATGTGGTAACAAAGCAAATATATTTTCGCCGGAAAAAGATTAGACATTGCATTTTTTTGTAAAACACTCTCGCCGGCGGATTCCGAAAGGAAAACAATCGTCGTTTTCGTTTTCTGTTTACTCAGAAATTCCGGCGGAGTAAGCGGATAACGATTGTTCCATGGAGCCCACTTCATCTTCTTCTTCTCTTAGATGGAAGATCCTTCGCCAAGCGCTTCTCCGTAGATCTGGTGAAATTCCCCTTTTTTCTTCTTCCGGCATCCATTTATCGGCTTAACATCCTCATAGCTAATGGATCGTCTCTCAATTTTCCTCAGATTCTCAATCTCAAGCTGGGATCAAGCGGGTTTCAAGGAAGGCAACTCAAGGATTCAACTTGATTCCGTGTCAGGTGGTGGACTCTTCTCCGGGATCGGAAAATTCTCGGGAAGCATGCGTTTGCTACACAATTCCCACTCCTGGTTCTCCGAAACTCTACCTCACGTTAGGACTTTTCGCTATTGACAATGTTACGGCTGCTTCTTATCCTCTGTAGATTTGCTTATTCTTGTTTCTGTAAACTTATGCAGACAGAGAGTAGATAATTGCAGTGATCTCAATGACTTCGAGATATCTAATCGACACAACATCGATAACACAGGACTTGTCTGTAAGTTCTCAATCTCGTTTTATCAAATCTTTGAGAGTCTTAAATGTTTCTCTTTCTTCAAATTCATTGCGCTGCTTGTGAGTCTTAAATGTTTCTTTGGATCCTGAATTCATCACTGTCACTCTTCCAGGTCAGTGGCCCTCGGAAGATGTTCTAGCAAACTTTTGCAAGTCTCAGCCAGATCGTTTCAGGTTTCTGTGTTCAGCTTTTAAGACTGATCTGCATCTGTCTTCTTATAACTTCTCTGCGTTTCTTACAATCTACTTGTCTCACTGGGATGTTGCAGAGGTAAAAGAGTAATTGAGCTTGGTTCGGGGTATGGATTAGCCGGTTTGGTTATTGCAGCTGCCACCGAGGCATCAGAAGTAGTAATCTCAGATGGGAATCCTCAAGTAGTCAATTGTATCCTACTTGTTCTGTTGTGCGTATACACTGTTTCATTGGAGTTGTCTTAAATATGGAAACCAATAACTCAATTTTCTTTTATTGGATTCATTGATGTACTTAAACATCCAGATACTAAGCGTAACATAGAATCCAACTCCATGGCATTTGGCGACACGAGCGTGAAAGCTATGGAGTTGCACTGGAATCAGCATGAACTTTCAGAGTTAACCAACACTTTTGACGTCATAGTTGCGAGCGATTGGTACCTTCCTCACTCTTGCTTGCTCTCGATTTCAGTCTTCCGCTATATCCTTATCACTACACTTTTTATTTGCTCAACAGTACCTTTTTCAAGGAATTTCATAAGCAGCTTGCAAGTGTCACCAAGGTGCTGCTTAAAGCCAAGGAACCCTCTGAGGCATTATTCTTCAGTCCCAAAAGAGGCGACTCTTTAGACAAGTTCTTGAAGGAGATTGAAGACATTGGTTTACACTACGTCTTAACCGAAAACTACGATTCACAAGTTTGGAAGTGCCATGAGACGCTTGTGACAGGAGACGAATCGTGGCCTAACTATGACAAGAACCACTGCTACCCTTTACTTATTCAAATTACAAATCATAATTAGTCAAAGACTATCTCATAAACGCAGGTACACCTGAATTCTCAAGCTTTGTTTAACATACTGAGTGTTTGCTTTTGTGGATATAATATTCAGTGGGTGGACTTGAAAGTTGAAACCTTTTGACTCTCTGCAAGATGCTCTTATCTTCTTTTTTAGGATAGAGAGGTCCACACCACACATACCCCCGAGTTAGGCAAAGCCGTTCATCTAAAGAGAAAGATGTAGAACAGTATAATAATGAAAGCTATAAGATTCTAGATCAAGTGTACTGCCTTTGATGAATTACATCATCCTTTTCTTCATTCTAAATCCGGCTTTTTGAATCTAATTTCTAGTTGTCTTCTATCGTGTTTCTTTCTAGTGCTGAAAATAAACTTTTATACACAATAGTGATGACGCAGGAATCATTTGACATGGACTCTGGTCGCCTTTTTTTATCAAAAAGAATCTTTCTTTTTGTGTTTGTGTGTATGTGTTGTCTAGATGTGATTCTCAATATGATTGTAGCCATTATGAAACTTTTCTGAAGAACATGACATTTGTGCACACTTTAAATTTCTTGAAGTTAAGACTGATAGATGATGACGAATCTAAATATTTCAACTGACTTTTTCCCTCAAAATTACAAGCTTTGCCTTCACTATTGAGGAAAGAAAAGTTCTATCTCAATATTTCGTCCCCTCTCTGTTTCTACTTCTCTTTCAGTTTTTTTTTTCTGCCATATTTTTCGCAGAAACCAAAGCTACAAGCTGATCCAGCAGACAATCAATGTTACAGGAAGCAGAATCGCATAATGGAGAAGAAAAGAAGCTGTGTTTCTTGTCGATTCCCCAATGGCCATATCCGCAAGATAGGAATTCGCAAAAGACTCTTCTTCCATCGCTTGTTGCGTCTCTGTACTAGACTCAGTTCCAGGACCAGTTACATCTCCTGTCTCTTCAGGAGGTGGCTCTCTCGAAGACTTCAAACTGTTCCACACGATACAAAAACAAATAAATCGAAGCTTTGATCTTTGTGAACGAAACTCTTGTATTTGTTAACTGTCTTGACTAATTTCATTTTTCCTCACCTGGACAAGTTTGGACAGAAAGTGATGGTGTAATCAGCATCACTACAAGTGAAAGTGCTTGTGGCATCATCGTACGCGTAACTGTACGATTTAGGACAAGCTGATTTAAAGACCTGAGAGTACATCGATGGCTTGCAGGTATCGGGTGAACCATATGCGCCGCTGCAGCAATACTCCGGTGTTCCGAATGCCTCGCAGGCGCTTCTGCAAGCCAAACCGTTCTTGGCTTTTAGCTCCATCGGGCAATTCCGGTTTAAGTCCGAGACGCATCCCGTGGTGGCGCAGGAACCGGAACCCTCCACGATCATGGGGAGGTTATAGCCATCAACAAGGCTGACGTCATAAAAGTCTTGAGACCCAGAAATGCCGAGAGTGAACTCGGCTAGTGTGGCTGGAGGTTCAGCGCCGGATCCGTTGCATTCCATCTCTCCGGAGCCGCAATCTCCAGTAGAGCAGCTCGTGGTGCTACTAGAGCCATCGAAGTTGCAGCCGGTACGGCCCCAGAAGCGACCGGACCAACCTGTGGGTGCTCGGAAAGTGCGAGAGGTTTCTTTGGAGAGCTCAAACCCTGTGGTGTCGAGTTTGGGGCTACCTGCGCCGGATAAAATGCCCGGCCATACTGTGAAATCGCATTTGTTAACTAGCGTGAACGTCGTACACTTGACACCTTTAGGGAAAAGAAAACCAGAATCAACCGAAATTTCAGAAAATGAGAGAAACTTAGATGAAGAAAACAAAAAAAAATTGCTCACCACAGTCTGGTAGCAACAAGAGGAGAAATCCAAGAACAGAGACGTAAGGTGGGTGATGGAGACGGAACAGAGCCATGAATTGGTGTGAGAGAGAGTGAGAGAGAGAGAGAATCTTTTACTATAAGGTCGAAGTTTATTTTTCCTCTACAACTGATACTACTTTGATGTTTTTATATGTAAAATGGGAATTCGATTGTGAAAGGTCGATGAATAAACAAATACAGCAACTTTTTGAAAAGAAAAAAAGAGAGAATGTTCGCCGCCTCCTTTAAGAATTAAGTAACAAAAAAAACTAATATGGGTTAGTTTACTGTTAATAGTGTTTGTATAATTTAAATTGTATACCAAAAATTGTGATTACCCGCCAATTTTCAAAGATTCTCGACCTGCATTGTCGAACTTATGAGTGAGCTTCTCAAATTTTATTTCAATCAAACCGTTGGGTTTTCCAAAAAGGTGAAAGTTTGTTTTTACTGTACATCTTCCTTATTAATCCATTCAATTCTTTGTTTATCAAACAAACAAAACGTAGATTCTTATAACTTCAAAATTTAAGAAGTTATAAATCGCATTACCAATCAGTTTAATTCTGCAAGCAAAACTGTTATTAAATGACTACTACATACACCATAAAGACATAACGTTTGTCTAAAAAATTACGAAGAAACAAATAACTACTACACTATTATTAATATATCTAATTAAATCTTAAACTAATTTGATCCTCTTATGACCTTTGAGGATCCACAAAGTTGTTCCAACCTTGAATAATCTTCTCTTCGACTAATCAACAGCCTTGGTCAAATTTTTTTTTTTCCTTAGATGAAAATCTCGAATGATGTTTATCAAAACTTCAAACGCCGCCGTATAGCTATATCACCAAACGCGTTGCACCGCCCAAGACGCCACAGCCAAAACGCCCATCAAAAACACGTCCGAGAGAACTGGCGACGCTCTTGCAGATGCCGCAGAGTAGCTTACTGCTTCGGGCTGAAGTCCTCCCTTCGATGCACTCTTCACACTGAGGCAAATTACAAGAAAATAACTTTCTTTTAAATTCACGTGTATAATAATAAAATATATATTATAATTAATTGCAATATGAACAAAAGAGCCGTGTCGGACCACACATGAACAGTACACCGACGTTTGAATGAAGAAAAAATCTTATGAAAACAACAGAGAACATTAGATATTTTCTATTTTATTTATTTGTTATGATGATAATAATTGTACTAACGGGTGAAAATGAAAATGTCGTCTTGTCTAATAATTTCACAAATTGACAAGAAAACACGGTGCATTCAGAAAAAAGGCATGTGTCATCATGATTTTTATTCGATGATTTGACCTCATCAATTTTTTTCAAAACGTTACAACAAACAAAAAAGTGAATTATTTTATCTCCAGCGTATCCAAGAACTTTTGAACCCCAAAAAAAAAAAAAATTAAAAAAAAAAATCGGAACCGGACTTCTAACAGAATCAGAACCAACCTTTTTTTTCTTTTTGAATTGATTTGATCGGATTATCGGAACAAAACTTTTTAATTAGCAAAAATACCAAATATTCCAATTCGTGTTTCCACTTGAAGACAATCATAACTTTTGTAGTAATTTCATTTTTTGGTTGTAAACAATGAAAATAGAAATATTACCTTGGGTTAGGAGAAGGACAGAAAGTGATGAGGTAATCAGCTCCGGCGCAAGTAAAAGTGCTTGTTCCGTCGTCGTAAGCGTAACTATAAGCTCTCGGGCACGCGTTTTTGAAAAACAGCGAGTACTCGCTTGGCTTACAGGTGTCCGGCGTTCCAAAAGCGCCGCTACAGCAATACTCCGGTGTCCCAAACGCCTCACACGCGCTTTTGCAAGCCACTCCTTCAGTCCCCGTCGTCGCCACTTTCAGCTGAGCAGGACACGGACCGTTGAGCTCCGCGACGCAGCCGGTAACGGTACAGTTCCCGGCGACTCCCCCGGCATCTCCGCCGCCTTGAGGAACGATGGCCATCGGGATGTTGTAACCGTCGACGAGACTGACGTCGTAGAAATCGAGACCACCGGCTCCGTTTAAGGTGAATTCAGCTAGTGTCGCCGGAGGTGCGGCTCCGGAACCGGAACACTCGACTGTGGAGGAACCGCAGTCTCCGGTAACACAAGTAAATTTTCCGGTGGTTGCGTCTTGTGTGCAGAGTGTACGGCCCCAAATACGACCGGACCAAGCCGCGGGGATTGGGATGACACGAGTTTCACTCGGATTTAAAGAGAACCCGGTGGTGGGTAAAGGAGCCGTTCCGGCGCCGGATAGAAGGCCAGGCCAGACGGTGTAGCTGCACTGGTTTACGACGGTGAAAGTGGTTGAGTTAACGCCATAGACTAAAACAAGAACTAGAAGAAGAAAGAAAGAAATTTGAGAATGACCCATTAGAGCAGAGAGTCACCAGAATCAAGATATATAAACTTTTTTGCGTTTTTGTGATGCCGGAGATGTATTTTCCGGTGACTCTGTTTCTGCTCTGGTTGATAAATGGGTGTAAATGTGTAGGCTTTGTATTTATATGGGATGAGATGAGAATTTAGAAATGAGAGAGAGAAAGAAAGTGGAGAGAGATTGGTTTTTAGTTTCGGGGATTGGATCTTTTAAAGAGCCAAAGATTTTTTTTAGAAAGGTCGGCTTTCACGTGAGCCCATGCCGCCTTTGTCTATGTTAGTCGGCCAGTGTGCCGTACAAGTTCACGTTATTATCATTTTTGTTCATATTAAAATGTACTAAGAAACTTTTGTTTTTGAATCACATAGAAAACAATAGTATATCATGTTTCTTAATTGTTTATTTTGTATGGTTCCTGCAATATGACAATATGGGTTGCATATGGTGTGAATATGATCCGTGTTGATGTCGGTGATCTGAATAGAAATTGTCCCCCCCTTTCGCTAAACTCATTAAATATACAATGTTTTACGTATCAAAATAATTAATTCCAGACTGATCACTTCTTTTGTAATTATGCTTTTTTCTTTCTAATGTGATTCTCTGATAAAATACACATAAGAACGAAAATTTTTTTTTGCTCCAGATAAAAATCAAAAATACTAAAATATTGTTCATTCATTCATACAACCGTCTCAAAATTATTGAACATTTTACTAAATTTGGAGAAGCGGTGAGCAGAAAAAAGAATGAAAGAGAAGAAGATGTACGGTGTGATGCATCCGTAGGTTTTTTCTGGCCTCTTCTCTCTTCCAAGGGACACGGTCTAAAGAGTATCTGCTATATCACCCAAGTTGTGTTGTGTCACTGTTAAGTTAATTATTATTATTTATTACAAGATGACAAAATCAAATATATAATGATGTTTGCTATTTCGTGAGCCTCTCAGTATTCAAACTGGAATATAGAATAAAAAGGTTCAGGAGAGAAATACAAATTTATAGATTATTTTATTTTGAGTTATTATTATGGGAAAGAGACATAGTGGCTAACGTTGGATGACATAATTTGTAAGATAGTTTAACAAAGAAAAGAGAATTGGTGTTGGGTCAACGACATTCCAAGCTTTAGTTGTGTGATGTTGAGATATCAACTTGGTTGGTTCATGCTTCTTTCAGTGTTACAAGTTATTTATGTTTATATAGATTTAACAAATAGTACTATTTGGGTAGGTCTCATGTGTGTTTTCTTACTATACAAAACTTATTAAATTCAGGAGAATTTGATAATATTCTTTCCAAGCACACGATTGGCCGACCGATCATGTCATCGATCGTTTTGCTTGCGTTTGCACTGACGTTTGCGGTTAGTGTATATTTCATCTACATAAACGCTAGAAGCATCGTTTGTTTGGCTTTTGCGTTTACATTTTGTAGATAAATCATTGGACGTGTGGCTGATGTGTGTAGCCTAATCAGGTTATATATATATATAAGTGTATTACTATAATCTAACCAATGATAATTCGATTGTGTGGCTTTGTCTAGACAGGAAAAGGTGAACACCAAACTTGGGTTTCCGATTTCTTCTTTTAGGAAGATTGGTCATGACTGAAACCTAATGGGTTTAATCTAGTTGGCCGTGACTGTACAAAGCAGGTAACTGTACAAAGCAGGTAAACAATCAACAGATGGGAGTTAGGCCATTACTCTAACCTCATCCACGAGATTCTGTTTCAGACAAGAACCACAAGGAACCTTGTCAGTATCCAATAATTGGTCCTCTTGCAGGCTAAAATGTTTTATTTATTGGTAAAAGTTTACTCCAATTCACAAGTTACAAATTTATGTATCCACCTCTGGACCAAAAATTATGTCCAAGAATTATACAAGACATGCTCTCTACACAGTAACAACCACAGATTGGATTCATCTTGTGTAAAAATTATGGCAATGGATTGTCAATGTTTGTCTACGAATTTGGGACATCATAGTCATACATCAAAGTACGAAGCTCAAGAAAAAGACAAAACTCAAAACTCAGATGACATAAGCAAAAGAACAAAGTCTTTATAGAGGACAAAATTTCCAAAGATAAAAACTAGAAGAAAAAAGGCCAGCATCAATAGCTAAAACTTATATAGTTAACACAAAAAAAGGATCTTAAGCCAATTGTATAATAATAATAAAACTCAAAACACCAAAAGGACCAGGCAAATTCATCATTCCCATCAGCAAAAGATAATGAAATCGAAGAGGAATATCAAACATGTATTACTCGAATTCGTTTTCCATCCTTTTGTTTGTTGATTAGGGAAGCAATCAAGCAACAGAGCATTCTCTTGCAAAGTGACCTCCTTCGCCGCACTTGTAGCACTTGCCGCCACCTCCACCGGCGTTTCCACGGCCTCCACCGCTTCCTCTCCTGTCACAATCACGAGCCAGGTGACCAGCACCACCACACTCGTAACAAGCACCAGGCTGTCTCTTAGTCGCACAATCTCTGGCCATGTGACCAACTCCGCCGCATGTATAGCACGCTCCAACGCCACTCCCACGGTCACCGCCGCTTCCGACGTTTCCACCCAATTTCTGAACGCAATCCCTAGCAAAGTGACCGGTGTCACCGCAAGTGTAGCACCCTTCTCCTCCTGCACCTCTACGTTCACCACCAACGTTTCCACTTGATTTCTGAACGCAATCCCTAGCAAAGTGACCGGAATCGCCACAATTGTAGCACCCTGCTCCGCCTGAGCTACGGTCTCCACGGTCGCCGCCACCGTCACGGCAATCCTTAGCTAGATGACCAACCTCGCCGCAATTGTAACAACCACCACCGCCTCGCCTAGCACCGTTACCACGAGAGCTATTCTGCTTCTTATTGAGAGGAGCACCACCGGGAGCAGTGACATCGACGGCTTTGGTCTTACCATCGGTTCCCAGCGCGATATCGAACTCAACCGCGTCGCCGACAGTTAAACTCCGGAAACCTTCGGAGACGATGGAGGATTGATGAACGAAAAGCTCTTCGCTGCCGTCGTCAGGGGTGATGAAACCATACCCCTTTGAATCGTTGAACCAGCTAACCTTGCCGGTAGATCTCGCCGCCGATTGATCCTCTAACGCCATTGGATCCAAATCAAAAGAAGAGAAAATTCGATGTACAGGAATTCGAGATCGAGAATTTGAGTAATTAGGGTTTTGGGAAGACGAATCCGTCGGTGTGTATGTAGTTACTTATATATAGAGGTGGAGTTGATTAAATCTCTAACTTAAGGAAGTTAAGAGCGGAAACCCTAATTAGTGGAATCTAATCAAACCCTAATTTGACTCACACAGATACAGCCGCCCAAGTTTATTTTGGTGGAGGTTTCTTCGGGAGTCGGGAATTTGGGAAACTCTGCCACTTCACACGTTTTCCTCTATCGGCGTCGGTTATCAGGTGTGCACGCGTCCACGTTGGACTTTTTAATCGTGACCGTACGTTTTATAGATGCCGCAATACTTATCAATCCAATGCTATTGCCTGGGCCCTTTAGATTTATTCTTATATTGGGCCTAGTTTTCTTTAAAGTTGTAGCATATGGTCCACGGTTCTCGCGCAGATGGGCCTAATCTGGATTTGGTTTTATTTGGACCATGTGTTTTCAATTTAAGAGTAGACAAAGTAAAAGTGTAAAACTGAATTAACTTTATTGGTTTAGTCAAAATTTATACGATGTCCTGCTTCAAGCTCAATCGTACAAGTATTTGCACACACACAAAAAAAAGGGTTTAGTCAAAATTAATTAGCCAAAGCGCTTCTACAAAGAATTCAGATTCAAGAAAATGTCTATTGACACTACACTATTTTAATTTGCAGCATGCTGGCTAAGTCCTTCGGTAAACTTGCTTTCTTTTGTTTTGTAAGAAATCATATTTAATGGGAATCCAATTCAATATTTTTTTTTGTAAAAGCACTAAAAATTATACCAAAGATAAAATCATATTTGTATGTTAATGCTTTTTACGGTGAGTTGGACATTTACAATGTAATTTGACAATTCCAAAATGTGTGTTCCCATTGCCAAAAGCAAAATACAATTTTATACAACTTTTGATAATATTTGGAGGTAAAAAACAGTCATCTACTACATGAAAATCATTTAAATACAAGTTGATGAAATCAAATCCTACCATTTTGAATTTTCCAAGGGGATCCAGCTTCGTTCAATGGAATCATCAATCAATCTCATACGTGAAAGCCTCTGGATCCTCTGGACTGATAAAGCTCGAGCCTGCTCTTAGCTTCATACAACAAAGCTTCCATATCTTCTTCCTCCGTCACATTCCCTTGCTTCGATGCCCTCTCCAAAACCGTTAGTACTTCGTCCTTCGCCAGTTCCTCGCTGTCAGGGACGTTCATCGCCACGTAGCTCAGCAAAACCAACGCCGGAATCTGAGCTCCGTTCTCTCCGAAGTACGCTAGCTGCACCAGAAGCTTTGATCCTCCGGCGTCGATGATCGTCCGCGAGTGTTCTTTCCCTAAGAAGTTATCCTCCGTCGCGAACTTCGCAAGCGCGATCGCTACCTCCGCCGCTAAATCTGGTTCTCCATCGTCGAGGAGCTTAACCAGAGGAACGATCATATGCGTCTCCGCGGATTTGAAGGTTCGGGCTAGGTTTCCGATGGATCTGACACAGGGGATGAGCAAATCGGAGCCGGCGTCAGCGTTATCCACGATTCTGAATAACTGGTCAACAACCGCTTTGCACGCCGGTGAAGTGCGTCTGAACGCGGATCTTCTCAGATCTGAGTTTTCCTCCGCAACGGCGGTTATCTCCATTATAGCCATAGCTGTATTGTATTTCGTCTCTTCGTCTCCCTTCTCCAGTAGAACCGCAAAGCAGAGCAAAGCTCGTGACTCGGTGATGACTCGGCAGATCGTGGCGTTTCCTACAGCGAGTTTCCACAACGCTCTCGCCGCCATCGCTTTCATGTAGGTCTTCGTCACCGGGTCTTCGAGCTCCCTCCCTCTCGAGACCGACGCGTTCCGCGATTGATGTGCCGTATTGTAAGGCTTGCTAAGATTCTTATGTGAATTCAAGCTATAGCTCTTCCCCGGCAACTTTTCCGGCGGTTTCTCGTCCTCACCGGTATCAAAACGGCCAGACGGATTCGATCCCGTTCCCGATCCAACTGCTTTCATCGCTATTGTAGTCGCAACGATGCTATGCATCTGATTCAGCATTGGATTCTCGACTCCGATCAAATTATCTTCATCCTCGTGCAACGCCGGCAAATTCTCTTTACTACTGATCTTGCTCGCCATCACGACGGCGTGATGCATCGACGTTGCTCTACCCGCAACAACCGCGTATTTGCTATGTTCTTGAACCGTCTCAAACGCTAAATGGCTCACGAGCAGCCGAATCACGTTGTTCTGCGCGAACAACTCTTGACATTTCGCGTGATTCCCGTCGACAAGCTCAGAAACCGCCCAAGCCACAACCGCTTGAACCCTCATCGAACCTTCTTTGAGAATATTCGCTAGAACTGAACAAACACCAGCCTGAATCATCTGCTCCACACTCTCCGCGTCTCGACCCAATAACCCGATCGTCCTCGCCGCGTTTTCTTGACCGTCGATTTTCCCTTCTTTCAACAGTTTTAGCAAGGGGTTGACTCCACCTTCCTCCACTATCAGTTTCACGTATCTGTCGTTATCTCTCGCTAACGAAGCCAACGACGCGGCGGCGTCGGACTTATCGTCCGGCGAACCGGTCATCAAAACCGCAATTTGCTCCCAAATCAAACACAAGATTGGTTCGTTGGCTGCAATTGGAGGGAGGCCTAAGTAACCGAAGCCTTCGTCGTCGTCGTTACCGGCGGGAGTGGAGACGCGGAGGAGCCAAGAGACATCGCCGACGGAGTTTTCTAACTGGGAAATCATTTTCCGGAATGTTGCGGCGGGGATTATGTTGAAGAGACGCATTATGTAGCCATCGTCACGGCATCTCTGGACCATCGCCAATGCTTTCTCCAAAACGTTTTCAGTGTCGTCGATGATACGGCGCGTGGGACGTTCGTAGAGCTCGGAGCTAGCACGCGCCGCTTGACGGAGAAGAGCAGCGAGCTTCTCTGTCTTGGACTTGATCTCGGCGCATTCTTGCTTGTTGATTGTGGCTTCGTCCCCGGCTTTCACCACTTGGTCTGCAAGTTGAATCGGCCGAGTCAATATCTGCTTCGCTAGATCACCCATAAATGAAAAAAAAGCCTCGTGTAGATCAACAAAATCAGAAACGGGTTGAACTTGATTTTAAAGATAATGAAGAATGATCATAAAGAATTTTTTTTGGGTTTGGTTTGGTTTGGTCTCTGAAACACGGTTTCGTCATTTCTATGTATTTCTTACAGAACACGCCGGTCGTCGCCGGCTTTCGTTGTCGGAGTAAATTACTTTTGTCATTTACCAAGTCGTCGTAGCTCTTAACTTTCTGTTTTTTTTAATGATCGAGCATATTCTATATACTTATCTGACATCATATACGATTTTGTGATGTAGAACAACTTTTCTAAGATGACAACACAGGCATGCTGAATGAATACAAAGATACTGTACATGATCAATTTATTCTTCGATACAAAACAACTCTACAATATTTAGTTATCGTGATTTGATAATTTTAAAACCCTTTTATAAATTCTAAATGAAAACAGTTTTTTTGTGTGTTATTTTTGACAGCAACAGTTTTCATTTGCATAATAGTAGGGGAATTAGCTATTTAACAGCTTACGAAAGTTTATGAAATTCATATTGCTAAAGATGTGCCTGGATAAAATTATATTGGGCCCAGGAGACATTACATTTATTGGTTAAGGCTAGTTGGGTTATATCGAATGTTACACATCAACCATATTTATTTCTGGGCCATGTTCCATATTGTTCCATATTTATACTTCCATATCCTTATAAACTACAGAACAATCCAATAAAACTACGTATAAGATTGAAAATAATCTTCCATTTCCCTCTTCTTCTTAAACTAAACTCCATAGTTCTAGCCTTCAAGTTATAGCTATTAGAAAAAACGCTTCATTACTTCACCAGATTTCGTTAATTTCATTGGAGAAATTTTGTAGTTTTTGTTCTCATCACTTATTTTAGTAGTATTACAGAGATTACAACACAAGTGGGAAACTATTTGATATTTAACTATCACATGCAAGCAAATAAATAGGAAAAAACAAACACTATCAAGATATTTGTCCCAAAGGAGAAATAAAGTATTCTCACTAAATGAAGAAAATATCTTCTGTTTAACAATCGAGAGCGTTCTACGGCTTCTGCCTCGTCCGTTTTATGTTATTCATAAAAAAGTGAATGTATAGGTTCAATAAAATATCTTGGTTTCTCCTCCAAACGTAGACATCGTGGTTACAACGAATCTAAATATATAAATCACTGGAGCACGTCTTTCAGTTAAACGTCGAAAACAATTACACGTAAAAGTCGCTGAATCAAATTATATCAACGGTAACATTAACATACATAAGAGGAAGAAGGACCACGAGTTTGGGGATCTTTTTCGTTGTTGTTGTCTTCTATTGCTTTTTATTCGTCTTGTTATATAGAGTAAAAGGGCTCTATATTGTAGCTTCTAGAAGGATATTATATTATTACTTGAATTTAAATAAATAAAAGTATCTGATATTATATTGAGTCCCGACAAATTAAGATAAAATACTGCAATAATTTATAGCGAAGAAGATCTAACCTCTTGGCAACATGAGTTTACTTTCCAGTTTCCACAATCTCGCGGGCCCGTACTCTTGTCGTCCCTAGGTCCCCCCTGGTTTACAAGATGACGTGGATTTTATTATGGTTATCATTTATCAACAAAGTCGTGCAAATATTTTTCAACTTAGAAAAATATGCATAATCTACCTTTTTGAAAAACATAATTTTAAAAATCTGTGATGATCTTTGGATAGTGCTTGTTGTATCTGTGATGAACTTTTAGGGGAGATGAAAATGGGTTAGGCTAATGACACCCAATAATGCTTCCAAATTCCATCTCACCATGTCGATCTTAGCAGCCTTCTTATTAAAGAAAAATTAGTGTGGTCAGGTCATATATCTCATATACTTATATAAGTTATATAATAATTGCTCTAGAGATTACAATCTCATGAGCATATCTGTAGAATGATAATCAGCATCAATCATCACGGTGTAGACAAAACCATCGATCTTATCTCATCCAGGTATCCTCTTTTTGAATTTAGACCTTTTTTTCTTTTCTCTGATCACACAGTTTAGAACATCCGAACATATATTATTTTGAATAATGAAATATAATTAGAAGGTTTTAATAACGAAAAAAGAGGGCTCGAAAAACCAAATGACAATGTATTAGTCTATATCGTCACTCTTCCACAGTGGACTTTTATATGAAAATCAAAACCTCTCAACTTAGCACTTGAAGGAACTCGAAAAGGTGATGGGTCTGTTTGGTTCACATGGGAAAAATATCTTCTTTCATTGGCCATGTTCACGTGTTGTAGAGTATCGATCATCTTGTGGACCATAAAACTATAAAAGCTTATGGATATATGATGAATCCTAATTATCATTTTTTTGTTGTCAATTCGATGCGTTCTATATATATTATCAATCAGAGATTCCTAATTTCGCTATCCAGAGAACTCAAACCAAGCCAAAAATGATAAGAAGAAAAAACGAGAAATTAATCTGAACGTGAAGATAATTTTGATTGTTTCGTATCAAATGAATCTGTTCCAAATATCTCCATATTAGATTTGTGTCTTGGCAACTTTGAGCAAATGGGTATATTCGAACCATAAGTTTCTAAGCAAAACATAATCTAATTAAACAGCTCTGTATATAATCAAAAGAACGAAAGTAAACATAACTTTTTTTTTCTTTTTCTTTTTCATTAATGATTAATAGGATTCACAAGGTTAAAACGCGTAGATCCTACGTAACACGAAACAAACGGTGCTGATCACTCGTGTGGGAGGAAGGGAGCGTACGTTTAACACATGGCGTATGTTAGCACACTTAATCCTCGTCCGTGTTTAGCTTTACTAATACTAATTTACAACGTCAAAGACAGACTTATCGCTTCCTAATTACAATCGATTCATCTACATTTTTATTACTATTCGAATCAACTCGGGGTAACTCGGGCACCGAGTCAACTCGCTACCAACACTGATCGGTTTCCCAGTTCCGTCCGACGTAACTGCCCAGCCCGGAGGTACCGACGGTCAAAGGACGGCTCCGACGAAGCATCCTCCGATCGTAGACAGAGCGTTTATCAGGATCAGAGAGCGTACAGTACGCCGCGTGGATCTTCATGAATTCATCCGCCGAAGAAGACGAATTCGTCCGATCGGTTCCCGCCACGTCAGGATGGCAGATCCTAGCCAGTCTCCGGTATGCCGATTTGATATCTTGGCTCGTCGCGCCGAGAGGAACCTCCAGGATATCGTAAAGCGAAGCGTTCGTCGTCGTCAATCGCCGCGGGATCTGATGCAATCTCGGCGAATCCTCCGCGCAGGTGTAAGAGCAAGATGCGGAGACGAGAGGAGGCGAGATCCGAGCAGAGCGAGACAGCGGAGATACGGGGGAGAGAGGCGGAGAAGAGGAGAGGAATGGGTGAGCGAAGGAAGTTGGAGAAGAAGAAAGCATCGTCGCTATGAAACGGTGTCGTTTGCAAATTCTGATTATCTCTGCGTTGTTTTTTTTTTGTTCGAGAGAGGGAAAGACTGAGGAAGAAGAAGAAATCGAGGGGTTTACTTATAGGGGAAGAGGCGATTAGTTGATTAGAAATATAATTAGTTTTTAATTACATCCAAGGGTTAAGACCTTTAATTACTAAAAGCGGACATAGGCCAAATAAGATTAAAATCCGGGTCGGGTGAAGCAGAATAAATTCGGGTCGGATTTTTGTGGAGCTGAGTCAGATGAAGGAGCTTATCCAGTTGGAAATTATTGCAGTAGAGATAAGAATGTACGTAAGATTTTATACGTAGTGGCCAAATTGTGTGCTGTGGCTGTAATTGTCATAATTACAAAAAAAGTTTCATTTTTTTTTTTAAAGCCAAAGGATCCAAACAATAATGTAGAGACATCTTCTAATTAAGCTTTGGTTTTTAGTTTTTTATATAACCTGCAACTTTTTTATTTTTCTGTTTTTTTTTATGGAAATTCGAAATTGGATTCTTTTTACATTTAGATTTTTTTTTTCTTTTCATTATTGTTGTATGGAGACGTAATTTCGACCATTCATTGTTTTGTTGGATATTGAGAAGACAGAAATAGATTTTTCGAAGATAAAGAAAAGTCTCTTTGTATTATTTAAAGATTGCCTCCCACTACCGCACAACCATATTACACATTTATGTGATTTTATTTTCTTAAGGAAATGAAAATACAAATGGCGGAAATCTGGAATACAATTCGTGGGAAAATTGTATTCTTAAGATTCTTAGCTGACAGATATCGACAAATCGTGTCTGTGTTTGTACTAAGATTAAAGATCAAATAATATGCATATTTTTAGATTTATCTTCTAACGAGAGAGATTATGGTTGTCTTAATCAAAGGACAAGTCGGCTTTTTTTGTTTTCTTTCCCTTGTAATTTATTCGTAGAAGAAAAGTCGACTGAATTATTTTATTTTTATAACGTGTATTCTTCTGGAGGAGGTAATTCAAAGTTTCAATCGAACCGGAATCACGGATGGCAATTATTAACCTCATTTTGTTAAAGTGTCAGTCATTGAACTTTTTGACTGAACCAAGGTTGATTTTTATTTATTCTATGTTACCGTTAGTACAACTAAACGTTATGCATGGTAACTTTTGAATGAAGAAACTTTTTTTTTCACGTGGAACTGTGGAAGCTTCTGTATATTCTACACTGATATACTAATTTAGACCTAGTAACCAAACCAAAATACATAAATGTTATCAAATTGACAATTTCAAAGATAATCACAAGTGTTTACCAAAAAAAAGAAGCAGAAGAAGATAATCACAAGTTTAAGTTTATTGTCAAAAACAATAAAAGAACGTTATTGTCAAACAATTACGTTGATACGTCTTAAACGGGACCTACTACGAAAAGAGCTCGTGCCCATGACATTATACTTCGACTCTCCTATATACAAGTGATCACGTAGAGACCAATAGATCCTATTCCGGTTCTAGATGATTGTGATTGAGTGACTGTTTTAAGCAAACTATTGTTATCATTATACTTCTTCTCCAACCACGTGTCTGTCAGTTCAATTGTTGTGGTTATATAGTTACCCCAACAATTGTTACAGTTTTCCATCAAAATCCTATTGTTGTGGTTAGTGCCGGTCGATTCAATTGTTGTTAGATAAACTCATCTACATCTTGTGGATCATACTAATTTTCTTCTTCTTCTTTTTCTTACCTTTTACTTGTGAAGGATGACAAATACGTTCAAATGGAAGAATTTGTTATGAAATAGACAGATTGTTCCGATATTTTTAAAAATTTATCAAAGATAAGTTATCTTTGAGACTTTTGACATATTCAAAAAGCCAAGTAACATTAAATTTTCACTTGTAATAAAATCGAATAGAACAATCGTATATGACGTCGAAGATTGACACCACCAATTCGTGGGTGACACATTCCCTTCCATAAGCATTTTGTGCTTTCTCGTCATCTTCCATTTATATATATATACTAATACATAATAAAAATTACACTTACATACGTATACGTATACGTATCCATGTGAAATAACATAACCTTATAATGATATTTCTGCAACTTGTAACATTACTATATACATAGATATGTAGCTACGTTACGAAAGCTAAAAGTTAATTAATCACATTAAAAGAAACCAAATTACATTATAAAATGACGACTAGAGGGATAAAATGATAGAGACAGGAACGTCGAAAGAAGATTAATCCAGCAGCTTTACACATTGGTCAAGAAGACTCGAGAGATAGATAACATTAACTATATACCGACATCATTGAACTATATAATATTAGCTCAGTAGATTAACCGTAGCATTGCTAACCATTCACATTATCTTCACTCTTTTACTTGTCTCGGAATTTTGATGAAGCCCATTTGAAATAACCACAATTTGCTTCTGGATTAGAGGAAGGCCCCTGCATGAAATGTAAAGATATTAGAGTATAAGTTTCACAGTTAATAAGAAGACTTAAGTTTTGTTTTTTCACCTTAGCTACGGTTAAAAAGACTTATTTTTTTTGTTTCTACCTCAGCTCGAGAGCAGACGTAGAATCTACGACCAAATGTGGGACCTGGTTTCTTTACGACCCGAGCAACACAAGCTTCTTTGTGTCCTTTGCAGAGAGGTATGCTGTTCTGCATTAGGTTCTGTATCCTTTGCCACTCCATTAAAGCTGCGTTGTTCTTTTGTTTAGCCGAAGAGCCGCTTTGATTTTGTTCCTGTGTTGAAGTAGTTGGTTCACTGTCTTCTTTGCTGGAAACAGTCGCTTCTGTGATGCTCTCGACTTGGGAGCTCTGACTTGAGGAAACATAGGAAACAGATTCCTCCCCGCCACTGTGTTCCTTTGAGTGTGTAGTGAAGAAAAAGGACTTAAGAGAAAGCTGAGAAGATTGGATCTTCCTTGCTTTCTTCCTGTTTCCAATTCCATCTCTAGAGATATTCTCAGCGCTCAATGATGATGTTCTATCACTGGAACCTTTCAATGCCGTGTCTGTTTCTGTAACGTTACAAATGGATTCTTTCTCAACAGAACAAGATTTCTCAGGTGAAATACCCTTTAAACCGCAGTTTATGAGTGGCCCCGTCGAGAAGATCTCTCCACAGCTTGGCGTAGAGTTACTTTGACTCGATGATGAACATGAAACCTCAATGGCTCTGGCTTGCTCATTGGCCTGCCTTTTCATAAACACTGACGCTGTTACAGTAAACAACAAGAGAAGAAGCTGAAAAATGAGAGATACAAACATAGAGACAGAAACAAGCTGATACTTTTTAATCAAATCAATCACAGCGGAATACATTTAAGTTCCTCGTACCAAGAGTTTGCTGGAAACCGTAAATCATGGGAAGATATCGTGAAGCTAATGGCGGTGTGCTATGTTCGGGGATGTCAGGCAAATCATCAAAACTAGTGAATACAGGTATATGGTCTGACCCCTTTAATTTTTTACCCAATCCACCTTTCCACCTGTAGTGTTCATAAGTTTGATTCACAGACTCAAATTTGAGATCAAAGTAAAAGTGAGACGAACATGAAAAAAAGTCATCAACGAGTACAGGTTGAAACATTCACTCGGTAACTAGACTTACCTTGTTGGCACATTTTCATTCTTAAACCGCTTATAATCTGTTAATATGTCACATTCCTTGACATGGCAAGCAAGAAAACTATGTCCCTGCTGATCTCCGTCTTCATGCAAGCATGATCCAGCTACTAAGATATGATCAATTCTCGAACCATAGTTAAACTGTTCTGCTCCACTACTTGAGGACCAACACGTGAATGCATCTTTCCTGTTATAAATCCAGAAAGAAGCAGTCAATGACAAACAGAGAGTTCAAATAATAGAAAAGCTTAATATGGATGGGCTCCCTCAATACACACAGTATCACAAAATCTCACCTTTCAGGATGTTTTGATCTGAAGACATCAGAAAACGAGCCTCCACGTTCAACTAACAGAGATCTAAACCATTTCCTGAACCTGCATTTTTTATTGCCATGAAATCAGAAATCTAATAAAGAAAAAAGTCTTCGACTCTTGAGTAAAGAGCAAAATGATTTAAGCAGATAATGAGTATCTGTTATTACATACTCGTTTTTCTCGAAATCAGGCCCAGCTTCACATCGATCCATAGCAAAAGGAGCAATGTTGAGATCCCCAACAACAAATACTCTTCTCCCTTGACGCAGAAGACACTCCCATCTTCTCTACAATAAAACTAAGAAACAATTAACCCCAAAAAAGTCGAGGCTTTACATCGCTACATTCATAAACCGATAGACTTACCTCTAAAATATCATAGAACAGATGCTTAAACTCAATCCTCTCAGCATCATCAGATACAGCTCGTGGTCCATAGACATTGAACACAACTGAAGAAATACAGAGAGATACATATAAATTGCAGAGAAGATTTCATTCACACCTAAAGGAATTAAACATAAAAAAAAAAAAAGATTTAGAGTCATACCAAAGTGGCCGTGATCAGTTATAACGCAACGTCCTTCTTGGTCAATCTTAAGAAGCTCTTCTTTCTCATAATCCTCAAGACCTTCAGCTATCGCACAAGTTTCGTTCTTTCCACCTCGCGAGTTACTGTTTACTACAAGACCAGTGAAACCTTCTTCTGCAGCAACCGGCAAAGCAATTTCACAGCTTAAAGATGCTGACTTTACCCTACAAAACGTGGCTACACCTGCGAATTTCAACAACATGAAGACTCTTAACCATTTCCTTCGTTTCTCAAAATTTCACTCAAATTCCACTGAAGACAGGTGCTTACCAGAATAGCCAGTGCGGCCTTTCTCGCAAGTGCGAGTGCACGAGAAAAACGATTCATACCCATCAGCTATCGTCAAATCCGCTGATAACTCTTGCCTCCTGAGTTTCGTCTCCTAGATTCAAACCCCAACAAAACTATTACGGATTCATCGAAAATAAACCGACGAAAACGAATGATTTTCTTCTTCTCAAAATCGAATGAAACATTGAAAGTGAAACCTGGAAGCAGATGATATCAGCGTCGAACGAATCGAGGAGTTTGAGAAGAGAATCAAACTGCGAAACTCGTTGCCTAAGGCCATTAACGTTGTAAGTCACTAACTTCATTACTCTCTCTTTCTTCAACCCAAATTAGACAAAGATCGTCCCTTTTTTCGTTTTAAGTAAAAAACCAAACAAATGTTTTTGTTAAAAATTGGATATCGTAACGTTGGACGGTTGAGATCTGAGAAAATCAGAGTCAGCAAAATCGACGGCTTATACAATCGAAACATGGATTAGTAATAGTCTGTGACCAGACGTAGCATATCATATCTTTTCACTGGTGGCGCGTGGGGAGCACAAGTTATTGATTTGCCTCGTCGGCGTCCACCACCATTATCGCCGGATTTTATATACTCACGAAGAAGAAGAAGAAGAAACCAACTCTTACTTGTTCTCTTTCTCTCTCGCGCACTCTCTATATCTTTCTCGGAGCAGTTATTGCTATTTCGGGAGGATATCTTTACGCTGCAATGGATCAATCGAAGAAGCCGAAAACTTCCTCTGAATTCTCTTTTTCTGATGAATCCTCAGCTTCTTCTTCTTCTTCGGGAAACAATCTCAGGTCTTTGAAGCTTTGAAAAGTGGATTTCCAAATGTAAAATTTTCTGCTGAATCATGTGTTTCTTAGTTTCATTTGGTTTCTTCTCCGTCTAATTACAGACCTGAGAAGATGGTGGAAGTGAAGAAGGAACCAGTTTCTTCCCGGAAAATTCAAAAGGCAGACCGAGAGAAGATCCGTAGAGATAAGCTCAACGAACAGTTTCTTGAGCTCGGAAATGCATTAGGTTTATCTTTTCTCTTTGTTTCAGTAATCATCACTTCATATTACGTTTTTTCTCTCTTGAACTGAGATTAGTGGTTGCTGCAGATCCGAGTAGGCCTAAGAGTGACAAAGCTTCACTTCTCACCGACACAATACAAATGCTGAAGGATCTAATGAACCAAGTTGATAGACTAAAGGCTGAGTATGTCACACTATCTCAAGAGTCTCGTGAGGTGAATGGTTGATTTCACAACTTCTCACAAATGCTCTTATTAGTTTCTTCTTGAATGTGCAGTTTTCATCATCATCTTCCATTTTTGTTTTGACACATTGCTAAGCACAGCTTATTCAAGAGAAGAGCGAGCTGAGAGAGGAAAAATCATCTCTCAAGTCCGAGATCGAGATTCTTAATGCTCAATATCAGCATAGAGTCAGAAGTACTATGGTCCCATGGATTCCTCATTACACTTATCATCTCCCTGTAGTAGCAATAACTCAGGGACCAGTCTCAGTTCTGCCTTGTCCTGCTGCTATACCTAACCCCTGTTCCACTTTTATGTCCTATTCAGCATCAGTCAGTCCACAAACCGAACCGGCACTGAATCAGCACTCTTCTTCGTCTTCTTGTGCTTCAAACAAACAAGATTCCAAAAGCAAGTCTTTAGATTTGAAACTCATGAGGAACAGTAATCATTCAGGTGATGTTGGTTTAGAGCTTGAGCTTAAAATCCATGCCCCTTCTTCAGCTCAAGAGGTGAGCGATTTCTCTTTCTGCACTGTTTATATGTTTTTTTTTATCATTCGTGGGACCAAATCAATGTTACTTCCATGCAGGCTGTGTCTGGAAAAGACAAGAAAGGAAACTCGACAACCACTGCCAAATAAGTCAGTTTCAAGATGGTTACTCACTCATCATCTCAAACTGTTGAAGATAGTCCATCCTTGTAACGTAAATAACGTTTTGAAGTCATAAACCGATAAAAATGTATCCACTCACTGCTTGTAGATTATCCCCATGCTTAACTATGTAACTATTTTCACAAGTCAAGAAAACACAAAATCGTTTGCTTATTTTTTCTTTGCACTGTAACCATAATGTTATAAGACACCTTACGACCAAATGGGTGATTCTCAGTACCCAATTTACAAACTTCATCTAGCCTCTCTATACCATTTTCTTGATCTGGCAGAAAAAAGAAAAACAGATGGTGACAAATAATGAGAGAGATGAGAGTATGTGGACTTGCTGATTTAGGCAAATCCAATGTTCATCTTTCTGTTTGTGAAGCCTAAGTAATGATTTACATCTTCATAGAAAGCTGATAACCAGGAGGGCTTTTAACGTTTCTTGACTTGAGGCTTGCAGATTTCAAGAGTCTGCGAAACTCATGGATGCTGATTCTCCCATCTTCATCCACGTCAGCCTCTTCAAGAAGTGGTTCGATGGAGCCTTTCAAACCCGTTTGCTGCAACCCCCAAAAACAAAAACCTTTGCTTCTGATAAAACAAACTGTGAAAAAAATCGAGGGGAAAGGTAACAAAGTATGAGACTGACCAAACGAAGTTCCTCGGGTGTTATAAACCCGTCTCTGTCTATGTCAAACTTCTCAAATGCTGCTTTTGACCTCTGTTGCCACTTCTCAGAGTCATGCTCCTCCAATTGATTCACGTGCAAAGTAGCCACCACAAACTCAGTGAAATCCACAAATCCATCAGTGTTGCTATCGATCTGCAAAGACAGACGGATTGTTTTGGATTATACACCAACCCGTGGAGGCGGCTTGTGAGCATTATTACTACTACTCAGTGACTGACTTACTGCTTGAAGAATCTCTGCAACTCTTGCATCCTTCAGTTTCCAAGGAAGATCTTTCGCAAGAGCCTGTGAAAAATGATCCAAGAAAAGTTTTTTGATGAGTTTATGTATAGTTGTGCCTTGAATCGCTTACTTGTGTTGTGGTTATTGTTTTCTTCTTACCTGCCTCATCTCCTCAAGGCTAATGGAACCGTTCTTGTCAATGTCAATGGCATCAAACTGGTCTCTGAGATCATCCAGCTCATCCTCATCGATTGTCGTCGCCAGAGCCTTTTTTCAAAAACACAACTCATGTAAAGCCGAAACTCAGAACGTTCATATGATATACAAACTCTCAGATCTCTGTTTCTTCTTGATTACCCTCAGAGCAATCTGCTTAAGGCGGCTGAATTTAACAAACTGACGCATATTGTTGAGAACAGATATGTCTATTGGAATCTCCGAGGCCTCGCCTCCTTCTCTCACCCATGGATGTGCTGCAAAATCCAGAAGATCAGTATATATAACAACATAAAAATGGAAACTTATGGCGTTTGCATATGAAGAATCAACATACATAGAGCTTGAGCTGCTGTTAAACGTGCTCGCGGCTCTTTTACTAACAACTTCTTCACGAAATCTTTGGCACCGTTGCTAATGGTTGGCCACGGGACTGTTATGAAGTCAGGTTTTTTTCTCATGACCTGTTTATTTTTTTTTGTCATGTCAGTATAAGCACCTCCATGAAGAACAAACATATCATAGATTGCTTTCTTAGAAGATATTACTGTAACCTCATTGAATATTCCGTCTTGTGTCTTATCCCAGAAGGGTCTTCTTCCGCAGAGCAGAATGTACGTGATGACACCTATACTCCACACGTCTGATTCGGGTCCTGACTTACGTTTCAACACTTCAGGTGCAACGTAGTACGCGCTTCCTACTATGTCCTGGAATTTCGTTCCTGCCATTTTCATAAAACCGTTGTAATATTATCATATTATTATCCTGAGAAGAGGACAAGATTTGCAACGCTTACCTGGCTTTATAAAGTCAGACAATCCGAAATCTGTAGCCTTTAGAGACGAATCTTCTTCTGTCGATTTGAATAGAAAGTTCTGTGGGAGACGAAGAGGGTTAGAATGAGGAAATATTCTTTAATTCACAGTTTGATGTGAAACTTACAGGCATCGGATCAAAGCGTACCTACCTCTGGCTTCATATCACGGTGAACCAAACCGCGAAGATGACACTCAGCTGCAACTTTCAGCATCTGTCTCACCACAACCGCTGCATCTTTCTCGCTGTAACGGCTTTCTTTCCTGGAAACACATATATATTGACTTTAAGGTAACTTCCCAAATGTGTTTCATAGCATTGTTGTTGTTAACACAAATTATTCTTACGCTTACTTAGCTAATATTCGATCTAGCAACTCACCACCTTCACATAACCTGAAGAAAGAAAACCCCATCAATTAGGGTGGGTTTTAGTCTTCTTGCCTCACAAGAAAGAGAATGATAAGAAAAACAGAGACAAACTTGAGGCTTACTCCATGACTATATAAACATAGTTGTTGTCTTCAAACACATTGTGAAACCCAACCACATTCTCATGCCCACCTAAAGCTTGTAGTATCTTAACTTCTCGCTTCACATCTTCCACTTCAATCGGTAGAGTCATCTGCACACCAGATTACTCAAACCGTTTAGGCGCTAAGAAACTTATAATAAATTTTGAAAGTTAATCGAATGGACGAAGTTGGTATGAAAACAGAGCTTAGAATAAGCCAAAAGACAAGAGACGGTGAGTTTACGTCGGTGTCAAGCAATCACATTCGTTAAAGGTTGGGTTTTTAGGTTCTCAAATAGAAACTTATGCATCTTTTGCTAAAACCCATTAACAATTGCAATACCAAGAGAGATTGAATCAGAGAGCATTTAAGTCAAATGATGTTTACCTTGGCCTTATCGATTCTCTTGACGGCGACGCGTTCGTCGTTAATGTTATCGGTGGCGACGTAGGTAAAGCCAAACTGGCCGTGTCCGAGCAATTTCCCGATGGTGTATCGGTTATCGAAATCCTTAGCGTATCCGAAATCGATGTGCTTGCCGTACGGGGTCCCACCTCCGTGCTTCAATTGGATCTTGTTGTTCTTCGTCTTCTTCTTGTTTTTATTACTAATCTTCTCTCTCGCCTTCCCCTGTGGTCGCGGTTTAGGTGTCTCATGGGTCGGGTTCGGGTTCCGGCGACTGGTGCCACGACGTCTGGTGGCTTTAGAAGAAGAGAAACAGAGACCCATGATGCTCTTAGAACTTCGGTTTCGGGTCTCTAATGGAGGATATCTTTATAGAAATGCCAAATGCGAGACGATGAGAAGAGATGGAGATAAAGTTTTGAAACATGGAAGGAAGGAAGAGGAAGAAGAAGGGGTTGGCTCATAAACAATAACATATTACAATATTTTTTTCGTTTTATTTCAATTTAGCAACATTTCTTTGATTATTCAGATTGACACATAAAATTTGATATCTTGGTCAACTTGTAAACCCTTCAGAAACAAAAAAGAGAGAAAATAGTGTGATTCATTGACAAACGATCTTCAAAGCTTGTGGCACACGAAAATGAATCACTAAATTTGGCGGTAAATAGTACTGATTATCTTCCTCCACTAGCCTTTCATTTCGGTTATTTGTAATTAAAATCATGATATACAATTACCATTTAAGCTTTGCGAAAAGGCGTAGAGGAAACTTTCCACTTTTTTTTTTTCAAACTAAAAGATGAGAATGTTTCAAGACATTCCAAAAAAAAGCCTAAAGAGCTTGAACATACACGGTTAACTATCTACAAACCTAACCACTTCAAACTCGAATTCTACCGTTAGAAGTTTCCTCTAAAGCAAAAGTTAGAACTTAGAACCAAGGATGCCATGTTGGATCCATCATACACAGGTTGCGAGGCGACAAAGCTGCTTCCACCAATTCACTCACGCCTCTTTGCACAGACACTGGCGGCTCCACGGAGTTGTTCTCATCCTGTAAAAAAAAAAACTGGAAAATATGAGATTCATCTGTCCAGAAAATGGACAAAACCCTCTTTTTGAGTTTTTTATCAGAATGTTAGACTAGCAGCAGCAAAAACTAGGTGGAGACGTCAGTCAATTGATGATTGTACCTCTTCAGAGAAATACTGTGGAGCTATTCCTTTGATTCGCCCAATGACCTCGTCTACGTTTAAGTTAACTTTGTGCTTGAGCTCGGCCGAGCTCAAAGTGGCAGCTCCAGCAACAGGCGGAATAGGCACTCCGAGAGGCCTTCTTCCAAACCAAGACAGAAGCTCATCGCGGAAGAACATGGCTAACTGATACCGAATATGTTCCTTTTGCTGAAATATTTCAAAAGAGACAAAAAGAGGTTAAAGAGGCCAGATGATTTTCTTGCACCACTCGAGCTTTTCGGTAAATATTCTTCTTACCTTGAAGGAGAAAACGGCTTGAGATGCAGAACACATGTTTGACATGAGAGGGCCTTCGACACCAAATTGCGAGAAAAAGGCTTGCATGTTCCTTGTGAGGCGGAAAGGCACGGGTTCGTTAAGCTCAATCATCCCGTTGGAGTCATAAGTTGGATGAAAATCTGTCTGAAGCATTTTTCCAGTGTTTTTGGCGAATAAGATCTTGTTTGGGGATCTCCCACCGATTTGTAGAATGAAAGACATGAAATTGGAGACAGCTAGCTGGACACCGAATTGCTTCTTGAAAGCCCAAAGATGGCTTCCGCTCATCGATGTCTTGTACATGTACTGGGAGAAAACACTGTCATTGACTATGTTCTTTGTGATTTCACCATAAGCCTGTAGCCGAAGATCTCCAATTGCCTCTGGTGATATTTGACCTGAGATAGCTTGATTGAGTTTCTCCTTGAAGTAGGTAATAGGAAGATCTGACTCTCGACCATTCCTTCCACAGTGATTCTCATACACCTCAAGGAAAGTGTTGTACATGATATCATCCTCAACCATTCGGACCTGAAACTAAAAATGTTAGCATGCCATACTCCTAGAGAGATTTACATACTCTTATTACGGACAGCCAAAAAGAGAATTATATTGGATATGTAAAAGTTTCAGCATGAAACATCAACTGAATCAAGAACCAAAAGGGGAACTATGCTGAAATATTTCGAGGCATACCTGAGACCAGACAGGGATTATGATCGGAGTATGAATTCCTATATGGCGTCTTCTTGACTCTTTATGCTTATCAAACATTTGGTTCATCACACGGAAAAGCTGCAAGATTCGTTCATCACTCCTCGCATTAGGAGTTAGTGATGTTTGTACAATAAAATGCTTTTGCGAGCCATCAGAGCCAATAAGAGTCAAACGTCTGCAGCTGCTCCCATGCCTTCGTACAATTTGTATGTCAGCTCCAACCCTATCCAACTTTACTGTATGATCAGGTGCTACTTCCTGGGCATTTATACAAACCATTAGTTTCGTTCACAGCGCAAAGGCAAAGGAACTAGAATGAAAGGACAAAGCTAATATAATTTTTACTTCCACTCTGGAGAACGTAAAACAGTGTAGGTGGCGAGGATAACAAACGAAATTACCTGGTCAGCGAAGTACTGTCCTGGAATCTCTACATCAACCACATTGAAGTCCCGGAGCACCTTGCTCTCGTCTTCCAATCTCAACACAGCGGGGAATCTGTCTTCAACATTGCTCTGAAGAATGTGTTTCCATTCTTTCAGTTTCTTTGTCAGCTCTGCGAGTGTACCAGGGAATGAATTACTTTCTGGATCCAGGCCATGCTCGAAATCCTGTTTGTATTCTCTCACAAATTCGACATGCTTGGTCACAGCATCTGCAGAAAAACAAGCTCTGCATACACCCGAGAGTTCTTTCTTGAGTGGTTGGGGAACTTCAGCAGTGGTGGCAGTGGGATATTTGTAACATCGATGCAACAAAGCATTCACAACAGCTAGAAGTCTTTCTTCTGGTAAAGTAACAAACCTTGAACCTATTTCTGTGAGAAGAATCTGAGGGAAAAAAATATATCATTAGGTTTATCCAAGTAGAGAATTTTTACCATGAAAAATTGTTGGCAGAATTTAAGGAAATCAGAGTATATTCACAAACAGAGTACCACCTCAAGTTCACTGGCCAAGTTGTTATGTTTACTTCTAAGAGCTTCCATAATATCCTTTGCCGCATCAAAAGCGCCAGCAGCAGAGATCGCCAATGAAGCACCATTCCGTATTGCTGCGTTTTGACTATTCTCACTGATAGCTGAACTGCTTTGGTTCATAGGTTGATCATTCCCTGAATGCACATTGTTATCCACAGTGGAACGTTCACTTTCTTGGGCGTGTGGGTTACCATCGTCATGGGTTCTAACAGCCCCACTACTTTGAGCACCTTGATGGATTTGAGTTTCCGATGATATAATACCTCCACCATGACCCGCACTAACACCAGGAGCATTCTGCTGCATTCTTTGAGCCAAAACCACTCTGTTAAGTTCGGATTTATTTACTGCATCACGGCGCTCCAGTAAGTATGTGCGGAGCCAGTAATAGAGAGCCTGAAATAAAAAACAGTCTCATACTCAGATGAAAAGATCAAAAACGAATCCATCTAAAACATTAAAACGGAAATTACCTGCGGGAATATTGCAGCAATTTTCAGTAGAACCAATTTGCAATGGGGTGCTTCTGTTCGCTGCAGGGAAAGCAACAGCTGTGGGATCCAAGAGAGCCACACCCAGTGAGGTACTTGTTCCAAGTGTTTATCAAATATCCTACCAACAGGCTCATTTGCTGTATCGAAACTAAGAAGATAAAGAACACGAGCCATGTGACTTCTGGAATTGGAAACTCCAAATCTTATACCCTGAAGAAAGCAGCTGACAGCATATTCTAGCCAGATTTCATCTTCTGTTTCTTGGTATGCCTGGAAAACGAAAGCAAAATATAATATCTAATAATACGAGAAGAAAGGGAATGTTAATAGCGCAGGAAAAGAAGCAGCATCTAATCATAAAAAAATACCATGTCACAGTAATTTCCCCAGCTTATCCATCCTTTGGGTAAATTCTTGAATAGGGAGATTGCATTGGAATAAGCAATGTTAGCACCTTCAGTGTCGTTCAACTTCAAATGAAAATCCCCCTTTAGACGAAATATCTCTGCCTTGTTCTTCGCTAGAAAGAACTCCAAATTTGTGCTATTAACCAGATTAAGACCAGTAGCAAGCTCTCCTTTCGTATCCAGGTAAGCTTTTGCCTGCTCTTTAATTTTAACAAAGGCTTCCTGCATACACAGACGCAATGTAGAGGTGATCAAGACAACTTCAAAAATAACGAACTTGGTAAAGATAAAATAGCAAGAAAACAAATATATGTGAAAACTACATGTTGAATCCAAAGATGTAATACTTCTACTTGAACTATGCAATTGAATGAACTCTACCAACATTAAAACAAGTAAAGATATGAGAAATTGTACCTGTACTTCCATTTGTGAGTGTCCATACATTTTGTCAAGTATCTGAACACAAACATCATATAGCCCTTGTTTCCGAGCTACCCTAGCAAGCTTATTGACGTTCCATGCTTTGTCACGATAACCAAGGTGATGAAGTTGAGTATTTGAATTTCCAAAGTCCTTAAATGCATCAATAGCAACGTTATACATTTCATTCCTCCATTGCAGCATATCATACCAGACAGTCATGTTGTCCCATTCATTTGGAGTCCTCAGCCTCCAAGTCTCAAGAATGTCCTTCAGATCAGCATATGGATTTCCCTGTCCACTAACAGCAGCATTTCCTGGAACTTTACTCCCATTTGCGATGTCAACAAAAATTCTAGAAGACTCTTGCACCTCCACTAGTTGTTGGAATTGCTGCAGTAGAGGCACTCTAGCCTGAAGAGACATTTCAGGTAACTGCCACCACTGTTCCAAAGCAAGATCAACGCCTTTCCCAACTATGTTTTCAGCATCTCCGACGCCGTTTGCATTTTTTTCATGAAGGGCAAAACAAGCTTGAACCAAACGAAGCTTAGGCGTTTCTTCCACTTGTGCCTTGGGTATCACATGATCCTTCAAATATCCCCAATCTGGTACTTTCCAAAGACTATCAAGCAAAATTTCATAATTTTCAGTGCTTTTTCCAAAATCTACCAGGGAATCCCACTGACCAAGTTGACTGGCACAGTGAAGCCATTGCTCCTCCCACAGGCACATTTCAGCCTTCGGTACTGTATTATTGTAAGTGCCTTGGGTTGCCTTAACCATCGCCTGATAAAAAAGGCTCTGAGCACGCTCCCAAAAACCATGTTGAACCATTGAAAGCCCAGCTCTAGATTCGGCAGTGATGGACCTATTTTTCCACAACCCAAATCTCCTGTCTTCCTCATTTAAAAAACGATAAAGCTCAGCAAGTGACTCGGCACATTTTGAGTCATTCATGAACAGCATGACATGAGTCTCTAGCAGAGACAATGCGATGTGCCATGCATTGTACGTTTTTCCAATATATTTGATAAGCTCACTAGGCATCCTAGGTTGAGGATGGCTCAATTGAAGCCCTTCCAGCAGCGCTTGCACAACATTTGGCCTGTGACCTTGCTGCTTCTTGTGGTAATCCTTTGACAGGAGAGAAATCATAGGTTTAGCCAAAGCTATCTGCTCATCCTTGTGTAGGGTTGCCCACACAATTGGAAATACTAGCACCCACAGATGATAAGCTACATTGGCATCTGTGTGAGCCAGCTCTCTTAAGGGGATAACAACATCAGCCACCTATAACGGGAAAAAGAGTACACATAGTTTATTTAGATCAATCCATCTTGCAAAGTGGATAAATACACCAAAGAACTTAGAATAGTTAACAATTTTTTTTATCTAACAGGGCATAAGAAAGAACCATAGAATGAGCAATTTTTTTGTATTAATTTGCAATCACCTGAAGTTTGCTTGCAGCGCTAAGAAAATGTGCATGGTTCCGAACAATGCTATCAAACAATGAAGCAACTTCTTCAGGTCCCTCCGGCATAGCAGGTGGTTGGTGGTGTACTCCAGGACTATGCGAAGGCAAAAGTGGTACTACCCTGGCAGAATTCGGTGCTAGAGTAATTGGCTTCTCCTCAATTAAGATGGCTAAGAGGAGATCAAGCCCCTGTTTCAGCCAAAAGACATCACTCATAGCTTCCCACTCCTGGTTTTGAATAATGTACTGCAACCGTGCGAATAAACTTTTTCCAAGAGATTCGTGGTATAACAAAAAGAACTTCCTTCGCATTTCAGGATCCCTTGCCCGTAAACCAAGCATGGAATGTCTTTCAACTTTCAGGGAAATCTCTTGTCGGAGGGCCAGTGGATACCTATTATCGAAACAGATGTTATCATCCCCCTCATAAAAAAACTTTGACGTAACTCAAGGTTCAACATTAGACTAAAAAGCAAAAACTTACTTCGTTGAATCGGCACAAAGTCCATACAAAAGCTGGAGATACGCCTTATCCCACTCTTCCAAAGCAACAGATGAGAAGTGCTGCTTATCAACCTGTGAAAGCTTCTGAAGAAAAGAAACTATATCCTTCTGGGTAAGAAAAGCACCAGTGGACCCAGATGAACCTATTCTTCCGAAATCATTCTCAGCCCATCTTTTTAACATGTCTAGAACGCAGAGAAGTACGCCAGAATCAGTACCCTTTTCTGAGAGCAAAGTGCTCAATATTTGAGTCACGAGTCTTTTGCAATCCGCCAAAAGCATAACCCTTTCATCAATAAGCTCCAAGACCGACTTTATATTAGATATGACTGCCCCGACATCAGCAGTTTGACGAGAAGAAGTTACTGCAGAATCTGAATCTGTCCGCTGGCTCTGAAAAGGGACCGAAAAAAGGCCAGCAGAGTAAGCCATAATTGGGAAACATGTAACGGACACCTAGTTACTAATCTGAAGAAAAAAGGCAAGGAATTTCACAGGAACTGGCAAAAGAGACAGAAAATGATGTTCTGAATTTGATAGTACATACGCACCGACCAAACATGTCAGCAAATGATATAGGCAGATGAGTCAGAGACGCAAGAGATGAAACAGAGGAACAGATATAAAAGCTAAAATCTAACAAGGAATGAATGAAAGTACTGCATTGTTATTTAGACGCATTAGATATTCCAATACTCAGTCGATAAGATGTAGTGAATGCCGTGTAAAATCCATTTGAGTTCAAATAAGAAAGAAAACAAGCATATGGTTAATCTCTTAGAAAAAAAGCTAGCTATTAATGACGAATAACTTACTTGTCTAGGGTGAGCACCCGCTGCCAATCCGAGATCCCGCGAAAGCCGCTGAAGCATACGCACCAGTACATGTGGCTCAACAAAGTTTTTCTGTACCTCTGCCAAGGTTTTAAGGACAATAAGTACAAAGCTGATTGAACCGAGAGAGTTATCATCTCCTGCAGCTTGTGGAACCGTAATAGCATGTACATGTATCTGTATCAGCTCATTGACTTTCTGATACAATAACTTTATGTCAGGAGGTGTACTAGCTCCATCCAATGGGAAGGCGATGATGACCATTTTCAGTAAGGAGCATAACGATTTACCAGCATCCAACATCTTGTGTTTAAAAGACAGCTCAAGAAACTGGTAAAGAAAACAACAGTCAACATGAGGCAGAAAACATAAGCGTTTCATATATTAGGATAAAGCTTACTGCAGCAAATATACCTGTGAGATTTGGCTGATGTTGTTCTTAATGAAAAGATGCGGCTGCTTCTCCAGAACCTTGTTCATGACATCTAATCCCTGCGCAAGTGCTGTGGACGGATCTGACTGAGACGATGGCATGCTGCTTAGCAGCTTTTCTAAATAGTTAAACTTGACGTTCGCATTTGGCCAAACTTCCAAAGCTTGTGAAAGAAAATCTAAAGCTTGTTTGTACATAGTGTTGGCTTCCCTGTCCTTAGGCTCAGTTACCACTGCTACCTATTCAACGAAGGGAAAGGAAACTTAGAGTACAGTCATAAATAGAACTCCAATTAATAAATGAACTGAATAGCTAAACCAATGTCACGTACAACTAACATAAGTCGAAACCAGAGATGGTTAACCAGATCCTAAACCTAAAAAAAAATCAAAACTAGTAACTTATAAACATGCCAGTGGTAGAAGGTGGGAGATGTAATGCCTTACTCTTATAAGAAAGTTGATGATTAGTTCTTCCATAGCAGCATTTGGCTTGAATTCCTCATCAGGCTGGGTAGCAGATCCAGGAGTTTCTATATTGGGGATTGACGATGCACCACCAGGTGACATAACACACAATGATTGGAGACCAGATTCAATTTTAACTCGTTTACTTGGGTCTTCAGATATGGAAGATCCATCTGTTGAACGCTTAGGATCTGCACCGGATGAAGGATGTAACCCATCACTAACCTCACTGGTTGCATCAGCATCAGTAACCATTTTCATTTCATTCTGTCTTTGCCTTTCCCAGCTAACAACCAATCCAGCAAGTTCGATCGCTAGCCGCCTATTTTCTGCTGTGGTGTTATATGGTAAACCTAGACGACTTAAGGAATTCACCATCTGAGGTACAAACTGTGCTCTACAGCTGTAAAAGACATCTGAGTGCCGGACAATGAGTTGGAAGATGTGGATCAAATTTGGAATTGAGTGACCCTCCTCAACCAAAATTTTTTTGGCGTATCTTATCCAAATCGGCATTCTTGAATCTCCAAGAGGAAGCCTTTTAGGTAAAGCTGGCATTAGAATATCCAGGGCCTGCTTAACTAGCATCTTATGCTCCGGCTGGTAAGTCCTAAGAAGCGCAACGAAAACCTATATCCAGTTGAATAAAACATTTGTATCATTGGATTAGATGCAAGCGTATTGATAGGCACATGCTTGCTTTCGGGTTTTAAATGGAAAAAAAATGATATACTCATATAAGAAGTTCAAGAATTTTCCTTATTTCCACTCTTCAATAGAAACAATAAACATCACCAAAAATTTAAATGGTACCTGCAGAATGATTTTCTCCGGAGCCTGGTAAGCATCCAAGAAGTGGCAAACATTAACAAATGCCCACTGTTTACTAGCACTATCTTCTCGTTTGAGATGATTCCATCCAAACTTGATGAGCTCTTTTCTATGATGAACCAGATCACCCTGAAGATATTTCAGAAGCAAAGTAGCTAACTGCAAAAGTTCGATCCTCAAAGATTCGTCATATTCAGCAGAAATCTACAAAATTTGAGATATGATTAATTTATTACCATTTTCATCAAGAAAATTATTCAGCAAATTTTCCCCACATTAATTTTTGGATCATTGATTAGGGGAGAAAAGAAACCCTACCTCTTCAGGTGGATCAAGAAGCCTCTCAACAATGGTCTTCACTATATTAGGGTCAATAACTTCCCAAGTTTGGCCATTTTGAAAGGCATGGGCAAGCATTGGAAGAATGAGCATTTGCATTGCTTGAACTAGCTGATCCTGGGCGAGTTGTTTTGAATGGAAAATGCTTAGAAAATGCAAAACAAGTGCTCTTTTCATGTTGGGCGGATATTCTTCTGCAACCTGATGAGAGAACCCAGTTATTCTATTTGAGATGCGAAATATGAGAAGAAAGCATGAAGGAGAAAGATAAACTTGTAACTAAAAAGTTTTGAGAAAGATACCTCAATCATGTAAAACTCCCTCAAAAAGGTGTAGTCAATACGACTATGGAACAAGAAAATAGAGAGAGCATCGAAAAGAATGTTCATTTCAGATTTTTCATGTCGTAGATAATTGAGAAAGCACTTGACAAGCCATTTGCTCTCTTTTACCTGCGAGTATGAGAAAATAAAGATTTGAGATGGCCAACTTTTCTAAATACGTATAATATTTCATTGTAAATATTATTGAGCCCTCAAGTCAAATATGCATGCTTTGTAAAAGACGACCTAATTTCCACAACAATTTCAGGTAACTAGGAATTCAAGTAACCAGAAAACAAGATTGTACAGGAACAAGCCAGGAGCGCCTCAACATACAAATCTGTGAGACTGCAGATAAGCGAAAACCTAGTTTGGAAATTTGAAACAATTTTTTACTTGCACAGGGCTACATATATATATAGCAGGCGATCCACTATACGATCGTGAGATAGTTTCTGATGCCCACATCAGTTTAGACAAGGAACCATGTATGCATTTATTTTCAAACACAAGGCTAATGCAGAACTTATAAAGTTCGGAAATAGATGAAACTACCTGAACTAAATTCAGCTCTTGCTCATTCTGCAAGCGAGATGTCCGTGCATGTGATTTCCAAAGGAGAGCCAAGGCATCAAAAACGGTACGGTTACTCTGCAGCCAGCTGGGTATCAGTTTCACCATTGTTTTGATAAGATAGAGACCCTGAAAATATGCATCTGATGCTACACTGGATTTTGTTGACGGCGTGTTAGAACTTTTCGACTGCATAGAGACGTGATTTTCATCTCCAGATGGTCCAGCTGGAGGTGCTGAAGCTGCCGCACTCGGTATAGCATCAGATCTTGGTAAAAATTCAGGAAAGGCACATGAAAGTATCTTATGTGGAGATTTTGCAAGTTCTTCCCTTAATGGTTGGCCAGCATCTGACCGGATTACATACATAAACCTGAGGTTATAAGGAAAAGAGGGAAACAGTCATTACCCCATGCTCACACTCAACCTAACATCCAATGTGAAGAAACGAAACCTCTGATGCAATGTTATACTTACATTCGGAAATACTTTGGTTCGCTTAATCTGGAAAGAAAATAATCAACAGCTAGGGTTGCATATCGATTCAAGAACTTGGTAAGCGGGAGGCGGTACGGGCTGTTAATCTCACTGTACACATGTCCTGGAGGAAGAGCTGCTTCTAAGTCGATAATTAATGTTACAAGTTCATCTAGAAATTTTGATGCAGCAAGTGGAAGTAAGTGGAAGAGCTCGATAATTGCTGCCACAGAGAGAACAAAATATTGTGTTCATATATAATAACATGACCAGAAATCTGTTTTTATATATTTTCCAGAACGTGATTACCTGCTGCAATTTTCGGCTCTTCACCAGTTTTCCATGATTTCTGGGACTGTGCAAGTTTCTCCGGCTCTAACCATTTTTTAAGGTGCTCCAACAACTTACCTCCTAATGTCACATTGAACCAATTTGATAGAAGTTCAAGAAGACGTGCCAGACCTTGCAGTAAAGGCATATTGAGATTCTTTGTGTGCGCCAGATTAACTAGTATAGGTCTGAGGCTACTCTGAAGAAGTTCTTTAGGCATCCGTTGTTGATTGATAACCTAAAGCAGAAAACATAGTTTCAGAACAGAAAAGAGTTTACGAAAATAGAATCGATTATCCAGAAAGAAAAGGGCTATTAGGTAGGGAAAGTCTTAGTTTATTCTCCATGACTTTCTCCAAAATCCTCAAATTGAATGTGCACGCAAGAATCGGAAACAAAAGACAGATAACTACGAACCTGTCTTAAACCCTCCTTGGCAACGGTCACAATTTCTGGTGCTCGACAGGTTAAAGACTTGAAAAACATGGAAATTATCTTTGCACGTAGTTCATTGTGACTTTGAGTTCGAAAGTCAGCCCATGCCATAGTTGTGCACAGAATCTCAATACAAGCTGTCCGAAGTCTGTTCAATGATGTAAGGACTTTAGGACTCATCAACTTCACAGCCCATACAGCTTCATCAGCCTCAGCTATTTGTAACGCTTCTTGCAAGAAGCTAACCAACTCTGGAGTCACTTTTAGAAGGGGGGGCCTCAGTGCTAAACAAAAATTCAGAGCTGTCACAGTTCCAACCTGTAAGGCATATTCAATAAGGTCAAAAATAGTCTGGAAAAGAGATACAACAACCGAAAAATAGCAGAATGAGGCACCTGTTGATCAATTGTCTTTGATCGAAGTGGACGCATTATAAGTGGCTGCAGCAAAGGTTGGTACAAAGGCTCAAGCAGTTCAGATACCTCACTACCAGTCCGGCTAGCCAAAAGTGCAAGACAGTTCTGAACATTTTTTCTCACTATGATAGATGCATTTGAATTGAACAATTCAGTAGCAAGATATTCTACAACACCTTGAAAGCTTTGCCTCCGAGCGTCACTGTTTGCTTCGTCAACATTATTAACCACTCTTAGAATCTGCATAAGAACCTGACTTGTCTCTTCTTGCTCTTTGCTAGCATAAACAGGAAGCCTCTTTTGAACGTAGACCAGACCACGTACAATTTTTACTTGGAAAAGACATAATGTTTCAACATTCACTTTCCCTACCAATGCACCTAAACCCATTACTCCTCCCATCTGCGCTTGCCATGTGCTCCCATAACAGCAATGCAACAACCGAGGCAAAAGTTGTTCAAACACTGGTATTCGTACACTTGGATGGGGTGAATATACCGGGTTTGTAGAAGGACTGGAGACGATCATAGAGGCACTGTGACCACCCTTAGCCATCAGCACATCAGCATGTTTGACACGAGCAAGGAACAACAGAGTTTCAGCAAACACATTTAATGCAGTCAGGGCAGCTTTGGCATGGAGCCTATTTTCATCTGCAAGCACATCAACAAGTGCATCCAAAAATATCAAAGGATCCAGCTGTTTTAAGTTAGTAGACCAATTATTCTTGGCCCTGGAGCTTGCTGAAATCACCGAACTCCCAGCTGGACCAGTACTAGTTGAAGCATACGACGAGGTATAGTCACCATGCAAAATAATTGCAAAATGCCGACATATGTTTAGAACAAAGTCATCATCTGAGTCGCTGAGATCCGGATCCGAACTGGCAGCAATTATAGTGATCAATAGCATCTTGAAGATTGACTTCTCAGCGATTAACTGTGTCTTTGTTTTAACCCCTAAGTCACCCTGCATCAACAAAAAGATCCTCTTAAATTATAAACTCTTTTACATCCCATTACACCAAGTATTATAGAAAATCTAAGGAGACAAGTAGGTCACTCGCGGGAGATGACATAAAACAGTCCTAGCTCGTTTTTTCAGGGACAAAAGCATGGCAACAAGAAAACAAATACAGAATCTCTTCATGCCTCATGTAGCAACTGTAACATTAGATCAGAGAGGTACAGAGTACAACTATAAGGGATTAAGATTAAGCAAGTAATACCAAAAAACCAACCTTTATTTCTGTTGATTCACTCCTGCGCCGCCAAGATGAATCAACAGAAGAAAGTAACAAAGTTGATAACTGATTGTGTGTCTGACCCTCGTCAATGACACACCCAGGCAAATTAAGCTGAGACAACAGGCAAACGCGGAGGAATTTTAGAGCTTGCTTCCTGTAGTAGATTTCTGTAGTAAGGTTTTTCTGAATAACAGCTGCTACAGCAAGATTAATGAATTTGTCCATTGGCACAAGAAACGGAGTGGACGGCTCAAATGTCAGAACTAAGCGAAGCCCATGCTCCGGATTATCTTTGCATTCAAGTGTAAGTGGCTCTTTAAGAAATCGCCGGTTGCGGCCACCCAACTTTCCCACGATTTGTAACGCTTTTCCACCCCAAGGATATGGCACCGGCCTCAGGTGGGACCATAATGCTAAGATCATTTCAGACATTACATTTGCCATACTTGGCTCCAAAAAGTCAGGATTCAGACTATCCACCCAGAATTCAAGAGTGCGTAACCCCAAGCTCACTAGTTCATCACTTCCTTTCAAACAGGATACGAGAGGCCTCATGAGGCGGGGAAGGTATGGCAATAAGGAGCTCAAGCGTGCAGGAAGCGTCAAAGAAAGTTCCAACAAAAGATCTCTCATGTCTTCCCCGGCGGGGCCCTCAAGCATTGTCAGAAGCATATTAAGACAAGGTAGCAGCATGGGGATTAAATCTCTAAGAAGGAGCTCGAATTTACATCCAGCAAGTCCTCTGAAAACTGTTCGGAGCAATTGCATATAACCAAGAGGCTTTTCAACTTCAGTCGCATTCTTCATGCAAACTTCCATAATAACAGGCACTTGAGGTTGCAATATTCGTTCAAAATCAGATGGTGCTTTAGAAACAGCCCCAAAGAGGCACCGGAACAGATGCAGAACTAATTTAGTTGCAGCTGAATCTGGATTCTTCAGAACATCGAGCTTGCTGCTTACTAGGAAATTAATCAGAACATCTGCAAACGGCTTGTATACTTTCGGAGCTTGCAGAAGAGTGGCAAATATTTGGACCAGTTGAGTATTGTCAATCATGCACTCAAAAAGTTCAGGCATACAAATAGAGAGCATGTCCATCAGATCCCGAGGTTCCATAATAGCCAAAATTTGGGAGAAAAGATTTAGCATTTCCTTCTCATCATCCTTCTCTTTGAAGAGAGCTAAGCAATGGACACCACTCTTTAAAACACCAGAAGCTTTCCACACCTGCTTGAATGTAGAGATAACTAGAAGTTTATCACCCATGCACTTTTAATACCTACACAAAACAATCTGACATGCAATACCTCATCTTCTCTCATTCCTTTAAAACCGTGAGTAGCTGATGATTGTGAAGCAAGAGCTTGTGGGTGCATTCCTTGCGGTCGGGCCAAATGTGCATGGGTTATACTCCATATGATTGTCTTCATTCCTGAACACAAATCAGGAAAAGTCCTTAACATATAAAAACATAATCAATATGTATAACTGATCCACTAAGGGGAAAGTCAGTGTGGCCAAGATTCAATACCCATCACCAGTGTCTTGATCATATTCTTACAATCATTCACTTCTTTGGAGAGTTCGGCAGGAACCTGCAAATTCAAAACTGCCTGCAACCGGCGTGGTCTAAAGTAAATATCAGAAACTATCAATGAAGACAATGATGCTTCAGTAGAAAATAATAACGGGTTGAGAATATATATTTCCGCCTGAACTATAATACAATTTAGAAAATAAATCCTATCTACGAGACTAAAAAACCACTAATGAACGGCGTGGAACTAGCACGTTTGAATATAAGTCAAGACAGAACCGCCATCATAGATAATATGTAATTACCTGGACGGGAAGTTCAAGCTTCGACCTCAAAGTGATAAGATTCTTCCCCTCGCCCTCCTCTAAAAGCTATGAAACAGAAAGCAAGACTAAGTAACACATCAACGAAATAAAAGAGTTAACAACCGGGATAGCTTAAGAGTCAAGATATCTCAAACAAAACATAACAGGAAAAGTCGGTAATGTGTTGCAGCGAAAGACAAGAATATAAAAATGGCATATCAAGAAAACATTTACAAAAACAATAGAAAACGAAGCCAAAAAGCTAAAACAACATGAGCACTTGGAAAGCAGCCAGAATAACCTGGGGAATAGTACGCTTGAAGGTATTGAATTTCCCAACAAAGGCATCCAGGATACGTCCCTATAAACAGATGCGAGTAAAATAAGTTAATGATTAGAGCAGCCAACCAATTCTAAAATAGCTCTCAGGGGAAAAGCTATACCAACAAAATCCGCGCTTCATCCATTGACTGCTGATCAACACCTTTCTCAAATATTGGTTCTACCTGAACCCAGTATAAGAATTAAGTTTTACCAAAACCTCAGTTCAAGCATAGCGGACAGATTATGCCACATCAATGGTAAGTAACATATCAATTTTAATGAAGGCGAAGAAGATGAAATATCGAGCTTTACCAGATTTAACATCAGTCGTGCACAAGTCGTATGGATGTTAAGAGAGAGGGTCGAGTCATGCATATTCCTTGAGAATAAGTAGATGATCCGGGATAACTGACACATTGTTTAAAGTCAAATTATGAATTGTATGAGAATAGATCACTCATAGGGTAGAAAATTGACCGGAAAAAAAAATAAAAATGGGAAGCTTGATGTTGGCAAGAAAAATTGATCAGTGTGGTTGTATTCCTAAGAGTATTTGTTTGTTGGAACCTTCTTCTGTCAGAATATTTTGGGAGGCCTCGGGTTCTATGTCGACAAGTAGAAAATAACATCTTTCCCAGGTGCTAGCACTTACTTATCACAATTGAGAAGCTTGTAAAGATGAGGATCCTTTTTTATACCCAAGCACAGATTCATAGCAATAAATGTGTACTGGAACACATTAGCATCATTTACTACAGACTATAGAGTCCAATGTCAATGTTTTACGCAGGTTCCAGAACTTAAACTCTCTTACCTATAGAAAGAGCTACTCTAGACAAGATAGGACTAACAAATAAAGAAAACAAAAACAACAGAAGCCAGAATAAGAAACAAGTTGCACAGAAATAACGGGAAGAACCTGAGAAAAGGACAGATCCGCTCGAACATGGTGAACAATCTCGGCAAGAAGGCTGTAAGCCAGAGGTCTCAAAGACTCAAAGCATGCTCGCCCCGTCCCTACTAGAACCCTAACACAGAATAAGTATAGATGACGTAAGTCAATATTTGTTAATAGATACTGCAACAGCAAAGGGTCTATTTGATAAAATAAAGCAGCTTCCAGACAGGTGTAAAAGCTTTAGAATTCAGAAAGGCGAAAAAGGCAGTATACCTTTCTTCCAAAAGAGTGTCAATAAGAGGAAATAAACCTCTCTTGAAATCCGTCCCCAGTACATGCTTTAATGAGACTAATAATTCCTGCATTTCAATGACCAAAAAAAACAATATTTAACTGCAAGCTAATGATCGTGTCATGAGATGAAAACATACCGAAGAAAAAGGAACAGGCGGTTCTCCACCTTTCTTATAGATGCAGAATCCGAACAGGTGACAAGCAAATTTACAATGCTCTTACATATGCTTTCTTCATGCGGCCTGATATATTCGACACAACTTTTTAACAAATAAGTCAAAAACGAAACCGTCTGCAATTCAACAAAACAAGAAGACAAACACTACAAGTCAGTATGGCATGGCATGGCCCCTTAAGAACAGGTGAAAGAAGAAGACAATGTAGGCCTTAATGTAGAAACCATTGTCTCACCTTAACCTGAGCACCCTTCAGTTCGGTGAAGTGATGCTTCATATGTGATGGAACTTTCTCAGGTCCAGGGACAGAAATGGCAGCAACCATCAGGGGCAACAAATTAGGAATATTGGTCTGAACAAGTCTGCTAAACAGCTGAAAGAGAAACAAGACGACGAGGGGGCTCTCTGTGACTATTTTGAATGAACGCGTACTCGGGTTAATCTGCCCATTCCGGAATTGTGGGGTAAGGGAGAGCGACTGATCAGATGGTGTAGATATCTCCGCAGGTTTGACCTCTTCCATTTTGACATTCTCGAAAAAATGGCTGACCGTCAATCTGAAGTTCTGGTAGATCTTGCAGACAAAGTCCAGGAATGGTTGAACCTCATTCTCTAATGCAGGCCTAAAGTTCCTGAGAACGTCAAAGATGATGCGGATGCATATCAACCCATTCTCTTCGTTATCTGTAGTGAGCACCTGCATTGCAACTTTCAAGAGGTCTTGAACAAAGGGGCGAAGAACCTCGCTATGTGGAAGACGATTGAGTATCTCAACCACGATGTTCCGTAGTTTGTGCTCAAGACTATCAGTGAACTGAGGCTTTGTAATCTGAAGAAGAATCACCGAAGCTGCGCGGAAGTAACATTTTAGAAAGTTCAAGTACTCAGCCGTATGTGTTATCTCTAGGCTGTCCCTGATCTCCACCACCATCTCAAGCCTCGTCTGAATAGCTACATAAGACAATCCAACAAAGAAACACAAAAACAAGTTTCAGGTAAGTGTCACTTGCCCGCTAAAAAACCTCAACACGAAAATTTCCTCAGACTCATAAAGGCAAAACTTGGCTGACAAAATAAAAAAATCGGAGATTTTTAAATCCAAAGTAATAGCTTTTCTCAGCGAAAACCACGAAATAAAGAAGAGAAGAGAGTGAGTGGTGTTTACATAGGTCAGGCTCCACGAGACGACGGGAGTGTTGCTCAAAATTCTGAATTGGACTCATGGCTGAACAAAATAAGGCTGACCCAGACAAGCGAAACGCTGTATTAGGGTTCCGTCGCGGCAGAAATTGTATGCGTCGCCTCAACCTCCTCCTTTCTGACGCGCGAAATGGGTTTTCAATCACAGTGCCGATCCCTAACGCTAAGCCGCGAGGTGGTCGACTAGGTCAGAAACTAGCGAGGGTTTATCAAATTTACTAATTTAAAGGAGAAAGTTAAGGAGGTTTCGTCGATTCACTGAGCGAATACCGACGACCTCGAGGACAACGATGGAAGATTATAGTTCTCTACGCAATTTTCCCTCTCATTTTCTTTGGGTCTCTCTGTCTTTGAAGAGGGAAAGAGAGAAGCTTCAGCAATTCCACACGAGCGTACCAGTGTAACGAAATTGCGCAGCCGGTTATATATATACTGTATAAAGGTCTCGTTTTTATTTTATTATAAGGCCCAAATCTTTATATAAAGTCTACTTGGTCAAAATTTTAGTATTAGTAGGAAAAAAACTAAAGACTTTTTTTGTTAATAACATTAATTTTTTGCAGTCTAGCATTTGTGTTTGAACCAAAATTTAGATGGGAATACTTTAATTTTTGGTTGTTTCCAAAAAAACAAAATAGTTACCAGCCTAAACTCTTTTTAAATTGAACAAGGAACCTGGGAAAATGTCATCCATAATTGAAATTTAATCATTTGATTTGTTAAAAAAAAGCTATACGGTTTAATTTCATGGGTTGGAGTTGGACCGGCTATATTAGGTTATCTGATTGGGCCGGTAATGTTCAGATACTATTGGTTCGGAATTTCGGATGACGTTTTGTTTAGATAAGATAAAAATATTTAAAAATCGAGTAAACCTAACCTCTTTTTTTTATCTTTATCCAATCCGAATTTTTTTTTTTTTTTTGGTTCAAAGTATCCCGAAAGATCATATGCTGTTTTTTTCAACCAGAGTTTTTATTAGGAGCAATTTCTCAACTTTATTACGTGGTTAAATGAGTCAAACATTGATTTCAACGTTATCGGAGCTGGTAGTATTAACCTTGGTCTTAGGATCAGGCCGTGAGTTTCCTCTACTTTGGCTTGATGATGACCTAAACTCTCGACTCTCAGAACGATAACCTCTCGACCCATATCGCCTGCTTCCTTCTCTATGTGCACCTTGATTGTTGTTACTACCACCATCTTGATGACCATTACTGGATCTTGAAGAAGAACCGCTAATGGATGCAGCAGCAGGAGTACTCGGAGCTGTCTGTTCGTATGGCAACGGCTTAATCCCCTGCAAATCAGGTTCCGGTGTGAACCCGACCGGTCTTTTCGACTCGTCCATTTTCCTAAACGTGATCGATATCCTGAAAAACAACCAATATAAAACTAAGTTTCAAAACGCCAACTTATGTATATATATATATATATATGTGCAATACTTTACATGCTAAATTACCTCTTCGTGGGAACCGCAGGTACACAATGCTTCGCTACATCGGCACCATTCCCCTTTAGCACAAGAACCGATCTGAAAAAGAAAAAAAACAAAGAAGTGAAAAAACAATTCACTTCAGAAGAGAGTATGCAAGCAAAGCGAGACTACTAGAGAGCTTTACCCGACGGGGAGCGGTATAGAGTAGGAACCGGAGAATTCACCAGGACCAAGGATTTTGAGATTTGATCCAAAGAGAATATCGCCGGTGTGCAATTCAAGTCCCTCGAGGATATTAACGCGTTTTCCTTCGACTCTCTCGAAACAAGTAAACACTTTCATTCTCTTCACGTTCCTAAACCGGTACTGCTCTCTTTCCTCCCTAGACAACTTACGCTTCTCGAGAGTCTTCGTCGTCGAGTCTCCAATGGAAGTAGACACATCAACGTCCTGTGCACCTGATTCGCTCTGCTTCTCTTCTTCCTCCTCCTCGAGCACGTCCTCTTGTGCCATATCAGCCCAAGACGTTTTAGGAGGACTCGCAGTTTCATCAGAAGCTTTCAAACTACCTAATGAGTAAGAATCACAGAACTTCACATCACATTCGTCGTCCATATCATGATTGGTTTCTTCAGATTCCATATTTTTCATAATTGGATCAGAATCCTCTCTAGTAACCGTCTCTATGTTGCTACAATGCTCTGTAATTAAGAAGGAACACAAATTACACATCAAGATTAGTCCATCAATCAGTCTAACTACGTAATTTACGAATCCTAATGTTCAAATTGGATTCAGGAGTGCAAAAATCTTAAAATAATTTCACAGCAACATTCAGAAAAATCAAGCACAGCGTTAAAATTCTCCGTCTCTTCGCCCAAATTTCTGAAACAGGAGGGAAATGAATAAATCATAACCTGAGTCAAGAGAACGGATCCGATCGGACAGAACATGGACGCAGCCATGGCAGAGATCTCTTGATAAGAAAGGTAACCAAGTCGTTAGAAATTCCGAAGCAATCTTAAGTTCCGATGGCTGATACTTGCCGAGAAAAGTGTCTTCTTCGTCGATTGGCTCCATTCTCTATAGTCTCACAATCAAAACCTCTCTCTGTGTGTTTCGTGTACACACAAGAGAACAGAGTTTCGGTTTGTACGGACTGAACAACTTTGCGAGGTTCGTTTACTTTGGGTACTCTTTTTGAGTCCTTGAATCATCTAAAGATTTCTAAACTTGGAAGACTAAGAGCATGAGTATCGGAGAGTCCCACTTGGGGTTTCTCCAAATATTAAAAAAAACAAAAAATATTAAAAAAACAAATTTTTTTTTTAAAATGATTTAAAGAAAAACGAAAAACAATATTAACCACTCATGCTATGACATATGTCAGAATTTTGGGAAGAGGCGATTCTTGCATATCTGTGGAGAGAGGCGCTCCTCTTCAAAAAGCTCTACATATCATTAATTTTTTTTTTTCCTTTTTTTTAAATTTAAGAGCTTTACTAAAGCTCTGCTATGCTCTAAAATTATTTATAAACGTTAGTTTATGTACAGTAGAACCTCTATAAATTAATACTCGATAAATTAATAATCATTATAAATTAATAATTTTTGCTGATCTTAAGTTAGGCTAGTGTAAAAATTAATAAATTTTGATAAGATAATAAGATAATATTTTTTTTAAAACTCCAATGTAAAAATATAGTCCTAATAATTATATAAATTAATAAGTATACATTTAAGCATATATAAATAATATAATGTAGTAAAATATAATTATATTATTGTTTTAAGTTTATAAAAATTGTTTGACTTATTTTTTAAATTCACTGATATGATATTTTCTGAATAAATTTTTCAATGTTGACAATATTTTTTTGTTTTTTTACAAATATTTTGAATTTTGAATCGAAATATCTCTCTATAAATTAATAAAATATTAATTTCTCGATAAATTATTAATTTATCAATTAATTAATAACTCTATAAATTAATAAATTTTTGCAGTCTCAACATTATTAATTTATAGAGGTTTTACTGTATTTGCTTCGACATGCAACCACCACACGCCAACAAAACTTATGTTCAATATGGGCTTAAAAGCCCATTAGTTGAATCTTATGGAGCCGAATTACTAAACCCAACTTTCAACTACAAATAATCATTTTTTTTTCCTAAATTACTTTTGGAGCCGAATTACTAAACCCAACTTTCCACTAGATCAATAACTTTTTCTTCCGTTTTTTTTTCTACAAGAGAGAATCAGTGGAAGAAACAAGTATTAAAGGATTTAATTTCTTCCACCATTGTGACATCGACATGTATTGCCTCCTGTGCTATATATAATGCAATAAAATCATTTCTCTTATGGTCATTTTCATTCACAGAACATGAGAGTATCCACCAATTTTAGGCATTTACAAACAGGAAACACCTTGAAATGACTTCTTTAGTCTCTCTAAATCTGGAAGAATAAACACATACACTCCTCCTAAGAAAGGAGAAACTGGAATACAGATTGTGACACTGACACTTATCAGAGATGCTCACATCAAACGTGACATAAAGACTGCAAAGAGTTGTAATCAGTTGAAAGACAGAAGACATTGCTCTTCTCTAGTGGCCTTAGAACATGGTGGTAGGAGAAAAAAACTTCTCTCGTCATAAATTTATCATCCACGAAAAAAATCAAATTTGTGGCTCATATTTTATTGGAGGAATATTTGTCTGCTTGTGGTGCTAAAGACTTTGCTGAGTTGTTGTTGGAAGCAAAGTGCCACATGGGAGAGTCAACAATATTTTTGCAGACATGGAGGATCCTACAGTGTTTATGGGGATGTGAACAACTCTTCTGTGACTCTCGTTTGTTGTTGTACTTTTCTGGACTTAGCAGACATTTTATATATTTGTTTAACATCTAATATGTCATATTCTTTGTTTAAATATAATTTCTTCCAGTGGTGGTTAAGGTATATTATTATTCGAATGATTTTTATGCATTTTGTCTTTGGAGCTGTCCCTTTTATAAGTTTTGGATTGGAAACTGAATTTGTATGAAATTTAATTTCGGGATAAAATTTAGTACGAGTTTTAATATCTTTTTATGCAGTTTGTCGTTATAAGAAGCTGTCCATTTTACTATTGGGGTACAAATTAAATTCTTAGGAAAATTGAGGACAGTTTTGCTTGATTTTCTTTTGTAAATATTTTCTTCAAAAAATCCTTTTTATGCTAAAAAAAAAAAAAAAAATCTTAGCTCAAATATTTTTGTATGCATTTTTCGTTAGAAGCTGTCCCTTTTATAGTTTTAAATTGGAAATTGAATTTGTAGGGAAATTGAGGAATAAAAAAAACTCTTTCAAGATAGATCTTAATTCTAATATTTTGTTTTATGCATTTTGTCGTTATAAGGAGCTGTCCATTTTGTTAGCTTTTGAATTTGGAATAAAAATTTGACGAAAAGGAAAAATCTTAATTCTATCATCCAAGCCTGCCTGATAGGTGACTATGCCTTTGTAACTACATCACATCATACCTACCTTGCAAAATCAACCTCTTTTGTACTGTACTTTCAAGGTTTGAGTGTATTATTTTTGTTGTAGACATGTAACTGTCCAAGGTATCCCAAATATTATATTAGCAGTTTCCAAAGCCACAATCTCAATTTATTTTAATTGTCACGTTTAAGAAAAGAAAGACAATAACACAACAGTTTATTTTTTATTAAATAATTGTTAGAAATTCTAGACTCAACAAAAGGATGGGAATAGTAGTTTGCGTTTTTGTTAATGTCACCACGCAGCTTAGCTTTAATTTCATCGTAACATTATAACAAAGTGAGATGTTTTGTTTTGAAAAGCAAACACATTAGTACAACTTGTAACATAATATTAAATCTATTACTAATAAAAGTTGATGCTAAATGCCTCTAAATGTGTCCACATAAGGTTTAAAAATTCAATTATATTAGTACATATCATCATTATTTTTAGTTAATTATATATTGTATATTAAAATTAATTAATTCGTTTTAATTTTTATAAGGAAAATTTCTAAATTTTAATTAATTTTGTTTTTGTTGTTATTAGAATTTTTTTTAAATTTTAAGTTAATTATTAATAAAAAAGAATTTTGAAAATAGATCTTATTTTTCTATTAACAATAAAAAATAAATTAACATATAAATAGATTATGAAAGAAAAATCATATATATTGAATAAAATTATTAAAAACTTTATTTAAGACCATAATTAAATTATTTTAAAATTTTAATTACGACAAACGCTTAAAATCTGAACTGCTAACATAATATATATTAGTTGTGGTCCATGTTGATGTCTTATGCCAATGAGAGCATCTACATATGATATATATACTCAGTCTGATTAGTCTATATCAGTATTTTTCATTAAACATAAAAATAAAAAATATTATTAATATTTTATATAAATTAAAACATAAAAAGTAAAAATTATCACAAAATAATAGAAAATTAAGATAATTTTTTTAACTAAATAAAATAAATTTATGTCAAAATTCTAAATTTATTGTGAAAATAAAATGGAAACTCATTGTCACAAAAATTAAACTAACAAAAACAAATATGTAAATCAATAACGAAAAAGTTAAATTAAAAAAAATTAGCATATATATTTTAATGAGTAATTTATTTAGAAAAAAATATTAAGATTAAATTTTCATATAAACATATAAATTTTTTATTTAAAAATATTAATACTACCAAAAAAAATTTATCATAAACTATTAAAAAAAAGTCATCTAAAACTTATAATTTTTGGAGAAATATTTTAAAAATTATCACAAAAATCTTAACAAATCAAAAATGATATTTTATGCTAATTACTGAAGAAAGCAATATAAAAAATGTTTAACTAACAAAAACTAAAACATAAATTATTTCTTACAACATGTCAACACAATTAAAATGAAAGTCTATATTGAGAAAATTAAATTAACTAAAAAGCTAAAACGAAAATTAAGTTTTACAAAATATTATTTTTTAAAAAATCACTTAAAAATATATTGACTTTATATCTGACTAACTACTTAAAAAAATCATATCAAAATATTTAACTAACAAAAAATTTATGTCTTCAAAATATCAATATTTTAAAAATAATAGTGTGTTAAAATAAAATAAAAATCAATATCAAGAGAGTGAATTATCAAAGGAAAAAGTCGTATAAAATAAAATTAGCTTGATATTTAGGCTAACTACCAAACAAATATTAACTAAAAAAAAGCAAATGATGGTATAAGCTTTTGAAAGAAGTTCACTTAAAATTTAGAATAACCAGTTATAGCATGTCAAAATAGCATTTTAATTAATTGAAAAAGTAAATTTAACAAAAAAAATACATTTATGTAAAAGATATTAGATTACTATATATGCTACCTATTTGAAAAATCAATAACAAAAGAGATTAACTAAAAATATATATGTTTTAAGTATATCAAACCTGCAGAAAATTAGATAATTAAAATAAAATATAAAATTACCATTGAAGATATTTAAAATAACAAAAAACAAGATCTAAGAAGAAAATTAGTTTGAAATATAGTTCCAAAAACATTCATGATTTCTAAAATATCGGTGTTGACTATGAATAATCATATAAAGTTTTAATAGGTTATACAAGTTTCTAAATCAAACATATTATTTAAATTTACAAAGATTAATACCTTGGTTGCGTCTGGTTGAAAAAATAATAAAGTAAAATACTACACAAGTAACTTTACATTCAAAATATGATAAGTAATAAAGTCTGATTTGTATACATATAAATTGCTTATAACTTAGTCAACATGAACAACACATGAAAAACATCCTCTAAAAATGTTATTTAAATAATATAATATGACAAAGTTATGAATCAAATTCAAATGAGAATATATGAAGATAAAATATTCAAATCAAAACAAGAATAAACACACAAAAGATATAAAAAAACAGTGATAATGTGAAGTCTCAACATCATCTTACATGTTTAAAAACAAATATTAGCAAATAGTTGACTGCAAATAAAACAGATCTTATAAATTGAATAAATATATAACCTAAAATTCGTTAAAGATCTGATGGAAAAGCAAAAAATAGCTTTACACGATTAGTGTAGCTTATTAACAAAAGTAAATCCAAATCAACATATATCATATATTATATATGTATATGTACACAACATTAGTGAGAAATTCAGTAAATAAACTAAATATTTAAACATATAAATTCTAAGGATACAAAACAAAACACCAAAAAT